TTACCATCGGCTGAGCGCCTCGTGCCTCAGCCTGAGACGGCGGTCATCGGCGGCTTACCCGATTCGGCTGAGGCTGGCCTGAGCCACGGACACCGGTGTACATACCGAGTTCCCGAAGCTCTTTGTGTTCGACATAAATCCATTTGAAGTGCATGTCCAAGTGCGCACAATACTTGAAGTGACCCATTCTGATAGTCCCCGTGGCAGTGGCCTGCCGGGCATCAAAACACTGAATTCATGGCCTCCATATTACGACGGTTTCCGTATGTCTAGCACAGCTATATGTCTCGTAAATGAATGTTATATCCCTGATTTGCACTGGTACCAAAGTCGAACCAAAGCAAACATAGATAATTACCAAAACCTTGCCGAGAACTGACTCATTGGCTGCATGAAAGCATGAATAGCTTCCAGCACCGAGAACAGTTGCAAGTACCTAGAAGCTGTCATCTGCTACGTACGCTGAAATTTGACAAGAACAGAGCTCCGAGACCTGACATTCGGCAGGATCTGCAGTGAGAAACCTGAGTCCTGAGCATACCAAATGCGCCAAAACCAAAGACCAAATACCATCAATCACGCGCGGGAATTTTTGTACAGAAATACCGTCATAGAAGAGTGTTGACAGCGTAGGATCTGGTCGCAGGACATGCTTCGGCCCAGTGAACGACCTCGGGCTTCGGCTCAAACTAAGTACTATGGGCCGTGTGACTTCCTCGCTTTTTACGGAAGGCGGGCCAAATACCGCGTACATAACGCGTCGCCACCGTCGCGTCGGAGAGCACAGAGGGAACCAGCTGCGTACAATTATAAGGAGACGCATTTACGCGCAAGCTTTCCCAATCGCGTGCTATTCCAAAGGGCTACAGCTTTCGATACCTATGTGGCGACTACACGGCCCACGATGGAGGTAGAGTACAAGTCGTCCGGCACTTTGCGAGTGGCGAGATAGCCGCCCAGACACAAAGGCCAGCCACGCGTAGCTCCCTTCTGTCTTCGCACAACGACTCCACTCAACATCCCTCCCTCAGGACGTTGCGTACTCCCATATTGTCTGCGATTGCTCCATCATACATTGTATCGATCATCATGAATACCAACTACCAGACTATCCGATCCGACGAGGCGGTCGTGAATGCCACTGCAATTTCGGGTATGGATGAACACGATGCGTTCATTCTGGAGTATGTCGATGAGGCAGACATCATGGCGCTCTCCCTTCTACCCCACCTGCTGCCGCCGAAGGCAGACGTACAATCCAGCCACTACGATCTCTCTGGGGCATCATCCACGAGTTCCCTGAGCACACAGACAAAGACAACCGAGGACAACGAAGGCCATTCAGTAAGCCAACCCGACGTAAACAGTTGTAATGGCATGTGTACTCACATGTGTTATGTTGCTTTGTTCTAGCTGGATGGCCGATACCCAGCTGAGGCATCGGTCGCCGGCCGGTACCCCGTAGCGTCACTCCCTATCTCATCGACGCAGCACTCAGACGACGACGACGACTGGAGCGTAGCCCTAGGCACGTACGACTTCCTCGGCATCGAGTCTGCCAAGCATGCCACCACCCGCGTCAGAATCCCTTTGACGTATCTCGACCACTTCGCCGAGTGGAGAAGCGAGACAGAGGAGTTCGCTGAGATGTGGGACCTCCTGCGAGAGACGGAGCCCGTCGTCAACTCGCCGATCGCCAGTACGCTGGTCGAATATCCGCACGCCGAGGACGGTCCAGGTTTGTTGCTCGCAGCCGGCACATCGGATGAGGAAGGAAGAGGCTGCATGCCCGATGCGGTCTTGCTGCCGGAGGTACTGGACGAGATCATACCGGGTCTTCGCAGTGTGGGGGAGATGATGGGGGAAATGCGGATGACCGATTGATGGAGTCGAATAACGGAGTTTTGACAAGTATTCACAGGGGCGTTCATATGGCTAGGTTGCTGAAGGAAGTTGCCAGCGAGGTGGCAATGGTTGTCGGGAGGCAAGATAAATTGTGGCTTCTTTACTTAGCGTGTGTCATCAATGTGTCTGGCTTGAAACTTTCCTGAAGCCTCTTGAGCGATGGCGTTGGAGACGGGTGGTGGGGCTGTAAGTCTGGTAACGAAGACAGATCTTGCGTGAGGACTCACTCGATGGCACGCACTGGCAGTTGATAGAGATAGAGTCACCAGAGATGTAGAACGGACTTGGGTCTTCCCTGCGTATTTTGGGGCAGAATTACGACCTCACGACAGCGCGGTCGAGTATTGCAGTTCTGTATGAACATGAAGGGTCACGTAGCCTCCCATGGCATCGCGATGCACACATGGTCTTAATGTACACCCATACTGAGTCTGTCACCGGCCAGTGTGCGACTTGAGCCACATCAGCCTAAGCGCCCGACATAAGAGGGCTTGAACTCGACCTGCGCCATCGTCTTTATCCTCTGCTATCTTCCTCGTCCCGCCACATATTCTTTGAAGATCCTAGATACCCTCACTTCAGCCACCCATGCACACGGTACACTCGCATTCACTCACCGAGTGCGACGTAGACGCAAACTCAGCGTACACGCAAGGGTCCGTGGTTCCGCGTTCAACAGGCAGCCTTGGCTACCACAGCGTCGATCAAAGCTACTCCGAGCCAGGCATAGAGAGTCAGCGGTTCCGAGGGATGGTCGTGAGAGACAGTACAACTGTCCTCGACGCAGCCCAGGCGCGTCCACTTGATAATGGGACGCGACACGATGAACCGAGCCACAATACGCGACCAGGGGCAGACATCGATTCGCGACATCCCACTGTTGTCTTCGCCAAACCGGCCGTCTTCGCAGCACCACGGCCAACGTACACCCCAGAGGTCGACAGGGCGAAGATAGCCGCCATCATTAACAACGACTGGGAAGTATGGCAAGGGGGGTACGTCTTGTGAGAGTGAAACCCATGACGGTCAAGACCAATTATCTCGTGAGTAATCAGCGCACGACCGTCACTTGCTTCACACTCACCTAGGTATGAAACTACTTGCAGCTGCATGACGAGCAAAACGCTCCGGGACTACCGTCCATTCTGCTTCACGGCGACAGTGTCGAGGATCGATCTGCCATCTTCACCACAAATCGCTCAGGAATTCAGGAAAACGGCCTACGTAGTGCAGATTGTGACATGGCCTGTGCGAGCACGTCCAGGAGGATCGCAGACGATGGCTCGGAACAGCGATCCTTCGACATTCACAACGCAAGCCCAGATCCTGCGCGACCGAGAACAGGCTCCTCGTCCTCCAAAATGGCTTGCATCTCCGATCACGAATTGATCCACACCATTCGTTACGTCGCACCAAGTAGGGACGAGAGGATCATTGACGCCGCTGCAGACCTACCATTGTCGAAGACGCACACCGGCCCCTTGCGAGAGTACGACAGGCTCAACTTCACCTAATCCATCCCTCCGGCTGTCCAAGAGGGCAGCAGCGTGCTGCAAGTGGTGGTAGATGCCGATCGCCTGGACCAAAGCTGTGATGCGGTAGACTCGGAGACCTCTCTTCCGTATTCAATGACGGCTGTTCGCTCTCGACGTCAACTCAGCTTGAAGACAGCCACAGATACAGATGCACGCGTTCTCCATTCTACCTTGTCGGCCTACGACGGGGTGTACGACTTGGAAGCACAACAACGGCTCCCGATACGGGACGCCTCTTGCGCGCGACCTCGCATTTACACCGATCGTCCGAACTGTGGGCTAACCAGGAAACACCATGGTTGCGCTGCATTCGGGTCGCCGACAGAAGCTGTCCAGCGAGATCCGTCGAAGGGCAACAGGAGGCCGGAGGCGAGAGGAGGGTTCTATGGGTTGGCTGTCATGTTGGGCCTGGTGCAAAAATCGTAACGAACAGATCTACATAACCACGGGTTCAATTTTAAACCTCGCTTCAATATGTTTATTAATCTCACCTCTGCCTAGAACACTGAGCGTTTGCGTAACGGAGCAGCAGAGTCCTCAGGTCATTATCCGATGGACTGGGCCGTGTAAGGTTTTGACGTAGGCTGTCCGACGTTCAAGGCATAATACAACCCATGTCTGTCGTGGGCGCTGTAATGAAAGTGTGTACAACGTCCACGACGGGGACGGCGGACACTGTGCGCGAAGCCATGAGACGAGCGAAAAGAGACGTTCGAACACAGAAGGCTGGAGCAACGAAGGAAACGTTATACACGACCGATCGATTCATGGTTTCAACGGCTACTATGCTTACTTACAGTAAGTAAGTAAGTTAAGTTTAGACAATGACGCCCCTCTTGAACGCTTCATCACACAACAACAAAATCCATTCGTTCATTAGTAAGTAACAAATATGCAGGATGAGAGATACAGATGCGTGCAAGTACGATACAGTATGACAGAGCGAGCAGAGCGGGATGGGAAACAAATCAGAAAGGTCACGACATATCTTCGTCTGAGTCCGATATGTACTCCCTACTTTTGCTAGAGCGAGGGCCCCGTCAGTGACTGCGCTGACACAAAAACGAACCACGGGAACGTACATCTGCTTTTTCCGAGGAGCGCCTGCGGGCTCATCTTCATCCTCGTCGTCCCGAACAACGCGTTTCTTCGATGGTCGCTGAGCAAGAGTCAGACATGCACCCCTCAGTACGACGAAGATAAGTCGTCACCTTCTTAGCAGGTTTTTCATCTTCGTCGCCGCTGAACAGAGCCGCATCCTCCCCGTCTTCCCCGCCAGCCGACTTCTTCAGCTTACCGGTCCGTCGCTTCTTGCGTGGTTCCGGAGCTAACCCTTCGTCACCGCTTCCAACTTCAGTCTTGACGCGCCGATTAGCTTTCTTCGCAGCTTTGCGTTCACGCTCTTCATCACTCTCCAATTTGATGTCCCGTGTCCATTCCAATGCCTGCTCACGCGCTTTCCGCCGTTCTTCTGCGAGTTGTTCCGCTTCGCGCTTGAGTTCTTCCACACGCGCACGCTGTTGTGGTTTCGTGAGCATACTGGTGAACGCCACTGAATTAAGGGGTTAACGTACCTCTAATGCTTCTTGCTGTTCCCTTTCTTGTTGACGCTTCTGCCGTGCAGCGTCAAGTTTTGCATGGGCCTCAGCTTCATGTTGTCGTTGGGTAGCCAGATGTTCATCGCATCGCCGGAGCATACTGTCTCCATACTTCCGCCGTTGATCGGCCATATCACGGCTGTAGGGTACCACTTGCGATTTGTCCGCGGCAAGAGACGCGAATAGCCTAGATTGAAGGACTTGAGAACACTTGCAATAGTAAGAAGCAAGAGGAGAACGTACTTCTGAGCGTGCGTTGCCTGCTGAATCGCCAGCTCGAGGTCCTTGAGGGAACGTTTCGTTGGCGCTATCGACAAAAGCATCTCTGCAGCCTTCTGTTGGATCATGGCGATGTTATAGAGGATCGCTTTGTCTGACGGATTCAGATGGTATGCCTGTGAGGTATGAGCACTCGATGACTTAGAGGCAAAAGGTGCAAAATTCCCACCTTCTGGGCATATTGCAGCGCGGTATTCATGACGGCAAATGACTGGTCGCGAGTCGCCTTGGCGTAGTACGACCTGCATAGGCACAACAGCACGGCAACGTTCTGACCGCTGTAATATCGCCTTGACGCCGCTTCGTACTAATGCAAGGATTTGAGTTGGCAACGGCCTGCATAGCGATACAACCATGTACTCACGCTCTCAATGGCACGGTCAAACTCATCTCGCGCATAGTAACAGTGCCCCATGTTGATGTATACACTCCCGTCATTCAACGACTCTCGCACCTTCGCGAACACATCCAACGCCTCCCGAGCGTTTTGCAGCCGTTTCATGCCCTCATCGTGGGCAGGAGGACCGAGAGCACCGCCTAGGGTACCCAAAGCATCCTCTGCAATGATGATGGCCAGACCCTGCGCCGCTACTGCAAGCGTCGAGTCTTTGCTTAGCGCCTTCTGATAAAAGTCAGCTGCCCGCTGGAAGCTGCGTTTCCGCTCCTCGATGCCTTTCGGCGAGGGGTCACGGCTCTCTCGGGCCTGGTAGTACTGGATCCAGGCAGCTGCACAGAGTGAGTACAAGTCGTGCCTGTCGTGATCCTTGAGAGTGGCGAAGACGAATTCCTTGGCTGGTTTCGGGAGGTTGGACTGGACGAGGAAGTATGTGTAGTATGCACGGAGGTTCAGGTTGTTGGGTTCTGAGGCGAGAGCTTGCTTGAGAAGGTCGTGGGCTTCGTTGTGCTTGTTGAGATCCGCCAGCATCTGCGCTTGTCGGATTTTCGCTGCACATTGTGCTTCAGGTAATGCAACTACGGCGCAGTCAAGCGACGTACCATCAACGTATTCTGGATGTCTATCCAGAAGTTTCTCATACGCATCCTTCGCCATGGATTCCTCGCCTTGCTCTTCGTACGTCCGCGCGAGGTTATACAGCGTCGTGGTTGACATGTCGTCAGCGGTCGCTGAGTCCAGCGTCGTTGCTTGAACGATGGCATTTTCGAACATTGACCGCGCAGACCCGAGGTTCCCATCAAGGTACTCGAGAACGGCGACGTTGTTGACAAGTTTAGAGTTCGGCTTGCTGGTGACCTCGCTTATCCGCAACGCCTCCTTCAGTGCTCGTTGCATACGTTCCAAATTGTCGTCCTGCCAAAGTCGCGCGATCTCGATGTGCATGTCTACATCCTCTGCAATCCTCCTTGACGACCGTCCCGTATGGTGTGGGTGATTGCCGTTCGTGGAATGCGTAAGAGAGTCCGGCAGGCCGAGGAGCTTGCTGACTTGGTCATACAGTTCTCGTGCCTTACCCTTCTCCGTGACGCCGATTCCAGGAATAGGATTCGCGCGAAGTGAGGCAAGCATTACCATGGCCTCGACCGGACGCTGACGCGAACTTTGCGCCTGCTGAAGGAAGGAATCCAACGTGTTAATAGCGGCAGCCAGTTCATCTATTGGACTGACGTGAGACAATGACAAGTGTGTAAGATTTCACGGACCATCCTTGACTTGCATCTGCGTCAGACCAATGTTCGCAAGCATGTTGGCTGGCTGGCCTTTCAAGGCGAGTTTGTAGTGTTTCCTGGCATCAGCCTTGTTTCCCATTGAATGGGAAACACGGCCTGCTCGAATGTACCCATCTGTCAGAATGGCCTTGACGTCCGTGAACTGGATCGCACGCTCTGCTAGTTTCAATGCCTGCGAAGTATTGTCGTCGTACCTACAGCGTTGGATGTATGCGTTTGCTTACCATCTTGTATTGCCCCTTTAGAAGGATCAATTCGCACAGCGCGTTGGCAGCAGCCGAGTTCCTCTGGTTAGCCTTGAAGGCCCTCTCGATGTAACGAGTGCCGGTAAGAAATGTCGTCTTCCGCTCTTCTTGTGTCTGAGTCTCGTCCTTACTCGCATTCAGAGCTTCCAGCCCGAGAAGAAGCGAAGCAGCGCCTCCGTTAGGATTCTATTTCCCACAAAGGTTCACTTCAATGCGCACTCAGACTATACGCGGATACTCACTACTTCTAAGCTTCGCTGCCAGGCTGCTTTAGCCTTCGCCTTGTAATCCATGGCCCATAGGCAGAGCCCAATACCAATGCGAGGATCCGGTTGGCAATTTGGACTTAGTCGAAGAACAGTCTGAAAGATCTTCAACGCCTGAGAATGCTCGCGTTGTGCATAGAGAATTTTTGCTTTCCCCAGGAGGGCGATGATGTTGTTCCCTTGGGGATCTTGGCTCAATACGCTGTTGAATGATCGGAGTGCGTCGTCCAAGGCACGCGTCCCCATCTGCATGACACCTTACAGATACGCGTCAACGACCATCCATCTGGAGCAGTACTTCCCGAACGCACCGCGTGTCAACATTGAGAGTGTACTGCCCAGCTTCCCTGATTCGGTGGCAATCCTCTCGCCCTGATTGAATATCTGCGCTGCGTCCCTGAAGTACTCTTCTCTCGGCTTCTCCGTCCTCATGTTGTCCTCGCCTAACAAGTTGTTGAACAAGTTGAGTTGTCAATCCACAACTGTGTATGGTTTGACATACGAGCGTCGTAAAGAATTAACTTAGGTGCTGAGCCGGCGCGTGCCATTTGAATATTTGCTAATAGGGAGAACAGTGGTGCGGAAGATGCCTGCGCCCCGTTGGCATGGAGAGCTACGGATTAAATATGAATACAAATGCGTAGGACAGGACAAGTATACACGCACACTTCTTGCCTGCTTGAGCAATCTGCTCTGCTGCACTCAAGTTCCCTTGACGCCAATATTCCACGGCAAGACGCGTCCATATTGACACCTTGCACTGTCCCTCTGTCAGCAGCTCCACGAGGTCTGAAGGATCTGGGTCCAGTTTGTCGAGTTCGATTGTTATAACTTCATGTTGGCCCAATTCGATGTCAATAGTACGCCCAGGTGCGGAAGGCGATGGTGAACGAGCCGGGTCGCCGTTCATTTCGAGCAGCCACCAAAAGCAAGAGCTTCAAGTCAGGGTACGGCGCAATGTTCAGTGGGTCTTCGAATGTCCAGGAGGTCGCAGGAGAGGTAGGCAACGACGATGTAGGCGAGCTGGTCAAGAGTTGGTGGCGAGGACCACAGGGCGCGCTTAATGAGCGCGTCACGAGCCACATCGGGGGGTTTCCCAAGATGAGCTCAAATTTGGGCATAACGTGAGAAATGCATGTTTGTTCAACTTTGGCAGTCGTCGTCGCCCGCCCGCCACCTCGCCGCCGCCGACGTCGCCGACGACGACGAACGAACTCTGTTTCCCGGATTCCGTGCTCTAGTCGCCTGCATCATCTTTGAGGTCTGACTGGGCCTGGCAAGCACCGACTACACCACCAAACCCGATCGGTGCGCTCTCCGCCGACTCTCGAGGTTACCGACGCTTGAGACGTTCCACGGCCGCGATTCCGCCTGGATCTTGTAGGATATGACTGTGACGCATCGTAAGAGACAATATCAGCCTGAAGAGATCCAGAGTATGTGTTTCTCTTTCATCCACGTCGTCGTACAGAACAACCATCTGGTTCTCACGCACTCTCTTACGTAAATTCACCCCCAGCTGTGAATGAGCCTGGTCTTCAAATTGAATGTGACGGCTGCGCTCGCGACCTCACTCATTCCATTCGCATAAAGTGCGCAGACCCCGTATGTGAAGTCGGGGATGGCGTCGACATCTGCCCGGCCTGCTTTTGTAGCGGCAAAGAATTCGCGCAACACAAACGGTGGCATGCGTACCGGGTGGTGGTAAGCACGCTCGATCGACCTAATCTCAATGTGGCCGGTGACAATCGTCTCTAGGAACTGCATTCTTACCCGATATTTTCCGAAGATTGGGGAGCAGATGAGTGAGTATTATTCTCGACCATTATGGCACGCCCTGAGCTAACAATAACTGCCCGAAGGGAGCTCTTGCTGTTGGAAGGCATCGCATTGCAAGGTCTTGGCAACTGGCAAGCAATAGCCGAACATGTGGGCACGAGGACGAAGGAAGAAGTGCAAGAACACTATCAATCCGTCTATATAGACTCGCCCGATTGGCCACTTCCTGTGCGCGTCTTTCTCCTTCGTCATACACCAGCATCCTCATCCCCCCTTATAGCGCATGGACCGCCACTTCGACGTCGACCCCGCCGACTTCCAGGAGCGCAAACGGCGCAGAATCTCGACCATGAACACCAACCCCCCGCCCGCCCCCAAGATCGCTCCGACGTCCGCCCCCAGCGTCCACGAAGTCGCCACATTCTTGCCTGGTCGACTCGAGTTTGAGCACGAGCTCGACAACGAAGCCGAAGACCTTGTGAAGGATCTCGAGTTCGGTATATGCCTGCAGTGGGGCGGGGATCAGATACCGGAGGACGAGAACGACCTCGACGTCAGGGCTCGAGCTCGATGGGAGGAAGAGCAGAAGGCCAAAGACACACCTGCCGGCAAGTACCTGCCCAACGGGTTGATGAATGGCCTCTTGAACGGCCACCACGCCAACGGCAGCAGCCCATCGCGGGGATCTCGAGGCCGGTCAGAGGACACGTCGAAGGCGGACGGCAACACGGAGGAGGGCGAGGGGGAAGAACAGACTCAGCCACCACCAATCGAGACACCTGACTCCATCGCCTTCAAGCTGTCGCTCATTGAGTCGTACAACCAGCGCATCGACAAGCGACTCGAGAACAAGTCATTCATGTATGACCGGGGACTGCTCAGCTACAAGCAGATGCAGGCGGCAGAGAAGAAGCGTCCAAAGGAGGAGAAAGACATCGTTCACCGATTGCGTCCATTCGCCCGGCTGCAGACCGCGCAAGATTTTGAGGACTTCTGCGCAGACATTCTCTGTAGGTGGCCTGCAAACTTTGGCGTCCTATGTTTGACTGATCCCCATGTTTGTAGATGAGTCTCTGCTGAGGAAGCGCATTGCCGAGCTGCAACACTACCGCAGAATGGGACTGACAACCGTCGCGGACATCGACAAGTACGAAGCGGACCTTGCGAAGAGGGTACGTGTCGCGCGGTTTCTATCGTCACCGCCACTGATCCCGCGGACAGACTCAGGCGAAGACGAGTCTCTCTCGGGATTATTACCCGGAGCGTCTGCCCCACCTACGTCCCGGCGGGCGCCAGTCATCTGTTTCCGATGCGCGCACGGACCGTGGGAAGAGCCACGAGCGCGAGTCCACACCCAACAAGCCAGGCGCATCGGCCCAGGGCACGTCCGGCACCGGTCCTCCAGGGCGGAAGATGCGTATGTCCCTCTCTCTCAGCTGTTGGCCGGAATTCATTCTGACCGACCTCGCCTTCTTTTCAGCTGCCCCTCTCAACCTCGCGAACAGCCCCCTCTTGCACCTGCTCACACCAGAAGAGCAGACGCTCTGCTCACAACTCCGCATATTTCCGAAGCCCTACCTCGTCATCAAGGAAACCCTGGTCCGCGAGTACGCACGGCGCGGAGGGAAGCTGCGTCGGCGAGAGGCACGCGACCTTGTCAAGATCGACGTCAACAAGACGAGTCGCGTCTGGGACTTCCTCGTCCAGGCAGGTTTCCTGCGCGTTGGTCCTGTCGACCCCGGACCGTCCGCTCATGGACAGGACACCACTCGCCCATCGGCGACGCCGTCTCTTAGTGCTTCGCCGAGCAAGGAATCGCAGATGCGACTTTCGCCCAGGCCGCCGCCGTTCACGACTACGCCTCTTGGTTCTTTCTCGTCTCTGGCTGGTCCATCGGGCAGTTGAGCGCAGGTCTCTCTGAAAATCATTGTTGTACTCTCATAGCTGTATTTGTGCGCCTCCGTATACCCAACCCTGCATCTGTACTTTACTACCATTGCAATGCATTAGAGTGTCCGTTGATTTACTCTTGTGGGCGTGGGTTTGGCTTGAGATTCGTCGGATCATTGCGCCAGCAGGTCTTCTACGATGTGTGGATCGATCGGTATGCCGGCATTTCGTAAGTAGGCATCGTTCCTGCGATGGCTGGTCAGTCATTGGATACATTTCGCCGTACTCGTCAACTTACCAGAACTGTGCATGGGGGCGTAGGTGTGGCGGTCCCTCAGCGATGACCAGCGAAAGTGTAAATGCAGCGGAACCTACCTTGGAGTAATGCCTGCTACCGGAATCGCACCTACTCAGTCGTTCAGCCTTCCGTCCCCTCAGTCGCTTGATGACCACTCACAGGATGGTCACGATCCGCTGGCCCTCACTCCAGCCCATCTTCTTCGCGAGCTTCACGCACGTCACCAGGTTGCACGCGCTGCTCGAGCCGAGGAACAGCCCGTCGTGCTGCACGAGGTAGCGCGCCATGCTGACGGCCTCGGCGTCCGTTATCCGGAAGGCGTCGCCGATGATGGGCAGTGCGAGGTCGAAATTCTTGGTGAGCCGGTTGATCCCTCTGCGAAATGGGACATATTCGTGAGTACCGCCTTATGTGAATAGTGACACAAGCGTCGTACATTCCCTCGACGACGGTATCGACTTGGTGACGACGTTTCGTGCCCTCGGCCTCTCTGCGATCGAACATCACACCGTGCTTGATCTATGAATACGATGAGACTGATGAGGGCGAGATTCAGAGGGGGCTATCATTCAAACCTTGTTGTACAGCCCGCTGCCCTCCGGATCAGCGAGGACTACCAGGACGTCCTCATCCATGGACTTCAGGAACTGTCCGGTGCCTGCTATCGTGCCGCCCGTGCCTGAGTGCCAGTCAGCTTCGAGTTCAAGTCAGTTGTGATAAACACACCTGCGCCAGAGACGAACGCATCGACACGGCCGTTAGTCTGCCTCCAGATCTCCGGGCCCGTGCCGTCAAAGTGTGCCTCGTAGTTGCTCCTGTTCTATTTGTCGGCGCTGCGAGATGAGTTGGGCCCGCTTCTTGAACTGCATATCCGACGTACTTCGAACTGGTCCGCAAAGAACCCGCGAGGCTTCGCCCGCAGCTCTTCCTCTTGCCTTGGGGACATGACAGCCTCTTCCTCGCCCAGTGCGTCTGTAGCCGCGGTCGACACGATTACAGACGAACTAGGGGTAGGCAGTAAGTGACCACGCGGCACGTGGAGGCCGGCGGAGGGTTCATCCTCAAGACCGAAGGCTTTGGCACGGTCGCGGGCGAGGTTCTACCGAATAAGAGGAAGTGGACTTCTGAGAATAGGACACTTGCAAAGTGTTGGTTTGGTGCTCACTACAAACTGGGTACGATACTCCTCATTAGCGGATCAGCAGTGAGGGAAAGGCTGGATGGTGTACCTGTTTCTTGTCGACGATGCTCGCGGGTCGCACACGCTCTACTTCGGCGCCTAGGGCCAACAGGGCTTGTACCTTCTCCTGTGCAACGTCGTCAGGCATAATGATGGCTGAAGATAGGGTGTCCGTGTGTTAGCTTTGCGTCAGTCGAGTATCAGGTTCCGTACTTGCTTCATATCCTCTGTGCGCACATGCACTGTTAGAACCTTGTAATCGCAGAGATAATTATCCGTACCTGGCCTTAGCAACTGTGGCTATAGATATCCCAGTCGAGCCAACAGTTCCCTCGAAGATGCGTGAGCCTGTATGCTGATGCAAGAGTCCTTGACGCTCGGCGTCGTCGATCACTGCCATAACACGGAAGAGTCAGTCGCGTCTCCTTTGCTACGTGTGCGCGTACCCACTTCGCAGCGCGACGCGGTCTTTGACGCTTCCACCAGGATTAAGGAACTGGGTATGCGGTCATGGTTCAGCCCTCGCGTAAGGGTCGCGCGAACGTACCGACCTCTGCCTTGCCGAGTATCTCTACGCCGAGTGCATCGCTGAGCGAATTTATACGCAGCAAGGGCGTGTTTCCTGACAAGGAGTAAACGATCCGACTTTGTCCTTCCAAAGGAGACTGACCTATGAGCCCTGTTACCCCGCTGATGATCTCGTCGCTTCTGAGCTCAATCGGCCGCGCTTTAAATCGCTTTGAGACGCGCTCTCGCTTCCGCTCCTGATACCACAGAGCAATGGAGGTCGAGGTGAGTGATAGCGAGAAGCCAATGATAACTCCATAGAAGATATGGCGGGCGGTTGAACGTGGAGGCAAGTGTAGCCAGGAGGGTAGCTTGGACGCTGCCCAGCTTAGAACCATGCCCAGAAAGGCTCAGATAAGTGACGGCTTGGGGCTGGTTCTTCACAGCGAGACTAGGATATGAAGCCTTCTCATGATGGTCGATAACAGTCTTGGTGCGCAGAGAGAAGATATATTCGCGTCGCGTACAAACGAGGCTGCAAGATACGAAACGACGTCATTAGACGAGCATGCCATTGGCTGGACACGGGGTTAGGGTTAGGAGGACGCAGAGGCAAAGAAAAAGGCCTGCCCAGCCCGAGGGCCGGAACAGGACAGGGAAATATTGAGACGATGCATGAGCCGAAGCCCATACAAACCGCAGGCATCCCCTGAGGACATGGTCGCCGTGCTATGAGAGACCCCTACGGCCAACGCCCCCGGGACATGAAGGGGAACGTTCCATCAAGGTAAGTATGAGTTGTTACCGTGTCGGGCGCGGGCTCTTATACCCTGCGGGTACCGCGCACGGACCACTCCCAAATATTCAGTCACATGCGCGCGTTGTCCGTTACGCGACAGGGCGCCTGTGCGGCGATTGTCGTGCCACCGCCGCGTCTCGCGATCCAGCCAGCCCGAATCCCAGAGCGGAATGTCCCTCCCATCTGCCACTGTCTATCGCAGCATATGCACCGCCCACGCTGGAGCCTCCCGATGTCCACTTCGTCAAATGGTAGCATATCACCACTCCGGTCCAGGAATTGCGTGACCTGCTGAGGCAGCCATGTCTAACGCGCTGATAAACAACCCAGCTCGTCAAGTCCCCCTCCTTGATCCCAACCCCCAGGCCCTTCCTCCGAGGCAGCGTCAGAACCTTCATCTACATGCCGGAATCTGACCCGATCAAGAAGACGTTCTTGTCTTCGCCCAAGTACGCCGTCGTGGGCGCGTCAAAGGACGAGGGGAAGTTCGGTACGAAGGTAGGTTGCGTTTCAGCTCTGTTCTCGTCCGGGTGCATGAACGATTGGACAGGTGCTCCGGTGGTATCTTGCGCGAGACAAGGAAGTCACGCCCGTTCACCCCGTACGTTTACTCTTCACCCGTCGTCGCGCTGCGGGCTGACATGAGTATGTCATGCAGAAAGAGGATGAGCTCGCGGGCGTGACCGCGATCCGCACTTTGGCCGATCTCCCAGACCCAACCCACACCTCCGTCAGCATCATCACAAACCCAAAGGTAAGATATCATCTTATGCATCGCAATATCTGCCGCTCATACTTGTTCCAAAGATCACTCTCGGTCTCTTGGAGCAGGCCAAGACTCTTAACATCCCGCCGTATGGCTGCAACCCGGAGCCGAGAACGAGAGGTCGTCTCGTATATTAAGGAAACGGTCTGGAGACAAGGCTATATATGGTGGTCCATGTGTCCTGGTGGAGGGTGATACGATCCTCAAGAGCCTGCTCTGAGCAGAGTTGTTGACAGTGACGTATCGTGTGCGTGTTCGATTACGGAAGTTTTGAATGATAAACGTGTACTATACGACCGAATGTGGTTCGACAGCTCTGAATTACACGAAGGGGTACTGGACTTGAGAAGTCAGTTGTAGCACGTTTTGAGGTGGTCCGTGCATATATCTTGGCGTGATTTTGAAGACTGCCTACCTCGTGCTGTTTGGAAAGTATCCGTCACTGGATTGCGCATGGAAATGACCAGTTTTATAAGTACCATGTATACTACACAATTTGCGGACAGGAAGCACAGAATCGCGAAGCCTAGTTGTGCAGTGCGTTGAGACACCGTTCTACAGCAATACGTCCTGGTATATCGGGTGTACGGACAAGTCCATAGAGAGCAAAATAAGATACGTTATGCTATACGACAACTCAAAAACAACCAAGCACAGCAGATCATGGTGAATATAGTGTACCGCATCTAAGGGGACTCTTCATGCCCGGAGAGCAAGCGCATCGCAAGCTCGAACCCAAGGAACGTCGCGCCATTCGCGAAGGGTGACCTGCGACGACCGGTATGAGCGCCTTACAGTACCAGGAAGAGACTGGTCGATACGCACCGGATGAGGGTAGGCCCTAGTCCACGCATGAACGCACTAATGCCCTCCGTCCGCCAGATTGTCCGCACGCAGTCGAGCGTCGACTTGTATTTTTGGCCCTCCGCAGGGGAGAACCCGTCTGTCTGCATCCGAGACTTGATCATGTCTATAGGGTATATGACTGCCCAGAGCTACCCCCACGTGTCAGCATCCACTTCAGCCCGTGTCACGGAGGGCTCACCGCGTAGCCAGCAGCGGCTCCGAACAGCACGGCATTGGCGGGGTTGACCTGGTCCCGCCGGATGCCTTTTCGCGTCATCTCGTGCTGCATGAGCTTTTCGTAGGCGAGGAAGTAGATGCCGTAGCCGAGCGACTCGCGCCAGAGCGTCACCCCCTGGCCCTTGTATATCCCCGCGATACCATGCGAGAGTAGATTTTCTTGATCGCGTCCCAGGGGCCGCTATATGTTGGGCTTTTTGCGGACTGAGTTTGGAGACCTACGACACCATGTGCACGTTATTCTACGTCCGTTGTGGACACTTTTTTTTTGAAAACTCACGTATACGGATGTGCTCGACCGGCCCCGACACCACGCCGTTCGCAACCCCCGCGAATATGCCCGAAGCCACAAGCTGTGGGCCCGTCAGCATGAAGCCCGTCGGCCCGCCCTTCCCCTCCTCGAGGTTCCTCCGCGCGAAGAACCGCTTCGAGTACTCCAGCGCACCGAACTGGATCGAGACGCAGACACCGATACCCAACAGCGGTGTGAGGGTGCCCTGCAGCCGCGACCTGACCTTCAGCATCGCCAGACGGTGAGAGCAGAAGACGATGACGCACCTTGTAGAAGGCGAGGGGCCCCTCGTTTTTCAGGATCCCTCCGGCGCAGTGCAGCATGCCGCTGTAGGTCCCCTTCGGGGCCGTTTGCATGCGCTGTGTGGGAGGTCATGTTGGGCGGTAGCTTCGATACCGAATATATCTTGCCCACGTACCACTTTGACGATGTCAAACGGCTGGCCCACGAGCACCTATGTCGCCATATGTGAGACCCCTCACACGATCTACTGCCCGAAGCGCACTGCCCACCTGCGCGACGCCGCCTGCAGTCCCTGCAGTCAGGTCGATGATGGTCTTCGACATCTTGAGGCTCTCAGCTGTGACTCGCGGCCAGGAGACGGAGAGGGTCGAAGAACAGACTGCGCGGTCTGAAACGACTGCACTGCAGGTCGCACAGGCTCTGACTGGGAAGAAGATGCGCGACATTTAGGCGATTGACCAATCAGAGCCGCGCGATGCGAAATCACCCGCCTTCGCGCTTCGCGATAAGATTAGATGGCGCACCCGACCCGCCGTACGGCCCGTACCGAGCACACTACTGTTACAGTCGCAAGATGCAAGTCCGTCGATAACATAACCTATGGCACAGCGAATAGCGAATAATTACAGTCCCATCGTCTATGGCGCCGCAAAGCGTGCAAGCCTCTCCTCTCCCGACGTGGACCGTGGAGTAGCGGAATAAATATACGGTTTCGTGTCGGTGCCCTCATAGCTTCACCCCCACTGGTGTTTTCGTCGTTGACCATCTCGCGGGTGATATGTACTGCTGCTTCGCGCGCAGGTCCGCCAGCCGCCACTGCCGTTGGCTCTCTGGTGTTTCTCTCTTCCATGCCTCAGCGATGGCTTGTGCGGGCGTGAGATAGCGGCATGGCGTCGCGGGCGACGAATTAGTGGTCTGGCGGCAGGAACGCGGACGAGAGTCGGAAGGCATCTACACAGCGCATCAGACGACCGCGACGGCGAGAGTCCGGACGGAACGTACGAGGGTCGTGAGGGGCTCATTAATGGAGGCTCCCTGGGGAACAAGGTTGTGGTTTATATAAGACGGTGCTTTGAGTTCCGCTGCATCGCGGAGATCGCATGACTTCTACTTGCGGCAGGAGACATCTGCGCGACGGGATACCGGCCACGGAGGCACATAGAGATTGCCGTAACGAGACCGCCTCAGACAGGGTCGAAGACGCGTTGCGCGGCCCGAAAAGGAAAGGTGAAAGAACTCGGGATGCACAGGCAAGACTTACTCCGAGAGAACCGTGGCGTTGGGCGAGGACCGAGGCAGATGGAGCGCGGGGAGTACGCCTGGCAGCATATGGAAATGGAAGGTGTCGCCCACAAAGGGATGTACAAAGAGGGATGCGGTGGCGGATAATAGCTCGTGGCACACGCCGACTCACCTTGCACACCAACGTGTCAGGCGGGTGAATAGGCATGCGGCTCTGGCGGCCGGGCGAGACGGCCTGCATTTGGCGGACAATGCGGGTGAAGACGAGATTGGGGGCATTGACTCCGTGAGACGGCGGCAAATCTCATGTTACAAGCTCAAGCAAGCGACGCAGGAGATCAGCGCAGTTCCCTTCAGCAACCGTTCCCAAGCCAGAGTCATAACTCGCCAAAGAAGTTAGGTACAGTAGATGCGGTCAATGTTTCAGGGCCAGAATACCAATGGCCGCATCTGCACCACCACAGCATGTGCAACACGCTGCTCGTGCGCGCCAGATTTCGCACGTCGCCCAGTACGATGAGAACTGCCTTCCGTGAAATGAGATAGGACCTGAGCGAGACGCTGCACCCGGTAGGTTTTGCTCGTAATTTCTCGCCAACATCAATTACAGGAGGAGGGTCGCATCGCCATCGGAGACTAGCTGGCAGAGAAGTTGTTACACGCAGCACCAGCGAGGAGCGTAGGGAGCCTGGCGTATGTCGTATATACATTCTGCTGCCGACCACGACGTAGCCCGGTCCTAGAGAGGGTATCTCCTGACCAAACGAGACGCCTGCGATGTGGCCGGAGGAGGCGTGTTGATGAGTGCGACCGTGGCAGAATTCAGTTCGGACTCTGGTTTGGGCGAGTGAGTAAGCCATGCTGGACGGTGAGAACATTGGTAACGCCATCTCCCGACCCCAGACGCCATGTAGCGCCGCCGCCCCCTCGTTGTCCGTACCGTCCACCAGCAGTCCAGAGGTCGTATCAAGGAGAAGCACTCGTGGCAGATGCCTGAATCGTGAGCAGCAACCGTGAGATCACTGAACCTTCCTGCACGTTTTCATAACGAACCACAGCTATGTCAACTTCATGGGCGGATCGCCCTTGAATCGCCTATCATGGCTGCGCACCTCGCACGCCTTCCTGAACGCCGTTGTGCTCTCGCCCACGACAAGATGGATCGTGCTCAAGGACGGTCAGCCTCTCCTGGTACAGCACAGCGGCGCCGAGAAGCGATCGCTCGCTCGCTTAAGCACCGCGGACGTCAGGTCTCTCTTGGGCTCGGAGCCATTCTTTGCGCAAGGCAAACTTGAGGGCGAAAATGCGCCGGATGATGTGGCCATCCTCGAGGCAGCCCGATTCCACGGGCCTACCGTGGTCTTTTTGGGCTTGCACGAGCCCCAGACCGGCGAAGCGGACGCCTTGCCGTCGTCTGAATTCAGCGCGAAGAGTTCAGACCCCGCAAAGGTTGTCGCCAACATCAAGGGCACCCCCGTCTTCTCCTTGGACGTCAGCAAGATACCCCAAGAGGTCCTGGATGACGTGTTCCAGAAGTCGGAGGCCGTGAAGTCCGGGGCTGCGTTTTCATTCTCTGAGCCGCGCGTAGCGATGAATGGTTTGGACATGTTCGAGGCGGCTATCTTTGCGGAAGCCAGGAGCATGGTGGATTGGAATACACGCAACAAGGTTCGCTTCTGAGTGCTATCGTAAAGGATGTGTCCACAAAGTTGACATGATCCGTAGTTCTGTCCGTCGTGCGGATCGCCTGTATACTCGCTCTGGGCCGGATGGAAGTTGACTTGCTCATCTCTCCTTCCCTGGGCCGAGAACGCGGGGAAGGAGCCATGCCCGACTGCGTACGTGATCGGTGCCTTGATGAACGCCGAAATGTATTGAATTCCTTTCGTCTGCTTTAGGCGGGGTCTACATAATTTCGCGCACCCTAGAACGGATGCTGTCGTCATTATGGCTATTATAGACGAGTCCGGGGACAAACTTTTGCTTGGCCGGAACGTGAGTGTATAACTCGTGCGCCTCATATCCGCATCCAGCTCATGATACGCGTGGCAGAAAAAATGGCCAGGCAAATTCTATTCGGCTCTGGCTGGCTTCATCGAGCCAGGAGAATCGTTCGAAGACGCCGTCAAGCGTGAGATATGGGAGGAAGCAGGCGTGCGTGTTTGGGATGTACAGTACCACTCTACACAGCCGTGGGTGCGTTTGTCTCGTGTACGCTTGTGGTACTTTCACTCAGCCGACTGCGTCGCGCAGCCCTACCCAGCCAACCTCATGGTTGGTTTCTACGCGACGGCTGATTCCTCCGCCCCACTGCGGACGGACCTGGACAACGAGCTGGATGGTGAGCTGATGTCGCGACACTAGCTATGGTCAATGACTGACTTCGCCTCTCCCCGTCTTCGTTCAGACGCAAGGTGGTATACTCGCGAAGAGATCCTTGCTGTCTTGAGCCATGCGGAAGGCACAAACATAACGCGCAGTGACCATCGCAAGCTTGCTGCATCGCAGGAGGAGAAAGGCCCCGCGACCAGTACCGCGAATGCCCTCGCGGGCGACGCCGTCACGGAAGAAGAGAAGAAGGCAAAGGCAGCGGAGGGACCGTCTGAAGTGCCATTCAGAGTGCCTCCGTCGACTGCGATTGCTGGTGTACTCATTGGCGAGTGGGCATATGGACGCGCAGGACCTCAGCCAGGGCGTCAGGGTCAGACGAAACTCTGAGACGAACCATTGGATAGGATGGAAGCATAATGTTGTAGTGATCACCAATAGACGCGAATGCCATAATTTGTACAATGAATCTGTCAACCTCAATGGATCGGCGAGTGTCGGGACTCGGGCATAGCGGGCCCGGGTAACTTTGAGGACGTCAACACCGTAGATGACCGTAATCAGGAAGTCAGCTGCCTTCCTGGGTATTTTTGAACATTGACTTGATCGTGATCGGCGGGAACCAGACGCCTACTGGTTCCACCACCACTACATACATAGATGTTCTCGCGGTTGTAGGTGGTTCGTTCTTCGTTTTCTTACCCCGCACTCAGTGGGCCCCAGCAGGTTTTCACAGCGTCTCCGGAGCTGTGGTAAAACGATGATGAGTTCACAGCTGACACGTTTGCAACGCGCTAGGCTGTCGTCGCTCCCATTGCGGTCTGCGACTAGCAACGCTCTCATACCCAGACTATCCCGGAGGTGAGTGACCCACAATTCACGTCCCAAGAGTATTGACAGATGCCAGTTGGGTGTACTACAGCCATAGTAACTTCTTCGGCGGAGCGCCCTTGAACCGTCTGTCATGGCTGCGACAGCAGCAGTCGTTCTTGAACAACCTCGTACCATTACCGGAGACGCAATGGCTCGTCTTCCACGATGGACGACCGCTCGTCTCAACGGAGCGGGGCTCGAAAGCGCCAGCGCTCGCACGGCTGTCAACGGCCGACGTGCGATCCCTACTAGGACCGGAGCCATTTTTTGGTCAAGGACAGACTGTCGGCGGCCAGGCCGCAGCGAGCGACGTTGTCGCGTTGGAAGGGGCACGACTACGCGGACCTCCCATCGTCTTTCTGGGACTGCAGGAGCCACCTTCGAGCGAGAGACGTGCGCTGCCTTCGTCGGAATTCATTGCGAAGGGTGAATCTGGCCTTACGGACGTGTTCGCGAACATTGAGGGTTCAGCGTATTTCTCCTTGAATGTCACCGACATTGATCAGCACACGCTGGATGCAGCACTTCAGAATTCGGCCGCTGGGAAGAGAGGAGCACAGTTGGCCTTCGTCGACCCCCGATCTGCTATGGGGGCCCTTGACTATACCAGCGCGAATATCTTTGCAATGGCTCGCTCTATGCATGATTGGAATTCGCGCAACAAGGTATATGATGTGCGTTGTCGTAGGGGTCCAGTGAGTAACGGAACTTTGCCATAGTATTGCCCGTCTTGCGGCTCTCCATCCTACTCCCAGTGGGCGGGATGGAAGCTGGGGTGCTCGAGTCTTCTTCCCTGGGCTCAACAGACCGAAGGAAAGAAGCCTTGTGTCACAGCGTCCGTATTCCATCTATGACTTGCAGCACAGTTCCATTGAAGCAGCAAAACCAGACAGGGACTTCATAACTTCAGCCACCCTCGAACGGACATGGTAGTCATCGCGGCTACCGTCGATCCCGAGAGGGAAAAGATCCTGCTCGGACGCAACGTGAGACTTCCCTGGTCCATATTGCCATGTTCTTGTCACATTTTTGATCGTGCAGAAACGCTTCCCGCCGGGTTTGTGGTCCGTGTTGTCGGGATTCATCGAGCCAGGGGAATCGCTCGAAGATGCTGTCAAGCGCGAAACGTGGGAGGAGGCCGGACTAGAAGTGCAGGACGTGCAATATCATTCCTCACAACCATGGGTTCGTACGCCAACTTTGAAGCATCTCCCCCGCTCACTTCGAATGAACCACGGCAGCCGTACCCCGCAACATTGATGGCTGGTCTTTACGCCGTTGCCGACTCGTCCAAACCGACGAGAACCGACCTGGACAACGAGTTAGAAGGTCAGCGCGCTCAGAAACTTTGAGAAGTCGCTCAATGCTGATGTTTGTCTGTGTACAGACGTACGTTGGTACTCCCGGGAGTACATCTTGAACATATTGGAGAAGTATGGAGCAACACATCCGAGCATGGAGAGAGAACGATCGCCCGACGCACCAATGAGCTTTCCGGACACAAATGCCATCGGGGGCGTTCTCATCAGCGAGTGGGCGTATGGTAAGGCAGGACCTGGTGCAAAGAACAGTGAGTAGACACAGAAGGACGGAAGACACCAGTGTCCACTGTACAGGACGGGTGAAACCAGCTGTGCGCCACTGTCGCGGGACTCGACTTGCTTGCTGACAGCATCAGCACACTGGTGGACTCGGCGGCGAGAATGAAAAGCATTTTCAGTAACGATGACGGGTGCCGGTGATCTATAACAACGCCTTGTCAATGTTTCGCAGCAAGTAGGCTCCTGTCGAGTCGCCGAGCTTCCGTTCTTGTCAAAATCTTGTCCAAGTCCGAGTCGTGCATAAGAAGCTCTGCTGAGATTTCCGCCTTCCTAAGCCCCTGTTCAAGTTTGCACAAGCTTGAAGCTCTGTCATGCGTCGCTGAACGGTGCGCAGCTTGTAGTCCGGAGTACAAGTTGAACATAATACAGCACGTTCGAAGTGGAGGTTCGAGCTGGCCACTCGGCGCAATTGAAGCTTGAAGGCGGCGCTTCAGCCACAATGTGAGTGGCGTTATTGAACGCTACAAAGTAACTAGTCTGAACTGAGTTGGAATACAAATTCAGTATAGTGATAAGTAGGCGCATCAATAAACTCAATACACGTCGTTAATAGATTCATTACACGTCAATCAGGCAATCACCGACACCTCGTTCGAGTCTCTCACCATCTTGCCCTCGTTCATATCGGCCGTCCAATGACACCCCTGTGCGCTGCCTGCGAGTCACTTCCTGAGGATTCTATATCGCCCGTAACCGTGTCCACCAAGGGTCGATTGATCTCACCATAATCCCAACACTGCGGCCTCAGGCCTCAAGCTTCAAGGCATGTTTCTTCTGTGGATACAGGTGAGGTTGCTCGATTGCATAGGCTGGGAATGAAGTTTGCAGAATACAGATATCACAGCCGTTAGCTATGGCCCGCAAATCAGACCCAAGGATGACTGCAAGAGCACAGAACTCCCCTTTCCTATTCTTTTGGTCGTTGGATCGCGATTACCTCTGACGTGCACACACTCCTAACGAGCATTATACGGCATCCGCTCACCAGCCATGACCAATGCAGACCCAGTTTGTCGACAACTCACACCATCAACTGCATGGACGCAGGGATACGGAGACGTCATTTGTCGGGCTCCTTCGTCGGGACGCCTGGACCATGGCGAGGAGCGCAGTTGTCTGAACTTCTCCCATCGGATGCCGTCAAAGTGGTCTCACGTTATGGAAGTCGCATTTTGTCTTGCCCTGCAATTCGTCTCTTCAAAGCGCCACTTTTCACCTTGCAGGATAAACAGCTTTCTTCGGAGCTGTTAGAGGTTTGCAGAAAGGGTAGTCGATCCAGTCACCTTCGCGCAGGGGACCATCGCGAGCGGAATGACTGTATCTGCATCGCAATCGCATTCGCATTCGCTGGCCGCTATGGTGTAGCGAACCGTAGGACAGCGTCGTGGATGAGGCTTTCAGCCGTCACAGAGGAGGCGTTGGAATCGTCCGATCCGAAGCGATGGCGATTCACACTGCTCGGTGCACCTTGCCACGTCGTGAGTAATCTTGCTATCTGCATTCACTGACCACTCACCATGTTTTACAGGGTGTTCTGCGAGATCCCTCCGACGGTATTACCGGTGCCGAAAACGTCGATGCTTCACTTCGTGTAGCACTACCTTCGGCATATTCCCCAGCTCTACGGAGCGCGCTCTTGGTCTCGTCCAGGCCAGCGTCACATATCACGCAATGCACCATAGTGCGGTTAGTGCGGTACCGCGAAGACGGCCACATAACGGGAGTCGTGATTGTTCGTCTGTAACTGGTCTCGGAAGACGCCTGAGGTGAGAACAAGACCATTCATTGTCGTACGCAGTCACTCACCAAGCAACAGCTGCAGACAATACATCCTTTAATATGCTGTAGACGCCAACCGTCGCTCTGGAGTTTCTCATCTGTGAACGAGAACGGCGGAGAGTTGGCCATGTCAATCTTGGGGCATGTACACGACGCGAAGCGTTTGGCTCAGCACCCGCAACACTAAGGGACGCAAATCATCAATGATATTGACAGGAGTCATACAGTGCACCTTGTCGTAGACCGGGATGCGTTGCGCAGGCGAGCATAGGCGCAAACGTTCTGCGGTCATACCCATGGGAGTGGCGTACTTTCCGTCGCGACGCACTCAACCCCACTTGCCTTTACGAGCACCATATTAAGAGTGACACCTTGTCGCACGAGTGTACGTCAGTATCGCACGGCGTAGCAGTTGGAGGGTGGACGGCGGGTGGTTGAGTACGCCACATTCTCGAAGTCCTCGTTCGAGATCGCGTCGCATGTGGTAAGTGAGAGCGAGTACATGGCGCGCTGAGCAAGCTGATCATTGAATATCAAGGTCTCCGGAGCGTCAACGGGTACTCAATTTCGAAGACTAGACGCGGTCATGGGGCCAGAACAAGGAGGTATAAGTCGAGTTCAAGCAGGGTGGCGACCTTATGTATTGGGCGCTTACGCGATTGTGGCTAACGAGCAAATGGACGGCTTGGCGTAGTTGGGGTCAAAGAGGATCAAAGCCGTACAGGGATCGTGGGCATATAAAACGAAGGCGCACATAGCAATGTGAGCTACGCTAACACTCTACAGGTCTCGCTGCCTGCGGTTGCCGTAATTCCGGTGAACCATCGCTAACCATCGCTTGTCGTGTACCGACTTCGCCTGGAAGTCCACGATGTCGAAGCCTCGTCTGGACCAGGACCGTAACCCCCATCCGCCATCTTACGACTCGCCAAATAGGCTCTGCAGTCTGGGCAAGACAATGTCTAGTCCTTCGTCGCTGGACCAGAACTCGGACTCGTCACGCTCAAGACATATTCTCCCCGCGAATATGCCACTGACGGGCATAACAAGAGCTCGGACATACCTAGATGGCTTTGGGGCATCTCGTGCCGAGAGCCGCCTCTAGTAATGGACTGAAGCATGTGTAAGCACGGATTTCGATACGCACAATGCGTCCCTTCTACTCACCGGCTCCTCCATTTTGACAGCTGTCGGCTGGGTAGCATTCGGCATACTTGGTAATCCCATCGAGGGACTTCGTCGACATCGGAAGCGAGAGAAATATCCTCCGTTTCGCAGCGGTTGGACACGGAATTGTCGGTGGCGCACCGGGACAACGTCCGAATGTGGTGCGACATTGTGATCTGTGCCAAGGAACACGATCAGTAAGACCATCTTGCGCGTAGCGTACTGTAAAGACTGCAAGGCAGTGAATGCAGGATACTATCGACGTTGACGAAGGTAGAGAAGATGAAGGTGTGTGACGTGGGTCTCGAACTTGCGCACTGTGCTCACGTGAATACCAGGCAAGGATGCCACCGCACCCGACAAATCGTACTCTTAGAACATCGAGGGACAGAGAACAGCGTTGCTGATAGATACACCACTTCAGATACTATACAGGTAACAAGACGCAAACCAGAACTTTGTATCCGACACGAACGAACTGCTGATGCAGCGCCTTGTCAGATCTTCGCGACGTCGCATCGGAATCGATCCTCCCCTTCTACTCCTCGATCTCCTCGCATGCCACATGGCCGTTGTTGGACGACGCCTTCGAAGCATCATCGTCCAAATCAACCAGCCCGCCCAATCCAGCCAGCCCTGGCATGATGTCGTCGAGGGCAGACAGGTCGCCGGAAGACGAGTAACCGGAGTCACTTCCGGAATCGTCGTGCTCCGCAGGCAAGAGCAGCAACCCCGGCGTAGCACCGGGCCACTGCTCTTCAAGCAGCACGGGTTCCATGGGGGCTGGACCCTGGCGTTCTGGGCCGCCAACCACTGCTCCTCTCGTATCCTAAAGCCTTCCTCCCGTACCCAATGCCTCGTCAGGTAGTCGTCGGTCCGCGTCACAGGCTCGAGTCGGAGATGTCTGTAGGCGCCGATGGCGGCGTCCCAAACGTTACTATTGAATGCGCCATCATCGCAGTGCAGTGACACTGGCCGGTCGCTACGGAGAGCCATTGGAGGTCCCCTTTCCAGGCCTCCCGCCCACGCTGGGTCTTCGGTGGGATTTAGCCTGAACGGCTCGAGAGGGCGGGTGTCGGGGCTGGCTGCATCGCCCAATCCAACGCGGGCTGTGTCGATCCACACCGGATTCAAAATCGTTCCGGACTGGAAGGCCGGCTGGGAAGGCAGGTGCCGAGCGGCATTCATTCCAAAAAACTGGTACTGCCTACCGACATGCAGAGGAGGAACGTTCTGCGGCACATTGCGCGTGAGTGCAGATTCATTTACGATTCCGGTTGCCAACGACTTACTTCCTTGTCGGCATCGTGGCTCTCGGCTGTCGTAATTGTTTCTGGACTCCAGGAGCTCGCATCCGAGGTCCTAGGGGCTGATCGACAATGCGGTGTCCCTCCGCATGGGGCCAAGGTATGCCGAAAGGGTAGGCAGGGAGGCCTCGTCGAGGGAGGGTAGGCCTGGAGGACGAGCAGGAGCCGGCAGGCCTGGGGCCGAGTCGGTATGCCCTGGGGTCGAGCCGGCAGGCCGGGAGGATATGCAGGTCGGGCTGCACGAGGAGAGGGTAGGCCAGGGGGCGGGATGGTATACTCGGCGAACGAGCAGGTAGGCCCGGGCGGCGAGCAGGTAGGCCTGGCGGATATGCAGGCGGGCCTTCGCGAGAAGGTGGGTCAGGGGAACGTGCGGGCAGATCGCGAGGGTGGTTAGACGTATGCGCGACTTCGACGTTCTCGCCCAATCCCGCGCCAGAATACGGGGTGGCCGTGTTCTGAGTGGCGTTGGGTGGGTGTGTAGTTTCGCACTGGGGACTCGTCATTGTTGGGTGTTTTATACTGATAGTATGAGCACAGGACTCGGGTTAGTCGTACGCTGTACGACGCAGAAGACGGGACGACGGAGATGCAGGGAGATGCACGTTGAGGTGCGAAGACAGAAGGCGAACACGACTGTGGCTCGTCCTTTGTGTCCGGGCGCCTATCACCGCTCGCGAAATGCCGGTAGACTGGCGATAATCTGCAGCAATGCAGCCTGGAGCGGCATTTTCACTAAGATATTCATCTTTTTGGCCATGTGTTCACGTCCTGGTGAACGACCGGCTTAGATGCTTCTGTGCATGTTCTCGACCCGCCGCCTACATATCCTACAGTACAGTTTGTTGGATTCTGTGTACACGTACATCACTATCTCTAGCCGCCTCCGGAATTACCAGCCTAAGCCTTCGTCCAATATTGCGACACCTATCTCAGACAATCCCCATCGAACTCGCGAACGCCTGAGGTGATCCCGCTCAACTCACCGGGCACTAGAGGCCCAGGTGCATCAACATCACCTCTACTCTAGTCGATGTGCCGCTGGCCGACGAAGAAAGAAGTAGAGCTCCCTTAGCGCGAGCGCGCTCGGGGTGTGCGCGCGACGCTATGGATAGTTTGACTCCGCGCTCAGCTCGCTCTTGCGGCGGAGCTCATCGCATGCTGAAGTCGGCTTACAGTACCATTCATCGAAGTGATCACGCTGCGTGAGAGGTATCCTCATGCGCTCACTTGCACGCTCAACGGCGTCGACGTAGGGAAAGTCGCGGATGGTGAGTACTACACCATTCTTCGCCCCTTGAGTCGGCGTATGGCACGGCGATGTGGCGGTGGCGTCCAAGCTTTTCGCTCCGGCCAGGTCAACCTGAAATGGCAGCTGATGGTGGACAACGACAGTGAGTACACAATCAATTATAACTGACGATGTTTGTTTGGCTTACCTTCTGAGCTTCTTCATCACCTGTCGCGATTGATTGTGTGCTCCCAGAGCTTGCAGGTCTGATCCCGGAGAAATCGTCGCTGGTGGGCTAAGTACTTGCCCTCGGGAACAGGTGCGGCAGGAGGTCGTGAGCAATGATGTGCCCGTCGAGAGCCGACACATTCTACTATGACGGCGTCGCATGGATCGAACTCCGTCGATGGAGCGGTGACGTTTGGCCCTGTTGACATGTAGGATGAGATATTTTGGCAACTAAACTCGTGTCGATGTGCACCCGTGCTTGGCCAGGAGAAGCCTGCCGGGTCCCAAACCCTTTCAATTTCTCTCCAGCGTCGAGAACACTTGGGCTCGTGTGCTCAGATGGGACACGGTGATGCTGCTGTGGAAGAACGTATGCAACCCATTGTGTGCCATTGTATGTTTTTCCTTACTGTGCCGGACTTGGCTCACACACTTCTGACCCAGGATGCCGATTCCTCTTCTATTGGCACCTTTGGGTCGGCATGCCCTTCTAATCCTTCCCAGTGATCATACCACGGGCTCGTCCGACTTTCGGCTCGCTTTCAAACCCTGTCACGGCTGCGTCTACGTCTTCGGCGTGTGCGTCGGATCGGCCAATCGCCTACAACCGCGCGCCCCGTCGGGAGGATCGCCGTCTAGCAACAGCTCGTCGCGCCTGTGAATGGTCCCGGTCTCGCTCGTCGCAAGTCTGTTTTCGAGCATGATGGTGCCCACATAACCCGGGTTTGAGGAATGGCGAAGTGATGAGGAAGGAATAAAGAGCCAATGTGAGATGGATATGAGGGTGGATTTTGTATGATGTGCTCATGTGTTTGGACGCTCGGACTGTACCGTACATGGCTGTGGAAAACATTACATTTATGCTGTCTCTCCGTGTGTATGTATCACAGTATGCTTGCATGGCGCACATGCTGTTATTGACGAAATTATCGCTTCAAACGTCTGCACATCTGCAGAAATGGGAACTGGCTCATCTACAATGAGCTCGCAGTATTACATAACAACTGGCAAGAGACGGTCTCGAACCAGAAGACGATATTCTGAAGCTATGTATCATCACCCACATTCATACAGAGCGTACGTTTACATACAAGAAACACAAGTCTCACAAAGGCCCTCGATCAACGCGGGACTTCGGTCACTGTCCATACACAAATGAAGTATCTACGCATCGTCTACACAATGGCGGGTCGGAATGCATAGCGATCGGGGATGACATGAAGGCGACAACCAGCGAGAACTGTTACTATGCTCCACGCGGTCAGAACCGCGGCGACCTGCCCAAAGCATACGCTCGCATGCACTCGACGAGAGGCCCATACAGCAGCCCAGCTTTCTCGAACTGCGACTGGAAGACAGCATCAGGAGCGGTCTACGTGCGAGTATTATCATACTAGTCAGTCCTAGTCGTCCTATGTAGCAATGATTGAGTGCTTACAGTCGGCGTCGTTTCCATCAGGATAAGCTGCATTCGCAGCATATCGCAGGACGTCCTGACGGCGTCCCAGGCGAACCCAAATGTGCTCACTTTCTCTGCGAATCTGCGAGCGGCGTCGTCAATTTCTGGCGTGATGCCCCCTCGTGGATTCATTTCGAATTCTTCTGGGATCCGCGAGTCTGGGACGGGACGAAGAAGGGTCTGAGCACTGGCGGAGACGGGGCGAGCTCGTTTAATGATTTGTACTTACACTCGCCGAAGTGCGCACTTATGCGCAGAGGCCCTGGTGGTGAAGATGGCGTGTAAGTCGTGTACCCGCGCATAGCTGGTGTCGGTAGTGTCTGCTTACCCATCGACATGTGCACCGACTTCAACTCTGAGAAGAGCTGTCGAATCAACGTAACAAAATGGTCGAGTAGTTTGCTGATCGCCCTCCCAATGGCTGAACAGAAGCTATCCCATTGGTCAGAGACTGCGGCTCACAAACGCGTCCGGCGGGCGTACTCTGTGACTTTGGACCAGATGTTTGCAAAGAAGCCCTGAGGCGCGGCGGGTAGCCTGTTCCTGAAATTTTGAATCTTCTCCTCGAGTTTGTTAAATTTGTCCGAGCATCCTCGAGCATCTGACTTGCATTTATCGATCGTCTGTCAGAAATTATTGAGTGCTCGGGAGAAGCAGGGACTTCGAACAAATCTAGGCCAAGAAATCATTGAGGTCGGACCGACGGAACGCTACGTCGCACTGGCATGCCTGTACAACGCCCCGCTTGCCAGTGATAAAGGCGCGAAACGGTGAAGTAGTCGTAGTACCGGCATCGGTTTTTGGAACATTGTAAGTTACTGGTGCTGGCACCATTGCTCGCTTGGCGGCTGCTCAGGAAATGCAGTGGATGCGCACGCACAATGAAGGCAGTCCAAGACAAAAGGATCGATGGAACATACCGCTATAAACTGCTGGATCATATTGAGTCTGTCGTGTAAGGGGACACTTGACTCAGATTGCGACAGCGGAAGAACGATCTCTTGAAAGTCTGCGCACGCGGTCGTCATCGAGAGCGACAGACTTAGTACGACTGTCACTCACGCTCTAGACAAATTGCGCATCGACCTGCTTGTTCCCGTGTATCCCTGCATGCATCTCTATACATCTGTCGGGTTCGTTACGTTGAACGGGATACTCAGGACGTCGCCAGAAGTTGGACTGACCTTGCGCAAGGTTGTCCACTCCTCAGCGAGTGGGTGATGCGGCCCAATCTGGGGTGTTGCCTCAAGTCGGGTGGTGACGACGTCGAAGAGCCTCCGTATCTCCTGGTCCTCAGTGAAGAGAGACATGAAGCTTTGCTTTAATTCTGCAACATGATCATTGGGTCCGGTATATGGCGGTGGAGGCGTTGTGTTGCTGTCAGACATGGCGAGGATGTCGGAGAGCAAGACAAGGAGTGGGCGGGCGTGCTCCCACGCCGTTCGGGTTTATATCGTCTCTGGGGGGCATGGCAGAACCTTAACTTTAAGCCCAACACGGATCGGGTCAGGTGGCAGACGCGTCGCGTCGTTCATTCGGGCAAACACGTCCGAACCACAGGGTTTCTGCACCAAGATTTGGTCGGCTCTTGTGGCGTAAGAGTCGGTCCACCTCCTCGCGTCGTATACGGGCACTGAGACGGGGATAAGTAGACTGCATGGCGATCTGACAGGCGTTATGCAAGTTACTGAGACAACTCATCGAGACGTTGTGAAATGCGCTCACCCAGTTCTAATTGAAGACAACGATAAGTATACGGGTGGGCGACGTGTGGGCGAGTTGATGTGCAGACGAAAGAGAAGGCCAAAGTGGCGCGCGCGGCGGTCCTTTGGATTTGGGCGCCTACGCTGCCTCTACTTCCACTCGCATGTGACGCCGAGCGACTTGTTTCCGACCTCCATGACCTCCATGCCCATTGCCCACGTTGTCACCTCATACCTGTATTGCCGTGCAGCGCAATGGTCTCGATATCTATGCGCTGAAAATGATGAACCTTACATAAATGTAGCGCATTGGCGAAGCACCAAGAGGCTTCGAACAGGAAACCCATCAATGCATGGTGTAATAATCGTGCTCATCCCGGACAATATGCTCCTTATGTAGTCGAGTAAGCACAATTTGACTATTACACGGGACTCGTCGATCGGGCAATCAGTGACACATCGTCCCAGTCGCTCGCCATCTTGCCCTCGTTCGTATCGGTCGCTCAGCGACAGCCCTCTGCTCGCTCTGCAAGTTGCCGCTTGCACGTCCTACACTGCAGCACACTGCTCGTACTAAACCGCTTGATTGGACGGCGATCACAACACTATGGCATTTTGTTTCGTTCCTCCTCTATTGTTGCAGGTGAGACCGCACGCGCGGAATAGATGGCGAAAGCAAAGGCTCAGGCTGAATTGACCAGGTCGCAATTGAGTCATGGCTCGTGGACCAGGGCCCGGCATGACATCCACGGCAGAGCGCTCTGCCTCTACTGCGACGAAGTCTGGCCGACGTGTATACCCCTCCTGGCGAGCACTGCGCCGCACCGGTCACCAACGGGTCGATAAAGCCCCGATTCGACCGATTCCGCAACAAAGTCGTAGGGAAGTGAGACATCACTTGGTGAGTGCCATGTATCGGGATTTTCCCCATTACTAGTACAGCTTGATTGAATGGAGGGAAATCCAGGAGCCTGAACCGGAGCAATTTCGTTGGCCAGTCGATCTGCGCATGACGTGAGTAGGTTTGTTGAATAGGGGGTTCGTGTACTCAACGCTCATCATGATCTCCGGGTTACTCTCACAGGCGCATCCGGCAACATCATCGAAACACATCATCGGTGCCGAATCGTTAGTTCACCTTGCACACCGCTGCTCTACGCGCTCTCGGTCAGGCGGTGCTCCATCATACCGCCTGGTTCCGGTCGTGTTGTATCGTCCAGTTGCGGTGGAGAGACGGCCGCAGAATAGACTCGTCGATACCTGATCCCAGAAGGCGCGCAAGGTGAGCACAAAGCAGTTGTGGTCCTACACCGACACTCACGTCGTATGCGTTCTTGCCCTCTGTAGATGCATGCCACCTTTCCAAGCTACCATCTGCCCATGGTCAGCGATAGCCTTGGGAGGATGCCTCGTTTTCCGTTCCGCCTCTCCAAGCATGCCTTCTATGATCGACCATAGCAATGGCGACATCGTGGGCCCTGTCAACGTTCAGAGGGGCATCAGTTTAGGTGCCGCAAAAACGAATGGCCCGACAGCGGTCCTACTAGAACTACATGACTCTTCGATCATCTCGAGAGGTGCCATATCTGTAGTGCATTTCATGGCAGTCCGGCACGCGTAGCGTACGCACTGCGGCCATAGTGGGGAGTGGCGTTGTCTTCCTGAGCAATGCGTGGTGAGTGAGATCAGGTGTATGACGTACGCTACAGGCTGACCATACAATACCGAAGGAGACAAAATATCGTTGGTCACTCTGCGTCGAGGAGAAGGCGCGGTCATGGGAATATGAGACAAGGGTATACGAGGTGAGTTCAAGGGAGGTGGCGACCTTGTATTCCGAGCGCTTACGCGATCGTGGCTCGCCAGCGAGTGGTCAGCTTGGCTTAATTGGGCCAAAGTTGTACAGGGGCCCTCGACATATAATACGAAGGCGCGTAGAAAGGCGTGGGCTAGTACAAGAGCGCCCCACACATATCGCTGCTTGTGGTAAATTGCCCTGAACCATCGCTGCAGTGCACCTCCTTCGCCTGCAAGCCCAGGATGTCGACTTCTCGTCCAAAGCGTACCTCAGTCCACTGTCGTACAGCGAGCCCGACAGGCTTTGCAGTCCGAGGACGCTGTTCACCCTGGCTATCCACGGCCGGACTTGACTTTTTCTCCTCGCCGTCAGGATGGATGACCCGCGAACACCGCACTGGTGCGCTGCAGCAAGAGCTCGGACATGCCTAGATGATAGTGGGACGTCTCATGTTGAGGGGCCGGTCCCGGCGTGGTGAAGCTCAGGTAAGCCCGAATTTGGATACGAACATACAAAGTGCTTTCGCTCACCGGATTCTCCATTTTCACAGTTGTATATTCCGAAGTCTACCGGGCAAAATTTGGCGTCCTTGCTGACGTCGTCGAGGGACCTGGTTTTGACATTCGCCGCGCGTGGAGTATCCTACGTTCCGCTATGGTTGAACGTGGAGACGCCAGCGGCAAGTCTGGACAACAATCTCAAGTACAAAAGATAGTGATCCGTCGTAGATCATGATGGATCGGACCATCCTCCGCATAATGTACCGGGGATTTTTCTACGAGGCACTCAACAACACTCCTGCCGTTGACGAAGGTAGAGAGGATAGAGGCGCGTGATGCGGATCCCGAGCATGCATACTGTACTCATGTGAACACTAGGCGAGGATGTCACCGTATCCAATGAATTGGACACGTTAGAATGTCGAGGAACACAGAACAGCATTGCTGATAGATACACCACTTCAGATACTACACAGGTAACAAAGATTCATTCAGAATATTGTGTCCGACACGAACGAACTGCTGATGCAGCGCCTTGTCAGATCCTCGCGACGTCACACCGGATTTCACCCTCCCCTTCTACTCCTCGACGACTTCCTCGCGTTCCACATGCCCGTCTTTGGACGACACCTCCGAAGCAACATCGTCCAAACCAACCAGCCCGCCCAGTCCAACCAGCCCTGGCATGACGTCGTCCTGCTCGAGGTCGAGCGAGGCGTAGGTGCTGATGGCGGCACCCCAGTCGTAGTCGTCGCATTGACCATCGTCGTAGTGCGGCGACACTGGCCGATCGCTACGCGGAGCCATGGCACGTCCCCATCTGGTCAGTCGACTGATGCCCCACGCCCACGCTCCCGCCCATGCTGGGTCTTCGGTGGGATTCTGCCTGAACGGCTCGAGAGGGCGGGTGTCGGCGCGGGCTCCTATGCCCAATCCAACGCGGGCGGTGCTGATCCACACTGGATTCAAGATGGTTCCCGGGTGGAAGGCCGGTTGGTACTGGGCGGCGACCAGGCGTTGCCTACTCTCGATGAGGCGCTGCCTACTCTCGACCAGGTGCTGCCTACTATCGACCAGGTGCTGCCTGCCGACAGGAGGAACGTTCTGTGGCAGAGCCAGTGAGTGCGGGTTCATTCACGATTCTGATTGCCATGACTTACCTCTCTGTTGTGGCTGTCTGCTGTCGTTAATGGGTTTGCACTCCAGGAGCCCGCATCTGAGGCCCCAGAAGGTACATTGGGATGGCCCGCCCCCTGGGACGGTGCACCCGGGCGTGGACGCAACACCCCTGTGTGACGAGGAGGGGCACCTAAGCGTGGAGAAGGGGGCCTCGCGGGTCGAGCGGGAAGTGATGCACCCGGGTATAGTGTGAATGATACGCCCGGGCGTGGAGGCGACATACCCCGGTGACGTGGAGGGGGGCCCACTGACGGGTATAGACGCAGTGGTGCGCCTGAGTATAGAGACGGTGCGCTCGGGGGTGGAGGTGACATGCTCGGGAGGCGGGACAATACGCCTGGGTGACTAGTCGGCAGACCTGCACGGAGAGCTGGCCGCCCTCGGCGAGGCGAAGGCGAACGTACTAGTTCGGGTAAGTCCTCGATGTGAGGCGGTGACTGCGCCCGTTCGACGTCCTCGCCCAACATTGTGTCGTAATACTGGATGCCCATGTTCTGAGTGGCGTCCCGCAAGGTAGGGTAAGTAATATCGGATTCGGATTCGGAATCCATCGTTGCGAGCTGCTGTATACTGATGATATGAACACAGAAGTCGGGGGAAGTCGTACGCGGTACGGTGTGGAAGGCGAGACGACGGGGATGCGCGTTGAAGACAGAAGACAACGACGACTGTGGCTTCTCCTTCGTGTTCGGGCGCCTAACACCACCTGCGAGATGCCGCTGAGTCCGATTTGTCCCATGTAAGAGAATCGGCCTCGAGGCTGTGGCTGCGTCCACACAGGGTGCTCGTCTATGCGGCCGAATCACAGGTGAGCAACCTGCCTAGATATATAAAAGGCGTCATTGACGGCGTTGTTCTTTACCCAAAGTCAATGTGTATGTCAATTCGACGGCTCCGCAATAAATACTACATGTCTCCAGTCATGTCGCGACCATCGTACAAGTTCTCATTTCAACGCCGTTAATCCACCTCAGGCATTCACCGCTTCCACTCGACCCACAAAAACCTCAAGCGGTTTCCTCCAACCCGGCCGCCATCAGAGGTGTGACAAGATCGACGTCGCTCGCATCTATGTTGATCCATGTGCCACTGTCTGACGGGGCATTACGGGATTGTCCAAGGTTGTCCATGTAAGCCCTCCACTCCTCGAAGTGGTCCAGTACCGCGAGAGGCGTCGTCGCGTGTACAGCGGCGTCGTCGATGGTATTGCCACCCACGGGGCCATTCATGGTGGGCACGATGCTCTGCCCCTCATGGTCGGAAACGGCAAATGGGTATGCCGACGTCGTAGTGGCGACCAAGCCCGCTGCCATAGCCACATCGGCCTGAGTGTACGATGGACAACAATGGTGAGCACACACTCAATTACGATCGGGAATGACAATATGGCTTACATTCTGGGCATCCGCATCTTCTGTCGTAATTGGTTGTGTACTCAGGGAGCTTGTGGGTGGGATCCTGGACAAGTCTTGCTGGATGGTGGGCTGGGCACCCGTCCTTGGGAATAGGTGTGGTAGGAGATTGAGAGCAATGATGTGCTCTTCATCGATATACTCCAATATCATGGCATCATGGTCATCGAGGTCGGCTGATGGGGAGGTGGCGTTGAGTACTGTCGACATGTAGGGTGGGGTAGATTTTTGTGCGAGGTGTGAAGTGTGGTGTGTATGGCTCGCGTATGAGGCGAATGTGCTGATGATATGAGGGTAGGTGACGGACGGGAGAGGTGATGTCGGTCGTGTTGATGTGTGAAGACAGACGAGAAAGGCGACTCTGGTCACGGCAGTGGCTCTTCGTGTTTGGGCGGCTATGCTGCCACTCGGATAATGCCGGGCGACTCGTACTCTACCACTCTCTACCACTACCCTAACTCCATGGCTTTCACGTTTACTCTACGTCGTATCTTCTTGCATGTACTGCCCCCCAGCGCAAAGCGATCTCAAATGCCGAACCATACCCCTAGAGCGTCAATGAGGTTGACCCGGCGCTGTTTGGCGAACTCAAGTTGGCTCTGAACTCGGGCAAGTACCTCCTCCCAGTGGAATGGCATGTACTGTTCAATCGTGCCACGAGTTAGTGAGTCAGATCAGTATGGTCAATTCGGTCTATGTGGCATCTCTCGCATCACAGAGCACACCCTCCGTCGCGACTGGCCTTCGAGGCGCGTCGATCGGCGGTGGCTGCGCGACGCGTTGTGTACGCGTTGTTTGGCCTGCCATCCTAGTGAGGAAACTCGCAACATCTTGACTGCCTTCCGGTCAGTCCGATACTTGGATGCAGCTCGCGCGAAAACATCTAGACTTCTACCCAATGGACGATTGTGTCGTGATGGTTGTCGCTGGTCACGCTGTAGGCTGAGCCTCAGCAAGCGACCGGCATAGCTAGTCTAAGCCGACCACTGGCCGGGGCCACTCCTCGACCATCGTCGTGTCGTAGGTTTCTAACCGACAGCATTCAAACAGTTACTGACTCTACGGTCAGAGCCATGATCATCCAATTTTTTATAGTATACTGTATGCCGTCGGTCCTGTCGCACGCGGAAGATCGTCGCCGAGCCACGCAAGTGACTCGGGGTGTTGCGCATCCACGAGTAGGATACTTGGACAGAATTTGTGCTGTGCAATACCAATCACATACTTGGCACCTGGAGCCTACTATCGAAACGAGAGCCCACAAGACGACGTCGACGTGAACCTCCCGGTGAGTGAGTTAGAGAGTGTGCCGTGCGCGTACTGCGGCGTACATACCCTTTTCGTCCGCAGCGCCCGATTGTGGCGCGATATCCGAATCGGACTGTCCCGACGTGGCTACCGCCCTCTTGACTACCATGTCTGCAACTTGCCTTGCCTCCATATCACGACCAAACACCTTACTGTGAACTTGGCTTCCCCTCTTGCCTCGGGCAGTGCTGCTAGCTGGAGGTCAAACCCGTTTTCACGCACATGGAACCTGTTTGTCGCGCCAGGCAGCCTTTCAGTGGGTGACTCGGAAGCGAACAAAATGGCTCGAAGATTGTGCACCAACCCGCCTGGCAAGTACGCTCATGTTTGCTAGCTGCGCATTCATTTGCCTGTGAGGTGTCTCTGTCTGCAGGCCAACGTGCAATTTTATTATCCTCTGGCACTCCTACCGCTTACTCGGAGCTCCTCGTAACCGCCGATCCCAAGACAATCCACTGGACATCTGTCTCGCTATGCTCGTACAATGCGACTGTCTCCTGGCTTCTCAATTCTGGGTGGACACTTGAGTCCGTGGGGATGGGAGGAGTTTGGCGATGACCGAACGATCGTGACGTGAGCGACCATTGCCAACTTCGTGGTTCGTTGTGATTATTTTTTGCTGCTGTCCCCTTTGCAGGAATCATTTCACCCTCTATGCAAGTTTCGCTCGGCTTTTCAGGACTAGATCAGCCCATAGAATTCCGCTACTGTGGTATTCACTCGATTTGGGGTCGAACTTCCGTTCCGTCAAGTGGTGGCATGCGAGGCCTGGCTCATCCATCATGCTGCATCTGCGATGTGCAGAGCAATCTTGGCATGTGCCGCTCAAGCGACCTCATCCGGCATGCACTCCTCTCGCATCGTATGTCAGTGGCCTCCATAGTATGCGGCACTGAATTTCGGCCGTCTGTCGATCGACGCTGTGTCGCATTTCGGTAAGTTCACTATTAAAGAAGGAACATCCGGACATATCTCAGCAAGCAGAGATATTACTCGCATCCGTGGGCGAGCGGCAGTACGCAGACGTGGATGTCGAACATGCCGATAAGAGTCGAGGAGGCCAGTGGTATGTCAGGACAAGATTGTACTGTATGTGGAGTGGCTCTGACGGTAATGCGCAGGTGTTTGTGCGGAACGTAGCGTCGGATGAGATTGAGCAGGTATGTGGTGCCATTGCCGCTCGTATAGATTGGCGCTCATTACTGCAAATCGTAGGGTGTACACTGTGGCAGCTGGTAGCTGGCGTCCTCGATGTCGGACGTGCAATTATTGTGGTCTGGTATATCTTATATCAAATGCAACACGTTGACGCGGCGCAAACATCATCTCGACCAAACCGAGGTTGGCGATATATATCATGTGTGGCACTGAACGAGTACATGTCCGCTCTCTGGCTGGCCGCGACAGAGAAAGCCAACAATAAAGCTTCTCTCATGAGTACACAAATATGCATGACCGATGTGTACGACGCATTGAAGCGGGTGCCTGCAAGAGGCGTTCTACAGACCATAGAATAGACAGGTGCGTAGCGACAGCATTTAACTATACATCTCAAGTGCTAACGTAGCCAAGGGATATAGCACCAGTCTCTGTATTCGTCGCTGCGAGACATGAAATTGATCTTCGACCAAGCTTTTCTGAGAACACAGCAGTTGCTTTAGAAGGCCTCGAGCGAAGACACAATCATACACATGCATTAGCCGACACAAATTTCTGTGAAAAAAAAGCAGGCGAGAAAATATAGCCAGAGCATTGGTACCAGACTCTCGGACGGGTTAACCCCTCACGGCTTGCGCAGAAAGCCTCTGTTACTCGGGAAGGATACCACCAAGGTCCCTGAAGGAGACAGCTCGCAGTCGATGCTGTCTGTGAGGCGAAGTTGGATGTGATACTGATGTCGCGGGGCCACCAGGAGAGGCCCAATTACCACTGCCCGTCACAAGACACTAGGGCGCAGCATCCTGAATGCAACGCCATTTTGCTTCACAAAGCCGAGATTACGGAAGAGGTGAGTGGCCAATTTATGACAGAAAGTGGATGTTCACTCACAGACTGCTCATCCGCGTCCGCGTCGATCTGTTTGTTCTGGTAGTCTGACCACAAGCTTGGTGGACGGTCGTCTTCGTCCTGAAGAGACATCGCTGATATCTTCAGTGCTAGAGGTACTGTCGCAGTGAATTTCTCCGGGTCAGCGGGTAGAAAGGTTTGTGTGGCGAGCGAAGAGATGCTCACGAAGAAGATGGTGTAGTGACGATGGGCAGAGTAGGGGTACGTGATGCAAATACTGCACTAATGAATTGGCACTTATGTTGGTCGGCAACCTGCCGCTGCATTCGACAGAGCTTTACATACAAAACCATCCACCATATCGTTCTTCGCAATGAACTGTTCTCGGATTCTTTACTTTACAGGCACACACCATTCAGACTAATGTACAATGGATCTGCAACACATTCTTCGCGATCAACGAACCATTCAGGGACAGCCCATCAATCCACCGCACGTACGCTTGTCTCCGTTTCCACCTCAGATCCCCTCCATACTAATCTCCACTAGTCTTGCTCGCGATCGAGGTCGACCGCGTCGAGGTCTTCGTCGACCACTCAGCCATCGCGGTGTCTATGATCTCGTTCATCAACGAACGACTGATCTCGTCCTCCAATCCGCGGAGCTCGGGAGGTTCTAGCCAATGTTGGTAAATCCGCCCCCACGTCGACCGCCGTGTTCCCCTCCAAGGGCAGACCTGGAGTGTCTTGGGGGATTGCCATTTGGACGTCGAGCGGGGTGGCGACCACCGCAGGCGAGTCCATCTCGTCGGACTCATCCGGTTCCGTAAAGTCCTCCCACTGGAATGCCCACCTCTGTGTCTCCTGCCTCCAGTTCTCGACGTAGTCCGCGTGAGACACAGAACCCCCACGGCCAGCAGCGCGTGGTTTATAGCGTGGTCCATCGCTTCGCTCCCCAGCGAGCTACCGGTGGATGCAGCGTCGTTTGGACTAGCACTGGCAGGTGCATACTCTGGCAAAGGGGAGCCCGCGACATGCATTCCTTCGTATCGCTCGTCGTACCCCTGGTACGGAAGACGGCTAGTGGGCGAAGGCTGGTACAAGAAGCAGGATGTGTGAGTACACATTCCATTACGGCTGCAACCGTCGACGTCGACTTACCTGATGATTGTCCCCCGTAATGATTTGTGTGCTCACAGGCATTGCCAGCCTGCGCTCGAGAGCTTCCCCGTACGCCAATCGGATGTCGCGGATGAAAGAACGGCGTGGTCGCATGAGGATTCTGTCCCACTCCTCCGATGCCATGGAATCTGTAGCACTGTCGGCGGTGCTGAGCATCGTATCAGAGGTACTGAGTGTTTCCCATAAAGGATCCGTATCTTTTGTAGATAAGCTCGAGATCGACACCGACTGGTGGTTAGGAGGCAGCGGTGCAAACATAGCAAGGAGCGACGGGTCCAACATCGGGATGCCAGACGGATTGGAGAGAAGAACTTCACTGTGGCTACGTAGATCTTACTCGGGCGGCTATCCACGCTACGCGAGATGCCCGGGCCGAGCCCGAGATGTACTACTCTACCCTCCGTCGCTGACTCTGAGTCGTACTGTACTTACCGACAGTACCGTAGATGTATATGTCGAATTCAATTAATGAGCTGGAAGACAAGTCCGCTCGCGGATGCGGAGACCCGCTCAGCGCTGGCACTTTTCAGTATGCAGATGTCTGCAGAACTGGTAGTCTCGAAAGTATATCCTCAATATGCCAGAGAAATACTAATGGAGCCATATGGAGGGAACGGTTGCCCACGTACTAATGGACATGAACGCCATCGCGGGCGGACTGAACAGCGAGCGAACATATGCAATCGCAAGGCTTGGTCCCTGGAGCGCGAGTATATCATCAGAGGCACGGATGACTATGGTTTTCCACCAGTGCGTAGGATGAGTACTTCAAGATACGAGCTATGCGATTTCGCCTGACCCGTCATAGTATTCGGGTTTCAGTCGATAAGGGTCAGCACAGCGGTGCGTTCGGTGACGAACATGACAAGCGTCTCGTGTTCACAAAACTGGGTGAGCCGTACCTGTTCAACCTTTCGTAATTTTACATCCCTGTCGCATACATAGTAGATCGGCGTCGCCAAGTCACTGACAAAGATATCATGTGTCTCGTCTACAAATTATCATTCACCTAGCTTCTTGTAACCCAGTTGTGGCATGATGATACGAGTACGAACTCCGCCGCTCGGGTTCTGGGAGGAGACCGCCCGGAAGGCCGCGAGACGAGGGCCAGAGAGGAATCCCAAGTTCAAGTTGATGCTTCGCCATAAGAATGACAATGCAGGCGTAAGCTCCCACAACCTCTTGCACGTCAGCGCGGCATCGAGAAAAACTGTATTCTCTGGTCGCAAAGGCTCGTTGACGGTGGTAAATAGAGATGATTGAAGATTTCGAGCAAGACATCATGAGCGAGGACAGCCCGGTGAGGAGCCGTCCGTGGGAGCAAATAACGAGCAAAACGGAGGCGATGGGTAGGAGATGGGCGACTACGTTGACTATGATAATGGGATGCGAGGAGGGGTGAAGGGCCCGGGGACGTGTCACATCGGAGTGAGACTTGAAGCTTGAAGTTGCAGTGACCACTCTGCTGTACGCTAAAAAAAGTGACCTTCACGTTTATGCTACATCGTATCTTCTTGTATGTACTGCCATCTAGCGCAGTATGCTCTTTAATACCAAACCCTACTTCCAGTGCATCAGTGAGGATTGCTGTCTGGCGAGTTCAGATCGGCTCTAATCCCAGATAAGTACGGGCGAGATGTGTACAATCATGCCCATGAGTCGGTGAGTTAGATCGGTATTCACTTCACGGCCTGAGTGACATATCTCGCGCTACACAGCACGTACACCGTCCGTCGCGACTGGCCTTCGACTCGGAGGCGCGTCGATCGGCAGTGGCTGCGCGACGACGCGTTATGTACGCGTTGTTTGGCTTGCCTTCCTAGTGAGGCAACTACAACAGACGGCGATGCCAATCCTTGTCCTATGACTAGGGCAGTACTTGCCAGGGCCTACCTTCCGGCCGGTTTGATACTTGGGGGCGGCGGCGGGCGAACAAATCTGGCATTTTACGCCATAGATGATCGCTCCGCGATGCTTGTCGCGTGTCACCCAGTAAGTTAAGCCTCAGCAAGCCACCGTCATAAGCTGACCACTGGCCGGGGCCGCTCTTTGACCGCCATCTTGTCGTAGGGTTCTGGTCGACAGCATTCAGCTATGAATTGACTCGGCGGTCAGAGACATGCTTATTCGGATTTTTCGTAGTACACTGTATGACGTCGGTCCTGTCGCATGCAGTGTTGCTGGCTGAGGCATGTTGTCACGGTTGCCATTCGGCATCACCGTGGTGTATAGTGCTCAGACAGAAACTGTGCGGGGCAATATTAATCACATAGCACCTGGAGCATATCAAAACGAGAGCCCAGAAGACGACGTTGACGTGAACTTTTGAACCTCGCGGTGAGTGAGTGCGCGCCGCGAGCGTGCATACAGGGTCTTGCATAGTTTTTTGACGGTCGCCTCGCGCGAATTTTTGTTTGTTCCGACCAAAGGCACCCAAATCCGGCAGGTAGCACGGTCAGGCATGTCACGTGTGGAGCGGCTTGGGCCCAACACCTACCGGATATGGCTGACTTTGGTCGGAACAAACAAAAATTCGCGCGAGGCGACCGTCAAAAAACTATGCAAGACCCTGTACACCCTTTTCCGATTCATCCGCAGCGCTCGATTGTGGCGCGATATCCAAATCGGACGGCCCGGTCATCGACTGAGCTGGCACCCTCTCGAGTCTCGACTGCCATGTTCGCAACTTGCCTTACTCGAAATTCATGACCCAGCACCTTACCGCGGACTTGGCTTCCCCTCTTGCTTCGGGCAGTGCTGCTAGCTGGAGGTCAAATCCGTTTTCGCGCACATGGAACCAGTTTGTCATAGCCACGGAGTGGGTGACTCTGAGCGAACAAAATGGGTCGAGGGTTGTGCACTAGTCCACCTGGTAAGCTCTCGTTCGCTAGCTGCGCGTTCATGTGCCTGTGAAGTGTCTCTGTCTGCAGGCCAACGTCTCGTGCGATTTTATTATCCTCTGGCATCTCTCCTGCGGCTCACTCGGAGCCCCTCGTAACCGCCGATTCCAAGACAATCTACTGGACCTCTGTCTCGCTATGCTCGGACGATGCGACCGTCTCCCGGCTTCTCCAATCTGAGTAAGCACTTGAGTCCGTGAGGGGACACACGGTCTGGGAGGCTTAGGCAGAGAAGTTTGGGGATGACCGACTGATTGTGACGTGAGCGACCAACTTCGTGGTTCGCTGCGTATTCTTTTTTTCTGCTGTCCTGTCTGTAGGTTCCCTTCCATCCCCCCTTGCAACTGTTGCAATACTTCTCAGGACCAGATCGGCTTCATATGTTCCGTTACTGTGGTGGTCGCTCGACCTGGGGTCCGACTCCCGTCAAGTGGTGGTATATGAGGCCTGGCTCGCTTGCAATGCTGCATCTGGAGCGCGCAGTTAACTGTTGGCATGGACCGGTCGATCAAAGTGTCCTCATCCCGCGTGCGCCCCTCTCGCATCGTACAATAGCGGCCTCCATAATACGCGGCACTGAACATTGGCTGTCTGTCGATCGACACTGTGTCGCATTTTGGCGAGTTTACTGTAAGCGAAGGAATAACCGGACATATCTAGCAAGCAGAGATGATACTCGCATCCATAGGCGAACGGTGGTACGGAGGAGTTCATGCGAGAAGGGTCGTTTGAGGTACAGGAGACCAGTGGTACGTCGAAGTATATTGTGATTTATTTGGAACGGTTCTGACGGTAATCCGCAGGTGTTTGTGAGGAGTGTAGCATCAAATAAGAGTAGGACTAGCAGGTATGTAGTGCTGTTGCCGCTCATATAGATTGGCGCTAATGACTACAAATCGTAGGACTTGTACTGTGGCAGCTCAAGTGACAAGTGCATTGATTATGGTCTAATATATTATTTACCAAATGCGACATGCTTTCGCAGCGCAAACACCATCTCGGAAACACACCGGTCGGCGATGCAAATCATGTGTGGCGCAGAAGTAGTATACGTCCGCTCTCTGGCTAGGCGTGACAGAGAGAGTCGCCGATAAGGCTTGTCTCCTGAATACACAAATGTGCATGAACGATGTATACGACACATTGAAGCTAGTACTCGCATGAAGCGGCAGGTCGTAGAACGGATAGGTGCGTGGCGACAGCGCTCCCCTCAGATTTAAGTGTTGATGTAGGCAAAAGGAAATAGCACCAGTCTCTGCTTTCGTTGCCGCGAGCCACAAAACAAACGCCTGACGAACGCCTGATTCATCTCGTCAGAGAAGCTTCGGAGAATACAGCAGTTGCTCCGGAATGCTTATACCCGTCACAACGTCTGTGAAATACAACTGGGCAAGGAAACACTATATTGGCCCGAGTATATTGCCAGGACCACGTACGGTGTAATCCCTAAACCTCTATGCAGATAAACCCCTGTAGCCCGGGAAGTATATCGTCAAGTATCCCTGAATTGGACGACCCGGAGTCGGGGCCATCGCATGTGATGTACTTATGATGTCCGAACGACCCTGTATACGGTGTGATGCTGATGTCACCGGGCATCAAGGAGAGGCCCAACGACCCTTGACTGCTACAAGGTAGGCCAGCGGGTGGCGCATCAAGTGTAGCGCCGTTCTGCCTCGCAAAGTCGAATCCGTCCTTGTCCTGGCGAGGTGAGCGAGTGTCTCAATACAGAAGGTGGACGTTCAACTTACATGCGGCCCGTCCGCTTCCGCATCAGATTGTTTGCTCTCGTAGTCTGACCACGGACTCGGTAGACGGTCTTCGTCTTCAAGAGACATCGGTGACATCTTCGGTGCGAGGAGTATCGACGCGAAGTCATTCTCTAGGGCAGTGGGTAGGATGGGCTGTGTGGCCAGCGAGGACATGTTCGCCAGTTGACAGTGATCTTCAGGGGGTATGACTGCACATGCAACTGGTTAGTCGACTCTCATAGCCCCATATTGCGTATTTACCGAGCGATGCTGAAGGTGGTACAGTTCTCGGTGACGGTGGAAAGAGTCAAGGTGCGTGGCGTTGATGTTATACTTATGAATGGGCGCTTATGTTGGTCGACAACCTGCCACTACATTTGCATTCGCCAGAGCTCTGCACACCAATCCGTCTACCCTATTGTTTATCGACCATGATGATTTTTTCCAATGCTACACAACCATGCGCCGTCCAGAATTATGCACAATAGAGCGCAACATATCCGACCAACGAACCATCAAGGAACAGCCCAACACTCCAATCCATGTACGCTTGTCTCCATGTTCCACCTCGGACCTCTCCATGCTAAACTCCACACTAGTCTCGCTCGTGATCGCGGAGGACCGCGTCAGAGGTTGTTCGTCGACCACTCAGCCATCGCCATGTCTATCTCCAGCATGATCTCGTCCATCAACGAACGACCGCCCTCGTCTTCCAATCCGCAGAGCTCGGGAATTCCAGCCAATGTTGGCAAGTCCGGCCCCACGTCGATCGCCGCGTTATCCTCCAAGGGCGCGAATAGCAGACCTGGAGTGCCTTCAAGGTATCTCATTGGGTCATCGATCAGGGTGGCGACCACCGCAGGCGTGTCCATCTGGTCAAGCTCCTTGGACTTCCTGAACCCCTCCCATTTGAATGCCCACCTATCGGACTCCTTCCGCAAGATCTTGGCGTAGTCCGCGTCAGGCTCGGGATCCTCTACGCCCAGCACCGGGTGGTTCGTAGCGTGGTCCATCGCTTCGCTCCCCGGCGAGCTACCGTCGTCTGGACTAGCACCGGCAGGTGCATCCTCTGGCAAAGGGGAGCCCACGACGTGCATGTCGTCGTTGTGCTCGTCGTACCCCTGGTACGGTAGACGGCTAGTTGGCGAAGACTGGTACAAGAAGCATGATGTGTGAGTACACATTCCATTACGGCTGCAACCGTCGACGTCGACTTACCTCATGGTTGTCCTCCGTCATGTAATGTGTACTGGCAGGCAACTCGATCTCCGAAGCTTCCTCGTGGGCCAGTTGGAAGTCGCCGACGTGAGGAAGGGGTAGGCAGCGTGTACGAGCGACGTTCGGTTTCTCCGATTCAGTTGAATATGCAGTACTCGCACTGTCGACGGTATTGCAGGTACTGAGGCTTTCGCATGGGGAATGTGCGTCTGCAGACTCCATTCTTCGTGAGGTCGACAGTGATTGGTGGTCGGGCGACAGCGACGGAAGCTTTGCAAGGACCGAGGGTTCTAACACCTGGATGCGAGACAGATTGGAGGACAGAAGGACTTGATTGTGGCTACGACTTGGGCGCCTATTCACGCTACGCGAGATAGCCGAGCCGAGCCCGAGGTGTACCCTACCTCCGTCGCTCAGTCGCACCTCGCACCCACGGACAGTATTATAGATGACTTATGCATAGTGTTTGTCCCGCTACGGCGGCGTCTGAGTGAGTCAACATATTTGGAAACCTCTCGACTGTGCTCAGCATCAAAATCTGCGATGCTCGGACGCGATCCCTCATGCTGGGAGATTCCACTGTCGTTGCAACTCGAATGCATGCTACTAGCCTATGAACATGACGAAGACATAGGGATAGACAGACACTCTTATTTAAACATCCACAGGCAGCCCTACTGCTGCACATTATCCTCGCTCACTTCAAATTATCTACGACACCCGGTGTACTTCGCGACATTGGCGGCTGGTCTTTGATTCGTACAACCCGACGAGAACTGACATAAGTATTGAGCTAGAAGGTAGGCGCGCTCAGGAACTCGAAGACCAAATCGGAACTGATACTTGTCCATGCACAGACGTACAGTACGTCGATAATCTCGAGAATACGTCTTCAACAAATTAGAGAATTTCGATAAATATGGGGCTACACACCCGAAGATGAGAACGATCTCTCCCGCGCCAATGGGCTTCCCGGACATAACACTGTCGTTATCATCAGCTAGTGGGCCTGTGGCAAAGCCCGACCTGGGGACGGTGAGTAGATACAGAAGGACCAAAGTCATGAAAGTCCACCGTGCAGGAACTTGTATGAAACCAGGTATGCGACCACTATCTGCTAGCTGGCAGTACATTGGTGAGTTTCGTGGCGAAGACGACAAGCATCGCCAATGGTAGCGACGACGGATGATCCACAGCGATGCCTACCCAGCGTTTCGTAGTATGCACTGCTGTCGCGAAGCCTTCAATCCTTGTCTGGGTCGTACACAAAGTAGCAAACAGACCTTCGCCTTCCTGCTCTTCTTGCTTGAACGTATCTCTGCTATAAGATGATGTCAGACAGTGCGCAGCTTGTAGCTTGGAGAATTATGAACATATCACGGCATAGTACGAAGTGGAGGATGTTCGCGCCGGGCGAAGTACTTGAACTTGAAGGTGGCGCTTCAGCCACAAGTGTGAGTGGCGTTGTTGAACGCTGCAAACCGACTACAAATTCCAATACAAGTTCAGTGTGATGATAAGTAGGCGCGTCAATAGACTCGATACACGTCGTCAATCGGGCAATCAGCGACACCTCGTTCGAGTCGCTCACCATCTTGTCCTCGTTCATATCGGCCGTCCAATGACCCCCCCGGTACGCACCCTGCAAGTCACTTCTTGAGGATTCTACATCGCCCGCTAGTTCGCCTCCCTTTTCTGCGCAGCATATCCGCCGTTGCTTTTAGTCTGTGGTCGATTGATCAGCCCGTGATGAGTCGACACTGCAGCTTCATGTCCACTTCCTCCTTGTATACAGGTGAGCCAGCTCAATTGCCTAGACAGAAAAATCAAACTCAACGTATATAGATTGCACCCTCGGTCACGGCTCGTGAACCACGCTCAGCATGACGGCAACCGCATGGAAACCCTCCTTCCACTGCGACGCCTTCTGACGTGCATACTCTTCAGGCAAGAAATCGCGCGGCGCAGGTACGTAATGCCGTGCTCAATACAGAATCGGCCTGTCCACAGGTCGCACAGCTGATCTGGATGTAAGGTTGCAGGGGACTGGAGACGCCATTCGTCGGATGCCTTCATCTAAATTTTGCACCGGTCTAGCTTGAACGTGACGCGGAGTGCATCCTGCAAACTTGTTCCGCCGGAAGCCGTCGAGGTTGTCTCACGTCGAGACGAGTCCCCGCATGCCGCTGCGCGAGACTTCTGCCCCAAAGTCCCGTTAGACGGTGGACTTATTCCATGCCGTGAGTAACGTTTCTGTATACAGGCGCATATACTCAACATCGACACGTTCAGCAGGCTATTCTGGGAGAGGTCTTCAACAACATTCTCGAAGCATATTCCTGATGCCGAAGACGACCAACCTCTAGCATGTGTGGTCGTGTCTTGGGCACCAACTACACTGAGTGCGCTCTTGGTCGCGTTCAGGCCAACGTATCGTGTAGCGCGGCGCTCAAGGATGCCGCTTAGTTCGTGTTGTATCGTCAACTCGCAGTGAAAGAGATGGGCGCGTACTAGACCCACCGACATTAGCTTGCACCTCATCATAGAAGGCGCCACAGGTAAGCACAGCACCAATCACGGTGGTACGCCGTCACTCACCAAGCGACTGTCGCAGACCACATGCCTCCATGCGCCACGGATGCAAGCCACCTCTAGGCTTGATCGGAAATGGTAGAACCGTTGGCCATGTCGATGTCAAGGTGTATCGGATTGATGCCGCGAAGATGATCGACAACGACGTAGCAACCCCTATAGCCTCAAAAGGAGCCCCGGAATTCCGTCTTGTCGGAGTCCGAGACGCATAGTGTACGCACCGCGGCCATATGAGGAGTGGCGTTGTCTTCATCAGCGACGCGCTCGACCCTGCTAGCCGCTCCGAGTCGAGTGCCTATTTGCTGCCTGTGCTCTCATCAGTGCTTCTCGGAGTGGCAGTTGAGGGGCAGACGACGGGTAGCTGAGTACGCCACGTCTTGGAAGACCGCGTTGTTCACGTCGCATGTGGTAAGTTAGAATAAGTACAGACGCGCCTCGCAGACTGATCATGCGATGTCAAGGTATTCAGAGTGTCGGCAGTGCCCCACTCTGAAGACAAGACGCGTCGACGGGGGACTAGGATAAGGACGTACAAGTCGAGTTCAAGCAGAGTGGCGACCTTATATATTGGGCGCTTACGCGATTGTGGCTAACGAGGAAATGGACAGCTGGGCGTAGTTGGGGCCAAAGAGGGTCAAAGCCGTACAGGGGTCGTGGGCATATAAAACGAAGGCGCGCGTAGAGACGTGGGCTAGTACGCGAACACTCTACAGACCTCACTGCCTGCGGTCACCGTGAACCATCGCTAGGCGTGTGCCGACTGCAAGTCCACAATGTCGAATCCTCGTTCGAACCGGAATTGTACCCCCGTCCACCCTTGTACGGCTCGCTAGACAGGCTCTGCAGTCTGGGAAAGACGCTGTCTAGTCCTTCATCGCCATTCTAGGAGTCGCACTCGCCACGCTCAAGACGTATTATCCCCGCTAATATGCCACTGATAGGTCATAGCAAGAGCTCGGACGTACGTGGATGACTGTGGGGCGTTTCGCGCCAGGAGTCGCGTCTAGTGCACGAGGCATGGGTAAGCATGGATTCCGATACGACAATACGTATGTTTTGCTCACCAGATTCTCCATCTTGACAGGTAGCGTTCTGCATACTGGGTAATGCCATCGAGGGACCTCTTCGACATTCGAAGCGAGAGAAATGTCCTCCGTTTCGCAGCGGCTGGACACGGAATCGTTGGTGGCGCGCCGGGACAACATCTCAATGTGGTGCGAGGTTGTGATCTGTGCCAAGGAACACGATCAGTAAGACTATCCTACGCGTGGCGTGCTGGAAAGACTGCATGGCAGCAGGTACAGGACACCCTTGTCGTTGACGAAGGTAGAGAGCATAGAGGTGCGTGACATGGGCGTCGAAGAACACGAAACAGCGTTGCTGATAGATACACCACTTCAGATACTACTATACAGATAACAAAGACTCAAGACCAGAACATTGTATCCAACACGAACGAACTGCTGATGCAGCGCCTTGTCAGATCTTCGCGACATCGCATCGGAATCCACTCTCCCCTTCTACTCCTCGACGATCTCCTCGCATGCCACATGGACGTCGTTGGATGACGCCTTCAAAGCATCATCGTCCAAACCAACCAGCCCGCCCAATCCAGCCAGCCCTGGCATGATGTCGTCGAGGGCAGACAGTTCGCCGGAAGACGAGTAGCCGGAGTCACTTCCCGAATCGTCGTGCTCCGCAGGCAAGAGCAGCAGCCCCGGCGTAGCACCGGGCCACTGCTCTTCGAGCAGCACGGGTTCCATGGGGGGCTGGACCCTGGCGTTCTGGGCCGCCAACCACTGCTCCTCTCGTATCCTGAAGCCTTCCTCCCGTACCCAATGCCTCGTCAGGTAGTCGTCGGTCCACGTCACAGGCTCGAGTCGGAGATGTCTGTAGGCGCCGATGGCGGCGTCCCAATGGTTACTATTGAATGCGCCACCATCGCAGTGCAGTGACACTGGCCGGTCGCTACGGAGAGCCTTGGGAGGTCCCCTTTCCAGGCCTCCCGCCCACGCTGGATCTTCGGTAGGATTGAGCCTGAAAGGCTCGAGAGGGCGGGTGTCGGGGCTGGCTGCATCGCCCAATCCAACGCGGGCTGTGTCAATCCACACCGGATTCAAGATCGTTCCGGACTGGAAAGCCGGCTGGGCAGGTAGGTGCCGGGCTGTGTTCGTTCCCCCAAGGGTATACTGCCTACCGACATGGAGAGGAGGGACGTTCTGTGGCACAGTGCGTGTGAGTACAGATTCATTTACGATTCCGGTTGCCAACGACTTACTTCCTTGTCGGCATCGTGGCTCTCGGCTGTCGTATGTGTTTCTGGACTCCAGGAGCTCGCATCCAGGGTCTTGGAGGGTTGATCGGAATCGCGGTGTGCCTCCGCATGGGGCCAAGGTATACCGAAAGGGTAGGCAGGCAGGCCTCGTCGAGGGGAGGGTAGGCCTGGAGGACGAGCAGGAGCCGGCAGGCCTGGGGGCCGAGTCGGTATGCCCCGGGGTCGAGCCGGCAGGCCGGGAGGATATGCAGGTCGGGCTGCACGAGGAGAGGGTAGGCCAGGGGGGCGGGATGGTATACTCGGCGAACGAGCAGGTAGGCCCGGGCGGCGAGCAGGTAGGCCTGGCGGATATGCAGGCGGGCCTTCGCGAGAAGGTGGGTCAGGGGAACGTGCGGGCAGATCGCGAGGGTGGTTAGACGTATGCGCGACTTCGACGTTCTCGCCCAATACCGCGCCAGAATACGGGGTGGCCGTGTTCTGAGTGGCGTTGGGTGGGTATGGAGTTTCGCACTGGGGACTCGTCATTGCTGGATGTTTTATACTGATAGTATGAGCACAGGACTCGGGGTTAATCGTACGCTGTACGACGCAGAAGGCGGGACGACGGGGATGCACGTTGAGGTGCGAAGACAGAAGGGGAACACGCCTGTGGCTCGTCCTTTGTGTTCGAGCGCTTAACATCCCCGCGAAATGCCGGGCATCTGAGACTTGTCGTGGACCTTTATCGTCATCTGATAGTCTGCCTCGAGGCTGTAGCTGTATCGTGTTCACGTTCCAGTGAGTGACCGGCTTGGATGCAAGTACACCTTACTCGTCGGTGTCTCCACCTGTAGTTCTCCTTCAATTTGTGGGATGCTCTGCGACAAACACTTCACTGCCCATAGCTGCCTCCGAAGCTCCGTCTCGACTCTCCGTTCAATATCATCAATTCTACATCGCGCAATCATGGGTTATTCATTCAACTGGCGAACACCTGGGGTGTAACAACGTCGATGCGGGTCGCATCTATGCTGGTCGATCTCCCACTATCCGACGAAGAAAGAAGCAGAGCACCCACACCCCTGCGTACAGGTTCGAAGAGCGTGCCTGCCCCTTCGGACGGTTCGACGAACTGCCGCTCTTGCGGGAGACCCCACCATCCGCTGAAAGATTTCATGCCGGCCTTACACTCGTCGAAGGGATCGTGTTGCGCAGAAGGTATCCTCGCGCACGCAGCTGCATGCTCAACGGCTTTGATGCTGAGTGTAGTGAGCATGATACTCCGATCTTCGTCTAAATCGGCGCATGGTTAGGGCGATGTGGTGGCGATGTCCGAGGTTTTTGCTGGGGCCTGATCACCCTGAGGTCGTAGCCTATGGTGAACAATCACAGTGAGTACCTAATCAATTACCTTTGAAACTGGCACATTAGCTTACCGCCTGGGCTTCATTGTCTATCGTAATTTTTTGCGTGCTCCAGGAGCTTGAGATCCAAGAGAGATCGTCGCGGGAGGGTTGAGCACTTGCCCTCGGAAACAAGTGGGGCAAGAGATCGAAGGCAATGATGTTGGCCTCGTCGACATATTCTAGTACCATGCCATCGTACTGATCGAGGTTAGTCGATGCCGCCGTTGCGTTCGGTACGGTCGAGGTGTAAGGAGGGAAAGCTCGGTAGTTAGAATTCATGTTGACGTGAGGTGTGATGCGTTTCACTCCAATATGAAGAGAGTGCGGATGGTGGGCGACGTCTGAGCGAGGGGACCTCAAGTTGATGGCGTAGGAAGAGAAAGCTGATCGTAGCCACAGCGGTCCTTTGTGCTGGGGCGCGGCGCATGGACAACGTGTTGTGTACGCGTTGTTTGGTCTGCCTTCCTGATATAGCAAGCAAGCTGTCGGCGTCTCCTCACTTCGTGGCGTTGAATGAACAACTCTCGCTGTTCGTCGACACTCCATGCACAACCTCAAGCTCAAGCTTCAAGCTCTGCTGACGCTTGATTGATTCCAGGCTAGGTATCTTGGCTTGATAAAAAGCCGCTGTGCCATCGGACGGCCGCTAATGAGACTAGCAGCCGCGATGGCCTTCGATTCATTAGTGTCGTCAAAGATGCATGCATACTCAATGGCCACGAATGTTCGCCATAGTCCCATGGCAAACCTGGGGCCTGTTGTTGGTCCTTTTACCTCAAGCACGGACAGAAACACGCGTATCAGCGGGTACAAGACTGATGTTTTGACTACTATAGGTACAGCGTAACACGTCATCGCAGTGGCATCAGGAGTCGTGGGCGTAAGTAAGGACGTGTCGGTCATAGCTAACGACAGCAGCGATAGAGTGATAGAGCCAAATGAATCACAGAACGTGGATAGCAAAGCGAAGCGTGTGACGACAGCTGGTAAGTTAAGTAGACGATGACCTGGTCCACATACTGATCATTGAATTCGCTCGGATTCGAAGACACGGGACACACTTACAAGCACATGGAATCAGTCGTATCAGGCGGTATTTTGATTCGTTTCTTGAGACCTAGCCTTCTCCCCCTCTTGACCAGGCATGTTCATGCACAAGTGCCAGGTAAGCCTGTCAAATTGGCAGTCAGCGCTCATGCACGTCATCTGCAGCTACCCACCAAACCAAAGGAGAAACAGACGACACAAGGATCGACGCACCGCTCGAAGACGCGCCAAACCTCGTCCGACTCGCACTCATACACGGCGTGCGCGAGCCGGAGCAGCTCTGCGTGCACTTTCCACCACCGCGACGACTCCAGCAGGCGCACCTCCCACTCGGGCGCGCCCCGCTTGATCCGCTCGGCCCCCTCGAGTCGCTCTGCGATCAACTGCGGGAACCGCCCCTCGACATGTGAGAGGGACGCGAGCAGCTGAACGGGAGTCACGCAATCGACCAGCACGGACTCAAGCTTGCCCATGGGCGTGGTGGCCTGAACATTCTGAATCGCGATGTATTGCGCTGGTGGGGCAAGTGTGGGCTGGTACAGCGCGGATTCTGCGGGACGCGGTATTGGCGTGACTATGGGGATCGCTTGTGGCCCAGCAGCCGTTTCGAGCGTCGGGACGGGGGGACGCGTCGGGCAGGGCGTGGTGCTCTTAGAACGTGTCGGCTCAGTTGGAAGGAGGCTTTCCAGCAAGCGCTTTTGGGCCTGTAACGTCGCTAGGTTGCGCCTCGGTATTCTGGGCTGGAGCATGATCTCGGCTGGTTTGTGGCCCTCCGAGGTGCCATTGGGGATGACAGGAATTGGTGTTAAGTTTGTTACTGGAAGGGTAAACGGACGTGCTTTGGGGGTAACAGATTCTCGTAGCCAGTCGTGAGGAATAAATGAGGGTGCATTGGGGTTCATCGTGGTAAGGGAGAAGCTGGAAAGCGAGACCGGGAGGGACGGGAGGCGGTTGAACACAGTGGTCGTGACCGTGGCCACACCGTCGGCATTCTGCGAGGCCAAGTTCAGAACAAAGCGAATTTGTGCCATAGGTCGCCGTATTTGTGCAGTGGCTTTGGGACAAAGCGGAGTTCACTGGGGGTATTTCATCAGGGAAAAATGAAGTACTAGCCTTCACCGTACTTGCGGGGATCGGATTGTGAATTGCCTATCAGAATCGGAGTCGCTGACATGCTATGTTACAGCCAAATACGAAGCTATTAGCATAGATTCGCGACTACTAAGAGGAAGAAACCTCGCACCGTCTGGGTTAGCGTACGAGTGGGAAACAAAGCCACAAAGCCTTGTCACGTATGTGTGACGCACGCAGTGACACTAGGTCGGTGGCAGAAGACGACGGTGCATGCCAGAATGCATACAAACAACATCCAACAGGTATACATTACAGCTGCAAGAAAGCGGAACGTACATACATATCACAGCAGGTCACAGACCCGCCCGGTCGTTACTGAGACATCATCATCAACGGCGTTACAACGGGAGAGGTCTGAAAATGAGGAATTCCGGGATATAGTCGATAACGAGCGAATTGGTCCGACACAACATAGAGTCTTCAGAGTTCGGGCGATCGGTTCTGGGAGTAGGCACGCATGCATTCGACCAGGGGCGAATAAACTCGCTGGGCGCTACGCACGCTGGAGTCGAACGCGGCAGGGACAGCCTGCACGTACATGTCAGCATCAGAAGAGAAACAGATGATCAACTGTTCACGGACCGACATGGACTTGGCCATGGCGAGGTTGATGAGGAGGTCGGAGCAAGAGAGCTTCACGACCTCCCAGGCATCCTCGAACGCGGTGAGCTTCTCAGTCAGCTCGCGGCAATCGTCCTTGATCAGGGAGGCGGTACCGCGCGTGCCCATCCTGAGTTCTTCCTGGACTTCTGAGTCTACACGTGCGGATACTGTGAGTTGAAGAGGAACAATTGTACGGGAGAGAGCTCACATGGGTGGAAGCGGATGTCCGTGCGAAGGGGGCCAACAGAGAAGTGCACGGAATTGATGCCCGAGAGCAGGCGGTGAAACGTCTTGACGAGTTGTGTCAGCAACTTGTATAGCGCCTGCCAGATCGTCATGCACAGTCTGTCCCAGTTTCAGTGCCTATATGCGGCACGAGGAGGTAGGTAAACTCTCACTCCTCAAGACCCGACCAGATCTTGGTGAAGAAACCCTGTGATTCGGCCTGGCTGCGTAGCGCGGCAGCGATCTTGAGCTGGAAGGTCTCGACGTCCTTGCCAAGCTCGTTAAACTTCTCGGCAGTCTTCTTCGCGTTCTCTTGGTGGATCGCGATGGCCTTCCAGGGCGTCAGAATACAAGCTACGAAGCGAGCGCGCACTCGTACCTCCAGGAACCGCGTGACCATGATCCTCTTCTCTCGATAGGGCATCTTGGAGTGCGAGAGTGGGATAACCACCTCGACGAAGTCTGTGTCGGTTATGTCCATGATACACGGGGTAGCAATCACAAAACTAGTGGAGACATACTGTGGAGGAAACTTGCGCATTGCGAAGCGTTGTGTTGCGAATCACGGTACACCCTCCGGTGTCTCTGGCGAGCGGAACGTCTTTCCTTTAGTTTCCTATGAACGTGGATTGCCATGACTGACCTGACGCAGAGTGTTCCACTCCTCGGTGAGAGGGTGATGCTCGCCGATTTGCGGTGTTGTCTCCAGCTCGCCGGAGACGGATTTGAAGAGATTCTGTATCTCCTGCTGATCGCTCAGAAGGGTCGCGAAACATCTCTTGAGCTCTTCGGCATTGTCATTTCTGTATGGAGGGGGAGGCGTCCTTGCGCTGCTACCAGACATGGCTGTATGTGAGAGAGCAAGACAAGGACGGCGAGTAGTAGCCCATCCGACCAACGCGATTATACGCCATGAGGCAGCCACCGAGCGAATCATGTGACACCTACAACATGCTGTACCGCCGGGTGTGTGGCTGTGCATACTTCCTGCTTCTTGAGCTTTGACCTATATACCTACAGTAATGTCGCGACGCCTTTGGTCCACGTTAGTGTGATGAATGAAGAGTCTGACTCCGTGTTACCTCGAACGACGTCGACCGGGATGTTCAGTGCAGGTGAGCGCACAATTTCCGTTGCACATTAGAATCACTCTCCAGTGTGCATTATTTCCTGCCAGGGCTGCCTCATAGTGGGTTGGTTCATGAGTTATGGTTCTGTCACCGGCGCCAGTAAGTTCGTAACCTAGCTTCCACTCCACTCGCAGAATCATGTTGGGCTTAATGGATGCCCGCTTGACTATGAGTGTACTGACCGTGTATCAGACTTGAAGCCATCTTTCACGTCGCTATTCGTCGATCACCGAGACATACAGAGGCTCTTCGCAAGAGTTGCTACACAACCTAATATGATGCCTGAAATTGGGTCGTGTTACCCGCTCGGTGAGGAGTGGGAGATCCTACGCTAGGTCAGTCCGATTTCTGGCAGTTGTATATGTTAGGCTGCCGGCGACTTACTGTGAAGTTGTTGTATCGCATGACACTGAGTAGCATCCTACAGATCTTCAATGAACACAAGGCGAACGCAGAGCGATGTCCAATTTGATTTGGTAACCTGTGAAGACTCCTGTCCTTCATAAGCACGCAATACCATTGACATTGCCGTTGGTTTGTGTAGCCACGTTATGTGTGAAACATCCGTGCGGGAAGATTCTACGGACTTCATTCATAGTTGTTCATGATAGCAACCCCTCACATTTCGCCGCAATCCTGATAACCCGGGGCTAACCTGTCGCTGCCGGTTCACTGCACAGCGCATGGGGACAGAGGCTCAGAAAACGCAGCCGCGTGAGTTCTTATGCGGTTCTGCATCCACACGACGCGTCTATTGTCTGATCGTGTTCGAAGGTCGTGATCAAACTGCACTAGGCTTTGGGTGATATTGAATGAATCCACCTTCGGAACAGTACAACGCCCCGGGCCCACCCCGCTGTATGATAGAGACGACCAGGCTGTATTCTCAAGCTTGCCACACCCGTGTTGCTCAACGAGATCCAGCTGAATGCGCTTGATGACCTCGGAGTCGTCCCTGAGGCTGATAATCACCAATGAATTCAGAGGCGTTTCAAGGGCCTATGACTCTACTACTTAGGTGACTGTTGCCGCGCAGCAATTTCCAGTAGACACGTTGTCTGAGCTCGGCTCAGATTGTACGCATGTACTCCGAGTCCTATACTTCGCATTGGGTATATGGGGAGTGAATGCACAAGGGCTGGCAAAGGGCTGCAGACGTTCAGCTGGTCAAGGCATCAGGGAGACGCCTGATTTCAATGAGCGACGCGACGCGTCTGCCACCTGACCGTGTTGGGCTTACATAAAGTTAAGGTTCCGACTGCCATGCCTCTCAGAGACGATATAAAACCGAACGGCGTGGGAGGGCGCCCGCCCGCTCCTTGTCTAATGTCTTGCTCTCCGACATCCCCGCTATGCCTGACAGCAACATAACACCCCCACCCACATATACCGAACCCAGTGACCATGTCGCAGAATTGAAACATAGCTTCATGTCTCTCTTCACTGAGGACCAGGAGATACGGAGTCTCTTCGACGTCGTCACCACCCGACTAGAGACTACGCCCCAGATTGGGCCGGATCACCCGCTCGCTGAGGAATGGACAACCTTGCGCAAGGTCGGTCCTGCTTTTGGCGACAGCCAGAATACCATGTCCAACGTAACGGGCCCGACAGATGTATAGAGACGCATACAGGGATACACGGGCACAGGCAGATCGATGCGCGACCTTTCTAGAGCGTGAGTGACAATTGTACTAAGTCTGTTGTTTTCGATGATGACCGTATGTACAGACAGTCTTTCAAGATATCGTTCTTCCGCTTTCGCAATCTGAGTCAAGTGTTCCCTTACACGACAGAGTCGATATGGTTCAGCAATTTATAGCGGTATGTAGCGTCGATCCTTTTGTCGTAGGCTCCTTTCATTGCGCGTGCGCGTCCACAATTCCTTAGCACCTGCCAAGGGCGCAATGGTGCCAGGATCTATGCGGCAGCTTGCTTGGTCGCCCGTGGCTGTGCTTCACTTGCGATCATGCCTTACAATGTTCCAAAAACCGACGGTACTACAACTAGTGCACCGGTCAATCAGAGCGTTGTACAAGCATGCCAGTGCGACGCAGCGTTGCGTCCGTCCGACCTCAATTGCTTCTTGGCCCAGATCCTCTTCAATATACTGCTTCCCCTGAGCATTCAATAACTTCTGACAGATGATCGACGAATACAAGTTAGATGTACAAGCATGTTCGGATAAATTCAACGAACTCAAGGAGAGGATTCAATCTTTCGAAGACAGGCTACGCACAGAACCGGTTCGAACCGCCGAGCCTCAGGACTTCTTTGCAACACTTGGTCCAAAATCACAGAGTACGCCCGCCGGATGTGTTTGTGAGATGCAGTCTCTGACCAATGCGGGATAGCTTCTGTTCAGCCATTGGGAAGGCGATCAGCAAACTACTCGACCATTTTGTTACGTTGATTCGACAGCTCTTCTCGGAGGTGAAGTCTGTGCACATGTCGATGGGTAAGCAGACACTACCGAGACCAGCTATGCGCCGGTACACGACTTACACGTCATCTTACCCTCCAGGGCCTCTGCGCATGAGTGCGCACTTCGGCGATGGTAAGTACAAGTCATCTCACGAGCTCGCCCTGCCATTGCTCAGCGCTCAGATCCTTCTTCGCCTCGTCCCAGACTCGCGGATCTCGGAAGAGATTGAAATGAATCCACGAGGAGGCATCGCCGCGGCACCAGAAATCGACGATACCGCTCGCAGAATCGCAGAGAAAGTGAGCGCATCTGAGTTCGCCTGGGATGCTGTCAGGATGTCCTGCGATACGCTACGAATCCAGCTTCGCCTGGCAGGAACGACGCCGTCTGTAAGTCAATCATTTTCACATAGGCCGACTAGGACTGACTAGTGATACTCGCACGTAGGTTGCTCCTGATGCTGTCCTCCAGTCGCAGTTCGAGATGGTTGGGCTGCTGTATCGGCCTCTCGTCAAGAGCATGCGAGCGTATTCTGTGGGCAGGCCGCCCCAGGTTTGATTGCGCGGAGCTTGTCGCCTTGATGGCAGCCCGGATCGCCAAGCACCCCGACTCGCCATTGCGTGGAAGATACCTCGTTGTTGTGGACAGCGACCGAGGACCCGCGTCGATCGATAGTTTGTGAGCATCATGTTTCTTGGTTGCATACGTATGCTTTGTATGAATGTGTAGGCAGTTGTACATAATCCTATGCTTCAGTGACATGCATCATCTTTCAGATTGAATCCGCCTTGTGTCAATATCATCGATGCTCACTAGCACTGTATATGAGTTTGTATGCATTGTTGCGAGATGCTGGATTCGGACGTTTGGAGCGACGATCTCGTCAATAGTAGCATGTCGTTAACGCTATGCAAGCATGCTGTAATATATATACACGGAGAGACAGCAATGTAATGGTTTCCACAGTCATGGACAGCACGTACAGTTCAAATGTTCAACCACATAAGCACACCACTCGATCCAACCTCGCATCCTCTCCTCCTTCCTCGTTACTTCACCCTCCTATCCCGAGACAAGCTCAGGCCCAGGTCATGCGAGGACCATCATGCCCGAAAACAGACTTGCGACGAGCGAGACAAGGATACCCACAGCAAGCGCGGGGCCGTTCACAGGCGCGATGAGCGCCGCAGCGCTCGACGACGAGCTGCTGCCGCTGGACGACGATCCTCCCGACGAGCCATTGGCTGAAGCGGTCGACCGACCGGATGCACCCGACGACGACGCAGATGCAGACGCAGACCCGGACACCGAGATGGTCGCAGGAACAGAGGAAGAAACCGCCGCTACCGAGTCAGGTCACCCTACCGACACACAGCAGCGGAACGAGACGCACCTGAGCCGGACCCGCCCGCGTTCGTCGAGAGCGCCGCGAAGCCGACCGCGGCGGGGCTCTGGCGGAAGACGGAGTAGACGTTCTTGAGGAAGGTGTCGCCGACGACCCACGTGAGGCTGTTCGAGTCGCTCGGCACGTTCGACCCCTCCGAGAGCACGAAGAACCCGCCGAGGCAGTCCGTCCCCGCGCTGTCCACCGCGCCGAGGTTCATGTCCGCCGCGCTGATCGGCCACGCCTGCCCGCCGAACGCGATCGTCACGTTCGGTTTCGTTGTACACGCTGAGGGTAGGGGTTCAGTACTCAGCGGGGACGACGGGGGCACGAGCGGGGCGACTCACGGAAGGCGTAGTAGCCGGCGTACTGGCCGGTAAGGGCCTGCGAGCCCTCGATCTGGGCGTAGATCGCAGAGATGGCGTCGCTGGGGCCGCCGATGAGCGTCGTGCCCGTGTCAATCGCAGCGTTCGCGCTCGAGCTGCCGAGGCCGACAGAGTTCCCATTCACGGTGACTCCCGAGATGGTCAGCGTCCAGTACGTGGGGCCGCTCGTGTCCGTGAGGGGGTAGTACGTGATGTCGCCCGAGTACAGCGAGCCGTTCACGCCGCCGAGGGTGAACGTTCCTCCGGGCTCCTCCACCGATGCGGACATGTCGTCCACGAAGCGTGTGAGGTAGAACGCGAACTCGGGGTTCGCGAGCGAGTTCTGCCCGATGAGCGCCTGCCAGAAGGGCACCGCGCCCGTCGCGGCGAGGGTCTGGAACGCGAGCCCCATGATGCCCGTGACGTTCCCGTCGAGGAGGTTGGTCGAGACGTCGTCGACGACGAGGAACGTCTGCGAGCTCACCGTCTGCCCTGCGAGCGAGACGGTGTCGCTACCGAGCGAGCCCTGCACCTCACCCGAGCCGTACGTGATCGAGACCGCGCCATTGGAGCCGCCACCGTGCCCACCACTGGACGAGGTGGAGGAGCTGTTGGACTTGAAACTCGACGAGGAGGAAGAGTCATACTCGGGTGTGTCGGAGGGGCAGCCGGAGCAAGTTTTGGAAGCCAGCCAGAGGTCGGACGAGCCCGTGTCCATGATGACGGGGAAGGATTGGGAGGGCGTCCCGACGGAGATCGTGCCAATGTAAGACGAATCATAATCCTGGGTCAAAAAGTGTCAGCGCAGCCCAATTCAGTCAGAAAAGCATAGGGTGACGGAATACAGTCATCCGCAGTAGCATCACCGTGTCTCGTCTGGGCACACGAGCGCATCAGGGGTCCCAAGTGTTCTGGACGCTGCAGAGAAATTGAAAGCTTTTGGGACCCGTAACGGTCGACGCCGCCCGACCAAGCATGGGATGTAGTTCACAACCCACGACGGGGCCCACAGTCGCCCGAGCGCAAGGACCCCCCATCTTCGGCTTCATCGTCCACCTGCCGAGGCGCAGAATGGAGCCTCGAACCTCAGCAGCCGGAATCGCGTTGGCTCACATCCGACACAGGCCAGGTCCTCTGCGTTTGACACATCGTGACCCTTCTGGTGAAAACAACAATAAAAGACCTGGCGCAAAGTGCGACGGCACTCCAATTAGTACTGCATTCATAGTCGCAGTCGTACACTGTCACCCCGCTGAGCAGCACTAGCGTGAAAACCTACTAATTCAACCACAGGACGTGCTTGGGTCCCTGTTTGCACTGCTACATTGCGTAGCAAGTCACAGAAGAACGAACAGCCGCCGGACAACATGCCTAGCTAGCCAAGCGTGGAAGTGACCGCACGGGGCGATCCGCACGCATATCCGATCATACATTCGACATGAATGCGCAGTGCGCAGCAACAAGGAGGGCGGTGGGGCAGGCAACGGGCACCACCAGCCCAGGCATACTCGAGTCCAGGATACAGAGTTGTGCTAGAATCGCACGCCGATAGAGTTGGTGTTCGCGCTTGGATGCGCAGTTCCTGCCTGCCTTTGCTCCGGGCCATGGCTCGAGCATGATGCCCTTTGCATTGCAGGACGTGTGCACCCATGGAATGAACGAGCATCCGGAAAGGTGCAATGAAGGTGGGGCGAACTCCCGGCCCATGCCCTAGAACAGAGCACACGAGCTGTACATCCAATGTGCATGACGATCCTATTTCACAGCGTCCCTCGACATGACACGGAAAATCATGGGCGCCCTGCCTGACGACCGACAGGCGAGGTAGGGGAACAATGCTCACCTGGTTGGTGAGCTGCGTGCCCACGGTCTCGCCTCTCTTCCTGAGCTTGCTCGCCATGGTCTCGAAGCCGTACTTGCTCCTGACAAAGTCGCCGGCCGCGGGGTACCGGCTGACGTCCTTCACGCGCCGGCCAGTGGCTCTCTTGGAAAGCGGGACATGGATGGGGTCCGCGAGCGCGAGCGCGGCGAGAGAAAGCGGTATCCAGGCGGTCGCATGGACCATGGTGGGAGAAGGGTAAGTAGTAGATGGGGGAGAAAGAGAAAGAGCGGGTGAGGGAAAGAGGGGCAGCGGGAGGACGTCGGGATATAGACCGTGGAGTCGTCTGCACCTCCGCAGCCGCTCTGCCCAGCCAACAGCCGCCCGTCCCTCGATCGCCGGGCGCTTCGGCGCCACGGCGCACTCCCCTTTTAGCTTTCTCCTCCTCGACGCCACCACCTCTCCCACTCTCCCCGCCGGCCGCCGCCTTCCCCTCGCTGCGCGCAATATCCTGCGCATTTTCTTCCCAATTTCCTGGGGGTATCTCTCTGGCGGTTGCTGCCCACGTTCGTCGCCGGTGCCTGGCCCGACGATGCATGCATAGCCTTCGTTGTTGTTCTTGTCCTGCCAAGTAGTCCCCCTGCCCAGGTCTCCAACCGTCATGCCTCCGAACAAACGCCCCCCCTGCCAAATCTGCAACGCAACAGAGTCAAAGTACACCTGCGCACAGTGCAGGATCCTCTAGTACGCCGCGTGTCCTCTCCGACGCACCCAAGCTGAAGCCGGCGGGGCTCCAGCTGCTCGATTGCGTGTTACAAGACCCATAGAGGTACGCGCCCGTGCCGCCTTGGCCTTGGCCCAAGTACAAGCTGTCTCATCCTTATTCTTCGCCTATTCCGACAGCATCCTCGTGTCAGCCTCAGCCCGCGCCTCCGTCGAATCATACGACTCTCGACAGCGGTAACGAACAACACGTTCAAGTCGCGGGCCCGTCCACGATCGACCTTGGCCAGCAACTGAGTCAGACAGGCATCCTCGGCGCGGGTCACTCTGGCTTGGATGACGCGCCGAGAAGCAGGGACGTGCACGTTGAGACACCGTCAGTACCGCTCCGACCACTCACGTCACTAAAATGGCCCTACGTCCCTGAAGAGTCTGCGTACCCCGACCCGCTCAAACGGGATGACCCAAAACCGCTACAGCTTCACCAATATGAAGGCATAGGTAAGGCTCGTTGTATTGCGTGTTCGCTCGTCCGCTCTGTGATTGTCTTCCTCCTTCAACGATCTGTCAAAAGTGCGACGGCAATCATCTCGCACGTTCAACACAAATGGCGGTCAGATCCGTCTGCACTGTGGATCATCTCTGTCACTGCCAATCCAAGCCCTGTTTTAGGGACGATCACGTACTCTCCAGTTCGCCTGGCCGCATCGCACTGCGCCCGCCACACACACCCCACCCTACCGGTGTCGACACATCCAGAACGACCATCACATCGCATGGGCAGCTGCACAGACAGGCAGAACTCTACCTTCGCAGCCGAGACCGACGTGTCAGTGTCTCAGCGGTGCTCCCCCGCGAGTCAGCAGCGTGCCCCCAGTCCGCTCGCTCGCGCGGTGACCCAGAAACACCACTCCGCCACAGCACCTTGGACAGATACATATTATCGTCTTCACCGCACCCCCCTCTCCCCTCCTCCGTAGCCTCATCTTGCTACCCTCGCTAACCCACTCGTTCATGCAGCGACCTCACCCTCCATCCGCCGCACCCTCGCCGCGCACCCCCGCCTCCCCACGCTCCTCCGCCAGATCGACGCCCTCCGCGGGCCCGCGCGCGAGGCGGCGCTCGAGCGCGCTCTCGGTGTTGCCGACCCGAGTCCGAACGACACAAGAGGAGGCGTAGGGCGGGGCGAGGACGGGGAGGACAAGAAGGCGCTGAGGGAGCTCGCGGAGGCGGTGGAGGCGGCGGTGAGGGGTGGCCGGGAGGGGATGTTGGGCTTGGATTGGGGAGATTGAGTGTTCGAGTGTCGAGTGTGGTGTGGTCCTGAAGTTGGGCAGAGTAGTGGTACTTTGTAGGTGGGATAATGGGATGGGGCGTACGAATGGAGTGGATTCGAGTGATGCTCGCACCGCGGTTGTTTCGATGAGTGCGGCTTGCGTGGCTGAGCCTCTGCAAGGAGCCGGCGTATGATGCATGATGTATGCTATATGATAGCTGAATGTGCATAATTAGGTCGGCCCGGCTCCCAGTCCTCCTGATCCTCTTCGGTCAGCGGTGGCTGACCGCGGCGCGCAACGCGTTATGTACGCGTTGTTTGGTTCGCCTTCCGTTCCTGGCAAGCGTAGACGTTCAACTGCAGTCTTTGTGAGATGGCCTGGAGACGGATGCCCGCCCCATGCGCCCATGGTACCGAAACCCTCTACGATGGTAGAGGTTCAACCGAATCCACGGTGATCAATTGACGGTCCCTCACTCTGATGACAAGAGGCCTGGCTATCCGCGTACTAGCGGGTACTGCGAAACGCCGCCGTGCGGACAGTTGCACACCGTAGTCTCGTAGAACGCAACAAGGACGACTGATGCTGGTAGCAAGGGTCCGGGTATACATGCAGACTGTTGAGAACACTGTGTCGCACTTTCGAGGGATGGTGGCACCGGGGGTGGTCTTCTGCGCCTCAGGCTGTAATTCTACTAACTGCAACGGCCCTTCTTGCATTCAGACACGAGTGATCATCCATGGATCATGGAGGCAGATGTAGAGTACAACTAATTCAGACTCTCCTGCGCACGGTATTCCAGCGACTGTCCCACCGACAAGACTGCGCAACTTCTAGGCTACACTACCGTGCAGAACGCCACAGCGACTTGCGCCATTACAATGCCACGAACCTCGAGCGACATGGCGAGCATCATAAATTGCGTTTGATGTCGTACCTTATCTCTTCAGACTCTTCGAAATCCCACAACATCTCGAACGCCAATACCGTGACTTGAGTCGACTTGTATCAATGGGATGCCGTGAATACAATCACCCGTTTTCAAATATATTGCCTCACCTGCTCCCCGGAGCACTTCTCAGCCTGCCTATCGCGGCCCCTCTTCGATGTTGCCTCCAAATTTGCTAACACCCTATAACACATTGCGGTAGACGGTAGCGACAATCATCCAGCGGTTGATCATCTAAAATCATACTGATCGCGTGCTCACCGGCCTTTCATTACAGGTACCGCTTGAGATCATTGTGGAGGACCTAGGAGCCGCGCTTCCGTTGCCCAAATACGCATATACCAGTCTCGATAACGCTGGTCGGACAATTCCCTGTCTATATATGACTTCCTTGACATCTAGGGAAGAAGACCTAAGGGAGCTCACAGCGGCGGGATCTCTTGCGAGAGCGGGAGCCTGTTGTCGAGCTGTCCACAGTGGTCAGCACGCTGGCCGAGGGCCCTTGCCCCGAGGGTGTTCCACTCTTCGCATCATTGAACAGCTATATGTTCATTAGCGGAGAGGCAAGTCTAGATTTGCATCTGTATGATTGTGCTCTTGAAGCGTGACGTGATCGTTGCAGGTCTTCGCGGCTTTAATGGAGAGCGAACGGTTGCATGAGGTAGAATCGACGACGGTGTTCTTTGACGAGAACCCGCATCCCATGGATCCAAACGAAGGGGCGTATACAACCAGCATAATGAGGTATTCTCGTGATGTATTCCGATCATGTTCAAGGCAGACTCGGAAGCATCGAGCGAAGTCCCATGCACGACACTGAGCTCCGTCCTCTTCGACGGACCTCATATTTACACAGATGTGCGTACTATGCGAATTTGTGGTGGAAATTTTCTGTCGACTATGGGCTCAATAATCGACCAGCCATGTACCAAAAATACCACGTACCTCGCCAATGTCTTGTGTATAGACACACCTGCATATCAGTCTATCAGACACTAAGGGCCCCAAGCACACCGAGTGAAGACTGATACAATTAAGGTATGGTACAGGTTGCCCGGCATCTCGCGAGTGGGTTGGCGCCCAAGTACAAAGGACCAGCCACAGTCGCGTTCCCCCAGTTTCACTTCCCTCTTCGCACCTGCATTATCCCGCCCTCAGCGTTGCGCACAATCATCCATATCCTGGCTTCATATCGTCATTATACAATGCCGACAACGATCCATCCCGATCGCGAATTCATCCACCTGCCGGATATGATACCCACCGACAACGCCACTGCGAAGACGCGCACCCTACCCTCTTCCGACGCGATGTCGCAGCAGCGCGTCGATGAGACGCAAAGTGCTTCCTATTGCGTTGGTGTGCCTTACAAACACAACGTGAAGGCTCGACACCAGCGCAGTTCATCTTCCGGGACCTCATCCGACATGAGCTCCTGGAGTTCACAAGCATATACGACGACCGACAGCCATGCCAAAGCGGTAAGTGAAATGACCACCTGGAGTCGTAAATGCATGTGTACTCACGGATGTTGTGCGATAGCCGGTCCCCCTTCAGGACCGGAACGGCAATACCCTGGCGAACCATCGTCGCCCCGAAGCGCCACCGACCTTCCTTGGAGGGGCCTTCCTCAACCCGGTCTGGGTCAACACCTCCCGTGTCGGCTTCGGCCATGTCGACCGCGCACACACCCACATGCTCGAGCCCTTCCGGGTTCCAAGGGGTGCGATCCTCAATCCCGTATGGATCGACACCCCCGGTGTCGGACGAGGGAACGTGTCCGGTGCCCGCGCAGACCTCGAGCCTTTCAGGCCCAGCCTTGCCGAGGGTGCGCCTTGGCCGAATTGCCTCAGCCGCCAGAGGCAGGCGACCGCAGCCCCGCTGGAGCGTCCCCCAAAGTCTCCTGTGTACGATTATGGGGGGCCTCCGACGACCTCGACTGGGCTGTCGCGCTCAGCACCTACGACGGCCTCAATATCGAGGAGACGAAGCATGCCGTTGACTTCCTGTCCCTGTGGAAGAGGAAGTCGGAGAGCTTAGCCAGACGGTACGAGGTGCAGTATCGGAAGGCGACGAACGTGGTCGAAAGAGCTGGGGAGGTGTTGCTGGAGGAGATACGGATGGAGGATGCCCCGAGCTTGCTGCTCGCATCGTTGGAGGAAGACACGTCAGCCGAAGTTGTCGACAACACCTGGCCTGATGACTTCCAGACGCCGTCGAAGTTGGACAGCATCATGCCTGGCCTCGCCGGATTAGGCGAACACTTCGAGGATTGAAGGGACGTTTTGGGGGGTTGAACATACGGCGCATCGAAGAGAGACGCAACGCAAGGTCGTGGCTATGTTGGCCGCCGAGAGGTGTATGAAGAATTGGGGAGAAGGGTTTCAGCGAAGTGTATGTATCGGACAGCATTGTATTTGTTTCGTGATAGCAGCTACCTGTGACACAAACCAACGCGTTCTCGACAGCACTGTTCGCGTGTCCGTGAATATCTGACTAGCCACGTAAGCGCCTACGTTTGAAAGGTCGGCAACAGCGCGACGCACCTGTGAGCTTCTGCCCTCATCATCAACGAGACACAACCAAGGCATCACTTCCTGCAGCACTTGAGTCAATGCGTTCAACACAGGAACAGGCGAGTGAGCTCACCGATCGTCTACTTCATCTGAGTAGCGCAGTCGAACGCTCACCACTTTCATCCTAACTCCGAGTATCGGTGGTGACCCTTGGAGTCGACAAAGTACGAAGGCCGCCTGTTATAAGGCTGCGCAAGGACAACGGACACCGCAGAAGCGGACAGCCATTCGGTAAGATTGGTGGTCATTAACCTCAGGAACAGAAACTATGCTTACCAGGAGTTCATACACGCGGCGGTATACAGCGCAACGTCGATAGGCTGATTACTAGCGGAGTACGCAATGATGGATCGCGCGAACATGCTGGGTTCCTCGTTGTAGTCCATCCGTGGCAAGTCCAGCACGGGAAGCTACCTTCAGGTTGACGATAGCACGCGTCTATGGTCTTTGAAGAGTGGATCTGGTGCAGAGGAGCTGCTCCGCCTTATTCCTGGGATGCAACATATCTCCAGTGTGAAGACGAAGGTACTACGACTGTGCGAGCGGGAAAATATACGCTGACAGGCGCAAACTGTCATTCACAAGTACTGGCTGACGGTGTTGACGAACACCCACCTAAACTTGTAGAGCATTCTTGGATAGTCTTTCGTGTTTTTCCGATGAGGGAATGACCTGAAGTACGGATTTGGTTCCTATACGGCTGTACCAACGCTCGAGCACAGTCGCGCTGTAATACGCTAAGCTCGCCACAGGCCGGTGTGGCTTGGGCCACCATCGCGTAAGCGCCCAGCATAAAGACCGCCACCGACCTGAACTCGACTTGCACATTCTTGTCTTTGTCCTCCACGACAACAACGGAGCAAAGCCCCTTAGACCCTACAAAAACTTCTCCAATAACTGATCAGCCTACAATGCGCGCGACATACTTGCTCTCACTTACCAGACGCGACGCGAAGGCAAAGGCGAAGGCAAACCTGAATCCCGCGAATGTGGCGTACGCTCAACCGGCCACCGTCTCGCGTGCAAATGGTGGACCACCCTACGCCGACGCATATACCAGCAGCACGGAGAGCCTCGCACGGGCCGACGAAGCCAGACGTATCGCGATTGAAGACAACGCCACTCCTCCCAATGTGGCCGCAGCGTCCTCGCACCAGTACTCGCGTACGCGACGCGTCCCAGACTACGGCATGATGCCTTTTCATGACTCCGCAAGAGATGGTCATGGAGCTGTGGAAGCCCAGCATCGCCGTCGTCGAGCCGATCGTCTTCGCGGCGCCTCGACCGACGCGGCCTCCGAAGGTTGACAGGGCGAACATATCCGCCATTGTTGACCACGATTGGGAGGTCTGGAGAGGTGGTGTGCGCCTACAAAGCACAAAACAAAGTACGGTCAACGACGACCGCCTGGTAAGTGACCATGTGTAACCGTACTCGGCTTTGTGCTTACCTTGGGTATGCGTCGTGCAGGTGGATAGCGAGTTTGCTTCCTGGCCACCATTCCTACCGCATCATTGCGAGACGACGCGACCGACACAGCCGATGGCTGCGGGGCCTACGGCCACCAGAGCCCCGTCCACTCAAACGCTCCAGATCGTTGCTGTCGATATGAACTCGGCCCGGCTGGTCGACGTCAATGAACAGTCGAATGTACGCTCCCTGTCGGAGGAATCGGACTCATCCTCCGATACGGCGAGTAGTATTGGCCGCGAAGATGGATTCTGTGTCCAAGGAAAAGAGGATTGGGCGTACGGGCGAGCCGCTGTCGAGCCGCTTGTGATGAAGACTGTAGACGGCCCGTTGCGCGAATGCGACTGGATCGACTGTCCATTCTGCCCTTCTTCAGTCGGTGAGGCAGCCTTCTCGGGAGGGGACGCCATCAACCTTGTAAGCCGCGCGAATCAAGACAAGTCGAAGGCGCCGCCGAAGGAGAGCGCGTCGCGAGCACGGGCGTCCGGACGCTCTCGACTTCGGGCTGGCCTACCGTCTTCAGGCAACAAGAGGACCTCAGCAAAGACTCGTCACGTCGAGACAGGCTGCACCCCAGCGAGAGAGAAAGGGTCCCGAGCGTCGCCCTCTACGAAAGACGTCTCCAGTTGCCCGCGACCTTGCGACTGGATCGATTGTCCGATCTGCGAGCAGGCCGAGTTCACGTCGACCGCAGCAAAATGCGAGGCTGCTGGACAAATTTGGCCTGGAGAGACTGCAAGTCGCAAATCATCAGACCGCAAGAACAGCAAAAAGGAGAGCAGGGAGTTCTATAGGGTTGCTGTAATGTTGGGCCTAGTACCCGAGCTATGACTGCGATACGTGCGCTCAGGGTGATCAATTTCCCCATCTAGTTGACTGTCTCACCTATATTTGTAGAGTAGGCTGCCGTTGAAGAGAACAGCCCAGTCCTTGGATCATCGTCTGAGGTCGGTCATGAATTGATACAGTCGCGAGTGCCAGCAGTGGCCAAACGACCACCATCGTCATGAGACGATAAACTGGGTCACAAGCGATACTGGAGCTGCTGGCGAGGTCGACCTGCCCGACTAGGGCGAATATATACATGTCAGGGGCAATTTTTGCGAGGAGAAAGGAGAAAGACACAAGGAAGACTTAGGAAGACAAGTGAAGTCGGTGAAGGACGACGTATCTTCCGATTACAGTCACTACTTAGGGGAGGCACGGACCGATGTATTGATGCTTGATTGATGCTTCAAAAAGTGTATTGCGTTGTTTCTTATCAACTCTTATTGTGGCATACAAAGCTACTTATGGTGTGGCTTGGTGTCAATAGTAAGTTGAACGTCCTCAATCTTCCTCTCCTCATCTCATGGACCACGCCGTTTATAACGGCCACGAACGCACGGTTGTCGGAACATTCAATGTCGCATACGTTACACAGCCGCTATGCGCTGAAGAGCGTACTACGGTACGAGCTTCAAGTTGACCGGAATTCGGGCGCGCCACTGCATTCCCCTCAACCTGGTTCCAACGGAAGCTTCGTGCCTGTCCCAGGTCTGGAAGCAGATTGGACTAGCAGCTATGTACCACGGGTGTGCCTTGGGATGTGCCAATAAAGCACTCGCATTTGTGAAGAACGGTCTTCATCGCTCTCCCAGTCGCCATTAGGCGTCTTGTTCCGAGAACGAAAGCCTGCGCTGCCCGCCTGCCTTGTGCAGACTCCATGGTGTGCCTTGTGTAGCATCGATATGGCCTTCAAAGAGCTCGAGGACCCTAAGGAACCGCACGGATCGTTATAAACGATGACATGTATATGTCCCAAAATGTGCAGAAACGTTGACGGTTAGACGTTCCATCGTTACTTACAGATAGATTTGGAGAGGAGAGTCAAAGAAGATGAAGGGCCAATCGTACCGACGTCCGGGTCCGTAGTCACATTCCCCGTCCGCCTGTTCGTCTGCTACATTGGTTTGAATCCCCGCCAGCGTTTGCATTGTCTGTCTTGCACAAACGATGACTCCAGCCTGAGCCGTGCCACGCGAGTCTTCTGCTTTAGGCGAACAATATCGTCTGTGTGAGCAGAATTGGTTAGCTGAGTGGCTCGCGGCAACCTCCGTGGACCTGCGAAACAGCCACAGCTGGCCACTCATAGTGAGACCGTCTGCTATAAAAGCGAGCCATGGAGAAGGCAGCGTACAGCAAACTGGCCCGCAGTCGTCGCTCCACATCTTCTACCACTCCTGCCCGCCATGTCGAGGTTCGGCAAGGTCAACCCTTGCGTGGACTACACGTTCACTCTCCAGGACTATGTCCTGGGCGGCAAGAAGTTCGACGCGCTTCCGTCCGAAATGAAACCATAGTCTCCAGGTTCACGACAATGGATCCGAAACTCACCAACGACCCGAAACGTATCGTCACCCATAGGGTTGCATTGAGGCGAGGGCTGCTCAGAGACCTATTGGCTCTAGACGACCGCATCCGAACACGCCGCGACGCGGTTCGAATCCAAACCTACGAAGCCGGGCGGACTTCATTTCTGCGATGGTGGCAGGGTGCGCTGCGGCAAGAGCCGATTAACCAAATCATGCAGAACGACCTGAAGAGGAGGAACAAGTTAGTGGCCGCGTTTGTGATGCATATCGACGCGCTAGTGTGGCTGGAGACGTTCGATCGCAGCGGCTCGCCGCACAGGAACCCAGCCGAGATACGCGAGTATCGAGACGAGTTCCTCACGCCCGTCGCGGAGGTAGTCAACCATTCGCTCATGTTCCTGGGCGAGTACATTCTGTCCCCTTCAGAGGACGCGGCGTTGGATGGAGATAGCGCACTCTGCGAGGCGCTCGACCGAGACGAGTAGAGCCCTCTGCATGGATTGCGCTCATCCGTGGCACGCATTGTAAGCGATGAAATCTGCGTGCCCTCTGACACTGACAGAGCTGACGAACCGAAGTTCACAGGTGGTTGAGGATCTATGATTTCAAAAGCAATATTCAGCAGTAGCCGTACGATCGATTGCATTGTACTCACTACGTATCGTACGTACAATGAAGACTGGGATCCATGGGATATGATTCAGTGCTAGTTGTGATGAGCGCAGCGCTCTTTCCCGAATCCTGGGCTATCACCAAACCTGGTGTAGTGTTCAAACCTGTCAAACATAGCCAGAGTCCCGTCTCTGGGACAGCACTCGTCTCTGTAATACCATCAATACCAACGCCGGGTCTCTGAGAAGCGAACGAGCAGTCTGCAAGCTGGGTGTGTAAGTACTGTACGTGCTGGCAGCGTCGGATCCGGCTGGGGTGGTTGGCGCCTGTTTGCGTGTATTTGGAGCCTCAGAGACACTCAGTGTGGCGGCAACAGACCAAGTCGTAGTCGACTCTCGCATCAACCTACTCAACCATGGAGGGCAGAAGCCTCGACGAGCAGGAGAAGGAGATCAACGAGGTCCTGCGCAAGGCCTTCAAAACACCAGCAAAGTCCTCTCATGTAAGCTACGAGCAGTACATGATCTGCGTTGTCTCATACGATGCGGGCAGAGAAAAGAGGCCATGAAGCGGCTCATTGAGCTAGCGCGTTCCTCCCACTCAAAGCTCAAGATTGTGGTGGCCCAGAACCTCAAGGTTTTCATCAAGGACTTCCCCGAACTTGAAGACGACGCTATCAATGCGGTGTATGACCTCTGTGAGGACCAGGTGATGAAGGTATGCAGCCTCAGATCTCGTATCGGAGTACAAGGGACAATGTCTTTCTTGCAGGTCCGAATGTGCGGGTATAGAGCGATCGCAGACGTGTCAAAGGAGCAGCCAAAGTGGGTGAAGAGAAACGCGGACGTGCTGGTGCAACTACTTCAGAGTGGTGAGTCTTGCTTCCTGATCTCTGTTACCGGCTTGCAGCGTCGCCCGCAAGTGTCGCTGTCTACTACACCATTCGCCACTAACGTGCTCCCCATGTACCAGATGAACAAGACGAAGTCTCAGTCGTCAAGCGTATGCTGTCTGAACACCTCGACATGGATCCCGCCGTCACGCTGGGCGTCCTCTGCGATCAGATCGTACCACCTGACGAACCTATGGACGAAGAGGAGCAAGCCATCCGGACTCGGCTCCGTTCACTGGTGCTATCATTCATGACAGGTGAAGCCAAGCGCGCTGTGGAACGACATACAAGTACACCCGGGAGCGCCGCGGAGGAGACGCTTGTCACAGGACTGTTAAGGGTGCGTGTGGTTGTCAGTCCGGGCCTCGATGCCGGCTAACACAAACGCCACAGGCAGTTGATAAACTGACCCCGGCAGATATAGACATCATTTCGAAGGATATCCTGTTGTCATTGCCGTCATTCAAACCAAGCTCGCCTCGCGGCAAACAACTACTTGATGCTGTCCTGGAGAAAGCCAAAGGGTCTCTCAAGGCCGACCTCCTGGCCGCTGAAGCACACACGCCACTGACTCGTTCTCAATACTACTTGGAGCTTGCTTCAAATATCGCCGTACGGAAGCGTGTGGCACACCCCTCACATCTGCTGCGGTTCTATTTTACATCACAACTGGCCGCAAAACCCACTTTGCTTAGGCTCACTGAGGACGCTCAAGCGTTCATACAATCCAATGTCGCCGATACTCTTGCCGCCTGCCAAGCCAGCCCCCTCGAAGGTGCAAGCATGACGCCGCAAGAAGATGCGACGTTGCGTAGGCAAACACCCCATGTGTGCCACAACTACCTACAGGTATGGATAATGTCACGGCGATGCATCCACAAGCTGATCTTCGCCCGCAGGTATTCTCCGAGACGAAGTTCACCGCTGAGCAACGACCATGGAAAGCCTGCCACGTCTTCCTGAAGACATGCCTACGAGTGAGTACCTTGTCCGCAGGCCACCGTCTTACCAACGACTTGACGTCGCAGCATCATGATGAGTACAAATGGGCCTTGCCCTCACGTCTGGGGACCGACCTCCAGAACATCCAGAACCTGCTCGCCGCGCAAGGCCAAGACGCGAAGGTTGACGACGAGCAGGACATCCAGAGTGTCATTAGGGTTCGCAATGGGCCGTCTTTCATTTTAGCTGCTTGTCTCCGACACGTTTCTCTCTTCTCTTTGAGCAGTCTCTCCAGTCTATTGGCAGGCCCCCCGTGCCTACACCGGCGGCACCCGCACCTACTAATGCCTCACAAGGTACAAGTAACAGCACCAGCCCCGGCAGCGCCTCCCCGACTAAGGCGGAGCGGCGCATCATGAACGTCAAGCGCAAGCATGAAGACAAGCCTGCGAATTTGCCGCCTCGCCCAACGGCGAGCACGACGACAGGCCCGACGAACGGGGTGACCGCAACACCGTCGACGTCGCGGACGGCCCAGCAGCGTGCATCAACGTCACAACCACGCCCACAAATGGGACTGTCCATCGCAGGCGCTGCTGCACGCAATGGACAACCTTCGACACCACAGGAAGACGAGCTACGGGCGGCGAAACGGGCGAAGAAGGGAGGCGGCATCGACGAGTCGCCATCGCTGCTGAGCCGCCTGGCAACACTACCTTCGAATGGTAGCATAACCGGAGACCGTGGAGCGGACAGTGGGAAGCGTCGCTTGGACTCTGCACCAGTTACAATGACGCAGTCACGCCGTCAAGAACCAGACAAGAACCCCGTGGTGGGCTTCAGCATCAAGGGCGCAGCGAAAGCCGCGACTACGGATAGTGGGCAAAGTAACCCAACGCCCAAGTCGTCGTTGCTGGCTAGGATGCAGGGGGATGAGCAGTCGGGAGGACAGAAGAGAAAGAAAAGGACTAAGACATCCTAATATCTGTTGTACTCGTACCTTGCGAGGTTCGTCGATAGCATTGCGGCGACCCGTCCTATCGAGCCGTGCCATTGGATCCGATCCGAAGTCTATATCCGTGTGTTATAAGTTACATGAGTGAGAATACACAGTGGACCAAGAAGGCGACGTAAGTAGCGATCAGTAGGAATCAGTACGACGCAGCAGCAAGCATGTTAGACGTCGCTGGGCGTATCGATGACGTTGAATAACGCTTCGAATTCTTCCCTTGACTGTCCAATTACACCGAAGACATCTTGCAGGGTATGCCCGAGGAAGTTGAGCTCTTGTATGACGCCTTTCATGGTGAGCGCGTAGGCAAAGAAGAGGAGCTGCCTCGATCCCCGTACGTCTCGACTACGGACAACGTCGAGCTTCCTAATCGCGTCAACCTGGCCATTGTTTGGACATCAGTTCGCCTCTTCTCACAGTACAACGATGCTAACTGACCAGACGTAGTCGCGCCTCCTCGGCGGGAGGCAGATACGGAGGAAGGGGCGACTTCAAGGCAAACGCAGCGGATAGGGTCGAGAAATAGAGGATAATATTCCCAACCATCTCGCGTCGTTCCCTGTTCACGGGCAAGATGAAGTCGCGACGGACGGTCTGTGAACACACGTAAGAAGCAATATGACCAACATCGCGATGTGGTATTCACCGTATGCCTGGATTAAACGTCAGTTGTCGAGCTGACTGAGAATCTGTCAAGGCACACTTACCATTCCTCCCGCGCCGTCACACACCGCATGCTGTGCAATTGATCCAATATCTTCTGCAGACTTGTCAAGATTGACCGATACAAGGCGACCGGGAATGGGCCCTTCCAACGAGGCTCATGTTGCGTCTGAGCCAGCAAACCTTGGATTTCAATCAGCTTGATCTGCAGATGCAACTCCCTATGTATCGACAGTCAGTCAGAATCGTGTGGTATGAATATGCAATACTGTGCCACCCACATGGCCATGAAGTGATGTATGGAGTTGGTAAGATGTGCGTTTCGCGGCTGCGGCATGAAAGGCGATGATTCTTCAGATTCATCGTCGGCATCATCCTGCATAGCTCGCAAGTCGGCATCGGCAAACGAGTTGAAGGCAACCAAGCGGGTATATAGCCATCCCATATTGAGGCAGAATCTGGTTGAAGAGTCAGCATGGTAATAGGAGGAAAGGCGGTTGTCGCGCTACTCACTCTCCAAGAGCTTTACTCAGAGCGCGTCGTGCCTCCGTCGGCCACCAGTAACGCGATACAATGGCTGCCCAGATGACCCCGATTGTGACGGCGACTGCGCGATGGTAAGCAATCTCGAGAACATCAACATCCTTACGCCGCAAATTGTAGCTGGAGGGCGACAGAGTCAAATGCCACAGTAGCGATCAGGTATGAGAAAACCATACCAATACAGACACGTCAGGTTGTACGTCAGCAGCACAAACCTGGACGATGTCGCATATTGTGGCTTGGCTACGATGTAGTAGAAGCAAGGGATGGAGAAGAAGAACCCAAAGATCGAGAGGGCATAGGGATTCTCCGGGAAAAGCGTCCAGATGCCAGCTGCAGTTGCTGCGCCGAAGCTGGATCGCAGGTCGTGTCAACTCTATCAATTGGTAGAAGTTGCCGTAGACTTACAGCGTGCCTAGCACTCGGTGCACTCCCATGAAATTTGTCTTGTGATTTTAGCATATATTAAGTAGCGCGCATCGATCGAGAGGTAGACTTACTGCTCCAATAGTTGGGGATATAACGACGAAGAACTAGTGGTGGATTATGAGGACGAGAGCTAACCTGGTTGAGGGGCAAGACCTACCGAGATTAGGGCCCACTCTCCGCGATAATGCAAGAACAGCGGCCGTGTAGAGTCGAAAAAAGCAGGCGCAGCAAGCATCGCAGTAGCCATTCCGGCCTTGAAAGCATACTTGATGTCAGGCTCCCTTAACCGCGCGCCGATCGCCCACAGCGATTGCTTCAACCGACCGATCAGTGATAAGTTTGATCGTGCAGGGGTCTGCATAGTATTCGGGGCGTGGGGCCGGATCTTCGGGAACGCTACAGGATCGCGTCGTGGACCTGGGTTAAAATATACAGCTGTGCAAAAATGAGGCCAACAGCACTGAGGGTCAAGTTAACCACGCACAGAATCGCTTGCTGAAACTCCTTTCATTACGTTTGTTCTGTGAGGCACGCCGCGGGCCAGATATACTAATGGCGTCTCGCAGCCACTTCCACTTCATACGCGGACTGGCACGTTCGTGTTCCGCCGCATATAGTCGTTCCAATGCATCAACGAGAGCGATGAGCTCCTTCGAGAACTCTTGCAGGGTGAAGATGAAGCTATCGTGCGTCGGTGTCAGAACCCGGAGACGGACCGTCCCAATTGCAGCGAAGTACTCACAAATATACCAGGAAGACACTCTCGCCATCATTGTCCATTAGCACATGATTTTCGTAAAGCGCCGAGCCGTATGAGTCTCGAGACTGTGTACCAGACATGTTCTGCTGGCGTCTGTACATCCGAACCACGGCGTGGTTGGACGTGCTCTCGAATGTAAAGAGAGCCCTCCGAACAACATCCGCAAGCTGCTGGAACTCCGCAGAGGTCATACGGTTTACGGGATCTTTACGCGCGGTAAATCCGTCTTTCAGCCTCTTGAGCGTCGTTATGCAAGCTGTCTGGTAGAGTTGCAAGTCAAGACGATACGCAAAAGTGGACGTGATCAGAGACGTACAGAGAGCGCCTTCAACGGGGGACCGAGGTCGTCAATGAGGTCTCCGAACATGGAAGCAGCAGCCTGCAACATAGCCGCATCCTCGTCCTCTCGGATGGTCGCTGACGAGTCCGAGGCAGCCCCCGTAGGCATTGTCCCGCCAGACGTATTGGGATACCGGTTCCTCAACACGAGCTTACCGTCTTTCTCCGCTTTGATCAACTCGTACTGGAGGGTCGTACCACTCCGCAGGCCGTTCAGATGCTGGCCGAGTCGGTTGAGACATCCGATCGCGTCCTGGTATGCTTGGCCGGAGCTCTCGCGCAGGTTGTCTGTCTTGTCTCCGCGAGGTTTCTTGGGGCCGCCGATGAGCCACTCCGACTGCGCCTCGTCAAAATGTTTCTTCAGACTCGTGAAACTGGCCTGGTGGCTTTCCGCAGCCTTTCGCAGCTTGTCGCCAGTGAGATTCTGTAGCGAATCCTCAAGGAGGAACGTGTCGGTGAGCATCTCCAACAGGGTGGAGAATGACTGAAGCGTCTGGGTCATTGCTTTCTGCAAATTCTTGGTGGCCCGTTGAGGCCAGAGAAGCATGCAGACGAGATTCGAGACGGTCGCTCCACACAAGATGATGAAGGAGACCTGGAGAAGGGTCTGAAGGCCACCTTCCTTGATCACTCTTGGTACATCGTTAGAAATCGTGGATGGACGATGCACCGGGCACTTACACCACGAAAAGAATGATGGCGGTCATACTGCACGCTGTAAGCAGAATTGGTGAGTGAACGCGTAAAGCATCAAGGCGAACGAACCTGTGTTGAAAGTTGGCTTCGCCATCCATAGTTTCGTCCAGGCAACGAGAGACATTCCAGTCCCGATCCACAAGATCACCAGGGCATCTGCCAGCCACTCCCAGCCAGCTCTGACCTCGAAGAACCAAAACATGGTCATGCTGCTCAGAGATACGAACGCTGCGAACAAAAGCCCCATCATGCAGTACATATCTGCTTCGATCATGCCGCCCAATGTCTTCGCGGGATTATAGTAAACGGCACTGCTCAATCCAGTGTCAGGGGATACACCGAATGCATGGCTGATACGACTCACACTGTAGCGACCATATGGCCGGAGGGTGCGGGAAAGGATTCGGCAGGGCCATAATTTGTGAGGTCGGCAATGAAACCCGAAAGATATGGCGAAAACGTAAAAAGAGACGCCACGAAGTAAGCTACAGAACACTTGAGGATGTTGCGTTGGAGAGGCGAGAGAGGTGGCAACGCAGAAAGGGATGGCCAACGCCACCGCGAGCGTGTCGATGAGAAGTGAGAAGTATTCACTGTCACGGAGGGAGCGTTGGGTCGTGAGTTACTGCCATGAAACAGTGATCCCTCTTCCGAACTTTCTGCTAAAGGTTCTGTGAGGCTAGGTTCTTCTACTGGTGATTGCACCGTGTCGGAAGGGTATCCTTGATCTTGCAACGGAGGATAAGGAGCAGCCGGATTCGTGGTATGGCGCCTCTTATGATTCCTCAAGCGAACTTCTGTGCGGTGCGGGGCAGACGTCCTCAGCCGATCCTCCGCGTCGAACAATTCGCCAAAGACGCTCCATTCGCGTGATTTGAAGTGATTTAGGGTAGAACCAGAACCAGCACCAGAGTGAAGGTCGTGAATACGAGAGTGCGTACCCGACCCTCGTGTAGGTGGTAGGGTTGCAGTTGAGATGTTGCGTGAAATGCTAGGTCTTGGAGGAATATCAAGCGACGGAGGACTGCGCATTTGCCGGGAACGTAGGTTGCCGTCATCGACCTGCTCGGGAGATCCTACGATGATGTGCAGCTGGTCGGCCAATTCCTGTGCGTGACGTGCGCCCGGGATGTCCATCGCAGCAGGCCTCAGATCGTCTACGCTGCGAGACATGGCGAATGTCCAGAGTTGGGCCAGACCCTGAAGTTCAAATACAGCTCAGTCATAGCGGGTTCTGAGCGTCCAGTGTTACTCACCGTTAAAGCCTTACTATACGTATGCCACTGCCAGTGTGACCACGATCGAATACAACTGTTCGACGCGTCTACGACGACAGTTGAATAGAGAATCCCAATGACCCGTCGCAGTCTAAGATGAACTATCAGTCGAGGGAGACGGACGACGAAGTCAGCACACTGGTCATGAGCGGCTCGGAGCAACGATACGGTGTACTGTATTGGCCTGTGGGCGGCTGAGGAGCATCCGAGACGCGCTCGCGATCGAACCAGTACATCACACGTGACAATGAACGTACTCACGCAAGCGCCTATTTACATGCCTCACTGAGGCTCACTCATGTCTCCGAAGACTGTGCTCTCGCCGCAGCACATGTACTTGTTGATTATTCGAGGCCTTGAAGAGTCACAGGCCTAGGGAGACTGTGGTGACAATCTGAACCTGACTTGAATGCAAGTATTTTCAGATTTTCTTGTCTCCCAGTGTTACAAGGCCTCTGTTGACTCTGTCTGTGCGTCACTTGTTCATGAATGACTTATACACGTCCTGTTAGTATTCGCACGTCCTTCAGCTTGGGGTCAGAGCTGCGGTGCCGATGATTTCCTTTGTCATGTTTTTGCGATGGAAGCGCATGTGCTAATCACAACAATATCACTCCAGTCAACCCGGCCCGGGCCCCCTCTTCATCTCAATGAAGTCGCATAGAGTATTCCTGGGGGCACCTCTGGCCAGGGAGATCAACGAAGACAAAGAGGCGTATCACTGGCAGACTGTATCGTCGATCGGCCCACGGAACATAACCCTACTTCCCGATACCATTGAGGCCGCAAGCAGGAGAATATCGGCGTTGTATGAAAACATCATATTCCAAGATGACGACGACGAGAGCCACTACCTGAGTGTAATGGACGTCGCACAGAACCTGCAAATGAGTCCTGTAGCTCATCCAGGTACTGCCTACTATACCCCATGGTCATGTCATCAATCTCACCGCAGCGACGCCCGGCAGATGACGCAGCTGCCAAAACTTGGCCCCTTACCGTCCTCGAGACGACGGAGACGCAAAATCTGTCAAAAGCAGCCTTGACATTTCTGCGACCGACCGCCAGCATATCGCGAGTTCGCTCTATGCTCGAGACGCAAGACACTCGTGCCTCTGGCTCGTTTGAGTACTCGGACGCATCCTCCGTCGGGCGGTTTCCGGAGTTCCACTTCAGCATCCACACTTTGACGACTCTGTCACAGTTGGCGGCACATGCGCAAGCGAACATTGGACGAGCCGGGACCACAGGACGAAAAGGATCGCAAAAAGTCACTATTTTGGCAGCAGTGCTTGAAGTCGAGGGTCCGGACACTATCCGCATAAAGAAGGGGGCGGAGGCTGGCAAGGAGGTGTCCCTGCTCAAGCTCATCCTGGGCGACGAAGAAGGATGCGTTTGTAAGCTCACTGCGTGGAGAGAGACAGCTGAAACCTGGGGCGGTGCAGACGCTGCTGCTGGCGTCAAACGCGGAGACATCGTCCTGCTCGAAAGTGAGTTTCATGCGTGCGCTCAATGTACCCATGTATTGAAGCCTCCATGTGCACCAGATGTCCTCGCGTCCTGGGGGGTCAGCGAGCCCACCACCGACAAGGTTTCTGGCAATGCGGCCCCGGTGACACTCACCGCCTCCGCCAACGTCAAGTCTCGGTTGGAAATATGTTACCGCACCATGCCCCTCATGCAAGGCGACAAACATTTCCGGCCGGACCTCAGGCTAGGATTCAGCGACGCCTCCGTGCGCAAAGTCGCCGCCGTGGTGGAGTGGTTTGAAGACATGGCCGGTCTCACGAGCCAGCCATAGCATCCCTGTGCTCCTCGCTTCAAGGCCACCGAGGCAAAGCACTGCTAATGTACCGCACCCCCACCTTTCTCGCAGCTCGGAACTACTGCCCGCTGGGTTCGCGCATACCGATCGACACTGCACATGCCTTCTTCATGTCTCGTCTGATCCACGTCGTCACATCAGTGATCGCCGATTGCCTTTCGTGCCACCGCGAAGCTGGCGTGGACGCTTGTCGAGGTTGGGCTTCAAGTTTTGATCCGGAAGGGTCGCTAGTCTGGGATATTGTCAGTAGACCGACAGCTTCGGGAGACGATTAATACGAGACATGTACAGCTGTGACTTCCAGAGACTAGTAGTACAATATATCAGAAACACACACTGCAACTATCTGCACTTAACGACCGTTGATCGTCTTCTGTCATGTTTGAGCCCGAGCCGGTCTAATGTTTATCCTCTATTACTTGATACCGCACTGGAGGAGTTCCCTGTCAAAGCATAGAACCTTGAGCTTGAAATACCGAGGATGAGGGAACCGCGAGACAAAGCCTAAAATCACAGGAGAAGGGGTTTTAGTACGATTTGCTTCGCTTTCGATGTACTACATTAGACCGGAACACAACCTCGGGTCCAAGTAATAGTATCGTCTAGTTCTACAGTAGTCCTTGTCAATATTCTGCACTACTTAGGATATACGACGATGAATAAAAGTACAGTGCGTGTCCGTGTCCGTGTCCGTTATTATATAGTCCGTGGCAACAAGTCCGTAGCTTAGTCCGATATCAAGAAGTCCGTTGGTATAGTCCGTGACAACAGCCCAAGCGAGTCCGTGTCCGTGTCCGTGAAGTGTCCAAGTGGCGTGAAGGCAAGTTCGACAATTCGTAGCGAGTGTCAGTGAGCTCCCCGAGCTCGAGCGTGAAGAAACGCATAAAGCAAATAGCTGTCCGAGGGAGCGTGAAAGTTCGTCAAGAACGTAAAAATAACGTAGCTGAATCGGCGACCACAGACGGCCGCGCGGGTTCAGAGACCAGTTAACAATTGGTCGTAGAGGGTCCGGTCAGGCGGAAACACCTATTTTGACTCGAGGAAGTTCTGGATTTTCGCGGCCTGGTAGCCTACAATTCCACCGCTGGTGATGAGTCACACAACCAGCGCCACGACGATAGGAGGAAAACCCACTTAGGAGCGGGAACCGCGCGCTGAGCTTTGTCATCACGAAGAGGACAGCGCCCAGCTCGCCCTGGATCTCCAGCGAGTTCATCGGCGGCCACGAAGACTGAAGGCGGAGCAGCTCTGACTCGAGCACCTTCGCTGCCGAAGACCAACAGGGCTGACAGATACGAGCGCGCTAATCAGCGAGAACCCGGGACGGTTACGAGAGCAATGATGTGACGTACACCGATCAGGGGGTCCAGGAACTCGAAGTCCATGTCGACGATGTGCTTGGAGACGAGGATCATGCCCCGCGCGGAGCGAAGACACTTCTCGCGCGAGATGGCGTCGTTTTCCATGAACGGGAAGTGCAGACGGACCATCGCTGCGTGCGCCAGGCTGTGGACCATGATAAGGGTGTACTTGTCCTCAGGCAGCGCCGCGCCGAGCTGGTGCAGGGGCAGCAGCGTCGACGCGAAGCGCGTGATGGTGTGCTCGAGCACGCGGAAGTTGTCCATGAACGCATTGGAGGAGGGCACTTCTGACAAACGACGGATGAGCTACGACTCACCGGCGAGAAAAGCAGGACGTACGTGAGCTCCAGCTTGACGACAGCCGGTTGGCAGCCTCAAAGAGTGCGGACGCTTTCGCGCGGAGAGCTGCAGTCGAGAAGCCACTGACCATGTTCGACGTCTGAGCTTGGTGCATGAAAAAGCCTTGCACGGTCGGGCTCGCGTTGCCAACGTCAATGTCTCCCTACCCAATTAAACAGATTAATACACTATTCCTACAGAGAATAAGTTACGCGTCATGACATACACATGCATACTCGTCCATACTCTGCGGCCACGGTGTGCTGATACACGTCCAGGGGTGATCGCTGTCCGGGATGGTCGACGGCCGTTGGAGCGCCACGGACCAGCACCGGTCAAGATTGTACACTTGCCAGAACGTCAGTATCCGCTCTCCGCGCTCAATCGTGTCCTTCGCAGGCTCAAGTCTGAACGTCGAGTCCCAGTCCTCTGCGCTCGACAGCGGCGTCCGCTCGTCCACATCAATCTGGTGCAGACCGAACTGCACTGCCAGCGAAGACGCGACGGTCGAGTGGTAGCTGCCCTCGAACAGGCGGCCGTTCGAGAGGTAGTACACTGACAGGATGCAGGACGCCTGGATCACGTCGATCACTTTGGATGGGTACTGGATCGCGTCGGTCATAGCCGACAGCGCACGCGACAAGTAATGGGGCTCATGCTCGCAAAGAGATCCTGGCCGCGACAGGTAACACGCCCACAGGTAGATCGCGTTCATCAGGACTGGATGCCGGCGCTCTGATGAGGGGAGAGTCAGAGATTCTCGCAGACGATCAGGATGCAGTTCAAGACCACACTGATGCCTGTGGGGAAGGAAAATCTCCAACCTACGTGCCATGGGGAGTAAGCTCTCTAGATCGCATCGCATGAGATCGCACTTACAGCATCTGCGCAAGCTCGAGTGGTGGCTCCTCTGACGGATTGTATGGTTCGCTGACAGGTCCCGCGAAGTCCTAAGGGGGACATTACACAACGCGAGCAGTGAGACAGGATCACACACGCACTGCCATGTTCTCCCATTGTGTCTCCCAACTTGACTCTACGTCTAGCGCGGACCCGGGTGTCAGCGAGGGGGGCAGCAGCGCGACGCGAGTGGCGGCTCACCTGGTTGAAACGGCGTCGGCGATGCCGAAGTAGGAAGACTATAGGTGCCCGGGGAACCGTGGCTAGAGGAGGAGGACGACCCAGAGTAATACGGGGTCTGTGAGTGAGGATCGAACAGCGTCACGGACGGAGACGAGTGTTCGAGGCCCTCAAGCTCCTTGACCCTAAGCTCGAGGCGAGCGATGTGCTCTCGCATGAGCTGGGTGCGCGTCTTCCCCTTCCCGTCGTCGTATTCGCAGGCATCGCCTTTCTTTGCGCGGACGCATTGTTGGCATGCGGGCTTTGCGCCGTCGCAGCGCTACCCTGGGGCGTCAGCGGCACGTGTGGAGGGAAGGGCGGGGCGACTGACCATCTTGCGTTTCCGGCAGCGGAGACATGCTTTACCTGTGGCAGGTCGGTGGCATGAGAGTAAGTGGATCGGAAATAGCCCACGGATGCGGGGGAGACGGACCTCTCTGGAGGGTGTTGCTCGGACCCGGTGTGGATGATAGGGACGCCCGCTTCTCGGCCATTACAAAAATAGTGTAGTAGAATATGCGAAAGGGCAAAGGTGGGCACGGAGAAGGTGAGAAAGTGGCAAGGGTCGGGGCCCAAAAGAAGGTACACGGTGGAAGGAGCCCTATCCAGGGGAGACTCGAGGCGGCGAGCAAAGCCGGGTGCGTCACACGAGACAGAGACGGCCGCCTGAGGAGGAGGACGAGGAGAGCCAAAGGCGAAGAACAAGGCGAACGACCCCGGCGGGGGACGATCCAGCCGTACTTGTATCAAATCACTTCTGGCGAGAGCGCGGAAGCCATAATTCCGGCTTGTCGCGACAAGAGCGTGTAGGCGCCCGCTGCACTGCTTGCCCAGAGTCGGACGCGTGCCATCATGGTCATATGCGCCTCCCACGTCCCTCTCACAGCGGGCAATCATACCCGTCCCACTCGACACTTGGCGGTCCTCGTCTCGACGCCAGTCGCAGGTCGCTGGTGGGACGAGCACAGACCTCGCCGCTCTCATCCGGCCCACCCCAGCCACCGCCCCGCCACCCGCCACCCCCGCCGCGCTCCGTGTTCGTCGCGCTCGGGCAGCGCCAGCGAGCGATGGCCCGCGATCATCCAATCACCCGCGTAGCCATGCGTTGCGCGCGCAATTTACCTTTGCCTGTTCTGGCCGCGAGGCATTTGCCGCGGGCTTGGATCGGAGATCGTTCCTTGCGGTCCCGGGCCTGCTGGTCCCCCGCTACGCGACCCGGAAGGGGATAGCAGAGGCGGTTGCCCAAATGCAGACAGGGGGGCGCGGACGTGATGCGACCCTCGGCGTACATCGATACAGCCCAAAGACCTGCCGGCCGACCTCCTCTGCTCATGCCGCCGGTACCATCCCTGAGGGGCGTGCCTTGCTCTTTCCTGCCTTCGACGACGCCAGCAATTCCGATAGCGCGGTGCTGACCCATCCCCGTGGTCCTATCTCCTTACACAGTTCGCAGTACAATGATGGCCCGTCTGCAGTACAATTGTCATAACCAATGCATGGGCGTCCATTGTCCATCATCCGCCGTCGGAGAACGCGTGAAGTTTAATACCCAATAGTCACCTGGATGGCTGCTGGGAAGATAACGTCTCCGAACTGGACGGCGCGAAAGAACATCTTACACTTGTCTTTGACAGTTCCATACTAGTCCCGTTCCTTCAATGTGACCATGTCGTAATGCTCACTCTGAGCTGATCTTCGCGCAGAGAAGGCGCACGGGCACCACGCCTCATCGACCGCGCCCGACTTCCCTTACTGACAGACCAAAGAAACATCGCGCTGACATGCAGCACGGACCAGGTCAGCGTCCGAGGACACTGACCCGGGCCCACGCGACAGAGTTCCGAATCGATCTTACGGCCGCTGGCGATCGGCCCAGCCGCCATTCCGCGAACATGCTTCTCGACCACCGATCCCCTTCGCCGCATCAGCGCCCGTGCAGCCGTCGCTTCGCGCCGCGCCACCTCCCGCACGCTCCGCTACGCCTGCGAAGCACGAAGCACTGGAGTTGTTGCCTATTTGGGAGACGTGTGTGCCGAACAACGCTCCATCCGCCCGATTTGGGGCTGCTCGTCCTCGGGCGCATCACTCGCGTACACGGCGGTGGAGCGTTAATACGCCGTCCGTCTCGAAACTGAGCTAACGGACTGGCTTCTTGGGGTTACTATCATGTTGGTAAGTATTGGAGGGGGCGAACGAGCGGGCGACGATCACTGGAATTTTGAAGCTAGTCCGCGGTGGAACTAAATACTTCGCACAGGTGTGTGCGCCCATTTGATGCTTTGTCTCCGAGACCATCCCTGTGCTACTGACGAAGTGGGTTACCTTACATTGAGTCGGTCCGACGCAAATGAGGAAAGCCTTCGTTAGTCGTATGTCTTCGCCTTCGTTTCACAAACATGGACTATGATCTTACCAACCTGGTGGCGCGTAACCGTCGGTACAACTTGGTTCGGCATTCTCTTGCATCGGCGGACTCGTTTCCATTAGCCCGCCCTGCATAACGCAGTGTTGAGCAGCAGATGAGGTGCGCACAGGTTTATACTCGTCGTGTTCTCCGCGGACGAAGCAGCCTCGTATGAGTGCTCCGTCGCGAGCCCGTTCAAAGTTGACGGTGACAGACGAAAGAGCCGGTGTTTGAGCAAAAGCCCGGGGCTCCTGCCGGCCGTAGCAAAAACACACAAGTGACAACCGTGCTGCGGCCCTCCGTCGTGTCGGCGCGTTCAACGTGAACAGGCGCGGTACTCATGCACTGGCACGAGGCGACCCATGGCAGATTGTGTACCTGGTGCCAGTGTATGAACTTTGACTTGCATCGCTCAGTGGATCCCTGGTACGCGTCACCCGCACTGGCAGAGGAGTCGAGATGCCCATCTCAGATTTCCCGCTCGATCCACCTAAGACACAACCGAAGGCGCTGTAGTACCGTCTGCTGAGATCCACTGGGACGTCCCGCGGAAACTCGCGCGCATGCAAATGCCTTCCAACCGTGACATCGCGCGACAGATTGGCAGCCCTCCCAAAACATGTACGGCAATCCGCAAGGACGGCGCTGCTAATCGTTCTGCACATCGTCCCCAACGACACGCTCGCGCGGCGGCCGACTCGCGATCATTCTAGCGTCGCACTGGCACTCACCGCATCCCATCGACCATCACCGTCACCGTCGCGCGCATCACCCTCCCGGTCCCAGACGGCGATCCCGCCTCGTCCGTGCGCGCCAGCCACCTCCGAGCCCCGGTTCGAGTTGACAGCCTCAGCCACCAGCGAGCGGATCAGGGCGACGGAGCGCCCGTGTGCGCGCTGCGGATCTGCGATCTCCCTCCGGGGCCGCGCCCTGTACTTAGTTTGTGCGCAGCGGATTCGCTGCTGGGGAATATTGCGGTCGTTCGATCGAAGAAGGTTCGCCGGGATCGAGTCTGCCCCCGCAGTCGCGATCGAGGACCCAGGAACCGAGCGGGTGACGATGTCGAGGAGTGCAATATGAGAGTCCTCCGGCCGGCCGGTGCCAGTGCGCAGCAGGAACGGCGACGAGATGAAGAATGGTCGTGACACGGTGCGCCGTGGAGCAACAGCGTGCGTGGCACGATCGGTCCCGTGGTGCTAGAACGCAGGTTTGCACTGGTACCGATACCAGCTGGTCGGTAACTCGCGGTTGTTACTTAGAGCAGCGGGAGGACTTACGGGCGTCGCGTGATCATAATGTGTAAAACGACTTCAATCGTGATTCCTTTGATGCAGGTGAATCCAATTCTGCCGCGAACCTGATGCCATCTATCTACACGCAAGGCGTGTGGGGAGACCGGTCGTACCCAAGTGGAAAGGCCCTTTACCTCGTCGACGTGATCGGGGAAGTTGACGCCTGCGTCACTGCATTGGGTTGCGTGAGCCGATTCTATCGTGGGTTGATGGCAGGCGTACCGGCTGATATATGGCACTGCGAAACGTCAGAATGATAGGGTCGATACCAATGGGCTGGCTAGGACTGTTCCTGCTCTCTGCAGTGTCATCGCTTGTCGTGAATCTCGTCACTTGTTTGTTGCGACTACGTACTAGTATGACTTTCTGGATCAGCGATCCCTGGCTACAGAAGTTCCTGGACCCTTGTCAGTTGAACACTTGGCGATGTAGCTCGAGCAACAAAGATCCCTGGGAGGAACGCTGAGATGAGCATTGCCTGTGTGCGAGGCTGGACGACAAGAACCTGGATTTGAGCGTAGTGTATCGCCTAGGGACTGTGCTGATTGTTCCATTCGGCCATTTGAAAGTCGTTCCCTGGTTGCCTAGCCAGTTCGGAATGATATGCTGGCTTCAAATCTGCTCCTGGGATACGGGGGGTATAGCCTGAGCGACGGACAAGACCAATTACCCACTCACCGTTCATGCACCGAGTCTTCCGATTGCGTTCTCTAAACGAGGCCGGGCAGTGAAATGCGGCATTTTCCGTCGTTTCAGCGAGTTGCTGGATCCGGGCTATAGTCGCGGCGGGCGTAGTAAAACGAGACGTCCTGATGCTCTGGCCCCAGAGTCCAGCGGAGTGGCTGTGCATCGTCAACAGGTGGCGGCCAGTAGTTGAAGGGCCAAGAGGTATAACCCAGTGTTCGGGCAGAATCTTCACAGGAGACAGCCGTATTCAACTTGGTGCAAGTGGAACAAGAGTAAGTGCTTACGTGTCTCGAACATCTGTTCGGGCTGATGCGGTCAGCGGTCAGCTTGTGTTCGCTGACATACTGTTGAATCATGGAGGGCGTAGTGTCGCGGTCAATCCACTCGTTACCCCGACTCCGGGAACGAGAAGACGGTATGAAACCAAATCTCAACGAGAGGATCCGCGTTGTGTGCGATATCTTCACTTGGATTTACCCTCGAACAGCGGTAGTCTTCCATTGTCCGAGCGCCTGCCGTGGGTTGAGTGACTCGCCTTTCGAAAAGCTGTCTTCACCGTGGTTTTGAAACATCAGCCGGGATTAAGCGTGCAGGCGTGGCGACGAGAAAGTCACGTAGTTGCTCCGCGGTATTCTGCGCATATTTTATTCACAGCAACTGTGCTGCCACTTCAGGACCGGAGTCGCCACATGCCCAAGCTCGTAATAAGCCCCCGCTCCCTGCCCCCAACGTGCCGACAGGTAGCCGACATGACGGCCCAGAAATATTCCGCCACCTCGAGTAGCGCATCGGCACATTTGAATTGGCATGCGGCTAGCGTAGGTTCTTGACGCGTGACAGTGGATTATAGAACTTCTACCGTCAGCACAGGCCGGGTGCTCGACAAAGGATCGACGTAAATGCCAGGGGGTTCGGGAAGGACATCAGCACAGCCCATCGGTGCTGTTTACGGGAAGAAACAAGGCGGAGACCATTCTGGAGAGACGGTGAAGCCTTGGGCGAAGGGTAGGGAGGGGCTGATAGGGTGGCCATCATGTGCACCTGAGTGGACGGTCAGTAATCGCCGTCTACGTGAAGATCTCACTACAAGAAAACGTGCCGGGGTCCTTACGACGTCGCCACGTATGGGTCTTCCCTTCGACCAACCTTCGACTCCTCCAGCATGCAGAGCGTGCGATATTCGATATCAGTGAAATCAAGTCTGAGAAAACGAAGCGCGCGCCCATGTTGACGTCCCTGACTTCGAAGAGAGAAGGCGACCGGTTTCTTCGGTGCGACATTGGTTCTGTGTCTGTTCCCCGTGCGCACATGCTGTCATTTCGATAGAGAGATCACCGCTGACAGCAGGTATCTGTCAGCTTGAGATTCGTGCCGTTCTATCCATCAGAACCCTGGACAAGTGCGTGTAGGCTCTGGTGCGCCCTCCACCGCACGAGCTCAGGCTCGATCGTCGACAGTCTGCGAACGTGGTGGAGACCGGGGGAGCCTGAAAAATGCTACTTCGTCTAGGCAGCGCGGGCCATCGATGGACTCCGTCGAATACGAGATCATGGTAGGAACAACAATACGCACCTAACTTTGTTTTTTGGCACATCAATACTTCAGGTCGGGAATAATTCGGCGGACCAGACAGATGCTTCTATGAAGCCCGAACGAATCCTGTATGAGCCTCGTGGCAGGTTTCTGTGTAAAAGGTATTCATTAGGACCGAAGACGCCAGTGATATGATCGTGCGCGGCCTCGTTATTCAAATGGTACTTGAATTGACCACGTTCCTGCACAGAGAACAACCCGAGACGGTGCTTGCGAGGACGCACAATGAGGCTGTCGCATGTCAAGTAGCGGGCACATACGCATGGTACGCACGGATAGTCAACGTCGGCCATCATACCCGCAGCAGACTTACCTCCTACCTGGCGTTTCGCCGACCCATGACCTACCAGTACGCAGCGCTCAGCATTCAAGGTATCGGCCGCTGTACAAAGTACAAGACAGCCTGTACAAGGATCTCGAATCTCGATTCAGGAACTTCCCCGCGCTCAGTGACTTCGTGATCGGACTCTACATGGACTTTGTCTCGGCGCCGTCTATGCGCGCGTTGAACGTTGAACGTTCGTAGATCGAGTGTCATACGTACAGCTTCGACATCTTGGTCAATGGGCGCATCCCCCGGTCCCATAGCGGCATCCTCAGACTTGTGGCAAGCGCCTCGAAGTAGTGGGGGCAAAAGTTGGGCGAGGGTCAGTGTGGATCAAACCAGACAACACAGCCTCACGCACCTTAGCGCTCTCTAACGATACCAGACTTCATCGTCGCGCTCCATGTCCGACAGCGGGCGCACAGCAGCGCTTCGACAATCGACCGCGCAATGCAATTCGGAACCCGTTGCAGTTAGGAACCTGTATGTAGGAACCTACATATCAATAGCAAGGCAGCTTCAGACGGGTTGTGTCCGAAGGAAGGCATTTGCCGCGACATGGCACCGGCCCGGGTCTGCCTCAGAGGCACCGAGGAGGACTCGCCGTGGGTCGACCACATGGGAGCAGTCCACTGCCTCCGACCGGTACCGGCGGTCGTGGGCAAGTGAAGCAGGTCGATCTGCTGGGCGGTGCCGGGAACGTAAACCCTGTCAAGTGTACATCTACTTTCGCAAGATGCGCAGTTGGACCATATGGACACCGTCCGTTGCGATACCCCCGCTGGCAGAACGTTGGCGGTGAAATCGGAAGTTCGCGCTGTACCGGATATCGGTGATAAGTTCGCAGTTCCTCCGAACGTTGACGTATGCGCGGGCTGCACAGGATATGTGGGCAAGCCGCAAGCCGCGGGTCGGCGGGTATCTACTCGGAAGGTAGGATGCACGTACCTGGATGTGGTACGTATGGCACGAAGCAAACACCGCCATATAGGACATGAGACAGACTTTGCCAGAACCCAGCCGGGGTGAATGTCGCTGTTGAATGGAGAACGTCACATCATGTAAGTACGGTGGGCAGATGTGGGCGCGTTACTATAGACGCCCACTGCTGCTTTATGTACATACGGCATGCAAAAACACCGCACATCTGTCGGACGTTACGGAAGCAGGACAAACCCGACTAATCACACTGACAATCGGCACCGGCTCTTGCCCAGTACTAACTAAGCCTAACAGTACAGGGCATAGCCTGTACAGTGTCACCAAGATGCAGACTTATGGATGCGAGATCATTATTAATACGGTGACGATGGGATAAGTAGCGACGGGCAGTATGCAGCAGACGGATCGATGACGATGACGAGCGTGATGATGCACAGCGGGAGCTAAGTCCAAGACCAGCAAGCGGACGGTTCAACCGTCCCGCAGAGCTAGACAGATGCCAACAATAACAGATAAGGTGCGAGAGGAGAAGAACGTCCGAGCGGCACAGCAGCCCATTCGACATGCAAGAGTCACTAATCAACAGCAACGCTCAGCAGTCGTCGTCGTCGTCGTCGTCGGGGAAGCCGGCGGCGGCGCGGATCGAGTCGAGAAGGATGTCGTTGTAGTCGCTGCCCGCCTCCCACATCGCGAAGCCGCGCAGGTTGCTGTTCGCGATGAAGCTGCCCTTGGCTCCGAACGAGTCCGCGTCGTCGAACGAGACCATTGTTTGGGAGCACTCGTCGTACACATACGGCTACACGTCGACCCATCAGTCAATTGCTCTCTTCAACCCCAGCGAGGGATGTACGCACCGTCTGGCTGCACCCGTCGAAGATGTAGTTGATGCCGTCAGCAACGGAGCCGTTCGGATTGAGGTAGCCCCCTTCGATGAGGCCCCAGAAGTCCATCACGCCCGAGGGCCCGGAGACGACGCCGCAGACATCAGTGTTCGTCGCGTTGTCCCACGCGTCGCCGAGCGGCTGCTCGGACGCGTTGAACGCGGGGTACATGTTGAGCGTACCGTTCTGCGCGACGGCGGCGGAGGGCTCGACAGCGTATGAGTGGCCATAGCCTGCGACGCCGAGCACGATCTGGTGCGCCGGCATGCCCGCGGCGCTCCACGCGGCGAGCGCACTCACCGCGCTGCCCACCGCGGTCGTGCTGTTCGCGCAGGTGTCGTTCAACGGTGCGTTCGGGCCCACGGTGGAGTCCCAGCTGCCGTGCACGTCGTAGTTCATCACGTTCACCCAGTCGAGGACGGTGGCGAAGTCCGAGACATTGCTGACGGAGCTCCCGTTCGAGCCGGTCAAAGGCACGACAGGGACGGAAGCGGTCATGATAAACTCCGAGCCCATCTCCTGACGGAACGCCTGCAGGAAGGAAAGGAAGTTGTCTGTGTCGTTCTCAGAGACGACGTTGCAGCCGATACCCTGCTTGCCGGGGTATTCCCAGCTAGTAGATCATTAGTCAGGCACTTAGCCAACGAGACAAGTGAGGTACACACTCGAAGTCGATACCATCCAGCTCGTATTGATGCGCGAAGCCGGCAATAGCTTGGACGAAGTTAGTTATGTTGTCTGGCGTTGCCATGTTGTCCGAGAAGTGTGTGGAACCACCCCAGCCGCCGACAGACACCATGGCCTTTACGTGCTGTGCATCGATGGTGTTCAACGACGCGTCTCAAAGACGGATTCACGTGTACGTACGTTATCCTGGGCCATGGACACAAACTGGGGGAGAAGCTCGGGGTCGGAGCCGTCAAGACTGACGTTCGCTGAGGGTTCTGTTGCACTGATAGAGTGAAAAATTAGCCGTCAGTTGAAATGATCGAGTAAGAAATCCCAGATTGCCAAAGAGGAGGAAAGGCAAGGCACGCCACACTGAGCCAACATACACTTCTGGTTCTGTCGTAGCATGCGAAGGTCATGTTTCGACCGAGTGAGATTCAAAGCGAAGTCGTCACGCTACTACACGGCCGCGCGAACCTTGTCGACTTGGAACTGGACGAAGGAATTGTTATGGGAGTGTGGCGGAATGCGTGTGGTTGAGACAACACCAAATAGGTAACAGAACACGGCTGAGCGTCGTGTCACCATTCGTCTAGTTCTACGAAATGTGTCCGCGCCGCGGTACCAATAGTAATGATGCGGTTGTCGCTATTCTCCTTGACGCACATCATCCAGAAGGTAAAGTACTCACGCGAAGGAATAAATAAGGTGGGTATACTTGTCCCAGCTGACGTTGCCCAACGTGAGGGTGTCAGAGTGCCACCCGGTGTACCACGCCGCCGCCACCATGTCGACGGTCGAGTTTGTTGAGTTTGCAGAATCGGTTGAGGCATCCCGAGCGTAGAAAGGGGAACCTGTTGCATGGACTGCAGGAAGCGCAAGCAAGCCCAGAGAGAGGAAAGACAGCATGGTCATCGTCGTAAACGAGTGGACGGGATCACAACAGGGAGGCTCGAGGAGCCGAACACGACGTGAGTGTGGTCGTAGGCGAAGACCGTCACCGTCGTCTGCGACAGTCTATATACGCGGAGGCACGTGCGACTAGCCGCACTGCCGGTTCACAGCCAGGCTGAACCAGCACAATTAGGACCACCGGGTCGCTCTGTTCTATGTTCTAGGATAGCCGTTTCCTCGTAATATGGCCTGCATTGCTCTGACGTCGTCAGGTCGCGTAGCTGAGGGAGGATACTTCGACGTCCTGAGTTTGTGCCACGGCTGAACGAAATGAGCCCAGACGAGTTCTTGCCAGAATTTTCGACATTTTGGCACTGTATAGCAGTGGACTGATTCTGAAACGGTGCGTCAGTGATTTTGGCGTGGCAGAATCTGAGACTACGAGTGTCGATCATCCCCGCCACGTGGAGGTGGAACTCGCCGTTTCCGCCACGCGTACGCGCAAGCTGCAACGACCCGTGTGATTCCTTGAATAGAGTCCTCCTGAAGGCCATATCGATGCTAACACATGGAGTCTGCACAAGGCAAGCAGTTAGGCGGCATTGAACCATGCATCGTGGCCGTTGAACGGCGTGGTCTGAGATGAGGAGAGGAAGATCAATGAGAACACCGCACTCAAATTGAACTTACTAAGCCACACCATAAGTAGCTCTGTATGCCACGATAAGAGACACGCAATACATTTTTTGAAGCTTCAATCAAGCATCAATACATCGGCCCGTGCAGTCCTTAATAATCGGAAGAAGATACGTCGTCCTTCACTGACTCAGTGACTGCACCTGTCTTCGTCGTGTCTTTCTCCTTGCAAAAAATGCCCTGACATCTTTGCCCTCGCCGAGCTGGTCGACACCACACCACAGCGCTTGCGATCCAGCTTACTATTTCATGATGAAGGTGGCCGCTGCTGGCACTTGCGACTGTATCATGACCGACTGCTCAGACGGTGATCCAAAGACGGAGCTGTTTTCTTGAACAGTCACAAGTACAGGTGAGAACATCAACTAGATGGAAAAACTCGATCCCCCTGAGCGGACGTATCGCAGTCACAGCTCGGGCACTAGGCCCAACATGACGGCAACCCGATGGAACTCCCCGCCTCCGTTTCTCCTGGTCCTGCGGTCCGACGGCTTGCGATCTGTAGTCTCTCCGGCCGAGCACTGTCCAGCATTCTTGCGCCGCGCCGTGGTCGCCGCGGACTCAGTCTGCTCGCAGATCAGACAATCGAACCAGTCGCAAGGTCGCGGGCAACTGGAGATGTCTTCCTTGGAGGGTAACGCCCGAGTCCCTTTCTCTCTCGCTGGGATGCAGCCTGTCTCGACGTGACGAGTCTTTGCCGAGGCCCTCTTCTTGCCTGAAGATGATGAGCCAGCCCGACGTCGAGAGCGTCCGGACGCCCGTGCTCGCGACCCGCTCTCCTTGGGCGACCCCTTCGAGTTGCCTTGATGCGCGCGGCCTGTGAGGCTGTTGGCATCCCCTTTCGAGAAGATTGCCTCACCGACCGAAGAAGGACAGAACGGGCAGTCGATCCAGTCGCATTCGCGCAACGGCCCGTCTGCTGTCTTCATCACAATTGGCTCGACAATGGCGGGCCCGTATGCCCAATCCTCTCTTCCTTGGACACAGAATCCATCGTCGCGGCCAAAGCTGCTTGCCGTATCGGAGGATGAGTCTGATCCCTCCGACAGGACGCATACATTGGACTCTTCATTGGCATCGACGGGCTCTGAACCCAGGTCGTCAGTGACGAGGTTCTGGAGCGTCAGAGTGCCCGTACCTGGAAACGCAAGCCCCGAAGACATCTGATGTGTCGGTGGTACGGTCTCGCAACGATGTGGTAGGAATGGTGGCCACGAAGCAAACTCGCTATCCTCCTGCACCACGACGCGCACCCAAGGTAAGCACAAAGCCGAGTACGGTTGCACATGGTCACTCACCGGGTGGTCGTCGTTTACCGTACCCTGCTTTGTGATTCGCAGACGCACACCACCTCTCCAGACCTCCCAATCGTGGTCAACGATGGCGGATATATTCGCCCTGTCGACCTTCGGAGGCCGCGTCGGTCGTGGCGCCGCGAAGACGATCGGCTCTACGATGGCGATGCTGGGCTTCCATAACTCCATGACCATCTCTTGCGGAGTCATGAAAGGCATCATGCCGTAGTCTGGGACGCGTCGCGTACGCGAGGACGCTGCGGCCACATCGGGAGGAGTGGCGTTGTCCTCAACAGCGACACGTCTAGCTTCGTCGGCCCATGCGGGGGTCTTCAGATTGCCCGTATATGCGTCGGCATAGCATGGTCCGCCATTTGAACGCGGGGCGGTGACCGGTTGAACGTACGCCACATTCGTGAGGTTGAGGTTCGCAACTGCGTTCGCCTTCGCGTCGTGCCTGGTAAGTGAGACCAGATATGTCGCACGCATCGTAGACTGATGGTTTCGGTCAAGGTGATTGTAGTGTGCGAGTGTGCTTTGTGTCGCTAGATATGCGTCGTCGTGGGCGGACAAAAACAAGGATGTGCGGGTGGCGGTCTTATACGTTGGGCGCTTACGCGATCATGGCCGAAGTCGTACACAGCTCCTTGGCGTAGATGGACCTCTCTTATGGGCGAGGCTGTGGCCATGTTTAGAAGTCCGGGCTATGCGCTGGTATATATACGAGCTGCAGATCTACCAACTTGCCATGGCCTTTGATCATTGCTACCCTCAGCCCATCCGCCTGCAAGTCTACGAAGTCGCGTCCTCATCCGGCCCGTTCACGTTCTACTCTTCGCCGGAAGCCTTTGCAATTCAGGGTTGATATCTCAGATATTCGGCGTCATCCAATCGCGGTGTCGTCACTCTCAAGTTGTGTTCAATCGGTGAACAGGGGCCGTAACAAAGGCGCGGCCATGCCTGTCTGATCGTCGGACGTCTCTTCGTGCGGGGAGCGGCTTCCAGCGCGCCGACAGTAGAGGGGTCTAGTGACACGGAAAACAGCATTGCAGAGGTATACACCACAGGTAACAAACAATAAACCATAGAATTATGTCCGACACGAACAAACTGCTGATGCAGCGTCTTGTCAGATTTTCGACACTTGCCACGTCCCCCCGAGGGGCCGAGAAGCCTTCCTTCCTCTCGACCACTTCGTGCGCCACACGTTCTTTCGGAAGGCATTACGGGACCACCCATTCCGAAACATCTTCGACCCAGCCGTCCAGCTCTCCTTATTCGTCTACATTGTCCTGAGACAATGCAGCGAAACCCCGCAGGTGTCGAGAGGAGGGCGCGCCCTCGTTGTCGGAATTGCTATTCTCCTCAAGCGAGAGCAGTAGCCACGGAGTAGCATCCGGGCACCTGTTTTGAAGTATTATGGGGTCTTCGAGGAACGGGTCCTCGACTTCCTCTGCCGCCTGACGCCGCTGGCTCCATGCTATAGTCAACTCCGATTCCTTCGACCACTGTGTCTGAAGATCGACGGAATGCGTTGCCTCCTCGGGACGAAGGTAGTCATAGGTCTTCAGGGCGACTGCCCAGTCGTAGTCGATAGATGATCCGTGATTATGAATCGGAGACATCGACTCGAGAAGGTAGGCGTGGGCGCCGGTTGCATATCCCTGACCGACCTGCGGCGCGTTGATCCGCACGGGATCGAGGATGTCACCTCCATTTCCCCTGAAGGGCTCCAAGAAATGGGTGTGGTTGCGGTCCACATCACGCCACTCGATCTGTGGTATATCGTTCCAGACTGGATACGAGGTTGTCCCTGGTTGCACATGGAGAGCCCAGTCGGCGTTGGTTACATCGGACAGATATGTTGGGTCGAACGGGAGTGGGATATGCTATATGATGACAACGTGAGTACATACCCAGATATGACTGAGATCGCTAGTCTGACTTACTGTTCTGGCATGGCGATCATCGGTTGTATCTGTGTGTGTCCTCTCAAGGCTCATGGCTCCGGTCCCGGGAAGAGCATTCTGATGTTCAGCATCCGCATTCTGGGTGTGAAGCATGCCGATATCGGTAGAAGTAGGGTGTGTACCCTCCCGCAATGTCCCACCGGAGGAGGTCAGGGTATCCATGGTCTGAGTGGCGCTGCCACTGTTGGCCACCGTAACTAGGAGGTGGGTGGATTCATGATCGAAATCGATAGTCCTGGGCATTGTAGGATGACGATGTGGAATCAGAGTTTGATTTTTCAGGGTGCGATGCGACAACAAGTGCAGGAGAGCGGGGTAGGACGTCGAGGTGCGACGCGAGACGTGAATGTGGCTCGTCCTTTGACTTCCGGCGCCTAACCGCTCGCAAAATGCCGGGGCACTTGTGCTCCCCCCCATTCGTCCTCCATTAGCTAAGGCTATGGACACTGGACAGACTCGGAAAATCTGTGCCGAGCGGGTGATATACTTGATTCCATGAACGCTGCGCGCGAGAACATTATATCGGGGTGGAACGAAAACTTTGTGAACCACGACTCAGCGTTGCAAGGTCAGCGGCTGCATTTTCTTTACGACTATGACTGCTGTCGCGGACCCATCGTACCGACGGAAGGCAGTGGTCCTCGTACGCGTACGTCCGCGACATCGCTCCTGGATGCTTCATGCAAACACTAATGACACATCTAGGATACAATATACGTGCAGTTGTCCATACCACATCCTTCGGTGCCCTCTCAAAAACAGCTTCCATTGTCCGCGACACCGCCTGCTCGCTCCCTCGACGCATCCCCGACACGCTCAGTCCATCCGGGTAAGCCAGGGTGCGACCTCTCCACCCAAACCGCGAAGGCCGGCGATCTCGTCCAATGTGCCCAGAGTCGATGGGACGTCGCACGAGACACAATTCTCCACATCGGCTCCTTTGCTGCCCGCGAGCAGCAGGCCTGGAGCATCACCGAGGTGCGACTCCTCCATTAACGTGCCGGCAGACGCAGACACTTCGATGGCATTGTCACGCTGCCGGAAGAGGTCCCACCACAAGGTGAACGCCTCCGTCTCCTTCTTCCATTGCGCGAAGTGATCCATGGGATGGATTGTTGCGTGCGCGGCCGCTTGCTTTGCTGGACCAATGCCCAGGAACTCGTCCATGGAGATGGAGATGGCCCATCCGGTGTTACCGCGGTTGCCATATGCGTAAGCGGGGGACGGGAGCATATCGTTCAGGTCCTCCGCGCTGATGTCAAGCGACATCTTCAGGAACATAGCTATGTAAGCACGCAATTCATTCCGGCTTGAGATGACGATGGCTTACCAGATGACCGTCGTTGCCTTTGGCCGTATTGATTTGGGTGTTTTCAGAGCTCAGAGACGACATCGAAGAGAGGCCGTCTTGAGCAGGTTGGACCTCTGACCGGGGAAATAGGTGCGGCAACAAATTGAGCGCGACAATGTTTGCCTCGTCAATGTATTCAAGTATTGTGGCATCGTAGTCGCTGGAAGCCGCAGTGGCGTTCGCTATGATTGTGTGGCCAGAAGTAGTCACATCGATGGGATACATGTCCATCATTGGCCGCGATATGTTCTATGTCGAAGTGACGAGCAGACGTTGGTGGTACAAGGTTGTGCGGTGCCTGGCGCGTGAGGTTCATCGACTTGGACTGGGTGTGCAAAGTCAGATGAGAGAGCCGACCGTAGCCACAGCGGTCCTTCGTGTTTGAGCGCCTACGCTGCCACTCGCAGAATGCCGAGCGACTTGTGCTTTGCCTCCATAACTCTCAAGCCTGTGCGGCCGCCTCATGTGTGCACTCGCGTACATAACATATGTATGCAGCGCCGTATATTTATACGCCGGACACAATGGCCCTTACTCCGATGCGTTGGTGAGGTCTAGGTTCACCGAGAGCCCATCGAACCTTACAGTGAAACTGAAGCTCAGTGGCATCTGTCCTGAATCACGAATCACGACGTTTCATATGCATGAGCCTCGTCTCATCCTTACAGCTCGCGCCGGATTATGAACGGTGTTCAAACGCCAGGAGGGGCGCTCTAGTGGCAACTACCGTCGCCTCGGCTGTGGAGTACGAGTACGAGCTCCGAGGTTTGCTGGCACACAGTAGATACATGTGGGGACCTATTTCATCCTCCCATCCCAGAAGAGCATCTCCAGGTCATGTCTAACATCCAACCTGGAACCTGCCACGCCAGACCGGATGCCCTCCGCCGCCTCCGACTAAGGCGCGTCGATCAGCGGTGGCTGACCGCGGGGCAGAGACGCGTTGTGTACGCGTTATTTGGTCCGCCTTCCGTTCCAGGCAGGTGCGCTTGAAGTTCGTGTCCGCGTTCGCCCATTCTGACCTCACTTGCAACTCTTGCGGGCTGCAGTGTCAGACAGTCTATTCGATCTTTGCCGCGCGTATTCTGGAACATTTGCTGGGGTTCCGTGAGGCTGAAGTAACGCCCCCAATCTGATCTGCCAGTAGGCTGAACCTGAGTACTTGAGTATTCATACGTCACAGTGCATACATGCTCACAATATCGTTCACAACCTGTACCACCAACGGCTCACACGTGCCAACTGGAACGTGTTCGACCCGTTGATGGTACAGACTGCACAGGCATCACAGGTTTTCTAGCTACGAAGACAGGTGCGGGAGTGGATGGACAGGCAGGAGGGTCGACACATGCGCGATGAAGAGATACATGCAGGAGACGGTGACCCGAAACACAAACCACGAACCCATATAGCCACTCGCAGCACGAGGGCGACGCCACCCGCAGCCTTTCGGCACGGGGGCGGGCGGACAGCTCCTCTCGGTGCTGCCGCCAGTAGGCCACCCGCGGCATGTGCTCCGCACGCGGGGGCAAGCGGACAGCGCCCTTCGGCACTGCCGCATCGAACCCACGAACACTACATGAGCGGAAGTTGAGTGGACAGGTAGGGAAGGCATGACAGGCGCGATGGGTGGATGGTACATGAGGGGAAGCGGACCGCGGACGACGAACCACGAACCACAAGACCACACGGAAACTACTGACCTTCGCCTGCATGGAGCGGTGAGTCGCGACCTTGATTAATGGTTGATGAGACGACGCACCAAGTGCTTGAAGTTCACAGATGACAAGACCAGTGGAAGGAGGTGAGGGAGGAAAGGAAAGGAGTGTTGGCGACTCGGTACGTTTGCGAGGTCTTTATATACCCGACTGGGCTGTCAGCCTGGCGGATGCGGCTGGCTCAGGTCTCTGACCGCCGTCAGCAACCCACCAATGTTCTGCGCGCCAGGCTCTCACTCGATCTGTTGGCCTGGGTCGCAACGCGGTCACGTGATACGTCTTTAAACCACCTACGGCAGAAGTTGCACAGCCGTGGACCGTGGGTACCTGCGACTCATGCACATGGCCCCCACATACTCACGGAGACGAGGATTCTCCAGGATGCGCTTCAGGTGATGTGTTGAGTTCCCTGTCGGTGGGCTCTGCGGATCCCTAATAGGGCTTACTCTGACACAAGCACACCGCCGACACTCGCAAGTGTGAGTACTGGTCGCATCGATGATGTATACGATACTGACCTCCTCAACGTCAATCGAAACTTATTACCACCTGGATGTCCAGCGCCCCCGGTAAGGAAGAGAATCGCTCTTTGCGCATGTCAAACGATGTTGCACGGAAGACGCACTTCCCGCACCGCCCAATGATCGTCTTGATGCGCTTGTCATCCTATAGTAGGGTTGGACGGCCTGCGGCTCCCTTACTACCATACTCGACGCCTCAAACGTCATTGATGCCTCGAACCTCGAGATTACAAATATTTCATGTTCAACGTTTGTCATTTAACAATCAATCGCGCCCATATCCCCTCCGAGTCGCGCCTACTCCTCACAGTCCGCGAGCTCCGGATCCAAGAACGCCATCCTGTCCCCGTTCTCGCACTGCTCTGCCCCTTCCCTCTTCAATTTGAACTCGGTCAAGCGATGCCGAGGGTGCGCTCGAGCGCGGAGTCGCACCCAGGTCCGCGGATGGCGTCGAGCCTGAGTGTACGGCCGATCGTAAAGGAGGTCGCTGGACGGTAGTTCCCTCAGGCTTCTGCACCAGAGCCGTGGATGCTCGATGAGGATGTCCGAGGCCCATTCATTTACTAGACAGACCAACTTCGCTTCGAATACATTGTACAAGCTCGACTACGATCTTCTCCAGTTTCGTCTCACTGTACGAAGAATATCAGCTGAAGTCCGGGGGGGTGCCAATGCGCTACCAGACCTTCTAGTATACATGAACTATCTGCCTCGTTGCTAGGCTGCGTCCATAGTATCAGTTGCCAGTCGAGGTGTTATGCATGATAGGGTCAGAAAGCATCCTAAGCAACCATTCATCCAGCTGCCGTTCATTGTCCCGGAACTCTTGGAACTTCTCGTCAATCCGCTCCGTTGTACAATAGACAATGTCCTGTATGTTCGGGTTGCTTCTGAGCCTTTCGAGGAACATCGTGGAGCCTGCGTCGTTACCGATTTGATTCACGCAGAATCGGACTGCGGTCGGCTCATATCCAGCGCGAACGAGGCGTTGACGACATTCTGCGATAGCGTCCTCGAATTGGATCTCGTAGTCGCCTGGACAGCCGTCTGTGACAACACAGATCAACAATGGCCGCTCGAGGAGGCGTGCACGGTGGTCCGGCCGATCTAGGACATCATATACCAGCGGCTGGAGAACGTGGTTCCGTAGGTTTGTGCCCAGGGGTGTCCCACCATCGGGTGACACTCTATCGACTGCGTTGAGCACATGGGATGCGGGAATGTTGTCCTGCGCTGCCCATACAGCATTGATGAATCGTAAACTTACGCCGTATGGATGGGGTAAGACCCGCGTTGTGATGTTGGCAATGCGGGCTACGACGTTACGCTGAAGGACCCAGCGCGTTGGGCTATCCAGCGTCATCGACCCGCTGTCATCACAATACAGCACCGGGTGGTACAGACTCAGGCGGATGAGTCGCGTGACGTTTTGCCTCGTCACAGGGAAGGATCGCCCATCGTCTTTCAACTGCGCAGCGTTCGCCTCGACTGTCTTGACAAATGTGTCGTTGGCTTTGAAGAATTTCTGTAGCCCAGACGCAGCGACGTGCTCCGTGATCACTTCGTGGGCTTCCTGGACGTCCAGAGCCTACCGACGAGTCATTCAGCGTCTTGATCAAGATATCACAAAGAAATTGAGTAATACAACGGTGCTTACCGGTGCAGAATACTCCTGAAGTTCGGATCCTGGCATCCTTTGCAGTAACATCACACGACGGGATGGGGCGGCCTCAGGACATGCAAGCAATCCAGAGCCTGCGTCTGAAATTTGAGCTTCCGTAGCCTGAGGGATAGCACGGCGAATGGCAGATTGAGCCGATGTGTGGGCAACTACTCCAGTGGAACCCGACCGGACAGCGTGATGGACCCCCTGCCGTGCAGATGTCTATAGAAAATTGAAGACGTTTTGAACATAACGCCAAAGTAGGCGCGGGATGAACGACATACCCCATCATCGGATGATGGCACGCTAAAATCACCAGGCATTCCTCGCAGGCCACTTGAGCCATGAGCACACGGGACAAAGTCATCATTTGTGTCCAAGCCGTCATCCTTCCATTGCCATGTTAGCTACCACGAACAGTTCAAAGGCTACAAGACGAACTGCATACCTTGTCGACGGAAGGGCTTTGCTTCGGATGTACCATCGGAGAACCATTGTGCCTGGTATGGGATGCAGCCGGCGTTGCTACGTGGTCATCTTCTGCTGTAGCCTCCTTCTCCGACAGGCTCGCTGACGTCACATCTGGGGCTGCAGGCAGGAAGTAGGCGATAACGATGCCTAATGCACCACATAGTGCTGCGATGATGAATCCCCACCTGTACCAACATATCAGCTACATTCGACATGATGCGCGAGCAGCCCCGAGTCCTACACCACACTCACTGCTTACGGAGATTCTCATCGATAGTGTTGAAGGCATGGATTCCCGCCAAGGCGCCTGCAGTCCCGAAGGCGGCAGTAACACCGTAAAATGACCCCCTTATATCGTTCTGTCAGAGCGATTGGCGAGGATGCCTATGGCTGAGGTTTACCTGAAGTTCCGGGGGTACGATCTTGAAGTTGACCATCAGTCCGGGGATACGCGAGATGAATGTGATAGGGTCGACTCACTCTAAGGCGATAAGACTCAACATATTTCCAGGACCCTAATTTGTCGTCAGCGAATGCGTCCAGACTGTCAACTATCGCGACTCGCCAGGTTTCCCATGAAGAGCATCAAAGCGTAGCTGTTCAGAGTTGAGTCATTCGATAGGGTAAAGGATGAATGGTCACGTACAGAACCACCAGAAGAGGGACGATCTTGACGAGACGGTCGTATGCACAACCAATGATCAGGGCTGTGTCCGTACACAGTGACTTACAAGATTAGAAAGGTGGAGTGTGGGAGGCAAGCGACTGACCAAAGACAACATAACCCGCGAGTGAAACAAGCATCTTGTTCAAGTCCCAAGCGTCAGCAGCCGCAGAGCATCTGGCACTTATATAGATGCTCACGATGTTACGTCTTCCCATAGCATCACACCACATAGCGCCTACCCAGCTTCCGCAGAGAGCAAAAACGCCCAGCAGCAACTCGAATCCTGCGGTTCTCCACAGGTCCCCATCGACGATGGTGTAGAGAATGACTCCCGAGAGTACAATCTTGGGGTATGCCACCTACATGCCTGATATCAAGACTCAAGAAGCATAGATACGTGAAGGTCATGCTTACGAAATTATACACAAACCTGAAGAAATCAATCGGGTAGAATTTTGTGAGAAAATGCACAACAACAACAACTAAGGCGGCGTACCATAGGCAGCATGTACGAGCCATCCCAGCCCAGTTTCGTCTGAGCTCCAATGAATACACGGATAGATCTGCTAAGATTAGCTATGTTTAGGCGTCGACATGCGTGATTTAACAGCTCGTCCAGACGTACGCCCCATGATACGCCTTCCGTACCTGTATATACCGGGGTCACCTATCAACTCATGTGGCAATCATGGTTACACTCACCGTTCAGAAATGTCCCGTAGGCTGCTATAACAAATCGCTGCTAGTGGAATGACGATCCCTATCCCAGTGCACACTGGCCACACAGTAGCGAGATGTTCTGGACGCGCCGCTGACAGCACGACGAGGAAGACAATTGTTGCTAGCGGAGCTCCAGCCTTCAGTGATGATGTTAGAGACACGCTTCTACTTACGACAACAGCATACGCACGCTGAACATGACGTTGGTCATCAGAACAAATACTGGAGAAACACCGTAGTCAATGTACGCGGATCATCAAGTCAACAAGATGTCACTACCTCGTCCCTTCTTGGTGGTCATATCATCGACGGCTTCAAATGCAATCGTACATGCTGAAGTATAAATGCCGCCAATTCCCTGAGAGATGTAAATGCATCGAATCATACATAACATGAAATTGGTATGTCTCCTACCACGCCTATGATACCTCTCGCGACCGTCACGAACCACAGCAGGCCCGACAAGCCTCCGTGAAGACCGCGGGCAGCTGTGCAAAGTACAGCGCCCACGAGAATCATGGCGGCTGACGCAGACAACGAAGCCTTCTGTCCGAATCTATCGCAAGATAGTCCGAAGGCTATCTGACCAAGAAATTGCCCTTGGCGAGCATACATCAAGCGTCAAACTCCGTTCGGCAGGTCGAAGGTAGGGCTTGCACCCACACAGACTGACCGACGAGTAGTGCGTCCCACGATCGTAGCAGGTCCTCCCTGCGGTAGCTTTGATCGTACAACATCGCGAACACAACCTGTATCGCCATTGGGTCATGAATCGATGTGTATGTTCCATACACTGCACGCACGTCAATCATGATAAGTATGTTGAAGTAATCTGAGCGGGGAGACGCCAATCGGTTCCGTCAGGTCTTCATGACATGTAAGGTCAATATAGACTTACAGGACGCAGAAAGAATAGCGAGAGCTAGGACAATGGAAGTCGGAGGCATCCGCGAGCTCGCCGTGACGCCCTCGCTCGTCATGCGAGGGTTCGCGGCGGGCGCGCCGTCTCCTAGGTCCGCAGTAGGCTTGGGTGAATGAAGCATTGAGGAGGAAAGAGATAGCTGGTCACGCCAGCGCGCAGCACCATTAAGTATGACTTATCCCCGGGAACTCGCCAAGGATCATGGCCGGTCAAGAGTTCGCGTCAGAGATCGGCGAGTAGCGGTCATGACACGAGGATGTGAGGCAAACTGAAGCAGTAAAAGAGGGTCAATATGCATCCAGTCAACATCGACTCTGCCGGAAGTAACATCACTTCGCTCGACCACGTTGCAGGCCACGTTTCGGCTAAGTACGAGTATGGTACCTTCGTTACCATACGACTGTCAGAGCTGAAGCAGGCAATGTGGATAACGACGAACCCGGTGAGGCAACTCCCCAGGGTGATTTATCTTCATTGACCTCGGGGACAGGTGCCGTAGTGACGGTAGAAGCCGCTGCATGGCAAGCCATACAGAAGGGCCTTGGTCGCCATGATTAGTCGTTCTTGGTCTCAATATCCGACTGAGAGGAATCCTCGTAAAATCGCGAGAGAGTTGCCCATTCAAGTTAACCGTTGGTATTGAACAGCCGAAGGACTCGGAACAACCTGAGATACTATAATCCCTCAGTGTCTGCTGCTTCTGTGTCTAATCATAGAGTCTACGGTTCGCCGTACACGTACGCAGCAGGGGTTTTGGTCCTTACACAAGATCGGGGATTGGGATGGACGGGAGGCGTCTCGGATTGGCGTTCGTCGGTGGTTTAGGTCACGGTTCAATTAATCCTAGGCGCCTGTAGTATCATACATAAGTACGCTATTGTAATACGATTTTGAAGTGTCAATACAATGGTGCTATTCGGGAGAAGTCCGCGACGTCGCTCTACTCCGAGTCTTGTCCACATCGGTCGTGCAGCCTTGAGCCATAGCTTTGCACTAGCTACTCGATGCCAGCGGATGGCACATCGCTTCAGCCTTGGCTTACTGTCTCACGGGCAGTAACTACTTAATCAATCGCGACTAAGTACGTCGACGTGGTACCCACTGATCAGACGAGGAATGTGCTACTCTCTTTCAAAGCCCTCTAGGTGAGAAGATAAAACACATTGCACGGAACGAAACAGCCCTGAACATATACATCGCCGCCAGTCATGCATTCATGGCCCGCGCACTAGGCCCAGCATGACCGCGACCTTGTAGAATTCCCCTCCTTCCTTCCTCCCGTGCTTGCGCTCCGGTCCCAACTTCCGACGTATGGCATCCTCAGGCAAGCGTTGTGCATCGGTCTTGCATTCTACCTTGGTCGGTGCGGATATGGCCTGCTCGCAGATCGGACAATCGATCCAGTCGCAAGGCCGCGGGCAGCTGGGGACGTCTTTTCTCTGCCCCCATCGCTGGGACGGTGCATCTACGATGTCACACCGTGTTTCAGGCTGGCGAGGGGCGTGGGTGTCTAGAAATCTTCCACTCAAAGCATTCGAGCTGGAATCTCGTTGAGGGCGAGCGGACGTCTTCGCATGGTGAAGACCTTTCCTGCGCCTCGTTTTAGGGTGCGCCTTGTCCCGTCTGGCAGCGGTTTGGGCGGCGATATCCATCGTCGAGTAGGATGCGTCGCTTCCCTTCTGGTCTGCCACAGGTGTGCAGAACGGGCAGTCGATCCAATCACATTCGCGCAAGGGGCCATCCCCCGCCTGTCTTGCGGTCGCGTCCACCACGCTAGGCTCGTGCTCTTCGCCATCAGTCGGCGTGCCATAAGGAGCACTTAGTATGTCCAGCCGGCCAGCGTCGCGACCAAGACTCCAAGACGTCTCGGAGGATGTCTCCGAAGCATCTGACGCGGGTGGGGAGTTCGTGACTGGGTAGAACTGGGCGTCCTGTAAGCACCCCGCCATACTCCCTACATTCGGTGCACTCACCATGTCATCCAGGTTGATCTGAGAGCAAATGGATTTCACTTGTGTCGTATCGCTTCGCCGCGGCGAAAGAAGCGGCCATGTAGCAAAGCTGTCGTTATCCGTCTGTAGGCGTGGCACACTAGGTGAGCACGAAGCAATATACGGTTATACGCGGTCACTCACATGGCGATTGTCATTGACCGTATTTGTTTCGGTGCTCTGTAGACACACCCGACCTCCGCAAATTTCCCATTCGTGATCCACGATGGCGGATATGTTCGCCCTATCGACCTTCGCCGGACGCATCGGTCGCGGTGTCGCGAAGATGGTCGGCTCAACGACGGTGACATTGGGAATCCACAGCTCCGTGACCGTCTCTTGTGGGGTTATGTAGCACATCCCGTCATAATCCGGGACGCGTCGCGAACGGGAATGTTGGCGAGAATACGCGGCGGCCACGCTCGGGGGAGTGGCGTTGCCTTCAAGAGCGTCGCACTGGGCCTCCTCGGGCTCCACGAAGGACTCCGGGCTGTTCGAGAACACATTGGTGTACTGCGGTCCACCAATTGAACGTGGAATAGCAGCAGGTTCGGCAAACGCCACATTTGCGAGGCACAGGTTCGCGTCCGCGTTGACGTTTGTGCCGCGTCTGGCAAGTGAGAGCAAGTATACCGCGCGCATTGTAGGCTGATGAGATTGATAGGGTTGTTTTGGCGTCCTGGGAAGGTTTGTGCCGCGAGATAGTTGTCGTCGTCGGGGACAAAGACGAGGATATGCAACTCAAGTTCGGGTTGGTGGCGGCCTTTATGCTGGGCGCTTACGCGATGGTGGCCCAAGCCACACTGGCCGGCGGCAAGCTATGTCGATATCGCCTCGGCGCAGATTGGGTCTCCCGCAAGTGTTGTGCGGTGGTCGGCGACAGACGTTGGATCACGAAGATGGGGATACGCTCAGACAGTGGTGCGGCCGAGTTACATGACCAAGTTCTTAGCTATGCATAGCGGCTATGTTCGTCATCGAGCACATCCAGGCGTTTGTGAACAAGAAATGGTGGTCTTCAAAACATATAAATCACTTGAACCGATGGCTTAGACTGGCTATCCCAAAACAAATACAAATGCTGCCCGACAAGCCGCTGATAGGATCCCTCCTCGCTTCACTGGCGACAAACACTCCCGTCTCTTATGCCATGCCCACTACCTTCCGTATTCACCGTACTCTCCCAAAGCCTCGCCACCACTTCGACCAGCCGGTACCCGAGTTACTCGCGTAATCCGACCAGTCCTGGGTCTACATCCGATGGCGTCTTGATGCCAGTGGGCAAGGTGCTCTCGGCTCTCTCGTCTGACGCATCTTCGTGCGCCGGTGCGAGCAACACACTCGGGGCGTCATCCGTACGGGGTTTCTTCAGCAACGGATCCTCGCCAGCACTGCCGACCATCTTCTCAGCCTCCCGCCACAGCGCCTTCGCCTCCTCCGATGGGCCCATATCCTGTGCCAACTTCTCGACATTCAGCGTCGGCTTCTCGATGTGGAGGTAGTCGTAACTACGGAGCGCGGCAGTGCAGACGAAATCTTCGGACACTTCGCGATCGGGCACCGGAGGAGACTGCCACAGGACTCTGGTAACCTGCTTCTGTTCGCCGACGTACTCGAGCCATGACGGATTAGCGAGGCTCGGCCTAAATGGCTCGAGGTCTGCGCGGCCCCCGGAGATGTTTCCCAATCCAACTTCGGGCATAGCGATCCAGACAGGGTTCAGGATCGCACCCCTGGGGAGCCTGAAGGCCTCAAGGTTGTTTCCGCTGGCGAAGGTGGAGCGGTACCCAGAGCGAGCGGTGTTGCTACGGATTGGGTTGAAGACGGCCCCTCCAGAGAAGGGCAGCGGTGCTTCAATATGACCAGTCGCACGGTCGTCAGATCCTGGGCGTCCAAGGGGAAACTCCTATCGCGTCATTCCGGTGAGCACACATGCATTTACGTCTGCAGATTGTCATTCGACTGACCGCTTTGCCATGACTGTCTGCTGTCGTATATGCTTCTGTGCTCCAAGAGCTCGTCGACGTGGTCTCCGAAGATGTGCTGCGCTGATGTCGGAGTCCTGTAGTAACGACGCGCGACTGGGATATGGCGGGCATATCATTGAGGTGTTCCTTTGACGTTGCTTTGGTGGAATGTAGGGGGGTGATACAGGGAGTGGCGTCTCCAATGGGTATTATAGGAGTGGTCGACAACATTGTGTATTGATGCTGTGAAGCTAGAACGTATACGCTTGTGTGATGCAATGCAGAGCGCGGAGCAATGGGGACACACAGTCGAGGTAAGTGCGAGGACAGTATCGGTACGCGACTGTGGCTGCTGGTCCTTTATGTTCGGGCGCCAAACGCCACGCGAAATGCCGGGGCTCTTGGACTATACCTTAATTGTCGTCAAGGCCGAAGAAGCTCAAGTTGCACGAGTGCTCAATAGTGTATGTAGGCATACCTCTCTCTGTCTTAATTATCATCTAGTGGGGCTCGGGACATCGACGAGGTGAGTCCATTGAACATCTGTACTTATGTCCGCTCATGCTTGAGTTTTTCCTCAGTCCGGAACTGGCACAGTCACTGACAGCAGTCCCGCAACGGACATACCACCGTTACAACCCAAGCCAGTCTCAGCCGCCTTGAACGTCGATCAGATCAGAGCCCATCCCACTCGACGCACTGCACCGAGAGGTCGAGGAAGCCGGTGGGGTTCCGTGATGGGTATATGTTACCATTGGAACACCTAGCTGATCTGTCTGATATGTCGAGGGACTCTCCCAACCGCAGCGAGGCGAGATCGTGCAGCAGGATCGACCATGGACGAACGCTCAGGCGGAAGCCGAAGCCAGCAGCCAGGGATATGAATGCGAGCGTCAGGCCCACAGTGGACGTCCTTAGAGTCGAAGCTCATGGCGAAGTGTAGGTAACAAATCAGGTACTCGGTGATTGTTCGCCGTGCATCATAGGTAGTTGTGCTTTTTTTTCTGTCTTGCTCGATGGGGATGGTATCATCTGGGTATCATACCGTGACCGTACTCCTGCCATCTGTTCCTCAACCTGCGACTGAGCGCGAATTCCACTGCGAGATAAGCCAGCCACTATGCGTATTAGCCTGAATACGCTTGTAGACTCGCAAGAGACACAATATATCACATTTCTCGGAAAGTCCGAGTTGTCTGCGCACTGAACTGGCCGCCGCCGAACTTGTTGAAAGACCGCGATCGGCGATAGGCGATGGTGATCGACGGTGGCGGGAGGACTGAGGAGAGCCGCCCCTCCGAGCGGTCAGCCCAGCACCAGTCAGCGGACCGCGTTTACTCAGGCACTGCCCTCCAATCTCAGCCCATGATTCCACAACTCCTCGCCTTAGCACTCGCTCTCATCCTCCCCCTCGTCCACATCTACCGCCAGCGCCGCTCAGCTGCCGCCGTCGCTACCATGTCGTCCTCCGCCAGCGAGAAGAGCGAACCCAAGTCCGTCATGCAGCCGCCCCGCGAGGACATTGCGCCCCCGAAGGACGACCCGATCACACTCGAGCAGCTCAGGAGTTACGACGGCTCCGACCCGTCGAGACCCATCTACGTCGCGATCAAGGGTGCGTCCGCCTCGCACGACCTACGCGATCGCTGTTCATCGCGCGTTGCACAGGCACAGTCTTTGACGTGACGCGCAAGGCGGACACGTATGGGCCGGGCAAGAGCTACAACCTGTTCGCGGGGAAGGACGCGTCGAAGGCGCTCGGGATGTCGAGTCTGAAGGAGGAGGACGCGGTGTCGGACTACAGCGGCCTGTCGGAGACCGATCTGAAGACGTTGAATGACTGGCACGACTTCTTCTCGTACGTGGCCCGCTCCCCTCTGTCGTTTTCGGATTCCTGGTATGACCTGTGTTATCGCTGCAACATAGGAAGCGGTACAACGTCGTCGGCAGGGTATCCGATCTCCCTCCACTGGCGAACGGAGGTCAATCAAGCCTCTGACACCTGTGACCTACGCTCTCCGTCCACACATATCGCGATATCCCCTGTTCGACAAATTGTACAACAGCAATTCTTCATCGGTATCCCACCATCGTAGCCGGTTCGTCGTGCTTGGCTAGGTGCTCTTGCAGCCTCTTAAGGCTCTCTGTCACGCTCGGATATGATCAAGACGATCCTCTGACCATCGTCTTGAAGCACATTGGTCGTAAGCTCTACCGTATCTCCTGCTCCTTGAGTCGAAGTCTGGCGCTCTCTTCCCCTCTCTCATCGCGTAACTATGTACCTCGTGCTAAATTGGCGACTGTGGCTTGCCTCGTCAGCACGCCATTCCATTCGTTTGGCACTAGTCCGCTCACGTCATCGCGCCTCCTCCGTCGGTGCACATGCGATACAGCCTCAGTCCGACGTCTTCGAGACTTGCGGTTAACTTGCGGAGGCCAACTTTGCATCCCCGTTGGTAAGGTTCTGCTATATGGAGGTTTGCGGTCTGCTCGGCGGTATCAGCCACAGTTCATTCCCGAATGCATCGGTTCGAAGGTCGGGAGCCGCTGGAGCCTCCGCTGTTGCCCAGACAGCTACTTTCAAAATCAGAGCGTGTCGTCGGGTTCGCCTTTCTAGTGAATGAATGAGGCCTGCTATCCGGAAGGTTGTCCGGTTAGCAGCGAGTGGTGCGTCTCCCCCTGTACCGCGAAAACGTCCTCTTACCGCGCTGCATACGTAATAGATGGCCTTGATATATGTCAGTGGCTTGCATTCCCAGATTTAGCTCACGAATTTGGAAGAAGTCAGTCATACGCCAATCAGAAGCTGGCCTTGTATGCCCTGCTGGCTGACCGCGGACAGCACACGAGACTCTGCTCCGTTGTCTTCGCTATTATGCCGAACTGGGTGGATCAAGTCAAGCGCGTGACGATGGCCCTCTGAAGAGGAGACTCGATCGTCAGTCAAGCTCTACGGGCCCTTGCAACTCGCCAGCGTAGATGCGCACATACCCACCCGTTTGTACTAACTGGACACCCATCTCCACCCCGGAAGGAGTGCGTCTTGATCCAATTCAGCCTTCGGACGGCGACGGCCGTGGACAACACCGGGCGTGACGTCGACGTGTGGCCTTGAGCCTATCAGGTAAGCTCGATTAATTGACTGCTCCCGTGTCCGTAAGGTCCTATATTGACTCGACCATTGTCGCTCCCAGCTTCCTGCAATCACCTCTGGAATTTTCCAATAGCGGCCCACGCTGTCAGCCAGCTCAGCTGACCGCGCGCTCAGCCTGAGAAGGTCAATGCGACGCCACGAAGGGCGTGGCGTGGAGATGGTTGCACGCGAGGATTGCGATATGGGTATCCGAGTGGGGCACGCCGCGTTGCAATGGACACTGAAGCACAAATTTGACAGTGAGTAGCCAAGGACACGCCTGTGAATACCTGAATGGTCGCTCGCCTGTCAGCACGTCATGAACGACTCCCCGCGACTCGTCTGTACGGTGTGCGGAGGACCGGATCACTCCCGGGGTCGTCGCCGGTTCCTCAGCGCGAAGATGGGTCTAATAGGAAGCACGGAGTGCTGTTGTGGTCTGGGGAAGCCAGCCGCTTCGTGCGGTCGCGGGAGAAGGGTCGGAGTAGCAAGGATTGTGGTTTGCAAGGTGCTTTTATACGCTGGCGCGGGCGGGCTGACATGGGCTAGTACCGAAGTACGTGGTCTGAACGGCAGCTGCACTTCGATCGCGGCTCACGCTTGGATCTCGGTCAGGGCTGACTGGGTGAATACTGAACGGGCTGTGTCAGAGCCAGAGCGTCAGCTCGGAAACAACGAATAAATGGCAGCCATACTTCGATCGCAGTTCACAGGGAGATCTGGGTAGAGCTGACTAGTTGAACGTGGAACATCGAATGAGCTGTTGACATGCACGTATGCTCAGGTCACCCTAGAAGCAACGATTGAATGGCAGCCACATCTCGATCGCGGCTGGCAAGACTAGGAGAGCATATAGTTGTATGCAATATGAATGACTCGCCGTGTTGAACCCAGTCTGATCCAGGACCTTCGTGGCCACTAGAAAAACCACTGAGCCATCGGAGGCGATCTGCGACCCACAGACCCGGACATTCGGGACCTGTTCGGTGCGTAGCTCGACTGACTCGATGATGCTCTATCTGTAACTGACCCGCGCCTCGGGGCCGTATCGGCGTCACCAACAGGAACTCTAGTACAGCTGGGCACAGGGCCACATCAGATGCAAGTCACCCGTAGTCACAGCCCGGGCCTGCGGACAGATATCCGGACGGACGAACTCTACACCGAATCGCTCTCATCCTTAGGTCTGCTCGCTTTCCGTTATCGCATGGGCGATGTATAGGTAGACGACTGAACCTCGCAGAATTTGCATCTCGATAGGTGGCGTCGTCGTGGCTATAGGATGCGTAGCGGATCAAAAGTAGGATACATTATACATATCGCCCCTCCGACGAAGCCGAATCTGCAATCCGCGAGCGCCGTGGCCAGTGACAGATCAGTTAGGATGCTGAGCAAGACGGCGGCTGCCAGTGCATCGGCTGCCAGTGCATCGGCTGCCAGTGCATGCAAGCCGCACTTCACCTGGTGCTGTGTGTCCCAGGCGCCGTCGAAGTCACTGAATGGCACCGCATTCTTGCGATCGGAGGCCGGGGAGCCCTTTCACTTGTGTGCGCGCGCATGATGCAGGTATTCGAGAACCTCCCTGTGGGCACAATTGTGGACAAAGCGCGTGAAGGTCGCAACTTCTCGTGTGGTCAACGCTTGGACAGCTGCGTCTTGACGAATGTGATGGAACTGCGCGGTTCCGCACGGAGGGGGACAATGCGATGAGTCTCGGACACTGGGCGAGGCCGCACTCTCCCGTGAGGCCCTTCGTTACTCAATTGCAAGCGTATTTGTACCATGTATTCAAAGTATGAGGTCACTGCGCAGGCGTGTGCAGAGCCGCTCGCTGTACGCATGTCCTTTGTGTCATTCGTCGTGTGCGTGTACCTACTCTCCAAGCACAACACGCAGCCCGCCGTTGCTTTGACCAAGCGGGTGCTTGGGCGAGACCGCTTTGACTGGGTGCGGTGCAGGCTGGAAGGACGGGTGCGGACACGGGGCACGCGGCGCGCGAACGGCGCCACCCCGAGTCGGCTAGCGCTGGAGAAGCGCCAGGGATATTAGGCGGACCACGTTCCCATCCACGTTCCCTCCAGCGGGCTCTCTCCACGACCCAAAGCTGACGCGTACCCGCCAGCCTCAAAACCCCCGCCGTCGTCCCCGACCGCACGCTCCTGCTCCTGCACCCGCACCAGCACTCCCACCGCCGCCATCCTGCCCCAGGGCATCGCTCCCCGCGTCTCTGCCTCCCTGACTCCGCACCACGATTCCCCCGCTAGCAACCGCAACATTGGATCTGCTGCCAGCGCGAATATACATCCCCCGTCATGGACGCACTCAAATCCCTCGTGCAGCCCCTCGTCGGCGGCGGCGGAGGCTCCGTCATCGACGGCATGAAGCTCGTCGTCCTCGGTGGCACCGTCGAGACCGCGCGACGCATGGCAAGCTCCGGCTGGTGCGTCCTCCCGCCCCCCTACTTATACGCCACGTATCGCTGACGGCTCGTGTCTTCCGTGCGTCTGCAGGTCACATTTCATAAACTGTGAGTATCGCCGTGGCCCGTCTTCTGCGGCGCAGGCAGTCGTTCATACCCGGGTTCATGTCCGGGTGTTCGCGTGGCGTTCAGTGTGTGGTGTCGAAAGCGTATCTGCCGAAGGATGTGCATGAGCCTTGTCCAGAGTTCAGTGAGGTGTCGTCACCATCAGCCTTTGTAGTTTGACGGACATACTGGCCTTCTAGGCCATTTGTAGCTACGGTATCCTTCATGGAGTGGGGTTGCTCGCGGTGCTGCCCCGCCTGCGAAAGAGGCCACACATCAGCCTGTATGCACTCGAGCGTCGTCACGTTCCCTCGCCTGTCCTTTGACCCGAAGTAGAGCGTCTCGCTGACACCCCCGCAGCATTCTTCCTGACAGCCCACTTCTCCGAAGAGGACTACCCCTACGATTGGCTGATGCTCTGGCTCTCCCGCCAGCCAGAGTGGCAGCGCTCGCGCGAGTTCGAGACGACAACGCGGACAGCGAGCCACGCCTGGGGCTCGGGCGCCGCGGACAACTCGTTCGGCGACGAGGACGACGAGAGCGAGGATGCGCCCGGCCGCGTCAAGACCCGCGTCGTCTTCCAGCCGACGACGAACACGACGCACACGATCTACTACAGAGGCCACTGGCTCCGCGTCAAGCGCGGGCGTAAGCACGACTCGGGCTGCGACATGCTCTCCGTCTCCGTCGTCGCGCGCAACAACTCGATCCTGAAGCAGCTCGTGCTCCAGGCGAAGAAGGAGTACGAGGCGGAGGCGGTCCACCGCATACAGATCTACTTCGCCGACTCGCACGGGTGCTGGCGCTGGACGGACTCGCGGCATAAGCGGCCGATGTCGTCCATCGTGCTGAACCAGGGTGTGAAGGAGATGCTCCTCGCGGACACGAAGGACTTCCTCAAGTCTGAGAAGGTGCGTCCAAGTGCTGTGCGTCGTGTCAAGGGACCGAGTCCTGACGTGCTTGACGCAGTGGTACGCTGACCGGGGTATCCCGTTCCGACGCGGGTACCTGTTATACGGTGTGCCCGGCTCTGGGAAGAGCTCACTCATCCATGCGATCGCAGGAGAGCTGATGCTGGACATCTACGTCGTGTCCTTGTCTTCTTCGTGGATCAATGACAGCACACTCACGACGCTGATGGGCCGTGTCCCGGCACGGTGCATAGTATTGCTCGAAGACCTCGATGCGGCCTTCACGCGAAGCACATCACGGGATGACGCGTCTACAGGTAACCCTGAGGGAGAGAAGAGTACGACGACAGAGCCAGAGACACACACCCGTCACAGCAGCCGGCGGCATAAGGAGCAGTTGTCGGACGTCAACACGCTGTCGCTGAGTGGCCTGCTGAATGCGCTCGACGGCGTCGCCGCCTCGGAGGGGCGTATATTGTTCGCGTGAGTAAATACACACGCTCACCTCTACCCGTGTCTAACGACGCTCCGCAGTACCACTAACCACCTGGAACGCCTCGACCCTGCGCTGTCGCGGCCGGGTCGCATGGACGTCTGGGTTGAGTTCAAGAATGCGTCCAAGTGGCAAGCTGAGCTGCTCTTCCGCAACTTCTTCCCATCGACTGACGAGGACGACGTTGTGATCGAGGGCGAGCTTGAGGGTATTGAGTTGCCAACACCACCTTCCCCTTCAGCGCAGTCGTCTGGCTTCTCGTCGCTGTTCTCGTCAGGCTCTATGCCGTCCACGCCAGTGACTTCTTCGATGTCCACGCTGCCGACGCCGGAGGGCAAGGCGAAGGCGTCGTTCATTGACAACAGTCTGAGGAATCAGGCGTACCTGCCGCCACCCGTCGACGATGAGATTGCCCAGCACTCTGCGAAGCCCCTGGACGGCCAGACGCTGGCGCGGCTGGCCAAGATGTTCGCGGATGCGATCCCGGAAGAGGAATTCAGCGTGGCCGCGCTGCAGGGCTGTGAGTACCCATTTGGCGTTGACTGATTGCCAGTTTGTGTGCGTCCGCGCGGGAGGTGCTGCGTGGTCCCCGTACGTGGGGGCGCGTGTGCTCGCGGCTCCCACGCGCTGGTGCGTTGCGGTCGAATGAGGAAAGAGAGCTGACTGGCTTGCTTTGGCGGCGCCTGTGCGTGTCCTGCAGATCTGCTGAAGAACAAGTCGCGCCCGGAGGCGGCGGCGGAGGAGGCAGCGGGGTGGGTGGTGAGCGAGCGGGAGATGAGGGAGCGGTTGAGAAAGGAGCGCGAGGCGAGGGAGCTCAAGGAAAAGCTCGAGGTGCGTTTTGCTCCCCACATATCGATTATCTGATCCTCTTGCCTTATCGGGACCCTGGCTGACATTCTCTTTTCCCTCCTCTGCCGCGTGCCCTATCAGCGCGAGAAACGGCGCAAGGACCTGCTGCTCAAGGAGAAGAAGGAGGCCGAGCTGAAGAAGAAGGAAGAGGAGGAGGTCCAGCGCCGCCTCATCGAGGAGAAGATCCGCGCAGAACAGCGCGCGCGCCTAGAAGCGGAGAAGCTCCTCGCAGAGGCTGTTGAGGCCGACAAGGAGAACGACTCACCCGCTGAGGACGGCGACGTGGACGACAACGACGAGCAAACCCTCGAAGAGTCCTCGTCCCCCGTGGAGGAGCCCGTCTCGATGGAGGGCACGCAGTTATGGGTGAACGTCGACTCGAACGGGACGCACGCACATGGCTCGGATTGACTGCGTGCGGCTGTTCCTCAGGAGACCAGGACCGTTTCTGTCGAGGCCATGGACACTCATGATATGGACAGTCATGATCTCACCGTATCCGCATCCGCGCAGGTTTCCTCTCTAGAGCCGCCCGCGCCGTCACGGTCCGCGACCGAGACGGTGCACGTCCGCGCCTCCGCCGCGGCCCTCGCGCGGAGGCATGCGGGCGGGTACGCACTGCTGCATCCTCTGTTCCAGTATTGCTTGCTTCATCTGTACCTATTCCTGCACGTCGCTCTGCTCGGGGAGGGCCGTACGCCTGGTGGCGCAGTGGGCAGTGAGCCTGTCGCCCGCGACGGATCTCTCGTGCACGTTTCGCGCCCCTCCCCCATCTGTCTCGCATCAGTTGTCCCCAGCAGCCGCTGGACTCGTCTCGCCTGTCATGCTGCTACCTAGTACATACAGTAGATTTGCATTGTACCTACTTGCTCGTCGTCGCATCGTAGTCAATTAAGTAACGCCGATACACGCCCGACTTTGACTTGTCCGACGCCCGGGTGCTACTCGGCCCCTGTCAGAGTAGGTTGTTCCCACCGCCAGGGTCTTGTCGGCGTGTCGCGCGCTGCACACGTACGCTCTGAATGTACACAGCGTTGAAGAGTCAACGATCCAGGTGGGCCGAGGTGTGCGTGCCAGACACCAGCGTACGCCTGAGACGTGACCGAGCACGGAATACGGTGCAGTGGCGATGGCTGCCGCGCCTGGCGAGACGCCTAATAATTAGTAATTGGGACTCCGCACCCTTCCACAGCGCCGCGGGTGGTAGGCGCCCGGCGCCTAGCGCGCGTCGCGAGCATCCAGATTAGGCGAAACTATTTTGGCATGTTTGGACGTGGGCAGTTCCGGTCGCATCAGGCGCGACGCCTTTTCGCACTCATCACGCTCGTTTGTCGCGGTCCTCGACCCCTCCCCGGACGCCTCCTCCTTCCTCCTCCGCCTTTCGTCTCTTTTCCGCTCTTTTCTTCCCCCACCACCCCCTCTGATTCCCCGCAGTCGCCATGGGTTGTGTTCAGTCGTCTGGCATCGACGATGAGGCCAAGGCCCGTCAGTGTCCCATCATGCTTATTCACCTGCGCGCCTGTCCACTCAGCCCCGCTCCCCACAGGCAATGACGAGATTGAGAGCCAGCTCAAGCGGGACAGGATGATGGCGAAGAACGAGATTAAAATGCTGCTGTTGGGAGCTGGAGAGTCCGGCAAGGTGCGTCGCCAGGTCTGCCCCTGACTTGCCCGCAGTGGTAGCTCAACTGCCGCTCCAGTCCACGGTGCTCAAGCAGATGAAACTCATTCACCACGGCGGGTACAATGAGCAAGAGCGGGACTCTTACAAGGAGATTATATTTTCCAACACCATTCAGTCCATGCGGTTAGTCGCTGTTACGAGACCTCGTCTGATTGCGCCTGACGCCTGTGGCTCCATAGCGCTATTCTTGAGGCCCTCCCCGTGCTCAACATTCAGCTGTCGCCTCAGAGCGATGCGCGGAGAGCGGTTATCTTGTCCCTTCCTGTGCAGATCGAGGGCGACATGCTCCCGCCAGACGTCGCAGACGCCGTCCGCGGGCTTTGGAGGGATCCCGGTGTCAAGGATGCCGTCCGTCGGTCACGGGAGTTCCAGCTGAACGACTCCGCCATCTACTACTTCAACTCCATCGACCGGATGTCGGCACAGGGCTACCTCCCGACAGACCAGGACATCTTGCGCTCTCGTGTCAAGACCACTGGTATTACGGAGACGACCTTCAAGGTCGGCGAGCTCACGTACAAGCTCTTCGACGTCGGAGGCCAGCGGTCAGAACGGAAAAAGTGGATTCACTGCTTCGAGAACGTGACCGCCCTGGTATTCCTGGTCTCGCTCAGCGAGTATGACCAGATGCTGTACGAAGATGAGAGCGTCGTATGTGTCACCTTCTGTTCTCCGTGATCGGATAAGTATTGACCAGTGCCACAGAACCGTATGCAAGAAGCTCTCACACTCTTCGACTCGATTTGCAATTCCAGGTGGTTTGTCAAGACATCCATCGTGAGCAGTGCAATCACCCGCGCGCACGCCCAGCAGCTGATCATCTCTCGTGGTCCTAGATCCTGTTCCTGAACAAGATCGACCTGTTTGCGGAGAAGCTCCCTCGGTCACCACTAGGCGACTACTTCCCCGACTTCGCCGGCGGCGACAATTATGACGCTGCCTGCGACTACCTGCTGCACCGCTTCGTCTCGCTGAATCAGAGTGCGGCGACGAAACAGATCTATGCGCACTACACATGTGCGACTGACACACAACAGATCAAATGTAAGTAATTTCGAGGCTGTATCGGCGATGATGGGGTCCGCTGACCAGTGCACCCTTCTCCACTCATAGTCGTCCTGAGCGCCATCCAGGACATCCTCCTGCAGATCCACCTGCGGGAGTGTGGTCTCTTGTAGAGGCGCTCGCACAGGGTCTGCATCGTCGGGGTTTCTGGAAGCTGAATTAACCTGCATTATCTACTGTCTTATTGTCTCCTCTCCTCTTGTCTCTGGCGCCATCCGCTGTCATCCGCCACGCTCGGCTCTCTTCCCTCCTGTCCCCTCTCACTACAACTGGAGTTTTCTCTGTCCGTCCGTCACTGTCTCTCATACATTTGATGTCCTCACGTCCATGTCGCTCCTTCGTGGCTGTATACGCGCGCTGGCCACCCCTGGATCCGCATCCATATCCATGCTATATTCGTCCGGGTGTTCGTATTATTTTTTTGTTAGTTGTAGTTATGTTCGGCGCGCGCGTGGGCACCTCGCTGCTATGCGCTCGTCCTACTTTTCTTTTCCTCTTCGTTTACGAACACCTTAGTCTATATACCTTCTCGATAATACCGAGTACCCTTGTCTCGCGATACGGACCCTTGCTGCGAAGCCCCCTGCGCCGTTGTCAAGGTGAGTGGGAACGGGGGATCTGGTAGTGGTACGGGCCGGTGTCGGTGGGGTGGGATGGTCTGGAATCTCGGCGTCTCCAGCTCTTCGCTCGGGAGTTCCACCGATGATGGAGAGGCGGGGTGACTGCTGTTCTGTCAGTAGGTGGTCTTGTCATGGGGCAGAATGGTGAGTTCACGTTGATCCACTCGGCATTTGTTAGCAACTGATTTGAATCTGCCTGTTGAGGATCTTGTGATGGTGGCTCGGGTCGCGCTCGCGGTAGCTCAACGGGGGTGAGGGGGCACCGACGCTAAGAAGGCTGAGGGCGAGCCGCTGTAACACCGCACGCGCGTACGTGGTTTCTGCTTGTGTGCGTATTGGCACTGTGGTGGTCTTCCACAGTGATCAGTGGGCGAGGGTCTTCAACGCTGTGCGTATACATATTTCACTTTCAAGTGTACGTACTGACCCTCGGGAGCAGCTGTGGACATGATTCGCACGCCGCGGTCATCATACATAACCATCACATCTTTCCACCGCAGGCTTGGGTGAGGATGGGACTGATCTGATGCCTCAGGTGTGCCACATGTGGCTCCAAAGACAACCTGCACGCATGCCAGCTGATACATATTCCGAGTAAAAGGGCGGACCTGAACACTCAGCACCACCTACTTGACCCGCCTTGGCCACCGATGTCCCACGAGCCTTGAACGCTAAACAGGTCACGTACTTACTTGCCACCAATGTCGCCCACCGTACCTATTAATGTCTGTTATCAAGACGCTCAGAACGCCTGTTAGAGACAGACACTATGTACCGTCAACACAGCACGTCTCGCTCGTCTCCACGTCCAGCAGCGCCTCCGCATCCGCTGGATCGCGACTGGAGATATGTGCTCCCGCAGTACGAGTACGACATACGGCGGCTTCCTGATCATGGTTGTCGCGCCATCCAGGTCAGCGTCGTGGCGTACAGAGGATCGACCTCTGAACGCTCACGTCGGAACCGTCGCGACCTACTTCACAAGCTTTTCAACGATCTTCATCAGGTCGACCGGCGCATCGTCATGTGCTGGAACTCTGCCCGGGATCGCTCCTTGCGTGAAACGACGCTACGATTCCACCGCGAAAGCGTCGTTCAGCGACACCACGAGCGATTGCGGATGATACAGTGTTTCGTGGAAAGCTTCGATGGGCTCGTCTGCTTGGAGAACTGGGAGGCGATATCGATGGATGGGGTACGGAGGCCCGAGGCTGACGTGCAGAACTATCGGGACGAGCTGCTCCATCCGCTCGTCTCCAGAATCAACTACCTGCTGGACTTAGTCCATGGCACCGACCACCTTCCGAATTTCTCAACCTCGCGAGCCGTCTATAGGAGGCTGAGGAAGGAAGTGCGGCAGTGGTGGACCATCAGGGAGGGCTTGCCGTGGGTGTACCGAAGCCCGCGAATAACAGACGGCGCATGAGCGCATGCTTCAAGATATATCTATAGGTCGAGCGTTAGTGATCCTCCGGCTGCGCTGGCTACTGGTGTGACTCTCTACGTGCAGCCTATGCAGACTCGGAGGTGGTTGTAACGAGCGTGCCCGCCACATGCTTAGTACATCAGCACGTAGATACATCGCGCCAGCTTGGTTGTAGTTATTCGCCTTTCCTAGCAACACGGCCACCAGTATACGAGTCTAATTCGTGCCCGTTCTCAGCCGTTCCGCGCGACCGCAGCTGTATGACTGCCTGAGCTGACCCTGTCCACAGTGATTTCGTACTGCCTCACTTGACTTACCAACATCGAGATTATGCTCAGTAGTATTTCAACCTATGGTTACATGATCGTCGACTAGGAGGAAAGTACTTACCGGGTAGCATCTAGCTCACCTTAGACACCTGGTATGCCACGAGTCACCGTCGCTCAATAGGCCCACCGTGACAGACCGTGACCCAAGTACTCAACATCGAGGAGGACAAGCTCCCGGCATAGCACCGCGCGTTCGTGATATCTGCTTGTGGGCGTGTTGATCCACTGGTAATTTCTTGAAGGCGAGGGCGCCCACTTGAACCACTCTAGTGCGTGTGTTCCACCTCGAAGATAATGGATGCGAATGCTCTCAGCGAGAATTCTCCTTCGATGTAGTGTCTGGCATCCACTCGCCGTGACCAGGAAGCTACTCGCTGAACCTGGCCTCCGACGTGTTCTGTGCTCAGGGTCTACCACAAGTCACAGCTACACAGGCTGCGTACAACTGAGGAAGCTCAACAGCAGTGTAATCTTGACGAAGACACAATGTGGAAGCAGGTAAGACGGGAAACGCGCACAAGTATATAGCGTGTGATCTCAGTAGTAATTTTCTACGACTTCACAATATGCGACAGCCCGCAGGCGTGGTGTCTTTCAAAAGCCACCTTCGCCACACCCACTGCTCAATCAGCTATTGCCGGTGAACTAAAGAACGAAGCCCACATGCCACCAATGTCGTCCACACACAAAGAGACAATCGAATGGCCTGTATATCAGGAGCAAACATTCATTATCTTAGGCCATGTATCGTCGCCACAGCTCTCCCCACCGCTGGATGGCCCATCTAGCCACGCCTCCTATTTACATCCCGGATTGAGGGTGGAAGCGCGCCTTCCAGCAGTATTCCCTGCACGAGCAAGATAGAGTTAACCTTCCCTACCATGCTCGTGCGGCCTCTGCTTGGGGCGACTCATCGAGCGCTTGCTTGGGTAAACCCAGGGACGACTTTGCCCTTCTGGACGACCTTCTGTGTCTCCTCCGACTCGAAGCGCGACATGGCGAGGTTCATGGCCCCGGTCAGAATACGCTCCACGACGAGCTCCACTGGGTTGTGCTCGACATTCAAGTCGTACTTGTTGGTGTCGACGGTGAAGGGGCGAACATATTCTTCCTTGTGCAGCTCGGCAAACAGTGCGGACATGCGCATCGCCTTGAGGATAAGCCTAGCGCAGTGTTTGTATCGTTCCATGAACTCGGTGTACACCTGGTGATCGCGGGCCGATTCGTATGAAGTTTTCATGACCTAGGAAACAGGTCAGTAAGGATCACAGAAGACTGTTTGAACTTACAGTGCAAAGCCCTTGTTTAGCCCAGTCTGCCGGATCATCAACGATCACACATCCATCGAGAGGCACCCTCTTATCCAGCTCATCGGAGACCGCTTGGGCGTCGCCACCGCCTTGCAACAGGTACCAGTATGCCCGTAGCGCGCCGACGTATACCCTCGGGCCATAAGCGATGGGCCCGCAAAGGATGCCATCGGCATGGGGGGCGTCGGCATCGATCGGCAGGTGGTAGATGCCCTCCTGGCGTAAATGCTCAGGGACGAGGTAATCGTGGGGACCCTCACAAACCGAAACCACAGAGAAGACGTTCGGAAGAACTTCTACGGAGTTTGGCGGCCTCCGCTGTGGGACAGGGCCGGGCTCCTCATCCGACTCACTGTCGGCGTCGGTGTGACGAATCATAGCCCTGAAAGTCTGCGGTCTTATCAACTACACAGGACACACACAATCAAGCGATCTCATTCACCTTGTGCATCATGTTGATGTTCGTCTGCGCCGTAGCGGTCTCGTGGATCACCGCGTCCACTACACTCATTCTCTTCTCGATAAAAGGATCACGTACAATCTTCTTGGGCAGCTTGATCCGCACCTGGACGATGCCATCCGGCACCTTCTTTGTGTTAGGCTGATCGACATTGCGTGCTGCCTGAATTATACATTCTTGAAAAACGCTCTGCACATGGTCGTCAAGTAGGCATTTCCAGCCGTCTGTGACGCCTCCGGTGATTTCCTCGTGCAAATCTTTGGGGCCGCTCATCGTAACTAGGATACCGGCCTGCGGATAGAATTGAAACCTTTATGTAGATGAGCGCGAGCTTTGACAGATCAGATTCCGAACGCAGCACACCAGAAATGGCGCAGAAGGTCTGGATTGCGGTCCAGGACGGCGCAGAGCTCGACCCGCTCTCTGACCGACAAACGCGTTCACTGCAAAATTGAAGTGAGCAGGACACCATATGAGCCAGTCAACAAACGTACTGTACCCTTTTAAACGTCGGTCAGGTGTGACCGTGACATGCGCGACGAAATGTTCCATTCGTCGATGACAGTGGATGACCGTGACACATCAATAATTTCGTCAGAGGTGGCTAGGCCCAGGCTGAGCCGCTGAACTGTGTGTGACCGTCCGAAATGTGGCGCCGCCACCAACCGATTATGGGAAGAATTGCAATGTTGATTTCTACAGGCCACGTACTACCCTCTGCACGAGTGACAACAACGAGTTCTCTGGGCAGCATACAGCAACACAAACAAAATGCACAGCGAAAAGTACAATATTGAGCTCATGCATCCATTACTTGAAATTCCCGACACCCTACGCACAGAACTCTTGCCTCCGCCATCTCTATCTGTCTTGGATTTCTTGAAGTTCCCCTTGCCCATTATATGCCCGTCGACACAGAGCTACTTGCCATTCACCTTTGTTAGCAAAAGCAAGCCATCAGTGCTTGATATCAAAGTGATTCAAAAACTCCCAGTTCCGTCACTACAAACAATGCAGGCACTTCGAGACATCTGCAAGGATGGAAAGCTAGACGGTATGCATTCAGTCATCTGTCCCCATGTCACATCATCTACAGCAACCTACCCGCCATGGATCATATCTTACTGGTCGGAGGTGGCAGTGATCCGTTTGACGAGCTATAGACGGTGGAGTACAGCAGAGAAGGCACTGCGGATGCGGATGAACATATGGAGGAGGCCGATGAACACGGCGGAGCACCCACCTCAAGATGCCCTCACGATGCTGGGCATACTTCCTTGGTCAGGAAACCTACAGGGCTTCGACTTCCCCGAGTCTGTTGAGACTCTCGTTCACTACATGACGAACGAATGGCTCAGCGACAGCCATGAAGATCAGATGTTGACGCTTCTGCGGCAGGACATCACCCTCAGTAGCTCTCACACCTTGTACGAGGTAGAGAATGCTTACTTTGGATCACTCCTCCGGAGCGCATATGCTTCACGCGAACACGGAGAATACGAAGAGAGCCGCCACTTCGCTCGGGTGCGTGGAGTTGGCCAGGCTCTTGCAGAAGGACGCCGCTCTGCAGTTGCATTCATTTTGAACGTGAACCGAAATCATTGGGTTGCTGTTATTGTCGACTTCTGCACGTCGGAAATTCTCTGGGGCGACCCTCTTGGGCATCCGCCTTCAGCGGCTGATATCGAGGCACTCGACTGGTGGACAGCACTACATTCAGGCTATACATTTGCGCACCGGACATTGATGGTCACAAGGCAGACAGACGACTTCTCTTGTGGTCTGCTTGCATTCGGAGCCCTCGCGCACTACTGCTTGCCAGAGAAGTATCCTCTCGTGGCTGCATCGGAGGTTGCCGATGAACGCTTGAGGATGTTCCTAGCTATCGCACGAAGGCATCTAAGCGAGGTAAGTAACCTTGGGAATCATGCATGACGTACTATCTAATGTGGCCACGGCATCAGTCCTTTGAAGAGCAAGCCAAGGCCTTCGAGTTTACGTTCACGATGCCATCGGGACCAGCCACCTCACCACATACATGGGCATCCCCGACTCCATCTTCCAAGGTGCCAGCCACATCTTCTGATGGGCCGTGCACGCCACCCTTATGCATTGAGGGATACACTAGTACACCTCCGACCAGAATCAGTGTCGGTGTATTCATATTGTCAAGCATGATGGCAGACTCACCGAATTCTCTGTTAGATTGACCCTGTGGACGAAGCCAATGTCTTGTCCACGTCGTCACCCGACTCGATCTTACCCGACACAACAGACAGTTCGATCTCCGAGGCAGGTCCAACAGCATGCGAGTCCTCTAAGCTTGGCTGTACAAAGATCAGAGTGACGTCTGCCATACGGACAGCAGTGGAGGCGAGCTCTAGTCAACGACCTGCTGGCCTGCTCCAGTTCTTCAAGCTTGGCACACGAGAACAGTATGAGGATCAGCTACGCCGGGATGCCGAAATGAGCCAAGTCTACGAAGCAGAGCAAAAGGAGTTACAGACGTACGCAGACAAGCACAAGGCAGAAAGAACACGTGAGGCTGCTCGTCGCCGTCAGCAAGTTCACCGTGCAAAGATCCATCAAAAGGAGAAGGATGAGGGTCTACGTTCTCCAGGAGGGAGAAAACGCACCCATAAGGTATGATCTACAGTCTACATCGTAGAGACTTGTTGACAGCAGCTTGCAAAGGTCGCAGACCTTGTGCTTGAAGACAAAGCGGTGAAAAAGCCACGGCATACGGTCGCAGAGCTGTCACGTCCCGAACGTCAGCGCAACGCACATCTCCGTGACAAGAATAAGAGAACTGCAGGTCGTCCGCGAAAGCATGAGCAACGCGACGCTGTCTACACGAACTGGCACGCACCTTTTCTCTGGCGGCAGATAACTAAAGCTGCGAAGGATCTATCAGTCGGGTGGCAGATGAGCGCGACCCGCATCGCAGCTGTCTTGAAGAGAAGGGATCCGGAGACATTTGGGCGGATCTCACGGTCAACGATCAATGGCTGGATTGATCGTTCAGGGCCAACACCGCAATGGTCTGACAACGCACTCCGACTGGCAGAACTGGGACACCATTTGGGAAACAGCGAGTGCGGACGAAAGGGTGCACTGGTTCGTCTTGTCATCTCTTCGCAGTTGTGCATGAATTGATGTTATCCAGGCACGCTACCCTGAGGTCGTTACTACAATTGTACGCCGCCTGGAAGCATTACGAGACTCGTCTGCTCCACTCACCCTGGTGACAATTCGTGGAATTGTTGTTGCTACGATTGTCAAGATGGCGCCAGAGATCTTCGACCAGAAGGCTGCGGATGGCTCGAAGTTTCGCTGCTCCGATTCATTTCTACGTACATTCTTACACAACACCCTCCACTGGTCGGAGCGCAGAGCAACACGTGCAGGGCAGAAGTTGCCGCATGACTGGGAAGATATATGTGAGCGATCGTTCTGTCGCCTCGCATACAAGATCAAGGAAGAAGACATACCATCATCTCTCTATGTCAATTCCGATCAAACACAAGTCGTCTATGCACAAGGCACGAAACTCACTTGGGCCCCGACAGGAGCGCGGCAGGTGTCTGTTTTGGGGGAGGACGAAAAACGCGCGTTCACAGCGATGGTCTCGATAACGAATGATGGCAAGGCGCTGCCCATCCAGGCGATCTACCAGGGACACACAAACCGTTCTTTACCCTTGGCGACCGCGACGCACTACGCAGATTGCATCAATGCCGGATTTCTTCTGGAATACTCGGCAACAGACACGTACTGGTCGACACAAGCAACAATGCGCTCGGTAGTCACCAAGATTATCGCACCGTATTTTGAGAAGGAGAAGCAACGTCTAGGTCTCCCGCAGTCCCAGAAGAGTGTTTGGCAGATTGATGTTTGGGTCGTCCACCGTTCGCACGAGTTTCGCACCTGGCTGAGGGCAACACACCCTACAATTCTCCTTGACTACATCCCGGCAAACTGTACGGGCGTATGGCAGGCATGCGACGTTGGGATTCAGCGAATATTCAAACACTCTATGAAACGATCGTACCACCAGGACGTCGTCCAGGACATCCTTCAGCAACTCGACAGCGGAGCGGAGATTGTCGTGATCGAGAAGCGGATAGGCCACTTGCGAGACTGTAGCGTAACATGGCTATGGCGTGCATACAACACAATCAATGAACCAAAGATAATCTTGAAGGTATTCAGATATTCACGTACCTCGCGCCCACTCTGACACAAGCTCCTGATGCTAGGCCTTCGAGTTGTGCCGCGCGCGCAGCTTCAACTTGTCATTCGCGAGTCTGACGAGCTACGCAGCACGGGAGAGGTTGCGGCGATTGAAGGACACGGATGCGGACCTATGGGCAGAGTTAACAGCCAATGAACACTCAGAAGAACCCGTCATTCACGCCGATGAACAGCCCATGGAGGACACAGTGACTGCTGACGACGTACCTGAGGATGATAGTGATCTGCCGCTTGCACTGATCATTGGGCACATCGCCGAGAACACGGATGATGGTACTGTTTCAACAACTGCTCAAGGCCAGCTGATATCAGCAGCCTTAGCAGAAGACACGTCGGATACGGAGTCTATTGCTGATGACGGCCATGCTACAGTTCCTGCAGGCGGTTCGAAAGTTGCACCTGGCAAATCGTCAGACTCGGCCAAGGTCAGGAGGCAGTCAACACGGACGAGGAAGCCAAACATACTCTACAGCTCAACGCTCTTTTGGCATCACAATGACATGGATGCATCCGACGTGGAGTAGGGCGACGTGGAGGAGAGGACGACGACGACTCGACGATGTTATCGCGCTCGTATCTAGTCTTGTATCGCGCGTGCGCGCTCGCTCAATCATTACCTATTTTGGAAGTTAGGCGCCCATGTCGCCAATTCGTCAGTCCGCGTTGTGACCGTTATTTGGACCAGAAAATCGTTCCGTCAATGGTCTATGTGACGCGTGACCGACGAACCATTTAAAAGGGTACAGTACGTCGGAAGTTGGGACCGGAGCGCAAGCACGGGAGGAAGGAAGGAGGGGAATTCTACAAGGTCGCGGTCATGCTGGGCCTAGTGCGCGGGCCATGACTGGCGGCGACGTAAATGTTCAGTGCTGTTTTGTTGGGTTCAATGTGTTTTATGTTCCGCGTAGAGGGCGTTGAAGGAGAGTACTTACATCGCGGAATCTGCACGGCGGTGTTACCACCAGGTACATCTTATCGACGAGCGGCAGTCCGATCGATAATAATAAGCCCCGATTAGGCATTACGGGTTTACGATCACTACGGCCACCCCCGCCCCACCTCATAACAGTCTGTCGGTTCCCCGGTGCGCGATCAACAACCTGACCTCTGCTCGTCCATTCATTGTCTGGCTGTGCTTCACTGGACCATAGGTTGTCCGTTCTCTGCCGGTATGTTTCGCTTGTGATAACTCTGCCATCAGGTTGTGTAACAACTGCCAGGACTTCAATGGCCTTACGGTCAATCATCCTACAATGGACATACCGACCTTGTTATGAGCGAGTATCGCCCACGAAGCAGCAGCCTGGCTATGGTCACGGTCGCAGGCGATTTTGCGCAAGACCGCTGTCAGTCTGCCCTAAACACAGTCCCAACTCCGACAGTGGGTGGTCTAAGTCGCACTGCGCACGGTAACTTGACGACTCGCTGGCACTCACCTCCTACCACCGATCACCCTGCCCACTCCCTAATCCACCTTCTACTCAGCATGATCAACACCATGCTCAAACAGCACCCAGGGATCGTACTCACACTCTGGTGGGTTCCGGGCCACCACGACATGGCAGGCCATGAGCATGCCAACCAAGAAGCGAAGAAGGCAGCGCGAGGCAGCAGCAGCTCCGCGGTCAACCTCCGAGTCCTTGCTGGCTCACGCGGACGAGCGAGAGGGCAAGCAAATAGGCATTGCATGCCTACTTGCGCGCCCTCTCGCTCGTCCGTCTGCCAGTATTTGCCTTCTTACCAGCTCGCTTGCCCGCCCACTCCATCAGGAAACCCGCCCCGTGCAAATGTGGCGCAAATCCGCGCCAAACCCGCGTCGCGCCACTTCGGGCGCCAGTAGGTTGCAAAGGAGGGTAAAGCAGCATAAATCAGTGTAAATGACCTCTCCACCGTCCCGTAAATATATTTGATCTGTCCAGTCCTGTAAATGTATTCGCTGTTCAAGTAATCTATCCTAACTACGCCGCGCTGTATTCAGCAGTCATACCACGAAGGTAGTGTCCATAATGGTGGTACAGTTGCCCATAGAGCCCGCCCGCCGACGTCTCGTCTGCGAGCTCTTGCGTTCGCAGGCCCACTCGGCCATATCCACTGCGGCGTCTGCTCCTCGGGCGGGACGGCTCGTAGACCACGTCCTCCTTGTCGTCGGGCATGCTCGTCTCGCGCTTCTTCGCGAGCTGCCGCACTTTGGTGAGGACCAGCTCGAGCAACACGCTGAACGCGGTCAGCGATAGATCCATTGTCCGGGGTGCCAACATCAGTAGTGACAGTGCTACTCACGGGTGAGTCGGCCACTTCGGCCTTCATCCGGATACGCAGCGAGTGCTCGAAGAGGAGCTGCGTGATGATACTCATCGTGCGCACGAGCATGCGCGTCATCGTGAAGATGTAAACCTGGAGCGCGATCGAGCCAACCATCGGCCCGACGAACAGCCAACATCCACACCCACGGACGCGCGACCGCGCCGTCGCCGTCCGTCTCGTCTCGAGGTAGTGCAGCAGGTTCCTGATCCCGAGCGGGCTCGCGAAGAACGTAACTACCTGGATGGTCAGTGTGATCGCAAGCACAATGTACTCCGTGAGAAACACGGCCATCAGCCCGAGCAATATGTGCCGCTGCTTCGCCACTTGGAACAGGTCGAGCCGCTTGAAGCTGTGTTTGACGAGATGCTTCGCGCTGTCGTAGTCGGCGAGCGGCGGGAGCTTCTCGATGGCGGGTGCGGGACCTTGTACGCCTCGAAGACAGTCGGGTCTAGCCATGTGACCAGCATCATCGAGAGCCCGCGGTCTACTCGCTTTGCACACAGGGCGAACGCCCTGCGTCCTCGTCCTCGCGATGTGAGACACGGTGCCGTGGCCCGGCCTCGTCCTTCACGGCTGGCTCGCCCTCGCCCGCCATCCGCCGCTTACCCACCGTCCACTGCTTGCCCTGACCTGCCGTTACGTGCGGGGGACCGCTTGCCAATCGTGGTTGCGCCTGCGTGCTCGCCGTTGCCATCTGCAACGTGCAGCAGTCGGGTGCTGCATGTCGCAACGCCCTGTACTCGCTGTGAGCTTACCAGTTCGCATGCGTCTGCACTCACCTCGGCTGCCCTTCGCCCATGCGCCCGCCGCCGTTCGTCGGCTGCCTGTGCCTGCGTGCAGGGAGTTAGCTCTGCGGTCTTGATCGGCATGTGCGTCGTCTTGCGTCTTGGGCCCTCGGTGCGCTTGCCACAGAGGTGGCGCCGCATTTGTAGTGGTCGCTGTAGTAGCACAATGGGTGGTGTATAGTGTCCGGCAGCCCCTCTTTGGTGCAGCACTAATCACTCGGCCTCCCGGAGGGGCCAAAGCAACCGGCATACGCCATACGAGACCGTTCGTATGGATTGGATGAGTGATAACGAGCTGGCCTATGGTGTAGGGGCTGATTGCGAACGGTGGGTAGGTAGTAGGCGTGGGTTGTGCAACTTGTAGGGCGAGAACGTTCGAAGTGGCGAGTCGGCACGGGCTCTTCAATCGGTGTTGAGCCACTGTTGACTGAGAGGCCCAGAGGCCCGGGGGTTCTGACAGTGCAGCGTGGAGTGTGAGCATTGAGTGACGATGTAGCCAGGGTATGTTGTAGTCAGGAGTAAAGAGGTTGTAGCAGAGCGTCAAAGCGGCGTTGCCTCTCGTAGTGCGAAAACTAGGCGCCGGTATCTCTGGCTCTGTCTGCGCTGCTCAAACTACGACGTCGATGTACATTTTTTATATCTCATTCATCATTCTTTTATCGGATCTTCCCATACATGCACTTCACGAGCTTTTAATCTAAATGGGAAGAGACGAATGAAGCGCTTTCTTGGGCGGCCGGTCGGACGCTTGCGCGCGCTACGGTGGGGTACTCGCAAGCTAAGTGCGATGCGATGCGCGCGCGAGGTTCACGACTACACGTGTGACATATGCATGCTTATCCTTAAATGACTTAACAGGTAAGGTGTCACAAACTTCGAGTACATGGTCGCCCGTCCATTCGGCTGAATGCGTGCACCAGCATCGAGACGATGCCGAGCTTGAGGAACGGCGGAACGGGAGCGCGGCTCGACGCGCGGTGCGGGCGAGGCGGTGCGAGGCGTCGCATAGGGACTCGTGGATGGAGAGGGGGAATGTCAGGATCAGGGAGGCTTCGTGCACGAAGTGCAGTGGCGAGATGGCCGCGCCGCAGTCTTCTCGTACAGACCGGAGTCTACATTGGGACGGCACGTACCTCGTCACCGTCGGGTTCGAGAATTCCGCGGTTGAAGCTGTACGTGAGCGAGACCTCCTCCTTGGAGCCGTCCCTGGGCTTGAGCACGAGCGTGAGGTTCTTGGCAGGCGCGAACGACTCGAACACGCCGATGTCGACGCGGTCCTGAGAGCGGACCTTCTCGGAGTCCTCGGAATCGGCGAACGTGAGCGCGAGCATGCCCTGCTTGTTCAGGTTCGTCTCGTGGATACGGGCAACCGACCAGGGGACGACAGCGAAGTCACCCAGGAAGTGGAGCTCGAGAGGACGAACCCTCACCGTCGTTGTGGTCACCGACGACGACGACCCACTTGATGCCGTGGTCGCGGGGGTAGGCACAAGTCTGAGGCACGGCGCGGTGTTGCCGCGCTGGTGGGTCGAATGGTATATTAGCCTGAGAGGCCTTCAGTGAAAGCACGTAGCGCTCACCGGTTTCGGTACAATAGACCACCAGGCCGCGGTTCTACTCCATCTGGAGCTCCTCACGACCCAAGCCCTCCTCGAGTAGCTCCTCCCCAATCCCACGTAGGTACTCGCCGGGGTAGGGCACGCAAGATTATGCTCTCGCAGCAGACGACCGCCTTTTCTTAGTGGCTGGCTCTGATGGAGGCTGCTCGGGGGCATCGACCTTGCCCCCGCCAGGCCGTGGCGACGGAAGCTTTCGGCGTGTTGTGAAGCGACACGGGCACTTGTGCGACATCGCTGGGAGGTGCTTATTCGTGTTCATGTGCGTTCGCGGAGGGTTGGATCAGGCAGGCCAGCATAGCGAGTCTCGGGGTGGTCACAAGCGGCGTTGGGAGCTCGCGAGTCTGACTCGCAGAACTTCGCCCGACTGGCTTTGAGGTTGGGCACCTTCCGTTGGAAGGCGGAGGCCGATGCGAGAGCCAACAGCGGGAGCATTGGCCGGCTATGCCAGGCCACTGTCCTCAGCTGCGCTGTGACGCGCTGGCGGATCCGCCGCCCCGAGAGTGCGTAGTTGACCACTGGAGCGGTTCAGTGGGACTAGTGTGGCCAGGAAGGGTCGTGTGACTCGGCTGGCGATGTTCGATGGCCAAGGGTAGGCTGAGCGGTTCGGTACAAGCTCGAGGGAAATGCAGGGCGCCAGAGAGACGGGCGAGCGTGGCACTGAGGAAGTGAAGGTAGGCGCGAAAGAGCGTGGTGCAAGGCAGCGAGGGGCGGCGCCGAGCAAGAGTCGGGGGCTGCAAAGTCGTCGAGAGAGCCAACAGACACAAGCGCCGAGTTGGCTTTCGGCGCGCGTGAGGACCATTGACAGGAAGCGCCGGTCGCAGTGGCTCAGCGGTACTATTGAACTGGCGTGAGCATTTGCGTTTCCCGACGTTAATTTTCTGCGTGATCCTCAAGAGTACACGAAATGCTGCCTAGAACTCAAAGCTGGAGTCTTATTCTTCCACGCTGCAACGAGGAGGGGTGTTAAGGCGGGCGCTTAGCTGCGCCCCGGGCCAGCGCCTACTAGGGCTTGCGCTCGCGGAGGACGTTTGCTTGCCTCGCAGCTGAAATAGATGAGAGAGCGGAGACTCTCAGTGCATTAACGATATCTACACAACAGTAATATACGTGTGTCTGTCTGTGAATGAGTTAGCGTAGAACAGGTCGCACAGCTCGAGCACGTTGCTGCTTGTCCACTCTGGTGGTTTCACTGGGCCAAACTTAGGGTGTAGATGCGCACTCCGGTGCAGATTCTTCAAGGGAACAATTGCTGCTACGCGCTGCTGGTCTGCGTCGCGTGAGCGTGTCACCGTATAGAACAGGTGGTTCGCTTCGGGGCGCGATTTGAACCTGCTGAACCATTCGAGGTACACGAAGTGCGAGGGCGCGTCGGGTTCATTCTTGAAGACAATTTCATGGGCCTTCTTCGAGAGCGAGAAGATGACGCGTACTTGCCCTACACGATAACCTGTGTTTCCACTCAGCAACAAGCCTCAGTGATGGTATGGGCAAGCCTTACCTGAGACCCCAACAAACCCCCCGTCTCCCTTCTCGTTGACCAGCGCAGTATCGAATCGCCCTGCGACTACACGACCTTGAGTGTCCCGATATGCTGAACGCGCGTGGATCACGTCCAAGGTCTCGGGCGCCTCCCTCCGCTGGAAGGGGTCTTGATTCCAGAACTTGACTTTGTGCCATACGGACACTGACCGGAACGGCAAATCGTACACCGATACGAAGTTCGCGAAGTCGCGCCCAGACAGATGGGGATGCTTGAAGTGCGCGATGAATTCTTTCAGGACAGTCTGGAAACGAGGGGCACCATAGCGCGTCTCGACGGTGGAAAACGAGAGAGATTTGTGAGTCGGATAGCGAGTGAGATGCTGGTGGAGTTTATGTGGAATCACAGGAGGTGTTGTCGGCAGATCAGGGCGCCCAGCGAGCCGCCAGTCGATGTAGAGAGCGTGCGCGTGGATCTGCTCAAGGCGGACGACAGAGGAGGTCATTTGCGGGTACTCGTCTTTCCTGTTGGATTTGCGCCACGGGTCCTTGGCGAGCGAGATGTGCAGATGCTCGGACTGGGCAGTGTTAGTCCCATCTGCGGTCCCGAACATCTTGATTCCGCTGACATAGTGCTGGAGCGAGTGCAGTTTGGGGAAGTTGAAATGATCGCGAATACCTAGATCGACAAAAACACCCTTGTTCGCATGGAACCGAGCCAAGGAGTCGTCGAGTTGAGAGAGTGTGGTAGAAGTGTGAGCAGGGAGTTGCGCGAGATACACGAAGTCGAGGAGGGCGCGTACAGCTCGCACCAGTCGTACGGGACTTTGCCCACCAGGTAAATGTAGGTCGATGATCGTGCCGAGCAGAACACGACATATGTCTTGATGTTCAGTCCCGGACACACGAGAGAGGTGTGATATACCTTTCGAGAAGTGACGCAGGTTATGATTTGGAGGTAGAGCTTGAAAACGAGCATCAATTACGCGGGCGCCATACGCTGTCTTCGTCCAGCCTATGACGTGCTTGACCATTCCTTGGTAAAGCTGATGTAGGATGTCAGGGGGGAAAGAGGCGTAGATGTTCACGTAAGGCAAGTCCTTCCAGAAGGGGTCCGCAATTGGCTTGATCCCTGCATCCTGGCAGGCGTGGACGTGAGCGACTGGGTCCCCTGTGCGCTCGAACGTACTGAGGGCATGCAATATTGCATTCAGGTCGCGCTGCGTGCACGGCACGGCCTCACCCATAGACTTCGGGTCTACCACTCCCGCGGGACATTCGCCATTCTTCACACCAGCGACGCAGACGATCTCGGGATAATCTCCGATGTATGCCGCGAAGATAGGGTGACAGCGGCGGGTAGAGCCATCACCTGATGACATCTTCACTCCACGACGGGCGGGCTTGCGGGTGGGTGCGAGGGCCTGCTTCAAGCATGCGTGGAAGAGGTTGGAAATGGCACGGCGACGAGTCTCCTCGTTTTTGATATGGGAGAGCCGCGTGACGGGAAGATAGCCTATGAGAAGTTGTGCCTGTCGACTCGATTTGCGTCGTATCGCCTTGGGGATGTTACCAATGGTTAGATAGAGTGGGTAGCACGAGCGATTGCGAAACATGGTCAACTGCGTCTTGTCGGACGAAAGAATAAGTGGTACGATGGTGCCACCCGGTTCCTTGGCCTCGATTTTGTGCTATCAGAAAGGCATAGCATCAATAGGAGGTGAAAAGCGGAGGCATATATCAAGCTAACCTGCAAGCGCCACCACCATTCACCAGTATTCATGTCGCCATATATCCGCGTTGACTTGTCCTCGTCTGTGTAATGGCGCTCGGGGGAAACAAGCAGATCAGCGACCCAATCAGGTGAGCCGAATAGTACGCGGATGCACTGCATGACGTCTCGAAGCCAAAGGTCGTATGTCTCGCCATCGACCTCGAGGACCTGCCGCACAAATGCGGGGCGGCTCGGGAGGGAAGAGTCAATGATTTTGTTCAGGTCTTTTGTGTTTTTGAACGAAAGGTCCAAGGCGTCACGGACCTGGCGAATACGACAATCAGCATTCCAGTCGAGGGTATCTACTAATGAGAGCTAACACACGCACTCCATCGATTGCTAGGAACTCGTTAAATGCACTCGCACTTGGGCCGCGCTTCTTCGCCCACTGAGCAATGTGCCACTCCCTCTCTGAGGCGAACGGCGCGAAGACGTTCTCATCGGAGATCGTGTCAGCCAATCCTGCCTCGTACAGCGCGAACGGCTCTTCCTTTGGGCGTTCAATGTCAGGCGGCTCATCGACGAGAGCACCAGCTTGACCACCGAAGCGAACTCGATGAGGGTCTTGGAAAAGAAACTCATCTTCCGGTCCACGAAGCCCAGCTTGCTCTTCCTCCACGAGAGACATACCATCATGATCCCTACCACCGGATCTTGAACTGTCCGTGGGTGAGACAGACCTCTGACGTAGACCAGAGGGTGTAAGCGGTGGTGAGGAAGGAGGGACGTCGTAGTCCCGTCCTTCCTCGTTAGAACTTGAAGAAGAACTTGAGGATCTTGATGATGGCCGTGGAGACCGCGCATCGTGGTCAGCGCCGTGCATGAGGTCATCATCCTGCCCAACGTCGTTATCATTGATGCCCTGTGCTGGCGCAGCCTCCAGGTCGTCAGCGCCGGCATTTGAAGGCCTGTGGTGAGAAGACCCTTCCCCGGCGCGATGAGCGTTGTGATCACCTGTCTGCCGCTGTGTCAAACGGGCAAGTGCTTCCTGGCGGGCCAAGTCAGCCACACTAGCGATGCCAGCCGCACATCGCGGATCTGCAGACCGAGCGACATGGCGTGAGAGGGAACTCGCGTTGTCAAAGCCCGTTGTACCACAGCCCATGCATGTGAAAGAATTGTATCCGAATCGGCTCCCACCTTGAGGCTTGTGTTAGCACTATGTCATTGTGACCACCGTCAACTGAGTAATCGCAAGCTTGACGCACCTGGCAGCGAGCCGATCATCATGAAGTGCGAAAGGGGGCCAGCTCCGAGGTCTCGCATGCTCCGATCATCCGAAAACACGTCGCGCGTCTTCATCCCGCATATGCGCACTGAGTGAGCGAGCGACGATCGAACACCTTTTGTGACCAGTAGGCGCCGTACATCTCCAATCGTTGTCGCACCGGACACAACTACACATGCAATTGACATCTCAACTCAGAGACAAGACCACGAATGACGAAACACTGACCTATTGGGATGCTCCTCCCACTCAGAGGCTGGATGAATATTGTGTACATTGATTTACCCACCAGCAGGCGTCTCCGTCGATCCAGTCGGATGTTCGAAAAATGGTGACGACTGTACCGCCTCATTGCGAACATTGACTCTGCAATCCGCGCCACGGGCAGTAACTGGGGCCACGCCAAGCATGCTGTGCCATTAAAACATGAATGTTAGTCTGTTCCGAAGGGAGGTCACCCGACAACCATACGCACCAACCACGGCTGACCAAATAAAGGAATATCCATACAAATATGCAGCGTTCAATGCAACTGTGGAGGGCGTGCCACAATTAACCCGCAGCCTGAGATCGAGCGTGAGCAGACTCTGTGAGACCGCCGCCAGTTCGCATAGGGTTGTAGCCACTCACAAAGGACCATAACTCGCAATATCAAAGCCATAAATACCAAAAAGGCATGCGTTCGCCAGTGCGGGAACAAGAAGAATGCCCATAATGACGAGCAGAAATTGCGACACATGCGAAACAATGGCGAAGTTTGAGTCGGGTGGGCCGAGCCTTGCCAGGATTCTCTCGCGCCAGCCGCCGAATGGTAAGTTCATGTGTTCCATCCTCTCGGCGACTCCTCCCTTCTGGGATGGCATCGTTGGTGAGGCCGAAAGGTCGCCAGAGGCCAATGACAGAGCACAGTATGGCGGGCGAGCAAGGATGAGAGAGCAGGCGAGCGAGTGAGTGGGGAGAGAGCGAGTGAGCAGAGTGGGTGGCAGGCGAATGAATGAGCTACTAGTGGGAGGCGATAGGGAGGCTGGCGAGAAGCGCAAGAGGGCGTGCGAGTGTGTGGGCTGGCGAGAGCGGATATAATGGGCTAGAATTGCCTAAGCACCCAAGGATAATCAGCACGACTGTAACAAACATTATTACCGTTGGAGCTGCAAGGGTAACTGCACACTCACCGTGCTTCTCACTTGGATCTTTGACAGGCCTTGCTGACTCGGGATACCACTGAGCCTCGAGGCTCTGAGTCTGCGTTCCAATGATGACTGGCAGACGAAGATCTGGACACCAGAGTGGCGACTCAGATCGCGCCACTCCAAGACCAGGGCAGCAGTGGCTGACTCCGCCCCCAAGACGGGCAAGCCCGGAATGCGAGCCTCCGCCCCCGTGAAAAACCCTTCCTGATTTCGTCAGCCAGTGTCGTCCCTCCCGACACTACCACAACCACTGACCCTTGCTACATCGCAGCCACTGCAGGACACCTGCTCGACAGTCACGCCAATGCCCCGTGCCGCATCACGCAGCAAGAAGAAGACAACACTCCAAGTGGGGGGAGTTGTTGCCGAGGCGACACCTGCTGGTGAAAACAATGTCAGCCAGCTTGAAGGTAGGCTAAAAAGCGCGACTTACCTTCATTTACGATGAGTGCCAGTCTGACTCCTTGATCTAGATCCCGGTTCCGAGGAAACAGGCAATTCAAGTGCTGCTACGAGTAGATTGGCTGACTTGGAGAGAGAGCTGAGGGCCTTGAAGCGTGCCGAGCGAGATGCATATGAGCACGCACGAGAGCAAGAAGTCTCGAACCCAACAAGTAATTTTCATAGTATTGCTGGCCACATACACCCTTGTCACTGACTCGGTCTATAGTCACCGGACCTCGTGCTGCAAAAACCCAGGCGTACAAGGACCGAGGTGTGCTTCATTCGTAGCCCCGTCTTTAGCCCATATTGAAGCTACTGCGTCCCAGTTTGGCAACCGAAGCCTCGCCAGAAACGCGAACCCGGAGAACAGCCCGCCGACACTGCGACAAAGCAAGTAAAGTCTACAAAGATGAGAGCGGGCCAAGGGCAACGTACGTGCATGCATTTCATCAGCCAATCACCTAGTATGAGTCAAATGACTGTCCACGTACCCAACACCACCAGTGGCTGCTGATATGCCATCGAAGTCCTCGCCGCCGACTCGGATGCAAGCCTCTCGTTCCAGTTCTGATTCAAAGGCGCCCAACGGATCTAAAACAGACAAACAAGAGCCTGAGATCAGTCACGCAGACTACAAGACCAAGGGTACGTACCATGATGTTCAGACTACCGTTCATTGAGAACGACCGAACGTTCGTGTAGATCCTCGTAATACAGTCTTGGGTCAAGATCAGCACCGTGAGAGACTAGCAGCAGCCGATCCCAGCGATGATGGCGGTGACCTCGAAGGCTCTGAAGACGAGTCCAAGTCTACTGGTGAGCGGTCTGACAATGAAGAGTATGAATCAGGTGCCGAGCCTGAGAGCGAAGAGGACTTCGGTGTGCAAGGTGGGCATGCACCATCGAGCCGTAAGTCCGTCAAAGTCGCAGAACAATTGGCGCAAGGCGTGAGTACTGTGACTGAGTTGTGACTACTGAGTTGAATGTCATTTCTCTCACGCGTACAAACCCATTCTCTAGTCAGTCAAGGTCGTCTCAAAAGGCCGGAACAACCGCCGCATACTCTCGGACTCAGAGACTGAAGGCTCTGATTACACACCCGACTTCTTAGACCCTGCATATGAGTCCCCTCCCGACCATGATCGCGGTGCAAATGAGTCTGAAGACGACGTGGAACCTCCAGTAGCTGAAGAAGATGACCCCATGAATGCGGAGGAGGCCTCAGTTCATCGTGAATGGAAAGTGCGTTCATGCCAGATCCTTGGCAATGCTCGCAGTCAGCTAACTCTGTGTCTTTTCCTTACACGCAGGAGATGATTATCCGCCGCGCACAACGCCCTAAGCTGCCGGCCAGTCGTCATTACAGTCAGCAAGCCGTTAAGGCTCGCACACCTAGTGGGGAGGAGCATGGTAACGAGTTGTCGCAGCCCGGGCCTCAGCAGGCCACGTCTTCCAACAAACATAGTTCTGCCATGCAGGTAAGTGCTGCTGTCCTCATCACGGTGCTTTCTGCGTCCAAGTAACTGAGCCGCTGTTGCAGCGATCCAACCTGGCTAGAATGGCAGTCGCTGAAGACAGTGTTAGTACCACAAAGACGAAGTGACAGCCTGAGGGACGCTTCCACGAGACCGACAGCCAGGTACAGCTGCAGTGCTCAATAAATCCCACAACGCTGACCATACCTCTGCTCGTGTCAATCTCTGATCGGCTGTATTCACGGACTGTATCAGCGCAAAAAACGGGCAAGTAAATGCGATCACTATGGAGTGAACACTGTGCTAAGTCACCTGACAGTTGCGGCGTTCGACGTCTATGGATAAAATCTATCCTCGTGTGCGTACTAGCTATCATGCCCTCAATGAACTGTTGTGTTGGGTCGCTACTGAGTCTATCATGCGAATGACAGCCACCCCCAGAGTCCATCAGCAGTGGCGAAGACACGGGACTCGACCTAATGTCCCGCACTCGACCCAAGAAGCCACGACGTACTAAGGTATGTGTGTTAGCTGACTATGCAGTCCCAGGCCATCGGACTCATTATCGAACTGCTGTAGCCGACCGCACCAGCTCCTTCCGACGTACGTACTGCCGTCCAAGCTGTGCATATTAGAGCTGAGCTAATCACCTCAACATGGTCAGCAATCGATTCCCGGGCCTGCCACCAATGCGAAGGGACATCACGTAAGCTTGTTCTTCTATGGATGATATGAGTAGTCACGATGACAACGCATTTTTCGCGACACCAGGCATCTCGCAATGGCACTATCTCAGGCTCTGACGGCGACGACAATGAATCCGCAACAGATGCCCAAGGCCTGTTGCGTGCCGGCCACGTGAACGTCTGGCCCGAGGATACAGAAGTCACATTGAACGACGGGAATAAGGTAGCTGGTCTCAACTCGCAGAAATCAATCAAGGTCCGCACTCTGTTGAAGTCGACGATTGCCCAAGAGTTGCCGCAAGCTCTGGCACTTGTCAATGCCTTTCCGAACATCGGCGAGCGGCCCAAAATGTTCCTCGACATATTCATTGCCGGTACACGCCGCCTCGGCACCAACTACAGTACGATCGCCCAGCGCCTGTTGCAAGACTCGGCGTATATCCTCAGTTTACTGACATTGGTGAGTCCATTGACTCGCTGACTTCGCTGCACACACGAGTACAAACTGTCCTCATGATGTAACATTGCCAGCCCGCCAAGAGGATGTGTTCGATCCGGGGACCGTGGTATAGCGCCTGCCGCGATGCTGTATGGGAGGGCTATGGCCTCAAGGCCATCGAGCATGACCCGGAGGCCCTCCAGATCGCTGTCCAGGAGCTGCTCCTCAATGACCAGTTCATATTCCCTGGTAAACTCGTTGTATGGATCATGACCTCTTTGACCATTTGGACTCGGACGCTCACTTGGACCATACAGAATGGCAGCTATACCGGGCTCAGGCGCAACGTACCATTCTGCGCGGAGCCAATCATCAATCTTGCCAACCTCCTGTTCATCGGACCCAAAGCACTCTGCCCAATCGAAGATTCAGCGTTCGTCTCATCCATCAATACTGGCCCTGGCGCGACAGAGCAAGCAATCCCACAGACAATGGCTGCACTCCTCGCAACCTTCGTGCGCACTATGTCCCGATCTCTGTCCTAGACAATACCCACTAACTCCACCACAATCCTGTAGGCTGGTGCGGCGATTGGAGAGGGCCTGCATGGCACCCGTGAGGCCCTCAAAGCCAACGAAGGTTTCAATTCGACTCAACAGGAGGCGCCTTACCGGGACCATCTCGCCGCCCTCTCAACAATCAATCCGATTGGCCGCCACAAGATCCTTAACCTTATCTTCAATGAAGCGAAGTTAGTTGGACTGCGAGGCTATGCGCATCCGAAATGAGGTGACTGATATCACGATTTGCAGGATTATTCATATCAAGAAGAGTGCCACTCGCACTCGTAAGGCCACAGCCAATCTCCTCTTTGACCCCTTGACTGCGGGGACGGATCTCTAGTGTTGCGCGATGCACGATGCCACGCCTCTCCATATACCCGAGCAAGTCTATGAATTCCTCTCCTTTTGGGTCTCGTGCACGCATCACAAAATATAGCATTGCTAATCTTTCGACGAGCAGTAGGTACTTCCATGTCATCTGGTAGCTCGTCGTGTGTGATCCTACGTATACCTGATGTGGTGTAGTCTGGTTAATATAGGGGGTATACTCGTGTGTAAAAGCTGATCACAAATGAGTAAATATACTTGATTGTTGATTTGCTTCGAATTGGCGCAAATTGGCGCAACATTTACAAGGGGGTTAAGAAAATGGGGTGTCCAGGACATTTACGCAAAATTGCGCAAAATTGCGTCGATTTGCACAGGGTGGGTTTCCTGATGTCTTTCTCGCCTGCGCCCATCTTCGCTGTCTTGCCCACCTGCCCCCGCTCGCTCACCAACCTACCCGCATGTTCACGCACACCCGCCTGCTTGTCCCCGGTTTCTATTGTCCGCCTGCCCACTCTCGCCCACTTATCAACCCGCCAGCAACCCGCCCGCGTTACCTCTTGCGTACGCTCCCGTTTTCCCACGCTCCCGTTCGCCCGCGTTCCCGCTTGCCCGCGCTTCCTTTCACCTGCACTCTCGCTCGCTCATCTACTCGTCCCGTTCGCCTGCTTACATTGTCCACCCACCCACTTGCTCGCGCTCGCCCAGCTGTCCGCTGGCCGGCGTTCAGAGGCTGTCTCGTTCACGCTTTCTCTCGCGCTCGCCTGCCCACCGTCCTGTTCGGCAGGATTAGCCTCCGAGTCGCTGGCGACTTCAAGCACCGCACCTGCGGCTGCTCTTGGCTCAGCAATACTGATACTGACAGCTCCCGGTGAGTCCACTGGCGGGTCAGGCGTAGGGTACGATTGTCGGAGTCCATGTTGTATCAAAGATGTAGTCGTTATTAGCCGAATACATCGCGATTCAATTTCCATCTATTCCGGGTGATACGAGCGCTCAGTGTGGCCAAGTGAGGAGCGCACTCGTCCTGTCAGTGGCCGACGACGGACTATCGGGCTAACAATAGACTGCTCAAGCTAAGATAACCCTGTTTAGTTACTTACTAGCCTCGCATATCCTAACGGACGATGGTCGGGCGTTGTACTTCTGACGCAAGTTAATCAGCGACTCCCGGCCTTTTGATTGTCTAACAGCCTGTTGTAGTATGACCGAATATCTACTGGCGAAAGCCGACCCATTCCAGCCACATCATCAGTCTGTTAGTTCTGTTAGTTCTGTTAATCGATGCTTTGGCTATGTCAGGTCGCCGTCGGTCTGATGCCAATTTTGCGATGTAGCGCATTCCGACCTGACAGAGGCCGTGGGACACCTCGATCGACTGAGAGGAACTTTGCCGCCACAGCGAGCGCTAATGAGCTGTTCTGAACGCCGCCTTTCCTGGGACTCCTGCGCCTTCGAGTATCCGGGAAATTAAGCTACATGCGTAGGATGTCGCAATTCCGATCCAAGCTCAAGAGCTGTATCAACCACCAGGGCTCTCCTGTATGACCCTGTGTGCAGCAGCTTCTGTCGTTAGTACGGCACATCATGAGGCTGCTCTCAGTGGCCCTCCACGAGGCCACGAAGACAAATCACCTTAGGTGATTGCTTCACCTGCTCTGTCTTATCTACTGCAGCTCTGAAGTACTACGACAACGAAGACACCATACTCGTACTAAGCCGAAACGTGGCCCGCAATGTGGTCGAGCGACGTATTGTCGCCAGTAACATGACCACAGCCTCTGCAGGTCGTGGTATGCATATTGTTCCTCGTTTACTCCTTAAGCATGCGCTGACATCCTCGTGTCATGACCAGTACACGCTGATCTTCGCCGCGAATGTTCGGAATTGGTCATGATGGCAAATAAGTCTCTGGAGACGAGGCGTACTTAAGGATGGTGCACTATAGGTCAGCGCGAGTAAGCCATCTCACCCCCTCCGCGCGATATCGATGGACCTCCATCGCGCCACAAGTCCGGGACGAGTCGGAGATGGTGCGCCCGCCGTCCAGGAGCCCGCCGAAACCCCTCGCAGGGCGAGCGAGGGGTATACGGCGAGCTCTCGGATGCGATCCGCAGCAGTCGCGTTCGCTATGTTTTCAGCAACATGTAAGTGTCGAGCGGGGTGCTAAGATGAGATATCGTAGCAAGCTGACAGCCCCGATGGACAACCCACATAGACTACTTGAACATCCTCATCTTAATTGATGTACGTGCAATGTCGTATAAGCGTAACCATCGTTTCTCACCCGAAGACATTGTAGGTTGCTTTCGCGATGCTCTATGAACAAAGTTACGGTAGATGGGAGCTGATCCGTATGTGGGATGCCTTGCTGGTTGGTGCGTCGATGCATTAGGCCCTACGTCCGTTCTGCCCTTCATATGTCCTTGGAAAGGGCAATTCATTGGTCAAATCGTCTCTGGGATATCGTGCGACACCTTCGGAGAGGAGGTGTCGTTGTGCGCCTCGCTTGTTGTACTGTTTGTAGGAGCTGTGCTATGCGCGGTTGCACGCGGTGTCCAAGCGTCGATAATTGCATTCGAAGTCGTCGACAGCATGGTCACCCACAAGGAACGAGGTAGAGCCATTGTTCCGTTTGTGTGATCCACGTCTACTCACTATGGTAACGTTGCAGCATTCGTGTTACTGACCAACGGTGTCTTCAATGTATGTATGCCATCAAGCGGAAGAGCTTATCTAAAGGCATCGGACCGTGTAGGCAGGAGGTCTGCTAGCGACCATCATCTTTCTAATTGTACTCTCTGCGGCGCAACCCGGACATCTGGCCACCGTCTGGCCGGTGTGTATCGGGATAGGGATCGTTGTTCCATTCGCGGCCATCTCTTATAGCATTCTACGGGTCATGGCGAGAAGGTGAGTGCAGTCACTGTTCGCGAACTTTCGACTCGGGAATAACGTTGATGTAGGTACAGGGGACGCGCAATGAGATGTATGTCTTCGCGAAAATGACTACATCGTCAACTAAAGTTGAATGATGCCGACCTTCTAGATATGTCCATGTACTCTTCCGAGTTCAAGCGACACTGGATTACGATGGCCCGCACTTGTCTCCTGTGGTACGAGATCATAGCTATCACCGAGCTGGCACTGACCTTCATTTCTGTAGGTTTGTATATGACTTTGTGAGTACAGAGCAGATGTACGCAGCCTGTCATGATTGATGCCGCTCGCGCAGGCCGTCTACCCGAAGATCATCTTCTCCGGCGTGATCCTATACACCATTGTCGATGGTGACATCTGGCGAACCGCGGGATTCGAGTTGCTACTCGCTGCGTTCGCTCTCGGTGGAAGCTTGGCTGGCGCCATGGTCTGCGACACGTTCGGACAGCGTAATACAGTCAGTCTACTCACCCTGTTGCGAGTCCAAGATACTGATGTCCGATGCTCCACACAAGATACTCGTTTCCTTCGTTGGTTACGTAGTGTTTGGTCAGTCGCTCGTCTTCCTGCGCCCGCTGTTCTAACATTGTACTCTACTCTCCGCGAGCACAGCCCTGATCATCGGGTGTGCATATGACCGACTCATCAAGGTCGTTCCTCTTCTGGTGGTATTGTATGTGACCATTCATCCCTGGATTGGACATCGATTGAACTTCACGCAGCTACGCTCTGATGATTTTCATGGGCAACCTGGTGAGTGGTGGTACTCGACTTGACAGTCTCGACGCTTCAACTGACAGCGGCTTAGGGTCCTGGAAACCTTCTCAGTCTCATTGCCACAGAGTAGGTCGACCCTATGATGTGTGTTAGAGATCGCGAGACTAATGTCAACTCGAAGATCGTACCCACAGAACGTCAGGTAAATCTCAATCATAGGTATCCTCGCCGTTCGCTGACTGGTCGTGTTCAGGGGATCTTTCTACGGTGTTACTGCGGCCTTCGGGACTGCCGGCGCCGTGGCCGGAATCCACGCTTTCAATGCCATCGACGAGAACCTCCGCAAGCAGTGAGTGTTTGAGGGGTTCGAGGCCGTCTGCATTACATCGGATCCACCTGACATGTCAATTCAGGTGGGGATTCATCATCGCAGCCGTGTGCGGTGCCGTAGGCATCGTTGTCGCCTACTTCCTTCCTTCACACGGCCCCCTAGTTGCAGTTTCAGCGAGCCAAGCGGAGAAGTGCGCTGTGCCAGAAGTCGTCATCAATAACGCGACAACATCGGCTGCATCCAATGCTCAGCAGAACGGTTCTCCGAACGTATATCCGAGGCAAGGCTCAATGACTTCCGTCGACAAGGTATATATGTGGTGTTGCAGCCTTTGCACTGTTCGTGAGAGCTGATACGGCAGTGTAAGGATGATGCCTTGGACACAAACGACGACTTCGTGCCGGTTGCCAATGGCGCAAATGGCCTACGGGTTCCTGGCGCGTCCGGTCCGCGTCAGATGCCTGGGGCTTTCAGTGTGCCGCATCCATCCGACGACCGGGTATGTCGTTCATTTCTTGCTTACCCTAACATCGCGTTCATCATGCCTTCGGTATTTTGTAGACATGTGGGCGTCACGCCGTCCAGTCTCGCTCAAATCAAGCACACACGCGCGCATCGGCTCCCGTCCTCCTTCATCTTGCTGCTACCGCTACCGATGCCACTCAGGACCCACTCGCGACGCGGCAACGCGTAAATCTCTCCAGTGCATCTTGCACAGATAACGCGGCGACTCCGGAGCTGCCACAGCAACGCTTGGCGACCCCCTCGGTTGTGTCATACGCACGTACCAGTCTATCAAGAAGCATTTCCGCCCTCAACGCTGCGTCGGATGACTCAGTGTATGTTACGCCAGAGCCACAAGCCGACGCAAGCTCGCTTGCATGTCCGCAAAGTGGCCCATCCCACCGCGTGATGTTGTTGCAAAGGATGTCTGGATACGAAACTCTGCAGTTTTCGGCGCCGGTAAGCATTATCATATTCTACTTGATGTCTTTGCGATAGCTCGTTTGTGATGTTGAATGACTCGTTGCCAGGCTTTGGACATCCAGGAGGCACACGAAGTGATCACAGAACACGTCGCCGCCTCTGGGCTTCAGAAATTCTTCAAAGAGGACGATGCATTCGTCAAGACAGTCGAGGCAAATGCCTCGCAGTTGCAAGACGACGGCGATTCTTTTCCTATCACGAGGCAAAACGTACAACGCCTCATTCGACTGAGCTTATATCACCCGGTGATCTATTGCGACGACAGCCACTCGATGTCGTGGGATGTTCCGAGTCGCTGGGACCTGCAACGCAATGCTGTGGCTCGCATTGCAAGCATTACAACGCGGGCTCTCCCCCATTCGTACGGTGTCACGCTGCGTTTCATCAATGCTCATTACGCAGCACGGGATAACATTTCAGTGGACAACATCCTTGATACGTACGACCGAGTGAACCCCTCGAGTGGGACACCGCTCGGCACACGTTTGCGCAAGTATATTCTCAAGCCCTTGGTCTTCGACGTTCTGGACAGAGGTCTCCTCCTCGAACGTCCTCTTTTGATATGTGTCATCACCGACGGCTGTCCATTCGGCGAACATGCGACAACTTTCGAGCAAGCTATCGAAGAATGTCGACAGCGGCTAGTGGATGCCGGGTATGAGCCGACTGCGGTTCGGTTCTGTGTGACTCAAATTGGTGCCGATGAAGGTTCCACGAGCTTTCTCGAGGATCTCAGAAGTAATCCAAGGATACAGGACGTCATGTACTGCACAACGGAGCGGCTGGACGAGAAATTCCGGGAGTTATGGGACAATGGACGCCAGCTTGACGAGTGGCTTCTCAGAATGCTCTCCGATCCTATTATGCACCGCATCGGGGACTGATGAGATGCGCAGTCCGTTCTCATGACATAGGTGCGTTTGTTTTCAGCATATCACCGCTCCGGCGTCGAATCTGATACTTAATTCGTGCAGAGGCACAGCTGTCTGGCGATGTACAATGTATTTGGAGAATATGGCACAGGACATTGAAGTGTCTAGTAAAATGAGATCATCGGTGGACCGGTGTGATCAGGCAGTAGATCAGTTTGGGATTGAGAGTGTACACTAGTGTACTGTACGCCGTGTACGGTGCTTGCATGTGGAGGACGATCTGGACAGACACGTGTGTACGGATCACCGAGCGGCGATCGGTGGGCGCCCCGCCACCGAGGAACGTCCGAGCTCGTCGTTGCTCGTTGTCTCCTGCCTCCAGCGCAGCAACTCACCCAGCCCGGTGAGTACATAGTTGAATCGCTCGGAGGTTATGGTTCGGGAGTACAACTATCCGAGCTTGCTGGGACAGCAAGATTGACAAAACCTAATCAACAAATGTCAGGGGCGTCGAGTCCCAACTTTGCGCCTTCTAGAGGTATGCATTGGTGCTGACAGTGGCTGAGGAGGCTGGCGGATCTATGTAATTGGGGCATCCAATGCACGGTGAGCAAATTATCTTGTCTTAGATGCTAGCTTGATGTGTTGAGCACGTAGGTGTACGCGCCTACGGGTGGGAGAGCCCTTGCCAGAAACAATGGACAGACTATCTTACACCGCATGCACCTCGGAGACTACCCTCCCGAGATGGTCGAGCAAGGAAAGTACAACCACATAGTTTGCGGACCAGATGGTCAGGGAAGCATATTGTAGCACGGCATCCCACATCTTTTCCAGAAGTTTTTCGCACATACCGTCGCTCTGCAGAAACTCGTTCGCCAGCGCCGCGGGATCTGAAGCTCAGTTGTTCATGCGTTTCCTAGGGCAAAGCTTCGTCGGGACTCGGGATTCTGATGCAGTGCGTGGTCTATCGCTCGTTTCTGGCACTTCTGTGGCACACCTGATGCGTTTCTTCCTACTAGGATGTTCCGCACGTAGGCGACAGAGCGCCCTGGAAGCCATGATCTGTAAGTAGCTCAACCCGGCCTCACGATCTCTAATGTCAACCTTGCTTCAAGCTCCTGTTTCTCTGCTAGGGCTTTCTGCCCTGTACCCTGAGGCCGCTCAAGAAAATTAGCCTCCACCAACGACCCGCCCACGAGTATGATATACCATTCAACCGGTACGACCTTTTCGCGCAGAACGAAGCTTTACTAAGTACTTGCCAATATCCAATTAGCCAGGCACGGCATGTTTAACGGGTTTGGCCGATGTGTTACCGTGCGTATCAGTGGGCGGCCAGAGGATGCCAGATGGCGCACACTGACCGCATCAAGTTCTGTGGAAAACACGCGTGTCGTATACGAATCTAATATACATGCTCCGAAATGAGATGTTGGACGTCGCGGAGCTCCTGACACGTAGGGCGGACCACTGAGGCTGTACTTCAGCTTGACTTCAGCTCGCAGACTTCCGACTTCAAGCCCTCGACGTGTATGGTGCTGGACGCGGAACAGGTATAGTTACTTTGACTCGGGCATCACTACCCGGTGGCCTGATACGGCGGCGAGTCATGTGGCTGAGGGTACACCCTCGCCGTTGTCCCAGCTGGCTGGCCTCACTGCTGGATCCGTCATTTGTGCTTGGTGGCAATAAGGATCAGTCAGCGACATCATCTCGAGGTCTGGCATATTATCCGCATATCCTGACGCTCCGGGCCAGCACCGTGATCGCGACGTACACGGAGATGTTTAGAGTTTCCTCTGCCCAGATCATACCGAGTCCAATTTACTGCCTGCGTATCCTCCTCTCTGGGGGCCGCTTCTTGTGAGTAGTCATGTTCAATTCCGTTCTGCTAGTACTACAAAACAGAAGACACCAGCTCAGCTCAGCGTGAAACAGGTTGTAGTCAGGATGCTCCGTAGCTGACGATATGACCCAGGTCCTGCTAGGATGCAAACCTCACTTCTGATGGCTCTCAGTACTCTTTCAACGCACATTGAACTCTGTGAGCGCCTCATGTTTTGCGACACGGCCTCAGGTCATTGTCACCGCTTGCTGATCCATGCCGTCCATCTTCACAGTCCTGTGTAGTCTCCCCTGGTACTCGTGGTGGGTTCCCGACAATACGGCGTATATAAGAGATCTAGGCACCCCGAGCCGGACTTTATAGCATACCTTGTTCTTCACGATGTCGAATCCCATTCATCGCACTGGTGCCCCAGGAGGCGTCGCGCCCGCCGCCCATGGGCCCAACCGAAGCACTCGCACAACACGCCCAGGCGAGAACAGTGCCAGTGTCACGGCGTTGTCTTGGACGACTTATGTAGCCGTCGCTCTGACGTCGCTTTCCGCAGGATGTGAGTAATGACTAGCTGTAGACTCGTAACCTAATATTGGTCTGACATACCTGCCTCCCAGACTATTTTACTATCATGATAATGATTGAGGTGAGCAAATCCTAGGACGCGGTGCATACTTCCGGCTGTTGACTATTTCCAACCATAGGTCATTCTAGAGACAATAGACAGTACCGGCTCCGACAGACAGGCTCTTGTACGAATGTGGGACGGACTTCTGATCGGTGCGTTTGCGATTGTTGTGTTTCGCTATGTTCAGACGTCTCATGTACGGCTAGGACAAATGATCGGCCAGTTCATTTCTGCCATGTTGTGCGATAGTTTCGGAACGAAGGTCGTGATGGTTTTCTCAACCGCTGTGCTTCTCGTCGGCGCAATCCTATGTACGGCTTCTAGTGTTCTTCGCGGGAATGTGTCAGGATTGGCGCAGTTCGTCACGGTCGCACAGGGGATTGTAGGCGTGGTGCGAGATCTTGTGCTGTGACTGCTAGCTATCCACTGACACATTCCAGGGCATTGGTGCTGTGTCTGCCGCCGTATCCACGACTGCAATCGAAGTAACTCAGGACAAACCAGCTCATAACGGGCGAGGTAGTGACTTCTCTTGTCCTGTGTGATACATGCAATTACTCACCGCGGCCCTGTCTCGTTTCAGCCTTCGTGCTTATGACCAGCGGTCTATTCAGTGTAAGTGTATCCGATCATTGGCACGAGGAGATTATTCTAATGTCATTGGCGTAGGTTGGCGGGACTCTTGCTACGGTTGTCTTCCTGGTGGTGCTGTCTGCAGCGCAACCTGGGCACCTGGATACTGTCTGGTCGGTATGCGTAGGCATTGGGATCGCTCTGCCGGTTGCAGCGCTCTGTTACAATAGTCTCTGGGCCATGTCCAGACGGTGAGCGCCGGCCCTTTCGCGTACGGACTGTCAATCAACAACTACGGTAGCCGCAAGGATGGCCCTACTAGTACACAACGTATGCCTCAAAGACGCACTTGTCGTATCTCCTGCTGACAGGTTTTGTCGACTTCAGTACATCGTCCCGCGTACCTGGCAGAGTTCAAGCGACACTGGGTTACGATAGCTCGCACGAGCTGCCTCTGGTAGGGTGTTTTTCTCCGAATATCTGCCATAGCCTTATACCCTCGTTCCTGTAGGTTCGTCTATGATTTCGTATGCATGAATCCTACACGGTTCATCTGTCGTAATCTTGACACGTACGTCTAGATTGCATATCCCAAGATAGTGTTCTCCGAAGCCATCCTTTATTCTGTCGTCGACGCCACCCTCTGGAGAACGGCAGGTCTCGAGCTGCTTCTAAGCTTGTTCGCTCTTGGAGGAAGCTTGCTAGGCGCGATACTGTGCGATCCCCTCGGTAGGAGGAAGACAGTGAGTCTCATCGAACTCGCTTGTATTTTTCATTGATGGTTTGTACTTTGACGAGGTCCTTGTATCGTTCAACGTCTACGTTGTATTTGGTTAGTCCCCTGGACGCCTGTTTCACTGACGGTATCATTCACAATGCACATACAGTCCTGATCATCGGAAGTGCTTACAACCACCTCATCAACATCGTACCGCTTCTCGCTGTCTTGTATGTAGTCATAGATGATGCTTGTTACTTACATCTTAACTCCATCTTTGTGCAGCTATGCTGTAATGCTCTTCACGGGCAATGTGGTCAGTAAGGGCATTGACATACTGGGGGTATGCATTGACCACGGCTTAGGGTCCCGGCGACCTCCTCGGTCTCATCGCCGCAGAGTAAGTGAATTTCTCTTATTCCCTACGGTGGTCTTCCAGAATTGATCTTTCATCCGAAGGTCGTACCCTCCTAACGTCAGGTAACAGCCCACTGAATGCAGATCCGCGTATGTCTCTGACCAAATCAGAGGGCTATTCTTCGGAATCACATCGGCATTCGGGACTGTCGGTGCTGTGTCCGGAATCCACGCATTCAGTGCGATCGAGAAGAACCTCGGACCGTAGTCAGTTTGTACACAGTCTATGCATCCTACGCACTAATATTCCTAAGCAGATGGTCTTTCATCATCGCCGCGCTATGCGGTATTGCCGGCGTATTCCTGACGTACCTTTTGCCTCTAGATGTGGCTGGTAGAACATCGACAAGCCCGTCGGAGAAGGACGAAGTACCACCGACAGAGCATAACGTAGATCGCGTACCAGCACTACCTGTGCTGAATTTTCAACCAGATGGCGGTCAGACCCGGACAGACACTGGCAATGGTGTCCATACGAGAGATCAGACCTCATCCGACAAGGTATGCATATACTGATTCACAGTTCCTGAAGCTTCGTAAAATTGAACTTCCTGTGATAGAATGACCCGAAAGACAGGCGACCCAGGCTTGTGGTGACGAATGGCTCAGACGGTCCTCGGTGTGGTTCACGGAACGTTCCGGGCACACATAGTGTGCGTGGTTCACGCAATGCGGCAGGGTCGCGCCATACGCCAGGTTCACGCAACGGGTCACACTTGGCCGGCTCTCGCAACATCCCTGGTTCATCGAACGACAGGGTAAACCAGTTGCTGTCCATTCTCGAACCGCCCTCATATTGACGTTTCACAGCCATCCGCACAAGAAACGCGTGTTGACGCTGTCAAGCCGTCCCCGGCTACATCAGACATTCAGGAAGCTCCCGCGTCCCTTCCCAAGGTCCTTGCGAACGATACCCTTCCGCAATCCATTCCTACCAAACCGGTCGTCCATCTCGAAAGTTTCGAACGAGATACCGACAAGACTAGACCAACTCATGTCGTAGATGCAAACCCTGCACCTCAGCTACAGCGATTGACCTTGAGCTTCGCAAGTGCACCCGAAGGCGCGGCTTCTACCAGCAGCATGCCGCATGTCGCACCTCCGATCGCCCTGCCAGGACCGCAAACAGATGCAAGCTCGCACGGCGGTCCCATAACAGAATGGTCGGAACACATCCAGAGGAAGTTCAGCGTGCACTTGGAATCTGCTGTACCAGATACGGGTCTTGTAGACAAGGTAAGTAGACCACCCTGCTACTTATTTAGCGACGATCGATCTCGTGCGTGGCACTGAACGAGGGTGGCAGGTTCCGGATGTGCAGGAAGCCCACGCTGTCGTCTCAGAATACGTCGCGGCAACGGGACTCCAGAAAGTCTTCCAAGAGGGGGATGCGTTTGTCGAGGCCGTCGTGGCCAATGCCGCGAACTTGCAGGACGACGGGAAGTCCTTCCCCATCACAAAGGAAAACGTCGAGCGCCTCATCCGCCTCAGCTTGTATCATCCCGTCATCTACTGCGATGACAGCTCTTCGATGAAAGCGGACAGGCCGACTCGCTGGGACCTTCAGCGCAATGCCGTCGATCGCATTGCCAGTGTCACGACGCGGGCTGTACCCCAGCACTGTGGTGTCAGCCTTCGCTTCATCAACGCGCAATGGGCCAAGAAGGACAACATCTCTGCTGTAGACGTGCTTGGCGCAGTCAACGTGCTGCGACCTTCGGGAAGTACGCCTCTGGGCACGACTCTGCGGAACCATATCCTCGAGCCGTTGGTTTACGACCCTCTGCGGAGCGGCTCCCGCACCCTCGACCGCCCACTGTTGATCTGCGTCATCACAGATGGTAGTCCAAATTCCAGCGATGATCCCACATTCGAGAACGCCGTGATGCAATGCCGGCAGGCCCTGGTGGATGCTGGGTACGAGCCCACCGCCGTGCGATTCTGCGTAAATCAGATCGGAGGCGATAGCACCGCGGCCGGCTTCCTTAGCGGGCTCAAAAATAATCAGAACATACAGGACGTCGTTTACTGTACCACGGAGCGGCTGGACGAGCAGTTCAAGCAGTTCAAGGAGAACGGACGGCTGTTCGATGAATGGCTGCTCAAGATGTTGTCCGAACCAATCATGCACCAGGCCAGCTCACCTGCAGCCTAGACGTTGGATGCGGTATTGAACTCCACATACTTGGCGCATGTGAGTATGTACTTGGATTCTCATTGCAATTTCGGCCAATCGAGCAACGCTACTTTCTCAGATGATGACTGAGTTAGTATTGACGTCGGCAACGGTCCTTCCGAAGCTCCCCTAGACAACTTGAGCAACCGTTGCAGCGACTTGTATTGGTTTCCGTCCTCTGTCCTACGCATATTATGTATGGTATCAATGAAGTTTTCCGGTGGTGACCCAGGCTTGACTGCCTCTCTGAAGTTTGTGCGCTGCATGTAACGCTACAACTAATAGACGCCCAGTACCACAATAAGCGCCTGCTATATCGAGTGGAGAGACGTGCCCACTGCCACTGCCCAGCGCGACTCACTCGGGCCTGCTGTCCTCCTCCATCTGTCTCCCTCTGCCCAGGTCATTCAGTGTGCCGCGAACGCGTGCAGCGTCTTCGCGGCGCATCCCAGCTTTTGCCTTCAACACTCCCCACTACACTACCAGTGCAGCGCGCTCACACGCGTCAAGTCAACTGTTACACAGGCCAGGAGTTTCCAGTCGACATCAGAATACAATTCACCAGGTGTGATCATACATTGCGGGCTGTTTTCGTGGTGAAACTGACGCCAATGATGACTATGTTCAATAGTAGAACCGTGCGTTCCGACAACCTATGGCTCGCCATCTCCGAACGGACAGCGGTTCCTTACCACGCCGGGTAGACAGCCTCATCGCCACTAAAGCTCCCATCTTCACAGACATCGAAGATGAGTTGCGGGATATCAAGCGTGTTCACTCGCAGGGTCAGGAGGAGGATCTCAAGATGGCACTGAGCCGGATGATTGGCAGGGTGGAAGAGCTCGTACGCCGTCTCACGATGCTCAGGCTTCACTAGCTGCGCTTACATGTCGCCCCGCGAAGACGTCTATGCTGAAGGAAGCATACAAGGCGCAGACCGACCTGCAGACGGAGCTCACGCTCGCCAAGTCCAACCTCCAGCTCGCCCTCGCGAACAATGAGATGCTCGAGGACGCGCTGAAGCGGGGAGGTCACGTCAAGGATGTAGGCTGGCGACGAGCAAGCGCGCGCGAGAGGGAACTCCAAGCAGTCGAGGAAGATCGGAGACGAAGCGTGGACAGCACCACGTCCAGCGACGCTGCACTGTCCCCTGTGGTCGCTCCACCATCCCCCGCCATTCCATCATCCTCAAGACCGTCCTCTCCCAAGCCGCCCAATGCTACCTCGCCCTTGCCGTCATCAGAGGGCCGCTTCTTCAGGTTTCGCTTTAGCAGTGGCAGCGTATCGACGACTGCCTTGCCGTCTTCACCGCGAGTTGCCGGCCCCACCAACGGCCATTCACCTCTGACGAACGGCACTGCGCAAGCATCGCACCTGACGTCCGCTTCATTACCCTCTCTCGTGGCTGCGCCAGATCGGCAAAAGGAGATCGACGAGCTGACCGCTCAGCTCAAGCGGGAACGGGAAGGACGCCAGGCGGCGGTCGCACAGAAGGAGGCTGTAGAGTCGGAGCTGGAGTCCCTCTCACAGGCTCTCTTTGAGGAGGTGGGCCCAGGCATGTACGAACGTCCGTAACACACTGAGCTCCTCTCGCAGGCCAACAAGATGGTGTCGACGGAGCGCAGAAAGCTCGCAGAGACGGTAGACGAGCTGAAGGAACTGCAGGCAGAGCGTGAGGCGCTGCGCAACGCGCTCCGTTTGGTCGAGTCCCAGTCCCGCTCCTCGCAGAATGCAACACCGGCGGGCTCGCCGAGACAAAGCCACACCCACACGCTCTCCGCGTCATCCGCGCGTGCGATCAAGTCCCCGCCATCAACGAGACCAAGCTCGCCGGGCGTGGACGAAGACCCTACTTCCGCCGGTACAATCGTCTCGTCCTACGGGCACAAACCACCACCCATCACCATCGTCGAACCGGCCTCACCTGCACCACCACCGTCGACGCCTGCAGAGACGAGTGGTGAAGACAGTCGAGAGGCGACACTCGTCGCGCCGTCATCGTCCTTATCAGCGGGGCCATCGCCGTCGCAGTCACCGTCGCAGTCACTGTCGCCGACGCCGTCGCAGTCGCCGAAACCGTCACCAATGTCAGACACCTCGGAAGGTAACGACTACGCGTTCCCCGCCCGGATGCGTCCGCTGGACTTCCTACCGCGTGAGATGTCGCCGTGGGCGGATGCGACGTCAGTATATTCGTCGACGACCGGCTCGTGAGCCTCGCGTCGTCCAATTTTTGTTTCCTATCGCATCGGGTCTTATGGACGCATTCCGCTGTGCTTTCCCCTAATTACTCGCTCGCGCTCACAATGCCATCTCGTTCTCACTGCAACCTGTAGCTATATATACACCTCTGAGGGCCAGTCTGCAGGATTCAGGCGGGTCGTGTCGTTTTGAGGATCACATGGATTATATACATTGTCATCTATCATACTGGTTGCATACATGTGCACCCCAAACCACATAGACGAAGGCCAAGTCGACGGAGGGCGCAAGGGTGCCATAGGCTATCACCAAAGCACGAACATGCGCATAGAGAGCAGATTTGTAACAGCAGATCTCCCCGGCACTGCAAAGAATGATACGGTGAAGGTACGTACACACAGATGAGAATATAGTATTGAACATTCAGGTGAGGAGGGACCCGAGTTCGGAGTATCCCAGAGGATTGAGAATGGAGCAAGTGGAAATTGCGATGGGCACCCCCGTCCGTCGCACCTGTGTGGGAGCGGGATGAGGACGCGTCGACTCCTTTTCTTCGACCGGCCGCTGCTCTAGGGTAGGGAAAGATCAATTTGAGTTCGTCTGGGACTTCCGCCCTCCTATGCCGCCTCGGACATGGTGACGTCTGCTAATACCGAGTCGTCCGCGGTTAGGTCGGCAGGTGCGTCGTCGTTCGTCTCCGCCTCTGCGTCGGCGTCTCCGGACTCCGCCTTCTCGCCAGCGGGAACATCCTCCGCCTTGGACTCCCCGTTGTCGATCTCCATAGCGGCCTCGCTGCCCTCTGCCTGGAGCTTGTCCGCCTGCTTGCCGTTCGTTGTCGCGTCGGCATCTGCCGTGTCGGGGGCTTTGGCAGTGGGGCTTGTGCCATTCGTCGTGGCTTTGGCGCTCTCGCCGGCCGCGGCGGTGCCGTTGGGCTTGCCTTTGTTCTCGGCGAGGATATCGTGCCACTTGTCGACGAGAGCCTTCGCGCGGTCCTTGAAGTGGTACTCGTCGTCGCGTGGTACCCTTTCCTTGGGTAGCGCGTTGATGTGACGCATCACTTTGCCGATTTTCGAGAACTGGGCGAGAAGGTCAGCGATATTGCCAAATGGAGGAGAAATGTTGGTCCGGAACGTTCCCGCGGGCTTCCCGGGGGCGTGGCAGTGGGCCGCCAGCACGGCGGCGACGATGAGGGAGGATAGGACGAATGTGCACTCACTGTCAAGTACTGGATTGTCATGTTCTGATAGTTCTCGACCGTCGAGAAGAGCTGGTCAAATGCTGGTATGTCCTGAGGGATGGGTATGAGTGGCGCTGTGAAGACAATGTCGTTTGGGGAGCGCACCTCGTCTTTGGCCACCACCTTGGTGTTGAGGAAGGCTTTCTGCAGCTTGTGTCTCCATTCTCGCACCTTCGATGCCTCAGGATCGTTCGCCAATGCAGCTGAGCGAGCGGGAGACAAGCCGATTCAGTCGATGACCCGGCGATAGCCCGCGAGCCAGTCGCGATAACGCGCACTCACAGTCCTCGCCTTCCTCTCCCTCCTTTTCACGCTTAGCCTTCTTCGTGGGCGGTGGCGACACCTGCTTGCTGGGACCCGCATCCTCATCCTCCGCTTCGGCGCCGCCCTCGTCCTCTGACTCGATCATCGCCTTCGACTTGTGCCCGTTCTTCCTCGCCTTCGAGGTAGGAGTCTTCTTCTTGCTTACGGGCTCTGCAGAGCCTTTCTTCGGCGTCTTGGGCTTGGCCTTGCTCTTCGCAGGCGTCGCCTCAGAGTCGCGCTTCCGCTTTTTGGCCTTGGGCTTCAGCTCCTCCTCATCGTCGTCACCTGCCTCTTCCTCGCCGTCGCTCTGGAGCTGGTCGACCTCAGCGTTGGCCTCCGCCTCGGCCGCTGCGTCGCGCATAGCATTGCGCTCCTTCTCCCATTCTGTGGGATCCAGCGCGATGCGGTAGCCATGGAGTAGATCGGCAGATTTCTTGGCTGGCTCGTTGACGTACGCCTGGATTTCGTGCTGCTGGAGCTTGGAGATGTCTCGCGGCACTATCCAGGCGCTAGGCGAGGGGGACAAAAACGGTCAGCCTGCCTGCCCTCGACGTGTTGCAGACAGCATACGCACTAGTCACCCGCGGGGAAGAATCGCACGCAGTACCATTTGCCCTTTTTCGATTTGGCGTTGGGCCGCTCGCCCTGTACGTTCTGGGGCACGGTCTCCGGGTCGACGATCTACGCGTCGAAAGGGCGGCGACGAGCAGCAGATAAGCACGATAAAGCGTGAATGCGTCGAAACGGACGTCAGCGAGGCCAGCAAACGCGTCGAAGGACTGTGCGGAGGACGCACCATGCCAGGCCATGAGGGGTAGCCGCGGACCTTAGCCAGGACGATGTCGCGGAACTCGTAGGACTGGTCTTTGTTCTCCTTTGTCTGAGCCTTGTTTCCCTTTTTAGACATGTTGAGCAGCGAGGAGAGACGCGACGGGGATGGCAGAGGCGTAGCGCGCGCGGTGGTGGATGGTGGTCAAGAGGTGAAGTTGGCGTCGGCAATTCCCGGCCGTCCCGTGCGCTCTTTCTGCTGGGCCCGTGCGCTCCAAGTTGAAGTCCCCCCGCTTAGAGTTTTAACTCAGATATATTCACGCCGGGGCGACGGCCGTGCTACCTACAGGCAAGAACACCGTCAGGGCAATACAACCCAGACGACAGGGCACGTTACGGCACGTCCAGCCCAACACAATCTCCAACATGATCTGCAACTCCTAGCGACGACGACGGTCGATGCGTGCAACGAGCGCAGACTCCCTCGCGAGTGTCGGAGAATGTCGGGTCAGACGTGTTTGTCGCTCAGAAACCGCTGGCACCATGCGGCGAGACGCGAGGATCGACATCAGTCCGGAACAGCAGATAGGTGGCCAGTTGGCACGTCAGACCAGATAGGAGGAAGCAGCGAAAGCGGTGACCGTCAAGGAGCACACATAAGAGGTGCGGCGTGATGCGACGGTCACCAGCGTAGACAAGGGCTGGTCGTCGGACTGCCAGTGGAGCAACAACGAGTGAGCGTACGTGCGGAGCACTGACATTAAAGAACACCACTCACTGAGGGTACAATTTGCTGTTAATTGACGAGAGTAGAGCCCGAATATATGTACACGTACTCCTGGCTACCGCTCAAGGGCTTGAAGTCGCATGCGTCTATGATGGCACGTCTGCGAGTAAGTTATTACTGAGTGCCGAATATGCCACGATCCTCTGCCAGTGCAAGGATGTGAACGCTGCGAGCTGAGCACGATCAGCCGAGCAGCACGTTCCACTAGATCGAAATGTAAGTAGGGATCCAGGACGAGCAGCTACACATCGGTATAGAGGGTATTGACGGCGAGTGTCTCATGCAAGGTCTCGTGTATATGAATGACTATAGGGAGTTAATCAGGGGAAATAATATAAACGAATCAACGCCGCCGACCTGTTGCTTACTATATACTGTGTGGCCGCTTGATCAGGAACCCAGTCTTGAGGTGCACTACGTCTGTGATGCGGTCGGCTTCGCCAGCAGAGCGCATATGTTCTCGTATGTTTGTAGAACCTGTCGTATATAGTATAAAGGCGAGCTGGGCAGCGATCCAGGAAGCTACGCTGTCCATTGCGCGGGTCAGCACGGTAGCCCGGGAGGTGGCAGGGACCTCCACAGTTCATTTCAACTTTATTGGAAAATGCTTCAGTCGTCGAATACGTCGTCGTTAGGCTAAGTGTCGATGTAACCGCCAGAAACTGCGTAGACGCATAGACGAAAGCACGGCGGTTGTGGCCAAAGGCAGGAGGCTACGAGCCTCTGGCCGCCAGGTGCGGACAAGTCACACCGTGACTTGCTACTGTGACGGCCGTGACAAGTAGGTGCATGCGTGTGATAATCATAGATTACTTACTGAGTGGCTGCTACTTTAACATTAACTACTCAGTTACTCTCAAGTAAAGTACTTCCCTCCTCTCCTCCTTCTCCTCCTCCTGCTACTACAGACGATCATGTCTGACCCCCTCGCAAACGGGCCGCCCGACTCGACATACAGCCCCGTCGTGGTCATATCTACCACCCCACCGCCGCACGACCCCCCGCCGCCATATCCGTCACAGGAGCGGCGCACGCGAGCACCGCGCACAGGTCGCAGACGTCGTACGCTCGAACAAGCCTCCGAGAACAGTTCGCATGGCGCAGCCGAGTACGACGCCTTTCCGCCGACCATCCACCAGCAGTTCGAGTCCGACGACGCCGACGGCGATGCGACAGAGACCACCCCGCTCCTCGTGCCCTCGGGCTCCTCTCCGCGCATACCAGCTCGCCTCCCGCCCGCTATAATGGGTCGGCAGCGCACACTCTCGCTCACGAGCACCGTGCGCTCGACGACGTCCATCGCGCCCTCTCTCGCGCGGACCGTACTTTCCGCATTCAACCCTGAGCGCGACTGCGACGTGGACGCGGACTGCGACGACCAGCACGACTCTGGCGAATCCGGGGACGATAGCCCCCTCGAATCGCCCACGCTGCGGCATAGCGGTCCCCTCGACGATCAGCAGCGCGCCTTCGTCGCTGAACTCATCGGCCGGCGTGTCGACCGACGGCGGGATTCGTCGTGGTCCGCCCGATGGCGACGGTACTACAGGCCGCTGGGTAAACGCGCCTACTATGCTTCTCTCTTCCACCTATTCGTCCTCAACTTCCCTTACGCGCTCCTCGCGTGGGTGTATCTATTCGTCTTCACCGTGGTATGTACAATTTGTCTGCTCGTGTGCCCGACGCGTACTCACCGTCTTTAGGCGGGGACGACCACGCTTATGGCGCTGCCTTTGGGGGCCGTCCTCTGCTTCCTAGATCTTATCGGTGCTCGCACGCTTTCGCGGGGCGAGGTTCGTTCCCCCTTTTGTCATTTGACTACAGACTCATCTGATATGACGACACCCGCAGATCGCTCTGCAGACCACCTTCCACGGGCCTCTCGCGTATTCCAAACCCAATCCCCCGCCACCGATCTTCGTGCGCACGCGCCCGCCGACAGTCGTAGAGATGGAGCAAGGGCTTGGTATCGTGCTTGACGCGGCTCGACGGTTGTCAGCTGGGCTGCGAGGAGCCAATTGCAAGGCGGTATCGAAGCGTGTCGAGGGATGCAGAGGAGATCGGAGGAGCAGGGCAGATAACTCGTGCGCGCGAGGTTCGTGACGCATTTGCAGGCGAGCTCGGATGTCCCGCCGTTATTCACTGCAAATGGCTCCGTATCGACACTCGAGATGCTATGTCTGTGGCTCCCTTGGTGAGTTGACGCCCTCCTGACTGAAACTGACAGTCTGGTCTATAGCTCGTCAGGTCGTCAACATTCGCTTCCGCTTTCATGATCGCGTTGCAAGCCGTACACGGCCGCACTCACTCACTGCGGCGATCTCAAGGCATCGACTCACGGCGACATGACCCGGACGACCTCACGAGTCTCCCTCTCGGAGTGACTGTCACTGAGCCCGCCCCGCTGCCCGCGCGTGACCATGCGGCTCTGTGCTGACCACGTCGGTGACCATGTCGGAGACAGAGGGAGGATGGGAGACAACAGCAGAGTCAGGCCAACGAGCAAGAAAGCGAGCGAAGACACGCACCCGGGATAATCATAAGTCGAGATGGATGCCCTTCGATCATAGACCAACCGACGCTGTCCAGGTCGTAGGGAAGCATGAGTCCGACGAAGATGCGATACCGTCCAAGACACATACCACGATCACGACCGGGGGGCAGGACGGCGTGAAGGGCCTCGGTTCGCGCGTGCGTTCCGTGGCTTCTGCACACAAGTCAGCGTACACGGACAGACACGATACGCGTCCCGGGAACACCGAAGACGAGCGAGGACCGCGGCGATCATGCCCGCCGCCAATCGTACACATGTGCATTTCACTGTCCAAGACAACGGGCATGCCGAGGTGCCATCGGGGCGAGAGGGGACAGAACCACGCATGCGGACACTTACGCAGACCGCGAGAGCGAGTGCCCCGCTCCGCCGTGGAGACGGCCCAGTGCACATCTGGACACCCGAGATGTATCGACTGTGCCCGAGCGGACTGCCACACGGTACGTAGTCGTCATGCTCGGGCTCTTGCACGATCGCTCCATGCGTGTCGCTTTTCGGAACTCGCGAGCTGCAGGCCTCACGCGACAACCGTTGTGTCCGGTCTACCGGCGGCGACGTGGGCGGGGATATCTCGCCCGGAACGCTGCTCAAGGCAGCACGAGGCTCAGCGGCGCCAGGCAGATGAGCGGCGAAGCCGCGATCTGCAGGTCGTGCGCATCCAGAACACGACCAGCTGCACAGATCATGAACTGGTACAGTGGACGCACGGCTGGACGCGCTGACGTAGTAAAGGTAGCGTACGAAAGCAATATCTACTACTGTACGAACGAAAATATATTTTGCTGAGCTGAAACCGTCAGTACTCCTGGCGTGCGATGTTCGTAACAACTTACCCATTAAAACGGGATTCCATCGTCATCCTAACAGCCATTCATGCGATAGCTGTAACATTGACAAGTGACTGTCCGAGTCATTTCTTCGCCGGCGACGTGAACCTGCGCAGTGGACAGCATGAAGTAAACGAGCTATAAGAGCACGTACCCGAACAGATTAGTACTGCTGAAGTGCAGTGAACGTCGGTCACACCGAGCTTGGCCCTCGAGTCAGTGTTCATTGACGCCGGCGAGTCGAAATTAACTACAAGGCCTGCCATTAGCAAGTGGCACATAGCAACGACGAATACACACTAGATGTCCCGTAATTGGAGTGGGATAACGTAACATGCAGTCGTATTATACCGATACCTAGGTCGGTCAGAACAACCTGTTTCAAAGTGTCAGCGCATAATGACTCGACAACTGCAAGGATCATTATTGCGAGAAACTGAACTTACCGTGTACTGCGCATCGTAATTTGCGCAGCAGAGTCAGACTAAGAAGCGGAGACGAAGTGCCAGTGATGCACCGTATGAGTGGAACAGACTGGTAGGACGGAGGATGCTCATGTAGAGCCGATGTACTGCTGGGCATTTATACTCGCACCCGATGGTCCGTGCGCGGGGTATGCAGCTTAGCCGTGCATCACGCCACGTCTCAGTATTTCTCCGACATGGCGTCGGATGTCCGTCTGCCAAGTCTCGCTGCCGTCGCTTGCAAACTTCTCTGGCACGACTACTACGCCGCAAATACTCGATGCCAGGCGAGTGTCCGATGGTTGGGGGGCAACGGCGATGTACCTTCTGATGCATCACGTACAAGCGCTTGAACAGGCGCTCTCCGGGCGTTTCATGCCGAGGAGAGTCTTGCACGACAGCAGCCTTCGTGAAGTTCCTGTCTGTGTGGTCTGCTGAATGCTGTCTTTCGCAGACCGTGTGTCCACTTGACTTTTGGCTTCCCTGTTGTGATGGTGTTCGGGTTCATGCATCAAGGTGAGTATCATCAGGTAATTGTCGCGAAAAGAGGGCATTCACGGCAGGGGCCCAGGTAGCAAAGATCGAACGGGGAAGGCAAACGGGCGCTTGCCGCTGCAGCGGTCGAGAGCCTCGTGTTTTGAGATCGATCTCAGCGATCCAACACCATTTATGGTTCTGCACCGAGCTATCCTCCGCATACTGCCTTATGCGTCTGCACACTCTTTCGCCCAAAGCCATGTATCGGAGAACATTGAACATAAGTACCAAGTGCGTCTTATTGAGCGCTCACTACCGTATTTGGTAAGCAGAAGAGTAACTCGAGAGGGATCCTCGAATGTCATCCAAGTCTGTGAGTACGAAGGGATAGAACAGTGCTCTTTGTGACGGAGCATTGACAGAACTCTGTCCATCCGAGGTTACAGGTCAATGCCCATTCAGCATTGACTGGTAGTCTCGGATGGACAGAGCCTGGATTCTCGTTGATCACGACTCCCGGGACATGCCCGACTCTGGAACTCTGATACGACGACCTGACTGCATCCCCGGAGCCTAATGTCAGCTAAGCGAGTGGAAGCACTTCCAGCGCTGTTGTGCACTAATTCTGGAAAGTGCCGGACATAGCCTGTAGCCGGTGGTGAGATGGCTGAGCTAGCTATTGCAAGACAGGACATCCACGACATATTTGTTTAATGGACAGTTGTGAAGGCTGACCATACTCACCTCCCAAAGTGTGATACCTAATTGAGCACTTACAGACAGAGACGTGAGATTAATGCCAAGAGATTGGCCTCGAAGCACCACTTGATGGTAGATCATCCCTGCCGGTTGCATCCCCGAATCAATATTCTGATAGATGCTGTGCTTTACGTGTGTACATGCATGCCACGTCTGCAGGATACAACCTTCATTATTCAGATTCCGCACTGCTGTCGTTACTCTACATCCACCTCCTCACTAGACACCGCCTGTCTCTGAGTCTCAGCAACTGACACCATCACTGAAGATGTCCCCAGCACTGTACAGTCTACTCAAACCAACATCACATTCCACGGAGCATCACCATTCACACAGACTCTCTTCCTCAATGTACATGGCAATTCTCATCCCTACAGTGGCCCACACTCACACATGACCGTCAGCCAGCCATGCAGTGAATGCCACGCAAACAGCTGATGTCCAGGGCCGCTCGATATACGGACATGTCCGTAGGTCACTGGTACGTTTATCACAGACATTGTCACAAACTCACTTGAAAGCTCATAGCGCGCGGGGATGGTGGTCCGCTTTGCAGCGACACCGAAGGCACATCAACGAATGACGAGACCATAGCCGTGACGTGGACAACCTCAGTTCAACACATCTGCTTCCCGTGAACGGCGCGTCGACACCCACGCGAACAGCCGGGTGCGCGCAAATACACCTTACGAGAGTTCGTGCAGTGCTCGATATGTAAGTCCTCACCGTCCACGGATGCCCAGCCTTGCTTTATAGCTGACTGGCCTGATTAGCAAAGACACTATAGATTCGCTTCGGGCGAGCAGGCCCAGAACGACGTAGTGAACATCACTACGCTCGCCGGCACAGGCGTTCTCTTCGCCGAGCGAGCCTGGGTTGGCCTCGGACCTCCGTTTCAGGCATACGACATCGCGCCCAGAGGGCCGTAGCGACAGCGGACGAACGTCCGCCGTCCACCTTCACACAACCCCCGTCCTGCGCGCTGGTCCGCTACCACGAACCCACCTACCTTTCGTGTCAGACGGATAAAGACACGACGTATCAGGTTCCGGCGGTGAACTGGCCCCGGAACGCTATGGCGCCGGATGACACGACGGGCCCTGCGATCGTACCTTGTCTCTCTACGAATGGCCGCAACACCCTTCGACTGCTGCCGGACGGGCGACGACACGCCATGTGGGCTTTCGGCGGGCTTGACTCCCCCGTCGATGCCACGCCGAGGTCGGTCGTGGCTTGCACCTGCGCATCGCCGTTAGCTTCCCCTCCGTGCTACCGACAAAGTCACCACGTATCGACTTCCGGCGAACTGGGGCGGGAGGTTGTCTTGCGTCGACGCGCCGTCAACTACTGCAAGCGAGTTACCTCGGCGAAAGGTGAGCACGAGAATGCCTCACATGCACTGGAATACAACTCACCCTACTCGTCGACCGCGTTGCTTCGCAGGTCCTCGGTATGCTCAAACGCCGCGCGCCCTGTTGTCAGACGGTCGACGCATGCGGGCGGGCCGCGCACAGAGCCGGATAGTGGGTGCGAAGCGTACGGATGCACCTACGCGGGACACCACAGAGTGAGTACCGTCGCCTTACACGACAGATGGAAAAGGACTCACCTCGATGGTACGGCACAGAGAGCGGCGCGGGCACCTTGTCTCTCTGCGAATCATTGCCCGTCCTCGGCCACGTATCGAGTTCCGGCGAGCAGAAACACGAGGGCGCGCTCGACGTTCATGTCAATGGCCAGGCAGACGCGACATCCAGCCGCACGTCCCCGCCGTCCGAGCAGTGCAACCCCACCGAAGGAATCACGACGTATCGATTTCCGGCGAACTGGGGAAGCGTGGCGTGCAGGCGCAGGGCGCGCGAGGATGCTCTGTGAGGTGAGTACTGCGATACTACATGTGCACTGGAGCGCGACTCACCTGGTATGTTACTCGTCTGCCGCGTTGCTCTCCCGTACGCTCGGTCTCCCCAATGGGCACACCCAGAATCCCGCGGCCGGTGCGTTGCGAACCGTTGCGGAGAGTAGCCCGTGGCTACCGACGCACGGAGCATGTCCCGTCGGAGGTAAGTACCGTCGTCATATATATTGAACGGGAGATGACTCACGTCGACGATGTTCACCCGCATGCGACGCAGGGATCGAGACCCGCGAGTGTCCCTGCGACCGCACGCCGTCTCCCTGCCAATGACCGCCGCGCCTCCGCCGGACAAGTGAAGACACGACGTATCGACGTCCGGTGAGCAGGCCCGCGAGGACGTGCTCGACTCGGATGCCGCCTGTGAATTGACGCATGGCTCGCGTTCGCGGATCGCCGTGCAACCGACGAAGTCACGACGGATCAAGTATTGGCGAGCTGGACGCACGGCCCTGATGAGGTGGTACACGCCCAGCGGGCGAGGTTGTGGGGCTATCTCGACGAGGGTGAGTTCCGAATGTACACGACTTACTTCGACCCTACTCATCTGCCGCGTTCGTAAGTTGCAGATCTTCTGTACGCTCATCTTCCGGCGTCCGGAGTGTTGATTTCGGACGAGCGCGGCCTGGCAACTGCACGGACGCGTCCGGCGGTGGATGGAGCGTGTTGGTGTACAGCGAGTCAGAATCGGGCGTGGGACGAGGACCTGCGTCGCTGAGCAGCGCGGAGCGGAGCGGGGGTGAGTGGATTCGTCTTGCATGTACAATGAGAGACAGCTCACCTGGGTTGCGATGTTTGCTCGCAGGCGTCCGCGTCACGAGGGAGGAGTGTGCAGGCGAGCGAATTCCGAGCGATGGATCGTTGCACAGGGGTGCGGGGGGGGGCGAGCGATGGATCGTTGCACAGGGGTGCGGGCGAAGCGTTACGCGGGGAGAGGCGCGCCAAGCAGTCACGACGGATCGAGTTCCGGCGAGCTGGGCGTTCGTGCGGCTGATGGGCGTGGTGGGCGGGCACGACGCTGGCATTGGGCGCGGGGTGCTGAGGATGTCTCAACGAAGGTGAGCACCGCGATGTTGGATGGGTAGTGGAACACGACTTACGCGTTCCTTTGCACTCACCAACCCGTCTGATGGCGGGCGAGGACGGTTTGACCACACAAGGGCACACCAACAGCGGCAGTCGACGCAGTGCGGTGCTGAGGGGCGCGGATGCTGTGGGTGCTCGCGTCTTGCACGTTGAACGGGAGATCACTCACCTGGGAGCGTCGATTGCTGTAGCCGTTCCGCGTCACCGGGGATCGCGCCGCCAGGAGCTGGCTGATCAAGACGCAATGGGCATGCGGGCGAGCGGCTCAAGGCTTGGGTACGCGCAGTGCAGGCGCGCGCGCCGAGGAGTGGACGCGCGGGTGAGTGCGGATCGTCGCCAGGGAGGAGCCTGACGCAGGTGGATGCGATGCCAATGCGAGTGTCCCTGCGGGGAGGCGGACGTATGTCAGTAGAGTCGATTTCTGCAGTTCTGGGTCGGGGACAAGGCACTTTTTTTCGTTCTCCAGCCAATCCGCGTGCGTGCATTGGCATACCCCGGCGCGCTCATTGGGCCAGCGCACGATCGGGAGGGACGCGAGACGCTGTCGCGGAGACGGCGCGAGCTGAGGAGAGACGCGTCTGTCCACGCTTGGCGCACGTCAGCACGGGCGCTCCACGCGTCCATTCCGGCTGTCCCGGAGCTCGCACGACCGTCCTCCGTTTCCCTGTTTCGACATGTTGAGCAGCGAGGAGAGACGCGACGGGGATGGCAGAGGCGTAGCGCGCGCGGGTGGATGGTGGTCAAGAGGTGAAGTTGGCGTCGGCAATTCCCGGCCGTCCCGTGCGCTCTTTCTGCTGGGCCCGTGCGCTCCAAGTTGAAGTCCCCCCGCTTAGAGTTTTAACTCAGATATATTCACGCCGGGGCGACGGCTACCTACAGGCAAGAACACCGTCAGGGCAATACAACCCAGACGACAGGGCACGTTACGGCACGTCCAGCCCAACACAATTTCCAACATTATCTGCAACTCCTAGCGACGACGACGGTCGATGTGTGCAACGAGCGCAGACTCCCTCGCGAGTGTCGGAGAATGTCGGGTCAGACGTGTTTGTCGCTCAGAACCCGCTGGCACCATGCGGCGAGACGCGAGGATCGACATCGGTCCGGAACAGCAGATAGGTAGCCAGTTGGCACGTCAGACCAGATAGGAGGAAGCAGCGAAAGCCGTGACCGTCAGGGAGCACACGTAAGAGGTGCAGCTTAAATGCGACAGTCGCCAGCGTAGAGAAGGGCTGGCTGTTGGACTAGAGCAACGAGTGAGCGTACGTGCGGCACACTGGCGTGAAGGGACACCACTCACTGAAGATACAGATTACAATCAATTGACGAGAGTAGAGCCCGAATATGTGTACGTCTTCCTGGCTACCGCAAGGGGTTGAAGTCGCAAGCATCTGTGACGGCACGTCTGCGAGCAAGATGTTACCAAGTGGTGGGTATGCTGCGATCCTCTGCAAGGATATGAACGCTGCGAGCGGAGCACGATCAGCCGAGCAACACGTTGCACTAGATCGGAATGTGAGTTGGAATCCAGGACGAACAACTACACATCGGTGTAGAAGGTATTGACAGCGAATGTCTCATGCAATATCTCGTGTATATGAATGACTGTGGGGAGTGGATCAGGGGGAACTAATGGATCAACCCCGTAGATATGGTTAACGTTGCTCACTATATACTGTGTGGCCGCTTCATTAGGAACCCAGTCTTGAGGTGCACTACTGACGGGGAATGTGATGCGGGTCGACTTCGCCCGAAGAGCGCATATGCTTCTCGTATGTTTGTAGGACCTGTCCTATATAATATGAAGGCGGGCTGGGCAGCGATGGGCCAGGAAGCTACGCTGTCCACTGCGTGGGTCAGCACGGTAGCCCGGGAGGCGGCAGGGACATCCACAGTTCATTTCAACTTTGCTGAGAATGTTTCAGTCATCGAACCCATCGTCGTTAGGCCAAGTGCCAATGTAACCGCCAGACACTGCATAGAGGCACAGACGAAAGCATGGCGGTTGTGGCCAAAGGCAGGAGGCTACGAGCCTGTGGCCGCCACATGCAGACAAGTCACATCGTGACTTGCTACAGTGACGGTCGTGACACGTAGGTGCATGCGTGTGATAAAGTACTGAGGTGCCTGCGGTGGCTGCGACTTTAACTTACCGCCAACCTATACTTCCGGATCCTCCTCGTCCTCCTCGTCCTCCTACCATGTCTGACCCCCTCGCAAATGGGCCGCCCGACCCGACATACAGCCCCGTCGTGGTCATATCTACCACCCCACCGCCGCACGACCCCCCGCCGCCATATCCGTCACAGGAGCGGCGCACGCGAGCACCGCGCACAGGTCGCAGACGTCGTACACTTGAACAAGCCTCCGAGAACGCTTCGCATGGCGCAGCCGAACACGACGCCTTCCCGCCCACCATCCACCAGCAGTTCGAGTCCGACGACGCCGACGGCGATGCGACAGAGACCACCCCGCTCCTCGTGCCCTCGGGCTCCTCTCCGCGCATACCAGCTCGCCTCCCGCCCGCTGTGATGGGTCGGCAGCGCACACTCTCGCTCACGAGCACCGTGCGCTCTACGACGTCCATCGCGCCCTCTCTCGCGCGGACCGTACTTTCCGCCTTCAACCCTGAGCGCGACTGCGACATGGACGCGGACTGCGACGACCAGCACGACTCGGGCGAATCCGTGGACGACAGCCCCCTCGAGTCGCCTACACTGCGGCATAGCGGTCCCCTTGACGATCAGCAGCGCGCCTTCGTCGCTGAACTCATTGGCCAGCGTGTCGACCGACGGCGGGATTCGTCGTGGTCTGCACGATGGCGACGGTACTACAGGCCGATGGGTAAACGCGCCTACTACGCCTCCCTCTTTCACCTGCTCGTTCTCAACTTCCCTTACGCGCTCCTCGCGTGGGTGTATCTATTCGTCTTCACCGTGGTATGTACAATTTGTCTGCTCGTGTGCCCGACGCGTACTCACCGTCTTTAGGCGGGGACGACCACGCTTATGGCGCTGCCTTTGGGGGCCGTCCTCTGCTTCCTAGATCTTATCGGTGCTCGCACGCTTTCGCGGGGCGAGGTTCGTTCCCCCTTTTGTCATTTGACTACAGACTCATCTGATATGACGACACCCGCAGATCGCTCTGCAGACCACCTTCCACGGGCCTCTCGCGTATTCCAAACCCAATCCCCCGCCACCGATCTTCGTGCGCACGCGCCCGCCGACAGTCGTAGAGATGGAGCAAGGGCTTGGTATCGTGCTTGACGCGGCTCGACGGTTGTCAGCTGGGCTGCGAGGAGCCAATTGCAAGGCGGTATCGAAGCGTGTCGAGGGATGCAGAGGAGATCGGAGGAGCAGGGCAGATAACTCGTGCGCGCGAGGTTCGTGACGCATTTGCAGGCGAGCTCGGATGTCCCGCCGTTATTCACTGCAAATGGCTCCGTATCGACACTCGAGATGCTATGTCTGTGGCTCCCTTGGTGAGTTGACGCCCTCCTGACTGAAACTGACAGTCTGGTCTATAGCTCGTCAGGTCGTCAACATTCGCTTCCGCTTTCATGATCGCGTTGCAAGCCGTACACGGCCGCACTCACTCACTGCGGCGATCTCAAGGCATCGACTCACGGCGACATGACCCGGACGACCTCACGAGTCTCCCTCTCGGAGTGACTGTCACTGAGCCCGCCCCGCTGCCCGCGCGTGACCATGCGGCTCTGTGCTGACCACGTCGGTGACCATGTCGGAGACAGAGGGGAGGATGGGAGACAACAGCAGAGTCAGGCCAACGAGCAAGAAAGCGAGCGAAGACACGCACCCGGGATAATCATAAGTCGAGATGGATGCCCTTCGATCATAGACCAACCGACGCTGTCCAGGTCGTAGGGAAGCATGAGTCCGACGAAGATGCGATACCGTCCAAGACACATACCACGATCACGACCGGGGGGCAGGACGGCGTGAAGGGCCTCGGTTCGCGCGTGCGTTCCGTGGCTTCTGCACACAAGTCAGCGTACACGGACAGACACGATACGCGTCCCGGGAACACCGAAGACGAGCGAGGACCGCGGCGATCATGCCCGCCGCCAATCGTACACATGTGCATTTCACTGTCCAAGACAACGGGCATGCCGAGGTGCCATCGGGGCGAGAGGGGACAGAACCACGCATGCGGACACTTACGCAGACCGCGAGAGCGAGTGCCCCGCTCCGCCGTGGAGACGGCCCAGTGCACATCTGGACACCCGAGATGTATCGACTGTGCCCGAGCGGACTGCCACACGGTACGTAGTCGTCATGCTCGGGCTCTTGCACGATCGCTCCATGCGTGTCGCTTTTCGGAACTCGCGAGCTGCAGGCCTCACGCGACAACCGTTGTGTCCGGTCTACCGGCGGCGACGTGGGCGGGGATATCTCGCCCGGAACGCTGCTCAAGGCAGCACGAGGCTCAGCGGCGCCAGGCAGATGAGCGGCGAAGCCGCGATCTGCAGGTCGTGCGCATCCAGAACACGACCAGCTGCACAGATCATGAACTGGTACAGTGGACGCACGGCTGGACGCGCTGACGTAGTAAAGGTAGCGTACGAAAGCAATATCTACTACTGTACGAACGAAAATATATTTTGCTGAGCTGAAACCGTCAGTACTCCTGGCGTGCGATGTTCGTAACAACTTACCCATTAAAACGGGATTCCATCGTCATCCTAACAGCCATTCATGCGATAGCTGTAACATTGACAAGTGACTGTCCGAGTCATTTCTTCGCCGGCGACGTGAACCTGCGCAGTGGACAGCATGAAGTAAACGAGCTATAAGAGCACGTACCCGAACAGATTAGTACTGCTGAAGTGCAGTGAACGTCGGTCACACCGAGCTTGGCCCTCGAGTCAGTGTTCATTGACGCCGGCGAGTCGAAATTAACTACAAGGCCTGCCATTAGCAAGTGGCACATAGCAACGACGAATACACACTAGATGTCCCGTAATTGGAGTGGGATAACGTAACATGCAGTCGTATTATACCGATACCTAGGTCGGTCAGAACAACCTGTTTCAAAGTGTCAGCGCATAATGACTCGACAACTGCAAGGATCATTATTGCGAGAAACTGAACTTACCGTGTACTGCGCATCGTAATTTGCGCAGCAGAGTCAGACTAAGAAGCGGAGACGAAGTGCCAGTGATGCACCGTATGAGTGGAACAGACTGGTAGGACGGAGGATGCTCATGTAGAGCCGATGTACTGCTGGGCATTTATACTCGCACCCGATGGTCCGTGCGCGGGGTATGCAGCTTAGCCGTGCATCACGCCACGTCTCAGTATTTCTCCGACATGGCGTCGGATGTCCGTCTGCCAAGTCTCGCTGCCGTCGCTTGCAAACTTCTCTGGCACGACTACTACGCCGCAAATACTCGATGCCAGGCGAGTGTCCGATGGTTGGGGGGCAACGGCGATGTACCTTCTGATGCATCACGTACAAGCGCTTGAACAGGCGCTCTCCGGGCGTTTCATGCCGAGGAGAGTCTTGCACGACAGCAGCCTTCGTGAAGTTCCTGTCTGTGTGGTCTGCTGAATGCTGTCTTTCGCAGACCGTGTGTCCACTTGACTTTTGGCTTCCCTGTTGTGATGGTGTTCGGGTTCATGCATCAAGGTGAGTATCATCAGGTAATTGTCGCGAAAAGAGGGCATTCACGGCAGGGGCCCAGGTAGCAAAGATCGAACGGGGAAGGCAAACGGGCGCTTGCCGCTGCAGCGGTCGAGAGCCTCGTGTTTTGAGATCGATCTCAGCGATCCAACACCATTTATGGTTCTGCACCGAGCTATCCTCCGCATACTGCCTTATGCGTCTGCACACTCTTTCGCCCAAAGCCATGTATCGGAGAACATTGAACATAAGTACCAAGTGCGTCTTATTGAGCGCTCACTACCGTATTTGGTAAGCAGAAGAGTAACTCGAGAGGGATCCTCGAATGTCATCCAAGTCTGTGAGTACGAAGGGATAGAACAGTGCTCTTTGTGACGGAGCATTGACAGAACTCTGTCCATCCGAGGTTACAGGTCAATGCCCATTCAGCATTGACTGGTAGTCTCGGATGGACAGAGCCTGGATTCTCGTTGATCACGACTCCCGGGACATGCCCGACTCTGGAACTCTGATACGACGACCTGACTGCATCCCCGGAGCCTAATGTCAGCTAAGCGAGTGGAAGCACTTCCAGCGCTGTTGTGCACTAATTCTGGAAAGTGCCGGACATAGCCTGTAGCCGGTGGTGAGATGGCTGAGCTAGCTATTGCAAGACAGGACATCCACGACATATTTGTTTAATGGACAGTTGTGAAGGCTGACCATACTCACCTCCCAAAGTGTGATACCTAATTGAGCACTTACAGACAGAGACGTGAGATTAATGCCAAGAGATTGGCCTCGAAGCACCACTTGATGGTAGATCATCCCTGCCGGTTGCATCCCCGAATCAATATTCTGATAGATGCTGTGCTTTACGTGTGTACATGCATGCCACGTCTGCAGGATACAACCTTCATTATTCAGATTCCGCACTGCTGTCGTTACTCTACATCCACCTCCTCACTAGACACCGCCTGTCTCTGAGTCTCAGCAACTGACACCATCACTGAAGATGTCCCCAGCACTGTACAGTCTACTCAAACCAACATCACATTCCACGGAGCATCACCATTCACACAGACTCTCTTCCTCAATGTACATGGCAATTCTCATCCCTACAGTGGCCCACACTCACACATGACCGTCAGCCAGCCATGCAGTGAATGCCACGCAAACAGCTGATGTCCAGGGCCGCTCGATATACGGACATGTCCGTAGGTCACTGGTACGTTTATCACAGACATTGTCACAAACTCACTTGAAAGCTCATAGCGCGCGGGGATGGTGGTCCGCTTTGCAGCGACACCGAAGGCACATCAACGAATGACGAGACCATAGCCGTGACGTGGACAACCTCAGTTCAACACATCTGCTTCCCGTGAACGGCGCGTCGACACCCACGCGAACAGCCGGGTGCGCGCAAATACACCTTACGAGAGTTCGTGCAGTGCTCGATATGTAAGTCCTCACCGTCCACGGATGCCCAGCCTTGCTTTATAGCTGACTGGCCTGATTAGCAAAGACACTATAGATTCGCTTCGGGCGAGCAGGCCCAGAACGACGTAGTGAACATCACTACGCTCGCCGGCACAGGCGTTCTCTTCGCCGAGCGAGCCTGGGTTGGCCTCGGACCTCCGTTTCAGGCATACGACATCGCGCCCAGAGGGCCGTAGCGACAGCGGACGAACGTCCGCCGTCCACCTTCACACAACCCCCGTCCTGCGCGCTGGTCCGCTACCACGAACCCACCTACCTTTCGTGTCAGACGGATAAAGACACGACGTATCAGGTTCCGGCGGTGAACTGGCCCCGGAACGCTATGGCGCCGGATGACACGACGGGCCCTGCGATCGTACCTTGTCTCTCTACGAATGGCCGCAACACCCTTCGACTGCTGCCGGACGGGCGACGACACGCCATGTGGGCTTTCGGCGGGCTTGACTCCCCCGTCGATGCCACGCCGAGGTCGGTCGTGGCTTGCACCTGCGCATCGCCGTTAGCTTCCCCTCCGTGCTACCGACAAAGTCACCACGTATCGACTTCCGGCGAACTGGGGCGGGAGGTTGTCTTGCGTCGACGCGCCGTCAACTACTGCAAGCGAGTTACCTCGGCGAAAGGTGAGCACGAGAATGCCTCACATGCACTGGAATACAACTCACCCTACTCGTCGACCGCGTTGCTTCGCAGGTCCTCGGTATGCTCAAACGCCGCGCGCCCTGTTGTCAGACGGTCGACGCATGCGGGCGGGCCGCGCACAGAGCCGGATAGTGGGTGCGAAGCGTACGGATGCACCTACGCGGGACACCACAGAGTGAGTACCGTCGCCTTACACGACAGATGGAAAAGGACTCACCTCGATGGTACGGCACAGAGAGCGGCGCGGGCACCTTGTCTCTCTGCGAATCATTGCCCGTCCTCGGCCACGTATCGAGTTCCGGCGAGCAGAAACACGAGGGCGCGCTCGACGTTCATGTCAATGGCCAGGCAGACGCGACATCCAGCCGCACGTCCCCGCCGTCCGAGCAGTGCAACCCCACCGAAGGAATCACGACGTATCGATTTCCGGCGAACTGGGGAAGCGTGGCGTGCAGGCGCAGGGCGCGCGAGGATGCTCTGTGAGGTGAGTACTGCGATACTACATGTGCACTGGAGCGCGACTCACCTGGTATGTTACTCGTCTGCCGCGTTGCTCTCCCGTACGCTCGGTCTCCCCAATGGGCACACCCAGAATCCCGCGGCCGGTGCGTTGCGAACCGTTGCGGAGAGTAGCCCGTGGCTACCGACGCACGGAGCATGTCCCGTCGGAGGTAAGTACCGTCGTCATATATATTGAACGGGAGATGACTCACGTCGACGATGTTCACCCGCATGCGACGCAGGGATCGAGACCCGCGAGTGTCCCTGCGACCGCACGCCGTCTCCCTGCCAATGACCGCCGCGCCTCCGCCGGACAAGTGAAGACACGACGTATCGACGTCCGGTGAGCAGGCCCGCGAGGACGTGCTCGACTCGGATGCCGCCTGTGAATTGACGCATGGCTCGCGTTCGCGGATCGCCGTGCAACCGACGAAGTCACGACGGATCAAGTTCCGGCGAGCTGGACGCACGGCCCTGATGAGGTGGTACACGCCCAGCGGGCGAGGTTGTGGGGCTATCTCGACGAGGGTGAGTTCCGAATGTACACGACTTACTTCGACCCTACTCATCTGCCGCGTTCGTAAGTTGCAGATCTTCTGTACGCTCATCTTCCGGCGTCCGGAGTGTTGATTTCGGACGAGCGCGGCCTGGCAACTGCACGGACGCGTCCGGCGGTGGATGGAGCGTGTTGGTGTACAGCGAGTCAGAATCGGGCGTGGGACGAGGACCTGCGTCGCTGAGCAGCGCGGAGCGGAGCGGGGGTGAGTGGATTCGTCTTGCATGTACAATGAGAGACAGCTCACCTGGGTTGCGATGTTTGCTCGCAGGCGTCCGCGTCACGAGGGAGGAGTGTGCAGGCGAGCGAATTCCGAGCGATGGATCGTTGCACAGGGGTGCGGGCGAAGCGTTACGCGGGGAGAGGCGCGCCAAGCAGTCACGACGGATCGAGTTCCGGCGAGCTGGGCGTTCGTGCGGCTGATGGGCGTGGTGGGCGGGCACGACGCTGGCATTGGGCGCGGGGTGCTGAGGATGTCTCAACGAAGGTGAGCACCGCGATGTTGGATGGGTAGTGGAACACGACTTACGCGTTCCTTTGCACTCACCAACCCGTCTGATGGCGGGCGAGGACGGTTTGACCACGACAAGGGCACACCAACAGCGGCAGTCGACGCAGTGCGGTGCTGAGGGGCGCGGATGCTGTGGGTGCTCGCGTCGTGCACGTTGAACGGGAGATCACTCACCTGGGAGCCTCGATTGCTGTAGCCGTTCCGCGTCACCGGGGATCGCGCCGCCAGGAGCTGGCTGATCAAGACGCAATGGGCATGCGGGCGAGCGGCTCAAGGCTTGGGTACGCGCAGTGCAGGCGCGCGCGCCGAGGAGTGGACGCGCGGGTGAGTGCGGATTGTCGCCAGGGAGGAGCCTGACGCAGGTGGATGCGATGCCAATGCGAGTGTCCCTGCGGGGAGGCGGACGTATGTCAGTAGAGTCGATTTCTGCAGTTCTGGGTCGGGGACAAGGCACTTTTTTTCGTTCTCCAGCCAATCCGCGTGCGTGCATTGGCATACCCCGGCGCGCTCATTGGGCCAGCGCACGATCGGGAGGGACGCGAGACGCTGTCGCGGAGACGGCGCGAGCTGAGGAGAGACGCGTCTGTCCACGCTTGGCGCACGTCAGCACGGGCGCTCCACGCGTCCATTCCGGCTGTCCCGGAGCTCGCACGACCGTCCTCCGTTTCCCTGTTTCCACATGTTGAGCAGCGAGGAGAGACGCGACGGGGATGGCAGAGGCGTAGCGCGCGCGGGTGGATGGTGGTCAAGAGGTGAAGTTGGCGTCGGCAATTCCCGGCCGTCCCGTGCGCTCTTTCTGCTGGGCCCGTGCGCTCCAAGTTGAAGTCCCCCCGCTTAGAGTTTTAACTCAGATATATTCACGCCGGGGCGACGGCCGTGCTACCTACAGGCAAGAACACCGTCAGGGCAATACAACCCAGACGACAGGGCACGTTACGGCACGTCCAGCCCAACACAATCTCCAACATGATCTGCAACTCCTAGCGACGACGACGGTCGATGCGTGCAACGAGCGCAGACTCCCTCGCGAGTGTCGGAGAATGTCGGGTCAGACGTGTTTGTCGCTCAGAACCCGCTGGCACCATGCGGCGAGACGCGAGGATCGACATCAGTCCGGAACAGCAGATAGGTGGCCAGTTGGCACGTCAGACCAGATAGGAGGAAGCAGCGAAAGCGGTGACCGTCAAGGAGCACACATAAGAGGTGCGGCGTGATGCGACGGTCACCAGCGTAGACAAGGGCTGGTCGTCGGACTGCCAGTGGAGCAACAACGAGTGAGCGTACGTGCGGAGCACTGACATTAAAGAACACCATTCACTGAGGGTACAATTTGCTGTTAATTGACGAGAGTAGAGCCCGAATATATGTACACGTACTCCTGGCTACCGCTCAAGGGCTTGAAGTCGCATGCGTCTATGATGGCACGTCTGCGAGTAAGTTATTACTGAGTGCCGAATATGCCACGATCCTCTGCCAGTGCAAGGATGTGAACGCTGCGAGCTGAGCACGATCAGCCGAGCAGCACGTTCCACTAGATCGAAATGTAAGTAGGGATCCAGGACGAGCAGCTACACATCGGTGTAGAGGGTATTGACGGCGAGTGTCTCATGCAAGGTCTCATGTATATGAATGACTGTAGGGAGTTAATCAGGGGGAAATAATATAAACGAATCAACGCCGCCGACCTGTTGCTTACTATATACTGTGTGGCCGCTTGATCAGGAACCCAGTCTTGAGGTGCACTACGTCTGTGTGATGCGGGTCGGCTTCGCCAGCAGAGCGCATATGCTTCTCGTATGTTTGTAGACCTGTCGTATATATATAAACTGGGCAGCGATCCAGGAAGCTACGCTGTCCACTGCGCGGGTCAGCACGGTAGCCCGGGAGGTGGCAGGGACCTCCACAGTTCATTTCAACTTCATTGGAAATGCTTCAGTCATCGAATACGTCGTCGTTAGGCTAAGTGTCGATGTAACCGCCAGACATAGAGGCACAGACGAAAGCACGGCGGTTGTGGCCAGGAGGCTACGAGCCTCTGGCCGCCAGATGCGGACAAGTCACACCGTGACTTGTTACAGAGACGGCCGTGACAAGTAAGTGCATGCGTGTGATAATCATACTGAGTGGCAGCTACTTTAACTTTAACTACTACTTTCAAGTAAAGTACTTCCCTCCTCCTTCTCCTCCTCCTGCTACTACAGACGATCATGTCTGACCCCCTCGCAAACGGGCCGCCCGACTCGACATACAGCTCCGTCGTGGTCATATCTACCACCCCACCGCCGCACGACCCCCCGCCGCCATATCCGTCACAGGAGCGGCGCACACGAGCACCGCGCACAGGCCGCAGACGTCGTACGCTTGAACAAGCGTCCGAGAACGCTTCGCATGGCGCAGCCGAACACGACGCCTTCCGCCCACCATCCACCAGCAATTCGAGTCCGACGAGGCCGACGGCGATGCGACAGAGACCACCCCGCTCCTCGTGCCCTCGGGCTCCTCCCGCGCATACCAGCTCGCCTCCCGCCCGCTGTGATGGGTCGGCAGCGCACACTCTCGCTCACGAGCACCGTGCGCTCGACGACGTCCATGGCGCCCTCTCTCGCGCGGACCGTACTTTCCGCATTCAACCCTGAGCGCGACTGCGACGTGGACGCGGACTGCGACGACCAGCACGACTCTGGCGAATCCGGGGACGATAGCCCCCTCGAATCGCCCACGCTGCGGCATAGCGGTCCCCTCGACGATCAGCAGCGCGCCTTCGTCGCTGAACTCATCGGCCGGCGTGTCGACCGACGGCGGGATTCGTCGTGGTCCGCCCGATGGCGACGGTACTACAGGCCGCTGGGTAAACGCGCCTACTATGCTTCTCTCTTCCACCTACTCGTCCTCAACTTCCCTTACGCGCTCCTCGCGTGGGTGTATCTATTCGTCTTCACCGTGGTATGTACAATTCGTCTGCTCGTGTGCCCGACGCGTACTCACCGTCTTTAGGCGGGGACGACCACGCTTATGGCGCTGCCTTTGGGGGCCGTCCTCTGCTTCCTAGATCTTATCGGTGCTCGTACGCTTTCGCGGGGCGAGGTTCGTTCCCCCTTTTGTCATTTGACTACAGACTCATCTGATATGACGACACCCGCAGGTCGCGCTGCAGACCACCTTCCACGGGCCTCTCGCGTATTCCAAACCCAATCCCCCGCCACCAATATTCGTGCGCACGCGCCCGCCGACAGTCGCAGAGATGGAGCAAGGGCTTGGTCTCGTGCCCGAACAGTCGTTCTACCGCAACGCCTACGCGATGGTCCGTCCCCGCTTTGCTTCCTTTGTTGGAGCCTCTGCACTGTGCTGACTATCATCTGAATGGTCATTCTTGCAGTTCACGGATTCGACGTCCTACCAGGCCCTCTTCTACTTCCTCGTGATCAAACCAGGGATCACCCTTCTTATATCTCTCCTTCTTATCATCCTCGTCCCGCTCTCGTTCGTTCTCGTCCTGCCTGCGCCCGCGACATTGCGTCTCGCCCGTCGGCTTGGCATCTGGCAAGCCAACATCGGCGTAGAGGGCCTGTGCCTTGCCGTGCGGTAGGCGTGCAGGGCTGGTTGCGTTGAGGGTCGCCGCGACATCTCCAATGCTATCTTACTGTATCAATACTGTGCGTCTTAACTTCCCCCCCCATGGCTGTTATTGCTCACGTATGCGACAGTATTTTTACATAGCCTAGCCGGGGTAAATCCGCATTGTACATGGTCAACAACATGATGGTACACAACACGCGCAAGACTGTTGAAATCGACGGCCCAAGTCCCGGTAAGTAGAAGATGCGAGATGCCTCTGGCACACCTAGTAAGCGCTGCCCTGCGCTGGCAGCCCGTGCGGGAAGAATTGCTTGAAGAGATCCGGATAGTGCCGCTCCGCGACGTCTGGGTGGCTCCTAATGGCCGCATTTTCATTCGTTAGTCTGTGGGATGACACGGGTTCAAAGGGCTTACTTGACACGCCCGATGAGGTTGACTTGTCCGGTGGGGAACTGGCCGTATTCTCCGTAATTGACGGCTAGTTTGCACAGAGCCATTAGCAAGGCTATCCGGGCGAGTGCACACGACCGCTTACAATCTGTAGTACCAACCGCGCCGCGCTGTTCCTTCAAATTCAGGATCTCAGGGCTGACTGGGATGCCCAGTGAGTCTCGATGTGTCCGATGTGTGACAGGCGGTCTCGGATGGCTACGTACGCTCTAGCTTGACCTCCTTGATGGAGATGCGCTGGGCTATGTTTTGGAAGAAGGGGATTGAGTAGCGGGGAGTCGATCCTTTGGGCGGCGAGAGCACGCGGTGGGAGGTCGCCTGCGCGAGGCCCTGGGTGACCGTCTCGAGCGCTGTCAGTGCAGGTGAGCTGCCAACTGTCTCGGAGAAGATTTGTCTACTGACCCTTTCCGATGTTCACGACGAAGGTTCCTGGGATTGGCGGCGCGTCGATCCACTCGCCGGACAAGTTCTGTACCTGCAGCCCGGGGTGCGACGATGCTTGCAGCAGCTAACATCCCCTACATCTCAGCCGAGACCCGACTCGCATTACCAACAGGAACTGCGCACGAAAGTCAAGAATCCACCATCAAAGTGGGGCCCGACCCCTTGGTTCGAAGAGAGGTCATCTAGTGCCGGGTATTTCACGACCTTCGCGCGGTGCGGGGTCGGCCCGTCGAGCTCGTAGAAGCCCTTCATAATCGAGGACGGGAGCCCGAACGCCTCCGCGAGCAGGCCGATGAACTCGTAGCTCAGCTTCTCGACCTGCGCGAGGTACCGCAGGAAGGTTTCCTTGAAGCCCGGGAGCAGGTCCTCGTCTGGCCACTAGACCCCATCAAACGCATCAGTCTCCCTACCGCGGAGAATCAGACGAACGGAATGTCTGCACCTGCGATGGACCCCAGAGCCTGAGGTACTCCGGCTCGCCAGGCTTCCACCTCGCCTCGTACGGGGTCGCAAAGTCGTACTGCTCGCGTTGGTCCGTCTTCCCCTTCGTGATCTCCGCGCCGAGTTTAGAGTACCCGAGGAAGTGCTCTGAGTTCGCCATCCGGATCTTGTCCTTCGCGGCCTGGGGCAGGTCGAACAGGCGCGGCGCGTACTCGATGACGGCGTCGATGTCTGCGCGCGCGACGGGCGGGTTGGAGAGGTAGAGGAAGCCGACGTTGATGAGCGCGTGTCGGAGTTGCGCGAGGAACTCTTGTCTGCGCGCCGGATCCGCGGTCAGGGAGTAGTCGAGGATGGGGACGCTTGAGAAGTTGGAGGCCATCTCTGTGGCTGTGCGAGTCGGAGGTCGGTCGTGGTGGAGGATCGAACGGCACGAGGCTTTATACCGGGTGAGACTGGAGAAATACCATGACTGCGTTCACCGGAGTGCCGATGACGCGATCTGACCAAGAGCTGCATGCGGCCCGCCGAAAGAATACAGCCGGCGCTCACGATAGGGGTGAGTGGGAAGTGTACGAAACGCGAGATTGCGTCCAGTTGTGGTCGGCTGTGGCACCTCTGCGAATCCCCTGACTCGTTGTGAATGCCTAGGGACTTCTCATCGTCTAAATGCTCCGCTGCAGGGGGGTGTCCCATAGAACGCGTAGCGACCGCCAGCCCTCACATGATGCATTGATTAGTCGACGGTGGTAGCAAAATAATCGACACAATACAGGGTCTTACACATTGGCAACCGCAGGTGAGAACAGTTGAGAGTAGTGCTACGTCAGTCGGGTTGAGAAGCATGCGTGCGCACGCAACAGAACGCCAAAGGCGGTGAGTTCGCAATTTACACCATCATCACATTAACCTTGCAAACTGATCCTGACATACGTTCCGCCTAGTATACATACGTACAACCCAAACCTTGCTACAAGGACACACTTTACAAAGACTCCCGGGCTCGAGAGGAAGACGACTCAGCCCGACGTATCAATACGCCTTCCCCTGCATCGGAAGTCCCTGCGGGAAAAATTGTTTGAACAGCTCGGGATAGTGGCGCTGCGCAACATCGGGATGACTCCTGTGTGGGATGCCGTCAGCACCAGGACGCATCGTTGCAAACCAGATGTTGGCCACCCACTTGATACGGCCGATCAGGTTGACTTGGCCGGTAGGCAGTTGGCCATACTCGGCGTAATTGACGGCTAGATGACGAGACGGCTCGCTTGAGTCGATGCGGTCGGACGCTATCAAGACTTACAATCGGGAGTGCCGCCCTCGCCACGCTGTTCCTTCAGCTTGACAATTTCCTCGTTCACTGGGGTGATGGTCAGTCAGCTGCACTTCCACATGCAGAGCTATCTGAACGCACGTTGCAGGGTGATATCCTTGACCGAGATACGCAAGGATATGTTTTGGAAGAATGGGATAGAGTAGCGAGGAGTGGATCCCTTCGAAGGGGAGAGCACACGATGAGACGTTGCCCGGGCCAACCCCTGCGTAACAGTCTCGAGTGCTAACGACACTGAGTCAGCATCCATGTAGATGGTATACCGCAGGCTAACTCCCCACCTTTCCCAATGTTGACCACGAAGGTTCCAGGAATAGGCGGCGCATCAATCCATTCGCCTGAAAGATTCTGGACCTGGAGCCCCGCATGTGGAGACGCTTGAAGTAGCTGCAGGACGAGACGGATAAGCCTCCAGAAAACTGCGGCCAATGGTGAACGGACTTACGAATGTCAAAAATCCAGCGTCGAAGTGGGGCCCGACGCCTTGGTCCGAGGAGAGATTGTCCAAGGCAGGGTATTTGACCACCTTGGCCCAATGTTGAACTGGCATCTCTGTCTCGTAAAAGGCCTTCAGCGCGTCAAGCGGGAGTCCAAAAGCCTCTGCAAGCAAGTTGGTGAATTCGTAGCTAAGCATCTCTACCCCTGCGAGGTAGCGCAACATCGCCGCTTTGAAGCCCGGCAGCAGCTCGTCCTCAGGCCACTGTGTCATCCGTGAATGAAGGCTACGAACGAAACAATGGAGCTCAGCTTACCTGGGCCGGGCCCCAAAGCCTCATGTAATCAGGATCTCCAGGCTTCCAGACGTTCTCGCACTCAGTGCCGAAGTCGAACTGCTCGCGCTGGTCCGACTTGCCCTTAGTCAGTTCAGCACCGAGCCTGGAGTAGCCATAGAAATGCTCTGAGTTCGCCATGCGGATCTTGTCCTTCGCTTCCTGGGGGATGTCGAACAAGCGCGGCGTGTAGTCGATCACCGCGTCGATGTCCTCGCGGGGAACGGGGGAGTTCTGGAGGTAGAGAAAGCCGACGTTGATGAGGGCATGGCGAAGCTGGGCAATGAACTCCGCTCTGCGCTCGGGATCGACAGCCAAAGAGTAGTCGAGGACTGGGATGCTAGAGAAGTTAGACGCCATTGAAGACAAGACAAAGCTGTTCACGAGTTGAATCGCGACTGAGTGTCCTCTCCGTATCGCGCTCTGCTTTATACCTCAGCGGGCTGCCACTGCTCAGGAGTCAGTCGAAACACGATACGGGGCTCCCCTGGTCCAGATGACGCGCCGCTAGCCTGCGGCGGCCCCGGTAAATATGTTGTCCCGCTCGACGCCAGTGGCGAGTGCGCCGCGCTGTCTTGAAGAGGTCGAATGGGCACACGCCGACATTTATTGGTCTGTCATGGGGCTCGCCGATTACTAGCAGGCGCGGGAGAGAAATCGAGCGATTGGAAGGTGATGCGCTGCAATGCATGGATACGAGTGCTCGACCTGATCGTGATACACAGCTGACAGACGGGTGAAAGAAATACGTGAGATTCAAGAGACATATCGGACAACTCTGATGCCCTTTCTCCTTCGCCGCCTTTCGACGAGCAGGTAGCTGACTGTATGTACGGGTCAGCACACCCTGGACGTTATGCTGGTAAGACTTCACCCGTGCTCACCAACGAGTCTGTCCAAGGCCTCCGTCACCTCTGGCTCTGGCTTGATCTCGAAGTACGCATGCTTGGACATGCGGAAGATCCAGAAGTGTCTTCTATGAGGGTGGAATGTGACGACGGGCTTCTGTTCCGCATCGTCGGCACGAACGAGCTGGAGACATGAGGATCATCAGAGTGATGAAACGGAGGCTAGGAGTCATCCACACCTGAAGCTGTCCCTTGTGCACTTTCCAACGGAATTCGACACCGGCACCCGTTGCGATTGTTCCTCCGCTTAAATAATCCCAACGTACTTGAGTAAGTGGTTTTCGTCATGAAAGGGAACATACGGTTCGTCTTGGTCGAACTTCATGAAGTCAGACGCGGAAACCCATTCGCCCTTCTCCCCTCCAAAGCGGACCTTTGGTTCCTTGGTTCGTATCCCCTCGATCTCTGCAAGCGGCTCCAGCTCGCGTGTCTCAAAATCGTGTTTGATGATCTTCGTCAGATTCGGATGCCAGTAGCGCGTGACGACCTCGTAGTACATCTTGTTATCGTCCACGGACATCGTCGTATTGCGCAAGCTGTTCATGGTCACAAACATTTTGTGAGGGGGCTTTTGCTTCGGAGGGGGAGGCATTGCGGCTACGGAAATGGGCTAGATGTGAGGTTGGGAGAGGATGGATAGGCGTGTTATGGGCGACTGTACGAATTCTCAGCTTATATATATGGGAGCGTGTGACGCGATTGCTTGACCTGTCACTTTCCTCTAGCGAGTACAAAGTCTAGACTTTGCACGACAGCATCAGTAGAGGGGCTTTTCGCACAGACTGACCCACCCCCACCAGGCCAGTCCGCTCTGGCCAGCACGGCATTGGGCTGAAGATAAGGAATAGCCACGCTTTGGCAATTATTAGAGCTCGGAGACCGACCAGAACCGACGCAGTCGGGCCTGTGTTCGCATGTGCATGGGAAGCCACAGGACAGAGGGCGTCCATTAGAGTGCTCCGATGTCAATGCGTGGCAGGAAAATGTGGGAACTGCGCGCTCAAGGGCAGCAGCTACCTGATAGACATGCGGCGGATCTCTATGAGAGCGTCATGAACGTGAGAAATGATATGGAAAACGCACCACACATTCTCACTAGCCTTTCACCAGAATACAACGTGCGAAGACAACTTTGCAGGGAACGCGTCATGTAGTGTTGATATCTAGGCCCAGGCGCTCCAGTTCGGATTATAAGCACAAGGCAAGACTGCGTGTTGTTTGTCTGTGCCATTATGTACCAGACGCGAGTGCGAAGGCAGGCAGTGGTGAACCACACTCAGGTAGCAATCGGATCAACTGGACTCGTAGATTAGTTGTCGTTGCGATGCAACGGGAATTCTTACTCTTCTGGTCATGGCTGCCCCGTAGGGACCACAAAATCGTATCCTCGCGTACCCATTGACCCCGGCGATGGCTTTTGGCAACTCGTTTGGGTGGTGGAGCATGGTAGGAAGTTGTGGCTATAGCTAGCCGCGCGCGGGAGACTTGGGCGCTTGTCTGTTTCCTTTTCTGGATTTTCTACCAACCGCCGCCGTTAGTGGCGCGACGTCGGGTGAAAACCTCGATATCTCACTCGATAGCGACACTCTTGGCATCAAAAAAACGACACCGACAGGACTCGAACCTGTGCACTCAAAGAGTAACAGATATCTTCGCAGCCTTCATCATGATGCCTACATTCGAATCTGTCGCCGTAACCACTTGGCTACGGTGTCTATGGAATGATGTCTGCCTCAGTTCTTCACACCCATGAGGTCAGGAGTTAGGGTGTGTGAGCAAGCACAGCTCAGGACGAGTTGGAACCAACTCTCAAAATATGGTATCATACCTCAATGTTCATACAACCTTCCTTGTTCCTCGACCAGCTCCGAGTCGAGCCTGAGCAGACAACTCGCAAAGGGCCTCTGAATTTGTGGCCATGTCGCATGAATGTATGATGCCCATCACAGGTTACGAGGTCGTGCATGGGATGCACCGTGGATGCATTATCGTTGGTGATCGCATACATCAAAGTTCGCGGACGGGTGCGCCCTCAGTCCTGTGAACACGCGTCGGGCTCAATCGCCTTCCTATGAACCTGTTCGGGCCATGCAAGGTCAGATCCATGTCCACAACCAATCACGCGCATCATTTCCCCTTAACCACGCACCGCAGGCAAAGCACTCACAGCAAGTTTGGTACGCAGTCCACGTTGAAAGAGTTGATCGTAATGCCCGTGCTCCAGAGCAGTTCGTCGGGGTCGCGACCGCCTCCAAAGTCCGTCTCGCCATCCTCGCTCCTTCCTGTGTGTTCCACGCGATTGCTCAGTCCTTCGCCTACATGGTTCCGGATCGCTTTCGAGTACTACCCGTGCCTCCACGTCAGCAGGGAAGCGACGGCAATACGGAGCGGAGACAAAGGGCGACGCACCGTGTAGATGGTATGCACACTCTGTATGAAGTGAATTCTTCTCCCCGAATAGCTTGGGAGTAGAACCGCAACACGGCGTTCGGCAGCCCATCGGCCTGCTACCGGTAGCTGCACAGGACGAAGCTCAGTAACCACCACAGGTACCCTTAGCAGGGGATGTGGGAGACACCGAAAATGCGCTGGCAGATCATGCTTGCGTCTAGAGACCACTATTTTCTGGATGAGGTATTCGACGCCCTTGTCACTTGCATGATACCCGTTCACAGTGTGGTCAGTGTCTTCTATAAGCTCTTCACCTGCCTCTTGACACAAGTGGGTGACCTAGAGCCGAAGAGAGACTCTCTGATACAGCAGACAGATTGGGAGGTTCTGGATATAGTGGTAGCCTCCGATTCCAAGTGGCTACAGCTCACTACTTAGCAGGGTGTCAGTGGTTCAAGACGCAAGCTGCAGTGGAAGCGGTCTTCCACTGCCAGGTTGCTTTCGAGCTACACTATTTGCGTCTCACAAGTCGGGATACCATATGCGTCCGGTGGCGGAACGGGACGTCTGCCTGACCATCAGTGGAGTCGTTGGGATTGTAAACACCGTGACGGAGAATTAAAAAAGAAATTTATAAAAAAAACTCTCCGCTTCAATGTCTTTGGCTGTTTTGTCGTGCCTGTTTAATTAGCGCGAGCGAGTCCTCGGACAAGGCTTTGTCTGGGTGAACACATGCGTTAATGGTGGCCATCGAACAACGAGGGTGGTGATGAAGGGGTGAACAACGAATTCGACCAAGTATGACAAGGACGACATGGCGTGGGAAATGGGGACGATCAGAGCACGTGTGTACGGATCACCGAGCGGGCGCCCCGCTCTCTGAGGGGACGTACAAATCCTGCCACTGCCGCAGACGAGCCAGTCGCTGCGCCCATGGCCGCGTCCTGCCTCGCCTCCGTCTTCGCCTGCTGTCTCCGTCGCGGCCGCTCAGCCAGCCCGGTGAGTACTCGCTCCCACCGTTGGAGAGGTATGCTGCTCATCACGGAGGGGTTGTATGGCGACAGGGACGAGACGGCCCTGACGAACGCACGCACCTCATCCCACCGACGTCCGATGAGCCTTCCCCGTGAGTCGCCTCTGGAGGCATTGTATACGCGGTAACAGCACTCAGCCCTCAGCGCAGTGGCAGGGAACCGTATGTTGTCGACCAGCAGCAGCTCAACGCCCGTTTGGGCCCTATTGTCCGCGCCAAAGAAGGGTGCGTCCTCCGCATCTCCATGCTTGTCTGCAGACTCATCCCCGCATGTGCCTCGCGCGCACAACATTCCCACAGAAAGATGGTGAACGTGAACACGCCCCTCCCTTTCAACCTCCACAACCGACCGCTGCACGACCCCTCTGGCTCCGCGACGCGCTCACGCTCGGCCTCCGCGCACCTCGACCAGCCGACCAAACAGCGCCGTGTGTCATACTCGCCCCCGCGCGACTCGTCTGCCTCGCCGTCAATACCTACAAGCCATTCGACGTCGTCCCTCCAGCCCGGCGATGCATCCTACCTGCCGCCCGAGGCCGACCCCGAGTATGGCCGCCGCTCGGTGCTCAACGTCCGGCTTGTGCGCGGCGCGCCTGGCAACAGCATCTGGACCCGGCGAGGCCGCAGCGTGACGCGGGGCAGGTACAGCCGCTTCAGCGATGATGGTGGCGCTGCGAGGCAGAGTCGGCAGGAGCAGAAGGTGTGGGACAGGAACGGCCTCGCGAACGGCGACGCTTCCTTGGCAGCTGCAGGGGAAGCGTGTGTCCCTGAGCATGACAAGGAAGGAAATGGGGTCGTTCGTGAGGAAGAGCGAGCAGACGAGACGGCGGAGTCTACGCCCCACCCACCATTAGGTGGCTCGCCGGCCAGCGAGGATCCCGACGCAGAAGCAGCGGACGGGGCGGCGCCGGACTTCCGCATAGAGATCACAGACGTTGGGAAGATCTCACAGAGCTGGGGCGATTGACGGGTCACGCGTCGCATGCGATCGCTGGCTGCGACAGTGGGCGCGCAGTGACCTACAGCCTGCTTCCATGTCTCTCAAGCTGGGATTCGCGGTACGCATGCGAGCGCCCATGGGCGCCCACAACCGTTTGCTACCGCCGTCTTCTGTCCCTTCTCTGCTGAGAATTACGTCTCCATGTCCATCTGCCTCTGTGTGCCGCCTTGCTTACCGCCAGGCGGTACATAGCTGCGGATCATTTCCCTTATGACGACCTTCAGGATGTGCTCACGACGAGGGTGGTGCTCCAACGGACGCCCGCATATGACTGTTATTCCCTCCTCCCCGAGAACACTCCCTCCACCGTTGTACCCTCCTCATTGCGGTTGATTTTGCTTAGTCGAATACAGATGGATACTTGACAAATGTAGCCTAGCACACTATTCCACCTGCTCTTTGTCCGGTCGCGCTCGTTAAACCCACACATCCCACCTCAGTTCGTTATATATCTAGCGGATGTGACAATGAAGACATCCCCAGGTCCTTTATGGTGTGCACATGCCCTCTTTGTGGCTTGCTCTGACGAGCTGACATGGTGGGCCAACGCCGGCGGGAAGGTTCGTCAGCCACAGTTACACGCCACCCGAGTCCCCGGCGGTCCGAGTCGGTGCACACGAGCACTTTCCTTCCCGCACTTTGTCGCCCTTGTCGTTGTAACCTGTCGCGCCGGCCTATACTGACTGTCGGTATTCGGTCAGAGATGCGTGGCAAGATTCCATCTATTTTATACGCAGACTAGGATCCGGAGAAACAGACCAACGTATGGCTAGAACAGCAGAGCCACGATGCACAGTATATTTAACAGGGATACAGATAAATTTACCCCATGCTTTCACGACAGAGCATCCCTTCCCAAGCTAACAGTCTACACTATCTTCAAGTCCACATCAATGCACGCGAGGGTTCTTGCAGGTCAGAAGGTAAGTCCATGCACTCCATAGCTCGCGCTGTTCGACAGACTTCTGCAGCCTTGCCGCTCGATAGCCGTTGTAGGAGCCTTGGGCGACGAAACCATGTCCACAAAGGACGTGGACACGAACAACTTGAGGAAGCTCGTGTCGATGTCTTTCCCTGGCGGAACCTCTACCCGGATGGTCGAATCCTTCCCGATTTCCCGCGACCCGTAACCCACTTTGAGGCTATTGTGGGCACGAAGGGGAGGTGCCATGGACGAGGATTCGGGTAATGCCAGGCCTGGGCGTTTCGTGAGCTACAGCTCGTTGCACACGTCGGAGCACATGCTCACCTGAATACTGTAGTCATTGGGATCAAAATTGAATATATAGGGGAATAAGTCATAGTCTGAGTCGTTGACGATTTTCATGCCGTAGTGTGACTCAAAATCGGTGAGAACAGCCTCCTGCAGCACCGCCGGGCCATGGGCCTTGTACGCCTTCACCTGATGCTCGCCATGGAAAAGGTTCACCTCGTCCACCGGCACGTACCGCTTCACTCCGGCGCTCTCCTCGCGCAATCGGTACAGCTCGAGGTGGACCGTGGAGAATACGTTCAACGGGTTCGGCTGGCGGTACAGATGGAAGTTGAAGTGGAGCGCGGCCATAACAAGGTACTGGACGTGGGCTTTGTCCAGATCCACGGTGATCTGGCGGGCGAACTGGCGCATGAGGGGGTCGTATCGCTCCACGATCGTGTCATTCGTCGTCGTGCTAGGTATGAGGCTCAAGTCAGCCTGATCTGGAGAGTCCGCGGCAGGTATACGGTCCTTGAGTTGGGATGGGATCGCCTCCTGACCAAGCTCCGTGTGTTTCCCCTTGACACTGGGGTGGACGAAGACGTCCAGGGTGAGGTCCTCGTTGTTCCAGTCCTGGATCACCGCGCGAGCCCCGGTGGCGATGTCGAACGTCGCCCTACATAAATACACTCGCACTCGAGATCTTTGAGATCCGAGACGACGAGCGTGCCGAGGTTCCTGTCCGTTTCGTCGCGGGCCTGTACGGTGAACGTCGTGCGAGGTGCGATACCGTGGATCCGGCCGGCGTGCACGACGAACGAGCCGTTTCTTACGGTGATCCTGAACCCGTTCACGATCTTGATCGTGGTGTTCCACAGAAGCCTGTTCTTGTGCTTGCCGAGGCATTGTGGGTGCTGGAACACTGTCGCCGGCAGGAGTTCCTCGAAGAGGTAGGCATACGTGAGACCAGCAGTCATGCCTTCATGCTGGTCTAGGACCTCGAGGAGCGTGCTCGTGAAGAACCCTCGAATCGCTTTCGTCCTCTCGACGATCCGTTCCATGGCCTCCTCTTCCGCGCGACAGGCACTCATCAGCACGTGTGACTTCATGGCATCGTAGCGGAAGCTGGTGGGCACAACGTTCTTCGCTGCTCTGTTGCCTTCGTTACGACCTGGCCACCATTTGCGGGCGTCGGCGTCAGTGGTCGATGGGATCACGGGTTTCACGTCTCGGGGAGGGGTCAGATATCGTAATCCTCGCTCTTTCCGCGTGATGGTGCCCGAATGACAACAGTCGAAGATACTCGTCTGCACAATGTCAGCACTGGCATACAAGGGTGGTCAGAAGATATACGTACGATATTGTCCCCTTTCACGTGCGCCAGTTCGCGGAAGAGGCCGTTGAGCGTCGTGCTCGGGATGCCGTGTACCGTGGTGAAGTTCAAGTCTTGAGGGCAAATACACTCGACGATGTCGCCGTCCAACCCCCAGTCTTCAGAGGCATACTCCCGCGTGCCATGACCAGCGAAGAAGAAGATGATACCATCTCCCTTGTTGATCGCATCATTCTCGATGAGGTGCCTCCTGAATGTCGAAAGTATGGACTCGCGCGAGGCGTCTCTATTCAAGAGAGTGACCAATTGCGACGCCGGAACGTGTAGCTTGTTTTGAGGAACTCCGCCATTGCTTGGCCGTCGGCTACGCACCCCTGCAAGGGAGCAGTGGGGTAGTCGTTGATCGCGATGACCAGCGCCCATATACCAGATTCGGCGCCCCTTTCACTCATGTCAGACCACATCGAGCCAGTGGTGTGAATGCAGAACTCACGTTGTTTCAAGTTTAACGAGCGCCTGCGCTCTATGGGAGGCGGTATGAAGTGAGTCTGGATTGTGCAGTCAGAGACAGGGCATAACACGCACGTTTCTGCCTCTTCCTCTGGCGACGGGGTATTCGCGCCAGATTCCGAAGACGATGCACCCGAGTTCACTCTCGCGACGACTGGCGGGGCCAGTAATGCACCATTGCTTGAGGGAGGCGGAGACGACTCATTCGCCTTGCCCCCAACAGTGCTGGATGTTGCCATCGTCGGAGCCTCAGTCTCCATAATGTCATAACCGTATTCAGCATACTCGATCGATCGAAGAGGTAGCGAGAAGATACATACCTCTCCTCGATCATCTTGCTTGGCCGCTTTCGATTTGACCTTCGAGTCACCCTTCTTCCTGATAATCTTGAGTAGAGACTTCATAGCTGTTCGCTGTGCAGCTCAGGAATCAAGCTCCCGAGATGCTATATAGCGTCGCGGATCCGGACTTAAGGCGCAAAGCTGTGCATAGCTCCATTGATCGACTCAGGGAAGACCTAAGGCACGACGTGAACGGCTTCGTATGATGATCCCGTACGGCTCAGAGCTACCCTTATATGGCAATCACGTCGGGTATTACCTGTGAAACCATCTGTTGTGTGGTCGAAAGGCTGTAGCCGCGGGCCCACCGTACTGCGGGCAGTGTTGAAATTGCCTGGCTTGCGTGTGGCTCGTACGGCGTGGTCTTCGCCACTGTGGTGCGCAATGCACCGGCATGAGAAATGGGAACCGCAACGCCGCCTGGACCGCGGCACTTGACTTGCAGGGGACTCAGAGCCGCGGACTGGGTCACAATCGTCATTGACCGTGCCATTCATCGATATCATGGGACGGTGAGGGAGGGCTGTCGATTCATGTTGAATCATTGCGATACGACAAACCAAATACATGTCTGCGTAGACTCACGTTTGTCGGAAGATTTCTTGCAAGAAGCTACGGCTACGGTTTTCGACTTGCCCATTCATCTGTATATCGGACGCAAAAATGCATTGAGATGTCGGCAGTGAAAAGTCCCAACTAGACGATTGCTAGTAGGATGCAGATACGATGAACCACTGATGGGCGAATCCTCCGAGTCCATCTGCGACCTCAGATGTGAGCACCTGCGGACACCGCGAGATCGACGTGATACAGCACTTACATTGTTTACATATCTGGGGCGAAGCCCGTCGCAGGTTGCCACGAGACAGTGACGGTACCTCACGAGTTGGTGGTTGGGCAGCATGCACTGGCAGAGGGCGGGAATTACCGCATTGGGACCATCGGTAGTTGCCGGCCGTCCCGCATCGAGCGCTTGTGATACCTCCAAGCGCTCACTGTACCTTGCCCTCAACCTCTCACTGTCCTGATACTATCTCAGTAAGTTCTACGGGCCTCGGCCGCGCGACGTACGCGCCACCCTTGCTGCCGGGCTCGCCAAACATCAGTTCCCCACAGTTCATCAAACTCAGCTCATAGTTCACAACATGTTCGAGCCTGTGAGAGGCGGCACGCGGGGAGGCCAAGCCGAGTTCAAGTGGACCGACGTTTCAGCAGACAAGGACAGAGAGGTGCGTGCTTGTCCCACCTAATCCCGGAAGGTCCCTTTGCATCACACCATCCTGACTGCTCCCGTCACAGAACTACTTGGGCCACAGTATCAACGCACCGACAGGGCGGTGGCAGAAGAACAAGGATATCCACTGGTACAACCGCGAAGCTAGACAGACTAGTGCTGAACGGGAAGAGGAGATAAGGAAGATCAAGGAAACGGAGGCGGAAGCTCTCGCTGCAGCACTGTGCGTCTCATCCGCTTTTTGTCCTTGTTCTCCACTTCATTCTTATACCGCGTATCCAGGGGCTTCGCAGCAGGCCCCAAAGCAGCCAATCCAGCGGCCCGGGCACAGGTGCGAATGCGATCGGCGTCGCACCCAAGGCCGAGGACGTAGCATCACCCTCGCTGTCGCGGGAAGCGGATAAAGAAGAGAAACGACGGCGCAAAGAGGAGCGCAGGCGCGAGAAGGAAGAGAAACGCGCACTGAAGGAGAAGAAACGTGCCGAGCGACACGCACAGCGACATGCGCACTCGCGTACGCGCACTCCCGACGAGGACGATGAGGATTACCGGAGCAGGCATCGGCATCGCTCGAGGTCGCGCTCGCCGTACCGGAGCGTCAGAGATGAGGGACGGGGGAAGGACAGCGGGAGGTATGGGAGGCAATCGAGGAGCCGGTCGAGGACGCCGCCTGCGCGGAGGCCTGCGGCGGACTATGGCGAGCAGGAGCGCGAACGCGAGAGGGAGCGGGACAGGCGGCGGTGGGAGGACAACGCACGAAGGGACCGGCCGGGCGCGTCGCGGGGACGGGGCTGAAGGTGAAATGTGCTTTGCTATGCTGCTTCGTCTTTGGAAAACGGTGTTCTACCTAGGCTTGGGTGCGTGGTGCGATGTTCTGGTACTTCATGCTGTAAGATGCGCCCGCATGGATAATCTATTAGTGACAGATTCTACTCGGCCTCCTCCTTCGGAAGCCACGTACTGCTCCTAACTCCTGGTCTGGACTTTATGCTAACCGGCGATCGGTGTATTGGCTACGTCTCCCCATCTGGCCTGTGCTGCGTGGCGCCGGACGCTCTAACTTCTCGATCTCAAGGCACCCGTCGCTTCTCAGATCCTTGCAGGTACGAAATGGACTGAATTACGAGTCTTTCCAATCTGGGAACCGCAGCGGACAGCATCTCGGCTGTATGCGCGCCGTCCTATGCAATGCGCTTCCCTCCTGATGCGGAAGAACCACAAAAAGTACCCAAACTTGAATCCTTCTTAACGCGATTCCCTCATCCACCGCGCGCCGTTGCGTTTACGTATGCGCGCTGTCTTCCACTTCTATTGTTGAATTCGGACTGGAGGCTTGACATGGGGCGAGTGGAAAGTGCGCACCCCACGAACGGTACCGGTACGTTACCGGTGCGTCCTTCGTGAAGTCGAAGCTTTCTGCTAGCTTCGTTCTCTGCTGCTTCTCTTTCGGGAGGGCACAATGCGCGCAGTGTGTTCGTGCTCTGTGTCTGGCCCGCTCTCCGTTTTTGCGCATCCTTGTTAAACAGGTCAACCATTTCACGGCATCGACGCACAACCTGGTACTACACCGTTCGCCAGCAGCGCGCCGGACTGGCTACGTACCAGTTCCGCGCTCGGTCTTCGTTGCATACCATAAAAGGACGGCAAACGCTTTCCGAGTTTACGAAGTGCCGCCACCGTCAGTGTAGGTATCGCATGTTTCCCGGGGCACCGCGTTCGCTGAGCGGCCCAGGATCGGTCGGGGAGGCTTCGCGGAGGCATCTCGCAGCGCCGATCTCGGGCAGAATCCAGACCACTGCGTCCAGAGTGCGTCCATCTTGATGGGAGCAAGGGATCAGGAAGTTCGAACTTTCGATATTGCAGCTTGTCAGCGCGAGAGGGCGATGACCGGTCTCGCATGAATGACATCGATGACGATTCGGACGACGTCTGACTGAGCTGGACGCAGTGGGCCGCGTATAGGTGGGGGTGCTTATGAATGCGCCGTACACTTCGGAGGCGCAGTAGGCGCGACGTTCAGTACTTGGTACCAGCACCCAGTCTTTGTCAATTGAGTAGTGAAATGTGTCATTGAGACGACTCGGAGCCGCGCACGAAGAGAAGGGATGGCCACAGTGGTCGCGAGGCGGGGCGACAAGCTAAAGAAAAAGTCCGCACTGTAGGTAAGTCGAGAGTAACTTCGCAACCGAGGCGTCGCGTAGCAAGTCTCGTGGCGACACTCAAAGATCCATGCACATGTGCAGGTCGGTGACCTTGAATCTGCTAAAATATTGTTGCATATTGCAGTGCGCCGATCAGATGAGTCCTCGCTCGGAGCCGCTCTCAGGGGGGATTTGGGGAGGGTAGGAAAAGGGATCGTCCCAGTGGCCCGGTAGCCATATTGCAGGATTGTAAGTACTGGTACCTGTAGGCGGTGTTAGTGACGAGTCCGAACGGATCATGTACGCTGCCAGTGCGGCGTCGGTACCGAATCTCACAGTAGACATCGTCAATCGGCATGACGAGATGGCTGTTTCAATTTGATTGGCACTGTAACAGCGCGGGCGTGCTCGATTTGGTACATACGTTCGTGGAACGCGTCTCGTATGTACACTGACTTCCGTGCAGTACGCGTCTTACGGATCCGGTGCTTCACGGACTGTGACGATGGTACAGAGTCTGATTACACCGGTCTCGGTGGTATGTCCGAAGCCCAAGATAGCCTACAGATGCGGCTAATCGCAGACCTACCGGTGTTCAACGTCGACGCCCTGAGCGACCCGCAGACGTCTCAAGTACGTCAGTGTGAGCGTGGCAGGAACGTCCCCAGCAACGCGCGCGGCGCAGCACGAGGGCGTAGACACGGAACGGGCACGCTGCACGCCGCTGGCACGCCGGCTGGTGACCAACTCTGGTGACAGTCGCGTCGCAGGCATGCTCAGGGTTGGCTGCATGGCGACCGAGCCCTGCGTATGACGCCCACAAAGCGTAACAAGCAGCAATGAATCGGGCGGCTGGCGAAGCGACGACAAGATGCATTCAAGGCGCGCGGCGAGGCAGGCTGAGACGACCCTGCGTGTGGAGTGGTTGAGACGGGGCGGTATTTGCGACGGTGCTGCATGGTCGTTTCAGTTGGCGGAGACGCCGTCGCGTCGCCAAGGCGTGCACTCAGGGATCATCAGGCTCATGGGTCGAGGCGCGGCGCGGCAGCGAGCTTGAGGCCTTGAGGGCGGGCGGGACGATGGCGGACGGGCGACGAAGAGGCGGGCGACGGCTTGTAGGACGCGGGCGACGACGTGCGGGGACAGGCCATGGGAGGCAACCAAGAGGCAACGCCCGAGTGGGTGCCGGCGAAGCGCATCGCTGGATCTGCGATGGGTGAGATGAGCGCCGAGCGGGCGGCGGACGCGATTGGCCGAAAATGGATTGGCGTTGCCGGGTGGCTGGGCGGGTGTGTTGGGCGGGCGGGCGCTTGGGCCAGGATCGACTCGGACTCGGAGCTGGAATATAAGTGCGCGTGCGGGCGGTGGCACACCACTGCTCCCCTTCCTCTTCGCGCCCCCGCCGCCCCGCCACTCGGCAGGCCTTTGTCCAGCGTTCTTTGTGCCCGGCGAGCCCCGCTACACTCTTTTAATCGCCCCTCCCTCGCGCCCTCCTCCTTCCCCTGCTCCCCCAAGAGTACCCCTCGCTCTCTGCTTCCCTCGTGCTCGCCTGTATTTCTTTGGCCCTTCTGCCCTACCTCCCTGCACCATGACCTCCTGCGGCCTCCCCTTCTTCCTCGAGGACCAGACCGGCGAGCTCACCGGCACCGAGTTCGTCGACCTCTACAACCGCATGCGCCTCAGCCTCCGCTGCACCCTCCGCGACGTGTCCCACACCGCGTACATGATCTACGACCTCTCCTCTCGCCCGAACGCCTTCAGCTCGCCACTCGCGTGCCTGGACTTCGGTGCGAATAATGCGCTGGGCACCGTCAAGATTAAGAATGGGGGGAACGTGAACATGGGCCAGTACCTGGTCAAGGTTGGGTGCGTGCTTTGTCTCTGGCACTGTCGGCAGCCACGTCTTACGCGTGCTATCACCGTAGCAGCTCCAAGAGCAGGAAGTTCCGCGCGTCTGACGGGCAGGAGTACCGCTGGACACACCAAACCAAAGGCGACGAGGAGTGGACCGTGAGTACCTGTCTTCATGTAGCTAGCCCTTCTTGACGCGCGCGCGTCCGCATCCATCCCATGGTTTAGTGCACCAACGCCAGCGACTACCACGTCGCGTCGTACTGCCTCAAGTCGCCCGACGAACCCAAGTTCGCCGGCTCCTCAGGCTGCGTCCTCACTGTCGAGGAATCCTACTCGAATATCGTCGGCGGTACGTCCCCGCCCTCAACCTCCGCTCCGACATGTCGGGAATCTCTGCGACAGGGCGCCTGCTGACGCGCCCCGTTACCGTTTACCAGAGCTCCTCGCCTCCTTGATCATCATGCGACACATCGCGAAGCACAATGTCTGACCCGCCCGGCTGCCCACCGCCGGCGGTGCTGCGCACCCACGGGCCCCCTCACCCCACTGCTGCCATCAACATCTTGGCCAACCTGCTCTCGTATAGCAGGGCCGTAATGTACCTGCTGGCCCCGCCGCCCGCGCTGAGAACACCAACCTATACAGCCCTACCCTAGCCCCGCCTAATTCCCATCTAATCATGCTGTCATGCTAATCCTTGCATATATACGTACGTGTGTCCATGTTCTGTCTGTCTGCCTGCATTGTCCCCCGCTGTATATACTTAATGTCCCATAAAGAGTGCGCGTCCCCCGCGCGTAATGTTGCCCTGTACGTACCTAGATCGTCAATGTATGCATAGCTGTCATACTTTCACTGTACAGTCTGGTTTGTTCGTCGAGACCCACACTGCGAAACGCGCATGTAAGTTGGACCGCGTTTGCTTACTGTGTACCTTTCGCCGGCTACTCAGGTAGGTGGCTTAGTGTTCATGGTCTGCCAAGGCGGCGCATCACCACATCAAAATCTAGCGTATCGTGCTTGCCTTCCTTCGTCCATAAATCGCCGAGCGCTGCACAGCGATCTTGCGCACAGGCTGCCTCGGAGCCGTGAGCAGAGTCCGCAGAGCACACTGCACGGGGAGGTCTCATGCGCCCTACTGAATATTATCGGTGCTCAATGCTCTGCTGCGTCTGTGGCCTTCGCGCACCTCGCAATTGCGGAGTCCGACGCCGACGACCAGTGCACCTATTAGCCTGAGCTGTCAGCGAGCTCACGGCCCATCTCTGGCCCGCATCGCGATCCACGTCTCGCATCCCGGCGGGCGGCACGTCTCCTGGAGGCTCGAGCCGGCCTCTGGTGCCGCATCACCTCGTCGTCGGGCTGGCTCGAAACATAAAATATTCTCGAGGTGGCGACCCGCCCGCACCCCGCATCACGCCGTCGGAGGGAGTGCGATCGCCCCGGACGCCCCGATATATATATATTGCGCTCCCTGAATTTCTGACCGCCTTTTCTAGTGCGTCGCCGTCCGACGCCCACCCGATCGGGGTAGGCGGTGACGTGCCGTAGACGTAAACGCGCGCACCCGGGGCCGGATAGGGAAGGTCGGGCTCCCAGCGGGCGGCGGGCGGCACGGCCAGGCACGGCGGGCGTGATGCGCTGTGGCGAATTCGCAATGGCTGGGCTTGACGGTGGCTGCCGCCACCCCGCCCCCGCACTTCCCTCCCGCGCATCAGAAGCGCAATATCCAGGAGAAGAGGAGGCGGCGGCTTCTTGCAAGTTTTGAATCTGAAAATCCCGACCTCGGGTGGCGTGGTCCAACCGTCGATTGCCAGTCGGAGGGCGAACGGCCTAGCTGTCGACAGGGTCTCGGGTCGAGTATTTTTTGTCTTGTTGGTTGACTTGGAGATCTCGGAGGCTCTGTTTGGGTCGCTATCTGTCTCTGCGGTAGCTGCCCACTGCACAAACATGCAGTAGTGTGATTCTCTGCGCGAGAGGGCGCCTAGCCCGCCGAAGTAGTCTATCGGGCCTATACATTACCCTGACCGCAAGGGGAACGGATTCTAGAGGCTGTGATGAGCGACGTCGAGAGGTGGACGCTCCAGCTGCAGAGCAACGCCCGGCGCGAACGCATGGGCAGCCATCCCAAGTGTCCGACACACGCGCATACGGACGCTCGAGCGGATTGCTTCTCTGCCTTCTGCCAACTGCGGCCCTGGCGCCCGCAGGCTACTGAACATCTCTTTCAGAACATCCGCGGTCGCTCAGCTGCTGTTCCGAGGTTTGCGTTCATGCTGTACGAAGCAAACCCTGGACTAACCATGTTTATCTGGAGGGCCGACGGGCGGCCAGACTCGGACTTCGACGTGTTGTCGTTCATTCAGCTGCCCGGGCGTCAGGACTCGGAGCTCTTTTCAGATATGGATTGAACCAGAGCCAGTCGCCCTTGGGGCCGCATATCCACGCATCATCTCGGCTGGACGAAGGCCGCGCTGCTGAAGTCAAGCTTCAGACTTTGCAAGCCGAGCGCGCTGCGACTCGGAACTCAGATGACGAATCCGGACGATATCGCGTCCGAGACCGTGTTAACTCCGAGATGTCTCGAGTTCTTGTTCAAGACCTCAACAGTTCGCCTGACTACCCATATGACAGACGATCTCCTCGTTGAGTAGGTTAGGTATGATCGCGAAGAGTCGCTGACCTCGAAGCGCTTGCAGATTCCAGAAGCTTGTCCGAGTCGCTCTGCACGAAATCTTCTCGGTGTTCTCAGCATTCCTGTGGGCTTGGTTCAGTAGGCCGCCGACAGCTGCCAACTTGGGGCTGACGTTGGAAAAGCGCTGATGCATTGCAAGCAGGTTCACAGTACGTGCGCATCCGTTGTCACGAACGTGGCTTTGCGACGACTCGGATTCATGGCATCCGGATTCCGGAAGCCTCTCCGTCGCCCATCGCTGCTTCCAGTTCCCCGTCGTCTTCTATCGTTGGACGAAACTGTCAGCCTGTGGACATGCTCTGGCGACCGCTGATAGGTCCGGGTCCGTATCTCGCGCCGCAAATATTAGTAGCCACGATGGCCAACACTCAGGCTATCCCCGGTCGACCCGCGACTTTGTGGACAAGCTCAAACTTCGACATCTCAACAACAACGCCTTGGGTCGGTACCATAGGCTCCTCGGAGATCGTTCAGGACCGGTGCATAGCCTCGAGACTGGCCATTGCCCAGTGGAGGATGCCGCGACGGACCGTTGCGGACTGTGCTGGTGCACTCCGTACGAGCCAGATGGGTGACAGCTGAGCGCGTCGAGTCTTTGAAGCATCAGATAAACGAATGGTCTGTGCCAACAGGCCGGGCATCGAATCGTCGTTCACGGTGAGGTACCGTACTCTTGCATCTGCCACCTGAGCTTGTTTGATGGTTCTGTGTTTGCGCGTTCGCGTTCGTATCGTGCCGCTGTCAGCGAATGATCACTGACAGGGTGAATGTGTACCATGGGCAGAATGTTCAGGCCCCAGGAGCGCATCCAACTTCCAACTTATCCCGGTCTTCCTTCAGGTAGTATCCGGGCCACTCCCATCTTCGAGTTCGCGCGGTCCGAGAGGCGCGCCATGGGGTTGCGATTGCCCTGCGCAAATGCTCCTCAGATTGGGGTAGAGAGATTCCTCCTCCAAGTGCGAATTTGGGCTGCTCGGCTCGTCCGGCAGGGAGTTTCGATATTCAGTCGTGGACAGGCCCTCTTCTGCAGATCGCTTCTACCGAGAAGTTCATATCCTGGCTTCGTGGTACCTGCACACGGTCATTCGCGACCTCGACGTTCTGCCGGTGGCGGAGTGTCCGGGAACATCACAGTGTGTCCAGTCGCTTTTTTGACCACCAGGGCACTCGTTCATAACTGGGAGGACGACGTGCGATGTGGATATTGATATTCAGGCAGGTTCGTCGCATCGAGTTTTCTGTCTCCATTATCAATTTATGCTGACATCCGTGTCTAGGGATGCATTGCACGGATGTGGAAGAGTTTCCACACCATCGGCGCGACGGAGTTCGCGTTGCTCTATTGTCCCTTCGGCCCCGCTTTCGTGCCCCGCTTCGTGCCGAGAGCACCCATACACGATCAGGCTAGACGCAGCGAATCGCATCAACTCCGAGTAGGGCAGAGGACATACTTCAATCTCGACTTCGAACGTGGTTCCGTGTCTCCTCAGGTCGCCAAGATGGGGGACGGAAACGGGTGTAGAGAACATCGAACGTCAATTGAGTCGCGGAATTCCAGTTCTATCTCATCTCCTCTTTTTGTGCCCTGCTCTCTGTCTTATCGGTTGCGCCGACCTTCCAGATTGAGGGGAGGAGTACTCGGTCATGCTCCGGCGGTGCGATACGAGAAGAAGCAGGGATGCTGGAGGAAAGCGGGTATTGAATGGACGGACGTTGCTGATGCTGCTAGCGACTCGGAGCCTTCGGGCGACTTCGAGGCCGAGTCGAGTTGTGGGAGTGCCCTAAGTTACTCTCCCTCCGCTGGGGCTCTCCGTCTTCTTGGGCAGTGGAAGATGTACGATTTGGGGACACTTCCTGCATTGAGGCGCAAGGAGAAGCCGGTGAATGGGATGGTAGTAAGTGACCCATAACGTTCAGCGTGGCTGCCTAACTCAGTTTACCCCTTTCCCTAAGCACGTAAGCCGGCTTGACGAAGTGGGGGGGTGCAATGTATCCGAACTGAAGCGCATCTCCCCGAAACAGAGTTGACTGTCCGTGGCATAGGTTCTGACTCAGAGTTTCACGGCCATTGCGCCTCGGCGGCATTCCATTATGGTGCGCTCTCATCCTCCTCAATAATCTTCGTGAGTATCAACTTGAGCTTCTCACATATGCACAGATGGAGCACAATATCCGCGCCTTACAAACGAGACCGGCAGAACTCGCGCGACGGAGTCCCTCTCTAAGTTTGTCCTCCGGGCGGCCCCGCCTCAGGGTTCCACTTCTTCCGAGGTCCGACAAGACCCATACAAGCCACATTCAGGCTGGGCTCTCGGATTCCGGACATCTCCAAGTCGGGCGGTGGGATAGGGATCAAAGGTTACTACGGGTTTCCGCTCTGAGCGACGGGGCGGTAGTGAGCCATGGGTGTAGTGACCGATGGTCACGGTCGCGAGCCCCTATCCACAATACGCCGCTGTGTATCTTTTTTTGGGAACACGCGGACGCGGGATGGGTCGGTCTGGCACTGGCATGCGGCTCACCGATGCGCCTTTCTTCGGGAAGCATGGGTCTGAGAGCTGGTGTGCTTGAATCACCATTTTCTATTGATGCCGAGGCACGGTGGCGAGTCGGCGAGTCTGTGCTATATTCTTTGCCGATAAGCTGAGTTGGGGAGTGGCCTGACGAAACTGAAGTAAAGTAGTGCTGATGGCCATCAACACGGCTGCCTCAAGGGGCAGTATGTTCGTGCGATGCTCGGCCGCGACGAACAATTCACTTGCGAAACAAGCCAAAGTCCCATCACGAGATTGGGATGCTCGCTAAAAGCACGGCAGTGATGATTTATCTTACGTCGACATTGCTCGTGGAATGATGGAAGAGTGTGAGTAAGCACATCGATTAATTGCAAGTCGCAAAGTCGAGGTCTGACTGATTGTTATTATAGCCCCGCAGTGGTTCCAAAATTCGGCATTCGATAATTAATAACGGTCATTCATCCAGTGCTCTCCGTTTGATCGCCAGACTTCTGCAGGTTAAAACGGGCGGCCTCAGTACTTATACGATGATGGCGAGCGAATGGACATCCGTAATGATGACGAGAAGTAACAGGTCAGTAAAGTACTCACCTGTTGGTACTGACTTGAGCAACTGTGACTTATTCCTCGTGGCCTAACCTCAGGGACATGGCGGCCGGTCAGGGTACGCCGTGATTAAATTGGACGTTAGGGCTGTGCTCTTAGCAGCATAAAGTCGGTCACAAGTATGTGCCTCAGCCCGGATCTCATAATTACAGGTGGCTTGTGCCGTCCTTCGAATCAAGGAGTTCCTGCTTGGAATCAGGAAGAGGTGGCGCTTTGTGGTCGTCTTTATTTTTCAACCCTCACGTTGGTCCAGGACTGTACTGCAACACCATTTCGCAACTGAGTCACTTGCGGACACCTTCCAGTTCCCGACGCCACTCACTGGCAGGCTATCCGTGACTGGGCACTGGCACTGGCATGACCGTCGCACACCCGAGTCGCCCTGCACGTACATATATACCTTAGATCTGCAGGTAACGTCTGGTATATGATTCATATATCTCCTCGACCGTATCGTCACAGCGCATTGGCGGCGCCGGTGTCCTCCTGTCCAAGTTTGAAACCCGAACGCTCAGTGGCGCTTGCGATCGAGCAGGTGGCGGTGCGAGAAATGCTCCGCCGTCGTCGATCACAGCTACCGATGAGATCTGCGAGATGATCGTGCCCACGCTGAGGGCACCCTGCATCGAAGTTCGTGCTTTTACGTGTTGGTGGGCAGCGATATAGCTAATCAATGCTGCTCTATACAATTCCGCCGGTTCCGACAGGTCGCGCGGTTCGTACGATGTATGATGTCACCAGTAGTAAGAGAACTTGAATTTGGATCACCACTTTACTATGCAGGGTTCAACGCCCCGATGATCACTTCGCGCGCGGTCATGACGTGTAACATGTGCACTATGGGAGGTTTTGGCGAGTTTCTTTCCTGGTTAGTTGCGCAAGCCGCTCATGTAGTACTCAATAGATTGCCAGTGGGCATACAATGGCTCGGCTTCGCGTCTTCGCTGAGTCCGATGTGTCTCCACCGGCAATGAGCAGAAAGGGAAGTCGTTTTACGGCTCAAAGAACGCGCCAGGTGCGGTACAAGACGACTGGATCCGGGCAGGCGATATACCGACGGCGGACATGACCGCCGCCCGTGCTGTAGAATTCATGCCAGGCCAAAGAGCCGGTCCAGCGCACTTGACCTCCATCCTTACGCTACGATCTGCCAATCGACGATCGCTCGCGCTCCAAAGCTTCGCCGCACCTGCCAACACGGAGTGGAACGCCGCCCCTGGCACGCGCCGTCCACTGCATCAGCGGACCTGTTCATGCGAGCAGCACATCAAGACGCCGCGCCGGGCAGGTTGAAATAGCTGTTCTCATCGCGAACGCTATCAGCACATGTCGGAGACGGCTTGTTTTTGTTGCGGGCGGAAGACGTACCCAGCGGCACCCGGAAGGCTCATCTCACGTACAACACCTGTGCGTTTGTCGTAAGGGCGCACGCTTCATCCTGATGAGGCGCGTCCTTCCGATAAGCTCCTGTCGGACCACAGGTACGATATCTATACTCCTATCGTGAGCTGCACGCTGAACGACAAGGTTGTTGGGCATGCAGACTTCCATAGCAACGTTATGATCGTCTGCACACAAAGGGATCTCCATTCCAAGCCAGTGTTATTGTTGCACGCAAAAGTCATCTTGGGCCCGGAGCCCCCCTCCGGGGCGAGCTATCATTTTTGCTTTGCGCGCAGCGTGGAGTGCAATCTATGAGCTCGAGGATGTATTGGCAATGCTCAATGGCATGATTCTGACATAGCCAGAAAAGACGACGACGACGTGCATGTACACCAGCAAACAAGTAAAAGAGAGCGCCAAATAACCCGAAGTCGTATGTATGAGCCCGAGAGCAGATTATACCGGCTATGAAGACGAATAGAGGAGGAAACCCGATACAGTACGTAGGCTACAGCGAAGAGGACGGTACTAGGGGACAGCGCTTCCAAATGGGGATAAACATGTACTCAAAGAGATACATACTGCCGTATATGAGTAACGAATGGAAGTGAATGCAAATGCGCGCATATCGATGAATGGAGAGAAAGAAGGGGCGAAGTGTGGACCAGCCTATCATGCCCGCAGGATTGGCGGCAACGTGAGCTCGGCCGGGAGAGGAGGTGGCAGACGGGCCGAAACACACGCCTCTTCAAGGCGCTGGCGGAGCTCGTCCCGTCGCACGCGCTGCACTAAATCCGGACCACCGTCAGCGTTGTTCCGGCTGATAAGTCAGATTAAGCAAGAGGCGGGACACACCTGCGGACGGCCACAGGACGTTGAGGACGTCGAGCGGGATGAGGAACGACTTGGCCAGCTCGAGAGCATGGACGAGCGACCGGTCGTAGTTCCAGAGCGACAAACAGATCATGACTTGCGTGGCTATCCAGTTGACCTGGAACGGGCGCCTCGACAGCAGATGTCCGGGAGCCTCACCCAGCTGGAGCACTGCAGCCTTGACGCCCTTCGCTATCTGGTCCTGATAGTACACTAAAGAATTGCGCGTCAGAGATGAGCCCTGAAGAGTCGATTGTGAAGTCACTCACGCCACTCTTCTGCCTGTCGGCGGTCAAATGTGGCCGCATTATCGACGTCCTGTAGCCTGCTTAAACAATGAGCCAGGGCCGGCGACGTCCGAATCAAAAACGGACTTACCGCCGCAGTTCATACGTGGCAGTGAGCTGCGTGCTGGATGAGGTCACCAGTGAGCGGTGGAGCGGCGAAGGGCATTCGGTAGACTTACTTGTAGAGGAACTCCCTACACACGTCCAGCAGTGTACTGTCCACGCTGCATTGGTGCATGTCGAGCGCCGACTGGACGATGCGCGTCTCGGTCAAAATGTCGACAATAAACCTTGTCCGGTGCTCGGATGACCAACGGTCATCAGGCGGGCGGGTGCTGCTGGTCCACAGAAGCATGCTCCGACAGTACACAGCCCAGACAGAGTCCTTCGGTGACTGCCCATACAGCTGTTCGTGGCCCAGGGCACGTTCGTAGGCCTCGCCCGGGAATAGCAACATGAACTGTGTGGAGCGTCAGTACGAGAGATGAACGCAAACTGACAGATGGAGAAAAATGAGCACCACGGAACATACTCACATTCGCCGGATCTGACAGGAAAAATCGCTTGGGCTCGACATGGAAGGCAGAGCACTGCAGCGTGTAGTTGGCGACGAGGGCAAGGGCGACCCAGCACAGCCTGCGGCACTCCTCCTTGCGGATCTCCGCCTCGGACCAGCTGGGGTTCCAAGGCGGGATGATCTGCGAGTACGGGTGATAGCCCTCGACGCCACCCGGCATGCTCTGTGGCGAGGCGACGCAGCAGCATTTCTTCGGCGGGCGGTAGTTGTCGGGCATGTAGACGACGGGGGCGGAGCGGGAGGAGAATACAGAGACGTCGGCGTCGTGCCGGTCGATGAACGTGAGGGAGAGCACGCCGACGATACGGTCGAGGAACTGCAACGAGCAGCTCGCTCTCTCTGCGTTGTACTGCGGGTGGCTGGAGTTCTCGAAGAGAGCCAGGAGCTACGAGTACACGATGAGCCACTTTGCCTTTCTTTTCAAAAAATCAATATTTGGGGGACGCACCAAAGCGGCCTCGGCGAGGGTATAGTCAACCAGTTGTTGGTTGCAGGCACTCTCCAGCAGTGACTGCGCCGCGTCCCTGTACATGACGGCGCGGGATCTTCCCTCCGCGCCGTGCTCAATTTCACTCGATTTCATAAGGGTGGCCATAGCGAGGGCGGCCATGATGAGGGCGGGCTGCATGCGCACGCGCTGGGCGGGGTCTTGCAGGTCACGGAAGAACGTCGGGAGATGAATAAACGAGAGCCAGTAACTACTAGAAGTAAGGCTGGGCACGGGGTGGGGGTTCAGTTTATGGGGGTACCGTACGGACGGCGTAGTAATACATACAGAAAATTGAGGTCGCTCAAGATCTCGTTCATTCTACGGGCGCGCTCTCAATACGGGGGGGAGCTATCGGTCAAGCGGCGGCACGTACTGATGCTCGCGCAGGAGATTGTCCCACCAGGTCTTGCGCGTGTATTCGACCGAGGGAGAGAGAGGGATGAACGTAGCTTTCGAGTAGTCGTCATGATGGTGGCGGCGCCCGCCGTTGACGTCCCCGTTGCGAGAAAGCAGCTTGGTATCGGGGGACCGGGTCGTGTACGCCAGCGAGTCAGGATGGTGCCGAGAATTGGCCGACACATCGTCCTAATAGGACTGTATGAACATCGTTGACGTTCGTTACCCCGAGGCCGATACTAGGTACTCACTCGAGGGTAGGCCATGTCAGAGAGACTGCGAGAGTGTTCATGGATGTCGAGCGGGGAGGAGGACGAGTGTGAGGTGGAACTGCTAGGGCCAAAGGACAGAGAGTGGGCTTTGGACTCGACCTCGGCGGGGTCTTGCTTGATGCGACCAAGGACGGGGTCGGGGCTCTCGTCGTCGGTCTTGCGCTTCTTCTTCGCTGGGGGAGTAGACGTGTCCGAAGGTCGCTTTTTGCAGGACCGCTGCCTAGTGCCGGGGCGTTTGTCCGGGCCTCGGCGTTTCGGGACCGCGTCGTACTCGCACTCATTGTTGCGCCGTGTACAATTGTGGCACACTGGTCTGGTAGAGTCGCAACGAATCTTTCGAGCGCGACTATTGTCCTTGCGTCAGCTGACATGTTCGGGCACGGTGGAGAACCCAACTCACCATTGCCGACATGCGATAACGACGTTTGAGGCTTCCCGTCGCGCCTGCCGCCCTGCTGTCGTCGTGGCGCCCGGCGACGTCGACTTTGACTCGTGCGCCACTGCGGTGTGTGATGCTTGATTCGAGGTTGGCATCGACATTTGATGATGATGCGAAATATAGCCGGCGGGCGGATCGTGGAGGACATCATGCGGCGTGTGGTAATGCGGATCGGGCAACCGACTCTGAGGGAGACCGAACGTGTAGTCCGTTGTCGACGTCAGAGCGTGCGGGTGGAAACGCGCTGCTGGGGTCTCGAACCCGAGCATGGTCGGGTCGTGGAGGCTGAGGTCATTCGTGAAGGAGTGGGGGAGTTCGGGGTCGAGCGTGGGGCTGGAGACGTGCAGGCCCTGGAGCATATGGTGGTCGCGCACCTGGGCGGCGTAGTCGGGCTGTCGTAGTGTGCGCCGTCCCAGCTGGCGATGTACATCTGCGCGTCAGACGCGTAGGGCATCATCCTGCCGAGCTGATAGGGAAGTTCTGGGTGGAACGACGCGTCAATGGGTGCATCCGGGGACGGAGGGCGGTGAACGCACCTTCTGGGGTGTAGGAGCCATCGTAGACGGGGGAGTGGAGTTCGGAGCCATCCTCACTGGAGTGGAAGCCCTCCTCGACGAGGGGGACGCGTGTGTAGGGCGCGTAGACTTCGCCGTTTGAGCTTGCAACCATGTCTGTGGACAGGGAAGCGTAAGATGGAGAGACGGCGAGCGGGAGTTAGAACAAGGGGCGCATGGAGAGACAGCTAAAGGCAGTGTATAGATATGAAAGCCACGCGAGAACCCGAAGCCAGGGCGTCCATGGGGCCCACGGCTAAAGAGTTCAGAGAGACGCGCAGATGCGATCTGCTAGAAGCCGACACTCTGGAAATTTTCCACTCGGTGACAAATCCGCAGATGGAATGGTGTGCGTCCGCATTTGGACAGAAGGGTTCGTGGACGTCTCTTCGCGGGATTCCCAGTGGCCTTCGCACTCGGAACTTACCTGCGCTGGCACCGGATTGCCACCATCCAAACACAGGCTCGATCTATGTCCGCGCGAACGTGGGGCTCCTCACTGCGCAGGCCGCGCCAGCATGTCGTGATCCACCGAAACAGGCTCGCTCTCAAGGCCAATCTCGCTCTGATCCCAGGTGTCAGTCGACGAGACGACCAGAGCCTGGGACGGTATCTACCTCGTTGTGGCCTGATTGTTCGCAACTTCGGTGGACGGGGATTACGCTGCAGGGCTCGAACAGTGCGCGCGCACAGTAATGCAGAGGGAAGACCAGGCAGGAGACGCGCTGCAAGGGAGGCGACGGGGGCGACGGAGACGGAAAGTAGGAAATAAATCCGCGAGGCTTTGCGCGGCCACGCTTATTTGTGGCGTCTTTGTCAGCAGGATATGTCGAAATCATGCGGCGGTGGGAAACCAATGGGAGTCGCCCAAACGGGTGGCGCCCTGGCGGCTCCTACCGAGATTCCTGCGATCAGCGCACTTGGCGCGCCGCTCGATGGCCGTCACGTCCGTTCGGCTTTCAAACCTTGTTATCCATCACACAAGTCACAGCTCCCCGTCACACCGTAATGTGTTGGACGTCCGCCACTTCTGGGCCTTCGCTTCGACCGCCGAGGTCCTCGCTCGAGGTCACCGCGCCCTGCTCTTCCGCATCGCGAAGATTGCGTCTAATTTCTTGCCATTTACGACCACCATGCACGCTGATCTTCCCCACGTCCAGGCTGTCGCGGCGAGCTGTTCGCGCCGTGTCTCCGTCGAGTCAATCAGCTCGATCAGCTGTACTTGTCTCCTGGCTTGATCAACATCCTTCGGCCTCTGCCACCCGCCAGCCCATGGTCCTGCACCAGGTCGCACAACGCTCACGCTCACACACAGCCCTCTTGCATGACGCCACGAGACTCCTTTCTTCATCACACGCTTCGCTGGGAGAACGCTACCATAACTGCTCTAGCCGACCTTATTTCCGTGCTTCGCCGTCCCCCAGCTGAGCGACTCTCTGCCCGCTTTTTCCCACTGCACGGCTCGCTCCTGTCCACCTCTCCGAACACCCTCTTTCCTCGCGTCTCCTCTGCCAGCATCGGCACGGCCAACGGGGCACCTTCGAGACCTTTGTCAGTTGATCCAGACATACCCAGTAATCGAGAACACCCTCGGACCTCTTCGCGCCCGGATCAATCGCGTTAGATACTGGAATAGCCGCTGCTTCTGAGCGGCCATAACATATCCAACTTGGGTCTAGGCTCCCAGGAACCGCAACAGGAAGCTCCTCACAGCCAACACCTTTGTCATGTAACGCAGTCGAGTTGATGCGCGGGAGACGCGCTCCAGCTCTGCCGCGCGTTCCTGAGGGCATTACGGACGTCGTCACATTTCATTGGATCCCTCGTTGACGCGTACGTATCACATTTGTTCGATACCAGCGATGACAGGAAGTGCCCCGCAGTACGTGGACGAGGACAGCGACGCCACCTGCACTTGCAAGTCCGCTGTGACAGACAATGGCCTGGTTCTCACTGTTCTCCATTCCAGGGCGTTTCTTGGGCTCCATCATGTGTGCGCCGTAGCCCAACAGCGACACTGGGCACGCCCAGTCCCGCGTGCAAACTCTGGCCGCTGCCGACAATTGTCGCTCTACTCCGGACAACAATGCGAATGTGATTCGACGCTATCTCTGCATGCTCCACTCTGCCGGGTCTGCAGTGCCATATAAGCCATCGGACCTCGAGCTCGCTCCCTTCCGCTCGGAGTAGCTTGCGGGATAGGAACGATAGGCTGCCCTCCACCCACTTCCAGTATGTCAAACGTTCCTTTCGCGTGAGCCTTCGTTTCTTATCTCTCCGTTGCGATGTTGCCGGGTGGCCTGGATGAGGCAGGCTGAGCAGCCGGCACTGGAACCATGAGCCGAACGCAAATGCTCTCGTATCCCTCAATATCACAGATTTGGGGCAAGAACTGCGTCGCGGTCGCGTCAGAAGACACGAATCCTTCCCTGGTCCCTGTATTTGCGCGCCCACCCGTAGGGAGGCGGCCCGATGGTGAGAAACCACCGATACGACCTAGACGCCTCCCCGTGTTCTGCGCCCAGTGCGGGGCGCGCACAGGCGCGTCGGCCGCGGTGCACCCAGCGCCCCGGACCAGAACCCGCACCTGTTCACGTCCCCAAAGTTGTGCGGTCGAAGTAGAATGCGGGGTCCGGCGCGGAAGGAGGGTCCGTTCTGCACAGCCGGTCCCCTGATCGTCGAGGCCGTATCGTATCACCACAACAAAGCGAGTCTGTTTACTCAACCGCTGACCTGACAGACAGATCGATGCAATCAGTGGCCCGGATCACGCGCGATTGCGGCCGTGGGGTCATCTCCGCACGCTGCGAGCTGCTATGATCAGCGTCGACCCAGGTGTGGCGGGTGCGGGTGGGCAGGCGCGATCGTGCGTCGCCACGGCTCCCCACTGCGCCCACGCGCCATTCAGTCGTCGTCGGTAGAGCGTTGCTCAGGGCTGACAACAACGTTCCGTGGCGGTCGAAGCCACGCCGCGACTCGCCGGTGCGCCATGTCTCAGGAGAGTATGCATGAACTTACTTGATGTCCGGCTCGTCGGCTTCAGGGCTGGTCTTCCGATTGCCTAAAGGCTTGCTGGCGGATCGCACGCGCCTCGCGTCCCTAGATCCCAACGCTGCGCTAGAACGGTGCGACCGTCAGTCTTCTCTTCCTCCACTCATTCTGTACTGAGCAATTGCCGTGCGTGTAGGCCAACGTTGCATAGGAACGTGATTCTTTGCAACGCGTATGGGCGTTGTATGCCAGACATTCAGCGCGTGAGTCATCTTCGTCGAACGTGCACCTCGAGGTGCGGCGGGCCCTTGGTGGTCGGTTTACGGAATGAGCCGCTGTGTGTAATCCATACGGCGAGTCTCGGGTTGTACCTACACTGCCCAACTCCGATCCCGGTGAGCAATATACTGCGCAACGGTCAGTTTCTATGTGTCGGTTTATCGTGTCGGCACTCATAGTCGGGCAATTGATTCACTCAGGGATGAATTCTGTCACGCGTCCAACAGTCACGTCAACACATTCGTGAGGCTGTACACGTCGGTGCGAGCGATAAACCTATTCGAGCGACACGCTTGAGCGCAGTCTGCGGACACGCTGCGTACTAAATTGTTCATCCAGAAGACATGCTCGCCAAACATCCTAAAACCCTATTTTCAATTGCCTGTTCAGGTAGCGCGGATCCCTCCGTTCCTATCCGGAGGGAAACCTCGAGGTGTCGAAGTCAAGAACCCCACGTCTAAATTCATGCCATATACGGCCGATGGATAATTGTCGGATGCGCACCCCGGTAAGCTACGGCCAGTCATCCGCCCTAGTGCCGGTGTGCTGCCGCACTGTCAAAGTCTATGTCTGCCCAGCAAACAAAGTCTCCCGTCGCAGCGGATTGCCGTCGTCTGTGGCCACCTGCTCGGATCTCGTATCACGCGCTGGGACTCTCCCTTGAGTCAGCCTTCCACAGCCAAATCACGGCACTCTTCTCACAGACATGTATCACGGCGCGCTTCTCCGAATGTTCTAACGCTGTGCGTACACGTAACGGGTACGTGTAGCGACGGTACGTCTGTCCGAACGTACCGTTCGGATGCTCTTGCTCACAACGACCTCGTATGCTAGCACAGTCGGTGCACAGTGTCTGGCCTTCAACGGCTCCCGAGGGTCCCGAGAAGCCTGCACATTGACAGGGGCGAGCCCGCCTGCGACCTCATGCAAGGGCCAGCACCCCTGCAGTCGCTGCGACGCCTTGGGCTCGTGCCAACTCAATTTTGCTCGTTCTCCCGTTCATGGCGCGTATACGTAATCGAAAACGCAGAAGGCTTATTACGATCTGGATGCCCCGGATCTCCGTGAAAGGCAGGTAGACGAGTCTATTATGATTTCATCTTGGTTTCGCCGAGAGTATGTGACCGCTGATCTTGCCGGATCCGCGTTTGCGCTTTCATCTCTACCCTCACTGGCCTATTCGGTGGCACGCTCGCGCGGAGTTGCTGGTGTGCAGGTTCAATGGTGAGAATCTCCGCGCTCATCTCTGTCGTTCATGACATCTCACTCTGTCATGCGTTCACCACGATAGGTGTCCTGCGTGGACGACTGGAACTCGTTTCACACGACGGCAGACGCATGGGCCACCATGTCTCTTGGCCGTTTGAATTGAGCAGCTCAATGACGGCACGAGAAAGACTTCATTGTGTCATCTCGTGCGAACGCATCCTGGACGTCATTGCGAAGTACAGGTCTCTTGCGTCAAGGGAGTCCTCGCAGCGCACTATGGACGCGATGGTTTCCAGAGTCGCGGTTTTTACAGAGCACATACGAGGGTCGTTCTGCCCGTGCTGAACGATCTCGGCGCACCGCGATCCTGGGCCATGCACTAGCGGCGCTTTTACAGACAAGTCTATGATCACTCCCTCTGCCCTGGGATATCCGCCCATCGGGTCCGTCATCGTGTTCGATTCGTTCTCGCGGTCCGATGACGTTCGCTTCTTTTGGATATCCAACCCACTTTCAGGAAGCCGCCTGGCCTGATAGACTCAAGAAGCAGGGCATGTGCAGGTCATTGACGCTTCCCGCCCTACCCTCCCGGAGGAAGTAAACGCGGACGTGGTGGCAGTGAAGACCCGTTTGGGACGTGGTCTGTGTACACGGTCTGTTGTTGCCTACGCTGTCGAGAGACGATCCTACTTGTGCAGGTACGCAGCTGACGACGGAAGCAGGCCATGGCCGCCGTGAAAGCTTCTTTCAGTGCTGATGTTCCACATCATTCTGCGCTTTTCCTTCAGGGGCTCGTGCATGGGGCGTACGGAATCCGTGCAGTCGTCTTCCACAGGCTCGCGCTCTACAGCTCTCAACTGGTTCAGCGCTCGCACTGTCCTCACACTGCCACTTCACCTGATCAGCTGGTATCCGGCACTACTCACTGTAGTACATCCTCTTGCACATGGCCTGTCGACGGTCCAACGCTACACCGACGGGGCAGAACTTCAGAACCCAACGTCCTCTGCCACATAAACTCCTGACGAAGAGCTCATAGACAATGATGGAGGCTGCGCAACGATGTATGTGCGCGGGAGAAGATCGCAAGATCCGGCCGCGACATTGGCGTGTCATCTGAACGTCCAGTGTGTACTGCACTTAAAGTTAATGGACCAGTACTGAGTATTATCATTGATTCATGAGAGGCTAAAGGCAAACAAGGTACAGGCTTCGGTTCCGCGCGACTGCAGCGTGCATACTTGGCTCCACCGTACGTCACCACAGGGGGTTCGCGCCTTCGTTGGGCTGCACATGCAGCAGACATCATCGATTCATCGTTCAGATGGGTGCTGAAATGGGCCATTGGATGACATCGTCTGACCATCTTCTGCGGTACTCAATGCATCATGGGATGTCTGCTCACTGATGCAAGTCAGGTGCGTCGAAGGATTGTATCGGTTTGAACCGGCTGATGAATGGATCTCAGAGCCAGTAGATATACTGAGAAAGGCTTACCTACACGCCGGTGCGCCCAGTACGTCCTCCGCAAGGAACTCCCCTAAAGGCTACTATGTGTAGCTAGCGCTATTCTGGGCCAACGCGAAAAGATCCGCGCTTAAATCCCGACGCAGCCGCTATGTCCGCGAAAAACTACCGCCTCGACGCTCGGCCCGATGATCTGGTATGTCGGAATCGACATTTCGGGAACTGTACGTGCACACTAACCGAGAGGTACCGATGCCGATGATTTGGAGCCCGTGGTCGATCATTCCAAGATCATTCCGCGCTATCGTAGCCGATGCGGGGAACAATTGGCACCGAAAACCGACAAGGACGGTTATTGTACAAAGTGCAGAACGACGGACAGTATGCTTACCCATGACTGTCTAAGACGCTTATGTTCGATGTTCGCTTACTCGACAGGCTATACTATGGTCAGATACGAAGCCGTTGCCTTTCAAACCAGAATTTTCAAGTCACACTGTAACGCGCTCAGGCTCTGAGGCGCGTGTAACGGAGGCAATACGGAGGAGCAGCAAATTGATCAAAAACGAGACCAATGTGTACAGGGTCAACTCAACATGTTGCATTCATGCTGTACGCAGATCTTGGATTGCAGTCGTGCCTCGCAAATGCGACACTACTGGATCTCGGGCACGGTACACCATGACGCAACAAACACGAGGCTACTCACCGCTCGACCGGGCACTACCCTAGCTACCGTGATATGAACTCTGGATTGCTCGCTTTGGGTGAGCTTCTCCTTTTGCGATAGTTCGCTGATAATGGCTCTATACGACGTTTGAACGTTTGAACACCCAATCGGACCCACATTGGCTATCGATGATACACTTCGTACTCAGCGTCAGGCAGGCTCTGCCGGTTCACGTAGCCACGCTCCCTGTCGTCATTTCGAAGTCTCATCGAATGATATTCTGAGGGGACGTCCATTCTGATCTGTCGTGGAAGTTGCCCTCATCGTCACAGTTCCTACTTCCGAGAATACTCCTACTGACGTCAGTGCTTTCCGAAGCTGCACCAGCGAACTCGACTGTTTCACCGGGGTGCCTTAACTCGACTCAGCATGACGCTGAGCCACAACTCACGACCACGAACGCCATGGCCAAGCTGACCACGATCAAGGGCCCGTCGATCCACCTCATCCAATATCTCAGCGACACCCCTCCATACAACACCCTCGAGGGCCTCGCCGCCTGGGCGGCCTCCCTCGGTATCAAAGCGCTGCAAGTCCCCGTCGACGCGCGACTTGTCGACATCCACCGCGCGGCGGAGGACCAGGCGTACTGCGATGCGCTCAAAGCGACCGTTGCGAAACACGGCGTCGAGATCTCCGAGCTTTCGACCCATTTTGCAGGGCAGCTCATCGCCGTGCACCCCGCGTACGATGTCCTTTTCGACGGGTTCGCGCCCCCGCAGTTCCGCGGTGACTCCGCCGCGCGTGAACAGTGGGCACGGAGGGTCCTCTTCGACTCGGCCAAGGCGTCGAAGAGGCTCGGGCTGAAGGCGCACGCGACGTTCTCGGGCGCACTGGCGTGGCCGTACTTCTATCCCTGGCCTCAGCGTCCCGCGGGGCTGGTCGACACTGCGTTCGCAGAGCTGGGCAAGCGATGGCTCCCGATCCTCGACGCGTTCGACGAGGCGGGCGTAGACGTGTGCTACGAGATCCATCCGGGCGAGGACCTGCACGACGGCGTGACGTTTGAGCGGTTCCTATCGCACGTCAACAACCACCCGCGCGCGAGCATCCTCTACGACCCATCGCACTTTCTGCTGCAGCAGCTCGACTACCTCGCTTTCATCGACATCTACCACGAGCGCATCAAGGTCGTGCACGTGAAGGACGCGGAGTTCGTGCCGGACGGGCGGCAGGGCGTGTATGGCGGGTACACGGACTGGGTGGACCGCGCGGGCCACTTCAGGGCGCTAGGCGACGGCCAGGTGGACTTCAAGGGCATCTTCACGCGCCTGGCGAAGTACGGGTACCAGGGATGGGCGGTGTTGGAGACGGAGTGTGCCTTCAAGCACCCGGAGGACTGCGCGAAGGAGGGCGCGGCGTTCATCAAGAATCATATTATACGGGTGTCGGATGGGACATTCGATGATTTTGCTGGGAGCGGGGTGGGTCCTGATGGTCTGAAGAAGATACTGGGGATCGAGTGAAGACTTTTCATTGCTTTCCGGATGATACTTATTACGTTGTAATCAACGGCTCGCGGGATGGTTTTGACTATTTACGGAGGCATACCGATGATTGTAGCTCTGCAAGATGTGCCGGTGAGCTGCCTCATCATAGGGTTTTTTGTGTCGAGTCCCTTCATTGTCCGCGAGGGCCGAGCCCTATGTAGACAGTACTCTAGCAATACGTGATAAGTGCAGGTTCGCGTCGTCGAGGTCAGCCTGAGTATGCATCATCATAGGTTGCACACAACTTACGTGTTTCTTCGCTCGCAGTGATGGGACACGTCTACGGATCAACGCCGCCGGGCGACGGTAAGGACGACCTGCAACTGGCCCATAATTCTTGATTTTTGCTTGAATTTCTGCATTCCACTGCCCATCGGCGTCCAAGTTCTGCTAGAATCGGTGTGAGTACTTACGGACTTCCGCATGTAAGTACGGCCAGCTCATTACATGTGTTCCCCACAGTCAACTGCAAGCTGTACTTATATCGTACCGTAGAACTTGAAGCTCGCGCCGTCTCCGAGTCAATGATGTACTAGTACAGAATGATCTCAGCGGGTGCTCACGCATATGGGGAACCGACGGTTCGTTTGGTCGATCATTGAATAGACAACACATAGAGACTTAGTTGGAGTTGGACCCCTCCTGCCGATTGCTCAAACACGAAATTGGACGTCAACTGAGCACTTGATTGCAGGTAGAGGAAGATACGAACGAGCACCTCGACCTCAGAATAGCATAAATGACTGTGGCGGCGACGCCTTCATGAACTCTTCTCAGTAGCAGACGGAGGTGTATGTCGGACAGTACCTCGCATGCATGTCAAGGCAAGATGGGATTTTTGGTTGCCTGCCCAGCTTCAAACAGCACTGCGCCACTACGAAGACGGCCCAGCAGAAGGCCCCGAATGCTCGTCACAAGCGCCCCTCACCATCGCCCTCACCAAATCCTCCGTCCCCACATCCACCTCAGCGCCCGAGCCAATGGGATACACATCACGCACGAGCGCCCGCCACTCCGCCCAGTCATCCACGATCCGGTCCTGCACATGCCCGAGCAGCACGCTCACCGTCCGTTCGTCTTCGAGGTACAGCCGCAGCCGTCCTACGGCCGCACGCAGCTCCGTCGCGCACGCACCGTTGAAGGTTGTGAAGAGCGCGTTGATAGCGGTGGGTGTCGCCCATGGGAGGCTTTGGATTGGCTGCGTGCTGGGCGCGGGCACACCGGCGACGGAGGAGGTTCCGAGTGGTCTGGCGGGGAGACGGTGTGCGTGAGCGCGGTCCGTCCAGGAACGGAGGGGTGCGGAGACGGGGTTAGCGCAGGACGCGATGACGGCTTCGCAGGCGATCTTGAGTTCTGAGTCGAGGGCCTGCGATGGTTACAATCAGCACCCTACGTCAGCACCAGGAGGTCACGAGAGACGTACACGTCTGACATCGTTCATGCTCTCGTCGCTTGGCATGCCCAAGGATGCGAACAGTGAATTGGGCAATGGTAGTAGTGAAGTCGTCTTTCCCAACATGGACGCCAGCGTGTCTACCACGGTGCAGAATTGTGTCACCTGGTGCGGCTTCAAACATAAGAACACAATCGTACCGGTCACCCCTGAGAGATCAATCCCTCTGTCTGGGTTCTTGTTCTCAAGATCCAGATTCTGCGTCATCTCCTTGAGGATAAGGAGGTGCCGTACGAGGAACAGCTGCCCATCGAGCGTCGACTGAGGCGGGGCCTTCGACTTGAGCGTCTCCGCTGCACTCACGAGCGACTGCCGACAGAGGTTGACAGCCTCGCGCGCAATGTCATCAAAGATCGCTGCCTGAAAGTCAAACGCGTGAACAGGCCGCACCACAAACTAGTGTACCCGAGTTACCTTCACAAAGTCGTGCAGCTGAGAGAGCACCCAGACGGTCCTGCGCAACGTCGGGTACCACATGTCTTGCCTATCGAGCGACTTGAGCTGGAAGAGCTGGCTCACGCTCTCCTTCTCCTTGATCTCGAATCCCGTCACCGGCTTCCGAGCAGCTACCGCTTCACGTCAGCACACCCCGCCTTGACACGTAGACCACGATGATCCACTCACCCAAGAGCCTCTGCGGGTAGTCCAGATCCTCCGCCTTCGGCACATAATAGCGGATATCACTCTGTATGACCGACTGCGCCTTGAAGAACAGCCTCGTCTGTGCGTCCTGCAGGACCATCTCCAGCAAGTGGCCTATGTGTAGCGCCCGCAGCCCTCGCTTTCCTGGACGACGCCCGACCGTGCCCAGGTCGAGGTTCAGTTCGTCAACGTAGTTTTCGTCTTCGTCGTCGTCGTCGTCGTCAAACGCCGGGACATCGAGCACCATGAGTGCTTGAAGGACAGTGCAGACTTCGCAGAGCGCGGTGAGGCGGGGTTCGTGCAGGATGCGGGGGCGCAGGTCGTCGTAGAGGTAGTCGCAGAGACTCTCCAGATAGGAGCTGCGATGGAGGAGTCAGCGAACACCGAGGAAGAATGAGCGCCGCGCAGAACACGGACTAGAGTTGGTCTTCGCCTGAGTTGAAGAACGCGCGGAATAGATTGAACTCGTCCGTGCAGAGTTGCTTCAGATAGCTGCATCCCGACCTCGTCTGCAAACCGTCAACGGCGTGATTTAGGCTCAAGGGTGAACACGTACCAGCTCTACAAGCTCAGTCCTCGTCGGGTCCAAGCCCTTGATCTCCTCCAGGAGCCGACTTACAAGCAGACCTTTCCGAGCAGCAAAGTACGCGGCGTGACACTCCGACAGCAGCGACGAGAGCTCGTCAGGGTGTGCAGCAGCGCGCCGCTCCAACTCCGCAAGCAGAGGTGCTAATTGCGCTGAGACGGTGTAGAACCGCGTGTACAGGAGGTGCATCTGCGCCGTCGTCGAGACGTCCTTCTCGGACATGCGTTTTGTGACGTCGACGGTGAGCGCTTTGAGCGAGCCCACGAAGAACATCTTGATGAGCGTCATCGCTCTGGTCATGCATTGCTGGAAACGGAGCAGATATATCTCGGCTTCCCGATAATGTCGCTGCTGCAATGTCAGGTATTGAGGCAAAGGAGACATTGACGATGCTTACGTGCGTCTTGAGGTATTCGATGCAGACGTCCACTCGCTCGACCATGTAGAGGAACTCCGTCTGGAGGACTAGGGAGTCGCCAGGAGAGTTAAGCATGCGGGTAGCATGTTCGAGCTCCTGGAAGTAGCCCAGTCTCTCGTCGATGGCGTCGGTTATGCTGAGTAGGTGATCCTAACGTTGCGAATCAGTGATACACGCGAATAGTTCAGGAGAGGTAGTACGCACGCGCTCTTCCAACAGCTGTTCACAAGCTCCTTTGAGGCTCTTACCACCCTCCTCGACCATCCGCCACTCGTTCAGCATTCCATCCACCGCAGAGTCGATTCGTCGATGCGTTCTGTCAGCCGATCGCACGTCTCTAGATGCTCCGACACGCTCTCCAGTGTGCGCGGTAGTGCGCCTCCTGGCTATGAGCGACCGAGCGGTCGATGAGCGCGAACCAGTCATAGAACTGCTGTGGCGTCTGAATTGGTTGCTTTGGATGCAATGCATGGGCGGCGGTCGCGCTACGCGGCAGGAATGCGGAAGTGGGTGTGCCGGGCGCGAACCCACGCCGAGTCTGTTGCGTAGCACGGGCGTTGAAGGTCGCGAGGACGAGCCTGGTTCGTCTACTGCAAACTTGACTTGTGGTCATTGAGACATAATAGGCACAGAATGATGGAAGAATGTACCTTCAGAGGCAGAGCAGCTCTCTCGGTAGCTGCCTTGACGAGGTTAACGCTCTCATTTCAGCTTCTCCTAGGGGACATTTCGCTTCCCATTCCTCCACGCTATGATTGGTTTTGCATGAGGTGTTAGAGACCCAGGTGCGCCCGGACGTTTGGTGGATGTCGAGGCCATTTGGTTGTGAACCTATAGGCACACAGGCTACAGCGACCGTAGGAGCAGCGCTTTTCGCACAACGTTGAGCCAGTAGGGGAGTTGTGGAGGTGAGTTTCTTCTCGGACTTCTGCGTTCAGAAGAACTTAGACGGTTAGCGGTAAGCCACAACTTGAATATAGAGCACGGAGCACCCTCCTAGCACTCGCTGTGACGCGCCACAATCGGCTCCCCGATTCGGCACGACCACGAGGTTACTGAGCGTTTCCATATCCGGGTCAAGTGTGGCTCTTCTCGAGCTTGTCTTGTACTCTCAGGCTGTTGCATCCCGTCTTGAATTCTCAATTACATGTTGCCACCTTCTGTGTTACTGCGCTCAGATCTTCGTGCGATTGATGAGGACTCGCTTGTTGCGTGGTTTGCGAGAAATCCCGACGCACTACTGCATACTCGTCAACTGAAATCGTCTTCGTGCCGAACTGGTGTAGATTGAGTCTCTCAGTGTCAGCACGTTGTTGGCATCCTGCCAATGTGGGTCTTTACTCAGGACACTGTTCTCCTAACTCTATAAACGTATGTTCTTCCGCTGACTCGGAACGGCGACCAGCAATAGCTACAATGGGGCTGTCTTATCGACAGGCCTGAAGGCCTGATTGAAGCAATCGGGGACTCCGTCGGACTCACCCCGATCTTCGGTCAGCACGTCCGATTCTCGTCTCGCGTGTTGTGGTCCCAATGATTCCGGCCAGCTTTGGGTCAGCTCGTACGTAAGTATACTCACTTATACTGTCCGAATTCGTTACGTTGCCATGACATTGACTTTCTCTCGTCCCGACCATCTGTTACGCCCAGGCGCCGGGCCAGGATACTTACGCCAAGGTCACCGGGTCGCCATGCACGAGGAATCAACTGGAATCAAGCTTCCTGCCGGGGCTGATCCCAATCAATCTCCTTACTTTATCCCGACGCATGGGTCGACGACCACGCTGTTCCTACCGGTGCCGCTGGCTGGCCCTGGCCTGGCATTCTGACCCGAGGCCCGGACGAGCCGCAGGTCCAGCCAAGGCACATCGTGGCAGTCGCGCCGGGGTCCGCCAAGCTAGAGCGAAAGGTATGTAAAGCGACGGGACCAACTGCCCTTCCCCATTCCCGCCTTTCCGCTCATTCCAGTCTTGAGGACTCCTTTCTTCTCAGCTATTCCGAGCAGCTAGTCTGTCCTTCACGCCTCCGCAGGCTCGCTTGTACCCAGCCCCCGGCTCCTCGCCCTTCTTCCGCCGTAGATCGCAACAATGGCTCGCCTTTCATTCCTCGCCCTCATTGCTTCCGCCGTGGTATTTGTTGGCGTCCAGGCGGCGCCGGTCCCCAGCGATGGTGGCCTCGTGTACGTTCGGCACAATGCTGCCGGTGCCGGTGCTAGTGGTCAGGCCAGTGCCAGTGCCAGTGGCAAGGCAGCCAAGGCCAGTGCCAAAGCTGCTAAAGCCAGTGCCAAAGCTGCCAAGGCCAGTGCCAGTGCCACGGACAGTGCAGCGGATTCCACCGCAACTGCCGCTAGTAGTGCAGCGAATTCCACCGCATCCGCCGCTAGCACTGCGGGTGGGACCGCCTTCGTTGCAGGGTCTTTCACGGAGCAGGCGTGAGTCTCATGCTGGACCCACAGCATAACGTGCTCATTCGTCTCCTACGCAGCTACGCCGACTTCCAGATCTCTGACGGTACCGGTGGAGATGCTGAGGCACAGGCCAACGCTGTTTTCGTCGGTACGTATACGTTGAAATGCGCTCTGCTCTCGCTGGTATGCTCACATACACGTCCCGCAGATCCCTTCGCCGGCATTGACCTTTCCACTGTCGATGCTGCCACCGTTTCGACGATGACCACCATGCGCAAGGCAGCGGAGAGTGCGGAGACGGATGACTTCAACCCTCAGATCGATGCTGCCTCCGGCGACGCAGGTAAGGGCTCTTGCTGGGTGCACGTATCATGCTAGTGTCGACGCTGACCTCTACAATTTCATCAGCCGACGCTCTCCAGGTCGGCAAGATCAAGAACAAGGTGCTGAAGCTCACCGGCGAGGTGCAGGTCCTGAACATCAAGGTACTGTGGCGCCACCTGAATTTCCGTGTCTCAGTGTCCCTAACCTTCCCTTCTCAGATCGCACAGGCGCAAGCTACAGGCGATGATACGTCAGATTTGGAGAGCCAACTTGCGGACGAGCAGTACGTACATACGTCGATGCACGCCTGACATGGTCTGACAGCCTCACAGGACGAAGCTGACAACCAACATTGCCACCGACACCGACAACGCTGGAAAGACATCACAAGGTGTTGCGTAAACGTCTGCGGTGGTTTGTTGCCTTCATCTGTTACACCTTTTTTGTGTTTGACACCCGCTCGGAATACATTTGGATTTGGGATGAAACAAATTTGCTAGTGTGATAAGTCGAAGGCAGTCCTTGTCATGACTATGAAAGTCAGGAGCAACATATCCACCGCATACCAAACCTCCAATAAGTGTATCCACTCATCGAATCTGCATTCACTACATGTACGGCGGCAACATCTAGTACATAACTTACGCGAAGTCGTTTTACATCGTTGCACCAAGACCCAGCTTCGTCTTCTTCATCTTCGCCGTCAGTGGTGCATCCAACCCACCAGACAGCCCAATTCTTTCTCCTTCTGCCCAGCCCATCGCCGCAAGCATGCGGAAGCCTACGTTCGACTCGCCGATCTTGGGTGCAGCCTGTGAAGCAGACGAGAATCAGGGTCGATGCCTCTCAAAGCCAAACAATCTACACACCTTGCCAACCTCCTCTCCTTCACGATGCTTCGCGAGTGACTGTCCCGCTTTGCCCTTGCCCTTGCCCTGCCAGGGCGCGCCCCAGGTGCTGTCCTTGTTCGTCTTCGTAATCCGCCCGATCTTCTTCTCGTTGATCCGAACTCCACTTCTCGACGTCTTGATGAGCGTCGTGTACCGACCCCGCCCTGTGCCTTTACTCTGGCTCTTCAGGTTGAACGCGTCCGCGAGCTCGTGTATCTTCTTCCGCGTCTCCTTGTCACAAGGCGGGAGCGCCATTGTGCTCTTGTCGCCAATGTCTTCGATGAACCGCCGTATCTGCGCCTCGAGCGACACAAAGTCGACGATGCGGTTCTCCACCTCCATGTGTTGCTCGAGCCGGGCGGCGGCGAGCATCGCCTTTCTGCCCTTCTTGCCACCCTTGTGCACCGCGAGCGGGTCGGCGGCGACTGCGATCATATCTTCCTTGCGTTTGCGCTTGTTCTCGGCTTTCTTCTGCCGGTCTTTCTCCCACTGGTCTTTCAATTCTGGAGGAACGTGCTTGTCCTTTCTTCGGGCTAGGGAGAGGTCAGCGCTTCGTTCGTCTAAAGGCGAATGCCGCATACCGGCTGGGGTCATCATCGCAGCAGACTCGTCGTCATCACTAACAATGTCGTCTTCGATCGCTCGGAACGAGTTCTTCTTTCCCTTCTTGTCTCTGTTAGATAGTATATGGACGTTGGCATCCAGCATCTCCTGCAAACACTCTTCGGTAAGTAAAGTCCTGGCTAAAAGTAAAGTATAGCGCGCCTGTATTTCAGCGATGAAGGCCTCGTCCTCATCGGCCAATGCCACGTTGTCCATGTCTTCGTCGCTGGAGTCGTCCACTTGTCGAGCTTTGCCCTTGCCCTTGCCCCGACCATTGTCTCTCGCGCGCATCCTCGCTAGTCTTGCTCGGAACCCAGCCCTTGGTGTATCTTCCTCGTCGGATGACTCATCCTCGTCTTCCTCCTCACTCTCCTCGCCAATCAGCGCGCGCTCCTCGGCGGCGAGTGCTCCTTCCAGTTCCTCATCCTTGTGTTGAGCATCGTCTTCCTCGCTCTCGCCGTCACTCCCTCTTGAACTCGTCGGCGTCGCTCCCTGCTCGTCTTCTGCGCGCATGCGCTCCCCATCTGCAATGTCGTCCATCGTAATATGCCTCGACCCCTCCGCATTCATACTCTGCACAAAGCTCTTCATCGCGTCCACCGAGATCTCCGCGTCCAGCTCCATCGCCCCGATGCCATTCGACACTTGCTCGATGTCCTCGTCGCTCGTATCGCCAAAGTTGACGTCCGAATCGCCGCGGCGCTGCTCCGACTCGCGCGGGTCGCGCTCCCTGCCCTCGCGCTGCGCCTGCGCCTCCGACGCGAGCGCGCCGAACGCGCCGAAGCGCCTGGGCGTGCGCCGCCGCGCCTTCTTCGAGCGCTGGAGAAGGGAACGGGGACCACCCACGGGGAACAATTTCCGTGTCTGCTTCTTCCGGCTGGAGCTCTCGAACGAAAAGGAGATGGCTTCGAAGGGTGGGGGTGAGGGAACGCTGGGAAGTTCGGTAGGTTGCGGTGTTGTCGGTGTCGCCTCGGCAACTTCCTGCACATTCTGGGAGGCAGACGGCACCTCCGGTGGTATTGTGCCCTCTGGGACACTGGGGAGTGGGGTGGATGCTGATGTATGGGTTTCATGGCTCTTGGTGAGCTGGCGCCCGGTGAGGATAGAGGTCATCGTAATGGTCTCTACCGTCTCCGCCACAGGAGCCGGCGTTGTCGCCCGACTCAAGCGGGGGTGGGGGGCGACATATACGATGATCTCTTCGTCCTCTCCGAGCGCACCCTCGATCCGATCGGTCATCGCTGTATGATGGGGTCGAGCTGCCACTGGTGTAGGAGTAGTGTCGACGAAAAGCCAGCGAAAGTCTCTTCGCTCGTCTTCGCCTGGATGGAGGGTGTAGCGCACGATTCTTCGATGGACATCGTAGATGCGATTGCATCAACCTCTGCTTGAAGTTTGCCTACGTCGGCAAAGTCTATCTCTTCTAGATGCTTTTCATTCCGGATGCGTTGTCGTCAATTTCGGGCTGTCCTCTGCTGAATACCCGCGACACTTGATCTGCAGTTGGTACATGGCTCTTCTCGTCATCAGCTGTCAGTGCTGGTTAGCGAACAATCTACAAGCACGGCAGAAATTACTGACCTACAGCCTCCACGATGGGCTGCAAGATCTCTTCCTCTTCTTGGAAGAGCGTAGCCGTATGGACGGAGCGCACGAATACGATGGGTTTGAGCAGAGGCCTATCCTCATTCAATAAGCTCGACAATGGTACGCCCGCCCGTAGTTTAGAATCGAGTTGGCCTCTGCTGGGGCGTCCACGCCCATGGGTATTATATGTGTCGTGGGATTCGCCTCGCCCGCGGCCTCTGAATGAGTTCCTGCCACGAGGTCTGTCTGTGCCCCTAGCAGCGGGGCTGTCGTGGCCTGAGCCAGGATAGGATCCTCGTCCTCGTCCCCGACCTCTCACAGTTCCATTGTATGTCAAATCTATCAATAAATCGGCATTATGCCCTCTTGATCAGCTCTACGAAAATACGAGGTGCACAACTGCACTTCGAGAAAGGCGACACATACGGTCTGGCCACATCTGCACAGGGAAATCGAGGTCATCCGCGTAGGCCGCACCGCCTCTGCCTCCACCACCACCGCCGAAGTTGGGCGCATCACCTCGTCCCCGCCCACGTCCTCTGCCCCTTCCTCCTCCACGACCGCCTCTATCAGAAGATGACTGTCCATGTGGGGAACCCCTCGAGCCTCCTCCTCGTCCACGATGGTTGCCTCTAGCCATAGATTATGGATACACAAGATTTGACGATTGATAGTTGATTGATAGAGCACAGAAAAACGAATACAAGTGACAAGAATACAGCCTCTAGCTTCAAGAATGCAGAAAGGAGCGACGGTTTCCGGATGAAATGGATCTGAAAGACTTCGCACTGACTCGCGGTGGTCGGGGCTCCAGTGACAAATAGACGCCCGCGATCGCTCGGTGTATCATTGATAGCACTTTCCAAAAAGGGATACGCGCCCACTGACGTGCGCACTGCAGCGCGGTCACGGTGCCTCCTCCTCCTGCCACAGCCAGACACGTCCATCTTGCCTTACAGTCATGAACTTCCAGTCCAACGAGCAGGTCACCCACGACAGAATCAATTTGGCTCGCCTAGTGCGAAGGCTAGAGAAGAGCGTAGCCGCTGAGGATTGGGACGCAGGACATTTACCACCACGCGCGACTTGGATCAAGACACAACAGACTCTCCAGGTGCGTAGATTGTGACCGCCGCACACGCAAGTAGAAGATGACTCATGTTATGGCTCCAGAAATTGAAGTACGCACGGAAGCTGCTGGACAACGTTGAGTTGCACGAAAGTGACCAGTATGTCTGGTGCAAACTCCGTGGACACAGAAGAGCCTGATGGTGTATTTCGGCAGGGATGCATTCCAGAGATACGCAGAACTTCGCGCGACTCTTGCACGCTTGCATAGCGTCGTGAAAGAGGTCGACCAACGTGTCACACCATCACCAACACGGCCGACGCCGATTCTACCGATCATACCATTACCCAGATCCACTCGGCCAGCACCTGTTCCATCCATACGTGTTTCTGAAGAGGAAGGACAACTTCAGACACGCTCCTCCGGGGATGACAGCACGGCGAGTGCTCACGACCTCCTGCTCTCTCCCTCAGACACCAGCACCCTGCTCGATTCCGCACCCGTCAGTGCCACCCTTCTCCCGGCCGACCCACCGTCATCCGCCGCACCAAGCGCGAAGCCCGCGCCCGCGTTCCTGCAGAACTCGTCCGCGCTCCAGGAGGAGCTCTCCGCGCAGCTCGCCCAGATGGCAACGCAGCTGAAGCGGAACGCGCTGCATTTCTCCGATGCGCTCGAGAAGGACAAGGACCTCGTGCAGGAGACGCAGGGGAAGCTAGAGCACAACTACGATGTAATGAGCAAGGAGCGCGTGCGGGTGCGGGACCACCACTCGAAGAGCTGGGGGACGACGTGGCTCGTCATGCTCAGTCTGCTGGTTGCGCTGGTTGGGTTCATACTCACTTTCCTCGTTATCCGTATCACCTAAGACACCTCCGCAATGGATCGTCTAGGCTCATGGTGCGTGTGGTATCCTGTGTACACTCCTCGATATGACATGGCCTTATGAACACCAGTCCTCCTGACGCAGATAGGCGACAGCGAGCTATTGTGCTTGTGGCCCCTGAATTAACCTGTGACTATGATTTCGTTCGGAATGGTGCTTATGTTCGAGTGATAGACAATGTGCGTTGCTTCCGGACCCCGCAACGCCATGTAGGTTGTCATCACGTCTCTGAAGGAGCTCTCCGTGTTCGCCCGGCTTCCACCCAAATGTCAGTTCCAACTCCACAGCCCACAGCAGTGAAGCAAATCCATCGTACATGAGTGTGCGCGTGGTATTGATCATACAAGTTACTGAGCAATATCCGCTAGTCCCGGTGCGCCGTATGCTATTCCATACTGTACATGCTTGCTATTACGTAGGTTACATGGTGAGTGAGTCCAATCATGCGATCATGCTGTCCGTGAAGATGGTATCCTGTACGCGGAGCGGGGTTCGTGTATCATTGTATACGGCATCGTCGCCATACCCGAGTGAGTAAAGGCATGTTCTCCGTGAGACCCCTGATGTTCTGCTCAGGTACTCTTGCAAGGTTTTGGCGCGGATCGCTCAGTTTCCGGTCCGGCGGAGCAAGACCGTACGATATCTAAGGCAGGCCCGAGTCGTAAGCACGAACATCCCTTCCAGCATGCACGTCATGGCATTGATATATCGAGAGGATGTACGCACCCGCAGATCAGTCGTCATATGTATCGCGACGACCTTGCCCACCGTCTCCTTCATGTTCGGGCCCATGACGAAATACACCTCGTCGCCCAGCTGTGTATACCTGAATGAGCAGGCCGCTGATCGGGATAAGACAGGTCGCACGGACTCTGTATCTCGTGTGGGCGTCGAAGTTGGCCGCCATAGTGGGGGTCAGCCTGAGAGCAGCAGTCGTGGGCTGTCCGCACGTACGCTGCGCATGGTGTATGTACGTGCCCAACCCGGCGTGCTGCAACGTCATCCTGCGCCCCGCAGCTGCCTCGTTTGCGCGGTGGAGAGGGCCTGGCCTGAGGCCGGCGTCTCAGCTAATACGGCCGTGACTTAACCCGATCGCCCGTGCCCCGTCCCGCTCTCGAATATATCCCGCAGTGAAGATAGAAAATTTTATTCACAGTCAAGCCGAACCCAATATTCAGGTACATACCGGGCACCACATTTCAAGTTGAGGAATAGATGCTGAACATAAATCCCACCAACAGAACACCCAGGATCCAGAATAGCTCCCCGGACCATGAACCGGACAATACGCAGACCACAAAGGGTATATCAGCGCACCACAGTTGCTCGATGCGAGTGGAATGTTCTGGCCAGGGAGGCCGCAATCCGAGGGCAGGGCGCCGATGTACAAACGCGCAAGGCCCGCGTTCTGCCGCCGCACCATCTGCACCCGGGCCACATATTCCTGAATCAATCTTGCCAAAGCATCCGAGGCTCGAGCTCCCTGAAGCATTCAGAGATATCGCTTAGGGCAGGAAAACAAGCAATTGCAAATGCGAACCTGCGTGCGTTGTCGCGGTTGATAGACCCGTCGAAGAGCAGCCGCGGGGACCTAACAAACGTCCATGTAGGTTCAGCTTCCCGCTTGGAAGCAGACGGCCAATCACCTACCCCACGTTGGACGCGGACCTTGTGAAGTTTTGTAGATGGGCGGTAAGCCTGCAGTGCAGAGGCCGACACTGCTGGCTGTATCAGGCGCCGCTGACTATAGATGTGGACCGTTGTACGCTGCGATGCCGTAAGTTGTTAATTTGCGGTCGATCGGTCCTAGCGGGCAGTGCTACATAGCGGCCGATACTCTGGTCCACCGTGTTCGGTCCGTTATCGACGAGGAAGCACAGTGTCACGTAAATGACCCGGAGATCTGGGCATGCATTGGATCCGGGGAGTTGAGTAGCGATCGGACATGATCGGGAAGGTACGGAGGTGCTCACCTTGTACATAGGGACACAGGCGGCACCAGTCGCGTATGGAATAACCCAGAACCTATGTTTCAACTTCCGTTGTCCGCGTAGTGTTTGACGATCGCCTGGATTCAGATAACAGTCAATTGTCGAGTGATTCTGGGACAGTCAGCAAATCGCGCAAACGAGAACTCAACACCGGATTGAATTGTCTTCCATACGATGAAGAAGCAGCCTGTCGGGTACACGTAACATAAGCGATCGTGCTTCCTGTTCTCTAGATCAATGGCATAAATGCGCTCTCGGAGAAGTACCCTTTACGTGTGCACGGGAGAGTATTAGAAGCCGTCTACTCGAAGACTTGAGCCGTCAGTGTGAGTTAGTTGAGCCAGCTCGGGTAGTCAATGCTGCCTGAGACTTCATTTCAGCCTGCATCGCAAGAGTCGAGGAAGATCCTCACTTCAACCAATGGGCCGGTAGGCATTATAGCGATCAGCCGCTCCGACTGAGTATGCGAGTAGTAGAATAAGACGACACATGCGTGGGCTACACCCGACAGCCAACGTAGCTCGGTGCACAGGGATGTTGTCCCAGCGAGGGCGACGATGCAACCTGTGACGGCCAAACCAGAAGCGTGAAACCAATAGGGAGGCCGTCATTACGAGGAGGGGGTGGGTCCTCTTGAGTGTACGTCGCACGCCACCCACGAGCATAGGACGTTCATGCCGGCGGAACCGCACGTCAGTGTACTTCATTCAATTTCCCATTCCCATCGAGTGCAATGGCGTGGACTCTTCCCTATGTCGTCGAACGCAAGCAGACAGACCCAGGGCGGTCGTAGCATAAGCTGTAACCGGGCATGTGGAAGAACCGGGATAGCCCTAGTAGCTATGCGAAAGAAGTGAACAAGCGGCACGTAGTTGAGAAGGGGTGGACCACGCTTGAGAGATACGAAGGTCATTCTTGAGGAGGATCAGAGGGTGGCATGAGATAGACCACACAAGCACTCGAAGCCTAGAACGCCAGCAGCGCACTCCACCTGTCGCAACACGTCTGTCACTAGCTGACCAATGGCACTCTATGCTAATGCATACAGATATCAGTGATTCTGGACCGATTGTGAGAGAACACGACGTACCGGCGACGCGCTGCGGAGCTGTGTAGCACAGACTGCAGTCACTTGACGATCCCGCAGACTGATCACAGCAATACAACCAGCTCAAAGCCCCAGCTTCCCCGCGCGCGTCCCCGTCCGCGCGTGAGAAGGCGAGAAGGGGCACGGTAGTGTGTGGGCGCGCCGCATCCGCTCGAGTGCTTCTGCGGGTGCTCTGGGCCAGTGGGACTCGAGGATGTGGAGCACCTTCGATCCAAGGCAGGCTTCCACGGCTTCTTCACGAGAATCGCGGCCCAACGTCGTCGTGATCATGACGGCCAGGCCAGCGGCAGACCAGGTCCTCCGGCCGAAACAACTTGAAGGCGCGATATCTGCTGACCGTAGGCAAGACGCAGGCGTCCTGCCCGGTCATGAGGCTAGTCCTGCACACGTGATGATTGAATGAGGATTATCCTGTGCGACAGCGAGAGCGAACGCACCCGCGCAAACACCGCGTTGCGCGGCGGCACACTGCTTTGAATTGTTTTTGAAGCGCTTCTGTCAGGACCTGGCCATGGACGGTGTTCCGCGGAATACCCTCTAGTGCTACCTTGGGGTGCCTGGGAGGAGCGCGTCTGACTGTCAAGCCCGGTAAGCACGCTAGAAGCCTCATCATTGAATGCTAGTAACACGACCTCGAAGCCGCCTGCAGGGACTAGGTAGTCGCTCTCAGGCTCAACCTGCACACTACTCACCCTAGGTGCGCCTAAGACTCAAACAGGCGCCATTCGGACGCCTCGGCGCCGCTGGATCCCTGGTCGACCGGAATAACGAGGTCACACAATGCGATAAGTGATCGAGAAAATGGCCCATGGGTATCAGAAACTGCAGGGAGCAGGCCGGGCCCGGAGCGATCGTGCCCGGAAACGGGCTGCGCGGAGGCGGTGCTGCGTCGAACAGGCGGATCACAGAAGGCTTTGTGGAGATGAAGTCGATATGACGGGAAGGGCGTGCTCGATCATAGAGGCCGAGTAACTTTGGCTGTGCGCATCGTACTACGCGGTACATGATGTTAGTGTCCCATACTCCATTCGCATAATAGCTCGTAGCACATACACACGTACCGAGGGGGTGAGTCGGCTGTTCTGCCACGCTGTGTGTGCTCTATTGCTGTCCAACTTGATGGACATCGGTCAAACGGAACCTCCGCGCATGTCACCCTTTGTGAAAAGGGCGTACCGATCAGTACGTATGCGTACGCGAAGCTGTTCAGATCTCGTAGACACAGCTAAAACGGCGCGTCTTCAAATGCTTCACGCGTCACTGGCCCGGTCACCGGTCGCCCTCTGCAGAGAAACAGTACTATATACGTGGAGCCTGAGGGAGTTTGCCCAGTGGACACAGCAAATCGCGCACAGACTACGCATGACTGGTACACCTGCGGGACATAAGCCATTGAGTGGCATCACCTCCACCGGGTCGATGTCACATAACTTCTCCACCGTCATGACGCCATACGTTGAAGTAGTACGCACTCTACTATACCACGCGGAAACCTACATCAGAGTTGTGTCAGGCATCTGCCGCATAGGTTCATAGGGAAATTCAACATCCAAAAACGAAGCTGTCCTGGGCAGAGTTCATCCTAGAACCGGGTACCGACAGCGTGGTTCATTGGCAGCGAGAGAGGGACGTCCGCCATTCGCCCGCCCAGCCTTAATACCTAAACGCACCGAATGGATGGCGTGCAGGTGCCTTCAAGGTTACGTCCGCTTCATCCTCAGGTCGTGGCTTCGCGTGCGTTCCGTCGCCAGAGCCGTATGTAAACCTCGCAGGCTATGCGAACTGACCCCGAACGCACGCGCACCTTCGGGAAGCGGAAGGCCGTTTTGAATTTGCGTATGCATACGAACGCGGCCTCCTGCGTTCTATCACAGATAGACAGAGAGGGAGATGAGCGACTCGCCGTCACGGATTCGGACGTCAACCCTATTTGCTTAAAACGCACCTCAGCTATGTATGGAGGCTTGCCATAGCGGGGCAGCACCGCCAAGTGGCCCCGCCCGCGATAAGCTCCTGCATCTCTTCCTTTCGCTACGATCCGGGAGGCGATGTGGGTACTTCTGCGCAATGATCCTCGCGTGACGGATGCGGTACTTGGGCGATTTGTCCGTCGCCACAGAGCACGTCACACGCGTCGTGCTCGGGTGTCCCGCTCGCACAAAGGCGAGCTATACCATGTCCTATCGCGGTGTCGGACGTGTGCGCGAGCCGGTTTCGCGTATGGTTCACCGACCCTTGTAGGCGCGAGCACCGTTCCGGAGCTTGTATAGCTTTGCCAGCATCGTCGTAGTGGAAGTGGAGACCGGAGGGACGTTCTGTCGTTTCAAAGGCCATTGACAGAGGTGTCCGTCCCATAGGTAGGTGGGACTCTCCTTGCCACAGTGACGTGCCGACACGTTTCTGCGCAGTGATCATCGACCTCTGGCACCATGACCGCTGCGGGAGTTGGGCCATTCGCGCGTCGTGAGGCGTGTTGAACGCATTGTGCTCAGGTGTCGCATACGCTCCAAGACGAGCTGTATCATCTCCTGTTGCGCCATAAGAGGTGTCCGCGAGGTGTTTTCGCCAGTCGTACACCGAGCTTCAAAGTCATCCGGATCTTGAGTGGAAAAGCTAACACCGGTGGTGTGTTGAGTGGAAGTGGAGACCGAGGAGGCAATCTGTTCATTCAGGGATCAGGAGACACGGTCATTGGCATAAAGGACACTGACGCTGCGCGGCCTGTGACGCAACCCGAGCACGGATCCCGAGATGGACGGATTGCAAAATTCCCGCCATGGCAGTCCCTGGTCTGAATCTGGTGGTCCCCACACGAAGATTGGTGCTCGGGTCGGGAGCAGAAGCACCCACGTATGATCCACAGCCTGCAGGAGGTTCCTCAGCGCAACAGGCCGTACCTAAGTCATACGCGCGGTCCTGATCAGTACCGAAGCGAACTACGTAGTGATTTCGCCTAGGATTATCCCGTATACGTCAATGCCGGTACAATAATAGTCATTCGTCATTGCGCACGGCGTGGAACGTACGCTGGGGATACCCGAGGGTATTTGCACATGAGGGTAATCCGGGCTCGAGTGCCATACTCCACGGGGAGTACCCCTACCGTGCTCAGGCGAGGATATCTTCCAGAGTTTCGTCCGCTGATGAGTCCAGTACTCCAGTCTCCAAGCTGGGATGCGAGTTTCGAGTCATGCAGCGGGTGGCGTTCCGCGCAAGATCTGTGTAAAAAGCATGTCTAACCCGGTGTTGGGAGGCTGCATCAGCGGTACCCAGATGCTGTGTGTTCCATAATATTCCAAATAGACGTGCGCTCGTTGCTACACAGTCACCCCGCGTGAGCGCTGTTAAGCCGTCTCCGACTCGCACATCTGTTCCAATGGGCCATTTCCGGTCAACGGTCGTCATCGATCCCTCGATCTCCGCAGAAATCCTGGGGACCACAGAGACAGAGATACGCGCCTCGTCGCCGGGTCTCCTCGTCCATGTAGGTATGACGATCGTGCAGAATATTGCTGCCTGATCCTTGACGAGAACCAGGCGTTGGACGGCCGGCCAGGGCGCCGGACGACGCGGGACCAGGGCCTTGTTGGGGCACGAGGCGACTCGCGCCCTGTCAGGTCACCAGGTGACCGTAGTGCTGGCGGACGGAAGCGGACTGTTTGAGAACAACTTCCATGTTCTCCTTGCGATCGCAAGAGGCGTTGTTGAAGCAGTTTACGACATAGATGTTGTACTCGGCGGCGAATAAGGTCTGAGCGTACGTCGAACCCGGTGACAAGGTGGGCAGCCATAAACGCGTCTCTGTGTGACGGTCACGGCCGGCGAATGGCGAGGACAACGGATCACTGCAACCGCCGAAATTCCCACATTTTTGGGTTTCGGTGGCGGCGGTCTGGGCCGGGGCTCGTTGTCCGCTACCGTGATCGAGCCATCAATCCAGCGCCGCGGATGGTTTTGGGGTCCACGGGAGAAAACAAGGCCACCGTCCGGCCGACGCCGATGGTTTACAGGGGCCTTGCGTATTGTTTTTGAGCGAGCGGGACATAGGAGCAGGGTGCTCTGGACCGCTGTGGCGTCGATAGAGTGCACGTACCAAGTTAGGGTACGATCGTCTGGCGATATTTAATAAAGGCGACGTCAGTGTGGGGTGGCCGTTCTGCCGGCGGGGGTCCCGGGGATATTCACGAGCGAGGGCCTTCCGGGACGCTGATTGGCTGGACGGACGCCGTCAATAGTGACGCCACACAGGAAGGGCTGCCCGGCCTGGAGACGGGCGGCCTAGACCGGGAGAAATCTGGGGTTGCGGACGAGCAAATATGGGCAATTAGTACGTAACCGTATGCGCGTATTTGGGCAACGCACGGACGGGCAAATAGATGGGCGCAACCCGCTGTACGTCCCCTACGACCCCCACGACCGCCTACGGCCCAACCACGACCATCCCGGCCGCGACGACCTCAAGACCGGCGACGACGCGCACCGCCCGGGGCGCGTTTTCTACGCAGACTTCGCGTGTTGGCCTCGTGCATCACGTACGCATCGGCTTCGGACCCAGCGAACCGCGAGCTATCCCTCTTTGGCTATGAGCAGCAGTAACGCCTCGTTCTCTGCCGCCTCGCCCTCCTCTCCGCGCTATCGCGCTCATACAGAGACCGCGCAGGTTGGGAGAGCACGGTCCGTCACCTCGGATACGCGCGCGGGTCACCAGATGCGACGTTCTGGCCATGGACGGAGGGGCGGAGACAAGGCCCGGATGGACTGGGAAGATCAAGAAGGGAGGGCGAGTTCGTCAAAGGCACGGGAAGGCTCGCGGAGGGTTCGCACCCCGCACGTCGAGGAGGGCTATCGGGGAGATCACCCGGCGTCGCCTATCTCATTTAACGGTCACGGCCGTCACTTCTCGCATTCGCGCGCTGCGTCCGTTTCTGGCGCATCCCAACGGGCAGCAGACTCACGCTTAGCCTGGCAGCCAGACGCACACAACGCGGCGGAGGCGCTCTCGGTCGCCCGTACCTCGGGTAGTCTGCGCACGCACACACCTGTCCAGGTCCATCACGCCTACGCCCACGCTCCCCACGCACCTGCCGAGCGCAATTCCAGTGTCCGGCGACTGACACGTTTGGGCCCTGCACAAGTACCCGCAGCCCTCCACATTACCCCCGCCGCCCCTTCACCTTCTTCGTCTCCCCGCCCGCGCATCGCTGCATTCCCCCGCACTCCTACCCGACCCCCGCGCTCTGCCCCAGCCGACCGAAATAGGTTTGGCCTTCAGCTCTCACACTCCCCGTCAGTCTCTTCGCTTTCCAGTGCTGGCCTGCCCGTTACTGGCCTGGGACCCGCCTTCGAGGAGCCGTGTACGCCGTCGCCCTCCCCACGCTTGCAACAGGCGCGTTCTCATAGGTCAGTGCCCGTGTCTTGCTAGTCGGCTTCTGGATTTTCGCGCATACGCGGGTATGAGCTCGCTCCTGCGTCAGTCACGTCAACTCTATCCACCGCGAGTGCATTCCACGCGCAGCCTGGGTAACCGTTCTCTTGGATCGGACGCGTCAAAGTCTTTTGACACATACACTGCGAGGCGCCTTCGGCCAATTTGGTGTGGGCTTCTATAGCTCCAGCGTTCCTTTCCCTCACCCGCGCTTTGCCTTTGACCGCCGCGTGCCTCCCCCGTTCTTTCACTCTCTTCACTTCATATATATCATCCCTCCATGGTCTTGATACGTCCCTCTCCCAGTTCATGCGCGCTGACATCTCTTACTACAGAGCCACGCCACCCCCTTCACCCACGTTCCTCATTGCGCGTAGCATCGCAGCACAGCGTGCACGCCCAACCCTCGCCATGTCCATGCAGATCCACGCCCCCGCTCCCATCATGTCGACTTCTTCACGGTCACTATCGCCTCCCCTGCGTCAGTGGCTGGACCTAGTGCGCGTGGGCGCTCCCAGTCGAGAAGACCGACTCGCGCTCAAGACCGGGCAGTCCTCTCACGCAGGCAGCACAACTGCAACCACCACAACGTCCACCCATAATGGCAAGGCCATCAAGTCGTCTGAACGTCTACTTCGGGACACGCTCCGACGTGCGAGGAGCACGATCGCATGCTCTACGTCCACCCGCTTCCGAGCCCGAAGCTGTCTGGGGTGTCGCTCCCCGGCTCGCCGTTCCTCGCCCCCACGGGCACCATGCTCCTTAATGGCAACGGAAGCCCTCCGATGAGCTCGCAGGCAGCCGGCGACACAGCCGCAAGAACACCGCATCCTCGGCGCGAGCATCTCGTGCGACCTCTGCGACCTCCAATTCGACAGCATTGGCGCCTCCCTCATCGAGCAAGACACGGACGACGAGGAGGCGAGTCCCGCAGGTGGTCCATGCGCACGGGCACCTCCGCATCGTCATCATCCTCCGGCATGGGCACGTCCACGGCTACTTCCAGGTGACGCCGGCGCCGCAAGGCCTGTCGCGGACGCGGAGCATCACGCAGAGCAGCCGCACCAGCGCCGGTGCGGGCGACCGCGCGTACTCGGACTCGGTCGCGCAGGCGCAGGTTGCGTACGGGACGCCGAGCTCGCCTTCTCCTGCTCGCGCGCACTTGCAGCGCTCGGCCCCGTCGGCGCCGCCGCATGTCGGCCGAGCGGCCCACACTCAGAGGACGTCGCCCGAGCGCTCGCCGGCGGTGCCCCCGCACGAGGCGGTGCTGCGAATAAGCTCGAGGGCGTGCTGAGGGGCGCGAAGGAGCAGGAGAGGAGAGAGAAGAGCTCGGAGAGGAGGTATAGGGGCGAGCCGGGGAGCAGCAGTGGGAGTGGGCACTCGATGGCGAGTAGTAGGAACCTCAGCGCGGAGAGCGACTTGTTCTTCGGTGCTGTTGGCGAGGTGAGTAGTTGGTTCGTTGCGTGCGCTGCGTGTGTGCTGATGAGGAGTTCGTTATGCAGTCGAGTGTCACGTCGCTGTCGTCGGCGGAGTCCAAGGCGAGCCCGACGGCCACTGCACCGAGTCGCGGAAGCTTCTCGGCGAGCCGGCCACAGGTCCTGCAGATCCAGTCGCGCTCGCCGATGCACTCGCCGTCGACGCCACTAAAGCAGCTGCATGGCTTCAGCTCGCCGCAGAGCTTGAGCTCGGCCAACGGCCTGAGCCCGCTCACCCCGCCACCCACCCCGCCGTTCAACGCGCGCACTGCCGCGGAGCAGTGTCGCGCTATGGATGGCTATGTCTCGTTCGCGAACATCGCGGGGTTGGGTGTCCCCGAGGGCGCGGTGGACGAGGACATGGACGAGGATGATGATAGAGGGCGCTGGTGGCGCTGGTTGACGGTGAAGAAAGGCAGGGGAGGAGTGAGAGCGCAAGTAGCATCGGCGTCGCATCTTGAAGGTCCGCCGCAGGCAGGCTGTCTGTCGGTCGACTGGACGACGCTGCGTTCGACGACGCGCTGGGACGCGACTCCGCACGTCGTGCTCGGCCGGCGACTCTATGCTCATATGCTCGCCCCCTCTCACTGCTTCATTCCATGTCTGTATGTCTTTGCAACTCAACATCGTCTGTCTCCCTGCATCTACATCTGCACCTGCCCTGCCCGCCCCTGCATCATCCATTATCCTTGTTCACACCCCATATCATGCCACCCGCACGCATCCCCCACATCTTCAATACATCCGCATCCGCATCAACTGCAACACCGTCCGAGGCCACCATCGATGTCCGCCAAGTTCCAACGACCGTGTCCATGTGCCTTCCTGCCCTTCAGCCCGCGAGGGCCTGGACTGCAGTGCGCTAGGCACTATATCTGCCGGCTCCACTCCAGCACGCACCAAAACCGCCTCAGCTTGCACGAGCTTATGACGACCCCGCGCGGCGGTCGACGTTTACGTTTGCATGACTTCAGTACGACGACTCCGGATCAGCATCTAGCGTTCTGTGTAGACTCCGAGTCCTATTTCTTTTTACGACCCTCGCTGCTGAGGCGGCGCGGTGCCTTGCTGTTCTCGTTGAAAGGTCGGTCAGTTGGTTGGTTGGTTTCGCCTTTGGGGGGGAGAGTCGGCTCGTAGTGATTTTGTCTGGAATTGAAGGAAGGAACATTGTAACGTCTATCGCATCGGCATTGTCATCGACACTATACAGTAGGGCACGAATATACACAGGCGGCGCGCTGCGCCGTGCATACTTACATGATCATGATACTGAAACGGGTGTGTGCTTCGCATGAGGTGTTCGATATGACATGGGAGGCGACGCTAGTCTCATTTGGAGGTGCGCGGGTGACCCGGCGCAGGGTTCTTCTGGGTATAACTTACTGATATCGTCCGCATTACAGAGTTTGGTTGACGAATCGCTCCATGCGTATGCAATGTGCTTGACACAACTTTGCTGAGGCTATCCATCGCGGCCGCGTAGGGACGGTACTGCCTAGGTACTGCCCACGACTCTGCGCCTCATGATGTGACGAGACTCTGCTAGTCGCACGACGTTGCTGCACCGGCCAAGACTTCACAGAGAGTCAAACGGTCTCCACACTCGCAGCGGACGCATCAGCTGCTGCCCTCCGCCGGAAGGAAAGCGGTCGAGAAGTGCGTCCTCTGAATTGTCGGCGAATAGCCAGAAGGCGAGCCACACACCGTTCGAGAACGCCCTCCCGCGATTCCGAGAATCCCAGAATCTGTGTGGCAGGCTAATGGGCTGGTATGCCGTAAATCGGTGACGCCAGAGCCTGCGATCCATCTCATGAGAAGCAGCCGGCGGTGTGTTGAATGCGGGATGGGCACCGCCGTTTGGGCGAGGTTTCGCGCAGCTCGTGGGAGAAGGGGGACTCTATTCGCAGAAGCTCAGGTAGGTAGTGACGTCGCGGGGCACATGGCGTACATACTCTCTTCGAGTGTCTTCACGGTGGAGTGCTGGTCTTTCCGGTCGGAACGGGTCCGCGTCGGCTGCCGGTCTAATGTGATAGTTCGCACTGCACTAGACGTAGATACATACCTTAGACTACGGCGGGTACGAGCCCGTTGAATGGCAAGATCATGGTCAACTGCTGGCGACGTCGGCGGTGATTATGTCCAGACGCGGACGTCCGTAGATCAAAATGAATATTACATGTACTTGTGTACCCTGAGGATTGGACTGCTTAGGCCGTAGACTGTCCCAGGTCAGTTGCTAGCTATCTTCCTTAGGCTCTATTCGCTTCAGCTGAAATGGCGTCACTGAGAGTAGTGACTCACATATGCAGTGGTTAGGTTCACGACGTCAACTGCCCAGTAATTCGGAGAATCTCTGGTGATCGATGGGATTCAATGCTTCTGCTACTAGTAGTATAGCAGCACAAACTTCATGGCGGATGTGTGTTCGTTTGAGCAGCTGCCAGACCTCCAATACAGGTGAGCAGCACGAAGTTGGAATTCCCATCCGTGCCTGCTGATATCAGGCTGTTTTGCACTCGGCCTGGGCTGGCCCACCTCGTACTACTTACCTTCGGTAGGTCCAAGCACCACGATGTGTCGTGGAATATTGTGTCGCTTGTCACCGAGTCGCGCAAAGGCGAACATAGTGACCAGATAGAAACTCCAAACCAATTGTCCCGAGTCTCTAATACACCTAGATTGATCGACGTCACTAGTGCAAATCGCCGACCAACACTGGACCAGTTGTCGCGCTGACATCCCAATTATTCGGCTTCAAGCAGCCTCTTCGATGGGCCCCTCCAGACACCTCTGCGGGCCGTCGGTGGTGAGCCAAAAGCCCTGAACGGCATCTCCTTTGGTGGCGTGCAAGTCATCATGACACGAGCGCCAGCGCCGATGGAAACCCGAAGATACGTCCCCAGTTCTTGCGTCAAGCCTTCCAGGTACGTGTCGTACTTCGCCGTGCTCGTCGTGAGATCTTCCCTGCTGTAGCTGATGCTGCCAGTGCCGAAGTTGATGCATTCGAGCATCAGCCGGACGAGTACGTATGGATTCAGCCGGTGCAGAGCTGCGATGGCCTCGTCCCAGCGCTTCCACTGCTCCTGTACGGCCACGAGGTCTTCACCCCGCGACCCTTCGGCGAGGTCGCAGAACATGATGCGGAGTTCGCGGAACTCTGGGGAAAACTTGCTGGACAGGATTGCCAGTGCATCGTCTTTGCGCAGAATACTGCCGACGCGAAGTTGGACCACCAACAGCCTCTTGAGGCTGGAGAGGTCGAGGATGGGAGCTATCGCAATCACATAGATGTCAGGGATACCCCTTTCCCGCCACATGCTCTGAACTCACTTGGAGGCCTCGTATTTTCCGGCTCCGTCACTGTGATGTCTTGCAGATCCAGCTCGACCATGTCCGTGAAGTCAGTCAGGAACCTCCGCAGCATACCCCGTCCTTCGAACCACACTGTCCGCAACACCAAGGTGCGGATTCGCGGTGCCAGAGCGTGGATGCTCATCCTAGCCTTCGGTGGCATCGCAATGTAGAGTCGAAGCCAGTCATACCAAGGATTGCCCTCCAGCCCGCGCGGAAGTCCCTTCGCCCAGATCACGTTGAACATCTGCAGCGTATCGACTCTGATCAGTTCCGGGACCACCTGAGGTAGCTTGTCGTCGAGCCACTGAGCCTGTGCAGCCGCGTCGGGTTCAGCATGGAAGAACGCACTCCGCCCGAGGTTCAGGATGCTGATGTACCGCAGCGGGTGCGTGCAGTGATGTCAGTTAAACTGGATCAGCATGGGTACATTAATGTACTCAGGATCAGCTTAACTGGGTACACTAATGTACCCCCCTTAAGTCAATCCATCCTTAAGTCGAAGTTAATCCCCCATTAAGTCATGATCAGGCTGTCAGATCAATAAAGGGTTAAGTTAATCCTCTGACCAGCAGCCACATACACCAATCTCAGGCTACACTTCTCACTGATCCAGTACTAATCCTACAAGATTAGCAATGCTGATCCCATACTGATCCTATAGGATGAATATATACTGGTCAAGCATCTGTGTAGTCTAATCCTGGATTAATCCTATGGGATTAACATATATTGATCCTGTGTTAATCCTATAGCTTTAGTGTCCTCTAGTCCTGGGCCAAATATATACTGGTCAAGCATCTGTGTACTCTAATCCTGCATTAATCCTATGGGATTAAAATATACTGATCCAGTATTAATCCTATAGCTTTACTCTCCTCTGAACCTGGGTTGATCCTATTGGATTAACATACAGTGATCCTGTGTTAATCCCATAGGATCAGTATACTCTAATCCTACAACAATCCTATGGGATTAAAATAGACTGATCTAGTATTAATCCTATAGCTTTACTCTCCTCTGAACCTGGGTTGATCCTATTGGATTAACATACAGTGATCCTGTATTAATCCTATAGGATCAGTATACTCTAATCCTACACTAATCCTACAGGATCAGTATACTTTAATCCTACACTAATCATCACCCACCAACACCACGGAGACTCGTATGAGATGCTACTGACGGCACATCAGTATACTTTAATCCTACACTCATTTTACAGGATCAGTTTACTTTAATCCTACACTGATCCTGGGTCTCCTCGAGTCAACCCTCCCAACCTTGAGCACGACGACTCGGTATTTTCTTCCGGCCACTCGTCCTACATCACAAGTAAGGGCGGTTCTAAGGGATTGAACATTGCAATACTTACTTCACCGGCCCTGTCGATTTCGGGTTGGAGCGCGTCTCAACTTGAGTCGACCCCACACTCGAGCTTCCGGCTGCCGCGCCGCCGGCGGTCCTCTTCGACGGGGGGTTGCGCGACCGAACCCTTCGCGAGCAGAGTTACAATATAGGACCAAAGACATGCTGAGATGCTTACTGTTTCGCGTTGTCGGCGCCCTCGCTTCCAACATCCGCCTTCGCCTTTCCACTAGTGCCCCCCGTGACCTTGCGTTTCTTCTGTGCTGCAGGCGGATTGACCGGGTCATCCAACTCGCTATGGGAGTCATCCTCCCGGATCTTGCGTCGCGAGTGGCGGGTTTTCTTGCGGGTAACTGCACAATAGGTCAGTAGAACAGATGACACAAGATTACCACGTCAAATACCTTGAGACTCGGCGTCGTCCCCGTGCGTAGTCTTCTCGCCCGAAGTCGAGGTCGGAGACGTCGACGCGACTGCGGTGAGGCCCGACTGCTTGGCTTTAGCACCGCCATCGCGCCGTTCATCCCGCTCGCCGGGCTCCCCAACAGCTGCCTCGTCCGAGTCGCCGTCAATACGACTGGGACTGCGATTGCGTCGCGGTGACGCCCTCCTCCGGTCACCGTACTCCTCGACCTCTTCTTCTGAGGAAATGGCGTCTGCGGACATCTCTTTGTCCGGCGTGGCGGGTACCTATCACCCATGTGACTATGATTTCCTTATGAAGTCGATGAATCGAGGGCAAGCTGACCTTTCTCGCCTCTGCCCCACCACCAGACTCATCCCTATGCTCTCCCACTGCTGCTCCGCCGTCAGCCTGAGCCCCTCGTGGAACATCTTCCGGCGGATGCACAGTGGCGCTCGGGCCACTGGATCGCGAGGGGCCTCCCACCGGCGGTCCTTGTGCGTCATCGTCGGCGACGACGTCTTCGAAGGCGAAGCCGCGGCCCCCTTTCTGCAGCACCTCGATCTTACCCCACAGATCCCACGCGAGCGCGGGGCTCACAGCAGACGGATTGCTGAAATCCGGACTGGGCCAGCCCAGAGCCGTCAGGCGCGCGGACATCACAGCCGACGAGAACGATGGCACCGGATCGAGGTTGCGGTGCGCGTACGCTGCGATTGGATAGTGAGTCCGATGAGTGACTGGTCATACTTGGTTGTGAACTCACCCCAGCTCGCACGGAAGTAGGCATGTAGCGTCTCGAGGAGCTGGATGCCGGTCCATTCGAGGCGAGTCGGGGGTAGCACTGGTCGTCCTTCGACGTAGGTAATACCATGTTCTAAGCCAATCTTCGGAGGCGCTGTGTGAGCCTGTCAGCATCGTGCTATGGCAGAGCCAGTCCGCAGCACTCACGAAGCACGGCATGCGCGTACGCGATCCATTTGGTTGTTTCCTCCGGCAGATCGCCGGCATACTCCACGAAGCTCTCACCGTTGAGCACCTCGCCGACATGCAATCTATGTGTTCGTGGTCAGTGACCGAAGACCGTGGGTGGATGTCAACACTCACTGTTTCAGCTGGATTTGCCCGTTAGCATCCCTGTACGCCACGCGTAGGAAGTAAATGACGTCGCCAATGCAGTGCACGCCATATCCATTGGTGCTCTGCAGAAGCCTCCACAGTTCGTCCAACAAGTCTTCCCGATTTCTGCCCGTTACCGGTCAGCACGGTCGTCGAGAACCACAGGAGTGAACTCACTGCTCCATGGCGGGGGGTATGTCCTCCGCGGTTGGTGTTGACGCCTCCTCGGCTTTGGTAAACCATGGTGCCCTCTCGGCGGGCGATAAGGCGATGAACAACTTCCTCCGCCATGTCGCCAGCTCGCCTCCGCGGCCTTCTCGGATCGCCTCGTCCGCTGCGGCCCTAATGAGCTCCTTATTTGACGGCACTTCAGCCCAAAGCTCGGAGGCGCCCTTGGCACGGGTCCTCTTGAACAGGGTCGCACTTCTCATGTTGGGACCACCAGTCGCGGGGGTCGCGGACGACGCGGAAGCGGTGGCGGCATCCGCGACTTGCAGGCGGTGGCGTTGCTGATAGTTCTTAAAGTACGTGCGAACGGCCTAGTCCAACAGTGAGCAGCGATACGATGAACCATGGGGTGTGTTTACGACTCACCTCGAGACGTGTCGGCGCCCCAGCCTTCTGTATCCATTTCCCTGTGGCCTTGACCTCCTTTGAGACCTTCTCGGCGTACTCGGTTCGACGGTCCTGATCATTTCCAAGGGCGAGCCAACCGGGTCCCCGCTCCAGCATGAACTTCTCGAGGTGCATGCGACGCCACTCTGTTCGATTTTGGCGGACAGTCGTCTCAGCAGCCTTGCCTTCCCCTTTGTTGATCGCGTCAGCGGCTTTGGCTTTCCCTTTTTCGACCTTCGCACGCGCAGCGAGCAGAGGTTTGTCGCTAGGCCTAGGACCTCCTGCGGCGGGCGGGGAGGTGGCATCGTCGGGGGGATCGTCCTCCAGTGCAATCACTTCGGGACTATCACGCGTCGAGTGCGCAGAACTGGAAGCCATTAGAGGTGGGTTTGTCGTGAGAGAAGAGAGGCAATCGACTTAGCTCTTCCCCGTCGGGCCTTATGGTTCAGCAGGTGCTCGGATCGCCGAGGGAATCTGTCGAGCGTGGCTAACCCTCTGATTGGGCCCTGCGGCGGTGTTGGTAGCAACTGAGACCGGCGCAACAGAAGCTGGAATTGCGACCGATCTAATCTAGGAGTGTGCCTCGGGGGTGAACAAACTTGGCTACGCTAGTCCATGAGGACCTCGATATTGTCATCAAGGACTTCCCAGACTTCCCAGGCTCCGTCGGACTCCTCCTCATACTCCTTCGCCCGCTCCTTTCCCTTTCGGCGTTTGCGAAGCGTGATGGGGTCGTCGTCGCGCTCTCTCTTCCTCCCCAAAGAGAGCGTCCGACGAGATGAACCTCCCACCGGTCCGGAGCTTGGTCCGGGGCCGGAAGACCCCTCCGACGTCATCGGGCTACTAGGCACATCTGAGGCGGCTGGGGTCAGCAGCACACGCCCGGGAGAGGAGTACACGATCGCTAGGTCGTCGTTGCTTCCTGACGACAGGTAATCCGCCGGGGACACGGGCGAGTTCGCGATCTCCTCTTCGTCGCCGTCGAGATCACCCCCCATGTGTTCTAGGAGAGAGGGCAGAGGCGGAGGCGTGAATTCGACAGGTCGGCCTGCAGCGAGATTGACAACGCCTGGGCAGTTCACTACGTCTGACGCGCGATATATGAGGACCTCCCGATAGCCGACATATCGCTTTTCGTGAGGTGGCGGACACGTCACGAAAGCGCACCGAAGGGCGTCGAAATGTTCGAAGGGTATCTTCCTTTGGCGAGGCTTGATTCCGAGGATGTCGCAGGTAATCGGCTGGCGGAAGCGGACTTCAAGCCAATCACGGTCGTAAACGCTGACGAGCAGGGGACAGAGATGGGCATGTCCGCTTCCTACGAGGAAGTCAGCTCAACGATCCAGGGAGGCAGGGTTCACGTACCTTCATGTAGATATAGCAATCCACCATCCCCATGCGCTTAGGCGCTCCCTCAGAACGGCGAGGGCGGGCCACAGTGCCCGCGTGGTCCGAGGGATGTTCACTGAGGTAGACTGTGCCCCCGAATCTAGCGGGCGGGTCGAGGGCTGCCACGCGAGTGCGCATCTCCTCAAACTTCTCATCGGTCATCTGCGTCGTCGTGGGCTTGAGATGGTTGGAGCATCGAGAGCCTTTGGGGGCGGTGCACTGAAGCAAGCTAGGGATGAGGACCGGCACGTGCCGAATGAACTACACACTCACCACGCAGAAGATTTTGCCAACGGTGGCTGCAGTCGTGGCCCCGTAACTGACGATTGGGAAGTGCGGAGCCTCCTTGTAGCCAGTACAAGGCAGGAGACCGCCCCACTGGATGTCGGCAGAGGGAAGAAGGTCGTTGACGATGGCGCGGACTCGGGGATCACTCGGTGCCATCTTGCGGAGACAGTCGACGCGCAACTGTCTGCTTTATATGCATTCCTCTTACACGGCTTCGAGGCAGAACGGCTATTCTCGTGAGGAATTAGTCAGATCCAACAACGATAGATGAGAAAAAGCGGGCGTTTGCCCGGCGGCAAGTGGGGTTCCTGTTTTGGGTAACCTGCAGCCATAACCTGCAGCGAGAGATGTTGTCATTTCCGAGCCCCAGAGATGCTATTTACACGTGTACTCTACGTCCCATGTCATTACATTATACCCAATGTTCCGGCAGCGCGACAGGAGGCACTGGGAGGCGCTTGAAGACGTCAGTGAAAGTGCGCACGTAGAAGTGAATCGCGCTGCGCTGCACCGATTGAAATCGCGATGCAGGGTAGTCGAGTATGTCTTCGTGTATGCCCTTGAGCTCCTCGGGAAGACCCGGCCAGCGTGCCATGACACCGACAAGCTCGGACACCGTGGGGCGCGCCTCGCGCCAACCAGTCTCGTCAGGACTTGCCCATCGTGCGCGAGTCGTCTCGCCGCTGATACGCCTCTAGGCTATCTAAGCCCCGAAAACGCAATCTAGGCCTCTACAATGCTCCGAAGCTCTTAGAAGATCCACTACAACTGTTCGAAGATTTCGAAGTTCGTAGCCAACCCTGGCTCACCTTAGAAGACTATCCACGACCTTCCGGCACCTCAGTGACGCTATAGGAGCACCTACCCACCTATCTAGACGACCCCAGAGCACGCAGGTCACTCGAAGATACACTATGTGTTAGAAGACACTCGAACATGTTAGAAGACGTGCTACGGTGTTAGAAGATCTCCTGCGAGACCATAGGATGCTACAGGATGTCCAGTGAGTCCTTGCAGGTCGTCTCACATCCTCGACGAGTGGTCTCGGTTTCCGGCGTCATGTGATAGCCGGTCGGCCTTCGGACCACTGGTTAGCGAGCCCGAGAGCAGTTGTCACGTGTTAGAAGCCATAGCCGGATGTTTGGGGCCGTCGGAGCTCCGTAGTGGTAATAGCCGTGTTTCCCTGTATATACTCTGGGACTGGTTCCCTTCGAATGGGAGAGACCCCTTACCCTCTCAATCTCACCTCGCACCGGCGAGGTTCGTCAGTCAGCCAGTACGTTCGAAAGTCAGCAAGTTCGCCAGTCAGTCAGTACGTTCGAAGCCAGCCAGTCAGTTCGCCAGTACGTTCGCCAGCTCGTAGTTGCCCCGAGAGGCTCTACACTTCTTCTCCTGCCGTCGCTCGCCTTCCTTGTCACCGTTCGTTCGACACGTCTGTCGAAACTCCCCCTCCTACCTTCGAGGCTTAGCCCTCGTCTTCGAACAGTCTTCGACATCTTCGAAGCTCTCCCACGTCGTTCGGAGTCTTGTCCGTCCTCCTCCTTCTTACCTAGACCACTGTACAGTCCCCCGTACATCTCATAGACTCAGAGGCCTCGCATACCACTGCTCGACCTCACGGTTGGGTTTTTGTGTGGCTTTTGTGTTCTTTTCGGTCGCGTCATCTTGGAGCCCACCGCGAGGGGGATATAGAGCAAGATTCCGCCGCGTCGGAACTTCGAAGTCAACCCTGAAGACTACCGAGACTACGAAAGTCCTCTCCTCGCACTCGCTATCGACAGTAGACTAGGTCCCCGATCAGCCGCCGCCTTTCGCAGGCATAGCAACCCTCTCCCAGGACCTTCGACTATCCCCTCTTCGCCCGAAAACGTCGAGCTTGTCCCCGATCACGACAATCCGGAACGCTCCGTTCGAGACCAAGTGCCTACTACCCCATCCCATTCCAGACGTGCTCGAAGACTCTTGCTTGCAGACGACTTAGAGGCACTAGTCTTCGGATCCCCTCTACCGCTTCTAACACCATCACCACCTCTCGAAGGAGAGGAACCCACCAGTCGTAGAGTGTCGTCAGTCCCTCCAGGACCAGAGCAGTCCGCGCCGCGACGGACTTCGACCGTCGACACCCCTAACCCTTCGAACACTTCGACAATACCTTCGAACATTTCAACAATCCCTTCTATCGCTTCGCCAACTCCTTCTAACACTTCGAAGCTGAGTCCAAATATGACCGACGCAGGAACACCAGCCTCAAAGGCGGCTTCAATGCCTGCACGTGGACACTCCACTGCACCTGTCTTCGACGAGTCAGAACCTTTCTCATTCAACTGCTTTTTCCAAGACCTCGAAACACACTTCGCACGATGCCGAGTTACCGACGACTCCGACAAGAAGTCATGGGCAGTTCGCTACCCTCCTATCCGCGTCTCCGACCTATGGATGATGCAGCCAACATTCAAGGATGCTACGAAGCCCTACGAGGAGTTCGTGACCGCCCTACGAGCACTCTATCCTGGAGCTGATGACGAGCACAAGTACTCGCTTGCTGATCTCGACACGGTCGTCCATGATCGCATAGAACTCGGGATGACCAATGCCCTCCACCTCGCTGCCTACTACCGCGACTTCTACATGATTTCGGAGTACCTGATCGCTCGAGGTTCGCTTTCGACACTCGAACAAGATCGGAAGTTCCAGCAAGGCTTTCCGAATACGCTCTGGGGTCCCATCGAGCAGCGCCTGTTCATGCGGAACCCTGACCGCTCTCGAAGGAAGCCCTGGACGTTCGCAGAGATCTACGAGTCAGCACAGTGGGTGTTAGATGGTCCTACACCAGCTTTGACCTTTCGGCAAGCTCGTCCCCCTATGCCTACGACCACACCCGCTGCGTCTATCCTGCCATCCCCACCTGTGACCACGAAGTCCGAAGACCTCTTACCATTGCTACAGACGCTGATCAAGACCCTCGAGGCCCAGCAGTCTCACAGCCGGTCACCTGAATTCTCGAACAGTCGTGACAGCCCTCGGTGCTTCTATTGCGGACGTTCGGGATGTTGGATCGGTGACTGCGAGATGTTCGAAGAAGACAGGAAGAAGGGCCTGTGTCGACGGAACCCCGATGGCAAGATCGTCTCGTTCGACAACCGCTTCATGAGTCGCCGAGACAGCGAGACCCTCCGAGACGCTATCTACGAACATGCACGTCGTTCGAGCAAGTTAGGACTCAGTTCGTCGTCTTCGAGTGGTTCAGGCAGTGCTATGCAAGGCGCTACAGCCACGCAGTTGCTCTATGAAGCAGTCGAGAGTCCGCCTATCCCTACGCATGCCCTCGACATTGGAGAGATGCTAGCCTGCATGGACACCCAGCTATCACGGTTGACGGAGATCTACGCTTGGGAACAGCGTAAGCAGACCGTTGTCGACCGAGTTGTCATCGAGAAGCATCCCCTACGCTCGAACACCCACCTGGCTGATCAACCACTACTACCCATGACGTGTTCGAAGTTTTCGGAGCGAGCCCCAAACCACCTGCCATGTTCGAAGACGAGACCAAGTACCCCAGCGCCTGCGCCAGTCGTCCGACCTACCATCGACACCGAGAGTCCCGTTTCCCATCTGCAAATGTTCGAGACATGACCTACGCACCTCCTCCCACCCAACGTTTCGAAGCGACCCCTACGAAGTTCGAAGCGAGCCCTCGAAATTTCGAAGCATCTCCCACGAAGCGACAGAGCCGAGCCAGCTTCTTTATAGCACAGCCCCCGCCCCAGCTTGCCGAACTGGCTGTCGAGTCCTCATCGAACACTCCGTGTGTACCATTGACATCTGAAGAGCTTCGAAAATTGCCTTTGTACCTTCGCGACCGATACTGGGCAGCACTGACACCTCGGACGGTGGAGCGCAAGACGAACCAGGCGTCTACAAACACTGCAGCCATGGAACCACTTTCGAACTACAGCCTTATGATCGAAGACACTTCCCCAGCTGTCACCGTGTTAGGGGACCTTCTGGAGGGCAGCCTTACGTTAGAAGAGACTCCTACGTCTTCGAAGTCTTCAGACATACGACCTACATCTTCGAAATCTTCGGACAGTCGACCTACGTCTCCGAGATTGTCAGATGACCAACCTGCACCTCCGAAATGTTCGGACTATCGACCTATGTCTTTGAAGCCTTTGAACGGTGATCTCCCCACGTCGACGGAATCTTTGAGTGCTCCTACGACATTGGACACTCCTCCTATCTCTCCGAATGGCCAGATCATGCCCCTACGTCTCCGAAATCTTCGAACGGTCAAGCCATGTCTCCGAGATTTTTGGACTATCAACAGATGTCTTCGAACAATCTCTCTACGCTGATGGAATCCTTGAACACTCCTACGACGTTTGACACCCCTTCTATCCCTTCAGAATTGCAACACCACGCTCCTACGTCTCAAGAATCTTCAAACTTTCGAGCTACATCTCTGAGATTGTCAGACCACCATCCCAGGTCTACGAAATCTTCGACGCCTCTTATGCCATTTCTAGAATCGTCGAACTGTCCCCTCCCATCTCCGGAACCTTCCGACCTTCCTGCTATGCCTCCGAAATCATTGGATGCTTATGCTTACGCTCCGAAAAGTTCGGACTATCTTTCTGCAACTACAACGCCTTTGGATCCTCCTATGATGTCTACCCCCACTCCTTCGATGTTACCAGACTCTGCTCCTACGTCTTCGAAGTTACCGTGCGCTGTGCTACCGCCAAAATCTTCGAACACTCCTACGATGGATGGCCTGTCACCTCCACTGGCTACTATGTTGCCCGAGCATGACGAGCAGCCCATGCTTCCCTCCCCGCCCCGCCCGTCTCTTGTATCTATCTCTGCGCTGACCGAGGACGGTCACAATTTCAGTAAGGGGGAGGATCACCACAACCACTTGGTAGTACCATCACCAGACACGCCTCGAAAGCTAGACCCACACCTCGAAGACGTCGAACATACCCTATTGCTCTCGCAACCAGCAGGTCCACCCAAACACGTGTCGAGAGTCTTCTACATGTGTGCGGTGCTGTTCGTCACTGCCGCACTGTTTTTCGCTTTTGGAGACAATCTATGGCCATGGGATCGACGTGGAGTGCATGAACAACAACTCCGAACGTTCGAAGACACGTACCTAGTCCTACCACCCGACATGGCCCCAGACCCAACAAACCTAATCGTTCGTAGAGTGAATACCTTGCGAAGATGCCCGCTGCACCTCGGGGTGAGCCTGAGCGTTACGAGACAGTCAGGGACCTCGACTTCCTTCAAGACGACCTAGAGCAAGCTCCGAACATGTCAGTCAGGCAGTCACCCAATGCGAAGACGAGACCTCGCTATCACGGCCCATTGGTCGTTCAATCACGCAGCCACGCACGTCACAGTGTACCGCTGGCTAGAGAGAAGGAGAAGGAGTCTACGATGTCCCTAGGAGCCTCCGAACACTTCGAAGATGCATTTGACAAGCTGGATGCAGACAGTGTTTTGTACGAAGACAGCTAGGGTCTTCTACGGTGCTAGACGAGCTGTTCCCGCCGTAGGGGGCAATGATACCACCCAAGCAATCCTTAGTTCACGTCCTACCTCCATTTCAACCATCCTCGCCTTCTACCGACCCTGGAGGTCCTCTACGGAACAAGCACCCTTCATTGCTATACCCGCTGACCGAGGACGGTCAGGATTTCAGTAAGGGGGAGATGATACGCCTCTAGGCTATCTAAGCCCCGAAAACGCAATCTAGGCCTCTACATGCTCCGAAGCTCTTAGAAGATCCACTACAACTGTTCGAAGATTTCGAAGTTCGTAGCCAACCCTGGCTCACCTTAGAAGACTATCCACGACCTTCCGGCACCTCAGTGACGCTATAGGAGCACCTACCCACCTATCTAGACGACCCCAGAGCACGCAGGTCACTCGAAGATACACTATGTGTTAGAAGACACTCGAACATGTTAGAAGACGTGCTACGGTGTTAGAAGATCTCCTGCGAGACCATAGGATGCTACAGGATGTCCAGTGAGTCCTTGCAGGTCGTCTCACATCCTCGACGAGTGGTCTCGGTTTCCGGCGTCATGTGATAGCCGGTCGGCCTTCGGACCACTGGTTAGCGAGCCCGAGAGCAGTTGTCACGTGTTAGAAGCCATAGCCGGATGTTTGGGGCCGTCGGAGCTCCGTAGTGGTAATAGCCGTGTTTCCCTGTATATACTCTGGGACTGGTTCCCTTCGAATGGAGAGACCCCCTTACCCTCTCAATCTCACCTCGCACCGGCGAGGTTCGTCAGTCAGCCAGTACGTTCGAAAGTCAGCAAGTTCGCCAGTCAGTCAGTACGTTCGAAGCCAGCCAGTCAGTTCGCCAGTACGTTCGCCAGCTCGTAGTTGCCCCGAGAGGCTCTACACTTCTTCTCCTGCCGTCGCTCGCCTTCCTTGTCACCGTTCGTTCGACACGTCTGTCGAAACTCCCCCTCCTACCTTCGAGGCTTAGCCCTCGTCTTCGAACAGTCTTCGACATCTTCGAAGCTCTCCCACGTCGTTCGGAGTCTTGTCCGTCCTCCTCCTTCTTACCTAGACCACTGTACAGTCCCCCGTACATCTCATAGACTCAGAGGCCTCGCATACCACTGCTCGACCTCACGGTTGGGTTTTTGTGTGGCTTTTGTGTTCTTTTCGGTCGCGTCACCGCTCTCCCAAAGAGGGATCACGCGAAGTCCGGAGCCGATCGCACTCCAAAGGCGACACACCCGCCCCTCGCGCTCCCATCGAGCCAGAGTATCCCAGCCCCGTGAGTGCGTCAGCTCGGCATCGAGTGCTCGCATCTCGCAACGCCAGTTAATCTCGTGGACCTCCCAAAGGACCTGCTCACGTAGGGCACGCTCTTTCGCACAGTTCTCGGTCACGACAACGTGACCCCATTTTGGGGTTAGGGCTGCAGTGTACGTTGGCAGACCCGCGCTGTGTCCGAATAGACGGCGTACGTTTTGCTGGATTTCCCTACGCTCCTTGGCCTTTCTCGATGATTGTTCAGAGGATGCCTCAAGAGTTTGAAGCCGGTAGTCCCCCAGAGCGCGTCGCGCCATTCAGAGATGCGTAGGGGCTCGGCGCCGACCGTGCGATCGAGGAGGCGCTGGCGGCAGAACTGCCGGATCCGGACGTAGTTGTGGTAGTAGCGGTTGTATTTGTCGCCGGCCCCTTCAAACAGGAACGGCGGGGGCCAGTAATACGTGGCTGGCGACGGGGGCGATGGCAAAGTGCCCACTGCGGCCATCGCGTGTGCCCAGACGGCCGGAACATCACATGCTTGCGGCGTCTGATAACGTAGCGAGGGGTGCGGAGGAGGCAGATCCTTCGGCGGCGCCCTTTTCCCCCGACGAGTACGGCGTGATGAGGGTGGGGGTGGTGCCGGTGGGCCTCGATCAAGATGGAGATCTGCTTTGAGCTTCTTGGACGGCCGAGTTTCGGATCCACTACCGAATGCGGTGATATCGTCGCTCGGCAACGGAGGCAGCTTGACGTCGAGGAGTGTTGTGAGGACCTCGCGCTGCATCGCAAACGGCCAGTCTCCAGGGTGTTGAACGACGCCGGCGAGATCACCGCTGTGGCTGTGCAATCGCGGCTGCGACAGCTCGTCCCTCATGCGCGACGAGATCGGTGTAGGGTACGTGTGCACCTCGACCACACGCACAAGGCGGGTGAGCGTCTGGATGAACCAGACAGGGATCCCAAGCCGGAACAACACTTGCGCAGTTCCGGCGTCACTAGTGAACGCTCCACGAACAGGCAGTACCTTGGTTGCGACGAAGGCGGGATCGAGTGCGCGTGGCTGAACAATCTCGGATAGTACGATGAGACCGCATAATTCAAGTGAGAGGCGCTTGACGTGCGCGGCGAGGGCGATGGCATGAGCCTGAATCATGGGTAATATTGATAGTTGATCGAGGGCCTGGTTGATCGTCGCAATGAGATGTTTGCCGAATTTCTGGTGCTCCTCATGTTTTGAAATCGTGGACATATGATACGTGACGCCGATGTGGCTGGCTACGCCCTTCAGCAGCATCACGGTGCTTGGCTCAAGAAAGCCGAGATCCGGGACACCACACTCTCTGCACGGCTTCCATTCATTCCAAGGAACAGGGTCGTACAGATCTTCCGCAAGGAAGTTGAGCCCGTCTAATCTCCCTCCCTGCACCGGAATGCACGCGTGATGCAGCACTCGTTTGTGATACAGCTGGGGCCACAGTGAGTACTCCTGCGGGCCCCAGCGACCGTCAACTCGCGTGCAGATCTCGCCGGGTGACGCGACCGGGAATTCCGGCATCCAGGTCGCGTTGGGGGTCGTCACCACCGCTTTGTCACTCATATTCCACGGCGTCGCCAGTCGCCCGTCGCACCACTTGATTTTGGGGTCGGAATCTGTTTAAGCGGATGAGCACGGTGGCAACGATGAGATGGGACGTCGTGCGCACCAAATAGTGCGGGAGTTTCCATCAGTTCCACGTCCTGGACTTCACCCATTGCCCGATCACCTCGTGTGCCAGCGACTCCTCCATTCTCAAAGCGTTCCCGCGATGCAAGCGGCATGAGCCCCGCATTTCTCGCATATCGCTGGGCGTGGGATGACCGGTCGGGGTGAGCCATCGAGTCCGAAGACACCGCCGCTGCTGTCGTGTAAGTCTGAGGGGTGACATATCAGTGATGACCGCGAAGTGCTTGAGCTTGCATGACGCACATCCTTTCGCCTCTCTCAAGTCCCACAGGGCTACGTCCAGCGATTCTTCACGATGTTGACGTCGACGGACACCAAGCGACAGGGGGTAACCCCCTCTGTGCGCGCAGGCGTGGAAAAGAGGGGCTGACCTGGGTATAAAACCCTCAGTCGCACCGCTCGATGGAGGCTTGAGAGCGTTGGGGTCGGGTTCGGGCGCGTTGTGGTCGTTTTGAGGGGTTGAGGTCGCGCCGAGAGCGTTGAGGTCCCGTTGAGGCTGTTGAGGTTGTCTCGAGGGCGTTGAGGTCGGCTTGAGCGCCGTAACGCGACCTGGAGGACGGGTATACCAGCGTAGGGAGGGAAGCGAGCAGGATTAATCCGGATTAGGGGATCGGATGAAGGAGGATTTGAGCGTTGAGCGCGGATGAAGGTGGATTATAGCGTTGAGCGCGGATGAAGGTGGATTTGGGGACTTGAACCAAACGGGAACGCCACGACAGCCCGCCTGTCACGTGCACCTCTCACGCGCGCCCAATAGGCTTTCTCGACTTTAACTTAATCCCAACTCTAATTCGACCTAATCCGGCCCTACTCGTACTCAACTCTCTCGTCGACAAACCTCCAGGAACAGCGACAAGTCAAGAGACGGTAGAGCGAGGTGGCTCTACGGCCTACCTTTGCCCCCGTTCGAGGTCGACGCGCTCCCGCAGAGTCTCCGGCGGTCGAGGTGTCCCTCTCTCGCCAACCAGGACAGTGCGCAGGCCGACGACGACACCAGCCTCCCCACTACAGCTCTCGCCTGACCGCCACGTACTTCCCTGACCGATCGACTCCCAATCGCCTCAATGCCGTGTCGCACGCCAGACGTGCTATAGTCCGCCCCGGCTCGTGGTATCGCCGTGCCGGTATCATCTCGTTCTCGTGCACGGGAGGCCCTGCGGTTCATCCCTCGCACTCTAGCATCTCCTCCGCGAAGGGGGACGACGTGTCACTTCCGCGCAGATGGCGCATGCCACCGCACCGGTGAGTGCGCGATCCCTGATGCACGCACAAGACATCCTGGCTGACCTGCCTCCTTCAGAGTGTCTCGCAACGGGCTGGGAGGGATAAGGGGAAAGACCTGTCATAGATGGCTGATGACACGCGAAGCGGTGAGCAGTGCAATGACCCCTCCACGGCTGCCGTCTGACTGGCCTGCGCAGTGTCATCACTCATGAAGGCCCCAAGGCAGTGGTCCCTTCGGACCCTCGGAATTTGGCCGCCTCGTCGTCACGCAGCCCGATGGCGTCAATTGGCGCGGCGCGATTCTAATTGCGGTGTGATACGCCCCGACGTCTGCCCGATGCGCGATCTGCGCAATCCCACGCTTCTTCCCAACACGATCACCGAGCAAGCGGACATTGGGAAGATAGGATCGGGAGGTTAGGCGGGACCTGGCTGAGCTTCGGATGCATCGCGTAGTGTCTCGAACTGTAGTGTCTCGAAACTGTACTGTATGCTCGCGTCCCGCTCACGCGTCTCCCATCTGCGAAGACATTTTTGGGCTCTTGCGCCCCCATCTGCTCACCTACTCCTTTGACCCCGCGAGCATGGCTCCTCGACACGGCCGCCGTCCTGCTATGCACGCTGCCGACATCATCGCGCCTGCACTCGCTGTGTCTGAGTCACTCTATGTCTCCAGCGACGGCCGTACACATCACAGCCAATTCACCCAGCATCACGCGGAGACCCCCGTTTACAAGCGCGCGCATCGTTCGAGTTCACCGCCTCCTACGCTCAGCAGAGGTTCGTCTAAGGACCCCGAGCTCACGAACAACGGGGACTTGGCACAGTCCAGTGACAGCGCGACGGCAGAGCCGGTCGTGGAGCCCAAGCAGCAACGCTCGGTGAAGGTATGTTCGCGAATGAGGCGTGTCCCGAAGACCACTAATGCGAGACACCATAGAACGGAGTTTCCAAGGTCCTCGAAGAATGGAAACCCAGGTTACCTGATATCCTGGAAGATATCCTCGCGTCTGAGGTCCCTGCGAACGTCGGGGAACTCTGTGCATGTGGCCAGGCGGTAGCTGCTGCTCGATGCCGGGACTGCCTCCAAGGCGATCTGCGGTGCCGACAGTGCCTTGTAGATGCGCACCGCCTAACACCTCTGCATTGGATAGACGTCTGGAATGGACGTTGTCTAGAGAAACAGGACCTATCTGAAGCCGGTCTCGTCCTCTGGCTGGGTCATAACGGGCATCGCTGCCCGTATCATCGCGCAGTGATCACCCCCATAGTATACACCGTCACTCACAGCAACGGCATTCACCGCGTCCCCATCCACGAGTGCCGCTGTCCTGATGCGCGCAAGACTGTGTCGCAGCTCCTTCGCGCCGGATTATTTCCCGCGACTCTCGAGCGCCCAGAAAGCGTGTTCACGTTCGACGTGCTCCGTCAATGGGACATCCACTTCCTCACTTCGAAGAAGGGCACGTACGACTATTTCGAGGCTTTGCGACGGCTGACAGACAATTCCGGAACTCGAAAAGTCAAGGTGTGACACGCGCTCGTGTTCAATGTGCCCCTCACTCACACTCCTTCAGAACCGATATCGTGAGCTTAACCTCGCCGGTCGGCTTTGGCAACATCTCACCGCCCTCAAACGCTCGGGCCTGCATCACAACCTAACCCTTCCCAATCGAGCCGCATCGATCGCCGTCCCGTGTTTCGCCTGCCCATGGCCAGGATTCAACATGCCTCCGAAATGGCAGGAGACCCCCGCCGACCTCAGGTGCGTACGAACCACGATCCTATTGCTAATGTTTAACTGATATCTATCTAACCCAGCTACATACATGGGTGCGAGCTCGGAGGAGATGGTAACCATGGCCTGCAGAAGAAGCGCAAACACGACGATCCCGCCGACGTCAGCCTCTGTGAAGGCCACGGATTCTTCGTTGATCCCACCAAGATGACATCGTACCTCGCCGAAATCGAGGCAGAAGCCGCCGTACGTCTATGAATCAGAATTTGCTACGCTACCTGCTGACGTAGACCCAGCCCGAGACTTGCAGCGGCTTCAAAGTCGCCCGAGCCCAGCGGCCCGGAAAGTTCCGCAACCTCGAGGTCAGCGGCGTGGTCGCTGTCATCTGCATACGACACGGCTGCTTCAGACCGGGTGCAATGGTGGATCTTCAGAAGGGCGAGAGGTGTGTGAAACCAGTGACGTCTTTCGCCGTCCTGACATGGATATAGGTATGGACATATGGACTTTGCTTTGGCGGGCGCGCTCGCAGGGATGGATGACGTCCTCAACTTCATTTTCACGTACGACGTTGTTTGCATATACAGCATCAATTTGCGGAACCGCTTCGGCAAGCGCTTCCCACATCTCCTCCCCTTGCTCGACCGCATGCAAATGCTTCTGCCGAAGCTGCACATGCTCGCCCACGAGGAGCGCTGCCAGATTCTGTTCGCCCTCTGTTACTCTTGGGGAGCCGGGCTTTCGCATGGGGAGAGCGTCGAGCATCCGTGGGCGGAGCACAACCAGGTCGGCCTCAGCACACGCGAGATGAGTGCAGGCCATCGTCATGACGCCCTAAATGCCATCCATAACTTTTGGAACTGGTGCAAAATGGAGACGGCGGGTAAGCCATCGCTTCGTCAAGACCACACTCGACTGACAGGGAGAAAACAGGTACATATCTCGCACGCAAGCTGAAAGAGGCGTTCAAGTTGCAAGACAGGAATATCGCTCTGTTCGCTGCGTTGAGCGACTTAGCTGGCGACAAGGTCCACGACTGGAATAAGATCCACCACGCATCTGCCGCGCCCTTCGAGAGGGCCCCGCCCGCAAATACCGCCGCTCGCAAACGCAAAGGCAAGGGCAAAGCCAAAGGAAAAAAGCGAGCCAAGAAGGCGAAGGACGCTGTCAGTAGCGTCTACATGCTAGATGAAAGCATCGGTACGCAACTCACCAGCTGCCTTGCGATCGGATCAACGTTGCTCACTTTCAAATAGTACCCAGCGCGGGAAAAGTATACGACGACCTAGTGCAGCAAGAAATCAGCGCGGAAGACAAGTTCACGGCGGCCGCAGCAGATGGGGTTCCGCAAGGCACGACGAACTACTTCAAGAAGGGTCTCGACCTAGAGAAACGCCAGTAAGTGTTTGGTACATGCATACCCTTTGCATCTCTAAAGCCTCTCAGGTTCGAACTCCGTGTGAAGGTCAAGAAGAGCCGTTCCGCTGCCGGCGCCGAACTTCTCGACGACGAGGACACGCTGTTGTTGGGGGTCACCAGCGCACGGCGGACACTCCGGCGGGAACTAGATAAGTGGCGGGAGCTCCAAGCCTCTCTCATGCCTCACATCGAATATCCCGATGCCGAAGCCGACGAGCAGGATCCCGACGACGACGACGACGAAGGCTCTGGCACTCCTGAAGACGAGCCGCTCGCACTGCCGTCCGATTTCTCTCACTCGGAGCGAGAGGACCTCGGCCTCCAGGTCCTCGCGCTGTTCGAACGCAGAATTCGAGTCGGCCATGCCTACGACCTTCTCGACGCTATCAAGCAATCATTAAATCATCAAGGCGCATTCCTCCTCGACAAGCGCAAGCACGCGCGAGGCCAGAAAGACAACATGCGCTCGCAGACACAAGTCAACGCTGCCGTGGCGCGGACGCGAGCCATGGCTGGGCTGTACAACTACAACCGCGATCGCCTCATTGCGTTGAACTGGGACGAATCGGATGTCTTGTTCACTATCAACTTGGACCAGGACTTGAAGGGGAAGAACTGGCGAAGCCCTCGACAACTGGGAGACAGTCGTCAGGAACCGAGCTGGATATGGACCGTGGTCCCGCCATGGAGGACTGAAGCGGAAGCGGATGCCTGGCAGCTGGAAGGTAAGTGAAGTCGAACGCAAACGATCACAGCGTTACTCACGACGGATCAGTCGATCGCGTGCAATGGTTCCGGGCAAGAGCCGAGAAGGACCGGGCGAATGAAGAGGTCAACAAACTCCATGCCGAATTCAAGCGAACGATTCTTGGCTTCAAGAACATGTCCAACGCATGGCAGGCCGTGTCCACGAAACCGGAACTGTCGGAGGGTGCACGTGTGTACGCGAGGAAGAAGGCGGACATGTTCAGCAAGCTAAGTCTGCAATGTGCCAATCAGTTCGCAAGCACAAGGAGGGACCACGAAGACAAATGGGATTATGCACCCGTGAGTGACTGGTGACTGAAATGACCAACTGCTAACCATCAGGCGTCGCCATAGCCGCAAATCCCTGCTAGATCACGCACAGAGGACGTCGCCGACGATAGTGCGCCACGTCGGCGGTGAGTATGGTCGATGCAGCGAGCGACATCATACCCTCGCCTACGTCATGCCCCTCGAGTCTCGACTATGCCCGAACGACCGCCTAGCAAAGCCCCGTCGACGACGATAGACTACGTTCCCTGTGCCTCGCGCAACCCTGGCGACGCGTACGCAGCGAGAGACGCTCGCGTCCACCGACCACGTCATGCAACGTGGCGGGCCACGAACACAATGCCTCGCACAACGAGTAGGACCCGGCGGCACGCTACGCAAGCGAGGGGAGAGCAAACCTCGTTGCACATGTGTGAGCATGTCTACTCCTCCACGACTGGTCCAGTTGTCTCCTCTGTGCAACGGACATGCCTGCCAACGTCTCTGGCATCGCATTCGCCTTCACTGTCTTCATCGCGCTCGTGCGTGCGCCATGCTCCTCCACTTCGTGTCCTCAGACTCACTCGTGTTCTCCCTCGCCCCTCGCTCCCGCCGTCCTCCGCCTCGCGCGGCCCGTGCGCCGATCCGACGTGATATTCGCATTCGGTCACTGTTGCATCCCACTCGTGCTCCCTCGCCGTGCCCTCTCGCGTGCTCCCTCGGACCATCGTGTCCTCCGTAGACCTCGCGTGTCGCATATGGCTCCCACTCGCACCTCACCGTCAATCCTCGCCTTCTCGACCGCTTTGTTACGACCTGTCAACAAGGCACTGGCACCGTAGTGACGGGCTGGTGTTTGGGTGCATAGGGTTCTGTCAGTAGCATCTCATACGAGTCTCCGTGGTGTTGGTGGGTGATGATTAGTGTAGGATTAAAGTATACTGATCCTGTAGGATTAGTGTAGGATTAGAGTATACTGATCCTATAGGATTAATACAGGATCACTGTATGTTAATCCAATAGGATCAACCCAGGTTCAGAGGAGAGTAAAGCTATAGGATTAATACTAGATCAGTCTATTTTAATCCCATAGGATTGTTGTAGGATTAGAGTATACTGATCCTATGGGATTAACACAGGATCACTGTATGTTAATCCAATAGGATCAACCCAGGTTCAGAGGAGAGTAAAGCTATAGGATTAATACTAGATCAGTCTATTTTAATCCCATAGGATTGTTGTAGGATTAGAGTATACTGATCCTATGGGATTAACACAGGATCACTGTATGTTAATCCAATAGGATCAACCCAGGTTCAGAGGAGAGTAAAGCTATAGGATTAATACTGGATCAGTATATTTTAATCCCATAGGATTAATGCAGGATTAGAGTACACAGATGCTTGACCAGTATATATTTGGCCCAGGACTAGAGGACACTAAAGCTATAGGATTAACACAGGATCAATATATGTTAATCCCATAGGATTAATCCAGGATTAGACTACACAGATGCTTGACCAGTATATATTCATCCTATAGGATCAGTATGGGATCAGCATTGCTAATCTTGTAGGATTAGTACTGGATCAGTGAGAAGTGTAGCCTGAGATTGGTGTATGTGGCTGCTGGTCAGAGGATTAACTTAACCCTTTATTGATCTGACAGCCTGATCATGACTTAATGGGGGATTAACTTCGACTTAAGGATGGATTGACTTAAGGGGGTACATTAGTGTACCCAGTTAAGCTGATCCTGAGTACATTAATGTACCCATGCTGATCCAGTTTAACTGACAAAGATGGTGCGTGGTGTACGGTGCGTGCAAATTCGCGAGCGTCTCGCAGTCCTGCTCGCAGTGCAGGTGCGCCTGCACGTTGCGGAAGATGTGCACGCGCGTGCAACATAGCCATGCGTGGCATGTCAGGCTGCAGGCTTCTAACGAAGCACGGTCGTTCCAGAGATGGTCGATGGCGCGATCCCACACTTCGAGTGGTAGGCGCGGCGGCATCATGGCGAACTGCAAAGCTTCTTCACCGTCAGTATTCTTGTTTGTTTGTTTGTTTATTCCATTTAGTGTCACTGAGGGCGAAGCCCTATGTAGACATGACGTATGCTACTCTCGTTGTGTGTATCGTATGGTCCGTGGTCGCTGAGCATCGCCGTTCGCCGGAGCGTAGGGCAGGTATAGTACTAGAGTGTTCTGTAGTGTAGTGAGAGAGCTGAAATGAAATGGGAATGCGTCGATCTGAAAGGGTTGTGGATGTGGGGGGGATCTCGGTTCTCTGCGTGTCGGCCGCTGTTCATCGTCAACGCGCCCCCTGGGCGCGGTCTCTCGCCTTCGCATCTTTCAACTCTAGGTCTCCGTAGGCGGCCGCGAAGCGGCCGGTGTCGTGTATGTATCGGAAGAGGGGTCTCATGGTGCTCGCTGAGTTGAGGAGATCTTTCATCGAGCGGGCGGCTGGGCCCGCGTCGCGTGCAAGTTGGTCTCGCTGTTCATTGAAGGCGGGACACTCCATAAGGTAGTGGTACACCGTCTCGCGTGTGGTCCTGCAAGACGGGCATGTGGGAGTGTCCTCCTTCTGGATCCTAAATAGAAACTTCTGCAGCGGGACGTGTTCGGTACGCAATTGGATCAAAATACTCGCCTGCCTCCGGGGTAGCCTCTCCGCCACCTTCCCATAAGTCTTCGACGGCATATCCGGGTCGATTCGATCCATCCGTGCAGCCCGCGGAGACGCCTTCCATTCCTCCTTCGCCATCCGCGCCAGTCTCTCGTTCTGGGTCTGCCTAACCCTGGAGAGACTCGCTGGGAGTGTCCCCTTCAGCCAGCCCGGGAGGTCCTCGACCGGGCTGCTGTCTCCTCTCGCCGCCTTCTTCGCCTCTACGTCCGCCAGCTCGTTCCCCTCGATTCCTTTGTGGCCTGGTACCCATCTTAGGGTGAGGTCTACGTTCGGGTGGCGTTTCTCCAGACGTCCAATCGCCCGTAGGAGGTGGTCAATCATGTAGTGTGCGGGATGTGGCTTCCGGTTCTTCGACGCGTGGAGGCACGCGAGGTTGTCCGCCGCTGCTGACGCTTTCGCGCACGATAGTTCCCGGTGGAGCAGCTCGACTCCAAGGTTAAGTCCCACGATTTCGCCCTCGTATACCGTGTGTTTCGTCGAGGGACCTAAGTGGTATCGAAGGACTCTGGGTTCGCCTTCCGGCATGACCAGGACGGCCGCCGCTCCGACTCCGTCATCGATGTCTGAGCCGTCCGAATATATCCTCCACCCATCCCTCCTCGCCCAGACCTTTTCCTCGTCTGCGGCATCCTCCTTCGATGGCGCTATGGAGATCTTGAAAGGCGGTCTCCAGCTCGGGGGAGCCGTACCGCTTCTATGGTCTCTATCTCCTCGGGTTCGAGCTCGTATGCTCCTAGGACTTCGTGTAGGGGGCTGCGATGTTTCTTGACCCAGCACGAAGCTTGTTTGACATGACGGTGGAGGGGGTGAGAGGTGGGTAGGGTGCATAATCTGGTGGCTTCGTGCATTATCATTTTATCAACAAGCAGGTGGAAGGGAAGCAAGTTCAAATGCGCAGTCAGGGAGTCAGTGGGTGTCGACCTCATCGCACCCGATATCATCAGGCATGCCTGTCTGTGTACGCGTTCGAGTTTTCGGATCACTCCGACTGACCCATAGCGTCGCTTTCGGTCCTCCATCTGCCGCTGTGGGACGATCCATATGCTCGCCGCATATAACATCGCGGGGATGAGCATCTGTAAGTAGAGGGTCTTCACATGCTTCATAGGTATCCCATGCTTCGGGCGCGCAAGACGACCGAATTGCAGCAGCCAGGTCGTGCCCTTCTTCAGGGCGTACTCTGCCTGCTTTTTAAACCGCAGCTTGCGGTCTATCCACACTCCCAGAAACTTCGCGTCCGCAGAGGGCTGCACCGACCCATCAGCTAGGTTTAGTGCGGGTCCCATATCGTCTTTGGCAAGTCTCGGGTCAGCGTGCAACAAGCACAGCTTCGAAATTTCGAATCGTGAGTTCCTTGTCTGGGACCACTCTTTCGCGCCGCCTGCGCGCTCCATGTAGCTCCGTAGCTTTCTGCACGTCGAGTCTAGGTCCTTGCCCACTGCAATCGTAGCCACATCGTCAATAAAGCCGAGTGCAATCTCGCCGTTCTTTGCATTAGCACAGTCCAAGAGCACTGAGTTGTATATCTTATACAACAGCACCGAGAGCGGGCAGCCCTGGTCAATCCCACTCAGGATCTCGAACAGGTCAGACACGAAATCATCAAAGGTCATGCGCGTTTTGCGCCCCTTCAGCTTCTCGCGTAGCCAATCGACCACCTCTTTGGGTACTCCTCGCATCCGGACGTCAGTATTCTCATAGTCACCGAGACGACAGCGAGAATGCTTACAGGAAGGCTATCCAGGATGTATAGACCAGATCGGTACAAGGGATGACGACGCTCTACCGAACAAGGTTAATGGGAGCCGGGCCCAGAGTTGAAGGAAGTACTCAACGAAGAAACTGATCGACAGCCTCTTGTCGAAGTTTCCGCACCTGGAAAACCTGGTGGATAAGTAAGGTGGCCACTGAGGATGCCTGATGGTATGGAGGATGCCAAGCTTGAGGAGATGCTGAAGCTTCCTCCCATTTCATTCACGACCACCGTCTTGCTTATATCAACACCGTGGGCGCCTGATAGCACCAACATCGTGTCAGTCAGTAACGTAACGGACAAAGGAGCGCAAGCAGACAAAGGAAACTCACAACTCGTGTCGGAGGCATGGCAGAACGCGTGCACACGGACTGGCGAGACTCACGTCGACGTCAGATGAGAGCAATGGGATTCAGCAGTACTGAAAACTGCGAATATTGTACTATGTCTACATCAACATATTATTGGCTATGATACTGCGCACGTCCCCCAACCTACATGAACTCGTTGATTCATAAAAGCGAAATTTCTAGTCGACGTCCATCTCAGAAGGTCCCTGAGGCTCCTTAGGGGCCTCGCCCTCCTGCTGAGGCGGCTGCTGGGCATTGGGGGTCTCTGTGCCGCTCTTCGGTGTCTGCGTGCCCGGCGTCTCCACCTTTGGAGGCTTGGGCTTGGGCTTCGTCAGGATAGGCGTCGAGAAGTAGATGATGTCGTCCTTCTTCTTGAGCACGTCCGCGGCGGTGAGGACCGGGTCGACGTCCTTCGGGCGCTCAGACTGGCGCGCGATTTGGTCCTCGAGCCACTGTTGGATCGTCGCGCACCTCTCGACGACCGCCTGCTTGTCCTTGTCGTCGATGTGCGAGTACTTCTCGTCCGTCGACGTCGCCTCGGACATGTAGCGGTTGATCGTCTCCCGCAGCTGGCTTATCACCGCCGACCGTTGCTCTGTCTCCTTGTAGCGGTTCGTGATCGGGTCGCCGAGCTTCTTGAGCACGTCGAGCCGCTCGACGTACGCGGACTTGGTCGCGTCCTCGCCCTCCTCGCTGTAGAGCCAGTCCTCGGCTTCCTGGAGAGCCTTGAGGAGAGTCTCCTTCTCGTGCGCCTTGACGTAGACAGCATAGCGCTCGTCCAGGCGACCGCGCATGTCGTAGACGTACTCCTCAAGAGCGTTTTTGCGGTCCTGTGAAATGCACATCAGCATTGGATTGTACGCAAACAGCGGCAACACCGACTGACCTCGGTGTCCAGGACAAGCTTGTCGGCAGCGTGCATCTCGGCTTCCTGCTCCTTGAGCTTCTCGAGGATAGAAGGGTCCAAGGAGGTCGAGCCCCAAACGAAGGGGACGTCTACTTTCCTGGTGTTCTTCTTCTTCTTGGGCTGCTCCGCCCCCTCACCATCCACCTGCATTGGCTCGTCGACCTCCTCGACGACCTCGATGTAGACCTGTTCGAAGGTGACGACGCCGTGCTGGTTCAGGCGCGTACGCACGCGCACAGTCGAGTGGTCGCCATTCTCGTTCGGGCCGACGTCCTTCGCCGTGAACTTCGCGATCCAGGGGTTGATCCCGCCAGGAAGGACCGACGGGTCCGCGTACGCGACCTCGATCTCGAACGGCTGCTTGCGGTAGAAAGTGAGCGCCTTCGTCGACGGGAGCCCGTTGCCCTTCGGGAACACGAGCAGCTCATTGTCCTCGTCGGTCTCATCCGGCTGGCGCTCCCACTGGAACTTGACCCCGTACGACGAGATGTCGTGCATCGAGAAGTCCCGCACGCGGAAGATCGGCGAGAGCATCGCGCACGCGAACGTCGCACCCCGCGCCGCGGCCTCGTCCTGGTTCAGCGTCGTCATCAACACCTTGCCCTCAAACACCGACTGGATCTTCGCCCGGACCGCCGGAATGCGCGTGCCCCCGCCGACGAGCTCGATCGCATCGATCTGCTCCAGCGTGAGGCCCGATGCCGTGAGTGCCTCTTGGATGGGCGCGGGGATGCGGTTCAGCACGCCCTCGATGAGCCCCTCGTATTCCTCGCGCGTCAGGCGGGACGACGCGTCGATATCGTTCATGATCGACTCCACGTTCAACGGCGCCTCCGCGTTCGCAGAGAGCACCTTCTTCACCTTGTCGCAGCCTGCGGCGAGGCGGAACATCGCTTTCGGGCTCGACAATACGTCGATCTTGTACTTCTCTTTGAACTCCGTGGCGAAGTGCCGAACGAGGGCGTAGTCGATGTCGCGGCCGCCCGCATGGCGGTCGTACGCAGTGGCCTTAACGTCGAGCCGGCCCTTGGAGAACGCGACGACGGCGCAAGAGGTGGAGGAGTGGCCGACGTCGACGAACACGACATGACGGGGGTTGTCTAGCTCGGGCAGGTCAGATTTCGTGATACCGTAGCCGAAGGCGACGGCGGTCGTGTCGTTGATGAGACGAAGACAGTTGAGTCCAGCAATCTGCGCTGCGTCAAGCGTCGCACGTCGCTGGACATCAGTGAACCACCCAGGGACGGTGATGACGACGTCGGAAACGCCAGTCTTGAGCTCATTTGCAGCGATGTCGCGCAGCTTGCCCAGGTACATGGCAGTGAGCTGCGTGACGGAGAATTGCCGTTGCTCGCCCGCGTAGGTCACCTATAGAGAACAGTCAGTCCTTCCGATACTGACCAATTCGTACTAAGAATTTTGGCGTAAGCCTCCAGTCAATCCCTAGTAGGTCTCCATCTGACTCGTCATCCCATGTCAGACCCATATACGCGAGGCACCAGATCGGCACGATCGTATGTTCTGCACTCGCGAGCGGATTGCTCACGGGCAAGTACAATAACGGCATGACGGTGAATGCTCCGAGTCCTTGTCGAGATCAACGCTTCTCCACGCGATACATGACAGTCACCCAACCCTGGTGTCATCAGTGGTACCCGGGGCAGCACTATGCTGCTCAACTATCGGTTTTATTTCCCGGAACCCCTGCCAAAACCCTCGAAACGGCACTCGAACTCACCTGGACGCCAACGCTGCCGTTCACATCTAAGAGTGTAGCATTGTGGAACTTCTTCTCCACTTCATGGACTTCAGGATCGCTGAATGTACGGCCGATGAGCCGCTTCAGGCCACCGACGGTATTGCGGAAGTTGGAGGTCTCTAGCGTTTTTGCAGCCTCCCCAATTGCGCGCTGCTTCGGACCAAAAGAAACGAGTGATCTGCGATCCTGCACATAAGTATGTAGCTCACAACGCGCTGAGAGTTATCGACATACGGCGTGGCGCGATTTGAGACTTCATTGACAATGATATCGATTCCGCGGTGTCGCGCGACACCGATCTGCGGGAATTATCAGTATAAAAACATGACTATCAAGGTAGCTTGCGCACTTTGCTGTGCAGCGAACCGAAGTCTATGCCGACGACGGACATGATGGAGGTAGCGAAAGACGGAGAATGAGAGTCGTAACGCGTCGATCGTGCAGAGCACGCTTTTACGCGCCCAAAAATGCGAGCGATGGTGCGGCGCCTACGGGAGTTCGCCAGAGTTCGCCTCAGTTCGTCTGTATTCCAGGCGGTTCGTCGCTCTTCCAAACATGCAGGCGTGCAGGCCGGCGCGTGCATCGATATCGCGCGCATCGCCTCCTCGAGGCACAGACCACACTGTAACAACAACATTCGAGCTGCGAACGAAGTACGACAAACCCGAGTACTTGGAAGGTTTTTATGTAACGCGTGTTTCTATACACACATGAGGCAAACTTGCACATCACTACTATCTACCGCAGGTACAAATCTCGTTTCCGCGTCCGTCCAAGACACGCAGGAACAATACCACCTAATTCTATACCTGCCCACTAGGTCCGACAGGCCCACTCGTATTGGCCGTCGTTTCGACGGGCTTCATCGCAGGGAAGAGCAGCACCTCCTTGATGTCTGGTGGGATACCAGGGTGAGCAGCACGTCGTAACTAAAGCAAAGAGGGACGCACTCTGCGAATCAGTCAAGAACATCACCAGACGGTCGATGCCGATGCCCCATCCACCAGTCGGCGGTAGGCCATGCTCAAGCCTGGTGGAAGATCAGCGGTAATACTTGCGGGGAAGAAGAGAGTCCTACGCGTCAACAAAGGTCTCATCGATGCCTTGAGCCTCATCATCGCCCTGTTCCTTTTGTCTCACCTGCAGATCGACATGAGTCACTTGCAGCAGATACCAGCCTATGGGTGCTCACCTGTTCCTCGAAGCGCAGGCGTTGCTCGAACGGATCGTTCAACTCCGTGTACGCATTGCAGAACTCCTTGCCGCACATGAAACCCTCGAAACGCTCACACAGACCAGGCCGAGAACGGTGCCACTTGGCGAGTGGTGACATCACTTGTGGGTGACCGACTACACCGAGATGAGTGCCATAAATCCGAACGGAATGACGAATACGTACCGATGAAGGCGGGCGAAATGCAGAGGGGCTCAATGTATTCGCCGACCAGCTGTTCCGTGATGAGAGGAATGTGAAGAAGCTATTGGAGGCACCTCTTACCTTGTCCAGAAGCCGTGCGTTCGTTCGTGGCTCGCTGCAGTCGACGTTGTGCTGTTGCACAATTAGCGGGACTCACATTGTGGAAATTGCACGACATACCTTGACACACAATTCACGCAAGAACTTGTTGGCCTCCTCAGTGTGAAGCGTGTCGCCAGGCGGGAACTTCACGCCCAGCTTCTCCTCCAGAGTCTCGATCATATCATACCGCTTCCAGGGCCGCTTGAACTCGAGGTCGTACACCTTGTCGCTGTCCTTGCCCTCCGGGTGGTACTGCAGCGTCGTCTTCCCGCCAGTGATGTACTTGACCATGCCCTCGATCAAGCTCTCCGTCAGGTCCATGATGTCGTACATGTCCGCATACGCCATATAGAACTCGCAGATTGTGAACTCGGGGTTGTGCGTCAGGTCGATGCCCTCATTGCGGAACACGCGGCCGATCTCGTATACGCGGTCGAGCCCGCCCACGACGAGCTGCTTCAGGTAGAGCTCGGGCGCGACGCGGAGGTAGAGGTCGAGGTCGAGGTCGTTGTGGTGCGTGACAAACGGCTTCGCCGTCGCACCGCCTGCGATCATGCTCGTCATCGGCGTCTCGACCTCGAGGAAGCCGAGCGCGTCGAAGAAGCGGCGGACGTAGTTGATGATCTTGCTCCGCGTCAGGAAGATGCGCCGTGTGTCCTGCGAAAGGATCAAGTCAAGGTATCGCTTCCTGTACCGCGTCTCCTGATCCTTCAGCCCGAAATGTTCAGACGGCAGCTGATGCAAGTTTGGTGCAAGGAGAATCATCTCCTTCGGCGCGATCGAGAGCTCGCCCTTCTTCGTGCGAGCGGGGGTCCCGATGACTCCGACTATATCTCCCCGCCTGAAATTGTCGTGGACCGATGCGAATGCCTCGGGATCCTTCGCGTCCCTGATAGCTAGTGAGTCCAGATGCGCGTCGCAGATGCGATGAGGACTCACTGCTTGGTAGCCATGATCTGTACCCTCTGGCCTTCGCCATGCAGGTCGTAGAACCTGAGGTTCTGACCCGACAGACGGACATTGTGGATGCGGCCTGCAAGGCACTCTGTGATGTCTTCCAGCTTTTCGCCAGACTTGATCTTGTCCTCCGGACCGTACTGCTCGATGTAACGCGAGATTGATAGCGACACCTCAAACTTGTGGGGGTACGGGTTGGGCGACTGAGTCTCTCGCAGCTTTTGAATGTGACGCGAGCGAAGTTCAAAGTATTGCTGCGGAGGGATTTGGTCAATCATCGCGTATGATACACAACAGTTTGCACGCTCGAGCTTTAGGCTTTTATGACAGAGGCGGAAGACTGACTCGAATCTGGTCAATAATAGACGGTCCGAGGGAGGTCACCCTGAACTGTCCCAGGGGAGTCAACCATGTCAAATGTCATCAAATGTGATGAGATGTCCAAACATCGCCCCCATGACCACTCCAAGGCAACCTCTGACAAGAAGCAGACAAGCCTGATCCTGGACTGGCCTTTTGATCTCGTTGAGATTAAGCCTTTGACCGTACAAGCTATTAATGCTTAATTGTGATCTTGGACAGGCGGGCGATGAAGTGTCCTTTAGGCAGGCCCACACAGCCGTTACACAGGCAAGACACCACTGTGCGAGGCCCGAATCATGCAGGCGAAAGGGTACCCGCGATTCTATGCATGGTGCGACGACTAAACAAGAAAACATAGTATTCTTGGTAAAGCGCTGTGCCTTTCGCCGCTGGGCCTGGCAGTCGACAAAGTCGCCTCCAGGTGCCCGCTGACTTGAAACCCCCGAACAAGGAGATAATATGCGCAGAGGTCGCCCATTTGTGGATCAGACCAGTCCCACATTGAATCAGGAGTACCTCTGTAGTCTCCCGCTGCTTCCGTGTGACATGAGGACTCACGTTTGGATTCAAGTCGTCCTCATTCGGGCCAGTTGCCTTCGCTGCCGATTTCGCGGGTGCGGCAGCAGCCTTTTCGGCCTTCTTGGCCTCCTTCTCGCGCTGCTTTTCTCGCCGCTTGAGCTCCCTGTGCCCATCTAGATCGGTCAAAGTCCCGCAAAAGCGCAGAAATGAAGTCAGACACACGTCTTGGAGATCAGCTCTCCCGTCACCGGGTCCTTGTGTGTTCCAGCGGACTCCGTAGCCATCCTTGCAATGTGCGTCGGTGTGTTGAATTTTCTGTGATCTCTGTGCAGGAGGATGGAGCGACAAGCTAATCTGGTGAAGATCAGCCTTTGCATCCAGTCTTTTTGCGCGCACACCGCGCCGAGTCACGTCCCCACGAGTGGAAGTATGGCTTATGTAAGACACGCGATCGAAGGCTGGCGAGATCTCAGATTTGGCGGTGCGTGAATATTAAAAGTCCGTCAGGATCCCCGCGTTAGGCGCCTAAGTCCGCACTGCTCAAGCAGTAGCGGTGAACACCTCGCCTCTGACCACCACCATGTCTTCCGCTGACGAGTACTCCGACGACGACATCGGCTATTATGATGAGGACGACGATGAGATGCTCGTCGACGACGACGGTAAGTGTGGTACCGCTGCCGCTCGTCCTAGGGTGCTGATAAAGCTACCCCAGGGTCTGCTTCTGAGATGGAGCTCGACCCTCTGAACGACTTCAACGAAGGGTCCTCACGGAAGAAGATCTACGAGGTTGACTACGAGAGCCTTTCCCAAGGCGATGTCGAGAAGCAAATGCAGGGCGATGTAGACTACATTACCAGCATATTCGGTGTCACAGTACGTGTCTGTCGTGCACATCCCCGACCGGTGCTAACCCGACTAGTCGGACGTGGCATCCCTGCTATTACGGCACTTTGACTGGAACAAGGAGAAGCTCATAGAAAAGTACATGGACAATGCTACGATGGTCTCTGTAGCTGCGGGTATCACGCCTCCGGAGAAGGCGCCGAGGCGACCCGCTGCCTCCGGTGGGCGTTTGCACTCATCCTCTGAGTTGTCGAAAGAGAGCCTAATAGGTCCGCGCCGTTCTTCGCGGCGTACCGCTCCTGCAGCCACCAAGTCTGGCAAGTCCAAGCTCCTAGAACGCGCCACTCCGCCCGCGCGGAACGAGCCGTTCGTCTGCCCGATTTGCTTCGATGACAGTCAAACGGAATTCCTGTCGATGGTTTGTGACCACAAGTTCTGCAACGGCTGCTGGGCTGCATACATCGAGAGCAAGGTCAAGACCGAGGCGGAAAGCCGGATCACCTGCATGGCTGAAGACTGCGATGTCGTCGCGCCGAACGCGTTCGTCAAGCAAGCGTTGGCGGAAGATAAGGGAACATGGGAGCGCTTCGAAGAGCTGCTCGTGCGACACTACGTCTCTCACAGGCCGGAGCTCAAGTACTGTCCTTATCCGTCGTGCACTCATACCGTGTCGTGTTCGATCACCAAGGCTTCCTTGGCAACGCAAGTTCCTATTGTGATCTGTGGCAACGAGGCGACACACAAATTCTGCTTTGGGTGCAATGTTGACAGCGACCATCGGCCGGTCGTGTGTGCCGTCGCGAGGATGTGGCTACAGAAGTGCCACGATGACAGTGAGACTGCGAACTGGATCAAGAGCAACACCAAGGAGTGTAGCAAGTGCCAGAGCACGATCGAGAAGAATGGGGGATGCAAGTAAGTACGACAAGTTTTCAATGCGGTGTTTCACTCACTCGTCCCAAGCCATATGACGTGCAAGAAGTGCAAGTATGAGTTCTGTTGGGTCTGTATGGGTAAGCCTCCTTTGTGCAGGTCACACGATCACGTAATTTTGATTGTACACCAGGCCCGTGGTCAGAGCATGGTACTTCCTGGTACAACTGCAATCGGTTTGATGAGAAGGCCAGTAAGGATGCTCGCGATGCCCAATCCCGTAGCCGGGCGTCTCTCGAACGCTACCTTCATGTACGTACGCATATATAGTACGTGTGGATACATCGTAACGTCGTCATGCAGTACTACAACCGGTGGGCCAACCACGAGCAGTCGAAGAAGCTGTCGGTCGAGTTGTACTCAAAGACGGAGAAGAAGATGGAGGAGATGCAGATGACGTCGGAGCTCTCCTGGATCGAGGTCCAGTTCATGAAGAAGGCCGTCGACGAGGTCATCAAGTGCCGCACAACGTTGATGTGGACCTACGGCATGGCGTACTACCTGGAATTCGGCAACGAGAAGGAACTGTTCGAAGATAACCAGCGGTTTGTCACTCCTTGTCGTTATATGCCTCGTGCTCATGTCGATTTAGTGACCTCGAGCGTGCCGTGGAGGATCTGTCCGAGCTGATCGAGTCGCCGCTTGACCCCGAAGTCATCAAGACACTCCGTCAGAAGGTGACTGACCGCACTGTACGTAACCGAGATCATCGTGTCACCCGATTGTTGATTGATTGTGCTCGTAGGTGTATGTTACCAAGCGTAACGAGATCATGCTTGAAGACACGGCGCGCGGCTTTCTAGACGGACGGTGGTCATGGAATTCTCCTATCGCGGGTCTGGAGTGATTTTCTCACAAGTGTTGTCTCTTTTCATACCGTTGTACACCGCTGCTTTCTTTCCATCGCTATCTCTCCAGCCTCCGACCACATCATCGTTATCTCCCTGCAACTATCCATCCCTCGGTTCCATCGCACCTCCCCCATAATGATTACCTTGTAAATACATTGTATCTATGGACTTGTACGGCGTGTAGGTTTGTATAAGAGATGATTATCCTGGACGAGTGTATCCAAGGCACCTGGAAGAATGCTATGCCCTCTGTTGTGTCTTCCTATGTACCATGAGGTACCATGGCTACGGGAGGGAGATCTGTCGATCATTCGCAGGGTCCTTCTGACAGGGTTTACGACTTGCTGATCCGAGTCGCTGTGGTACGTCCACTCTTTTTTCTTTTCTTCTTTTTTTATTTTCACCGGATTTATAGACTGTACTGAAGGTACATGCAATCGTAATAACGGACACGGAATAGAGTGTCGTAGGGAAATGGGACGCCTTGCGGCTACCTGCGTAAACCGCTGCCTCTCTTGCCTGACAGCAGACCTTGCCGCCCTCCCAGCCCAATCCCAGCCCTCTTGCAGCCCATGGGGCGTGTCGGGGTAACTTCGGTACGTCCACTCTGACCCGCTGATTTCCACATCCTACAGCACACGCAGAATTCCCTACGAGTCGCGATTCGCATGTCGATGTCTTCCGCGCTCGTACCTTCGACCTCAGGCCTCAAGGCCTCACCCTCTACACCCAGACCGTCAGCGCCACTGCCGTGTGTCCCAAGTGTGTCCTGAGGCTCCTCGACATAGCCGAATAGACCGCCGAGTTGACCATCGCACGCAAGCACTGCTCCGGGGCGAGAGCGGCTTCGTTGGGGTTCTAGAGGAAGGCGAAGCAAACATTGCCGGTCGTGAAGGACCCGGGGATATTGGGAGAGGGTTTGTGTGGGGAAACAGCAATTACCGGAAGCGATGCTCACGCGATTGCGAAGGTATTCAAACCCGCCCGCAAGCTGGGCAATTACATTGTCAGGGTAGGGGAGTGGACATCAATGTACATCAGATTGGACGTGCTGCCGATGGCGTTGAGAATCATTGTCACGCTGAGCAACCAGTAGTAGTATGTACTTTGGCGCTTGGCGCATAGACTGCGCCAAGCGCCAAAGAAATGCATACATAAAAGCAGAGGCTCCCTTAAAGAGATGGAGATGAGGCGTCGAGTAAGCAAAGGTCATATTGCACGTACTCGCTGCCTCTCAAGACCCTGCATTCAAGACGCGACCATTCACCGGCAGGTTATTTTTCAGCACTGGCCAGAAGGCTACACACTGACTCAGTGAGATGTGGTCTGGGGGTTTTGCAAAATAAACTGAGAATTCCGGTAAGGGGTCGCCGCGAGGACAAGGGGAAATGGCTTACAAGTAAACGAGTCCATAATACGCATAGGTTGCGTATACGACCAAGTGGGAATTTGAGTTTGACCGCACTCGCGGTCTTGGCTTTTTCGTACGATCCGACTTGGGGTCGGAGGGAACATAACGTACGAGTTTGTGACGCCGTCACAGTGAGACGTGAAGCTCATTGGAACAAACGTCACGGCCATGTTCGCGTCAGCGTAGAGCCAGGTTGGTAGTCTGCTCAGATATTTGCACCCCATGGCTCGAGTCAATGGCCGCTCAACGGAAGTGGTTTCATCGGAAACTCTAGTAATCATGATGTAGAGGTTAGAACACAGACCTTCGCAACCTGTCACGAAAGGCTACGAACCTTGGGAATGCATCGACTCATCTGCCAAGTGTCCACTGGCTGTTCTTACGGGCTGAATTGACAGAACCGAATCACGACGTCTCTTCGATCCCTTCGACGTAATTCCTAGTCCGCCGCCTTGGCATGGAGTCTGGATGCTTCCCCAACAAAAATGATGTACTCGTAGTATGTCCGAGTCGGCGGCCGCAATGTGGTATATTCTGCCAGCACTGGGTCACCGTGCCATTGTCTGGGATCTGCCTGGGCTCCGGTCAACTGATGAGCGCAAAATGGAATAAATTCATACCTCAAACTGCGGCCCTTCTGGTATGTAGAGAAGGCAGACAGACATCCCTCGTCCAGGCGTGGGCGATATCAGTAGCTCTTCAAGCCAGTCGGTGGAAATTCTATGAGGACCAGTCACACGTCGTGTCAGTTGGTTATACATAGACTCGTCAGTGCCACGCGATTTCACGGGGGTAACACGGTTGAGGGACGTACCGGCGACTTGTTAGGCAGCCTCTGATATCGAGTTGGCAAGAAGTGCATTTATTGGAACAGACTCAGCGCAGGAAGAAATAAATGATTTATACCTTACACTAGTACAGGAACATAGCACGAGCGTACACATGATGTCGATTGTCGTGAAATGGAGTAAGTCGATCCCTCCCTATCCTGTCCACGTGAAGTCCGATTGAGATAATGTCCTATGTAGTCAGGCAAGGAAAACGCGTCGTAAACGAGACCGTGTCTAATGCGCCCCAAAGAAGGTAACGAAGCAGGAACCCTACTTCAACGCGCGTCAACATGCAGCGGTGTGCCTGTCCAGGGTGCCACTTGCGCCAGGCAGCGTACGCAAAGGGAAGCTGCGCAGCCCGCAGCTGCGCGCAAAGCATGCCCGAAGGGCTCCCGTGGAGGTATAAAGGCAGCAGGTAGACGATTGCAGCATGCATTCTCTCTCCCTCCTCCTGCAGCCTCGGCATTCGTTGAAGGCGACCACGCGGCATAGTCGAACACAGGGGAATATCCAAGGACACCCGCCGAAGCTGTGCGAATTTCTGTCCCGGATGCTCCGCCATTCGGGCGTGGCAAGTGATATGTAGGCCGCTGTTTATCAGCGGAGGGCGGTCGAGTACTCCGTGGTGGTGTCATCAATGGCAAAATCCTGCCCAGGTACGCGGGAGATCAACAGAATGCTCTGCTCGTCAGGCTCGCCCGCTCTGGCCAACGCGTGGTGCGAATCGTGTGGTGCGTGTTCTCCGGAATATGTCCTCTCAGGGGCGGGAGGAAGCGTCGTCGTGGACGCTGCCATCGCGCCCGGACGCGCCCCCAGCCCGGACGGTTTGGCCCCGTCCAAGACACTCCCCGAGGGAGGTGGTAGCATCTCCGTCGGCACCTCGTCGAGATTGAGCTTAGATTGCTGAACAGCTCGGAGAGGACGGACGCGCCCCGAGCGATAGCTCGGGCTCTTCCGCAATCCATCCGTGTACTTGACAATACGGTCCCAGAGGGACTTCGGATGGCTCTTGCGCTCGGGTCGCAGGAGGAGCGCGCTGTCGCTCGCCGATATGCTGCGGCCGTGGGTCGGGACAGGGAAGTATCCGTGGTCCTGCTCCTCCGTCTGCTCCTCCTCGATCTGTGGCTGGAAGTACGGCGACGTTGCGAAGGAAGGGGGGACAGTGGACAGCGAAGAGGACGCGGAAGGCTGGTGCGCATGCCCGTTAGTGCGCAGCCACTCACCTTCCTCGTCGCCGTCGTCGATCTGCCAGTTCGGATCCCGCATGCCGTCTCGCGAGCGCACAGATCGTGTCCCAGGAAGGAGCCCATACAAGAAGGACGGCGCATTGAGACGCGCCCGCACCGAGCCCGAGTGCGCGCTGGGTGATCCTCTTGGCCGGCGGGACATGCCGCCGGAGCCGGAAGATGTGGAGCTATGGTGTCGCCGGCGGTAGCAGCAGAAGAACACGGTTGCGAGTACAGCGACAACCAGTCCAGCAGCAATGGGAGTGGCGATTTGGACGGCGGTCCAGGATTCGGATCCTGGCAGCGAGCAATGTCATCGACATCAGCGGGACTATCTCAACAGGTCTAGCTTACGTGGGGAGATGTGGGGTCGTCTGCGGGCGATCGACACCCAAAATGAGTTGAGAGGAGGAGGAGGGCGCGGCAAAAACACCTGGGTTGCCTCGGGGGAACGGGAAAACCATGGACACCATGACGGAGATGGCGAACCTAAGTTAAGGAGTGATAATTAGGTTTCCCGGCGAGTTAGACGCCGCAGTGCAGTGAGTGGCGTTATTATTCACCTTCTCGGTGCTGCGGCAAGTCTGATACCTGAACCTCCCTCATCCACGACGGCGCGTTTCGCCAGAGCGCGTCCGACCCCCGGCCAAGTCCCTCCTTGTTGATCCTTTTGAGTATTTCCAACAACTCATTGATACGCAGCACTCACGGCAATTAGCCCAACGTGACAGGGTACCTGTGGAGAAAGCAGAACTGAATGTCAGACGGGACGCCGACACCCTTATATCCTGGACTGCGATCGTACTCTTTCAGCTTGAAGGATCGGAACGGCCCCGACTCTGAGCGTGACGTTGACGAGCAAGACACCCGCTGCAGCAAGGACCGCGGCGGAACGCATCAGGCGCGACCAGGGATGGAGGTGGTCAATACATAGGCGGGCACTGCGCGCTGCGCGCAGAGAAGAGAGCGACGGCTGAAATTCGGCGTCAGCGCTCTGGCTGCAAGTTGACAGCGCGCAGAGGCGCGAGATCTGCATCGCCGGAAAAACTCCTGCCCAGATCCGGGCTCGCACTGCCGATGCACCAAGACTCAGGCACCCGCCTGCTTTTACGTACTGTACAGACCTCGGGATCTTCTCCGAGCCCATCTGCAGCGGTCGCTTGCCTCCTCTTGCCTTTCGTGGGTGCTGTGCGACACTGCATCGCCTTTATTCCCCATTGCTGATTGCCTCCGGCCATGCGGTATCGCTCTGAGTGGGTACACAACCGTCGCGTGGCTCAACGGGACTTTCTCCAACAACAGATGTGAACTTGGGCAGCCTGAGGTGCGTCACGGTCGTTTCGTCAGATTTCGATCCTATCGTTTGCTCACCCTTCCACTCAGCCATACCACAGTGAGAGTACCCAACACAAGACTGTCTCTCCTTTCAGCGCCCGGCGTCCTGCCTCCGTAATAGCGACTCGGAGCCTCAGACACGGTGGCGAACCCGGCTGTCTAGGTTCATCTACTTACACCGCCGGCTCGCCACTGTGTCCGCGACGTACTTGGGGAATCGGTACCGACGGCGTCGCACCGATGTGACTCTTGCGCATCACTGCATCGCATTGACGGACGACATTGACAGAACCTTGCATTTGCGCGGGCCTCGGACATCCTCAGGCTGTACCGGAGCAGTGCCCGCGATCACTGCTGTGGTCGACTACCCGTGCCCATCATCCGCCTCGAAGCATCTTCCAGTGAAACTACCGCCAACATCGTTTTGTGGTATCAGCCGCGCTTGGAGGAGGCAGTAAAGACCTGTTTCTAAGTACACGATGACGCTGGAAACATCCACCACCGCCCGGAGCTTGCCCCGAAGCACGGTCAAACGGTGTGGTTCGCGGTGCGTTGGATGTGACGGATAATCCTTCCGTGTTCAGGACAGCGCGAGGCGGTGTGCGGTATGGGTCGGTTCACATCTATCGCATCTCTGTCAGTGGTTATCTCCTTCGACGTCACGTTCCAGGCTTCAATCTCCCTAGGATACGAGAGACATCGCCATTCGCCGCTCGGAGATGTCTCTCGGACACTAGGTAGGTCGCCGCATTTGCAACTGGAGTTAATTGGTGTGGTGACAGGCTGAGAAGACACGGGAGCGTGGTGGACCCGCGTCTTCCTGCACGTATGCATACATCACCTAAGTATCCTAGACTAACGCTCGTTTGTGCAGCTACCTCTGCGTCACGCAAAGCACACGCGCTTCCACTGGTGCACAGGCCGGCCTTGCAGACGCTTGTGTGGCCGCGACACGTCGTATACAGACAGCGGTAAGCACACTCAATGGGACAACTCGCAACGACCTGCTCACGAGTTGATCATCATGATCTGGAGAAGGGCTCGTGGTAGGGCTTCGGAACGACCTTGCCATCGCGTGGGAGGACTGCAAACATCTCACCTGCCAACGTGCACAGCGGCGATGCGCACATCCTGGGTGCGCGGGAAGGAACGACAGCTCGGCGGGAGTTATGAACGGGGGTCAAAGTCCATATCCAGGACCTCTTCCGGCGTAACTCGTGAAAGTCAACCTATACTGGACCGCACAAGATTGGCTGGGACATACACGAACCCTCGTGCTTGAGGCTGATTCATGAGCGTCAACTGCCAGGCGAGTCGTTGAACGTTCAGCGGGACTCACTATGCGCCTAGGATGGTATTTGTTCTCAACGCATCATAGCAACCCAACATGTATACACCACTGAATGACAGCCTGCGGTCACGGAGACGTAGCCGCGGGCGATCGGCCGGAGCATGTTTGGATTGGAAACACGAAACATTCTTCCCCTACCCACATAGTCCTCGGCGGCTCGAAGGCACGTACGCTATCGTAACGTCAACCGGTGCTTTCTACCTCGATGGAATGCGCCGCGCACAATGGGCCAAATGCTACGGCGTAGGTGATGAAGACAGTTTTGGTTATCTAAAGAGACATGGAGTGACCCGCCGGACGCATACTTGAAACAGCCCCGTGCGCGCAGTCTGATACGACCCGAGTACAACTGCAGACGCGCCGGATCGATCGGTACGTCTCGGGATACCTACCATCCTCCTCCTCTTGCAGTCGGGCAGGTGTTCCGTGGTGCAGCGACAGACTCAAAAAGGGGCCCCGCCTACGGCGACCGTACCTCCCGGACGTTCGCACTCATATTACGCATCGCCGCACGGCCCACAGAGACGACGCCTTCTCCCGGGTGAGCTTCGCCGCTGGCATCCACATCGACACTCGGGCAAGCCTTCCGAGAGGCATGCACGAAGTTCAATGACGAATTCGAAGATGGTTCCCATCGCCGCCCACCGGTAACCGTACTTCCCGGAAACTGGGCACGGACTGGCGGAGAAGGTCCCCGCTTTCCGCGTCTCCGTTCCGTCCAGCACTTGGGGATTGGTACGGAGGAGAGTGGTCCGCTGATGGCAGACGTCAGTACTTACTTCGGTGTGGTTGTGACCGATGGCGGCGGGCGCTGCCGCCGGACGTACGGGAGGGTGTTCGTGGGTGATGCGCGCTGACTAGGCTGGATGGGATGTGGTCTAGAGTGCGCGTATTGTGATCTGAGTCTGCGCGCGGGGTGCATGCTCGAAATTGGGGAGGGGAGGATCGTTTTGGCCCGGACACCGCAGTTTGCTATCAGAACAGTCATACGTGCTGTCTTACCCCTTTGATCATGCAGTGACAACGTATGTTAGCACCCATTGGCTGCGAAGTCGACGTCGACCAGTCTAGGTTCGCAGGTATGACCGTTCCATTCAGCGATTTGTATGATGCCCCGACAGCTAGCTGACGTGCTCTCAGCTTCTGGAATGACGTGTATTGCGTAGCTCTTGCTAGCACACGGCCTGCTTGCGGCATGATAGAAGGAGTAGCCATGTCCGCGCCGCAGTGAGCTCAAACACCTCCGAGTGGGAGGCATACCCACTCCGCCCTACAGGCTAAGTGTTTGCCGAGCCCGGAGGGAATGGCTTCGCGAAGCTAGCAGGAAAGTAGCGTGTATTTTACGCGTGTTCGTGAATGGACCTATGGAGCTGTTCTGCGTTAGCGATGGCCATGGGGAGCGATCGGTGTTATGCGGTAAAGAGTTGGTGGCGTAGCGCAGGGATCATCGCTGGAGGAAGTGTAGATTGAACGGTGTCGGCTTCAGGTTTACCGGTTTCCTGGCTTCGATATAATTAATATCGAGAACGAAAGAACTTCGAGGATCGATCGCGAAGAAGTTGAGAGGTCCCGCTTCATCCCGTTACGTTGGCCCGGTTCGGACGGAAGTCTGTCCGCAAATGACATTACTTCACAGTACTGGTTGTCTGCAGCAGGTGGACTTAGAAAAGTCGACGGGGCCTTGTGAAGGCTGTGCTGAGAGGTGGTCAGCAGTGGTAGCATACGCAGTACTCTCCATGACGAACGAATTTAGCCGGTACCTTTCACTCCGTCACCGGACGAAGTCTTGAATGTCTGTGCCATCCCGACCGTCGCCGAGGACGCAGAGACCGGTACCGGTGTCTGCTATAGCCTAGGCACCACTAGCACTGAGCGCGTCCTCCGCAGGTTCCGAGAAGTTAGAACGGGTGCTTCGCTCACGGTTCACCGTGTTGCTTTACCTCCGCAACGCGCCCAAATAAGGTGTACTGCTAGCATTGCTGTGCGCAGGCGTTCAGGAATCAAGTTCCGTTCGTCGTCGTCGGGATGCGAGCGCAGAACGACGAGGACAAGAAGGCAGGGCGGGCTTGGCGAATGCGGGGAAGGGCGGGCGGGGAAGTGGAGACGATCGTGGGGTCAGGAGGCGGGGACAGGTGATTACCCCGCACTGTGCTAGCGCCTCAACGCCAGCCAATCTGTGCGCTATGCCGTTTCGGTCTCCTCGCTCGCATCTCAGAGCCTTCCGCCCTGGCTGGTGCAGGCTGTCCTGCCCCCTCTATCTCTCCATATAATCCTCGCCGCCATGGCCGATAACTCGCTCTCTCCCCGTAAGCACCCCCGCCCCCGCCACGCTCCCCAGCTGACCCGCAGCGATGGTCGTCTTCAACCTCGTCCACGGGCACCCAGTCACCAAGTTTGAGACGGACAAGCCCGAGTCGCGCACATTCGCGCGTCAGCACGAGCTTCCGCGCCTCCCCATCCCGCCGCTCGAGGCATCATGCCGCCGGTACCTCACCGCGCTCGAGGGTCTTCAGGACCCGAAGGAACACGCGAAGACGAAGGTCGCGGTCGAGGACTTCCTCAGGAACGATGGGCCGAAGTGGCAGGAAAGGCTAATGCAATACGCCGAGGACAAGGCCAGGTGAGCGTGCGACGTTGAATGTCGAGGATAGTCCGCGGCAGTGCTGACTGAATTGGCCCCATTCACTCAAGCTACATCGAGGAGTTCTGGTGAGCACCCGCCCTCGACCATGGCCGCCGCCGTGCTTCTTACCACGTGCCCTGACGACTGTGTATTCGCAGGTATGAGTCCTACCTCTCCCACTCAGACCCTGTCGTACTCGCCCTCAATCCTTTCTTTGTCCTCGAGTGAGTGTTACTTTCTCGTCGCCGTAGCATCGTCGCTCGCCGTCGCAGCAGTTATGTCGTTTTGGCTGACGCACATCGGGCGCTGAGCTATCTCCGCTCTTCTGCCGACGTCCAAGGCAGCACGGCGCTCTGAGCCCTTTAAACAAATGTCGGATTCTGTTTCACTGACACACATTACCACAGAAATGACCCGACACCAGACCGAGGCTCACAGCTCCCTCGCGCAGCTTCCCTCATCCTCTCCTCTCTTGGCTTCATCCATGACCTGCGGGCGGGCATGCTGGAGCCCGATACCGTCCGAGGAACACCTCTTGATATGGACCAGTACACAAGACTGTTCGGCACAGCACGGATACCCACCGATGTGCGCACCCTTCACCTTGATGGTTATGGTGTATTAATCTAACGATGCACACTACAGCGAGGATGCCGGATGGAGATGCACACCGACTCACGGCATATCGTCGTGCTACGGCGCGGCCAGTTCTGTACGTTTTACCGCCCGATATGTGCGAGCAAGCTCTGACATGGGCTCCCAGACTGGTTCGACGTCCTTGACGCAGAGAACAGGCCCGTCCTGACGGAACAGGAGATCCTCCGGAACCTCCGAGCTATCGTCAGGGATGCTGAAGAGCTGCCATTGCACGAGGTGCGCATACATAGTGCATATACCTGGCCATCCGTTCTGATCCACTGCTTCGTCGCTCCTCTAGGTCGCCCGGAACTCGATTGGCGTACTTTCGACCGAGAACCGCAAGGTGTGGTCGAGCCTGCGGGACGCACTTTCCAACAATCACAACAACGAGGCCTGCCTGCAAATCATCGACAACGCTCTCTTCATCGTCTGCCTCGACGACGCGACGCCGGATAACCTCGCTGAGCTGTGCAACAACTTCCTCTGCGGGACGTACAACCTCAAGGGCGGCGTGCAGGTCGGCACCTGCACGAACCGGTGGTACGATAAGGTATGCCGTTCAGAGTTGCTTACAGGCTATGGCACCGAACCAATGACTACGCTGACCAGCTGCAAATCATCGTCTGCGCCGACGGCGCCGCCGGCATAAACTTCGAGCACACGGGCGTCGACGGGCACACCGTGCTCCGCTTCGCCGCAGACATCTTCACCGAAGGGCTCATGCTCCTCGCGCGCTCGATCAACCCCTCCGCGCCGACGCTCTTCCACGCGCCGCTCTCGCCCTACGCCAAGTCGTACAAGCCCCCGCGCGGCGCGCCCGCCCACGCCGCGGCGAAGCAGCAGCCGCCGGCCTACGTGATCGACACAGTGCCGAAGAAGCTCGAGTGGACGCTGTACCCCGAGCTGAGGGCGGCGATCCGGTTCGCGGAGACGCATCTGAGCGACCTGATCTGCCAGAATGACTGTCAGGCGTTGGAGTTTAAGGGGTATGGCAAGAACTTCATCACGGCGCATGGGTTCAGCCCGGATGCGTTCGTGCAGATGGCGTTCCAGGCGGCGTACTATGGATTGTACGGTGAGTCGCGTGGGGTGGGCATTATGTGCGTGGGCTAATACGTTGGCTATGCTACAGGCAGGATTGAGTGCACGTATGAACCGGCGATGACGAAGCACTTCTTGCACGGGCGCACGGAGGCTATCCGAACTGTGCAGCCTCACACAGTCAACTTCGTTAAGGTCCGTCGTTCCTTTCTGCATACATCGATCATGCCTCACGTCATCCCACAGACGTTCTTCTCCGAAGCCCCCCTCGCGCAGAAGATCACCGCTCTCCGGAACGCCTGCCAGGGCCACGTCAAGCTCACGAGAGACTGTAGCCAAGGCCAGGGCCAAGACCGGCACCTCTACGCGCTCTACTGCCTCGTCCAGCGCGACCGCGAGGCCGCCGCGGAGGTGGAGGCGCCGCCATCGCCCGGGGGGAGCACCACGTCGAGCTCGAGCAGCGGCGCGAACAAACCGCCCCTGCCCGCGATCTTTACGGATCCGGGATGGGGGGCGCTCGGGACGAGCATCCTGTCGACGTCGAACTGCGGGAACCCTGCGCTGAGGCTGTTTGGGTTCGGCCCTGTCGCGGCGGACGGGTATGGGATTGGGTACATCATCAAGGACGAGGGGATCTCTGTGTGAGTGGACTTTCGTGAGACGCGTTGTGGGGTACTGATGATCATGGTTGGGTGGATAGGTGTGCGTCGTCGAAGCACCTGCAGACACGGCGCTTCTTGGACACGCTCGAGGGATATCTCCTCGACATCAAGCGGTTGCTCATCCAGCAGCACGCGTCTGCGAACCCGAAGCCAGAGCCGTTCGTCGACCACGCCGGCATCCTGCGCGACTCCAAGACCGGGCGGCCGATCAACGGCCAGGCGCACGGGCACGGGGAGTACGACGATGTCACGATGCGTGCGTATCCGTTGCACTTCTGATTGGCGATGGTGTGCTGAGAAATGGTGCGATTGTAGCGGGCTACTCGTTCTTCGACAGCGGCGACGTCGAGCTGCTCGGCCGGCGCAAGCGCATGCCGTCGTACTACAACACGGGTAAGATCATCCCGCTCGCGGAGTACAGCTGAGCGGCTCCGGGGTGTAGATGTGTGTCGGAGGTACAGTATCTTACTATGTTTTGCGGTATTCTTGTACGTGTATCATCAGTGGCTTTGCGCTGTAGTGTCAGATCTGTGTAAAGATATCTGTAGGGTAGTTGTAGTGGTATACCATCTATGTTGTAACAGTAGACGTGTATCGAGTACTGTTTATGTTTGAATGCACAACACACTATGGGATGTATGGTCACGGAGTGCATTGGCGAAGCATTTGATTTCAGTGCAGGAGACGATGTAATGACATCAGGTCGAAACATAACTTAGATGCATCGCTATTCGTATACATGCGTCAACGTCCCCTGGGCCACTTCATACCAGTATTAGTACTACCGTGATGTAGCTCCTCTAGCTTCATGCGTATCCGGGGTCGTTTCGCGTATAGAAACTGTCTTGTGGCTGGAGACCAACATGAGACTGGGACGGGAAAGCGTACGAGCGCACTGGCACAGACGCTGTCTGTTTCTCAGGGTCGCCGCTGGAGGGCTGCTTGTCCGCTGCAGCGGTCGCAGCAGTAGGGTCGCCGATGCCTGCGCGGGTGCCCCAACCGGTCTATGAACATGACGATCAGCACCCACTGGCAAGCGCATGCGTAGCGTTAGTATTCGAGACAGACGCACCTCATGAAGCGTGAAGAGGGCATAGACCTTCATGATCGCGAAGTAGTAGCCGAAGAGGATGAACGCGGGGACGTAGATTACGTCTTGGGGGCGGTACCAGAGGTGCGGGAGGAGCTTCATGGTCCGCGTCGCGAAGAGCCAGACGAGATAGCTGACGACGACGTTCCATGGCGGGAGGTGATACCCGCCCTGGAGGACGGGGATCGTGCCCTTGTACATCACGTAGACGACGAGCGCGGGCCCGGCGAGGAGCGTGAACGGGTTGATCAGTTTATCTATCTACGAGGAGAGGTGCTTGGTGTTAAAGGACTGGAGAAGAACGAAGGAAGGATAGCGACGGACCATTGTGTACGCAACGTAAGGGTGCGCGGTCCAGATATGCCTTTCCATAAATAGCGAGCGCATATCTGACCGCCAGGTGTTACGCGTCCAGCGGAGGACTTGCTTCAGGAAGCGCCAGTTGGGCTTCATCGTGCTCAGGAGCTCCGCCTCCTTGCAGCACTGGACATACGTCGCCCAGCCATGACTGACCATCCACCGCGTGAGGAACTTGTCGTCGCCCGAGTTGAGCTGGTACTTCCCCAGCCAATAGTCATGTGTGAAGCCATGGAGGAACTCGGGGTCCTTGAGGATAACGGTGCGATACGCAGCCGTGCGTCCGCTCAAGCAAGGTAGACCGCCGTCGATATGCGTGCTCGCAGCGATCTCGATGTTACGAATTGACAGGCGAAACGCGGCGAGGACCTCCCAGACAGTCATGCGCGCCCCGACGGGCTGCACCCTCTGGCTCGTGCCCACACCGCCGACACGCTGGTCCTCAAAGCACGCGAGGACATACGGGAGGAGCGTCGGTGGCCAGATCGCATCGTCGTCCGCGAACACGATAATGTCCGTGCGCGTGTGTCGGATCCCATGGGCCATCTGGAGCCGCTTGTTCGCATATGGCACGGTGAGCACGCGGATGCGTGCCGGGTCGACGGAGTCGGCGAGGGCCTGGAGGGGCCCGCGCATCTTCTCTTCGGTGACGATGAGGATCTCCTTGGGCTTTCCGGCGAGCCAGCTGTGTGCGGCTTCCTTGAACTCCTCGCCGGCGTCGATGGTGGGTACAATGATCGTGACGTCCTCATCGGCGACGTATGTAGGGTTCTCTGGCAGGGGGATGGCGCGGTAGGTGAAAGCGGCGGCGATGCGGATGAAGTACCACAGATAGCGGTAGAATCTGGCGAGCGTCAGGAAAGCAGGCCGGTACACTGGATTGAAATGACTTACCCTATGACCCCTAAAGGGACGACTGGGAGCTACTGTCAGTTTGGGACGGAGAGCGACTAGTGAATGAATTGCTCACAGACTGGGAAGTGGTCAGACGTGAGCCGTAGCATTGTTGCACGGCCCACACGTCGCACCGGCTGAGTGCTAAGCGTGCTTCTCTCGTCCTGTTTAAAGATGAGAAAGGTGCAGGAAACTCCCGTCCAGCGGCGATGTCAGCCGGGAGGCGAACAGGGAGTTGGGACTAGGCGGTCAGCCAAAGGCAGACTGGATTGAAATACCTCCTCGCCATATCTTCCACGCGCATTCTGAACCAGACTGGAAGGACAGGAACGTAGTGAAATATTATCACTTGTCGTCTACTGCGCTTCTCAATTGCCTCTGTACTAGGAGTGAGCGCGTCGCGCCCACTTTCTGCAACCAGATGGTGCGGGCATTTCCCCTCTCCTCCATTTCAGCGGCACTCTTGGCTGCCGTTGTGCGGCATTATCGGCTACAATCCAGTATGCCTACAGAGAATCCAGCAAAGCTACGTAACAAATACGCGGAGTTCCATGGTCAGTCGGCCGGTTGGAGGCTGAAGGGGCTGATCCCGACGTACTATACTGCCAGTCGGCCATTGTGCACGTCAGGCCATATAAGTGACACTCTATAAGCCTTCTGATAGCTCGTGCGCTTTGATGTCCCTGCGTCTTGTCTATGTAGGCTGTTTGACATGGTAACGGCGTTCGTTGATCGTACCCTGTCCCGAAAAAATGTCCGCTCGACCTAGGTAGCAAACCTCAATATATTGTCAAAACATGTAGTTTGAATCGAGGCCTACACAACTGTGCGCCGAGCCCGCACCACTTCGTTTGAATCGTTCGCCCGTCCGCCGCGCAAAGCAATCAGTTCACTAGAGGAAACCCGACAAGCCCACTGGCTTATCTGAACCCTGGAAGCCGTGCACCAGGCGCGCATGCTCGAGCCTATCTACCCAGCGCATGAGGAGATTCGGACAAAGGGACGAGCGATGCGGCTAATGGACTTGATGAATGAGTCCATGTGAAAGACGTGAGGCAGTCCAATACTACGTCACCTGTGCCACTTGTGGGTCCCCGGCGGTGCTCTGGAACGGGGATGATACGCCGCATATTATTTATTAGCAACAACCCGGTATCGTCAGATCTCGTGTTTTCGGAACGCTGCAAGTACTTGCGGCTGCTGGTATACCTGACATCTGCATCAATCAGCGTAACGATACGTAAACCCCATGATTATGCATACCGCGCATCCTGGAAGCCGCTTCAAGTTTTACACACCCTTTCCGCAGCTCTGAGTCTGAGTCATCGTTGACACTCCTGCATTCGGCCTCGAACCTAGTACTGCCCTCAAGGGTGCAGTTTCGGCCAGTCTCGTACGAGGACTCGACGGAAATTCCGTCTCTCGCGGCAAAAGAATCAACCACGATTCGAGAAAGGGAAGATGCTTCGTTGGGTACTCGTAACAACAGCGTATGTCGGTCGCGGCAAAGCCGTCATCCGTCCATTGCGTTCTATTATCATGGTCCATTCTGTGGGCGCAATCGTTTTCATCCGATTAGAGGTGCGGCGTCGCCAGATGAGTGTCTGCAAACGAGAAGTTTGCTCTTCACGCTACCTGGCCCGGGGAAGGACATTGAGAACACGTCCTCTTCATGGTCATAGCATTGGTTCGTACCGTTGGGTGATCTCTCCAGCATCCAGCATCAAGCCTGCAGGAAGGGGCTTTTCCTACGTGTCTAGGAGATGTAGTCAGATGACGATAGGCCATGCACGGAATGGCTCACTCACGTCCGTTTCAGAGCTTGAGCCGACGAGGCATCTGCGGCCAATCACTGGGCATAGGATAGTGTGACCTCATGGAAACTCGAACGGTAGCGCGGCCAGACCATGGGTTGAGCAAGCCACGAAAGATATCCTCAACGCGTTGACGGTTCTTCTCGCAGTCCAAGTTGGTGGATAATGCGCTTGTACGTGGAACGGTGTCTATGATTTCTACCTTCACCTCAACCTCGTGCACCGCGTCGAAGCTCGGTTGGCTCATGACCTCATGCAGTCTTGCTAAATCGAGGTCCTCGGTTATGGCGGTGAAGTCACCAGCAGGTTCACTCCAAAAGCGAATCCGACCGTTGATCTTGATGTCCCGGACCTGGCGGCTTCGAACAGTGGCGAGGATGCCACGCAACTGGTCCACTAATTCGGACCACCCGCGAAGCCAGTCGCTCCTTTGGCCACGGTTGAGGCGAATGGTATCCAATGCAATAGCAAATGCCTGCAGCGTGGTATTGGCTGCGAAATCGAGGTGACCAGCTGCATCACAGGTACATATCAGTGATGGTCTTCGCAAGACAAAAAGAGACTGCACCATGTCGTTTCCGGCCGTACGGGCCCGATTGATACTGTTCCGTATATTGAGTCAAGGATGGCCCAGATGCTGCGAGAAGTTTGTTGGGATTCTGTCTCAGCGCGGGGTCTGGTGCGGGGTCGCCGACCCAAACCGACAGATCTTGGAGGTTGGCACCGATTCCCGAGTGAAAAATCCAGTCAATGACTACTTCCATGGATTCGTCGATGTAGCCGTCGAGAGTGATGCTCAGGCTCCGGAGGCGTGTTTCGACACCCACATAATGAATAGAGTTGTAACCAGGCGGGTGGCGGATGACTCGGAGCCTGACATAAGATAGAGCGAGTTGAAGCAGCTGAGGCAAGGCGCAGACAATCCGTCGCAGCTGTGAGATATTGCTGAACGTGCACTGAGATAACTGCAGCGACTTGACGGATTGAAGCCGCGAAATGCCCAGGAAGAAGTTGTGGTGCAAGAAAGGACGTAGATGACGAATCGCGAGGACCTCTAGACCTGACATTGCATGGCCTAGAGCAAGGGGCAGAGAATTAATAAAGCCAGGGTTCGCCCCTCTTTCGAGCCCTCCCTCTTCGAAGCCCCAGGCATCTGGCATCTGGTTCAAGCTATCGATTAACAGCTCGCGCGTGACCGAGAGCCTCCGTTTGGTACGTGGAGATATGCGGCATTGCTTGTGTAACAAGCTATAACTTGCGTGATCGCTGATCCAGACAAAGTAGTAAAGATTGTGCGTGGCTCGTGGGTACCACGCTACGCAGACCAACGCCGCGGCGACCAAAGTGGACCCGTCCATTCGATCAATGATAGTTTCGAAGATTTCGAGTGGGATGCGAGCGGAGAGGGCCGGAAAAAGGGGGGTTATTGGGAGGTTACTGGGACGCGATTGACTGGAGCTATCTCGTGCAGCAACATGTGGTATGCATTTGCCAGGAGAGGGGATATACTACATGAGTACATCAGCTGCGCTCACCCGAGGGACAAAAGAGAAGAACTGACTAACGAAGGTTCATAGACCGGGCCAAAGACACTCAACATCCTGACTGGTCCCATCTAGGCAATGCCTCCGCGAGGACGACGGATCTGTTGTTAAGATGCCAGCGGCCGTGAGCTGAGCAACAACAGAACAGCGGGAGTACAAGAAGCGACCTCGTCCTCAAGACCTTGCCCTGGCAGCGTGCTGAGTGTTTGACAAAGTGATGTTCGATGAGCTACAAGCTGACTGACTGCCGTGAGGACACATCCTTATCATGCCCATCCGGCGTCCGCGAGCATGCGGCAGACAGATATAACTGAACGCGTGACTTTGATTTTCGCATCGAGCAGCCGTGGAAGCTAGGAAGCTGAGAGCGGTTCTTGCTGACTTACCCAACCACTGGGACACGACTAGGTCACGGAACCTGCCTCTGCGCCTGACAGAATTTTATCAACCCCTGAACTCAAGACAGAAAGGCACCGCTCCACGCACGTCTTGAAGAAGCAGGGTCACTATACTTATTGTCATGTGAAGTGAATGGGTGGCCATGAGGTGATGGTAGGTCATTAATCATTGCTGAGCCATCGTCAGACAGCGTGTAGAAGGGGACAGACGGCGCGCGGTTTATGTAGGGACAGACCCGCCGAGTACAGTGATCTGCTGGGTAGAAGATGGCTAAATGGCTCACGAGTTGCACATATAGGCCGAATAGGGACAAGGGGATCCGTGTAGCAGAAATGGCAGACGCTGAGCGGAGACCTGACGCTGGGCGAGTGCACAGATGGCTTGAAAGGAGTGCGTTGCGTCAGGGGTGCATGTGGGGCGTGGCAAGGAAGGTCGGCGGTACGTACGTTCAGAAGGCTGCCAAACTCGGCCTGAGTCATTAGTCACTTCGACGGTCTTGCGAGGTGTCGATTGGCCTATCATCAGTCTTTTGACCGCCGCGTAAGATCAGTTAGGCTGTAATGTACGCGTGTCTCCACAAAAACGATGCGAATCGATCGCGGTGGAAAACAGGGGGACACGGCCTAGGACAGGTGGCTTTGGAATATTATAGTCGCCTCGGCTAGCAGAGACAAAGCGAGTCAGCAGCAACATAGTACGAGGAGAACGGTTCGCTCACGTCAATTGTAATGCCGGGTCCAGGTTATCGTGTCAATACCACAAGACGTCCACTATACCACAATCAGACCATGATCGGAGCAATCCACCGAACACGACCTCGAGCTGCCGAACGATGTCGTTAACTTCCACCTACTTATCTCTCGACCGTCGCACCACATAGGCGCATCTGCACCACGACGTCCTTCGGCGCGTCGAAGTACGGCTCGGCCATGACTTCGTGCAGGCCCCGCAAGTCGAGCTGCTCGAGGGCAGCACTGAACTCGTGATCCCGACTTGTGCTTTGATACGTAACGACATTGATTCGGATTCGGATGAGCTAACATCTTGGGACCGTGAAGAGAATACCGCGTAACGAATCCGCCATCTTGAATAACTGGGCGAGCTAGGGGCGTCTGTGAGGAGGAGGTCGGTGAAGAGAGAATCCAGAGACCGCAAGGCCGTATTTCGCGCGAGGTTCGTGGGGGCATCTACATCGAGCATGCGTGCCAGCAAGTGGAGCTCGATCGTACAAGCCAAAGGGACTCCTCACGCTCAGGCAAGTTGTATCGAGTGAGGGATGACCCTGCTGCTCCGAAGAGTTTCATCTTGTCCACAATCTGTAGTGAGGGCTCACGCTTGAACTTTGCCGTCAGATTCTTGAGAGCGGTGCAGGAGCCTGAGTGGATCATCCAGTCGACGAACGCCGCCATGAGTTTCCGGCTCAGATCACCGTCAAGAGACCGAGGTGTGCGGACAGTGAAGCGATTGGCATAGCTTCCGCATAGCTATGTAGCAGAATCCTGTCGAGCGAGATTGATGTTCCAAAAGTGTGAGGTCTGCAAGTCGGGGGGGGAGGTACACACGACCCGCCACAGCTGCGAAACACTGGACAGAACACAATGAGATGTGACAGGAATAGAAAGAAATTGGAGTGCATTGAGGGATGCAACTCGCATATCCCAAGGACTTGCACACCGGGCATCACGTACCCGAGAGCAAAGGGCACTGTGTGAAGGAAGCGGCTCCGATGAGAGGGGTAGCTCTCGCTGACCATTAGCTCGCGCGCGAACGCGAGCCGCTGCTTGAGACGCGGAGATGTGTGACACTGCTTAAACAGCATGTTAAGGTTTGCGCGGTCATTGACAGCGTGGTACAGGTTTGCATCGCGCGATGGTACCATGCTGCGCAGACCAGCGCAGCCATCGCTAACGTGGGCTGATCCTTCCGGTAGATGATGAACTCTGATGAACTCGAGGTCCTCGAGGGGGGTGCAAGCGGGGAAGACTCGGAGTGCCTCGACCACTCGATTGTACCGCTGAGCAAGTTTGCCGATAAGGTACGTATGGGTGGAAGTTGAAACAGCGGCTCACCCGCTCGTATGTTGACTTTGCACACCAACGGTAGCTGAACGTAGTACGTTCTGTATGGCAGTCCCTTCAACCGCAGTACGCCAGTGACACTGCCCAGTCATCATGCATCAATGCCAACCACCGACGCATGAGGTTCGGATGGTGGAGCCACCGTGCTGAGTCAGTCACTGGACGACTTGCCTTGTCAAGACGAGTGACAACCCTGGCATGAAGAAGGTCAACTTGAGGTCAACGCCTGGCTTATACTAGTTGGGACGAAGTTAAAACAATACTCAGTGCGCTTGCCTGCGCTTGCAGTGGCACTGACTCTGAGGCGGTGACTTCAAGTTCCCACGTCTCCCCTACCTTGTGCGAAGAGACACTGCTTTTCGCGGGCCGGTGACTCGACCTTTGCGAAGCGGAGTGAGATGTAAAGTGCCCCAGGGCAAGTCTCCTGCGACGCTTTTGCTCAGTCTCAGGCTGTCGACATCGCCGTGCAAGTTGAACATCGCTCTGCGGCTGTCCGCATCCAGTATGCAGGCACGTGATGACGCCTTGGAGAGGCGGCGCGCGCCGCAGCAGCGCCCCATCCCTCTGCATAGAACCACCACCACTGCCTGTGCGTTTCCAGTCTCGTTCTCGATAAAAACCGCTCGTTCATTTACCAACTCACCCAGCCGTTGCTTTTCACGACTCTCACAACTTGATAGACGCATGCGATTGAGTAGCGTGCCATTGGTCCTGGCCGGGGCTAGCTTGGGTAAGTACTGCGGAGTCCTTGTCAGGCCGAGGTGGATAGTAATGCTCACGGGCTCCTATGTTGTCGTGAACTGTAGCTATCCAGGCCGGTGCTTCCCCCCTCCGCGTTGTGGTTGTTTCTTCGCACCAAGAAGTCTCCACAAACAACGCTCACAGCAATGCGGAGGCCAACGTCGTCGCTGCTGGCCCTTCCCTCGTCCCAGGCGTCGCAATGATGCGCGTCGACCACAAGTCGTCCATCCATACCGGCGAGCGCATGCGCGCTCACCACTGCGGTGGATCCGTCCGCGGGACCGTCAAAGACTTCGTCAACAAGATATTTGGCTTCTCGGGCGGCGAGCGTCCTCACGCCGACGCTGCCATACCAGAGCATCCTCACGCCGAGCCCGGACGTGTCAGCATCCTCCCGTGGCTCGGTCCCCCCTGGACGGCCCCCACCGCGAGCACGAGCCCGGTCGAGTGTCGGTCCTTCCTTGGTTCGGCACTCCGGACGGCTACGCCGGTAGTCCTAGGCCCGTCGATACGGGTGCTGTCGAAACCGATGGCGAAGGCAGAGTGCGCCACCACGGCCGCCCGCCGTCCGAGAGTGTGGTGGACGCCAAACATGGCCAGGAAGATGTCGGGCCCGTGCGCATCGTCCATATGAGCGAGGAGGAGGGCCCGCGCAGGAGGTTCCGCCACCGCCACGGGCCCTTCCTTCGCCGCATGCACTTTGCGCTCATGGCTCTCGGACCTTGGGAGGGCCGTGCTGTCGCCTTTGTGCTCGGTGAGTGAAACATTGACGTACGTATGTTGTTCTTGACTTCTCATCTGATCTGCACAGGCTGTGGAATAGGCGTTCTGCTCCGCATGGTCTGGGTCATGGGCGTCGTCCTCGCCCGTACCATCGGTGGCAGCAGGAGCGAGGATACCGCCGAGGCCGTCTTCGACGCCGATGCGGAGGAAATACTCGTCGCGCCGCCCCAGTACACGCAATACCCCGACGAGAAGACTCCCGCCGTCGTCGAGGAGAAGCCCCAGGCGGCCTAGGCGAAACTGTACATCGCAGTTGTGCCTCCCAAAGAGCGCGAACACTGCCCATCACGAGTACAGTTGTACAACACCTCTATGCAATCCCCTTGGTTCTCGTCCCTCCCGGATCCGGCTCCCCATCGATTCATAAAAACCCACATCAGAATATCAGAGTGAGAAATGTCGAAATGTCGAGTCGTTCGTGTCTGCCTGCGCGTCGTGGTGCCTGTTGTACGATTCCGTGTTATTCTCGTTTCACATAACTTCGGTTATAGGCGAACATAACGCAATGGACTAGTTTATATATTCCCTCGTAATCCCTGGCGTGTAATGTTCCACAGCGTCGGACGTCGCACAGGGTGTCTATGCGTTGTTTGTCATTTGGAATATATCTCGCCTGTCATCCAGTACTGTACTGAGTCCGACGTCTCTGCCATGGTGTTGGGATGACCGCGATGAGGAACATCTTGCGGCTGAGTAGTATTCGCCGCCGTCCATATGGGCAGCAGAACAGGTAACCTGCACCTCACTGCGCAGAGTACACCAGCCTTTGATACTCTGCTGCCTATTGATCGAAGGATTGAAGATCGGGTGATAAGCTCGACCCCGCGTCGACGAGTTGGTGCGCCTTGGAGCCGTATACCAGGTCGTCAAGGTCTAAATCCTCCGAGTCTGGCTCACTGGACTCACATGAATACGAGACCGGAAGCAGAGCTGCTGCATCGACGCTAAATGGGACAGTTTCCTGCCAGCTCTCAGACATTAAGTCACTATCATCGCAGTATTCCTTGGGCCCTGGATCTTTCCGGAACTACCAGCTGAATCGTCATCGGGCTGTCCGGGCTTCTGAGGCTGAAAATGCCCACTGCCGTATCCTTGATGGCGTGGATGAAGCAACCCTTTATCATCGCACGGTCCCGAATTGCAGTAAGTCTACATCATTTGTTTCTTCTCTGGTTCTATCGACGAGTATACAGGCTCTATATTATTTGTTTCAGTTCTCGCACCACCTTCGTGCATTTTGGAAGATCCTGAACCACGGCCCGACGCCCTTCCAGACCTCTTTGACATCCGGCGGGTACCAACTGTTACTGACCAGCTGCGTCACTCGCTCGGGATGCGGCATCAACGCGAGCACCCTGCCATCCGGAGTCTGCACGCCAGTGATGCCGAGTGGACTGCCATTCGGGTTGAGTGGGTACACCTCTGTCGGCCCGCCCTTCGCGTTGACATAGCGTACTGCCACCAAGCCTTCAGACAGCAGCGCCTCCTGGTCCTGCGTCGCCCTGAACGAGACCCGCCCTTCGCCATGCGCGACGGCAACAGGGAACTTTGAACCCGCCATGTCGCTCAGGAATACCGAGTTGTTCGTTACGCTCCCAGATACGACCTCCACCATGCACACGCGCCCTTCGAAGCGCTCACTGCGGTTCTGCTTGAAGTCGGGCCATGCCTGCGCGCCGGGAATGATCTCGCGCAGGTGGCTCATGAACTGGCACCCGTTGCACACGCCCAGAGCAAACGTGTCCTTGCGCGCGAAGAACGCCTCGAACTCTGCTCGTGCCACCTCATTCAGCAGGACTGAGTTTGCCCAGCCCTTCCGGCGCCAAGGACGTCGCCGTAGGAGAAGCCACCGCAGGCTGCGAAACCGCGGAAGGACTTGAGGGATATGGAGCCGGTAAGGATGTCGGACATGTGGACGTCGACGGCCTCGAAGCCTGCTTCGGTGAAGGCCCATGCCATCTCGATCTGGCCGTTCACGCCCTGTTCTCGGAGGATAGCCACCCGGGGTCGATGCGCTGTGACATGCGATGGCTGTGGCGTGAAGTTGAGCGCGTAGGATAGACCGGTATGCGTCTGGTCGTCGATGAGGTTGTACTCCTGCTTAGCGCCCACGGGATCATCGCGGAGGGACTGTAATCTGAAGGATGTCTCGGCCCATGCCTGTTGAAGTGCGGGGCGACTGTTAGAATAGAGCACCTCATTGTTGCACACGATGGTGAACGTTTGGTCGCCAACGCTCTTGACCTGACCGATGCTGCGGATATGTGGAACAGGGAACCCAGCTTGCGCGAACAAGTCGACAAGGCGGTCGTAATCTGACAAGCGGACCTGCACGACTACACCAAGCTCTTCGTTGAAGAGCGCGGCAACGGGGTCATCGCACGATGCAAGGCCATCCAATGCGATCTCTACGCCAACACGGCCTGCGAAGGACATTTCGGCGACGGTGGTGAAGAGACCGCCATCCGAGCGGTCGTGATACGCCAGGACGAATTCAGGTGCACTCTCGCGAATGGTCTGAGTGCCGACCAAGAACGCCTTGAGCATCGCAGGGTCATCGACATCAGGAGATTCAGAACCAATCTCCTTGAACACCTGCGCGAGTGCGGATCCGCCCAGCCTCTGCTTCCCAGCAGCTAGATCGAAGAGGACCAGGACAGTGGGTTCCTCGACGTCCGTGCGCAGCTGGGGTGACCACGTCGCACCCACGTCCTCAACGCCAGCGAAGGCGGTGACGATCAGCGAAAGCGGAGAGCTGACTTCCCGCTGCTCATCGTCTTGGCGCCACTTCATCGACATTGACATCGAGTCCTTCCCGACAGGTATACCGACGCCCAGCGCAGGGCACAGCTCCATACCAACAGCGCGGACGGCAGCGTACAGCGCAGCGCCTTCGCCGGCCTTCGACGCCGCACACATCCAGTTCGCGCTGAGCTTCACGCGACCGAGATCGCCAATGCGCGCGGCAGCCAAGTTGGTGAGAGACTCGGCGACTGCCATGCGCGCAGAGGCAGCGGCGCTCAGCAGCGCGACTGGCGTCCGCTCGCCCATGGCCATGGCCTCCCCATAGCGAACGTCGAAGCCGTATGAGGTTTGGGTGACAGCTACGTCGGCGACGGGGACCTGCCAGGGCCCGACCATTTGATCGCGAGCGACGAGGCCGGTGATGCTGCGATCGCCGATTGTGATGAGGAAGGACTTCGAGCCAACGGAAGGCAGCCTGAGAACGCGGCTCACGGCATTGTCGATTCGATCCCGAGCGTGGACGAAGAGGGTAGGTAGCGGGAGAGCGTGGTGTCGAAGGGTACATGGTTAACAGCCTTACTGCTGTCTGTGCGGTGCATTCGGGAGGCTTGCCAAACAAGGTGGACATCTTCAGCCGGATGACGTCCGTCTTGAACAGCCTGTCTGTCACCACGAGTTCCTCCTCGGCGGTAGCGACACCCACGATCGAGAAGGGGCACCGCTCGCGGTTGGCCAATGCGCGGAACTGTTCCTCCTTCTCAGGCGATATGGCGAGAACGTAGCGTTCCTGAGATTCGTTACACCAGATCTCCATTGGTGACATGCTCGTGTCTGCAACGAGGACATCTCGGATCTCGAAGGTAGCCCCAAGTCAGAGTCATGCACCAGCTCCGGGAGAGCATTCGAAAGACCACCAGCGCCGACGTCGTGGATGGACTGGATGGGGTTGTCCTCGCCCAGGTTCGTGCACGCGTCGATCACTTGCTGGGATCGTCTCTGCATCTCTGCGTTGTCCCTCTGCACGCTCGCGAAGTCGAGCTCGGCCGAGCCAGCACCTGAGACCTGGCTGCTCGCAGCGCCTCCTCCAAGCCCGATAAGCAAGCCGGGGCCGCCGAGGACGATGATCTTCGCGCCAGAGGAGATCTTCGACTTCAAGGAGAACGATGGGCGGACGTTTCCCAGGCCGCCGGCGATCATGATCGGCTTGTGGTATCCTCGCACCTCGGTCTCGCCCTCCGTCCCAGCAGGCACACGTTCAGCGAATGTGCGGAAGTACCCCGCGAGTGCTGGGCGCCCGAACTCGTTGTTGAACGCACTCGCACCGAGGGGGCCCTCTATCATAATGTCCAGAGCGGAGGCGATGTGCGCAGGCCGCCCAAAGTCCGTCTCCCAAGGCTGCTCGTAGCCCGGTATGAGCAGGTTGGAGACGGTGAAACCTGCGAGGCCGGCCTTGGGCTTCGAACCGCGCCCGACGGCGCCTTCGTCTCGGATTTCACCACCGGAGCCTGTGGCAGCGCCAGGATAAGGCGAAACGGCTGTAGGGTGGTTATGCGTCTCCACCTTGACTAGGATGGGCATGTCCTCCAGGTGGGCCTCGTACGTGGGCAAGCTGGACGAGGCGAATGAGACACCGAACCGAGGAGCGCGGTGGCCTTCGAAGACGGCTGCGTTGTCGGAGTAAGCAGAGATCGTGCCCTGACCCGAGATCCTTTCGGTATTTCTGATCATCTGGAAGAGAGACGTGTCCTGCGGCTGGCCGTCAACGGTCCATGATGCGTTGAATATTTTGTGCCTGCAGTGTTCTGAGTTCACTTGTGCGAACATAAACAGTTCTGCGTCCGTAGGATTCCGATTGATAGGCGATGGACCCGCGACGAAGGCATCGACCAAATAGTCGACCTCATCGGAAGACAGTGCCAACCCCAGCTCCTTGTTGGCAGCACCCAGCTTGTCGCGCGCATGCTGCTTGTCTTCGCTGCTGGATACCAGGTCGACGGTTATAAGAGGCGCAGCAGGCCTGTGTGCAAAAAGCAGCTCCGGGTGTGGACGACTCAGTTGGACAACTTGAGTCATGCGATCGTGAAGCAGGTCTCTAAACAGGGAAAGGTCCTCTGGGGTGATGGGACCCTCCGATGTCTGGAAGACGAATGCCACCCCTCGTTCGATGCGCTTTACGTGCTCTCTGAGGCCACAGAGCGCCGCGATGTCGGTAGCCTTGCTCGACCAAGGCGATACAGAACCGGGTCTGGGCAGAACGTACACCACATTCTGCTGAGTGTGCAGGGCGTCCGCGGTTCCAGGCAGGGAGATATAGTCGCCATAGTCGAGAAGTCGCTCAAGGGTGGCCCGTGACTTTGATTCGCCGGATTGCAACTCGTTGCCTTGTTCCTCCACGAGATGGACGTAGACAGCGTCGGCGAGAGCGACTTTGGGGCAGCGCTTCTGAATGCTCTTCAGCAGGAGTTTTCGTCTCGTGTCGGAGAGATACGATGATCCATGGAGTTCCAACATGGCTACAGAATGAAAGTGGGTCATTAAAACCCACTCATTGAGAAATCTGGAAACGCACCCGCTCACGCTACTCCGGGTGATCGCTCTTCGACACCAGATGGCCTCGGGGACGCGAGCGCTCTGCCACTACAAGCGAAGTCTCTATGTCCACACAAGTCAGATATCCCATCTAAGAAATAATGGTCATATATCGTGCATACTAACCGTGGAGCTCAGGCTGGTCGAGGATGAAGAGGCGATCCCAATTCATGGTTCTGTTCAGAGTCACGGTCAAATTTGCGGGGAAAGCACTCGCATCTAATCTAATCTCTTCGGAGATCGTAAAAGGCAATCTCATCTTATCTACTGAGTGACGCGCCGTTCGTGAGTCGACCAACCTCGATGTCTTCTCACTCGCAGCGTCGGCGGACGCATCTCCTACGCGTTCTTACTCATGGACCTGATTTCTTCATGATCCGTCTATTCTCACTCTGCTCATGACCGAGCCTTGTAACAAACGCCTCTGTTGACGCCAAGTCAAACGCGAAACAACCTCATTGCGACGGACTAAACACTCGCAGGACACCCAGAGGCTGCCAGTAACACCAGTAATCCGCCATGGTCGCACACAATGATAAACGCTTGCTATGGCACCCGCGACACCAGAACCGCTTCGTAGTCGGTGGAGGATCACAGATCACGCTCTATGAATGGGTTCCCGACTCCTCCGAAATCAAGCAAGTCACCGCACAGCAGGACCTGCCGCACATGAAGGTGAAGCTTTCTGCATCTGGGAAGATGGTGGCAGCTGAGCAGATTTTTGCTAGTGCTTTGCTTGGTCCCCTGATGCAGCCTTCGACGATCTCATCGCTGTCGGGCATAGCTCTGGTAAGGTAGATCTAATGCGACTGGAGGCCAGCAAACATCCCAAGAACGCGTCTTGTCTAGCGGACCCACTGTGCCGCTTCCAGTCCGCAACTCGCGTGCGTGCAACTCTCTGGCGTTTCTGCGGCGGATCCAAACTACCTCGCGGTCGGGCTGGACAAGGTCCGCGGCGATCATAGTGTAGTTGTATGGGATGTGCACGCAGCCATCCCTCTCCTCTCCCTCAAGGCGGAATCCCCGAAGTCCGCGACTCATCATGCACCCTCGTCCAGCCGTTCGAACAACCAGTCTCAGCGCGACATCACGCCCAAGTCTGGTCCGCGCATCTTTCAACAACATGCTCCCGCGGAGATGGTCTCCTCCGTCGCATTTCTGCCCACTTCATCCAGCTTGCTGCTCGCTGGAATCTCGCACCGCTGGTTGCGTCTCTTCGATTTAAGGTCTCCGCAGGATTCTCCTTTAAGCGTGGCGAGCAAAGTCCACGTTGTAGTAACGGATCCGTTCGAGCCACACCGAATAGGCTGTTTTGGAGACAACGTCGCCACAATATGGGATGCTCGGCGACTAGCACAGCCGTTGCTGACATTCACGGAGAAAGATGCGGGAGCAGACGGCGTACGAACGAAGAACGGCTCCGAGTTCATGACGATGGAGTTTTCGAATACGCGGAGAGGAGTGCTGGCTACCCTCGGCAAAGACGCACACCATGTCAGATTCTGGGACTTGCAACAAGCGGAGGTCGTTGATGCCAGCTCTCCAGATCGGGCGCGCTCTAGAGACTCGTCGCAATCTAGCAAGATAACTCGCTCATGGACGAATCCTTCCAGCATCTTGCCGTCCGCTTGGACTGGAAGTGGAGGGTCGAACGCATCACCTGTGGCAGCGCCTAATGAACGTCGCTCCCCATACCATCTGGTCCTCTCGGACACCCGGAAGAGTACGCATCCTCTGGCTTTGGCTGCATATAAGCTGACGACTGTCGTCCTCTGCAGCGAAGAACTTCACGCGTCCGCTCGCCTCCTTCGCCCTGGTACCAAGCAGCAAGACCCACCCCTCACCTCAGACGTAATGGTGGTCAACAAGGAGGGCGACCTCGAGCTATATGCAGTCCATGATACACCAAAGTCTATACCATGGAGTCCTCGCGGGGACCTCGGCGTCGGGCTCGCATGCTCATACAGGGTCTTCCCAGGCATCCGCGATCTCAATCCACCACCAGAACCATGGGAGATCCAACTCCCTTCGTCCGCACCGGGTTCGAAAGCCCACTCAGTCGACAGGCATGCCCCAAAGGAAGGGTCCGTCGCGAGAGGCCGGCGGGACATGCAGATCAAAGTCCTCCCCCGTTGTTTGGCCGAGGAGACGAGGATGGGTTTCCTGCGCTGCCGGTCAAGTCTCCGATGACTCTTTCGACGTCGAGGTCTGGTCGGAACCGCACTTACAGCCCATCTGCCCTCCGGAATCTGCAGTTTGAACACTCTACCTTAGCGCGGCAGCCCCGTCGTCGCCATGCCCCTGTCAGTCCGGCCGCGCCTCCGCCTCCGGTGACCGATGTGTTGCCCTTGAACGGCGGTGCTATGCCTCACAAACAACATCATGCTCACTACGGCGGCAGCAAGCTGACTACTGAGAAGGCGCTCCAGAATCTGGTGGAAGAGGACATCTCGATGTTGATGCGTCAGCGCGTCGTTCGGGGTTACGGGTTGGCCAGCGTGCGTTGGTTTCCGACTTTCGTGGGTTTGTTTGACTGAGCGGTCAACAGCTCTGGCATAACGCGATGATTGCACGAGATACTTCGTCAGATCCTGCCCTCATCGAGCTCTGGCGCTGGCTACATCGTACGTACCTAGCATTCTGGTAGCTACTCCATCTAAATCGTGTGCCAGACTCGCAGTATTTGCTATCCAAACCAGCACCAAGAGTTGAAGGCTTTAACTTTTCCTGCCAAGGTCTTCTTGGAATCTGGGAAGGCTTCCCTTCAAGCCATCCGCAGGTATCGACATCCACGAATACAACGCCTCGCGTGATGGCCCGGCGGAGTGTCCTTCCGAATACACCAATGCAGTCCTTATCGGCGCTGACTCCGGACCTACTGAATATAAAACCTTCATCGAGGCATAGCAGCCGTCGTCGTCCCCACGGCGGCGGATGTCTGAGAATTTCTTGCGGCCATCACGGTACTTGCGGAGCGGAACGACTTGGACACTACCTCGTGGAAGCCGGCTGTGATGACGTCCAGGTTGGTGCAGCGACACCTGGCATTGCATTTATGTGGTTGGAGTTTGGCTGAAGATGATCTCTTGCAAGCTATCAAACGGTGAGTTCAATCAGGTACCCTACACACATATAGCTGACGACGAATTCAGATGGGAGAAAGAAGGCAGGCATTCGCAAGCCGCATGTTGGCTCATATTTACGGACAGGTCGAAGGCTGCGGTTGACTTGCTGATGCGAAGCGAAGGTACGAACCTTCAGTACTCCGGTCTTCACCGTGATTGAGACTACTACAGACGAGTCGCTCCACATGATGTCCGGTATGCTCGCTGCACTGGCGCCTGCCTCCGGCGGGCCCGTCAAGAACCCCGACCTCGTCGAGCACTGCGAACGCTTGGTCGTCCGCTTACAAGACCCTTACCTCCGGGCTATGCTCACATATCTTGCCGTGAGGGACTGGTCAGAAGTTCTACAAGAAGAGGCACTACCTCTACGAGAACGGCTCGCCATCGCTTTTCACTTCCTAGACGATAGAGATTTGGGGTCTTACCTCCATCGTGTCGCCGACCGAAGTAGTCATGACGGCAACATGAGGGCCTGATCGTGACAGGTTGACGGCTGCAGCGTTGGACATCTTGCAATCCTATGTCGACGTCACTGGCGATGTGCAGACGGCGGTGGTCCTGTCTTCGATGACCCCTGCAGGTGCCCATGACACTCGGGCAAGTCATTGGTTGGATGCTTACCATGATCTACTCGATGGCTGGAAGCTCTTCCACCACCGATGTCAATTTGACGTCGATCGCGGACGCGTACTGCAGGACGCTATTCAGAACGACGAGCTGGCCCGATACGAGTGGGCGCCGCGCCAGATACTGCTTCGTTGTAACTACTGCAACAAGCCGATAGACTCGCCTCACCACGAGGCACGGAGTAATGCTCCTAGGGTGCGTCCTATACGTACATTTGTTCCGTAATCGCTCGTCATCTTCGTCCCAGGCTACTGCTTGCCCTCATTGTGGCCGTCCTCTACCGCGGTGCTCCGTATGCCTCATGGCACTCAGCATTGTGCATGACTCGATGCGGAACGCGGCACTGATCCGTTCGGGCTCTGGGGGTATGTCCACCGTCCGTCACCGTTATTCGTACGGCGAAGTTGACGACCTCTCAGACACCATCGATGACGCACTCGTCTTTTGTCAGACCTGTCGCCACGGAGGGCACGCGTCTCACATCTTGCAGTGGTTTTATGGCGAGGATCGACGGCGCTCTCATGGGACTTGCCCGGTTGCTGGATGTGACTGTAGATGTTCTGACGGTTTCTGATGCTAATAGTGCTATGCAGTGTCTGTTCTAGCATTTCCAACGACTTGCACTGGTGTACTTCTACATACTAATGAGGCTGATGTCTTCGGCGAAGTTAGTCACTCCGCGAAGCCACTATAGTAAGCTCGGCCCTCGGTCGACGGTCGAATATTCCTTGCTGCGCCGTGAAGCCTACGCTCGGACACGACGTACATCTTCCATGTCGCAGTCGACTTCCCGTCTCCTGACGATGTATGATGTGAGTCCCAAACCCTGCCGTATATAGGCAGCTGCTGACTCTATTCATCTCTACGCTAGTAATAATCATAATCGTAGTACTCGCGCTCGAAGAGTTCGAGCTCGTCGAGATCCTTCTTCTGCTTCTTCTTCTTATTCCTATGTTTATCGCTAAAGGATGTGTCAGTTGATCCTCAGCAGAGAAGAATACCCACACTTACACAAGGGACTTGATGCCTGACCCGACCGCAGAGGCAGCGTGGACGGCGAAGCCGAAGAGGCCACGCTCCTCAAGTTCCCCGTGAGGGTCCCTGGCGAAGAGGTCGTCGTAGTAGTAGTCTCGCGCGTATACATGGCTATGGAAAGATCAGCGAGACGTTGATTAGGATGGTACCATGCGTACCTCACAGGTCGAGACAGCACGGGCAAAGCCGTAGCGGAAAGAGCAATGACAGCAAGAACGGCGGAGAAGCGCATATTGAAAATGAACGCAAGAGTACGTGGTTATGATAAAGAAGACAGAGCGTAAGAATCGTCAACGGCAAGTTAAGCTTAAGTCGTGAAGGGTGATGTCGAAGTGAGGCTACCATGGCCAGCATGTGTGTAAGTGTATAATTTCTTATTACCTTTAGGGAATCGGAAGAGGAGCACGTACCAACCAGTACCGACTTCGATGGCTCGCACTTGGCAGGGAGTGGGGAGCTGAAGGCCAACTCTCTCACCACCACCTTTTATATATCAGTCAACTAACGGCTAAGCCATCGTCGCCGGATGATCCGAGACGAAAGACTTGATCGTCCGCATGAACTTGGTATTCACGCCGAACGGCACATGGGAGGGGAGCAAGATGCGGTGCCGCAATTACATCAATCGGGAAGAGCTTCGCGGGCGATATTACTTGCAATCGTACAGTGCCTAGACTTAGCTATATAGGAAACGCTTTGCGTTTTACGAAGACAGAGCGCAGTTGCACTGCCCTCTGGGCTTGACAGGAGCCTGATGTATGTATGACACACGTTGCCATCAAACAGCGTCGTATTATCAAACACCCATTGGGTGCCAAGATGTCTATGTACAAGTGGTAAGAATGCTAGGTTGTACACTGGTGTACAGCTTTTGTACGGCATCTACTAGTCGGCATCTCGTAAGGCCGCAAGCTAGTACTACGACGTATAGACGCCACTAGTAAGTACGCCGTTACATACGTGCTGCTCTATATGCCGAGTCGAGTCAAATGTCAGTCCCGCATCAGCGGCCGTCAAATCGATGTACTGACCCGGTACCGTTGACCATTGAAGAAACTCGCTAGCAGTTGCCACCGTGTAATTGTGTTGCATACTATCAGTCATACGACCGATGCCGGATACCTCTGACCTGAGATTTCTGGGATACGTTGAACTTCAACCTGAAAGAAATTAAATGTAGACGTCACACTGCAGTGGGGACCTCGATCATTGATGCTCGGCCGGGCCTCGGACTCATTGTCTTCCAGCCAGTGCCCAGGACGAAAGCGCCCAAACAGGAGTCCGACTCGTTCGCGGCATGCATAGGAAACATATATGAGGCAGCTGAGTCCACTTGGCAATGTGATTACATCTCGAGATTGAGCTCGTCGATGCAACATCGACGCCCAGACTATCTCGAACCTCTCGGAGTTCCGAAGCTAAGGTTTCGCCTGTACTGCCATGCATCGCTCTTCAGTACTTATCGTCAGTGCAATCCATTGTACACTCACGCGTAGGAACCAGAGAAGATTTGAGGGCGTCAATGGTCGATCTATACATTGACCTCACTGGTCTGTGGACATCTGCGCTTCGACGACAACGGCACCTGTAAGTACCAGACCATTGACCACTGACTGTCGGTTGTGTTTGTGGTACAGATTGGCAGTAGAATGGGCTATTTGACGCTGGATGCGACGAGTCGAAGGTCCTATACATTTGATGGTAAGTACTATGTCAAGGACTCGAGTTCGCTGAAGGTCAATATTGTCACAGCTTATAGAATAGCCACGGCGTGATGTTACGGCTTTCTCATATAGATCCATGCTGGCCAATCGACGAACGGTGAAGCCATGTTCCGGTAGCCCATCAGTTCAAAGCCTAGACGACAGTAAATTGCGACCTATTGTGCATGTCAGAGTGTCGCCGAAACACCAGATGGTGACGCTTACATTGCGGACGTGCGTAGTGGCAAGTGCCATGATCCATCCGTGAGGCTTAGCCTACGTGAAGATCAGCGAGGCAATGACCTTGATATTCGAGTGAAGGTTACCTTCTGGTAGGCAAGCTCTGTCATTGCCGTCGAGATACCCTGCTGTTGATACTCGGCAGCAACGAAGTTGAAGTTGCACCAGTACGTGTTCAGTTCGCACTAGCATCCTTAATACGTCCCCTTGTATGCGATATGAATTTCAGCTTACGTTCTCTATGCCAGTGAACTCATCAATCGTCTTCGGAAAGTCAACTCCCATCTGAGGCTCCGCTGATCAGCAACCATCCAGCCGTCACAAACATCCGTGTTCTCTACTCACCGCCTTCGGAAAGTATTCCTTCGCTTTCTCTGACAGTCGAGCGTTGAAGTCCGTAAGCCGGTCCCTCTGCTCTTCGCTAAAATTGCCCCAGAGTCAGCGATCATGAGTACAGACCCGGAGACAGGCAAACAGACTTACGTCGAAAAGAGCAGCTGCCCCGGCGGAACCCACCCTGAAATCCCACCATAACACCACGCTCGTTGAAAGCGGCATACATGTCGCCACACGTGAAGGCGATAGCGCCGACCATCGCTCGTATCAAGTAGGGAAGTATACGCATATTTCCGCCAGTCAGAGCAATGGCGAGGGGGTCTGCATATCATGGTGAGTATACATGGCGCTTGTGTGAGCAGCGTGTCTGGCGAGACCTTCTTGCATCAGTTTGCAAAAGATTTGAACAGCTTCTTCGACATGCCCCTCTGGATGTACGCTCTCAGTACGCTCAAGATGTACAGGGGAATGAAGATGTCCTACATACCCGTCGGATTCTCCAGTTTATTGACGACGATATTTGAAGATACCATGACCACTGCGCGTCAAGCCAAATTTTCGGACAGGATATGTTCCGGAAAGGCAAGATTTCCTGCGCTTTACCGTCATATTTCCTCGGAGGATATCAGGCGAAAAGGTGCAGGTAAAACAAGATTTCCGAATGATTTCCGGGCACTTTCCCTGCCCAATCCGACAGGTGTTCTCGCTGGGGTTTCTAGCTGTCATACGAAAGCGCCGTCCCCGCGTCTCGCTCACTTCGGCACAATAAACAATACTTGTTTGTGAAGTGTACTGTACATAAGATATACATCGAACTGGCCCAGTGATCACTCATGCATCAGCGAGAAACAAACGAGCCCGACCAGTGCTAGTAGTAGCGGAGCCTGCGCGTGCGAGAGACCGTCAATACTGCATGTGTAGCCTGATACGTCCGAGACTGATTACCATGACAGCTTTGACGTCCTGTAGTCCCGAGCTTCGCAATATCACCTTCTACGGTATAATACCACGTCTGATTTCCTGGACGAACGTGAAAGACTTTCAGCCAGCTGCAGGAGGCTAGTGTGACTGTGTGATCACCCTTGACGAACCTTTGCACCACACTCAGCTTTGCAGCGGCTGGCTTGCTGTTGAACCCACAGTTGTAGTAGTATGTCGAACACGCACAAACATGAAGCGAGTCTCCGAGGACCTATATCGCGCCGATCGCCCAGCCGGGACCCACCAATCAGTAAACGTCCACGCATCGAGATGGAACGTGCTGGTCTCACCGGTCGTCGCGACGACTCACCCACTCCATCCCAATCTTCTTTCCGCCACCCATTTCCGAAGTCGGATGGCGCCAGCCATGCAGGACGTCGCGGTGACACACCGAGCCTTGCTGGACTAGGCATGTCGCATCGGGACCCACCCACCAGCTCGGGTCAAGCTTCTCGTCTACTCCTATCCCGGCGCCGGAGTCGCAGCGAGAGCCCACGGCGATTAACAGCTACATCTAACAGTGAGTATTAGCCAGATTTTGGAACTCGTTTGCTCACAGCCATCGAAGGACTCGTATCGGAACCGCCAGCAGCCAAACACATGCAACGACCTGCTGTCATTGGAGGTGTACGGCCGCCTGCTCAGCTGAGCAAAGCGACCGCCGATATGCTTCAGTCACTGCGATCGGATGTGGATCGCCTACAGAGACAACTTACCGAGAAGGATTTGAAGCTCAAATCGCTGGAAGATCGCTTGGGCGTGCTTGGAGTGAGTGTCGAAGAAAACCACGAAGCGGTGTGCGAGGTATTGAAGAGGGAGGACGTGGGTGTCTTCCACCGATTGGAATCACTCGAGAATAGTCACGACAGACTCTGGCATGGACTCAATGCTGTGCGGCAATCTCTGGAGAATATGGGACCTACCGAAGGAGCGCCGACTGCCGGAGATGTGCCCGAACCATCTGAGATAGCACCGAAGGTTCGCAAGAACAACACAGTTCTACAGGTGAGTCCGGTCCATTCAGTACGAAATGAGTGGTAGTGCTTACCGCGCCTCAGGCTGTCACGCGGAACGCGGTGTATGACATGATCGGAATCGATAGCAAGAGTGCTCTCCCGGAGCCAACAGGAGGTGACTTCTGGGTTGACGACGACGATGGGAAGCGGATGTTGCGACCTACCTGGGATCATTGGTATGACAACAAGTCAGGGTGGGTCCGAGGGGTCGCACAGAAGATCCAGCTAGACGGTCACCAGTGGCATGGCAAGATGAGTGCGGAGGAGTTAGAGAAGACACCGCTCACTGAGATTGAATCTTCGATCATGACTGTATGGGAGTCCCTCAGAGATCGATACAAAAGCAGCTTGAAGGCGCCGCAGGAGAGAGCTGATCAGCAAAGGGTTAAGCGGCACGAACAACGCAAAAAAACGGTGTGTAAAGACCCACCTCGCTCTTGTGAAAGGTCATTCACATTTTTCGAATCCAGAAACTTGCCGAGCGAAAGATGATGCGCCCGCAGGTAAAGGAGATGAACATCCCGAAGTGGGATTGGTTCTTGAGCGCATGGAAGTATATGTCGACCGATGAAACAGGCGGCGAAGAGCCACGCGATGGGACAGATGCTGTTGACGAAAACACATCAGAGGATGAGAAGGCGCATGTCACAGTCATTGCGAGACAGAAGGTCTGGATCACACACTGGCCTTCTTATCGTCCACGAGAGGTATGACTATCTGAGTTGTTGTTCTCGCCGTGCAGATATTGACACTGATTCGAAACTATGTCCAGCTTGAGGCACCACTGAAGAAGCTTGAGAAGGCGATTGCAACGCACCGCAAGGAACACTCGTCTGCGGGCGGAGCGCAGCATGCAGCGCGTACCCGTGGTCCACCGAAAGATAAGGACCTTCCAAACCTAACACGATTGAAGAATGCGCAGAAGATACCGCGCAGTCTTGTCGATCCCGAGTGGCTCGAGGAGCACCCTGACCAGAACAAACCACTCCTGATGGTTTTCGACGACCTGGACAAAGAGTATGATGGTGGAGATGAAGACGAAGAAGATGAAGATAAAGAGGGCGCACTAGTTGCACCGAGCACCTCTGACGCGCTAGTGGACCCGGAGTTGAACGATGGGGATGATGTGTTTAGTAACGTTGAGTAGTCTGTACGAATGAGCTCCGAGTCAGTGGTCAATCCATCAGTTTCTTGACAAACCTACCATGTGCATCGGCGGTGCCACGACAGCAGCGACGGGCTCTTGCTCGATGGCGTGGAGCCTTGGCCCTCCTGTAGGTGCTGTGCGAAGCGATGTGGACCTTGAGCTTTGGCATTGACGAAACATCGTCGACGATAAGCATGGGTGGGCTTTGGTGGCAACGTTGACAGACGCGCAGCAAGGCTCGGGATGGTGGTCGACGTGATGCTGGGCGGCCCTATGGCGTCGTCAACGGTACTGGTGTCAGCGCAGGCGAAGGGAGCACGTACGTGGAGCTCCTGTCCCAGGAACCGTGAACTCCGGCACCGTAGGCGACCTCGAAGGCGCACACAACAGACCGCTTTCCGAACAAGAGGCTTACCGTCTTGAAATTGAGCAGGTACCACGTGCGCTCCTTCATCTCGTCAATGGACAGCTCAGGCTCGTCCTCGTCGTTGAGGATTTTGGCGAAGTACTGCGCATCCTCGGTCTCAAAGACCGCGAGACGCTTGGAAAGAGAACCGTCCTCTTTCCCGAGTGACATCCAGTCGAAGGACCAACCTGGCCGCCCTGATCCTTCTGTGTGTCGAGGGCGCTAGCTCGCCAGGTCTGGTTAGAGTCGATCTTAGAACCGCGCCAGCTCACGCAGTGTCTCATTCTCCCAATACCACCCATTCACACCACGCCGCCGCCGATCAGCTGTTCTCCCTGTCGCGCCCTGGCGGATGGTTGCCGTGGCCCATGACCGGAACGATTCGAGCGTCAGGCAGCTTCTGTGGCCAGTTCTCATAGGAGTCGTACAGGAGCGGCGTGCTCGCCCTACAGCGGACGATCAGGTTCGTGTGGCTGGGCTCTGAAACGAACTGACCATGTTCAGCATGTCGACGACGCCTCTAGCCGTGCCGTGACAGGGTCACCAACTCCTCTGCGCTCGATCTGTTCCCGCGCAAGAGGGCCATCGTGATGGGCGAGTCGGAGAGGGGGAAGGAACTGTGAGGCACAGAGGGCAGTGCCCTCTGGATGCGACCACCCGGCCCGAAGCCAACGCGAACATCTCAGAGGGCACCACCGTGACGTACTCTCACTGCGGCGGGCGGGAGGAGGAGTTGTGGCGTGGAGAACTTGAAGTAGTGGAGGGCACTGGGGAGGAGCGAGAGCAACGTGGAGATGCATGGGTAGGTGGGTACGAGAGGATAGCCGTGTAGGCACGAGAAGGCAGGCACACCGTGGTGGGCATGTGGGCGCGTGAGGGAAAGCAGGCGGGCGTGAGAGGGCAAGCGGATGGGCTGCATGGGCGTGAGAGGGCAAGCGGAAGGGCGAGAGGACGTGGCTGTCACGACACGGATTCGCAAACTTGTGAGTTTCTGTACATGAATCTCGGAGGTTGCATACCCTTATGGTGAATCAACCGGCTGCTGCTTCCAAACGTTCCGGAGCCTCACCGGGCTCTTCCGCATCGTCGAGTATGTCTGGTTCTTGTGTGTCCTACACATGTGTTAGATCGAGGAGCTGATTAGTAGCAGTCAAAATAGAATGTCATACATGGCATAGGGACATCGTCACCCAGAGTTCTTGCTCGCGGTGAGGTACAACTGCAAGAGCAAAATGACCAGAGAATCGATTGACTTCGACGACCTCGGGTGCAGCCAATGACTCTGCTCGCCAAGTGTTTATACCCAGGTCAGTTGCTCTGTGTTTCAATGATCAGGAATACGAGATAGCTTCGAGGACTCTGAGAATAGAGCGTGAAGCGCGCGCCGCGTACCGTGTAGCCCATGGCATATCCGGAATGTCTTCGTCATAAACAAATCGCTGCACAACCGCACATGTACACTCGAGGGCTGCGAGGCTACGATCACGCCGAGAGTGTCTGACATGAAAGATGTGAGTAATGCGCACAGGAACACGACCGTCGATGTAAGCGTAGCATGAGTTACGTCCGCGATGTGTGTCGTATGCGCCATATCGTAGGCCATCGACAAGAATATTTGAGTAGGAAGGGATATTGACTGCAACAAATGGCTCGCCTGCGTCAGCTGGTGCAGTGTCAGCGACCAGTTGCACCGACTTGCTCCATGTTTCTTGTAGAAAGCATAGAATGAGTGCGTATACGCCTAGCTGCCGTAATTTGAGTTTCTTGGATTGCGATGGCAGCTTGACACGTTCTGATAGGTCTCTTATCAGTAGTTTAGTCGCGCAGGAATCGAGCTGTTAATACTTGCCGACATCGTCTCTCGCCGCCATACCAGCTATGAGATTCATGAGGGTGCCTCGTTGCTCGGCCGATTTCGAGCTGCCTTTCACAAGGTCCTTCAGCTTTGACATCGCCTTGTAATCATAGTCGTTCTTGTTTTGTAAGCTTTCGAGATGGTGCAGCTGTGTACAGAGATCAATGCGAGCATGAGCAGACGGAGAAGATCATACCAAATCTTGAATAAGTTGGCACTTCACCCAGCCCCGCATCATTGTTGCTTCCAGCTCGCCACCAGTGTGACCGTTCGTCTTGAATCGCCCGAGAAAGCCATTATTGCGCTCGTACGGGTATGCCCACCACGAGTAGGAAGGTCCATTGCGCAAGAAGAACTCGCTGTTGTGGGTAGCTAGATGGAAGTAAGGCGTTAGATGACAATTCATCGTCGCCCAGGACTGGCAGGCGCGGGAATGACAGTCCTGTGCACGTTCGACTTCCTGCGGAGATATCGAACTTGACGCCCATATACGTATGGCCGTGCACATCTCTAGGGCGTTCTCGTAGTGTCGCCGATAATTACGGTCTATCTCCATGCGATTGATGGCTTCCATGGCTTCTATCGGAACATCTCCGGGTTGAGCTGCAAGGTGTGCACGTTGGCGCGAGCGAATGAGATCCTCCTTCTTAGCGAGGGCTTTGCCTGCATTGCTTGAAGCGTTGGGTCGAGGTGCACATCCTTCCGGGATGGAACCTTTCACTTGCCAGGCGTAGTAGAGTACGACCGGGAGGATGTGGACGAGATTGCGCCATTGATCGGCTTTGACAGAGCCTCCCTCGGTGATCTATCAGACAAGAGCATGACACATCAGTACAGCACCGAATCGGACATCATGACATACCTTCTGCGGGACTCGGCCTGACGAGGCTGGCCACCAAATAGTCTGCAGAAACTCTTCGAGCTTCGACACCGGCTTGTCATTGCGGCTTCGAGTGGTGAACAAACCGCTCCCTACGAGTACCTCCTGAAACATATGCTTGACTTGAACTGATATGCTGTGAGTCATTTGCAAGGGTAATGGCTCGTTGTACACTCACCTAGAAAAGTGGCATGCATAAACTCGGGTGGCGAGCTTCTGGCAGGCATCCATCCCGGAAGCGCATCCAAGACTGACCATCGCACACCACGTCGCTCAGCGATCTCTTCGCGAAGGTCAGCATCAGCGTCCCGTGCCTTATAAGCATACTTTATGTAGCGCCAGTCGTCGCGCATGCGAAAACCTGGAATCAAGAATCAATAGCAATGCCTGAGAAAGCTCGATGGCATTCACACGTGGGATTGAAACACTCCGCGCTTGTAAGCGAGTCGAAGCTCTGGTAGCAATATGGGCATGGATATTCCTTCGATGTTGGCCCTCGCAGCCCGTTGGCTTTGCGACTTGCCGGAAGGTCAGATACCCCCATGTAGAGCGACCCATGCACGAGGTGGGGCTCCTCGGAGCCATGCACATCGAGATACACACCTACAAGACGGTATCAGTGTTCAGACTCCATATGGATGGTTGCGACTTTACCATCCTCGAAGGCGAGTATGTCGCGCACGAAAGGTTCCATTATATGGTTGAGCTGTTCGAGAGATGGCTCATGCGGTCCTGGTATGACACAGAGGAGGATGGTTTCTTCGCGAAGGTAGCGCTTGCTGCGTGGGTTGTTGAGGATTGTTAGATACACCGCACCGGATGAATGATGGCCCTTCTTGACAGAGCTAAACCTATAACTCAAGTTAGACACGTGGAGCGATCACGTCACGACTTGCAAACTCACCAATCAATGTTAAATGCGAACATTAATCCGCATGGAAGCGAGACGAAACGTTGATGCACTTCGTTAACATCGACGTCTTCAACTGACCACTTGCCACCTCGACGTCGTTGCAAACCCGCTTGCGCAGCACGCCAACCCCAGCCGTCTTGGATATCGTTCATACAGCGCCGAGACTTCAGGAATTTATTGAAGCACCGGAACTTTTGGTATTGCCACGATAATACGGGATCATACTCCTCTCATCAAAAGGAGTCGATTGGCGGTTTTTCGGCGGTTTTTGGACGAGATTTAGGGGTTGGCCAATATTTTGGGGGTCAAAACTAGTATATTGACTTTTATGGGACAACGGCTCGATGGATTTTGCTCGGAGGTAGTTCAAAGTGTTCCTTGAGCCTATCTGCATCGTTTCCGATGACTCCGGTGCGCGGGCAAAACGGTCAACAAAATTTGTTGCCTTTGTTTGTCCGGCACTGTACTAACAGCACCAGACAGACCGCGGCCAGTGCATTCTGTGCGAGAATCGCGAAACGTTGCAGTTACGGCTTCTGTTAGGCCCTGCGGATACGCATCTGCATTCTGTAAATATGCGCATACATGGCACGGAGAGGGCACTCACCGGACTCGGAACACGGAGCACTCCAGTTCGGCTTGACTTCTGTGAAGCTTCCAAGGTAGCGTTCATAGGTCCCTGTCAGTACATCTGATGCGAGAAGAGATAGTGACACGACGGAACTTCAGACAGTCGACGGTAATTAGTAATAACATAAGTGTGTCAACGGATTCACGACTACCTGAGGGACTCTCAACCGCCTATTCGTGAAATCGGCAAGCTCGACCGCGTGTCGAGCTCAAGATGCAGGAGGTGTCGTGCTCAAGAAACGACGCATCATTGTGAAATATACGATAGGCATCGCCGAGTGCGAGGTCTACTCGTACGAACCAAGCAAGGTCGAGTTCGACCCACCGACTATGACGACGATGACGACGTCGTCACTGTCGGCGAGGAGGACTCGGAATCCTCCTGGCGAGGGCTGCTCTTCGACGTCGACCCTTATGACGTCGATGAGGCTGGCGACCAGCCCTCGCAGCGGATTCCTGCGGACGGGCGGCACATTAGTTCTATGCACCTGGACGGACGAACAACCTACCGTCGATGCGCATTTCAGTCAATCTCGGCGATGCACTGAGGATTCACGGCGCTGGCCGGATGAGCGGGACGACTTGGTCCGCCCTCATACGCGCACTGTCGGTATCTTTGAAAGTCTTGCTCATGGACTTGGGGTTTATTTGGGGTTGTAGGCGGAATCGGAGCTTTGAGCCGCAGAAGATAAGTCAGGGTCGACAGAAACAGTGATGAGTCAAACACGCGCCTCGTTGTTCTTGTTCTCGAAGACGCGTTCGAATTTAATAGAGGCTGGAACGAAGTCGTCTCGAGTGACTGAATGGATGCTGGCTATTTTCGGCGAGATGCAGACTTCCTCTGTAAAGCGTGAGTACCACTCTGACTGGCGAAGCCTTGGCTACGGGTACTCGGTGGATGACGGTGAAGGATGGGGGGCACATGCAAGAAGGTTGAGGAAGTGGATTAACACTTACCGCCAGCAATAACGCAGCGAACTCAGCAGTGAATCTGTCCTTAGCCGTGCGAGACGGAATGCTCCTGTTCACTGAACCCATGTGAGTACACGCGGAATGTCGGGTCCAGAGGAACCGACTCGTAGCCGTTCGCAGCTGCATGTAGCATCTCTAATCGTCATATATCAGTGCACATTCACGGGCATGCAGAACTAAACCTACCTTTTCCTCTCGAGCGTCTCATTGCTAAGGGAGCACCACTCGGTCTTAGGCTCAGAGACCTGAAGCGTCATGCGGTTAGGCGGTGGGAATCCGCATACACCGAGAAATATGCATACCTTTCCCTCAGTGAACTGCTCGTTCTTTGAAGCGTCGACTCGCAGTAGCTCGTAGTGGGTCAGCGAGGAGCATATGGATCACAGGAACGGAACCGAAAGGTTAGGCGCCGAGAAAGCGTGTCTTGATTAGCGCCGCCCCGGCCTGTGGGAAATTGATCCCGCGATAGCGTCCACATCAAGATTGCATCTCTACCGAACTTACCTCCTCCTCCTCCTCCTCCTCCTCCACATCGTCAAGACGCCGACGGCGCCTGTGGCTGTCGGTCGATGGCTAAACGGATCCCTATCCTCCTCCTCCTCCACGCCCCTTAGCCGGTTTTCTACACTGTTGTTGCAATGGGCCCGTCATCATTTCCGAGTGAGTTCATGATTTGCTGATCCGCGTATACACCGCGTTGTAACTGCGTTGACATTTCTTGGGTAGACATTTTTACGGTGCCACTGTACACACTCCCGGGCTTCCGAACCGAACCGAAGTCCTTGGAACGCTCCGCCGCACAGGTTGCCTGAAGACGCCCCGCTATTGCTACGTTGTCCTCCTCTGGCGTGCCATCGACAGACTCTCTGCAGACTGGCTTCTCTGGTGCTGCTCTGGCTACCTCACTCGGGGAATCTGTGTCTGGTGTCAGCGGCTCCAGTAACCTCCCTTGGCCCCGTGTCGTTCCCACTACAATGCAGCAGGGCTCTACCTCGGAGCTAACCCAGGAGGAGCGCACCTTACAACCTCATCCCGAACTGGTCTACCGCTGCGCCGATTTGTCTGCGCAGGTTCACTCGATGCTCGGAAGATTGGAAGCCAGCAACAGGTACTAAGCCCAGCTTGAGAGTCAGGCTGCCCCAAACATCGCAATATGGGACCCTGTAGGGCGCCTAATATGCCGATGAACGACCTCAAAATATTGGCCAACCCAATTTTTCGTGGGAAAAACTTCGGAAGACCATTTTTGTGCGTATTTCGCCTCCCTGAGTCCATTCCTGCAGTCAGTTTGCCCCAAATTTATTCCGATCGGGCGCTACAAAATTTGTTGCCTTTGGTTGTCCGGCACTGTAGCTGATCGTGTGATCAGTAACATCGATGACGACGTCTCGGATTCTCGATAAGGACACAAGCCCCCACCGCGGAGTACGTGGCCACGAACCCGGTGGAGGGAGCGGTCGTATTCTACAAGTCGGAGATGCTTACTCGCCTGGGAGTCTTTTGAAGCAAAAGGAGGACCCCGCGAAGCCCGAGGTCCATGCGCATGCGATTCCGAAGACGACAACGTCCACAATCACTGTCATCGGCGCGTTTCTCGAGGACCTGAGCTCTGCCTCGCTCCTCAACCACCTATACGAGAGGCGACATCAGTGTTGGCTAATCTCGACGCTGTATGCGATTTATGACTAGAATACCAACATATATGGTGTACCTCTTCCATTGGTCGCACAAAGGGGAGAACAGACTCTCCTGCAACCATAAACGTTCGAACGTTTACTCAAAGCCTGGGCGCCCTGATGTTGATGGATCATTTGGACAAGAAGAATGTACGTGAGCACATGGTTGTCGACAAGATATGCATAGCATAGCGTGACGCACGCAGGTACCCTGAGCCCGTTATAGCTGCAGATGTCGATGAGTCGACGGTGTAGTCGTAGACAGTCTGAAAATGCCGGACTCTATCTTGGGCGCTTAATGACCGCGCCACGACTTTCGAGGCTCAGGAGCATCCAAAATATTTTTCCAGACTGCGTTCGTGCATTAATCGAGGAAATAGGAGGCTCCTATGGCAGCTGCATCACACATAGACCAGCTCGAGCGCGAACACAAACGACACATGAATAGTGATCCCTATCACTAGGATGTTCAACGCCGGCGGCATATCTAGTAATAGTCATAGTCATAGAACTCCCGCCCATAGAGATCCTCGAGCTCCTCGCTCCTCTTTCCTTGCTTCTTGTTCTTCTTCTTGCTATCATGTTCACTGAAAGAAGTTAGCAGTCAGCGCTTGGAGCTGCGAAGCACACGGAAGATGTACAGACCTCTTAATGGCCTCAACACCCTGGGCGCCATCCTTGATGACGGAGAACCACCCGCGGGTTTCCAGCTCGTCCTCGGGCAAGGAACGGTAAGCATGAGCGCTCGCAGGCTCCCTAGCGACGAGCGGAGTAATGTGAGCGGGAGTGCTGGGCGCGTGTTCAGCGAACGGCTCAGGTTCCCGTGCCGTGGGCCTTATATGGAGCCTAGCCGTCCCGAATCCATAGGAGGGTTCTCGGGCCATGACTTCGTCATATTCGCGCTCGTAGACTTGCCTGAGACAATGTTTGAGAGATGTTTGCCAGATAGATAGCCATCAACACTCACTGGATAGGCATGGACATAGCCGGGATAGCCAATGTAGATAACATGGCAGCGATGAACAGAGAGCAGCGCATGATAACACGATAGTTGAAGGGGAAAAGATATGGATAGGTTGGTTGCGAGTAGTGCGAGGGGTCGTGAGGCGAGAAGGTGATCGTTATTCGTTAATGAATGTAAAAGAAGTCAGGCTGTCCGATGGATGTTATGAGTTGAATCGCTACAAGGTAGACAGGGGCTACGCACCAGCCAGTACCGACTTCAGTGGCTCAGACTCGAGGGTAGGAGCTGAGCAATAGACTTCAGCGGCAGACCGCTTATATGCACTCGCTTTTGCATAGCTTGCTCCACCTACAACTTTGGGGACCGTTTCGACTTGACCACTATCTCCAACAGCTGCTGTGATCACGTAAGTTGATTGTTATGGCCGACGATGACATGTAACACACCGCCGGACAGATGGTGACATTATTATCTGTAGCAAGCGCAAGAAGCAATGCTTGTGCAGGTGCAATCACCGGTCAACCGGCCATCGCTGAATGATTGGGATTGTAGACTTACACACGGCACGAGTAGTTGCCATAGAGTCAACGTGGTGTATGGCTATGCTCTTGTACAGTCTGGACTTTGGTACACGGCCAGTCGGGGAGTCAGTGCGTCCGATCAGAGCGCTCATTCATTCAGCTCACGGACCCTCAGCACGAACTTGAACAGCATGTCAGAGTTCTGGGCTCTGATGGGGACTCAGCTGAGCAAGCTGAGTACTGTTTACGGTGAGATGGCAAAACGTTATGAAGCTGGTATGTAGAGGAAAACACAGCATCATTCGGGGCCGCAGTTGCGCTTGAGGCAGGGAGAGCGGTGGCGGGTGTCTGAACGTTGCATGTCATAAGCGCCGGTCCTCAGGGCGACGCACTACTGTACACGTGATCCCGACGCGCCGGACGCGGTGGCCACTGGCGTCGTGCCTCGAGTGGCGCTGTGGCGTCGCTGTCCTTGTCATTCAGCTTGCCAATTGACCCCCCTGCGTCCACTCTATGCCACTCTTGCACCACTGAGGACATTATATATTTAAAGCTGATGGACGCGACAGGGCTCGTCTCTCTTCTTCTCCTACTCTCGCACCGACCGGTCGAGTCCGCACCTGCCTGGCACTGCCTATGGACCGTGACGTTGGGATATGCGCACCTTGGGCCATGGAGGAGACATCGGTGTAACGGCACTCTAACAAGAAATGGTACTCGGCGAACCACGGTGCGGATTTGGACGCACACGGATCGCTCTCAGGCACTGAAGCGATCTATCACTGGCAGCTTCGTGTTCGGCTACTTACATATGGCGGACGAGAGCGCTGTACGTCGTGGTCATCACGAAGTCTGAAAGTATTTGAAGCCCGACTACGAGTTAATAGATCAATGAGGGCAGGAGGAGGATCTACAATGGTAAGCACGCGACATTGTAACTGCCTACTCAGTACCGTGACAGAAGCCGCGCCACGGATACCAGGCAGTCCACGGACATCTCAAGCTCATTTAATCTAAGTTAGGCGACCATGGGGATAACATGTGCAACTTCAAGGAGTACTTCAAGGCCCAGGCAATGCACGCGCATACATATTTCCGTGTCAATGAACATACGCGCAACGAACTTACACAATCACTGTGCTGGACGACGGCACTGAGGTCGGTGACAACTCGCCAATGATGTAGTGATGAAATGCTCATCAATCTCTAGCTTTTTGTCAGAAGAGAGATGTGTGCATGTGCATGTATGCGGCTCCACTGGAGACTCGGAGTACTGCCTACAAGGAGCGCGGCTTATACGGCTGGATCGATATGCGTAGTCGGCGATGGGTGCGTAACGTCTTTCCGAACACATATTATGATCAGTTTTTATATCGATACTTCTACGCATATGCAGATACAATTTATGACCACGATTCAGAAGATCGAGCAGGATGTTAAATGGCCGTGAGTGACTTTCTGGTCGCCTCTTCATACTCACCCGGGCTTCATTTCGGCGAGCTTGTGTCCTCTCGTCGAGCCGTCCTACCGCGCTCATCAAATACGCAATGTGCGTACGCAGCAAGCAGTGCTGATTTCGCGCGTCTCATGGAACTTCGCAAGGACAGACTCGCACATGAAATCAGAATACACCGTGCTGATGAAGGGCCACGTGTAAGGGGTCATATCAGAGTTGTCTTCATTTCGTCAACGAACGACATGGAGGATCCGTTTATGGCTAGGTTTTGCAGTGTACGCATGGTATGTAGCCTTCTCCGCTTTCCATTCTTTGGATACTGGGCCGTGAAGGGCTTTTGCCTGGCTCATGACCGTTTCCAGCGCAAACCCTGCACCCCAGTGGATACTTCACTGGTGGCTGGTGGGTGTTCGACCTCATAGGGACACCACGACCTGTCACTAGGTGCGCATTTCTCCTAAGACGTTCCGATGAGGTACGTGGGTTGGAGAGCTTACCAAAGAACGACCTCACGATGACTCTACCTCAGCACCCATGCACCGCCCGCTCAATGCTGCGAATGCGCTTGACGTGCATGTGCCAGAACGATCTAGTTCTTCATGGTTGCCCGCTGCCATGCGCAAGAGGCATAGTCCTCACGGGCGTTCCTGCTGATATCCACGTTGGCGCTTTGCCTCCGCTGCATCTCGTCTTCCCGCTTCGTCTGGTGGCGAGGGCGGCTGGTCCATTCAATACCTCCACTTGGCACGCCATTGCACTCGCACACTCGGTTCCGTCGGCATCTGTACTGAATGCGCGACTGCGGATATGACATGGACCGTTTCGTACATGGCAAGTCAGCTGCCATGAGCTGAACAGAAAGTCGGGCGCTGTGTCTATCACTCGGACTAGCCTTCTGCACGCTTGCTTCTCGCCCTATCTCCTGCGCCCTGGTCACTGGTCACTTGATTGGGAGGGCGTCTTCCACACGTTCCTGGGGCGCTCTGCGGCACACGGTATGACGAGGCCACCGCAATTTTCGTGTGGGTGAGTTCTTCCGTCTTCGGTGGGTTCAAGCGCTACCTTCGTGGCGTCAAGAAGTGTGGAAGTGTGGGTGGAATCCGTGGTTCATTAACGGGCATTCTCGCAGCAACCAGAGTGAACTCGATAGAAGGTCGACGAATTCGAAGGAAGGAGGTTGCATGCGTAGTGGAACTATCACCGGCCGGTACGTGTGCCTTTGCCATTCTACCGGAGTCCCCATTTCCACGACAATGAGGCGACATGGACTCCGCAAACCGGTCTTCCCCAAGGATTGTCCGCTTCCCAGTCTCATGTCCACAGTCAATTAAGGCTGGTGTCGCCACTAGTATCAGCGCCATGCACCGCCGCGTCAGCTATCGTTACATTGCATACAGAAACCTCCAAATACTTCGAATCAGTCTACTCGGACAACTGGATGCCGCTCCCATGCCGCGTCTACTCGGTGTCTGACCGGTAGACCTTTGCCACCTTCTCAGGTACATTGACCACGCGAACTTAATCTGGAGGCGGACCGGTGCTGCTATAGCTCATCTAGGATGATCAGCGATGTATCCCCGGGGCGATATGGCATCAGCTCGTCCTGCTGGGCCCATCCTGCCTGGCCTGGAATATCAACTACCGCCAGCTGGTTCGCAACGTCAATCAGGACTGGCACGCAGGGACGAATGCATGCGTCCGCAATGTGGTCGAAGTCCCACCGCGCGCCTACCCCGGATCGCGGAACGCGCCAGAGTCAATCGGCGGACAAGTGATCGGGTTTAGGGCCGGCGCGCGGGGGTTTGGTATGATTTCTATATTTGGCAAGTCGAGGCAACGTGGCGGCCCTTTACGCTGCGAGACTTGACGAGAGCGCTCTCTCGCTCCGTACGCCTCGTGTGCAGTACACTTACCTCACGCTGGCCAGCGTAACGGGGGCAGAATCTCCCCTTCTCTGCGACACCCATGGCGCCCCCTCCCCCGCCGCCTCCGCCTCCTCCTCCGCTATGCTTTCCTTTTTCTCGAAACAAGTCCCGCCGCCGTCTGACGTTCTCTGAGCAGTCGGCGCGGGAGTCTTTCGATTCGCAACGATCGAGCATCAACCGTCTGGAGCGGGCCGGTTCCTATTCGCCTACCGCCACACTCACATCGCACGCTGAGAAGCTCACCTTTTCGTCCGAGACGGAGTCATATTCGTCGGCGCGCAACAAGCGGAATGAGGCGATCGAGGTCCGTGCTGGTGTCTTGCGACGAAACACGACCAAGGCAGGATCGAGGCTCCGCCGCCCCGCGTGCGGATCCTCCGCAGAGGAAGAAGACCTTGTTGGGTATGGATGGGGAATTGGAAAGAGGGAGAAGGAGAGGCAGAGGGAGCAGGAGATGATGCAGGAGAAGGGAGAGTCGATTCGGAGGACTCGCTTGACTTGACGCGTAATGCGTCGAACGACAGCCGCCCTCCGCTCTACCAGTCCCCAGGGCCATCCAACCGCTCTCACCGCGAGTCCGTCACGAGCTATATGAACCCGCTACCCCGCCAACGCCTCCTGTGCCTCGCGCTCGAACACTACAAGTCCAAATGACTCGTACGACCGCGCGCTCTGGAGGTTCTGGTGGTTCTGGTGGCGCGCGGAGTGGCCGCAGTGGAGGTGGAGGTGGAAGTGGAATGGAAGCCAGAGGAGGCCGCGTTTCGCAGCTTCAGACTCTGTGGACACGCTCGTCGGCTCTGCCTACGAGCGCAAGGTCAACGATCTCGATCCTATACCGGAACGAGTTGACACGAGGGATCGTCTTGATGCGTTGAGGTCCTTGATGGCCAAGGAGAATCTCGATTACTAGTGAGTCTATCACGGTGCATGTTTGGGCGACGATCATGACTCCTGTCAGTGTCATTCCGTCCGAGGATGCCCATGGATCAGAATACGTTGCAATTAATGACAAGAGAAGAGAGTGGATCTCTGGGTACGTCATGTCTCATATATCGGCGAATGTTTTACTCACGCTTTCAAACAGATTCACCGGTTCGTCTGGACAGGCGATCATCTCAAGAAACAACGCGTACATGGTCACCGACTCGCGCTACTGGGTTCAAGCGCAACAACAACTCGACCATAACTGGATCCTCATCAAGGCCGGCTCTCCAGAGGGTCCCAAGGACTGGGCGGAGTGGCTTGTTGACCGTTCCCGAGACACGCGCATTGGTCTCGACGCACGCATGATTTCGCACGAGAAGGCAAGCACGCTCAACCCGCTCCTGCACACGCGCAGCTCGAAGCTAGTCTACCCGCCGCAGAACATGGTGGATCTAATTTGGGCGGAGAAGCCGTCGCGTTCGAAGGAGCCCGTGTACGTGCAGCCGTACGAGCTCACGGGCAAACATGCCAGCGCGAAGTTGGCAGAGTTGAGGGAATGGATCCGCCAGCAGCCCCCGACACTGCCTACATTTTCCAAGATGGAACCGAAGCCGTCGCAATGCAAGTGGCAACGCTAATATCGTCGCTGCCAAACATCGGTGTGTGATGCGCACCTCACTTTCGTCCTCATACTGACTCACCGTCAGCTTGGCTGCTGAATTGCGCGGAGATGATATCCCGTTCAACCCGGTCTTCCACTCGTACCTATTCGTCAGCTTGTCTCAAGCTGTACTTTTCGTTGAGCCCTCGAAGGTTCACCTGCCGTCGACGAATATCTTGAGTCCATCGGCGTCGAGAGGCAAGACTACAACGAGGTCTGGAGTTACCTCCGCCTCAAGCCTTGGGGCGAGGGCAAGGCACGCGAACTTACTACTCTTTGCGGCGGTTAGAACTAACGCACTTTTCGTTTTACAGGTCATCATTACCCCTCAGACCTCGTACGCGATATCCCTCATCCTCACAAGCATGCGGTACACCGTGCTTCCCTCGTGGATCGACCAGGCCAAGGCGGTCAAGAACCTGTCGAGGTCAAGGGACTGCGAAACGCTTACTGCGCGATGGCATTGCCTTCGTGCGTTTCCTCGCTTGGATGGAGCAGAAGATTTCTGAGGGCTTCGAAATCACTGAATATGAAGCTGCCTGGCGGTTGACGGAATACAGACGCAGCTGGAGAAATACATGGGCCTGGCGTACGAGAACATATCGGCAGTGGTCCTAATGCTGGTGAGCAGTGTAACCTTGGGTAGCCGATGCATCCGCTGATATGTTTCCTCGTTTCAAGCCCTCCCCACTATTCGCCTCGTAAGGCGACTGCGCGGTTCGTTGACCGAGAGACTCCGTATTTGAAGTGAGTTCAGACGTCCGACTCTACTGGACCTGCTCAGACAATGTCACAGTGATTCGGGCGGACAGTACTCGGATGGTACTTGTGATACGACGAGGACCGTGCACTTCGGTCGTCCCACAGATGCGCAATGCGAAGCGTTTACGCGAGTCCTGCAGGGTCACGTACGTACCAACAGTATTCTATGTTACTTGTCCATTGAACCATAACACGTTCACGATTAGATTGCCATCGACAGCGCCTTCTTTCCCGAGGGTACGAGCGGTTGCAGCTTGATGTTCTGGCTCGGAAAGCACTTGGAGGGACGGCTTGAACTATCTGGTAGGTGGCTAGTACATATGAATGCAATCAAGCTCACAAGCCGTTGTCTAGCATGGAACCGGACATGGCGTTGGCTCCTTCCTGACAGTCCACGAAGGCCCGCAGGGTTTCTCATCGTCCGTCCCGCTTGTTCAGGGGCACGTCGTGACGAACGAGCCTGGATATTGTAAGCGACCTTCTCCGATCCGATGTCGGTGCAAGGTCTGACTTGATTGATAGACAAAGAAGGCCAATTCGGTGTCAGAATCGAGTCATGTCTGGTTGTGCAACGTGTTAAGGTCGGAGATCTGATTACCAGCGTTAGTCTTAGTCGAGCTGACAATGAATCCCCATAGACGAAGAACCAGTTCAATGGCAACGTCTGGCTCGGTTTCGAGCGACTCACATGCGTGCCCATTCAGACGAAGATGGTGAAAGCGTCGATGCTATCGAAGGAAGAGAGGGATTGGGTCAAGGTACATCCGATTTTGGCATACGAGCACAGTGGGGTATGCTAACGAACGGTGAATGCAGGCGCACAACAAACGCTGTCTCGAAAGATTGGCGCCTTACTTGGAGAGCGACCAACGCGCGTTGAAGTGGCTCCGGCGGGAAGCCAACAAGGACATCGGCCTGGCGAGCACTGGACCAGGCGGTATCAGTATAGACTGGGATTGATTCCCACACCACAGTGGTTTGCTCCTACTTATCCTCTCCCGATTTCTGACTATGTTTCTGAACTGTATGTGTGTACTCCTACCCGGCCTTATACCTTATCATCAGCACATGGGCTGTCGTAGGGCATTCCCGCTGACTTCATATATACTGACTGTACCTCCCCTTTCTCACATCTTCCTTCTACAGCTGTACTTGGAACTTTGGATTACTTATTGCGCCCCGCCGTGCCCCTCACCTTGCTTGTATACACTTGGATTCCGTGTACGTACATAGTACCTCTTCGATAGTAGGTAGTGCTCATGACTGGAGGCGTCTCCGTAAATTGATGAATGAAATGAGATGATTGCGAACGTTTGTCACGAAGGTCGAGAGGGAATGGTGCGCCCGCTATTCAAGTGCACGATTGGACACAGCAAACGACGTTGGATTGTCTACAATGCCGCGTAAGGTACCTACCTTGTTTTGAAAATTACGCGCACGCGCGATCGGGCCGTATCACGTAGAAAATGCGCCATATGAATGTTGAAGCAATAGGAAATACAGCGACAAAGAATCCATGACCATGCGAGCAAAAGCAACGATGAATGATACATGTAAATGGGACAACGGAGACGACGCTCATCGGCGGTTCGTCTTGCCCATTTTCCGCTTGCCAGAGTACAGGTGCTTGGGCTGAACCAAATGTTAGTCTCATGAGTATAGAACACTATGATCAGTCGACGTACCATCTTGACCTTGATCGCACGGTCAGACTCGCCAGCCTTTGCGAGCATATTCGGTTTTCTTTGGCCAAGATCCCGAAGCTTGATCGCTTTTGAGGCTTGCTAAACACGCAGCGACATGAACATCCCCTCCGCCAAACAGAGCACACAAGCAACATACCGCATGGTCCCGCATACCAGCAAGCCGCCGGTCCGTCTTCGGCTCATGCTTGCCCTTCGCCACGACAGCCCCTGAGTTAGCCTTCGCCCGCTTGTTCGGCGTCGGCTGGTCCTCGCCATCCACGTCCATCCAGTCGCCCTCCGCGCCCTCCTCGTCGACGTCCATCTGCGCGTCCTCCTCGCGCTCGCGCTTCCGCTTCGCACCCGCTTGCTTCGCGAGCCGCGTCGCGCGCTCCTCGATGCGCGAGGGGTCGTGCCCGGCCTTGGTGAGCTCGGAGGAGAGCTCGGTGAGTGTGCGGAGGCCGGCGGTACGCGGGAGCTTGGCCTGGTTCTTCATCGACTTTTTGGAGCTCTGCGAGATCAGCTTCTTCCCCCGGGCTACCTTCGCCTCGGCCGCTTCCAGCTCGTCGTCCGAGTCGAACTGTTATTAGTCGGTCGGTTAGTAGGAGTACATGTGGTGAAGTGGGACGGGACTGACCATCTCTTCCTCGCTGTCGTAGAACCCTTCTGCCTGGAGCTTCTCCTCTTCGCGCTCGAGCGCGTCGAGCTTCTCGAGGATGTCCGGGTCGATGAAGTCGGCGATGTTCTTGCCGTCCATGATCTCCGGTATGATGTCCATCTTCCATTCCGGATTCGCAAGCATGTAGTTCTCTGTAGCAGTCACGATCAGGCAAGCATCCAAAGCACGACGAAAGAGCGGAACGCACTCTTGAGGTTGATGTTGTACACGCCTGCGCCACCCTCCTCCGCCTCGATGTCCCGCTCCAGCCTCCGCCTTACGGGTCCTCCTTGTCGAACTTCTTCCGGTTCTTCACCGCCTCTGGGATGAACGGCTCGCGCACGACGTCGTCGCGTGCCTTCGGCTGCGCGACATGCAGCCTATTGAGGATCGAGTTGATCTTGTTGCCCTTGAGCTTCTGGTCTACGCGGTGCTCCAGGAGAGCGTCGCAGGCCTTGTTCTTCAGCTCCATAACGCCCTCGTCGGTGTAACACGACACCTGTACGTTCATGACGTCCTCGGCGCTGATGATCTCGTCGACCAGCGCGCGGTTCTCGGGCGATAGATCGTCCAGGCGGGTGACGTCGATCTTGTTGATGACAAGCATGGTTGGCTTGTTCGCGAAGAGGGGCTTGATGGAATGGAAGAGCTTGCACTGCGCCTCGACGCTGTACCCGCACTGCTCACTGAGATCCATGAAGTAGAGCACACAACTCCTGAGATGCGCAAGGGCGGTGATGCTCTGCATCTCGATCGTGTTCATGTCCTCGAGGGGATGGTCGAGGATACCCGGCGTGTCGATCACTTGCCACCGCATGTACCGGTAGTCGAGGTGCCCCACGAAGAGCGACTTCGTCGTGAAGGCGTACGGCTGCACGTCGACATCCGCGCGGGTGACTTTGTTGATGAAGGACGACTTGCCGACATTGGGGTAGCCACAGATGAGGAGCGTGCGAGCGGTAGGGTCGATCGCGGGCAGACGGGAGATGTGCTGCCGGACCTGCTCGAGGTAGGCGAGGGGGTCCTTCTGCCTTCGCATGATTGTCGCCATACGACCGAGCGCGGCCCGTTTGAGCTGCTTGCATCGGTAGAGACTGTCACCAAACTTGAGGAGCGGACATAGTCTTTTGCGACCTGGTCGATGAGATGCCTGGCTGTTCGGAGCTGTCCGAGAGCGAGCTTGTAGTGGTTTTTGTCGTAGAGAACGTTCATAAGGGATGCAAGGAACGGGTGAAGATCCTGGTCACACCCGGGTCTCAGTACAACAGTGGAGACACAGTAACACAAGACGTACATCAAGCATAGGGAACTCCTCCAGGATCGCGCTCAGCTTTTCATCGAATGAATCTTGCGTGAACTTGACCTTGCGCATGTAAAAGTTGCGAATCCGACTGATTTTGAAGTTTTTGTGGATGACCTTCCGCCCTCTCTCAGTATCATTCCACTCTTATTTCATCGAGGGATGCTCACCGTCGGTGTCTTCCGCTGTGTTCTAGACAGGACGATGTCCAGGAAGTCCGCCGCCGTCGGGACGGGCGAGATCTGCTTTAGGCCGCTCGTAGACATCTTGACGGTCGATGTGGAGGCTCTTGCAGCTGTTCAAGGATGAGGCTGGCAAACAGGGATCTCGCCGTCGAGAGCAGTGTCGGCGTTACGGAGGGCAGCGTGCAGCCTCCGTGCGGAATGGAGGAAAATTTGGATTAGGTAATTCTTTCCACGTGACGACGGGTGGACTACGAACAAGCTCGATCGAAAGCGATCTGAGTCAAATCTGACGCCGCCCGAGATTGCGATCGAAGACTACGCTCCCGAGCCCTGACATGCTCTGACCATTCTGTGGATCACAGCAGTCTCATCGACGCACAATGGCGGGACACTGGGTTATTCTACAGAGCCGTCGTGATTTAAAAGGAATGCAGGACCACTACCGATGGCACAATGCTGTGGTGTCGCAGAGGCCACACACATGCAGCACAAGTCGTCTGCAGGCTACGCACGATGGTAAATCCACTCCCGTTCACGTCAGCTGCTGAAAGGCCTACCTCGTACTGCGAGAGGGACTTTCTATTTAGCATCGCCCCACAGCTCTACCGGAGGGAAAATGAGTTTGCTGCCTAGCATAACCAAAATGATTGGAGACATGTATGATGCGCTCGATGGGGACAGTATCATGGTCGGCGTCGGCGTCCAAGGCCTGATCACTGGCAAGGTCCACAGCGTCAGTGTGAATGAGAGGCATGTCGACCGAATCGTATGTACCTCTGTGTCCCATCTAGCATACTGGATTAGGTCCCCAGATGAGCATCACGGCTTCGTGAACAAAAGCGTCAAGCTGTCGACGTCTCCCATCAACGTCTGTGCCATCTTGTCATTGTCAGAGAGTCGGAATGAAGGGGCGACTGGGTCGTGCAACACGCCGGCAGTAGAGAGCGGGAACCTCGATTCCCCCTGCCGAACACGCTCAGTTGTATAAGCCGGTCGGTCGTTCCTGTGGACTTCATCAACCCAAACACACACCCTCGATAAAAGTGCCTCGTAACCGTCAAACTATTAGCATTACCACCACCATAATACCCGAAAGGCGTCGCCCCCTCAATATATACTATCCTACAGTAGCCCGTCCGCTCCACCCGCGCCAAGAAACAGGTCAGCAGCCCACTACAATAATCGGGAGGTTGATACAGTGAAATAACAAACAACGTATAGCGGAGCGCGAACGGTGAAGGGCGCAGGGGAGCGGGTATCATGCAAGGCCGACGGTCGCCATGTGTCGTCGCATGATCGCTTCGTTGACTGGATCGCGAAAGGAATCCGAACATCAGGAACAAATCTGCGCAGGTTAACAACGAGGCGAGACGGGACGCACCGTTGACGATGATGCTCTGCGTCGCCTTGATGTCCAACATAGATGTGAAGTGCTAGACATCGCGCGCGCACGTCAGCCGCCATCCCCGCGCCCACACAAAGCAAGTAACAGACCGCAAACAATGGTCGCCGGTTGACGTCCTTCCGCCTGTGTACCTGTATGAAATGCGCGCGGAAGTACTCCGACACCTCTTCATACGTGTTTGGCCGGTCGCCATACGACGAGATGCTACATCGCCCACACAGATCAGCGTCGTTCGCAGGCAGATACGTGAAAGGGAAAGGACGTACTATTTCCGGACCTTGATGCCGGCCTCGAGCTTCTGCCTCAACAAATCGGTCTGTCGTGCACGTTACGACATGACAAGCCGGTCGGAGCAAAGTGTACCGTGCCAAACGCGCAATCAGGCAAATTGCGGGAGCGAGGAACACGCAGCAGATCAATAATAGTAGTCAGAACACGCCCGGTCAGCGCCAGTACATGGGTGCAGAGAGAACCAATGGGCGCACCTTGTTGAGCATAAGCACCAGGGCGGCTTTGTGCAGGAGCTTGTTCGTGCATATTGACGTGAAGAGCTGGAGCGAGTCGTCTATCCGGTTCGTCCGCGGGTCTTCCTCCAGGTACTGTTTAACATTCAAGTGTCGTTACGTTGGCCATCGGCAGAGAAGCGTGTGAGTGGAAAGTAACCAACAGATGGCCGGCGACAAGGTTGGCAGATCAACCACGTCCAAGGAGGTAAATCAAGGAGAAGACAGCGGTATGTCAGATTCAGCACCCGGGCAGTCGAATACGAAGCACTGACCTGGTCGTAAGCACTGATCGGCGCAAGGAAGATAATGGCTGCCGCTGTAACCGTGGCACCCGTCAGTTAAATCGACACACGAGGATCACACCCGTGAGCTCAGCGACTCGAATGGAGGAACCGAGTCGCCGGAGCACACCATCGAGCGCAACCGCCCACGGCCATTGACAGATATTCCCAACGCCACCAATCCGGAGCACGCGGTGGGTACAGGTAGGCCACCACGCTCGCCGGGCCCTGGTGCTTCCAGGCACATTGCACACGGATCCGGCACCTGAGCGTATCTGGCAGCTCGCCGCGAGACGCCCAGGTGCTCAGTCCGGAGGAAGGTTCAAGGGACGAACAGAGTGCGAGGAGGCGCCCGGGAACGGAAGCGGAATTGGATTGGGAGAGGACAGGGGACTGGGGTTGGGAGACGACACGCACCATCCTCGAAGTAGGGTATCCAGGCTTGGCGCTATCGGATGGAGCGAATTCAATGGAGAGGAGGAAGCGGTCAGTGGACATGAAATGAAGTGTCCCCGGGAGAGGGATGATGCGAAATGAAGGCTTACTTGACCACGCTGTTACACGGACATGGACTCAGTCTCCGGAGGCGGGCAGAGGGGGCAGAGGACGTACCGCACCGCCGACGTCGTAGAGGAGCCAGTTGTAGTTGATGCCCCCCATGCTGATGTCGAACGCGTGCTCCTTCACGCCGAGCGTTTGGAGCCGGACGTGGAGGATGTCCTCTGCGCATGCGGCGTTGAGATACGTTTTGCGGACCAGGCGAGAATTCTCACCTGTTGACGGCAGGTAGTCTGGCCGCGCAATGCGATGAATGTTGTCGAGGAAGCTGCACCACAGTCAACGAAACAGAGCGGCATGGCAAATCATCGGACGTACAATGCAGCGTACTCCTCCAACCTCAGCTTGTTCGTCGCCACAGCGACCGCACGCCCGGATGATGCCAGAGGTCCTCAATCTCATTCTGGTTCGCATCTAATGTCTTCGCGACGATGTCCGTCATGACCGGTGCCCTCGGTCCACTGCCATTCCGGATGTCCGCGAAGGCCACGAGCGCGTCGCGGTATTGAGTGCTTGCCAGCCCGCCCTGACGAACACGCCCGACTTGCCGCCGCTGACAGTTACCCTCCGCTGAGCTCGCTCGCAAGCGCTTCCTCACTGGCGACGAGCGGGAGGAGCTTATTCCGGAGCTGGCTGAGCTCCATGAGCCACGCGGGGTCGACCGCGGAGCTGCCGGTGCCATAGCCGACGGAGACCTTGGACCGCGCGACGGAGGTGAGCGACGTGGTCGAGGGCGAGGGCAAGAGGGGGGAGGTGGGTGAGTTGGAGAAGTACTCATAGTCGACCTCGGAGAGGATCATCCGGATGGCCTTGAGGATGTTGAAGTAGACGATCGGCCGCCAGGAGGGCCGCTCGCGGTCGAGGTCTGGCAGGCGTAGTAGAGCTGGAACTGTTTCTGGAGCGTGACTTGCCCGACTCGGCCTGGCCGAGGAGCATGACTGGAGCGGCGTGCATGTCAGAACTTGCGAGAGAGCGGAGAGGGAGAGCGTGCACGGCACGATCGGTCGGCGGACGGTGTATGACGCGCTGCCCCGTGCAGCTGGCAGGCGAATGGGGAAAGCAGAACGCGTACCTTTGACCTCCCTTGGTCTCTTCCGCTTCAAGATCTCGTTTTCGCGCTAGGGGTCCCGCGATTGCGCCCATCAGACTGGCGGAGGCGAATACGAACGCGGCGGGACTCACCCTGAGCTCCTCGTCGATCTGGTTGTTGATGCGGCGGCCTCGGTCTGGTCGGTGGGGCGCGTGGGGCATGGGGAGGCGGACGGGGGAAATGGCCATAACAGAGGCCGGGGGGCAGAGGCATGCGGCGGGCGGGGGCGGCAGCGAGAGCACTCATATCTGAGGACGAGGACGGGAGGACCGGCCGTGCTGATGGGCGGACGAAACATCGTGAATAAGCTGGCGCCCTGTCCCACGGCAAGTCTGCGTTTTTGATCGCGAAGATGGCAGAACGAGGCCGATGTCAGAGCGACCCCCGACGCAGACGCGCTGCACCGCCTCCGAGTCCTCGATCACGTTCTCCTCGCGCCCTCCCCTCTCCCCCAACTCCCTGGCCTCGCAGCCTCCCGAGTACGACCCATGTCGTACCGGCCACACCGCATACCGCCTGCCGTCCACCGACATCACCCCGGTGTCAGACACGTCCTGATCAATAAGACCATATCTGCAACGTTCGCATGCCATGGCCAACTCCGGACCAGGAAGCCAACTCTGATACCCTCCCTCGTCCACCTTGACGCCCCACAGCGTGATTCTCCCTCGCATGCCTTCCTGAGCTCTCGGACGCCGTGCGCGTCATGAGTACACGTCCGCTGCCCCGCAGTCACCCCAGCTCGTGGGACGCGAGTAGATATCTATCCGCAGCGGCACATCTCCTGCAATACCATCCCGCATTCGCGCTCGAACCCGCTGCCTATCATCGTGTCCAGCGCGCACCAGCACGGTCACATTGCGCTGCCGCGGGATCAGACAAGGTAGGACCGCCGGTAGCACATGGTCCCGGGGATCCCGCTGTACCTTTACACCCTCTGATCCCCACGAGATGTCTGGTTCAAATGACAGCCCCGCGAGTATTCATGATGCAAACCCACACACCGCGCGCGCTCGGCCACCAACACCCCATGCCCATGCACCGCCTGACATACGAATGTCAACTCCACACCGGCAGGTACGGCGCACGCTTCCAAGCTTCCTCTCGAGACACCTTCGCCTCTGCGACTATCCATCCTTCCCAAATCAGGCGAGTATCCACACAGTGGTCCTGTGCAGTACCTGTTCTTACAGTTCGCGACCACCGACATCCTCTGGTGGTCGAACCCAAGCCGGGACGCGTCTTTCCGCCATTCTCGGGACCCTGGCATTGATCTCCTGATGTAATGGAACTTACCGCTGATAATGCGTCTTCATGTGACGATCCCTCGCTGACCGTCTGCGTCCAAACTTGAGTTGGCCGGCGTTAGTGGCTTGGACCCACCGAGCAGTGACAGTAAGGAAAGAAAGTTGGTGCGCTTAAATTTCGGAGCCCCGTCCTATATACACAGATGCTTGACAGCTAACGAGCTACAGAAGAAGAGCATCGGAGGCAATGACGAACGACGGCAGGAAGGGTGCCGTACGTATGACGATGCAGACGAAACAGGAAGGTGTCTTGCCTTAAGAGGAAGGCACTTATTGTACGTCAAACTTGAAATCACATGAATGCCTTTTAATCTGGTTCAGTTCCCTCCACGCAGCTCTCTGCGTATCTGGTCATATCGAAATGCGCCGACTGCGCCCTTACGACGCGTTGTACACTCCGACGCGTCGACGGCTCGGTCACCGCCCGCGAGCCGCAATCGTACAGATTAATATCTGCAACTCGGAATCTACACGCATGCGCTCGCTCGCCCCGCGGTCTTACCGACCATCCGTATGTGCTTCGCCATCCAACTTCGACTGATATACTCTACAGCCTTGGCGACGAATACACACGCGCATGCTCTGGAATGCTCCATTCTCGCGAAATCACGAATCGAATCACAACGCACGACTATCAAGGCGTCCTCAGCTCGAGAAGGCCGGAAGCACACAAAGGCTCGAACGATGGACGATCATATCGTCATCAATCCGCTCGAGTCCGGCGGCCGCTGGGTGCGCTCACATGTTCGCGGAACAGTGCGTGCAGTGTGTGTGTGTGCGCGCGTCCCGGCGCATCTGTCAATCCATTTGAGTGCATATGGGCGTCGATATCACTGCGCAACTGAGGTTCAAATGCGAGCCCCGGCGGGCTCGGAGCGCTATCTCTGTGGTTTAGCGGACTGGAGAAGGCACGCTGCACAGCGTGGTCCGCGGCGAAATGGAAGTCCAGTACGTACGGTATGTGGCGCGGTCATGACCAGAAGCCTGATCAATACCGCAGTGCGCATGAGGTGATCAGTGTTGTGACAGGGCAAACATCACTGGCGTGTCATTCGCGAGTTCCTCCGCCGTGTTCGTCGCGGTTCAGGCGCATGTGGACGCACGGACTCGGTGATTCTGTGAGGTATGAGCGCATTCCATGATAATCGATCCATGACGAGGTTTGGGCAAGGGCAGGTTCCTATGTGCATTTGCTCTGTACTTCTCCGACAAAACGCGGAGAAGTGTCTTCCTTGGTGTCTCCTGTCGCGCTGCAAGACAAATTTGCGGTGCATTGAAAAGCTTAGCTCCGAGCCGTAGACCTTTCTGCGTATGGGTGTTGTCGTCGACTCCGCGATTCGCGAGGCAACATGTCTTGGCACGCAGGTACATAGTGTGGCACGAATTATACTGTCTACTGCACCGCGCGGTGCGCGTCCTTGGCACAGAAAGCGGAGCTCTTTGACAGCACTTTCGCAGATGGTATGTGGAGTTCGCAGACAGAAGCAATCCACTACTACTAGTTGCCGACTATATCTGTCAGTCTGAAGACGCTTAGCAGTGCGGTTCGAGATGGAATACCTAGACGGTGAAACAGACCGCGGTGGGTAGCCGCATGTCGAGAGAAAGTCTCATCTGATGTCAAGCGATCGGAATTTACGATAGCTACTGACAGAAGCCATAGTACTAGTACGTATCTGAGGTACGTGGCAGTACACAAGTTCGAATTGCTACCCTACCAATGAAGACACTCGGCCTCGACTGAGACACCTTCATACTACCCACGCCCAGAGTCCTGTATAAGCCGGGCTCGCACACCAGCCTGGAAGCGGACATTCCCTCGCTGCGATGCGTCTCGCCGGGATGTGCATCTTATCACGGTGCAGCGCTGAGCAGTTGCGCTGCTTGACAGCCTGAGAGACCACGCCAGTGCTCATGCTGATGCGCGCTCGAGTCTGCGGGCTTGGGCCGTATGTACTTATCACGGACGAAAAGGAAGAGCGCCATGCGGAATCATTGACACAGCGAGGATGGCCTGTGATTCTTAGGATGATGGACTGTAGTCGACTCATAGACTCAGGCTACTACCCCCGGGAGGGCCTCGTCGTCGTCGACGAGCCCTGCGCAGACCTTCTCGTGGTCCGGGGGGTGAGTAATCCCAATGGGATGAAACCAACATGCGCTATAAGGACTGTCCACCGCTGTTCAGCGGTGCAGCCAGGATGAAAACAAAGCTTCATCCGAGGATATGGGACTCCATCCATCCCCAGATCTGGCTCAACCGAACCATGCTCTCTCTCACCTACCTGAGAAATACCAAAACATCGGTAAAACTATAACATGTGTACCCCCACCCGAGCTCGCCGTCCCCTGCGACGCCGACAATGACCACTGAGCTGCACCCGACGTCTACGGGCGCTAGACCACACCCGAGGAAGCGCCCACGAACGAGCGGACACGACCCGTACCCCGGCGAATTACGAACCGCGCTATCAGATGCATGCCACAGTACAAACACCCCAACACATGGTGCCACACCAGTCCCAGAGGACGATCCCAGACAAACAAAGCAGATACTCGAGACAATGACATGACATTCCGTCACAATAACAGACACTCTCCCTCCACAAACATGAAATGACTGTGCTCGTTCACATCCTCACATTCTCTACACCCCAAATACTCCCACAAAGATCATTACGTTAGGCCGTTCAAACCGCATCAGATGCCGTCACTGGCGTCAGGATCTTCTAAAAAGTAAACGCTCGCCCCTCCCAGATCATATAAAATAGACCTGACCTGCCTGCCTGACAAGAACAACACACTATGCCAGTGTTCGCACCACAGGCAACAGTGTCAAAACCCCAAAAACAACGCCGCCATCGCACCTCTACAGTAGTAAAACCACGTCAACTCAAAGCATGGTCGGCTTCTGAGCTTAACATCCACGCACCCTCATCATCCATGTCGCTACCACCATCCCTCCCCACACTACGACTCCCGATACCTGAGTCCCTCGCAGTTACGATCGAAGTAGAAGGGACCCCAGAGAGGAACGGGATCGTCCTAACATGGATAGTGGAAGAGCGCCCGGTGTGCCATATCGAGCGAGGATTGCCCATCGTCCTCATGGCCGGAGATCTACGGACCGGAGTTGGCCGAGTAGATAACGCGACAGACATCCAACGTCACTGGATCACGTGGATCCTCACGGGAAGTCCTGCGGCGTGTGCTATCCGGGTCCCGACATCATGGTCCAGACTCACGCGCGATGAAGTCCGAATCCACGCTCATCTATATGCCCACCTCCCACACTCCCCACCTCCCCACCGCCTTCTCGCGCACGACCCCGTGATCTGCAACAGCACCGACAGCCCATATCAGTTTGAGTCGGACGAAGATCTCTCTGAAGCACCGCAGGCAGAAATACGCGGCGGGACAATCCCCGAGAACCCCAGCACTGACCAGTGAATCGCGGCAGACGCGAAGGAGCGGGATCACGCGGGATCACCCAAGTATAGGAATTGATTGAGACCCCCTTAATGTGCTGTATTGTCGCCGAACGCTCCATCATGCAAAGTTTACCTATACATCAAACGATCACTGACAGGCCCCAGACGCCCGCATGCCTTACACCCCGTTGCGAATGAAGAAGCCGACAACCGACATATAGAACCGAGAGTGTCGCTCACCGTGCGTGCCGCACTCTAAATAACAAGCGACAGTGGACTAAAAATTCTAAGAAAACCTGATCCCGGACTCATAAGGGAAAGAATCGCGAAAACTGGGAGGGATACCTCCCGAGGACAGGCGCCATAAACACTGACAAAACGACATCAGACCACGGAGACTATAGTCCCGACCACACATCTGAATACACGGCGCGCTCCTAAAAGGCCGATCAAACGAACACCATACTGACGCCGCGGAGATCGCGAACCTGTCAAACTAGTGGAAGCTTTAGTACCACTTGGGAATGGGCGCGCCCGTTTCAAGACGCGGTCCTCCTAGCCGACCAGGAGAGGAGCGCAACACACCACTCAAACCTAATACATCTCGTACGGAAAACCCACGACGCAAGCGTAGCTGAGGCACCATCGAACTGCGCCGCTACGCAGGCCTGCACTGTTACGGGAACACGAAATACGTCCATGAGGAGCTGCCTCCTACATTTCCTCGACAACGCGCAAACAGAAGCCAGGTACGACGAACTGAACCTCGGCTTGCGCCTTACGCGTGCGAGGAAAAAAGAAAAATATAAAAAAAAAAGAAAAAAAAAGAGGGGGACTATACGAGCAACCGGACTCTGCTGCGCTGCAAAGGCAACGAGAAAATCGATGAAACACGAGCCAATGCGACCCAGAAATAACACACCCACTGAGACCCGACTCGGAGACAGTGTCGACCTTCTTATTTCTCCTGGGACTTCCTCAAGAGACTACACTCTGACGTTGACCGACAACGGGCCTGTGGTGCAACACCACGACGTAACAACCTGCCCGCGACAGGGAGCACGAAAACTCGCGGACGCTCCAAGGCTGAAGCCTCACTATCACCCTCTACCCTCCGCACGGTGACGCCTCACCGCGCTAACCAGGAACGAAGAGAGCTCAAACACGCACATGAGCAATCCCATCAGAAAGACCGCACCAGGCAACACGGTAGTGAAGGTACGCATAGACCCAGCTCCTACGAGCAGGACAGCCACTACACCTCTAGCTTGACACTCGCGAGAATGCAATCCCTAGATGTACATACTCTTCATCATTACAGCATCCTGACAGCTGCGAGAGCGGCGTACGCCATGAGCCAGCCATGAGGTTAAAAGGAACCCTGAGGTTACGCTCACAGCCATCCCCAACTCCAGATATCTACCAGCTCCTACGCTTCATCTGCCGACATGCACCAATCGTCTAAACCCACCTCACCTGCTCCCTCTGTCGATCATGGGCCAAATGCTAATCCCCACGGTGGCGAAGCCCATGCGGACCCCTCCATTGAACGCTTGCGCGCAGCCTCTCTTGTCAAGTCCCCCAACAAGCGAGTCAACGCCGAGCCCATCTCCTCCGGCGCCGCCAATCCGTGGGTCTCCCCGAGAGCCGTCTCGCCGACGGACCGTACTGGTGTCTCTTACGCGGGTATGGCGTCCCGTCCTGCGACGCCTCCGGCCCTCCTCGCTCTGAAGAAGGCCAGCGCGCTGGCTGTCACGCCCACGCAGCACAGCGCAGCGGCCAACGGTGCTCAAGCCACTGCAGCGTCGTGCTCCACGCAGGCTGAGGTGATCGATGTCGATGCGACGATGACGACGACTACCACGGTCATAAAAGGTGCGTGATATACCCTCCTCCCTCGCCTCAGCTATGGCCACATACCTAATGAATGCTATCCCAGAAGAAGAGAACCTAGAGCTCGACGCTCTGGCCCTTCGACGCACCCGCTCGGGAAAACAAGCGGCGGCGGCGAAGCTGAAGAATAAGAAAGCCCGATCCAAGAGAAACGCCAAAGCCGCCGGGAAGATGCCTGCGACTATCGGCAAAGGCGCGCCGACCTCATCCTCCGCTGCGAACGTGAGCAACACCCCAACTGACTTACCTCAGCGCTCTGCCAGCGAGGCACGGAAGAGGCGCCGTGTCTCTGAGGACGTCGACGGAGACAACGTGATGACTGGGACGACTAGCCGTATCCAAGACGCTCCCGCCGTGGCCAGCCCTGCGCCGCGAGTCGAATACAGAGTCGACATCGGGGAAGTTCTCGGCTTTCCGCGCCTTGACTGGTCTCCCCCTCCTGACGACAACCGAGTCGACCCACCTGCGACCACCACGTCGGATCTTGAAGAGCGAGACTTCGAGATGTACGACCCTGTCACAGGATACAAGGACGGGGATGAAACGGTACGAGTCGGCATTCCGATCACGTAACTAAGCAGAGCTAACCTGCCGGCCCCCATCTGTGCCTTGACCACCGCCCTTGTGCAGCTCCATAGAGACCGCGACGAAGCCATCAGTGCCCGAACGGCACTGGACAACATGCACTTTGCCCGGCGCCTTACGACGACCGACCCCCCGCACGGCGGCGCTTACCCGCAGGACAGCGAAGCTCTCCGAGAAGGCAACGTTGAGGACCTATACGCGAGCGACAACGAACCTACGTACCGTACGGCCAGAACGCTGCCCGGACCATCCCGCAGCTGGGACCAAGGCGCCCCCCGTTCCCAGTCTCGCGGGATAGGCAACATTCGTGACGAGGGTGACAGCATGAGTGCGTACACGGCCCTGAGACAGGGTGATGTCAACTCACCAATCGTGTACGCCCTAGGCCGCCGTATGCGAGAAATTGAACGAGCAAGTCGCTCGTCCCACTCAGTTCCCTACCGCGCTTCCCACCTCTCACCAGCACCAGAACAAGCAGTGCGTACGCAAGCTCTGGCGAACGATGTACCCCTAGGACTTCGCAGGCCGCGCTCCTCCTCGTCTATGCACCCCCATCCGGTCCACTACGCTCCGGGACCTTTCCCTGACTTCCCCGCTGATCCGGAACCGCCTGCGCCACCCGCGCCACCTGCCCGGAACGCTCGAGCTGGCCCAGTTGGGCCTATTGCGCCTCTCGCGCCAACTCCCGGCGCCCCCCCACCGCTGGCTATGACGCGGACGCCCCCGGGAGGATGGCCACGTATACAGGGAGTCGACTTCACTCTTGTCTACGCAAACGTCCTGGCGTCCCAAGCTGAGGAATGGCAGAAAGCTACGGACTACCATGTCTACATACACTTCCCCGGCCGCAGCGCGCACGACAGAGGAAATTTCGGACGACTGTGCGCTGCTGACACTACGCTACGCACTTGCCTGGGCATCCCGACTGCCTCCATCACCCAGCCCATTGCGGCCGTCACACCCACAGGCCCGAACTCGAGCCCCGTCTACTACCGCGTCGGAAACCTGACGATCGGCCAACGCGATCGCCTCCTGCGAGAAGGCTGGGTCTCGACCAGAGACGGAACCTTCGGCGTCGTCTCTTCCGAGCCATCTCCGCCGACCTTCATGGGCACGTTCCGGCACCCCCTGCGTCTTGGCGTTACGACTGAGGAGGGCATGGCCGACGCCTTCAAGAAGGGCCTGAGAAGCGCGGCAATGTATCTACTATACCTCCTCTCGGTTCTGAACGGCGACATCCTCGCGGGAGGTCGATGGCGTCACCTCACGGCGCAGGAGGCTTTCGAGCTCATCATCGACTCTGTAACCGTAAAGAAGATCCTACTGCGTAATACCCGCGACGAGGAGGAAGAACCCTTCGCCTTCCTCTACATCGAGTCTCCCACCTCTGACCCAGCGGAATGGCTGAACTTCCGTAACCGCGTTCGAAACTTCGCTTTCGGCGGCCCATTGGCAGGCCCACCCGAACTGGTCGCACGCACGTTCTATTGTATGTATTGTCATTCGATTGACCACCCCACTCACGCTTGCTCCATTCCGTCCACCCCCGGATGGCACGGACCGTCTCTTGACGACGTACGTGAGATGTTTGCGGCGGATAGACGTGCGCAAGGACAAGATCAGCGCGGTAGGGGCAGAGGTGGCAGAGGCGGCCGGAGCGGTCGTGGAAGTCGTGGCCGCGGAAGCGGACGAGGTGGCCGTGGCGGCTCCGTTGACGGGACGCAGAGGGCGGGACATACTTAACCACGCGAATCTATACTGTATGCAAACTCTGCACCCCCCGAGTATGTACCACTGAGCCACGCGCATACGCTATCCTTCGTCCTACATATATATAACACTTATGATGCCCTCACACCCGTACTAAGATAGTGACGAGTGAGCCCTACATGGGTAGCTCGTATGAGTAGAAGGCGCGCAGATGGCCCGGGCCCACATATACTGACCGATCTCGGGACAGGAAAGCCCGGCAACCTCTGTTGCGTCACTTTCTGGGACCTAAGGGTACTAATAGACTTACCCTGGCCGAGAGGCCAAGCTGCTGAGCAGCGTGTTTCCTGAGGAAGTCAGGAGAACTTCCCGCTCCCGGTGGATCGTTGTAGCTGGGATGCGTACACCAACGGCGAATACACACATAACACCTACATCTACGGAAGGACATATGGCAAACGGTACCTCTCTCCTCTGCCCGAGAGTAGCTAGCATGTCTCCCGCCCAAGCTGGCCCCCAGGACCGGACAGAGGAACTCGGCGACGGGACCGCCCTCCGTAACACACAATCGCCAAACAGCGATAACCAGGGGTATGCGGAGGGCTGCATACATACATCCCCTGTTCAAGACGAGCATCTCACAGCGCGTCCTGACATTACTGGAAAGACCGCCCCATCGGGGAGGAAAACGAAGGCTAGCCTGCATGTCGGCAGTCTAAATATTAACGGAAGGAGCTCTCCTCAAGGCCCCAGAGACCAGAAGTGGAACACAATTAACCAGCTTCTACGCGAAGAAAAGCTGGGCGTCCTATGTATCCAAGAAACCCATCTCGACGCATCACACGTCGACACTCTACATACCCTGTACGGGAGGCGAATGCGAATATGGAACTCGGGCTCTTCGTCTGAGACATCGACCCAAGGGGTCGCTATTGTACTAAATCGAGAGCTGGTGGACACCTCCAATGTTGTGTACCGGGAAATAATCCCTGGTCGGGCCATCCTGTTGACGATGCACTGGCACGCGGAAAAATCTATTACGATCCTCAATGTATACGCACCAAACGCTCCGAGTGAGAACACAATATTCTGGGCCCGTCTCCTTAGGATGGCTGAGAGAGGATCATACAAGAAGCCAGATCTACTAGTAGGCGATTTCAACATCGTCGAGGAAGCCTTAGATCGACTACCCGCCAAAGAAGACACTGCATCCGCGGTGTGCGCCCTACGAGACTTTGTACGACACCTGAACCTATACGACGGCTGGAGGATGTCGGAGCCACACACCAAGGATTACACCTACCCCCAGAGAGGTAGCCTCTCACGATCCAGGCTTGACCGTATATACACATCGGAATCACTGATTCGGTCATCACACACCTGGGATATCAAGACTGTTGGAGTCCCCACGGACCATAGGTTGATAAGTGCTAAGCTCAATACTGCTAATATCCCCTTCCTCGGAAAAGGGAGATGGTCAATGCCGACCCATCTCATGGACGACACTGACTTCATGAACACTGTCAGGGAACTGGGTAAAAAAACCATGGAAGAGATGAAGGCGGTAAAGGAAGGACGTGACAACACAGAGAGCCTGTCCATCCAAGGCATACACAAACGTTTTAAGAACAGTGTACGCACGCTGGCCCGGAACCGTCTAAAAAAGAAATACCCACGACTACGAGCCGAAATCGAACGATTGCAGCGCCACATAAAGGAAATAGAGTGCCGTCCTGCTTTCCCGGAGTCAGGAATGCTACAAAATGACGCAGCAGTCCTGCACAACAGAGTATATGAGCTGGAAAAAAAGAGACATGCTTTTGCAAAACTTACCACCACAGCCCGCTATGTTTTGAATGCCGAGCGTGTATCGAAATACTGGTCAGCAGTGAATAAGGAGCGGAAACCAAGAGATGTCATGTATCAGCTCCGCATCCCCAATACAAACCCGCCCCAGTTTGAGTCTAGATCGAATAAAATGGCTACACTAGCGCGAAACTACCATGAACAAGCTCAGTTCGTGGATGTACCAAACTTCTCGAATGAGACCCAAAGACTGGCCACCGAGCAGATACTAGCCGAGGTCCATCAGACGCTGAGCGGAGAGGATAGAGAGCTGATGGCAAACGGCATTAGCAGAGAAGAAATTAAACGTGCACTGGGTCAATCCCAGATGGGACGCGCCCCTGGACTGGACGGAATACCCTATGAATTCTGGAGAGCCTTCGCGGCCGGGAACACCGACAAAGACAACTTTAACAGCCTTGACTACCTGACCCTGGTATACGAAGACATTGAAGAAAACGGCGCCTCCCCTGATGAAGGCTTCACGGACGGCTGGCTGTGCCCAATATACAAGAAGGGAGACCGCCGAGAGATAGCCAACTATAGGCCGATAACACTACTCAACTCGGACTATAAGACGTATACAAAAGCACTCACCTCGAGACTAGGCAACGTCGCCATGAAGCTAATCCATAGGGATCAGGCTGGTTTCGTCCCAGGTCGCCACATTGAAGACCAAACACAAACGTGCCGTGTCCTCGTCGACTATGCGGAAGCCACGGAAGAAGATGGGATCATTGTCGCGTTAGATCAGGAAAAAGCCTATGACAAAATTGACCATGCGTACCTTTGGAGGACATTGGAGGCCTTCGGCCTCCCCCCTGAATTCATAGCCCGAGTCCGCGGACTATATAAAGCAGCGAACACGAAAGTCATATTGAACGGTGAGATGAGCGACTTCTTCGCGGTAGTGCGAGGAGTGCGTCAGGGAGACCCACTCTCCTGCCTCCTTTTTGACATCGCCATAGAGCCGCTGGCGATCCTCCTGCGTAAATCAGACCTTAGAGGCTTCCACATACCCGGCGCGACAGACCGCCTGATCACAAAGCTCTTCGCGGATGACACGTCCGCATTTCTGTCCAAACATGATAGCTGGGCCGGCCTCTGGGACATCCTAAATAAATGGTGCAGCGCCTCCCGAGCGAAATTTAATAATGGAAAGACGGAGGTTGTACCGGTGGGCTCACCGGAATACAGACAATCTGTAATTGACTCACGTAAAATGCACCCCGAAGGAGGTTTGCCAGAGACCATCCCTCTAGATGTGCACGTTGCAAATGAAGGCGAACCAATACGCATACTGGGAGCCTGGATAGGGAACGATGTAGAGCAAACCGCAGTCTGGACACCAGCCCTAATGAAAATAAGGGCCTTCCTCCAAAGGTGGGGACAATGCCGACCGTCCATGATAGGAAGGAGACATATTGTCCAGATGGGACCGGGTGGTATATCACAGTACCTTGCTGTAGTACAGGGTATGCCCAAGTCAATCGAGGCAGAACTTAAAAAGATAGTGCGTACCTTTGTATGGAACTCCGGGAGTACCCCGCCCATCAACACAGCAACGCTGCACCAACCCATACGTGACGGGGGCCTCGGACTCCTCGACATAGAAGCACGAAATGATGCGGTCGACCTTATGTGGCTAAGAAGATACCTGACCTTGACGGAAGACCGGCCAGTATGGGCTTTCGCTATGGATGCTATAATCAACAAGCACGCCAAGCGAGACACAGGAGAGATACGCCCAAAAGCACAAATTAACACGTACCTGCAGAGCTGGAGCCCGGCGCTCAGTGCCCGATCCGGGCTCCCCCTGTACATAAGACGTATGCTCACTGCAGGGAAACGATTTGCAGTCCACCTGGAGGCCATTAAGGTAGACGTGTCGATTAAGAAGCAACTGCCGGCATGGTACCATATCGGAGCCACTAAAGCACTTCGACGACTGAACAATACCAAGATTAGTGACTGCCTTCGCGACTGTCATAATGTGATAATCGTGTCGGACCTACTCGCAATCACACAGTCGTCTTGCGGTAGCCAGCCCACTACACATGTCACGTCGTGGGAGGATAATAGCTGCCTATGCCCGGAGTGCCTAGCCTTGAAGGCGCATGGATGCAAACATCCGGCAACATGCCGACTGGCCGCCTTCCGAATCCTAAGCGAAATCACTCCGAAATGGAATCCCCTGGTACAGGATGTCGTAGACGGCCTCACCCTGACCAGAGGAAGGAAAACCATCAATGAGGAAGCGAAGCTCGACGACGGGGACCTCCTCACTTTTGACCCATCAGTCACGTCTAGAGACGGGCTGTCGGAGACCTTCAGGGTCTTCGTGGCCCCAAGCACCATGACTGACCCACCGGCAATCAGGCGACGCCCAGGTCGAGCAGTGCCGGAAGAGTCAACCACGGTCATGATATTCCAGCCCACTAAGGAGTCGGGACCGGAAAAAAGAAAGGGCGCCCCGCCCCGCAAACGAACATACGCCGCCTACTTTGGCCCCGCAGACCCGAGGAACGCTATAATAGCCCAAGCACGGTCCCCCGGAGCTAACACCACGGTACCAGGAGAACTGACCGCTGCGGTGTACGCCGCGATGCATACGCCTCTAGACGCACCGCTTAGCCTCCTGAGCACGAACAACGTTCTGACGGACCTAATCTTTGACAGGACCCCGGCCTGGGAAGAGAAAGGTTGGATCGGCGTCCCATTGGGCACCTCCATGAGACCCCTTCTGAACCACCTCCGCCAAAGGTGCGCCGTCACCACCTTTGGCCGGATAAAGAGTGACGAGAACTGGAAAACCCTAGAGCGCGCCCGTCAGGACGCGTCCACGACACCCCCACGAGCTTTCCGTCTAGCACCAACTCCCTCCGGGCCAACTGACCCCAGATTTGAATTGACCGGAGCGAAACTTAGCACCCTAACCCAAGCGCTTGCTTACAGGGGTGTCCTAGAGAGCCGAGGACATGAGCTTAGACGACGAACAGGGGAGAACCTTGCCGCGGTAATGGCGCACCGAGAGGAGGATGAGGAACTTACCCACAGCTCCATATGGATGAGCATTAGGCATCGCGACTTTAGTAGACCCTTTGCGGTCCTACTATGGAAAATGATGCATAGCGGCCTCAAATGCGGACCATACTGGATTAATATTCAGGGATACGAAGATAGAGCACAGTGCGACCGCTGTGGGGCGGTTGAATCTATACAACACATCCTCTTTGAATGCTTAGCGACGGGCCAATCACTAATATGGCTGATAGTGCGTACCGCATGGGTGAAGAAAAAAGCCCAGTGGACGGACCTATCCCTCGAAGACGTCCTCACTTTAGGCCTCAAAGAATGGAAAGACGAGAAGGGCCGGATACGCCCAGGTGCGACGAGACTCTGGCGAATACTTGTGTCGGAAGCAGTCCACCTTATTTGGAAGCTACGATGTGAGAGAGTAGTCGGCCATGCAGATGATGATGGCTGGGAACACCGCACAGCGCTCGTTGTAAACAAGCTGCAGTTTGCACTCAATAACAGGCTGGCACTCGACGTCGAAGCCACGAAAAAGAAGTACGGGAACTCCGCCCTGACGCGGGACCTGGTCCATGCGACATGGAACGGAGTACTGCGAGACGAAGCAGCCCTCCCAGAAAATTGGACTAAATACACGGGTTTTTTAGTGGGTAGGACACCGGCACTACGAGTGAATCTCGAACCGGACTGATGAGCCCCACACTGATTGTTCAATCGTGCGTAAATGGCATTTTTTCACCCTGGTTTGGCGCTTATGGGGAAACCCATACGCAAGCTGGATGCTCCGGGACGACCCATTGTCGGCTGCGGACGTCCGTAACGGCCCTCCAAAAAAAAAAAAAAAAAAAAAAAAAAAAAAAGACTCAGGCTACTAGTAATAGGTGTAGGACGAGCAGTATCACGGCGAGTCATAGGCTCAAGCCTCGACTGTCTTAGACATACACATGTACAGTCGCTCGCGGGCGATGAATTTGTATTGCACACGCACAAAGCCTGTGCGAGAACGCCTATTTCCATGGTGTCATAGTTGTCCGAAAGCTCGCAGTTGAACACACAGCAAGGGAGGCGGACATCATTTAACCCACCACAGATGGGCCCGTCCAGCAGCTGCAAGCTCTGGGATCTGAGAACCTCAATCGGCCATATACCAGGACTGTGTATGCATAGATACGCTCCAGACTAAATCGCAAGTGACAAGTGCTGCAAGACAAGGGGCATACATCATCATATCATATCTTAGTATATATACAAGACTAACTAGAGCAACATTGTGCACAGCATACGACGCATACATCCGATTCAAGCATTCTTCAGATCAACGAAAATCTTCGTAGATGGTCCGTACATGACATTGAGCCTACACAGCGACCCCTCCATCAGCGACGTTCCACAGAGTCATACGCTAGAACTCACCTATCGTGGCGGCACAGAGTAGCGTCTTTCGTCACGCCCGTATCTGTTGTACGGAGGAGGCGACCGGGGCTGCGGCGGCAGCATACGAGACGGCGGGTCTCGCCTGTCATACGACGAGTAGCCACCCACGTCAGGAGCCCTGTCCCTCGGATCCGCATACTCCCTGTCCCTCTGCAACGGAGGCGGCGGACCCGACCTATACGGCGGTCCACGCGGGTCGTCGTAGTAGGCAGAACCACCCACAGGGGGAGGCGTGCGCCCACGGGGAGGATAGTCCTGCGGAGGCCCCGCTCGGGGAGTAGTATCAGCAGGAGGGGGAGGGTAATACCCAGAACCGTAGGCATCGTCGCGAGCTCTCTTGACTGGCGGCCGAAGATCGTCAACGACACCCGGTCTCCTCAGCGGGCTCGGACTACGAGGCCTGATACGCGAGAACGGTGGGGTGTCAGGGGCAGGAGGGTAACGTGGGCGGTCCATGTCTCTGCCATAGCTACGGTCCTCTGGCGCATATCCCTCAGACAGCCGTGAGCTCAGCGGACGTGGCTCGAACGAGCGAGGGGCTGGCGCAGGGTCTGCGGGAGGGGGATACGAAGAGGACACCCTACGTTCACGCTCTTCGCGGGTCTCCCAGCCAGGAGCCGGCGGTGCGTCAGCGAACCTATCCCGCTCGTAGTCACGTGGCGGAGGACGCTCCCAGTCCCGACCGTTGCGAGACTCCCAGTCATCTGGGTAGCCCCGTTCACCTTCACGCCATTCACGGTCGTACGGACGTGCATCGGGTGGTGGCCGGCGGACGGGGTCCTCAGGATACGAGTCATTCGTCGGGGGCCACGCGCGCCCTCGAGGCGGGTACGGCTCTAAGCTATCTGCAGCGGGCGGAGGGGGCGACGGCCGGCGGTACGACGCATTGAATCTCGGGGCCGGAGGATCGACATCTATTATGTCGGGCCTGCGGTCCCCACCATACCTACCGGGCTCCGGTCGATACGGCGGGCGTATGTCAGCGCGGTCTCGAGGCGGTGGTGGATCTCCTGCCGGGCGGAGGATATCAGAGCGAGCTGGCGACCGCGTCCGAGAACGTGGCTCGAACTTGCGAGGAGGGTCGCGCGCAACTGACTGAGCCCGAGGTGGGTACACGCCGGGCCTCGGGCCAGGTCCACGATCAGCAGCAGGGGAACCGGGCCGATTGAAACGATTCGAGACTGGAGGCCGACCACGGTCATCGGGGCGCGGACCACGATCAGGAGGGCCAGACAGTGGGGGACGAGCTGGCTCCGCTAGCAACATAGCACGATCATCAGACGGTGCAGGGCGAGCAAGTCGATCGGTTGCAGCAGGAGGAGGCATAGGACGAGTGGCACGATCTTCGGTAGCTGGAGGTCTTGCAGTCCTGTCATCCGTAGTAGGCGGAGCACGGGACAGTCGTTCTTCAAGCGAGGGCGCGGGTCGACTGACGCGCTCATCGAGTCGTGGGAGTTGTCCGCGATCTAGTCTGTCGTCCGGTCTAGCAGCAGTCGTGCTTATCCGCTCCTGCAGGGAGGGTGCAAGGCGGCTGATGCGCTCTTCTAGAGAGACAGGTGGCCGAGAACTCAGGTCTTCCTTACTAGGCTGAGGACGCAGGCTGCGCTCCTCAGGAGGTGGTCGAGAAGGAGGTGGGCCAGGACGAGTGCCACGGTCTTCAGGAGTTGGGGGAGGCATCCGGCGATCATCGTTCATTCTAGGGGCAGGCGAATAGGGACGCGGCGGATAGAGAGGCCGAATTGGCCGGTCCACACTAGACGACAGCGGGAGCGGTCCACGAGGCGAATCTTGAGGTCTTACCTGGCGTTCTGAACTGGATGGAGGCAGAGGTGGGGCACGCCGGTCATCTGCAGGTCTTGTCTGCCGTTCAGAGTATGAACCTGTAGGAGGGGGCCTACGGTCTTCCGGAGATCGCAGGAGCTTGTCATTTGCCGGAGGCGGGGAGGCTCGATGTTCTTCGTTTCCCCTCAGCGGGCGGTCGGATGACACTGGAGGTGGAAGCGGACGTCGTTCTTCGAAGTCTCTTGGAGGACGCTCACTTGGAGCAGGAACAGGGGCACGGCGTTCGTCTGTAGACGGAGCGTCGGGCGGGCGATGATCATCTGGGAGCGTGCGAGTCGGAGGGGCGTCAGCGGGACCGCGGATAATTGCTCGCTCTTCACCGAGGGTACGAGGAGGCGGGCGCGTGTCAGGATGACTCCTGTCATCCGAGGGATGCGTACGCAGTGGAGCGCCAACATCGTCAATAGGCCTACGTTCATACGGGCGGTAAGTATCCGCAGTTCTATACTCCAACAGAGGTCTGCGATTGTCAGGTCCTCTGAAACGGTCATCGTTGCGCCTCTCATCTTTGAACCGCGCGAAGTCCGGACGTCTATCTCTGTCATGGTCCCTGTCCCGCTCGGGGGATCGTTTTCGGTCCCTATCCCTATCATAGTGACGGGAAGGGAATCCAGGACCACGGTTGTCAGGCCGAGTATTGAACCTCGAGTCTCCATTGAAACGGCCATTTCGGTCAGCATCGTACCTTGGCTTGTCGTCAACACCGTTGCGATGCGTCCAGCTATGATCCCGCGACAGCCGCTGATCATCCTTGTTGTCTAAACCAGGCTTGGTAGGAGAGTATCCGGGACCTCTTGTTCCTAGCGGAGGTTCGTCCGCTAAAGACCTATCGGATTGAGTCTTGCCTAGACCTTGCGGTTGAGACCTTGACGGCGCAGGTGGGAGTCGATCATCCACCTCTTGCTTTACTTTGGGCCCACGCTCCGTGTTACTGGCAGGGGCCTTACTGGTTGGCGCCGGTGCATTGCTCTGTGGAGGCTCTATCCGAGTGTCCTTTGCGCCCAGACTGGGACCGACAGTGCGGCTGAGACTGGCGACCGCATATTGGCGTCCTGCGAATGAAGGTTACAGTGAGCAATGGACAGGAACGTACACGGATAAACAGCACATTATCCGTCCTTCGCGCCTCCGCAACCGTTGATTTGGACGCTGGCACTGCCTCAGCGCTCGACGACGTGTCCATGGCACCGCGACTAGGAGCAAGCTCAGCAGGGGCCTGAGAGGCAACTGGACCGTTGCGCTCAGAGGGTGTAGGGACTTGCTCAGGATGAGGCGGTACTTGAGAGACGAGAGGAGCCTTCGGGGGACCCATGTAGAGGTTGGCCAGAAACGTCGGGTTGGGGACCGCCTTGAATACTTCATGTTGCCCGTTTTTGATTTTCTCCTTGAGATTCTCCAGTATCTCCAGGTCACCCTCCCCCATCGGAGAGTCTAGTGGAGGTTGCTGTCCATGAAAAAATTGATGAGGCGTAGGGTGTTGCTGCCCATAGTTGTGAGGGCCCATAGGACCAGGTCCCAAGTAAGGTGCGTTGACGTTGTAGGGGAAGTGGCCGAAGTCGTTGGGGCTGATCTGGAAGCCAGGCTGCATGTTTGGCGGGACACCTGAGGGCAGTGGGAAAGGAGCAGACATGAGGACGGCGGCAGGCTCCTCGGTTGGAGTTGGGACGAGGAACGCGCTCTCGGGGCCTTCAGTCAGCGTGGTGACGGTTCGTTCGCGGTTGATAACATTGCGGGCTTTTCTCTTCTTGATATTTTGCCTTGCCGACATCCAATATTGCCGACCCTGTGTCCGATTATTCGGTCAATATTCCGGCGCATTCCTGGCCATCGCACACCCACAAGTCAGCCTCGCCCCTCGCGCACCGAGACGGCCAAACACACAGCAAGAGGAGGATGCGGTAGTAATTGTTTTCGTGAGATTCGCTGTGCGATTATCGCCGGTGTATCGTACCCACAGTCACAAGGCTCGAGAAGCAGCTCTGGCGCCAGACAATCTGTATCCGCAGGTTAGTGGCAGTGGGGGACGAGGAACGCAATCTATCCTCCATGGAGGACATGGACAATATCAGAACATTTATCTCGTACAATGGACCGATTTTCCGTGGCTTTGCTGCATCAATGCATGGTGCAGGGGCATTTTTACTATAAATAATATCACGGAAAGGGACTTACAGACGAACAACGAACCGAGAACTCTCCCGAATCAAACCGATCCGGTGACACAGTAGTTCGCACGATATCTAGTCTCTGTGGCGGTGGTCACTGGTCAGTGACTTGGCTGCCATCCTCCACGATACACTCCCGCCATGACCACAGTCTCTCCATTCGCGCGCAGCACCGTCTTTGATGAGCCCCGCCTCGGTGGTCGTGAGCAGACCGTAAGTCTCGCCGACCAAAATTTCGCTCCCTAAGACATGAATTTGAGCAGGATGTGCTTCGTCGTATTCGCAGATCGAGGAGATGTACAGTGTACCGGAGAGCTTCCTAGAGATTGAAGTACGGAACCCCCAAACCCACGGTGCGTCCATCCTTTTATATAGGATGAAAGAGTTGCTCAACTCGCGGACAGGCTTCGGACGGAAGATGTACACTGATTATGAGATCGTGTGTAAGGTCGTTCTCACATCCTACGTGAATGACGGGGTGGTTCGATAGCTTACATGCAACGTTACCAGACCAATATTCCCGCTTTCAAGCTGCGCCACTCGTTGTCCGCCGCCGCTACTCTGATTTTGAGGCATTCCGTGACATACTCGAGCACGAATCGACCCGCGTCAATATCCCTCCTCTACCAGGCAAGGTCTTCACGAACCGTTTCTCCGACGAGGTCATCGAGCGAGAAGAGAGGGACTGGAACGCTTCCTTACTGTCGTCGCTGGCCACCCGCTTTTGCAGGTCTGTGTCCAGCGTCTATTCGCGGCGCTCCTACTGACAAATGCGACTAGACCGGCAGCAAAGTATTGTGTGCCTTCCTGCAGGATCCTGCCTGGGACAAGAATCAATGGGCCTGAGCGTGAAGGTGCCGCCTCCACGGTCGTCGCTCGGGTCGGGCGGTTGCTCCCAGCGTCAAGCCCTAGTGCGACAGCGATTGCACAGTGGCACACCTACCACTGCCCGACCTCCCTATTTTGCCTCCTGTATTTGTATTCTACGTTCATGATTTGATGACCATCCTGTGCGAAGTACGCGTCCATCGCAAGCCACCAACCACCGTGGCAAAGATCCCCTTCGCAGAGTCAAGCCGCGCACCTCCTAATACTGGCAGCTCCACGTGTAGATGATGCCAGTGATGAGCGATTTTCGGTTCCGGGGAGCCATTCCCCTCCATGATCGAGTTATGTGCGTCGCCTTCTTGTCTCAAAACAACATCGGGAGATGACCTTCCACCGATGGACCTCGTGAATGAGACGATGAGAGACGGAGACAAGCATGTTTTGCAGTCTACTGCTTTCAATCAGTTTGAAACCATGGGGTATACGTACTCACAACCACTCACAAATAGTACAGCCCCTCACCCTGATCCTCGTCTCATGCTATGATTCCGAGTTCTACGTTCTACGTTCACCACATCTAAGATTCGGACGCTCGCCTCTACACTGCAGTTTAAAGGTGCGTAGTCAAAGTGCAGACTGTCTGGGGAGACCGACGCTGATCTCCCGAATCCTGACACGCATGCGCAGCTCTGTCACTATGCCACAATCAGAGTAGCTCAAATGAATGGGCATCTAGCAGTACGATTCACAAGCATAGTGTGTATGGATTGAACCGTATGAGGATTGGGATGAGAGAGCAGTACATAACAACGAATATGAGACTGTGTGATCACAACCGGGACCTCGTCTGTCCGTCGCTCGACTTCAACAATGCGCACGCGGTAGCAATGAGTCAGTAAAAAGGTGCAGCCACTGATCGACGACAAGCAGAGGTTCTACAACTGCTCCCACCTCGAATCGGATGGGGGAGCGGTAGTCTCGAACCCGCCTCTCACGGACACCCTAAGTAGCAGGGAACCTCTCAAGATCTCACGGGTTCCCTATTAAGGTGTCCGTGAGAGGCAGGTTCGAGACTAGGGGAGCGGGATCTGATAGTAAGTACGTTTCTTGTGGTGCACCAGCCTGTAGCATCATGCTACAGGACTCACGAATGCTGAAGTAGATCGGGGGTGATGGTGAGCAGGGGTGTGCGTGCTAGCTCCGGACGCTGTACACGGGTTTCACTCATCCGACAGACCTCGGAATCTAAAATACCGGCTCTACCTCATCTGCTGCTTTAAGGATGGACACTCCACCGCTGAAGAATCAACACAGATCGCAGGAAATGTATAGCGGCATTAGACAGCGTATGTGGGCGAGCTTGCGGCAAGGTGAGGGGTATGAAAATGGTGGATGAATGCATTCAGATGTTGCAACACCGCGCTCATTCAAAAACCGTCGTCATCACTGGCATCCTCGTCGAAACCGAAAGATGGAGTCGCATCCGCCGGCGGCGGCGAAGCGCTTCGCGAGAGCCTCTGCCCTTCGTGAAGAGCGCGCAGTCGCGCAAGCTCGGCTTCCATCTGCACGAGACGGGATTGCAGTAATTTGTTAGAGTTCTCCAGAGAAACGACACGATTGCAGGCTGTGTATAACGACGACGATCAGCGGAGAATCTCTCGATGAACCAGTGTGAGACGTACCCCTTTTCAGAAGAGATACCTTGCTGCTCTTCTGATTCGAGACCGGCAGCACATCCTTCAGCCGAATATAGCCTTCCTCAATCAGGCTATCCGAACGCCCCGCTTCAGTCGCATCCTCTGCCTACGGGTAACCTCCTTGCGCGACTCAGCCAATCCGGTACCCATTCTATCGTCATCGTCAGAAATTGAACAACCTCGGCTTCGGTGCCCCGTGGAAGAGCTCGTAGTGGAGGGGGGCCGGGCAGGGCTATTAAGACTCTTGTCCGAGAGGGGCGATATTCTTTCAGTTGTTCTTGCAGATGAATCGACCGACCAGGACTTCAATGCAAAAAAATGTCAGACTCAGTTGCGAATCAGGAGACAAACGTACGTCGCTTTCGTACATCACTTTGCCGTCTCCAGGTACATGCCAGAGAAGCTAGCATTGGAGAGAAACATCACCATGAGCTTGCTACTTATCAAACAGCTTGCGTGGTACTCACATCGTCCACATCGCTGGTATTGTCTGTAGCTTCGCCGTCCAGATCATGCAGTGAGCCAACTAAGAGCGGCTCAGGTCAGATAGTCATGTCAGCGATCATATGTACCTTACCTTGCCAGCCGTCGACGATTGTCATATGTACTCGGGGGCGATCATGACTGAGCCCCTCTTGGAGACCTTCCGAGGAAATCCTACGAAGTACGAATTTCGAGTCAATCAAATTCGTGGATCTAACCCGTTCCGCGTCTTGACGTACCCGTGCTCGACGACGGCAGATAGATCCGCAGTGCTGGTCACCGCAACCGTCGCGTCCGAACTCTAGGAGGCCAGCGCCGTAAGAATGGTTCAGGCTCACCATCAATGTCGCCGCACCTCTATGATGTAGTTCAAGATAGGTTCCATTGGATCGTAATCCTATGTACATATGTCAGAAACCACGCCATGTACTTCAAAATTACAGAGCTCACCTCCAATCTCTGAGGGACCTCTTCAATGCTCATGCTATCCGAAAGAACCATGGGGACCTCATCGTCATCTTCTTCGGCAAGAACTTGGGCAGGATCCCTCCCAGACGACGCTTGCTCTTGTAGAAGTGTAGGAACACACACTGATCCTGAGTTCGACGTGCCATCGATGACGAACCTTCGTCGAAACTTTCATCGAGAACAGGTCCAGAATGCTGATGCCATGATCTCGAGGTACTTTGCGTTGCCGTCAACGAGAACGACGCATCGGCTAGGGTAGCCTGTCCGGCACGAAACGATACCTCGACTTCTCGACCACCGTCGACGAAGGCAGCAACGGCCCATCGAGCTGTCTTGACCCAACCACTGACCAGAATTATGTCCTGTTGCTTCAAGTCAAGCTGCGCCTTCTCCGTGGCGAACTCGTACCAGTAGGCGTGATTGCGACCTATAAACTTCGGCACTAATGAATTCGGAAGCAGCTGCACGCCCGCGGCCGTTTTGGTTGGTAACACCAAGACGGCACCTTGATTGTCGGTGCACCGGAAGTGAAGGCCCAGATTAGCCATGGATTTGCTAATGTGCGAGCAAGGTAAATCAGTGTCTGTATTTCCAGAAGCAGGGACACGCTCACGCATTGACAGTTGCATTGATATCGAGCTTTACAAAGCTCCTGCTGCAAACCGTATCCGCGGAGATAGCCGCAGCCTTGTAGCTGTAGAGGTTAGCCGGGATCTTGAGTTCCTCGAAAACGTCGGGGACGCCCCAGACCTGATTCACTACATGCTCAGCGGGGAGCGTTGGATTGAACAAGCGATGGAAGCGGCCCTTCACAAGGAAACCAACGTCTCCGATGAGGACCTCCCCATGTCGCTCCGGTTCCGGGTCCCATAGCGGGAACCCGTAGCCCATGCCAACGAGCTCTCTAGCGTAAGTACCCATGCTGTGGACATCAGGTGAGTGAGGATGAACACAGAGTCCATTGCTTCATCTATATAAACCTCAGGATAAGCGCTTCTAATTGTCTGCAAGACGTGTGAACGTGCCATGGTAAGGCAGTGCAAACTCAATGCGATACCACACTGCACTGAATAGCACCGCCAAAGCTTCTACCTGTCCGTGGAGAAGCGTAGCGATTGGTTTCGACATAGTCTGACTACCAGTCATCTTTCCCAGAACTCAAGGATGATCAAGGCTGACAGTGATACGCACGCTCACAAGAACACCATCTCATGGAACCTGACACTAGCGCAGCTGCATCCGAAAGTATCCAAAGTATCCGCAACGCCTCTCTGACGAGGCTGACACTCAGCTTCGCGATAGAGAGATGAACGACCGGCCGTATCTCGCTAGAGTGCCCTGTATGGCCTAAGATGAATGATTCCGCGGGACGTAGTTACTGCAAATTGCCCTGACCTGTCGACACGACAGAAATCCCGCACCGCAGCACATACGAGGATTTGGTTGGAGACTAGACCCGTCTGCCTATTGACACCGATGGCCGCGTTGGTTTCTGTACTGGTGATATCAGGGAGCCGCACTGGCGGCTACCTGTCGGTTATCCGCACCTGCCAGGCTCAACAAGGTCAGTTGTCTCCTTGTGTCTATATCGGTTCACGTGAAGCAGCGAACGGACAGGTCCGCCGTTCCATCTGGCGTCGTTGCCCTGAGCTCGTGAATTGTCAACAGTTGCCTAACATCATGAGCAGACAGCGACAAAACAACAGCGAGAGGCTCACCAGTGGGTAATCCTTATACCAACCCACGCTGCACATCATGATCTGCCAATGAACAGACCTGAGACAGTCTATCCCGCGACAAACCCACACAACAGTAAGTACAGCTGGCCGAAGGACACACACGAATAGGAGTGATCTGAGTAGTGAGTTTTCCATTGCAACTCAGGCGGCTGCCATAGTCAACGAAACCACCAAGCCCCGTACATTAAGAATGTGTAGACGTCTATGAGTGGTGCAGCAGCCCCGTAGTGTGTGAGTGATACTGTACTTTTCGATTCGAGTAGCGGGAGGGATCGTGATGGCCGTATGTAGCATGACGTGGACGTAGATCTAGCATATTGCGGGCATGCCAGCGGAGGGAGAGCGGCGCGTTTAGACGTATTTCGAGAACCAGGGGATGAGCGACTGCGCGAGGGTGTAGCTGAACACCAGTTTTGGGCCCACGACAAGGATCTAAACACGATGGTCAGCAGACGGTCGTGACAGACCGGTGAGCAGGCTACATACCTTGGGTGTGAGTCCCTTGAACAGTGCCGTCGCACCCTCGGTCTTGATGAGGTCCTTCACGATGGACATGCCGCTAACCTTGCTCTCGAAGTTCGCGTTCTGGATGCGCGTCTTGATTGTGTCGAGTGGTGCCGCGACCGTAATCGACGCGACGGCGCCCGCAACAGAGGCGACGAAGTTCTGACCCCACGTAGCTTTGTGGTAGTCCTCGATCCCGAAGAGGTAGTCCTTCGTCATCGCCGATGCACCGAAGAGCTATGAGGGCAAGTAGGGGTTAGGATGAGATATGGATGAGGAGATAGGTGAGGAGGACGTACGGCGAAGAGCCGGGTGCGTTCCGCGCCACGGTCCAGCCCCAACCGCGGTACAGCGTCGTGCCTTCCTCCAAGAAGATACGAACGACGCCCCGTCCGCGGAACGCCTCGGGATTCACCTGCCGCTTGATCTTGAGAGCATCCAACGGAGAAGGACGACCTCGCCGATACCAGTCAAGCTGCGCGTCCGATGATGTTACAAATAGTTGATGCAGGCCAGAAACACACACACACCTGCCGGCAGTTGCCTGCATCATCATCTTGCCCTTCCGCTCACCGAAGGCGCTCGTAAACTGCGAGCGGTAGTTCCGCGCAAGGATGTCGCTGAACCATGGTTGCCCACCGTACTTGTATATCCGCTGGGTGACCTTGTATCCTGCAGCATAGCCAGACCGGGAAGAGCGAGAGCAGCTTTTCCCGAGCGGTGCCGTGGCATATTCCCTGAAGACGATCGGAGAGAGCGTCGACATGGACACCTGTCGTACGAGTGACTCTGTCACTTCGTTTCGTCCGTGGAGGACCCATCCCGCTTACCTTGGACTTGTTGCTCATGAGCCGCTTCGCAATGGTATCCACCGGGTGGAAGACCAAGAGCTCCGCGATACCTGCCGTCGTTCACATTCTCAGTACTGTGCCGACCCTTCCCGTAAGGTTGTTCGCTGGCGTACCTGAAGTCCCGGAACCGAGAACCCGTGCAGCACCAGAGTCGCTGCCCTTGACATTCAAGTGGGTGCCATGACTGCTGAGAATCCGAAAGCGGGAGGCGGATTGCGGGAGACAGTTGGAGGCAGGCAGAGAGAACGAAATCCGAGCGAGACGAGTCGACAGCAGAGACGGATGCCACCAGCAGCAAATATTTACAGCGTCGATCGAGATCGTATGACCGCGTAGGCGCCCATGTGGATCCGTACGCGTACCGACGAGCAACCGACCACGCTCCAACCAACCGCCATTACGCCTGAACGCGACACTCGGGATTCTGCTCTGTTTCAGCTGAACTGTGACTGGTTTGCATATCTTCGGACCCGACTTGCGGGGCTGTTCCGAAGGGCCTGACCAAGGAGTTCTGCCTCATCAAGAAGGGTCATCCTCAGAGTCTGTCTGCGGAGGGACCGGAAGTTCGGTGACTTGCAGTCCAAACGCGGGGCCGGATTACGATACCGCAAGAGCACGTCAGAACTAATGGCCAGCTTCGAAGACTTGTTCAACTCAAGCGTCTTGCAGGTCTTTGCGCCAGGAAGCGCACTCGAGTTTCCGGATGGCGTCTCCGGCGAGAAGACGAAGGACTGGCTTTCTAGCCTTATGCAGACCTACGGACAGGAAGGTAGCTTTCTTCGGTGAGGCGCATCATCCACAGTACAGTCGTTTGCGTGGCGATCGTCTACCCTCACGCGGTGTATATGCGTCAGAGCTCCCCTTTGAGCTTTGCTATTGCCGTTTAACACGGTCAATCATCACGATAGATGTCAATGCTTAGATTAGGCGAAGCACCGTCGTGTGCCTCGCAAGGGGTACTAGGTCTATATCTGCATCGCGTGGGGATTTCTATCGTTGTGTCGAGCGAAGCGTCGAGTGTTCATCGCCGCTTACTGATCCAGCTGGTCTGAATAGATGAAATCATCAACTTCGTCCTCATTATCCGCTTTCCTCACTCGCAGGAGGAGTCTGAGACTACGCCAGAGGTTGTGAAACCTCCAATCAGCCTTCTCTCTTTCCTCGCGCATCTCCAGATCTCGTACGAGGCCTCTACATATCTCCCTTCACCTCTGTCCCGTCAACTTCATCTGGTGCTGTCCCGAGATAGGCCGCCCGCCACCACGAACGACCTCTATCAACAAGGACAAGCCAGTCGCCCTCCTTGCTGCTGCTCATCCGAACATCTTCCCACCGGCCACGCCGAATCCTGTCCCGTCAGCTGCTAAGTCTGACCAGCAGTATGTACAATCCCAAGGTACCCAGCTCACGACGGGCGTATGGGGCGACCACCATATGGGTCCGACGCGCGAGATGTCTGAAGCCTTTGCGCTACTCTGGGCAGCAGACGAACAGGAGTGGGTCGCCGTGTACCGCATGTCGGTGCTCGTCCGTATGTGTCTAGCTTGTGCCTACATGTGTGTGCTCATTGAGTTGCTACCCCAGGTTACATGGCAACGAAATTCGAAGATCCCCTCCTGTCTCTGACGGTGTCAACGACCCTCCGAGAGAAGCCTCTGCCTATAACTCCCCCTCGACGAGCGATAGCCGCGCTCCTGGAGGAGGTCGGTGGCTCTGAGAATCCGCTCGACATAATGTCGCCAATCAAGTCTGCTGCAGGAGACACTACGAACAATGCAGAACAGGATGATGATGACGATCTACTTTCTGGCCTGGAAGAGATAAATCTATTGGAGGGTCTTCAGGCAGGCACGTCTTCATGATCCCGTTGCTGACCTACGCACTCTGATACGTCTTCTGTGCACCAGATCCTACATTCGCTAACTCAGAAGACGCGCCCCTGAGACTCCCTTCCACTCGTCTCGGACCGAAGACCCGCCGGACAGCTTTTGCGCTCCCTCCAGTACCGGGTTCTTCGTCATCATCGCAACAGTCAAGAGCGTCGCTGACGGCCTCCGCGGCTGCGAAGACGAGGCTCCCGCCCCCTCCCGCGAGCGCGACCTTCCGAAAGTCATTCCGCAAGACGATGAAGGTAGTCTCCGGCTTCCACGTGCGCATGCGCACAGTATTCGTCCCGTACTTCCTGCTCCCGCGCAATGGGCAGAAGAAGCGCAAGGTTATCAGCACTAACGGGACGACCGACGAAGATGAGGACGAGGATGATGTCGAGACGCGCGAGCAGCGCGAGGCGGGCAACGAAGAGCACACCGTCGTGCTCTCCGTCGAGATCGAGAACACGTTCCCGGACATCCCCGTGCCCACTATTCCGAACTATAGCTTCGAGATCGAACGGGCAGACGTCACCGTCAGTGGCACTGGCGCGAAGACCGTACTTGTCGCATGGGGCGACGCTGCAGACGTCTTCCCCGTGCGAATTGGCCCCAATGAACAGGTCAACTTGCTCTACGCAGTGTCGTTCTTGCGCGCGCCGGAAGTGGACGACATGGCTATGGCGCCAGGGACAGGAGGGCAGGCGGGGAAGAGGACGAGCGTCGCGTCGGCGGCGGCAGCAGCGCAGGAGATGCGCCGCTCTGTGTCGATCAATATCAGCGTCCGTCCGTTTGACCGGACAAGTGTCCCTGGGCGGCCTATAGCAATGAACCGGAACGCTATCGTATCCCACTAGGACATATGCGTCGTACTGGAGCTGCAAACTCAACTTTTCGTCAAACGGTAGTGCTTCTGGAGGACGTGGGGGCGAAGATGGTACGGAACCGGTGCACTGCCGACACCAGCGTCGCCGTTCCCGAACATCCCAGCACGCGTGCCGACTATCGTGGCCTCGAACTCCGCGCAGTCGTTGCGTCCACAGTCCCTCCCAGTCCTAGCGTGGCAGGCAACCGCAAGTTCACGTACAGCGCTCTCGACTCTCCTGCCATCGATGGGCGCAACAAGGCGAAGTCGCCTGTGAATTACCAAGGCCCAACCGCCATGCTCAACCCTGCCAACCAACCCAAAGCGCCATACCCCTCACAGCGATCCTCGCAACATCAACCCGATCATCAGTGGAATCTCGCCCGTGGCAGGCAACCGTGCCTCTTTCATGCCGCCTCCGTGGCGTTTCAATCGACGTACCCTCGTTCACCCACGACGTACGCGAGTCCACAGGACTCGTACTTCTCGTTTGGTGCGTTGGGTCAAGCCCAGGGACAATCGCAGTTGACGTCTCCGGCGCGGAAGAGCCTGGACGCCCCGCACACCAGCGTACCCAGCGTACCCCGGCTCTCCACCACCAGTGCCACCGACCCATTCTGGCAGGCCCGTTGCGCAGCAGACCGGTGCGGTGCTGTCGGGCCTACTGTTGACATGCGGCGCGATCGCGGGGGCAGGCTCGGTCCAACACCGGGTTGACTGTACCAGGATTCCTAGTAATGTGGAGGTGAGTGCTGAAGTGGAGAACAAGGCGGAGGCGGGAGGACAGCCGATTGTCGTCAGCGTCGGTCTGCTCCCGACCATCAAGGAGGGCAGTTCGAAGGGCAAGGAAGGACGTCAGGCGATATATACCCGTTGGACCATTTACGCTGGATATCTTCGTGTTCAATCAGAGCTCGTGGACGAGAAGGTTCGAGGTGAGCCATCCGGACGAGAGGAGCGGAGACGCAAGGGCAAGGGCGACGGGAAGAAGACTGACGGCGGATCTCCGGGGATCATGCCCCTGGAGAACCGAGTGCGCATCGGGTACGTACTTCGCAGCGCCCGGAAACATCTGCTCACGTAGGATGTGTCAGGCCTCTACTACCTTCGACTTGTCAGTCCGTGCGGATGGACTTTTTGGCGCTGACTCCGGGTGTTCACCCTATCGACGAGCTGGTACTTACTGACGTGCAGAGCGGCTTCAGTATGCACCTACGGTACGTGACGGTTGACTGCGCTGTGAAACAATCTTGCTCACTAATCGCAGCTCGGTGATGGACGTAGTCGTTTGTGAACCATAGGCTTGTCTCACAGCTAAACGCTGTATTCGTCACCCCGCGCTAGTCTTGTTCCTGCTGGCTATAGGGAATCTTAATAGTGCATTGGCCTATGAGGCAGGTCAATGTGGCCCATGACAAGGTCTTGAGTCGCGATGCAAAGTGTTTCCAGTGCTGGAGCAATGCCCGTATCATCTCACGAACGCCGGTAGCCATCGCATACTAGTCTCGTCCGCCTTGACAGGTTCTCACAGCGTCAAGTCTAAGGCTCTTCTAAAAAGTATGTAACATCGGATGCCCACATCGGTGCACCAAGCTCCGCGATGTTACTGGCGCGTACCAAGTTACTATGGGCTTGCCTGGGGCTTGACACCCCCGAGCACCCAAAGCACCCCTGCCACTGCACTCGCCAGTTCTACCCTTTAAGTAACATAACTCGACGAACAGCTCCATCCACCTGGGCAGGTCACACTCAGCACCGCGAACGCGCAGCCCCGCTCACACCAACACAAGCAACCACACACGAATAAAGATACAATATATACGGCACGCGCCCGCGCCCGACGCCATCCCAACGCGGACGCGAACCAATTAAGCGTTCCTCGAGTACCGTAAGCCAAGCGAAGCAAGTGTGTGTGTGGTATCAGACGGGCGGGTGAGTACACGATACATTGGTGCGTCCGCCCCGGGCTGCAGAGAACCAAGCTGGGTGCAGAGCCGGGGCGGGCGGTGAAGAGATGGGACGTGGAGGGAGTGCGCGTTTAGCTGGAGCAAGGGGGCAGCGGCGATGGGATGCAGGTCCGACGAGACGGGGTGGAGGGCAGGGTTCATGTATGTGTAACGACGGTCCGTACCGAATCGAGCACGGCATTTTGGGACGAGAGGGGACGGAGCGCGGCGCGTTCACCGCACCTTCCCGGGGATCTCGCGGTTGACAAAGTGCCAGATGTAGTGCGTCCAGCCCTCGAGGACGCCCGCGCCGGTCATGATGTGCAGGCAGTCACCCGCCGAGTGCTGCAGACGGAGGGATCAGTTTCTGCAACCACAAACCGTATGGGAGGAGGAACGGGGCACGCACCGCGTCGGGTCTCAGCAGCGCCGGCCGGTCGATCGGCAGATAATGTACGTCGGGGTACTTGCCCGCGTCGAGGATGTTCTGCAACGCAACGGTCCGGTCAATTCACGCGTGCCGCCCCGTCGAACACAAACACGCACCCCGAACACCTTGTTGAACTCCCAGATGTTCCCCCAGTTATACCAGTTCCACACGAACGGCCGCCACTCCCTCCAGGGCGCCCGCTCGTTATGGCAGTCCTCATGGCCGGGCAGGTACGCCCGCACGACGACCTGCTTCCGCTCCCTCCGCCACCCAAAGCCCCACCGCTTCCCCCTCTTCTCATAATCGTCCAGGATCCCCTGCACGTCCTCCGCCCAGCGCCGCATCGCCGCGTCGAAGAAGCCGAGCACGCCGTCGATGCCCTGGGCGCGCGCGCCCTCGTCGCGGAACGCGCTCATCAGCGTCGTCGTCCAGTGCCCGCCCGTGCTCGCGACGAGCGTCCCGTAGTGGCCGTTCAGGAACAGGTCCCGCACGTAGTACTCGGGGCTCAGGCTCCAGAACTGCTCCGCGCTGAACAGCGGCGGCGCGTCCGGCCCCGCGCGCGCGGCGTGCAGCCCCTCGAGCTCGGCGCGGTCGAGGAGGAGGTCCACGCGGCGGAAGGTGACGAGGGGCGTGTCCTCGACGGAGAAGCCCGAGGGCAGGCGGAGGTGGGGGAGGAGCGGGGACGAGGGCGAGAGGTAGAGGTGCTGTGGCCAGGCGCGGTCGAAGTAGGGGTTCTCGGTGTAGTTGGGCGTGGCGCGGACGTGCGGGTAGAGCACGCAGGAGAGCGAGAAGAAGTGGTTTTCTGTCACGGAGTCTGTGGGAGGCGAGTTAGCACCGAGTTCGGGAGCGAGTCGCGTGCATATTCAGCTGGGCTCGCTGCCGCTACGCCCCGTCAGAGGCAACGAATGTACTCGTTTGAGTTGCGCGGTCTGTGAGCGGCGAATTGACCATCCGTTACGGCCGATGTGTCCCACCGATTCGGAGAGTGTGGGATGGGCGGACTGGGCTCTGGCCCAGGCGAGGTCCAGTGATCGACAGGGGCATCATATCGAACGGGTGGCTCGCCCCTTGCAGCTGGCTCTCTCTGCGTGTGCCAGGGCCGGGATCCAGGCCACGCTGGTGCAGCGTCTCGGGCGAAACAGCGGTGCGTCGCCGCACAGCGAGGGGCCTCGGGCATCCCCGACGGGTCCGAAACAGAGAGAAGCGGTGAGGACGGACAGACTCACCTCCAATGAGCAGCCAGCCGCCGTTCTCGACCATGTCCGCGACGATGGCGGCGCCGTCGAGCGGGCGCATCTCGCAGTCGTCGCCCGGCGTCCAGTCCCAGCCCGTGACGGCGGGGAAGCGGTCCCAGAGGCGCTCGTTGTCGGCGGCGAGGTGCCACCAGAACTCGCGCGAGCTCGCGCAGCCCTCGAAGCCCGCGAACGCGAGGGCGTCCTCCTTGCGGTGCATCGCAATGTCGTCCTCTGCGCGGCCGGGCACGCGCGGCGGGTCGGGCTTGGACGTCCAGGAGCCGTTGGCGTACGCCTGTGGCGGACATGTGCTGCGGTAGCGGGGCGCGGAGAGGAGGGAGAGGGAGTCGGCGAGGGAGAGCCAGAGCGGCGAGGCGTAGAGGGCGTAGAGGATGGCGCCGCTGACGAGGGCGGCGAGGAAGACGGTGCGCAGGCGCGACGGGTGGGGGCGCGAGCCGAGGCCGAGGAGGCCCTTCATGGCGGGCAGCAGGGCGGGCAGCGGGTGGAGGGACAGTGAGAGGAGGGAGAGGTGAGCGAAGACGGACGCCGGCGCAGACCCGCCCTGCTCTCACTTGCCACACTTCGACTCCCGACTGCGCACCTATTTCCGGCCCCTTGGCGAAGAAGAAGCCCGTCCGCAAATGAGCCATGACGTCGAGGGCCGATCTGCGAGCGCTCCACAGTCTTGGCACGTCCAAATGGCTTCGAAATAGACCGCCGGTCCAGACCGCCACCCCGCCCGCCCCCGCAGCCAAGGTCCTCGCCGCCGCCGTGCACATCGTCGGGCGCGCAGCAGTAGTATATATAGCCCACCTCTCGTACAATCGCACTCCCACTCCCGCCATCCCGTCCTGCTGTGCCCGCACCTGATCGTCTCGCACGCGCGCGGCTTTTATGTGATAGGGGTGCTTGTCTAGCGAGACATTCTGCACCCGGCGGTCCACACGTCCCAGCCCGAATCCTCGCCGCCTGTCCGCGCCTGGTCGGTGTCCCGGGTCCAAGCCGTCCGCAGGCCGCAAGCGAGTCTGAATCCTGCTACGCTCTCCCTCGCGCCCCTCGTCAGTCCGGAGTCTCCTCCGCAGCCAGAGGCACCATCGTTGCAGGACTCCGACATCAACGGCGTCCCACACATGCGATAGCGACGAGCGTCCCGCCCGCTTCTCAGAGGGGCCCTTCGTGCGAGTCCCCGTCGTCCGAATCACCATGGCAGTGTGCTCGCGAACGCACCCTCGATGATGCTCCACACCAGCCTGGCAGCGTGACAGCAACGCGTAGCGCGACACTTCGGGGCATGCCGGAGCTTGCGAGGTAGCGTTTGATAATTATAAGGCCACACATGCATCGTCGGTGGCTGCGAGTTGCGCGAGGTACTTACGAATGACAGGAACCTTGCGGCGTTGTGCACTCGAGTCTTGCTGGAATCTGGATAAGTAGCAGCTGCGCTTGATGAAACGGATGTGGAAGGTCTCATGCCGGATTAGGAAGGAGTTGTGCGTGCGGGCGCTCGTGGATTGGTCGCGCTGCCTCTTCGTTGGGTACTTACTGTGGCTGATACTATGGTTTCTGGTACAGTAATGCAAGTGTCCGTATTCTCATGACACGTAGAAATTATCACGCATAGAAAGTTGCACGATGTTGCGACAACCCCTTACTGCGCTCCTGCTGGCCATGGCTCTCTCTGCACTTTGGGTCTAATCGGTGAACGCTGTCACGCGCTATTGGCGCGTCTAGGCATGCGTAGGTAGTACTTACTTATACGTCGAGTTTGATAAGATGTATCATCGTCCGTATGTAGCGGGACGTATGCAAGGAATGCAAGGGATCCGGCGTTACGGATGCACAAAGCGACCTTCCATTTATGGAAAACACTGTGCGTTAGGAAGGCACACGTGAAGAAACTTGACCGACTCGGAGTCCTTCTATGATTGGCGTCCTCAGCTCCTCTGCGGCTCACTAGTACTCTCCGTACGTGTTAAACGAAGCGTACAAACTGAATTTATACGATCCGTTCAGGATGCCTCAGACCAGCTGAGAGTGCTTGGCGAGCGTCGGCAAGGGAGATGCTATATCTGCATGCAGTATTACTGTTGATGCCCGGCTATGGGTAAGACGCATATGCAACAGACAGTCTCATTGACTCATTCGACCGACTCGCCAGAGCGAGGTTTCAGCTGAATTCGTGGCATGTACAATGTGGATACACTGAAGGTGGTGGTAAAGGCTACATCAACGTCATACGGTAGTACAGTAGTACATAATTTCGACTGTACATCCCCGCGGCATGCATACCAGAACCATACATCGAGCCATCACCCACCGTTAGAGTGGTCAACGATTGTGCCGAGGTCCACATGAATACACCCTACAGAACGAAATCGACGATACGAAGTCGTGTACTTGCGCATAAGCATTATGAAAGCTATATCTCCCGTGGTTTCTCCGGTGCGAGCTGGTCATCCGCTTGAGACAACGGATCCGCGGTGCCCGGGTTCGCCTTCCCGAGCGCTGCACCGGGTGGTGGAACCGGCGCTGTGCTTGGGGCTCTCTTTCGCTTCAAGTTGGCTGAAGACTGGGGCGGAGGATCGGCGTGCCCAACAAAGGACGGAGCGGCTGTGCCCGCGACAATGGTATTCTCGGGCGCGCTTTCGCTCGAATGGTCGGACGCTGTTGTCGTGCTAGATGCTGCGGTCTTCTGTGGGGCGAAGGTCAGCAACAGTAGTAGTTGGATCGCAAAGCCTGGATTACGCACGGCCTCTGGCACTTTCGTTACCTTCACGTCAACAGTCTTGGTGACCGTCTCGATCTCAATGACGCATTCAACTCTGTCCCCGAGGACAACGCATTGACTGAAGTCCGGTCAAATACGCACGTCGTTATAGGTTGGACCTCCTTACCCTCTCCATTTGCACCAGCGATCCGTGGATCATGAGCCTTCAACGCATCCGTGACACGTCCAAGCTCGATGGCCTGTCAACGAAAGGTCAGTACTTCAGTGGTCTCACTCACTAATACTACTTCACGAAGCCTCGATTGCGGTACCTCATGTTCAAGCAAGCTCGCCGCAAGTTCGTCCGTGTCCGTTACAACGATATCAATATCAGTCTTCTTTTGTAAATGTCACCAAGGTCAACTGATTGAATGAGGCGGAATGTAGGAAACACACCCGGAAGGCACGGTCCGCGAGACTACTTGTCAATTGCAGTAGTGCACCGCCCTCTGAATCGTGCTGGGTATGGTGGGTGAGACAAAGCTACATACATGTGAAGGGACATCGAGATGTACCTCGGGCCCGTCGATTCTTCTCTTCTTGTCTGTGTGCTTGTCCTCGTCCGCCTCGTCCGTATCGCAGTCATGAGCCCTTTTCTTGGGCGATATGTGGTTCAGCACCTTGTCGAACGACGTTTTGCGCTTCAAGATCCACTGGTGCTGGGTCATGCACGTCACCATCAGCACCGCTCACCCGAACAGCGCATGGTGCAGGGCGACTCACGAAGGCATCGCGCGTCGTGTACTGATAGAAGTGCACAAAGATGCACTGATCGACCGTGTCCTTCTCCCGTTTCAAGCCCACGTTCGTCCAGCCCCCCAACGCCTCCTGTTTCGACAGGTCAACCGAGAATGACCCCTTCGCGGGCCCGTGTCCGCCCCCGATCGTTGCGCTCTCTTCGCGGCTCGTGTCCGCGAACGCGGCGACGGCCCACTTCGCGGTCTTTATCCATCCGCGGACGAAGACAAGGTCCTTCTTCTCGAGCTTGAGGTTCTTGTGGTGGTGCAGGTAGTGGTGCCATGTTTTGTAGTTCTTCTGAAGGTAGTCATGCATGATGGACGACTCGCGCAGGACCTCGCGCCGCCGGGCAGCTTTGGTGGGGATGTACAAGATGGCGCCGGAAGAAGATGTCGTGTTATACTTCAAGGCTAGGTCCACTGCGGACTCACTAGACATGGCATGGGTGAGCATCTGACGTTATGTCCTACTAGCCCGGGGTCCGGATACCACTTACACTTCCACCTTGGCATTGACCTCCGCCTTAGTGACGTGCCTGCTACAGAGCAGGTCCGAGCTGAACGTTAGGTCCTCCTCGTTGATAAGCCTGTCCGCGATCTCCAGCTTGCGGAAGTCCTTCGGTACGCCCCAGACGCAGTTGACGGGGTGATCACGAGAGTATGTCGGGTTGAAGAGCCGCATGAACTGGCCGTTCTCGAGGAACCCGACGTCGCCGATCTCCACCTCGCCTGCTTTGGGGTCGGGACTCGGGTCCCAGAGCGGGTAGCCGTAGCCAAGAGGGAGGAGTTCTTGAGCGTAGACGTCCCAGGCGGTCGGCATGGTGCTTGAGTTTCGGGATTGCCCTCGGGATGCTTGATGCGGGAAGTGAAAGACGGTACTACACACAGCTCGATGTTTCTTGACGGGTCAGTTATATGTGCTGAGAAAGACCGCCGCAGCTGTCAGAGGCGATAGGAGCATCGCCATAATGGCAATGTATGTTCACGCTGTGCGACATTGTCGGAAAGAACACAACCGTCCTGATGAGAACCCACAAACGCACTGGTAGAACGCTCAGTCCAGCATGCCCTGTACCAAATTTAGTCGATGGGATCCGGAGGTCGCTCGTTTTAGGCGTTGTGGCCTCGGAGGACCAGACCAAAGCAGCTAAGTTCGAGACATGGGAATTGACAGATGTGAGGATTGAACGGGATTGCGTGTGCGAACGGACTGGGCTAGCCTCGGATCGCATGACTCGCATGATTGAGTTCAGGAGACGAACTAGATTCCGAAAGCCATGTAAGATAGGCCCAACGCATTCTCGACCACTATCGGCGCCTGCAGAAACGTCACGTGCGGATGCGCAAACCCCAACCCAGGAGCGGATAAGTTCAGACGCTGGGTTACTTAGGGGGCTACTAGGACACGACGACGGAGCGATGTTTGGCAGTCGCTGGTTGGGACAGAATAATACGGTTTATGTATTGTAGACACAATTAGAAGCCAAGAACAGCAACATACACAATGAGAATAGCCACCCAGAGCTCATTACTCGCGTTCGACACCAGCCTTCTCGAGCTCGTCAAGAATACTGTGCGGCAGAACACGATGGCCGTGATACTTCTTGTTCGCCCATGCTGCTTGCTTCCCCGACAATCCCCGGCGATATGCATCCATAAATCGATGAGATCGGACGAAGAACCGTCGGATCGAGACAAGAGGCACGGCGTTCAGCGCAGCCACCGTGTTTCGTTCTAGGTCCGCTTCGAGGGTCGATGGTGGGCACTTCCGGTACACACGCTTCGCAAATCCCCAACACTGTTCAATTGGGTTCAGCTCGCAGTGAAATTTCGGGAGGAATAGCACCCGAAATCCGCGCTGCTCGCAATGTCCTTCCAGAATCGACTCAACATCGCAGAAGTCGGGCTGGTTGTAGAGGATGCGGCGCATACAGCAGTCGACGGCGGGGGGCTTGCAGTGGAAGTTAGGGCATTGTGCACGTAAGCCTGTTGTTTGTATGCCACGCTCCTCGAGGATCCTCTCCATCCCCTTGAACACCCCTGGTCTCTCTGCACCCTCCTCGAAGTAGAGTGACTGCGGCCGGCCATCTGGATACCTTCCATCCCCCATGCGCACACGCTGCTTCAGCTTTTTTCCATTCGTGCCATACACTAGCCGGCCATCATCTCCGCGGACATCGATGTCGACCCCAAACAGTGGCTTGCCCGGTGCAGTCGATTTCATCGACATACGGCGCGCTGACAACGAGTCATCTGGCCGCTTGAGGTGAGTCGGCGCATTATCGAAGATCAGAACATGCTGTTCGTCAGGGTGATGGCGCTCCAGGATGTCCATTGCGAGCGTTGCATGCTCGAGGATCTCCTGGTTCGTGAAATACCCATCTCGGTCTTTACCAGCCTTGAACAGTTCGCGGGCTGATTCGGTCCCATCAGGGGATCGAAGCCAGCCATGCTCAGCCGAGACGAAGTCGGCGACCATCAGGGAAGGACCCTCTCCCTTGGCACGAGGTACAGCCTTCTCCTTCTTCTTCACCCAGCGAATTTGACGGCGGTCATTTGCATAGAAGGTCGACTCGTCGTGATACCAGAATATGACTCGTTTTGGGGGACTCGAGCCATCCGGAAGGGCTACGTTTACAACAACGCCCCGGATGGGACTATCATCCGACAGTGTGATTCGGACATCACCACTCGGACGGAATGATCCATCGGGTAAGAGGGGACCTTGAGCCTCGATGCCATTGATCCAGTCTCGCGTGTACTGAAATGCTCCATCTGGCAGGACAGGGCCATGGACGAAGGAACCATTGATGATCGTTCGCACGTACGGATCCAAGGCAGCCAGCGCAGGGAGGAAGATCCCATCTCGATAGTCAACGACGTCTTCACGCTCGTGCCCATCCACATACTGTCCAGAAGGTGTTTTCGTCCATCGATAATCAAGCACATGCATCCAGGTCTGTGCAGTCGACAACCCAATAGGCTTCTTCAGCCCGTACTTCAGGAGGACCTCCGGGTCGGACATGAACTCGACGATGTCCATAGCACGTACGAATTTCCCCACAGCCTGTAGATGCTGACTGATTGCCTCTCGGAGGTCAGGCTTCTCCAACAGTGAAGTCGTCCACTCTCCCATGGGGCTAAAAGGAAGTGCATGCCGATCCCCTAGGAAGTTGCGCGTCCAACCGCGCAGTTTCATTGCCCGGTGAGGCCCGAACTCCCATGCCACAGCAGTACGGAGGGAGGCTGCGATCCAACTGCCACGTACGTCTGAGTCTGATCGGGTATAGAACCCAAGCAGCATTTTCATCTGCTCTAGACGTGACTGCAGCTGATCGTCGCCCACGAACCGCAGGAACCCAATGCCACTCTTCCGTCGTGGCCGCAGGAGAGCGCGAAGGTCTTGCAGGGCTATTGATGCTTCTTCGATGGAAGGCGGTGGCTCAAATAATGGCCGCTTTTGCGGACGTGCCGGTGCGTCATGGACGGTACTCGGAATCGGTGCGATCGGTACTGCCTCCGACTCGGAGTCGGGCGCGCCTTCGAGCTCGTCTGATACCGAAGCCGCAGGCGGCCGCGGTCTCGCATTCTGAGCCACGGCACCTGTGGTATACGACACTTGGCTAAGATGTATAGGTACTAGTTCCTGCACATGCTACTCACCTGCAGGGAGCTCATTTGCCTTCTGCGACTCCGAGTCAAGGCTCACCGACTTTGAGGCCTCCGACTCATTGGCTGTTGTACCCGGAACTTCCCAAGTAGGTTGTATTATCTCAGCAAAGGTATGTCTCATGTGCTCGTAGATTGCTGCTGTGTTTCTAGGAAGCTCGTCGGGAGCTGTCTCGGACTCCGGCTCCTGTACTGTTGGTTGCTGTGGTCGAGGTGAGCAGATTCTCGGAGCAATGTACCAAGGACATACATTTTCTTTGACTGCATCTGTAGAAAGCCGGGCTTTTTTCTCAGCTCGTTCTCCAAGGTTCTGTAGGGCAATGCGAGCTCGTTTACTGCGAGGCGACATGGTGTTGTCGCAGCAGCGCTTCTGGTACGACCTCATAGCACTGTATGCCAATTACGGATTATTGTAATATTGCAATTGTATAGTAAGCAGTTCACATGCAATTGTCGGAAGGAACAGATGACAACACTTCAACTACGGATGCAGACGCGATAAACGAGCCATCAACCAATTCTAAGACTGATTTCTGGGTGCTTGACTGTGTCTGAATAGTTCGATCTTCGTTCTATATTTCTGTGACTTATTTTCTCGCTTCGCTCGCAGCGAAAGTAGTGTACAGGCGCCGAAAACGGTGCATGTGATGTAGTCGAAAATGCGTTGGGCCTATCTTAGACGTCAATGTGTGGTTATAGTCGGATGCTAGATCCGTAGGAACACTCACCAGAGGGATAAAACCACTGGAATGAATTTCTCCGCGAGGCCCAAGCTCTCCCATTGCATCGCACAGACCAGGGCGCAGGTGGAAAGCGATGCCAATTTCAGCAGGGCTGTTGTTACCGCTGGCATGGAAGCACCTGCAAGTTCCACGGAGATGTGATATCGACGTCTGGTATTGAGTGGCTCGATACTGGCTGATAACGCAATGCATGGACCACTCAGCCCACTCAGCCATGGATCATATGCACTTAGCCAAGTCACATCAGGCCTGCGGGTCGATGACAGGGATTCGGAAGGAAAGCGTGACTTTGCTGACTATGCTCGCTGGAACTCCACTTGATGAAACCAAGAATAATACTGTGGCGGAAGAGCAAGGTGAAGTTGGCTTCGGAGATGATTTACACCTTCATTGTACAGGAAGCACTCGGGGTAGAGCGGGGTTAGACGCTACTCGGGTTGGTAAACACCTAAAGCGTGTCGCGTCAATACTGCGCAAGCATGAGCCAATGACAAAGCGAACATATATGGCGACCCAAGTTCATGGAGATTGTTGAGGAAGCATAAGCCTTGTGAGTAGCTGCAAAGAGGCTTACTGTAAGCTTCGCGGAGTGAGCGGAACTTACTTACAAAATAGAGCATTTCACGGATCAGCCCTATTGCGATGTCATCCATTGACTGTTAGGCATGTCGAGAGGCTAGCACATGGGTTGTCAGAGATACAATGTCCGGATACAACTAACGATACAGCCTGTGGAGAAGCCACCGCGGGTATACAGAGCCGAGACCAATGTCGTGAACAAGCACGAGAGTGTCAATGATGGCACGCCTTCGACGAGGTTCTTACACGAACGTATATATGACCTCAAGAAAGCTTATACGGCGTGTGATGAACGCGTTTCGATGACAATGAGCGAGCATAACGCACTCACCAGCACGCCTCCCCCGATCTCGCCGAATGGACATGAGGGCAGGGAGATACTTCTGCGCTGCTGTCTCCTTCCGCTTCATTCATCTTCAACCACTGCTCCCTCTGCTGCTCGCGTTGCCTCTAGGTTATACTGCACGTTCTTCCTGTACTTGGTCACCAGATCAGCGGCTGTCTTCACGTGAGCATTGGCTCGTATGACTTCCTCTAGACAGTGGTTGAGTTCAACGACCATCTCAGTGCACTTGTCCTAATGTTGCACATCAACGTAAGGACGCCACGGGGGGCATGCACTACGAACCGCATTCTTGATGATGCGTTGAAGGAGGACATTCTGGCGCTCCGCGTGGGGGTTCTCCATGCTCGATGACCAGGTGAAAGCGTTCCTTTACTATACAGTCCAGTCTAATTAGCATTCCGTCGCATCATGGTTTAGAACCTACCTTGAAGAAAATCGAACGTTGCACAAGTCGAACACAACTAGTGACACCGCACGCGGTCTGGACGGTTCACTGTAGCGTTGCTGTAGCGCGTCGTTGCAGTGGAACCCGGGCGGGCCGGGCCTGGTCGCGTCGGTGGCGCACCGGCAAGTGCCGGGTTCAAATAAACTGGCAAAGCCTGCGCTCACTTGAACTCACCCACCGCAGCGTGTTCCCCTCTCCATGTATCGTTTAAATCGGCCAGTCTCGATATGAAACTTGCACTCTCTATCATCCACCTTGAAGGGTGCATGGTTCATCGCGTCACAGCTGTTCGTTGTGAAGGAATCGCGGCAATTTGCATGCTCGCTTTGGAAGGCGTGATGAGGGATTGCTGAGGTACTGACCTCGGCTACCAAGGCGGTTTTGGTACGAGCTAACGACTCAGTACGTCCTTATGAGCCTCATGATTCAGGTATTCTCGCTGACATACGAATCACTTGGGTCTTAGGGCCGGCTATGCAGAATGCGAGTAAGGGTATCATCGATTGAACCGACCTTCGTGGTCCCCGATGAGCAGGTACGTCCGTCCACGGTTCCAATGCGCCAGGTATCTTGGACTGTCGGCGGGGAGGGGCATTTTGGGCAGTACTGCCCGTTGATTGCTGTCGGACACTTCAACATGATTTCACTCTCGCGCAGAGACCGATGACCGCGTAATGCGACACGTCGTGCAACCCCTCACCTGTATCACGGGCGTGCGGACGCGCCGACCATTTGCATCTTGCTCTTAGGACGGAATGATCACGCCAGCGTTGCATAGACTGGTGTCTTTGTCTGGTGCATCGTATGCTCGTGTTGCAGCCTTAGCTTCTTCATCAGCGTCCAAGTTCCACATTTTCTCTAGGCCGCTCGAAAGCTAGCGGCATCGGTGCTGTGTATGCGGGTGAGCTTGCCACTATACTGAAGCGCATCGGGGTCCACACATCTCAACGTCTTGTCAATCAGACCTTCATCCGGTCATATTGCGTCTCGTTCGCAATGTCCGCGGCTATAGTCTCGATCAGCTCAGGATCACCAGCGCTCTCGTGCTTGCAAGTATCGTCGCCTTGTATGATTTCCGCGTTGTTTCCGGCCCAGTCTCAACGCTGTCCTTACAGTGCAGTGAGTCCTTGAGATCTCGAAACCTTGGAAGTCCGAGGAACTCATTCATACAGGTTGCTCCCATGCGCATGCGCACATATGCATACCTCATAGAACACAATCGCAGCTTGTATACTTATGCTACATTCACTCAGGTCATCCGCTCCTCCAGACTTCCCTCGCGCGCGCCGGCGGGTCGGAAGGTTTGGGTCGGACGGCATCACGGCTACGGGAGAGAGATCACTCCGCGACTGCTGCACAGGATTGAAAAGGCCGTGCAACGCGACCGCGCTTGACACTCACACGGCCTTGCTCATGATCGATGGTGATACGAGCGCGGTCGGGTTCAGACAGGTGTGTCGTTCTGGGCGCCTGATGGGCCGTCATGTTCTGTCAGGCACATGCATCTGGTTACCCTGCGCGTTTCGAACATTGATATTCGGGACGAGACCTCTGCCTCGGAGCTGCATTCCAATTTGAGCAGTACCAAGCCTTTATACTGCTCAGTCTGTTTCTGGGAACAATGCGGACGACTAACGAATGTTAGAAGGACTCGGGGAGCCCATCCACACGAGCGGCACACCGTCACCGGCGGCATGCTAGTACGCCCGATCTGTTAAGTAACGGACAAGTAACGGATCCGACTGATTCGAAACTCAGGGCGTGCCGTTTGCGCTGGCCCCGGCACAACGTTCAATAACACGTTTGATCGGTATCAACCCCGCCAACTCTGGCCAATCGCATTGCCGTACGCGCTTGGCGCTAGCGCACTCAACGCGGGTTTAAATGAACGCTAGCGTCGTCCCTTCCCCCAGCTCCTCACCCCTTCACTTTCGAGCACAGAAGCCGGCACTGGTTGGTAAGTATTCCCGACTTCGCGACATGAACGCCTGCTAATGATATCCCTACTGCCACATAGCTTGCCTTCTTTTGTATCTAACGCATTTCTTGAATCTTGACGATCTCGACGCTCTAACGACACTACTTCCTCCCCCTTTTCCCATCACTTGCAATCTTAATTCACCATGCGTGTCCCCGCTGCTGTTGTTATCGTCGCCTCGGCCGCTGTCCTCCCTGCTATGTCTATGCCGATGAGGTTAGTCCCGACTCTGTATCAACCTTAGAGTTGACCAGAGCTGATCTCTATGTTTGCATAGCAGCGAGACCTACGATATGTACGCCCGTGAGGCCCCTGCACAGGGTAGCGGCGCTCTCGGTCTTGGCACGCTCTTCAAGATCGGCCGTCACCTCATCCCGTACGCACTTGTTTTCCACGACGTAGTATTGTCTCTCACACTGCAGTCTGCGCACACAGGCACAGTAGTGGCAACAGCAACAGCAATGGCAACAACGGTCAGAAACAGAAGCACCGTCGCGAGCTGGAAGAGCTCTTTTCTCGGTATGCTTCGTTGTTGGCTGTCATGTTCATATCCTGACGAGAAGTGGACAGTGAGGAATTCATCGAGCTCCTTGCCCGTGAGATGGAGGCAGACGAAATATACGCCCGCGAAGCCCCTGCACAGGGCAGCGGTGCTCTTGGTCTTGGCCTCCTTTTCAGAATCGGCCGTCATTTCATCCCGTACGCATTTGCTTTACACGACGTAGTATCGTCTCTCACACTGCAGCCTGCACACACAGGCACAGCAGTAACAACAACAAACACCGCCGTGACCTTGAGGAGGTGGATCTGTGGGAGCGAGATGTGCCCGAGGAGAGTCTCTGGGAGCGTGAGCTTCCCGAAGAGGAGTTTTGGGCTCGGGATGTTCCTGAGCAGGAGTTCTGGGAGCGTGATGTGCCCGAGCAGGAACTTTGGGAACGCGAGGTTCCGGCTGCGGCGGAGGGCAGCGGTGCTCTTGGCTTTGGTCTTGTGAAGGATGTTCTCAAGGCTGGCTCCCACCTTTTTGGGTAAGCATCCAGTTCGCCCACCGTGCTGTGCCATCTCTAACGCCACGGTTATGAATATAGCCACAGTGGCGGCAGCAGCGGCAGTAACAACCAGAACAACCAGAAGCAACGTCGCTCTGACGAGTTCGACGACCTCTTTGCTCGGGACTACGAGTACACCTACGAGTGGGAGTAAGCGGTATCGCTGTGAAGGTTGAGATGTGGGCCAGGAAGTACTGCGCTAGATATCCTCGACGTTGTCATATTTCACCTTCGGAAATGCTATGAACGGTGGGGAGTTCACTATAAACTCGACGATGCGAAGGGGTTATGGTGCAACTTCTCTGCTTCTAGCAATGCCAAGACTAGTATTCGGTCGCATCATAGTTGCTGTTGCTGGCATGTCAGTATAACTTATTGACACCCATCGAGATGAGTAACTGCATATGCTGTCGTGAGTCGACGGCCCATCACATTGTATTGTATGGCAGCAAGTATGCCAACCTGGTTAATTACGAATGGCCCAGTCTGAGCGTGCATGTTCTGATTGAGTAATGGCTGTGCAATTCCATCAACGTCCTGTTTTGCCTTCACCGATTACTGACGGATTACCAAGAGCGGCGGTCAGCGGGTTCGAGTCGCGGAGGCAAGTTGGTTCGTCCCCGTTGGTCAAGCTGAATGGCTTCGTCAGGCACCGAATATTAGCCTAGTGCCAAGTACCCCGTTCGTGGAGTAGTGCTAATCACTGTTCTCCTGTCCCAATCGGGCGAACAAACATCCTCGAGGACGTGGATGCGTACCTAGCCTCGGCTATGTCCGTGCCACCTACACGCACCCACCAATGAGACGCCGTCCATGATCCGCACCTAGTATGCGATCTACGATCGGTGGCCATCGACGCTTTGACCTTTTCCCAAAATGACAGGTTGAGCGGTGGCCCCGAGGTATAAAGAGCCTGGCGAGCTTCCTGTCAAAGCACTGAACCCGCGCTCTTGCTTCATAATCACTTCCCGAGTCGATTGTCCGCTCATCCACCCATCATCCTCATCGTCGTCAATAAAGGCCCCCACCACCATGAATACAAACAGTAAGACAATTCCTCTTTGTTGTTCAGTGTCTCTTGTCTAACCGCCGTTCATTGTACAAGGCGCGGTACTCTCCTATCCGACTCCGGCAGTCTCACCGACTCCATCAGCGTACAGCTCTCAAGCTGCCCCCCGACCTCCTGTACCGACCCCACCCGCAACGGTCTATACCTTCACCATCGCGCCGTCCTCACCGCCCACCGACGACCGACCTACAGAGCCCGTCGCATCGTCCAGCACTTCCGATGGTCTGCCGCCCGCCTGCTTACCACCGGACACCCTATCACTCCTAGAAGAAGCCGGCGTAAGCACAGTGCAGTGGGAGGCACTACTGAGGGAAGCCGAAGCACACGCCCAGAAATTCGTACGCGACACCACTACAGCCCTTCCAAGCCCGCCGTCCACCCCCTCGCCGCCAGCAGAGGCCGATGGCCAGCAAGAACACGTCCCGCGGGCGAGAAACTGCTTTTTGATTTTTCGGCAATGCGTCAGCAAGGCTAAACACCTTCCTGACGGATTGCAGAAGCGCCAAAACCATCTCAGCAAGGTTGTGGGGTCCTGCTGGCGTGCGCTGCCTGTGGCGCGGAAGAAAATATTCAAAGATGCTCAGGCGGTCGAGAAGGAGGCGCACCGAAGGAAGTATCCCGATTATATATACAAGCCAGCCCCCAAGGCAGCGAAGAAGCCCGTGCAAAAACGTTACGCGCAGAGCGTCGCCGCCGCGGGTTCGTCATTCGCGTCAGAGAGGAAGGGCAAGGCGAAGGCCACCAGCGAACGTGGGGTTCGTGGGGTGGCTGCGGGCCACATACAGCACTCTGAGGCGGAGTTGCTTCCTGTGCCACCGCCACAGGTACCCGTTCGCGAGGCCTCCGTCACGGTGGCGGTGCCTCCCAGCCTGCCTTCGATGAGGTGGCCGGCGGCGAGCTATGCCCTCCCTCCTGACGTCCCGGAAGACTGGTCGTACAGCCCTTCCACGTTTTTGCCGTGGCAATATACAGCCCCCAGTTCCGCGCCACCGATGGCGTACCAACCCTACTGGCAGTACGCGCCGATGCCCGTACCCGCGGCGCCCGTACCAGAACCAGCCCCATCATCGGAGCAGATGTGGTGGGAGGACCCCTCCACATGGGCGAGGATGACCTGGAGCGACTGCACATCGTCATTGTGAAGTCGTACCTGTAGATACCCATAGATACCCACTGTGTCATCGCACACATTACTTATACCCATAACTTGAAGTGTTCGTACGTCTTCAAGTCAATTAGTCAGCAATAACGTCTTTACGTTTTCTCTAACGAACGTACTTGAAGACTCGGAGACTCCGTATTGAGCACACCTCCTTCCTTGTGGCTTTGCGTCAGTAGGCCGAAAGGGCCACGACGCGGGATGTGGGATGAGACGGCCATCGATCGTCGTGGTAATGAACAAGGATGGGCGCTAGAACTGCACGTAAGTACTGATGTAACCAAAGTTATCGATCTAGCTCATTGTCAACAATATTAGTTTGACAACAGCGCGTTTCCCGCGTACGTACCACCGGCCGGTCAGTTACAGGCAATCGCACACTGCCAGTGCCACTGCCAGTGCGAGCAAGTGAGAGATCCAGTAGACACCGGGCGAGCGCCCACGCGCACGCGCCACACTCAAATTCGGCCGACGGAGGAGCCCTGAATTTGTCCACCCGCTGGCATCTTGCCGCCGGTCCCTGCCACCGTGTGCCACGTACCCCTCCTCACCGAATGTTCAACGAACGTGCCCACCAGGCTGGTACGGCACATACGTGACATCGTTCCAATACTTCAGCAACAGATAGAAATCCCATGGCATAACTGCGGAATCTCACATGCGCTTTTATGTCCGTGGCTCGTTCCACGGACCACTAATATCGTCAGAGTGTTCCCAGCGGGTGCTGATATCTCCTTGGAACGTCCTCGAAACGTCCTCGAATGGCGGAATACAAGTGAGCTACCCATTGTATGGAGTGTATTGCTTTGACTAAGAATGATTCCGGCGTGACTCGCCTTCACCGCGACATGCTGGCACGGTCCACTGCTTACGAGTCATAACCTTCAATTGCATGCAATGTCTGTCAAAACCATCACACCCTGTATTCATTCGACAATATGCACGCTAATTAAGCAACTATCACAGTGTCGCCGTCTGCGTAGACGTCGATGAGCACTCTTGACAGGGAATTGGGCATTTGAAAGGAGGCTTGCACAGCGGTCTGTAGGCCTACGTCAGAAACCGGAAATTGACTGGTAGAAGGTGAGAACGTACTGAGCTGGGCAGCACGGCAGGTTCGAGTTCTGTGGCTGTGGGACGGCTGAGGCCGACATTGCCCTAGTACATAAGGCAAGTCAGCTCATATCTCCGAGAGACGAACGTTGTCAACATACAATGAAACAGCCGCGAGTGCGGCCACGAGGAGCTGCTTGGAGAACATCTTAAACGATGAGGTGTAGCTTGAAGTGCGAAGGACAGGCTGCTGAACGAACAGCTGCTACGGTGAGCATTTTATACTGCGCCCCTCAGCTATTACGAGTAGCAAAGCAAATGATCATGAATGAATATGACAGGATGACATAGTGGTGACATTGGGCGAGCCCAGAGGGCGTTTGGTCAAAGTCGACGAGACGCGTTTCAGATATCAAACGGCCGAGTGTACTCGCCGCGTCTTTACTCGTTGCCCGATCACCAGCATTAGAGCGCCAACGCCCTAGGCTGCAGGAACGTGCAAGGAACGTGCTTCACCGTCAAGGAGCATCCGAGGTGCGACTCCCAGACGCAAAAAGTCAACACTGTTAATACTTGTCCTATTACACCAGAGCATGCGTCGAAAGGCGATATTACCAGAATTTCGATTGGCGTAGCATAGTCAACATCCGGCCATACGATCCACAAGAAAGGAACCGGAGTCCGATGTGAATATATTTTGCACGTTATACGGGGTTTTCCCAAGTGAGTGTGCGCCCGGCGACACATAATGTGGCGTTAACCAGAGTCCGACGTCGCGGAATCAGGAACTGATGCTGCGCCGCCGTGGCGGGGCGCCCTGGAGAAATGGAGAGGTACGTGATAACAATGCATGCCTGTCGAAACTCATGTGCTCACGACGCTCCTATACACACATAGCAGCTAAGGCCGGACAGCCAGCGTCACCGCGTACTTGGTATTGGGAGTCACTTCTTCCTAAGGACAGAACACAGGCTGACACGTAATGAGAGTAGTTCTAAGTGATCATGGTTACGTCGTGCATACTCTGTCTCACCAGTATAGCTCTCGTACTGACACGGCGTCATAGAACGAGCATTGCAAATGTGGCGGTTCGATTGGCGTAACAAAGCCTAGCGGATGCCTTCGTGCGTACTGTGCGACGTCAGGGTTCGTTGTGTCTACTCATATTGAGTGCCAGGGGAAGAAAAGACTGTTCATGGTTCCAAGCAGGAGTTATCGCTGATGACATCCAATCCTGCTCTCTCGGAGCTGGCCCCAATCTTCGTGAAGATCCTTCTCGGCACGCTGCTACTCGAACGTGGTCAGCGGTCCTTGCAATGCCACAGGCAGTTGTGCAGCAGAGATGCCGCCGACTTTATTGATGACAGGTAAGCTGGTTATTGCATAGCTATCACTCCGTACTGACACGACTTTCGAAAATGTGCGTATGCCTCATATGAAATCACAGAGGACACAGTTCTGAGTTATTGACTTTCTGTACAGACGTGGCCTCCAGAGTAATACTAACACAGCATCGCCGACGTTGTCGATTAGCACTGTCGGCAAGGGATGGGGCATCTCACAGGCACAGGGCCAGTGCAGATCGGCCTGTAAATTGAGCTCAGTCCACACTTTCTCTCGTTGAAGGTGAGTACGCACGGGTCTGGGCAGCACGGAAGATTGGTGTTCTGCGGCTCTGGTACAGCCGAGGCTGACATGATTCTGTACCAAAACCAGTCAGGGCGCGGGTTCCTGCAAGAAACAAGCATCGACGTACAGCGAAGCGACCGCCAATGCTGTCATGAGCAATTGCTTGGAGAACATCTTCAACGCGAGATTGTGGATTTTTCTGAGCTGCGAAAGGTGTGTTACTGGATGAAAGGCGAGTACGGGGAAGACTTATGTAGTGCGCGCCGTCAACTACATAGACGGGTAGTTTGGCCCCTAATTGATCATTATGACAGTTGTCAGTTGGGACGTTGGGCGGACCCGGGGTCGATTGGACACAGTCAACAAGACCGTGACGTGTTTCAGGTACCAAGATGGCTCCGTGAAATCTACGTGTATTTTGTAGCTCGATCATCAGCCTAAAGCGTCAATACTTGCTTGAAATTACAGGGGCCATCGATTCCTACATCCATGAGGTACAGTCCTTTTCAGCATCCTTGCTCTCAGCTCGTACAGTTTGTCTAATTAGTAATGCTGCCAAGCTCATCAGATCTCAGAACGTCGGGCCGCTGCGCGGTATATACAAGTTGACCGGACTGCCTCGACAGAAACTGGCGCAGTGCTGCTGCGCTATGAAAAGGGGGATTGCTGTCCAACTCCATGTGCTCATGTCATTTGGCCATGTATCGCATACCCCTTGCGCACCTCTGTAAGTCATATTGCAGTCTAAAAGAGACGTTATGAATGTACGAGCTAACATCTGATGACAGCAGTTCGGCATGACTTAATGACTCGATGTTGCATCGTCCTTTCACTACTGCATTCGTCTGCCACATTGTCATAGTGCAATGGTACCTCACTGTCCCGCCGGTCCTGACGAGCGTGGGGGACTGTTTGCGTTGAGTAAGCTCAAATATCGTATGTCATTGCTGACCTACCACTTCCGCAGGTTCCCAGGTGGATGAGGTAGTGGGCCATGGCTCTGTATGCATCTTCCCTTTTATGCTCGTGCACTCATCGAACAAACCACATATCGCTTTGCATCGTAAATGGGAGGTGAGAGGCCAGTTTCGGCGTAAAGGTCATCCGAAAATCGTGACATTGCAACTGCTTCCAGCAAGCACGGTGAAACGATCAAAGGCCTTCCAACACATTGAGAGCCCTTGTGTCTCCTGTCGGACCGTACTCACAGAGCTACTGGATTCAGGTGAGTTGTCTATCGCCGAAGATGCGTTACCTCGAATGTAAATGCCCTGAAGTATTATTGGCGTGTACATGTCTCGTGCGCTTTTGCGAGCGTGCATTGCGCCGCTCCCAGCGGTGTCTGCGACGCATGGTTCATACCCTTTTGAATTTGGTAGCTCATCATGTCTCGTGTATCGTCACTGCATATAGATTGTCTAGATCGAAGCACATCAGAACTGCTACACAGGTGTCGTCGTCGTAGTCGTAGTCGTGGACGTTGACGAGCATTGTTGACAGTCTGGGGAAATCTGGGGAATCGGGCATTTGCGGTGGAAGGGGCAAGGCAGTCTGTGAGCCTACGTCAGACTCCGGTGACTGCTTGATAGAATTTAACAGCGTACTGAGCTGGGCAGCACGGTAGGTTCGTGCTTTGGGGCTTCGGGGCGGCTAAAGCTGACATTACTCTGTACTAGCAAGTTAGGCTAGGTCTTCGATGGGTATGTCAACTTACAGTGAGCCGATCGCCAGTGCTGCCATGAGGAGTGGCTTAGAGAACATCCTGTGGAACGATGAGGAGCTTGCGGCGCGAAGGACGGGTTGCTGGACTAATGACGTCTACGGTGAGCTTTTTATGCTATTCCCCTCAGCCCGCTGATTGACGAACGTGATAGAATGACGGTAGTGACATTCGGCGGGCTCTGGGGGAACAGTTGTCGCCGGTCAAGACCTGCGGACGTGTTTCATGTCAGTGTCAAGAATCCGAGGTGAACCCGTTGGTTGCTGCTTAATCACCGGCCTGAGGAAATCAGCATCTCAGTTCGCAGGAGTGTATGTCGATTGAGGTGCATCCGATCTGCCTCTTTCAGACGCAATGAAATTTATCTCAACAGATGACGCTATTGAACACGGTCGAAATGCGGTCTTGTCAGAAATCTGCTCGTGTAGCATAGTCGGGGTCCCGCCGCACAAGGTATTATACAAGCAACGACTCGGCGTCGCCGTTCCTGATATTGTTTACACGCTATTTTCAGGTTAGTCGTACACTGGCCGGTCAACAATGTGGCGCGATACTAAATGGTGTCAGACGTCGTGGGATCGGGAGCTAATGCTTAGTACGAAGGAGCGCTCGAGGAAAATGGAGAGTATGTGACAGAACGCAGGGCGGTCGGACCTCATGACTCCGTCCGTACGCCACCGTATCTAAGTACAAGCCGAGGTTGGACAGTCTGAATACTGCAAGTCATATGTCACGGCCCCTCAAAGAGTAGATGCGATGATAGCAGGAATCAGCAGGCAAGTGAGGTTATCTGTTAATACGCGTGAGTAAGTCATCACAAAGCGACGAGACCTCCCCGAGGCTGTAATGATGATCTGACGACTACATTCTTACCTTTGGCCTTTGTGCACACCGTAAGGCTGCACCATGAGAGGACCGTTCGCGGCGTCGACGACGATGATAGAAGGTGTTATCAATCGTCTGACAGTCACACCAGCCTGAGCTTCTCTGTGGTACGCAGCTGATGCGTTGCTATCGTGTAGCTTGCGTAATTCGGTGTTTCTGAGTTTTCGTGCGTCCTCTTCCGAGTCCCATCGCTCAATTGATACTCAAGTGATCTTGAGTTGGCAGATTGCGTCGTGTCGGCTGTTCCGCGTTCAAGCAAACTGCGGACTACACAGTGAGCGCAGACCAATGCCTATATCTCCACTGAGCTGCCCACTTATATGCTACCTAACACGTAGGACACATTGAACATGATACGGCGTGCCGCTGAAGCTTCGAAGACTCACCGTCTACGGCATACTTCCAGTCAGCTCTGTTTACGGTGAAGGTAACCTGTGCTACTTCGTTATTCGGATAGAAATCCAACACATCTCAGACATTGATGGCGGTGAGTTTCTACTGTGGAGCAAGCAACTCTGGGGATTCCGTGGTCTCATGCTCAAATTAGTACTCCTTTCACTCAAGGTGCGTGTTATGTCTGCAGTTCTGGGCTTCCCGGCGAGCCTCGTTTGCAGTCTCAGGTGTGTTGTCGTGAGAAATCTCAAAATGCTGCCAGTGCATGCTGCGTTGCCTATGACATCGCTCAGGTCGGACAGAACTTGAGCATCGCCTTGCGTGCTCTGCATACGTAGCCACAGCCTTGCGCACTCAGACGATACACCGCATTGGCACGTCTTTCCCATTATGCCCTCGGCGTCAGCGCCAGATCATGATGTACTGGTGGTCACTAACAGTGCCACCTGTGACTTTGGCTGTCGAGACACCACCGCGTCGCTCTGTACAGATCGTGACGCATATGATGTCAGTTTATCTAGGGTCTGAAGATGCGAACAGACGTGTTCGGCCTTCAGAAACCCCAAACTCTTTCGTAAGTGGACTTCCGTGGATGTTTGTTGGTGACTTCTGGTCAGATAATCACCTTGCAGCGTGTGCAGTGCATCAGGCGTTGTGCGCCCAGTTGCGAACAAACTGCAACCAAACAAGCCGCCGTAGATGCGACTCACCGAGCACACCGAGGGGCGCAATGGTACGACGACAAGCGTATAAGAGAGCGCATGCCGTATCTATCAACCTCAGCTCCTCCTCACTCAAGCACAAGAGCCCGGAAGTTGGTACTGGCTGGTGCGCACGAATCCTCGACTGAATGTCGACAATTCAGATTGACGAGTTCCACTTTTTCTAGCCTTCTTCTGTTTACGATCCTTACGCAGTGGTTCTCGTTGACGATTCCTGTTGCACGTCTGTTCTTCAAGTCCAATCTCACACTTCCCTGGCAACGGCTCTTACCTACGACCTTTGATACGATGCGCACCTCTACTCTGCTCGCGTTCGTCCTCTCTGCGGTGGCCCTTCCGGCGTTCGCGTCGCCCATCCTGATTCCACGGAAGTTCTCAGAGGAGACATACCTCAAGTACCTGCGCGAGTACGTTCACCCACTCCTGCGCTTCCATCGGAACCATCTGACAGGCCACACTAGACATGGCGGCACTCCTCCACTCGCGTCGAACTTCATTCGCCACGGCCCGGTTACCCATCCTCACGAGGTGGTCCACCATGCCAGAGTTGTCCCCGGAGGCTCACAACCTCCTTCGAAGTCGGACCGAAATGTGGCCTGGGCGTTCTATCGCCAGTCCTTGTACCACGACGGAGGCGATAACTACGGCAGACCTACTGGTCAAGGAGGCGCACATCCTGCTGAAGGCTCGCACCCTCAGTCGAGCGGCCAGCACCCTCAGTCAAGCGGCCAGCATCCTCAGGCGAGTGGCCAGCATCCTCAGTCGAGCAGTGGCCAGCAGCACCAGTCGAGCGGCCAGCAGCCCCACAGCGGTCAGTCCTCGGGCCAGAACCAGCACAGCGGCAACTCGTACGTAGATGCGTTCGACCGATTGATAAAATTGTTGGCTGATTACATCACGCTCACTACCCGGGCGAACAAGGCTTCGGTGGTACCCAGCAGGGGTAAAGTTGACCCAATTATATGATGCGTGCCTCCTGACAAACGATCTTGTCTCTACTCGTAGCCGGCACGGTGCTCACCAGCCCGCTGGGGAAAGTTTCATCCCTGCTACAAAGATCCCAATTAGCAACAGGGTACCGGCACAGGTAGAGCACTTTGGGTGAGCATCTCATTGGTCGGAGACCTGACTCTGCTGCTGATCACTGTGGTGGTCGTCTTTCCCTTGGACGTTCTCAGACACTGAGTGATTGTGGACCCAAAGAGGCCATGGACTTGACGTTCTCAACGGGCTCTGTATCTTCATGGTACTATGATATGATACAATGCAATAGGCCGCCTTGAGGAGCTCATAGTTCGTGCTAACTTACGATGTGGAACAAACCCCAAGATGTCTTTGACTATTCAAGCGTCCACCCTCGTCGGATCGTCCTCGCAGATCTCAAAATTAGCCCCATCTCTACTTACTCGGAATGTTTTGCTGATTGTGACAAGAACTCAATGGGCGAGCGGAGAGGAGCGGAGACTGTGATCACAGAACCTTCCATATACGGCAAGTCACCTTCCTGATCCGTCAGACTTTACTGTGCCTCGTCTCGACATCGCACCCGGAGCCATTCGTCAAAGCTCAGAATACATCAGTGCGCGTGCGCATATATATTGGAGAAGCAGTCCCCGCGTTGCAGAGCGCATACGCCTGTATAAGTAGTAGTCAGACGTCTACAGTCCATTAAGGGACTCGCCTAACCTACTCATAGTTGTGCGAAACCTCTTTCCAAAAAACAATGATAATATCGCTTGCCGGGTCGTCCGCCAGCAAGGCTGAGCAAGCCCGAGCGTTGGAAAGAGTGATCAGAGTGTACAAGACCGTGACGGATAGGCGCCCTGCCGCAGGTTGCACCGTGACTGACCACGCCCGGGCGCTTCCGAAAGTCTGTCCCTGCCGTCATGGACTTGGACTGGGAGGTCCTCCTGCTCGCGCTCAATGTTACTCCTGCTTTACTCGCCACGTCCTAGTCCGATTTGTGCTGCTGGAAGAATCCATGCAAGCGACTGGCCTCTAGGCGGAGCGCGAAGCTGGCTACCGTAAACAGCGACGTCATCTGCCTATACGCTCCTCCCATAGTTCTTCTAGTGAGCCAGTCGCGGCATGTGTTCATTCTTTTCTTTCTTTGACCGCTGATAATGGCGAAGTATGCACCCTTACGTCGACTTCGCGCTACTCGCTCTCGTTCTCGTGCTTATCGCGTTCCACCGTGTGTCCATCGGACTGTTGATGCCGCCTGTCAAACACAAGGAGAAGACAACACTCGTCGCCGCACACAACGCGTTCAAGGAGGACGAAAGCAAGCTCCCAAAGGCTCTCGTTCCGTATAGACACAAGCTAGAGCTGCGGAGGTTGTTGAGCTTGTAGGAGCTCGAGCTGCACCGTGATGCCCCACTGAAGTTCAAAGAAGTGCGGAGGATCTGGGGTGTAGACGAGGAGGGCTACTTGAAAGAGGTGCGCCGTACAGTCTACTATAACCCCAGTTGATGTTGACGCGCTTCCCTCAGTGCCTAGGCAGATGGGAATCCTATAGTTCCGCAGGTCTCTCCGGCTCGATGTTCTTCCGCTCCTCAAGCAAACGATACCTGCTGAAGTCTCTTGGACGAGCCTTCGAGAACCGCTTCCTGCACGAACACTTCCTTCCACGATACTTCGAGTTTGCAAAGGCACATCCAGACTCGCTAATACACAAGATCTACGACGTGCTCTATTCCATGGAACGCCGCTTCGGGGAATACTTACGTCTCAGCCCAAATCACTATATCGTCATCGAGAACATCGCGTACGGCAAACGAGACGATTGGGAGATCTTCGATCTGAAGCCAACGAACTATCATACCTCGAGGTGAGCGCGCCCTCTCTCGTTACCATTGTTCGCTGCTGACGTGTTCCTCCAGCCATTTCGCGACCTCCTTCCCGATGGCATCCACATATCCGGCGCAACAGACGTCCTCCCCCAGACAAGGTGATCTTCACATCCGCCTCCGAGCGAGCCTCCCTCCTCGCTCGCGCGCGTGCCGACGTCGCGTTCCTCGCGTCCATCAAAGCGATCGACTACTCCGTGCTGCTCGTGCGCGCGCCGGACGGCACGGCGCGCTGGGGGATCATCGACACGTTCTGGAGCCTGAAGGAGCCGCGCGCGAGGGTGACGAAGAAGGCGAGCGACGCGGCGGGCCTGCCGCAGCAGACGGTCACGGCGGATGCGGAGGGGTACGCGAGGGAGGTGGTGGGGATGCTGGAGAAGTGTGTGAGGGTGAGGGAGGGGGGTGAGGAGCAGACGAGGATGAGGGAGGATGCGGTTGTGGTGGATCTGTGATAGGTGTTCGTTGTGTTGGTGGAAGGTGAGGTCATCTTCCTTACATTACCCAGTTTCGGCTTGCAAGATGTGTGCGTTCGTGACGCTGCGATGGAACACATTCGCTGCTCCGGTAACGAAGTGGATGACCGAGAATCCATCTTGTATGTCCTCAGAGCATAGACACGGCTTGTATAACATGGGGGAGTATGGGGTGCGCATTTGGGTGCATCTTTGTCACATCGGATGGTCGGACTGTAGTTAGTAACTTTAAGGATCGCGCGGCCGTTCCCTGCGAGTGGATGCTGTGGGCTCTGCAATTGCATGCCGCGGCATAGTAGGCGCCCCGATCACATTTGGATCGTATACTGGGCGCTTGTGGGCCCGACTCGGCGGTTGCTATAATTCACCGAATAGGCAACTGTGGTATTGAGTGGCTATAATAATACACACTCCTAAGCTTCGTAACATTATTGATTAACTCTTCATGTGTCGCTGGAGTTGTCTGCACTTTGGGCGGACTCATACGTATTGCATGTCCCGGACCGTCACGCTGAGCGGGGTTGATGGCTGCGCTCGTAACCCATCACCCGTTTCAGCGATCAAGCAGTGCAGCTCGGCACACGCGCGGCAACGTGGGCACTATAAGCCAGTGTCCCGCCCGTCGGCGTCCGTGGCCTCTCCTTCATCTTCGCTTGAGCCCCAATAGTCGGCACTGGCTGGTACGTCCGCGTGCAGAGTTGTTTGTAGGTGGAATGCGGGGAGCTGATGTGTTCGTTTGCAGTCTGACTCTTTGTAACGACCTCTGAACGCGTTTCGTCGCGGGCGATTTTCTACAATCCTCGCTTTCTACCGCCCTTTACGACCCCTTGCTCCTATCAGGCTTCTCTGATTCTTGATTTGGATGCGCATTACGACTTTCATCGCTCTTGCTTTCGCAGCAGCGCTGCCGGCGATGGCCTACAGGTGAGCATAGGACACTCGAAGATCGCTCCCGAGCTTGCTGATGATGTACCCGTGCAGGTATGATCATGATGGTGGATCCTCCCATGAGCTTGGTGACTACCACGGACATCACCACGAGGCCATACATCAATTCCACGGTGAAGACGAGGGACACGTTCACCACCTCGGTCACCACCATCACGGCCACCCCCACCATGGCCACCACGGCCACCTTTATGGCCATCACTACCATGGTCATCACGGCCACCTGTATGGCCACCACCGCGGTCACCGCCATGGACACCATCGCCACCACCTCCATCATTCTTACCATGGGCACCACCCCCACCACCATCACCACCACCACCGTCCCCCGGCGCACCTCGAGCACGAGGGCGTCCAGCACCAACAAGACGGGGAAACCTTCGAGCACTTCCGGTGAGTCCCAGCGCTGCGCGGGCGCATCGCGCGCGGCATGGCTCTACTGACGACGAGGGACCGGAACAGCCCCCACTACTTTCGTCGTGCGGGCGCGCGCAACAGGGGCCCGTGCAGCGACAAGCTCGCACTCGCCAAGCTCTCGGCGGAGAACGGGCTTGACCCGAACACCCGGATCATTTGTACGAACTGAGCGCGTCGGTGCTGGTGTGTGGTTGGGATGGGATCGGCTGCGGAGAGAGCGGAGGCGGGCGAGAGTGAGCGCGTTTGGAGTTGGAGGAGCTTCGCGGATGGGCCTGAGCTATGATTGTACGGCGCCGTTCGTTTGCACGCGAAATGCTAATGGGTCCTTGGAGAAGCTCGCGAGTTGTCAGCAATTGCGAGACGTCAGCGTCGTGACGAGGCGGAGTGCGCGTGTCGACGTTCCATTGTCACCCCGGAAACCGGGAGAGAGGGAGATCCAGAGTGACTTCGAGCGGCGCATGCGCGAAATGTGCTGCGGTCGGTGAACAGGCCTGCGAACCCGTACCCAGGTCAGGTACGCCTCGTAGCCATTCATGGGTCTTAGGGAGCTATACGTAGATAAGAGGACACATACTACTAACCTAAGATAGTGGCGCAAAGATCTAGGCACGGTTCACTGAATGCACTACTGCCAAGGTACAGCCACATAATCAGGCGCGTACGGACGTCGATGTCTTCGAACTTGAAATCGGCATACACGCGCTATGGAGAGGAGCTAGCTGCTCCGGAGGAAACCTTTTGTGATGCTAGCATAGCTGATAAGTTCTTCGGCTCGTATCCATCTAGACCACTGGTTAATCCGAACACACAGGCTGATCTGAAGTTCTCAGATAACCTGCAGAGCGAGGCCTGCATGGTGAGCACGTACTTATCTGGCCGTGAACGACTGCGGTCGTTACAGCCGATTCTAGTCATCCACTTATATCGCCAGACCCGACCGCAAAAGTGCCAATGTGCACAGGCGGGAGCCGAGTCGGCGTTGCTGTCTCTGGGGCGTTCCCATCAGGATTTTATCATATCCAGGCATGTTGAGGGCGAGCTAGACCGACTCGGGGGTTTGTGGGTCAGGCTCAGCCGGCAGAGGGCGCGGATCGCTCGACGAGAAGGGCAGACAAGGACCTGACTTGACTTCCGCCTGGGCACGATTCTTCGGGAAGGCATCAGCCAGCGCGGGAGCAATCTTCGAGTGTCCTGTGCTCACCTGTAGGCCATCGCCGGCAGCGCAGCTGCGAGAGCTTGGCGAGAGCGAGAGCGATGGGGGTCTAGCAATATGGAATTGACTGGACAGATCGTTCAAAAAGGGCCCAAAACGCAGACCGCTGCCAACTTCCTTCGTCCGCTGTCAACGGATCTATCTGCCAGTGCTAGAACTTGAACTGTGTGGCCTGCGCATGCCACCTACATGTACTACATACGTAAGTAGATGTGCGTGGTCCCTAGCCAGTAGGCGCCTCCGTAATATGGGGAGCTGGTCATGCGAGATTGTAAGCCCGATTTATATGCAGAGACGCTCGGACATGCCAGAGCGTCAGGCTCCCAAAAGCCTTATCGTCCGCTTCCGTGAGTACAATCCATATGTAAGAGTGGTCGAGCGGCAGTTCGTGTGAGTCCCGCTTCTGCCCCCCTTCGCTCACGACCACTTCGCCATGGCTGAAGACAAGGAACAGTATGCAGTGTCTGACGGCGTGAAGGCCGTCGACTCCGACTCGGAGGCCAATGTTTCCGAGGTGAAGGTTGGGCCCGGCCTGCAGCGGCGGATGAAGAACAGGCATATTGCAATGATCAGGTGCGCGTCGGGCAGTTCTTCGAAGACCGTCTCGAGGACTCATGAATACGTGTTGCTTCTCTGCGTAGTATCGGAGGTATGTTCACGTAATATTCTGTGACAAATGTGGACCTTCATATGCGGCTCGTCTGAAGGCGTGATTGGTACGGGCTTATTCTTGGGTACGGCGACGAGTCTATCCGAGGGTGGGCCCGTCGGTCTCCTGCTCGGGTACATGACTATTGGCTCGCTATGCTACTGTACCATGGTGAGCTCGCATTTGACAAGTCGGCGTCTGCTCATGCACCTGGCGCGTACACCAGATTTCACTCGGTGAAATGGCGGCCTTCCTGCCCGTCCCCGGAGGCCATATCACATACGCCGAGCGGTTCGTGGACCCGGCGTGGTCTTTCGCTCTGGGATGGCTATACTGTATGTCTCGACGGTTTCATAGGGTATCTCAGTCCGACGCTCAATGTATCACTTCAGGGTACAACTGGACCATCGTGCTTCCTGCGGAGCTTAGCGCGGCAGCCGTGCTCATTGGTTACTGGTAGGTTTGTTGAGACCTATCAGATGTGTTCCGTGTACTCACTCAGTCTCTCAGGGACCGAACAGTGAGTCCTGCAGCATGGATCACAATGTGTCTCGTCGTAGTTATCTTCCTGAACATGTTTGGAGCCGGTACGTCCTCCGCTTGGCACTTCGTTTCATAGTCCCCTTCGTCGCGCGTCAGCATTCCCACCGTATCACTTATCGCTTCGTTTGTGACATGTACTCCTGAGCTAACCTATCTTTCCTCCACTTGTGGACCCGCACTTTTTGCAGGCTTCTATGGCGAAGCCGAGTTCATTTTCGCGTCCATCAAGGTTATCACCATCACAGGGCTCATTATTCTGGGAATTGTCCTGGACCTCGGTGGCGGCCCAAACCATGACCGTATTGGATTCAGGTATTGGAAGCACCCGGGGCCGTTCAACCAGCTCTACGGCATCCAGGGTTCCAAGGGACGCTTCCTGGCCTGGTGGGCGGTGATGACCCAGGCTGCCTTCAGTTTCATTGGAACCGAAATCGTCGCGATTGCGGGCGCGGAGGCGAAGAATCCTCGGAGAAACATTCCCAGGGCGATCAGGAACGTCTACATCCGGATTCTGCTCTTCTATATCGGTGGTGTCACCGTCATTGGGTTGCTGGTACCGTACACGGACAGTCGCCTGAACTTGACGGGTGGAAGTGGGACGGCTGCAGCGTCTCCGTTTGTCCTCGCTATTCAGACTGCCGGGATCAAAGGGTTGCCTTCGGTACGCAGTCTCGTCTCACACTCGTGGTCGAAAGAACGACTGCTGACGCGCTCTGAGTGTTTTAGCTCATCAATGCATGTCTGTTGACGTCCGCGTGGTCTGCTGGCAACAGTGACCTATACTGCAGCTCACGTGCAATGTGTAAGGAGCGTTTCGAGCATTCGTCCCGATTCAGAATCTCATAGCATGCTCGGCCATGCAGATAGCATGGCGATCAATGGCAACGCTCCGCATATCTTCAAGAAGACTGACAAGCGTGGCCTCCCTTGGGTTGCGCTCACATTCAACGCGGTCCTTGGCTGCCTAGCATACATGGATGTCCGTAGCGGCAGCGGCAAGGTCTTTGGATGGTACGCATGTCTTCTCTCAGTTGTAGATCCCGCGCTGATGTCGTTATAAGGCTGTCCAACATGTACGCAGGCGTCTGCGGCTGAGATGTTCGCGGGCTAATCACACTTTCAGGACTGCCATTGCTGGTTTGTCGAGTTGGTTCGCCATCGCCGTAACCTACCTCCGCTTCCGCAAGGGCCTCAAAGCGCAAGGGATTGATAGGAACACTCTGCCTTATCACAGCCGGCTCCAGCCGTTCGCAGCATGGTATGCAGCTATCCTGTGCTTCGTCGTCTGCTTCGTACGTAGTTCTTCGCTGCCGACATGCAACGTCTAATTATTCTCTGGTGTGCAGTTCAGCGGCTGGTCGGTGTTCTTGAAAGACCATTGGAACACCGCGACGTTCGTCACGAACTACCTGCCCATGATGATCTTCCCCGTTCTCTACATCCTCAGGCGCTTCTGGTCGAGAGTTGCCTTTGTCCGGCCAGAGGATATGGACTTCAAGACTGGAATGGATGAGGTGCTCGCGTCGTCATACGACGAGCCTCCACCCCGTAATTGGGTCGAGCGGATCTGGAACGTACTAGTGAGTTCACCCCTCTCAGATGTTCCCTCGGGAAAGTATTGATGTTGTCGTACACAGATGTAATTCGGATGGTTGTATTCAACTGCTGTCCACCGGACGGTGGTGTGATAATAGACTGGATATGTTTAACGAAGGGAGACAGCTATGCCCCATCTCTGAAGGTCTAATTCTTTGTCTGAGGAAAGCGCCAGGACCTGCCCGAACAAGGGGATAGTCTCATCATACGAGAGTTGTTCCACCTAGGTACCATATCAGACTGGTATTTCCTGTGTCCACTCATATCTGCGTTGCAAATCAGGGATGCCGAATGCGGCTCTGGCCATGAGGAGGGTCCTGACGAATCGCGGATGAATTTCGCTGTTAATCACAATGAATGACGGTGTACCCAGGGTGTACCCACAGATATAGGACGTATCAAGGACGTAGGCAGCGACTCTGGAGTCAACGAATCTTTGTCTACAGGGAAACGGAGAGATGGCCGCAGGGTGTATTGTCAATCTAGCCTCGGATGAAGACTTTCACAGAATTGTACTTGCCTGCTCACACCGTCCGAAGCCATGTCTGGCCTAGAGAAATATTGTCAATCATCACCGCAGAAGCGATGTTAAAATACACGGACTCGGGTTCTCGTGGCAGCGTTTGCGCCAGCGTTCTCAACAGACCGTCTGTCAAGTTGTGCATCTAATCAGCTTCGTCAGGGCATAGCATTGGAATCTACCTACCGTCAAATGGCGACGTTTCCGTGAACTCGCCCGATTCGAGATATCCACGTATGTGCTCGCCAAATTGCCTCGAAATTGGTGTCATTCGTCGGGAGAGGTTCGGCTCGAGTAAGGCGTCCAGATGAATCGCCTCATCGGAGTCATCGTCCCTTGCTTCGTCCATAGCTTCATCCCTATAGCCCTCGCCAGACTGGCTGCCGTTGATATCTTCCATATTCTCGATGAACAGATCATCTTGAAGCGCTTCGGCGCCATCAGCCTCTTCTTCACTGTTCAGCCCTTCTTCATCGACATCCTCGCCTTCTGAGTTGCCACTGTCTTCGCTCGTCTCGCAATCATGTCCATCGGCAGTCGTGATCGTCCACCATTGTGCTCTACCAATGAAACAAAAACGCTGCGGGCCGCTATCAAACAGCATTCTACCTTCGCCGATGGAGATGATCCGGAGGGAGGGGATTTTGTCGGCGAGTTTAGCGGCCAAGTCCCTCGCGCGAACATTCCAGTTCAAGCAGATCATAAAGCGAGGAGATTTCTCGTCAACCGTATATTCGTACATGTCATAATCGACCATGCTTAAGCGCAGCGCGACCAAAGGCAGCCGCGAAAACGTCTTTGACGCGTAGTACTGCGGGGAAATTTCAGTCGGTTCCAAGAATGGTTCGGTGGCCGATGCGACATACCTCCCAGAACGATTCCCGCTCCATTATCCCGTATGACAGTCGGATGTCGAGATAGCGCAGATGAGGGGCAGTGCAGGTGAGGTTATACCAGAAAACGAATCCCAACGTCGCTGAGACCTCCAGAGACAGCACGACCGGTGACGTACGGCGGGTGACGGACAGCATTTCCCAAGCCCTAATGTCAGGTTCGGGGACGAGCTCGAGCCAGCGGACCTTGCAGTCGATCTTCCAGCGCATGAAGTCCCTCGAGTCGCCATATGCGTAATCGAGGGATGACCAACATGCCTTTTCGGCAGACGCGAGCCAAGGTTCGTCCGTTATGGTAAGCCATGGCAAAGCGAGCCTCCGTCGGCCAATGTTAGAATCGATAGCGTTCACGTTGAATACAACGGGCCATTCGTCCATGATCGCCGTCGGGTCCGACCTATCAGTGATGAAGACGTTGTGAATGTTGGGGAATATACGGACAAGCGTAGCCATAGAGATTTGGCACTCCTGAACCCTTAGGTCCCTCACCGTAGGCCAAAGAACTGTGTCATGATGAGGATCTCTGGTCATACGCATCGTGACCAACATGAGGGACCGGACGTGTTGGAGCATTGGGGATGAGAGCAGCGTGGTAGCGTCGCAGAGGTCATCCTCTTTGTTGAGACCGGATATGCATAGGTGGTGTGGCCTGAAAGATGCTTGCTGTATAGCTTGTAACGTCTTCGCGTGCGCAAGCCTCAACGTGAGGTTGGACAAGCGCTCGAGAGCGCATAACGCAGTGGCCACTCGCGGATCTGCTGCTGCAAGCTGTTCAATAGGCTCCAAATCAAGGTGTCGCATGTTCATAGCCTTTTGAAGCACATCTGCCAAGAGTGCAGCGCAGCAGAAATCGCCCGCGTCGTCCTCCGCAAAGATGTTGAACGCGGTTCTGGCCACAAGAAGAGTCCGCACGCAGCGCGCCCGATGCCCCTCGCCAGCCAGGATATACAGGAACGTCGCCGTCATTTGTTGGGCAGTAAATATCACCAGCGTTGATACTGCTCGACGCACTGCGAAGGGATGGACTCGGCGCGATGTCATTGAAAGCCGTATAGCGTCGCCTTGGGACAGATAGGATATAACCATCGATAATGTATCATCATCAAGGTCAGATAAAGTCATGATCAAATAGCTGAGGGATATTGGCGGAATCAAGCAGCAGTAGGTCGGTCGGCTGGAGGAGCTAAGATATTATAAGTATGTGGACGAAACAAAGTGAGGAGGCAAGGAGGAAAGGATCAATTGATCGTCGGAGGACTCATTGTATGTCTTATCACATGATACTACGGCGATGTTGGGCGTCCAATCAGTCTCCACTGCGTAGTACGTACGGTGACTCTTACTTATGTCCCGCTCACTCTTTCTCGCAAACACTTGAGCTGTTCTGAGATGGACATCTGAACTTCCTGCATACCTCAAACTCGCTCAACATATAGGCTGTCGATCGACTTCGGTGCTGTGTTCTGGGCCACGGTCTCTAGACACAAGGCTCAAGTTTCTGGCTCTCGGGCGACTCGTTCAAGTTTCGCAATGGGCTTCATGATGTCTTGCTGTCGTCGGCGACGTTCGCATCAGGGCGACTCGGAACCGCTTCTCCCAAAATATACTGGCCAGCCACGCGACGCGCCCGGGCCCGCAACCCATGTCGAGCGACTCGCAGACGTACTTGCCGCTTTCAAGGCCGGAAAGCTCCCTTCTCAAGACCAGGTTACTCATGCTCTACAACGTATTCTAAAATCTCCTTTACTGGATGCAGATGCTAGGGTCGCCGATTACGGGTCGCTGAGCAACACCGGCCGGGAAGTTATCACGGACATGAGAGACATCGCTGAAGCGATAGTACAATTTGGCCTGGAGAAGAACGGTGCGCATAAATGCTGTTGATACATGTCATTGTCATGTACCTATTCCCTCTGTAGTCGACGACAAACTGCAGGACTTTTTCTATCAATGTCGTGTCATGGACTCGGTCCCCGTTCATGCAGACATCGCCGTCGACGTGAACCAGATTGCAGGAGGAGTGGCGCAAGTAGGTACTCGTTCATTTCTGACCTTTGCGAGGCTTGTCATAGACAATCCTTACAGCACAAGAAGTACCATCTGCAGACGAAGCTGGACGCGATATGGAAGAAATACTTGCTTCCCTTCCACATCTCTTTCGCGCTGTTGCATCCTCTGCAGCATTTCGCGCCGTGCTCTCGGATGTCTGGCTTACCGCGAGAGAGATGCTTGCGGACGCAGCGTCTGACGTCAGCCAGGTCGCCTCCCAGGTCCAGACTACAGCCAACGACGTAGAACGCTCTGTGCGACCGGCCGGCTCGCTTAATGATGCGAAGGGGAAGGCACGAGACGTTGGCCAGGATACTCAGGAAGAACATCGAGATGTACACGCAGAAGATCTCGATCGCTCGCAGGAATCCCTTGTCGCTCGCATGCAGGAGGTCGTCAATTCCCTATCGTTTTTGCTACTTCCAACTCACTTGTATCACAGATCATGGGTCGTGCTCATCGGGATCCGGCCCTTCATCGCGCACTACGAACGATCCTTTTCCTACTCCGCAAGTATACTGCGAAGGCTCGTAAGCTGTCCGACGCCTTGTCCGACGCTGACGCGCCAAAGATAACTCCGGTCATTTGGGCTGATCCTCCGCTCGCTAGTGCTTTCGATGATCTCAAAATCGTACTGGAACGTATAGCATCTGGACATTCGCTAGACTCTGCTCTACACAACCTCGCCCTTGTTTCGACTGACATCGCGAATCTCCCTGCCGAGGCCACGCATGACAGCGAAGGCCGACACGAGCTTGGCCTGTACTTCGGGCGTCTCTCAGCGTGGTTCGATCACGCCCTTGAGGATACTCAATACGTCTATTCTGCGGAAGGCCAGCAGGAAGCTAGTGAGCTCTACGCATCGGGAAGGCTGCTCGTTCAACAGGCCTCGGAGAGTCGCGCGGAATGGCTGGATCATATCCGAGGTCTTGCAAGTGAACTTGGCGCTTTCATATCCGCCATATACTCGGATCGTACGACCCAACGTCTCATACGTGCGCTGGACACACTTTCTACTGATCTCGCCATGTTCGTCTCCGATGCCGCGGTGACGGGGCCTGCTCAAGTTCGGGAAACAGAGCGGACATGGCGCAAGCAGCTTCAACGTGACATCTTGGTCTGGCTGGTCCCTCGCGTCCTACGTGTCGTCAAGGCCATTCCTATGCCCAGAGTAGAGTACACCAGTCGGTCGCTGGACGCTGCGATTGATGCTCTGCTCGTTAGCGCATCTGGAGCAAACACTTCCGCAGCTGCATCTCTTGTCCCGGACCGCATCCGTATCGCGAACTACAGCGAGATCCAGGTTCAGATGCACGCGGAAGACCAGCGGAGCACCTGGCTACTAGGCCATGCTAGCGAACGAACATCAGCGTACACACGTACAAGGGTCATGTTGACGGCATGCGCATCGCAGCGCGGGACATCGCCTACTACGTCCGCTACAAGGGCTATCTCATCGGGTATGAAGACCAGGGACTACTCAGCATCGAGGTCGGCGAGAGGCAGGCGCGAGGGCGAGGTCTCAGCGTCGACGTAGAACTCGAGTTCGAGGGCGAGCAAGACGGCGAACGTGCGGATTCTCACACTGCGCTGCTAGACTCGGTAGGCGATGCTACGGTGGAGGAGAGCTTGTTCCGAGTCACGGACGTGAAAGTGGACGTCCCGGGGCTCCAGTTATCGATCGACAGGAGCAAGCACTGGATCCTCAACAAGACGTTGCTACAACCTCTCGCTGGCCCGGTCGCACGCACAGCGGCGAGCTACGTGCTTGCTCAGCAGATCAGGACGGTGCTCGAGTCGTGCGGGCGACTCGGCGCGCTCGTCAAGCGCAGGGCGAAGGAACTCCATGACCAGCAGAGGTCAAGCGTCCAGGATACGTCGAGTCCTTCCTTCGAGGACTACTGGCAGGCGATACTTCAGGAAGTCAGCGAACCTGCATCGAAGGATGACGAATCAAATGACGAAGAAGAGAACAACGAGCACGTCGAGACGCACACAACGGCGACACTGAAGGGAGTGGTTCGCACCACAGTCACTCAGCACTCGCCTGAAGTGTCACGTCCACCGACGCCTGACGAGACCGTCCTTGCTGTGGGTGTGGTCCCGCAGATCTTACCAGGGAAAGGTGGACCGGCCGATGAGCTGGACGAAAACCATGAGTACGGGACGAGGGACGTCGCGAGGGAGGCACTCGGCGAGGTGCAGGAACGCGTCGACGATGCGGAAGAGAGCCTACAACAAGCAGCTGAGCGGATGGTCGAAGTCAGGGAGTCCATCGACGAAGCTGCGCTCAGGGAGCAAGTGATAGAGAGGCTGGAGAGGAAGAAGAGCGGGTGGAGGAGCCGGGTTTTCGATTGAGCCTTTCCGGTATTCACTAAAGTCTTTGGGTTATACATCTTCTGACAGTTGTCGAGACGCTCTGGAAACAGATGGGAATGCAATTTATATGCACACGCAACACGTCATGATTCAAGTACTCTATACCCTTCTCGTTCGCCGGGGCGACCGGCGACCCTCGGCGACGACACCCCGGCGACAATCCTTCATCAACGGATCAATGCTCTCTTTTATCAATGTCTCCCAGAGAGCTTGGACTCACCCATGAATTCATATCTCGTGCAGCCCCATTGCATTCTTGTTACGGCTCGGACACGACCTCCCTTGGAACCACGGTTCGCGCTAGTCGTTCAAGTAGCTCATCTGCGATCATCCATGGGTTTCGCACCTTGCAGACGGATTCAGAGTGCCACTTACTGTCGAAAGCCGACGTCTGCGTGAACTCCGTCGACTCCATGTATGCACGGATATGCTCGCCCAGGTGTCGCGAGATAGGGACCATTCTTCGAGAGGCGTTTGGGCCGAGCGTCATCGCCAACTTGGGGTTGGGCTTGTCCTCAACGTTAACCTGCGTCGAGCTGGTCTCGCTACCCTCTTCCGAGGATAGATCCTCGTAGTCATCAGAGCCTCCATCGCCAGATTCATCGGCTACCTCGTCAGAGTCGTCTTCCTCGTCGGAGTCGTCTTCCTCGTCGGAGTCGTCTTCCTCGTCGGAGGCTGCCTCTTCCTCGTCAGAGCCCGAGCTCCCAGAGCTCTCGTTTTCCCCTGGGGTTTCTACGCGTCCACCCTCCATTCGTGTTGAGGGCGGATCCCCGGTTGGAATAATCCGCCACCATAGTGCAGGTCCGCAAAAACGAGAATGGGACAATTCATCGTTGATAACTAGAACACCAGTTCCAACAGAGATGATGTTCAAAGATGTGATGTTGTCGGCGATACGTGCTGCTAGCGCATACGTCTCATACTGCCAACTTGGGAAGACAGTGACGCGTGATTCGTCCATGTCGTGTACAAAAAAGCCACCAACACGAACACTGCAAATTCGCAGAGCAACCAAGCGCAGTTCGGATAAAGCAGAAAGTGCGTTGAACTGAAAGCTCATATTAGCTCTGCAACAATCTAGAGGATGCTACGCAACACACTGTCCACTGATACGCCATCTCTAGCCTGGTACCCGACGACACAAGATCCAGATAGCGGATTTGGGGAGCAATATGCACAACGTGCTGCCAGAATTCCGGGGGTGATTGCGGAGAAATCTGCATAGAAAGGACGACTGGCGATGTGCGGCGTACGATTGACAGAGCCTTCCAGGCGTGCTCGAAACGATCCCCGTCGAGCAAAAGCCATCGTACTTTGCATGCTACTCGCCATCGCATGAAGTCCACGTATGATCCCGTGTAAGCACGGTCCAGTTGCTTCCAACATGCGGTTTCGGACGTCTCGAGGCCATGCTCGTACGTCTCTTGACTCCACGCAGTGGGAGGAAGTTCGTTTGCCGGCGGTCCGAAGGGGTCAAAATCATCAAGAGCTTCCCCTAGGTCATCTGCATGACGTCTTTGACACAGGAAAAACTTCTTGGTGTTAGGGAAGGCCCTTACAAGCGTAGCCATAGAGACGTAGCTGTATTGAACCCTTAACTCCCTGGTGTCCCGCCATTGCATCGCATCGTCGCCAAGATGATCCTCCAGACTGTGTTCCTGTTGTGTACGTTCCGCGATATGAACACCATATAGGTGGAGGAATCGAACCCGTCGCAAAGCGGGGGCGCGAAGAATTGAAGTTGCGTCGCAGGGCTGGCGGTCATCGCCAAAATGAAATAGGGCGAGTCGACGAGGTGTGCAAGCAAGTCGTCCCAAAACCTTGCACGTATCGGTAGATATGTGTTCCAGCTGCAGATCCGACAGCTGATCGAGGCCACATAACGCGGATGCTACTCGTGGTTCTGCCGCGAACAGAGCTCCAACTGCATCGAGCCACAGTGTCTGGAGGTGAGATGTCTGTTCAAGCACATCCGCGAGGAGATGGGCCGCGGAAAAATCCCCAGCCTCACCACTCCATATGCCGAAGGCAACCTTGGACACTTTGAGAGTGCGCACGAAGTACAGGCGGCTTGTCACATCGGCCAGCAGGTAGTTGCAGATCCTCTCCAGTTGTGCAATCGTCTTGATGTCAATCGCTGATAGCGCCTGGCGTTTGGCGAGGGGATGAATTCTGCGGGATGTCAGAGAGAGACGCAACGCGTCACACTGAGACAGAAACGATACGACAAGCGACAGTGAGTCGTCGTTCAAGTTGACAAAACTCATGTCCAGTGCGATCCTGAGGCACACGGTACGTGCTGACTGAGGCAAGAAGAGGATATACGGTGGCAGTCAAAGGGCAGAGACGATGGAGGGATAGCAAGTGGGAGACTTAAGGGGCTAGAGTGCAGCATCCTCGTGGTACTACGCACGAGGCGTGCCACATCACGTACGTAAGACAGAATTGCAGGTCTTGCGCCGCAAGGCCTAGCCGTAGCCCCAAGTTCTTACGGTAGCACTTGAGTTTGAAGCTTGACAAACTGAGGATTTGAAGCCTGCTCCGAGTCGAAGCGCAAGCGCACCTTCTTATACAATGACACAATTTTATGATTCTTGCATACTGCGCCGCCTATCATTCACCGACGGAGTCAAGCGCAACCTTCGGTAGATATTCTCGCATCCAAACCCTGCTCGAGTGACTCGGAGAGGGCCCAAGGACCCATAATTCAGATCTCAACTTTCAAGGCTTACGTAGCATTAGTCGTTCTCCTCATATGTCCACGCTGCGCCGAGTACCACCATGAAAACGAATTCTACACATGCATGATGGCCAATGACCGACACCTCGCAATCGTACACTGGCACTTGCTATATCACAAAGGCGGATCAGCCCTCCATACTATTGATATCTTACATGGTGCATGCACTCACCCATAAATAGGTATCTTGAGTCGCAGTCTCACTCACCATTTACAGTTGGACCACTCATTACGGCTCAGACCTGACCCCCCTCGGAACAACAGTCCGTGAAAGTCGCTCGAACAGCTCATCTGTGATCCATCGTAAGTTTCACACTTCATAGCACGCGAGGTACTACTGCTCACCGTCGAACGCCGATGTCTCTGTGAACTCGCTCGACACCAGATATGCATGGATGTGCTCGCCTAGGTCTCGCGAGATGGGCACCAGTCTTCGAGAGGCGTTCGTCCCGAGCATCTCCGCCGACGTCAGATTATACTCGGATTCGTCTTCATCCTGCGTTGAGCTGCTCTCGCTACCCAGCTCTGGGATTTGGTCCTTTCCATCGGATTCTTCATCCTCAGGGCCATCGATTTCCTCATTGGATGCTGAGTCTTCTTCATCGCAGCTCCTAGAGTCCTCGTTCTGTCGCATGTGTTCCTCGCGTTCGCCTTTCAAGGTAATTGAGGACAGTTCGTCACTCGCAACGACTCGCCACCACAGTGCAGGCCCACATAAACGGGTGCCCGGTATTCCTTCATCAGTGACTTGCACACCCTCTCCGACGGAGATGACGCTCAGAGACGTAATCTTGTCCGCGATATCCACTGCTAGGTTGTACGCCGCAGACCGCCAACGGAAGAATTGAAGGCCACTGCCGATGACCTGGTCTTCGCCAATGCCCTGCGCGATCACATTGTCCCATCGGCGGCGGCACAGGTGCAGGGCAACCAAGGGCAATCGGGATAACGCTGAGAGTGTCTCTCCCTACATCATAGCACGCCTCAGCTTCGAGTTAAATGGAAGCAATGCCGGCTGACACACCGTCCAGTTTCTTCTGACTTCGGCCATGCTCTCTGATGATGACAGTGTAAGGTCGAGATAGCGAACGTTTGGTGCGGATCGGATGAACTCCGGCCAGAAATCGGTGTCCAGCACCACGGGGAGGCGTCGTAGGGAAAGAATGACGGGCGACGTACGCTGTATGGTTGGCAACGTTCGCCGCGCGTTTGTACTGTTGCACACCCAATCCACCATGAGCCATCGTACTTTGCCTGCCATCTCCCACTGCGAGAAATCCAAACTGGTTCCGTAAGCATGGTCAAGCGACACCCAACTCGCGCTCCCGGGGGTGTTTCTTTGAACCCAGTCCTCGATGTCTTGAAATTGGATTGTCTTGACAGCGGGGAATGCGCGGATCAGTGTGGCCACAGAGACATTACTACGCTCAACCTTTAGCTCCGTGACCTCTGGCCACTGCTTTGTGGGAAGGCTAGAGTTACTGCTATCAGCAGAGTGGACCAGTTGGTTCGCGATACGGAGCTTGACGAGTTGGAGCGAGCGGACGCTTCGCAGAACAGGTGCGGAAAGTAACGGGGTTCCATCGTGACAAGCTAGCTCTGAACCGGTGTCGAATCCATGTAGGCTGAGCCGGCGAGGCATGCAGGACAGACGCCCCACGACCTCGAATGAGGCGGAGGTCAGATCTCGTAATTCGACATCCAACAGCCAGCTCATGCGGCATATCGCAGCCGCTACGCGCGGCTGAGCCTCGAACAGACGACCCGCTGCTTCGAGCCGCAGTGACTTGAGGTTAGGGGCGCGTTCGAGCACATCCGCGAGGAAATGAACGGTGGAGAAGTTTCCCGCCTCGATATCACCGAATCGAGCGTTGAAGGCATGCCGAGACACTGTGAGAGCGCGTACGAAGTGCAGACGGTTGGGTACGTCAGCTAGCAGGTACCTGCAGATCCTCTTCACCTGCTCGGCCCACTTGATGTCGATCGTCGACAGCGCCTGACGTTTGGCGAGGGGGTGAATCCTACGGGACGCCAGAGAGAGTTCAGACTTTCGCGTCGTTCGAGATATGAAATGACTGCGGAGAGAGAATAATCGTCGAGGTCGGAAAAACGCATGGGGGGCGCCGCGAGCGATGCCCGATGATCGATGAGGAGAGAAGCTCGGGGGAGGAGGAGGGTAGGTATTCCATTGGTCACGACATCTAGACGCCTCGGCGCTTTCAGCACTCACTACTAGGTACTAGGAGTCCTACTATCATAGTTCGGAAACACTCCGGTTTTGTGCACTACAGGATCCATGGCTAAAACCTGGGAGGAATCCTTCGAAAACCCGGTTGCCTGAGGCCAGCGCAACGATGCCAGTACTTGCGACGGACTCCGCAGATACCAGGTTGCAACCTTGCAAGGACATCTGACTCTTGAGTCGGGACGACGCGTCAACACCTGATGTGTCGTTCAATGTTCATCCTGTCATCCTAACGCTAAGTAATCAAGTAATCCGATCCGAGTCTGATGTTACATATGGCATACTGTTATTCTGAATGTTCACGAGTGATAATGTGGAATACAGCGTGCCTCACACCATCACTGTTGAGCGTGCAGAATCTTCAAATGAGTCTCACTGTTGATCCTAAAGTTGACAAGAATGGCGGCGATGCTGCCTAATCAGTCCGGCAGCGAGCAAAGCACCAAACGGTCATACAGCAGACGAGATTGGGACACTAGTAAGCACGCACCTATGAAGTTCGCCGCTAGCTTATAATTCCCTATAATGCTCCAGACAGTTTGCTGGCTCACATTGCACGTTGTCATCTCCTTCGCTTGCCTGCTATGGCCCAGGATGAAACACTGCAACCTACAACTTGAACATACACTGCATATACACGTCCTGTACTCTCGATTTCTCCACGGGGCTCCTTCACTCATCCCCAGGTCCGAGCACGACCCTCGGCGGGATGACCTCAATCCAATACCTACCCAAATGCCAGATCAGCCGCCACCGTCCACTCGACCGAAAGGACTCACCCATCAGGATCCAAGATGAACGCGATTTCCTTCATCCGGCCGTCCGTCAGCTTCTTCTTGAACGTGACGCCCAGCTTCTCGAAGCGCTCGCACGCGGCGGCGACGTCGGGGACGGTGATCGCGATGTGGCCGAAGCCCTTGCCCGGGTCGCTGTTTCCTGAGGCGTAACCGGAGAAGGAGGAGTCCGACTCGGTGCCGTGGTTGTGCGTCAGCTCGAGCACGCCTGAGGTTCGGTGTGTGAGCGGATTCGCGGGCGCGAGGCGCGGGAGACGGAGGATAGGGAAAGTCGCAGGGCTGAGATATTATAGCGCACCTTCACGGTTGAAACGTGAGTCTTTGAGCCCCTTGGCGGGGTGGGTGCCCCCGGAGTGGTCGTATGCGAGGAAGTAGAGTGTGAAGGATTCGAACTTGTAGTCTAGGGTCCGGAGTCTCCGTGAGCGCCAACAAGCGATCTCTGGCGGAAGAGCGTACGGGAGAGAAGCGTCATGCCCAACACCTAGGTCACGCTGAAAGGTCAGCATCCGCATATAGCCACGTCCATGCTCTGACTCTGACAACGCACCTCGGTGTAGAACTTTATCGACACCTCCGGGTCCTTCACCCGGACCATGGTGTGGTTAAACTGCGGCGACGGCCTTCAGCCAACTCTCCCCCGACATCGCCAAATTCCCGCACCTGGTATCCTGCGGTCTCTGCACTGGGCATGGTGGCTGGGCGATCAACGAGGAGGAAGGGTGAGTGCGAGAATGCTTCGCGAGGCCCATGGGTGGCTTATATTGGAGCGGCGGAGAGCGACGGCGGGACAGTATAACCACGATGATGCAATCCTTCCTGGATCGATTGGTGTTACCCGATCTGGCAGTACTATCGCTTGCACCGGAAGCCTGAGGTCGCCGCGCCGGAGCGCGTTGTTCCAACGTTGTGGGTTGAGCTCGTCCACGTCTGTTCCGAGATGAACGATATGTAGCTCGAGGTGCGTATACCGACGACGTAACGGTTATTATACGGCTGCTTGGGAATGGAGCCAGTGCGCGGAACCGGCGCATGCTGCGCCTAGTAGGTTGTCTATTCTCGCCCACAGCGACTTCTCAAAACCTGCGGATCGGGAATAGTGCAATGTGTTATCTTTGCTGTGACCCAGTTCGCCTTGTCTTGCTCTCATTGCATGTGGAACTAACCATACACACTCTGTTCTTCGATATCTTCGTGACCGCAAGTGTTCCCCTCAAAGCCTCCCTATCGTACAAGCCGTACCCGTGTCGACGTCGTTTATGTTCAGAAGCCGTTGGGATAGTAGCCATTGACGACCTCGATCCAGTAACTGCCATGCACCAAGGTAAGAAACTCTGACATCGAAAGCGTTCGCCGCACACGTACCCGTCTGGGTCCAGAATAAAGGCAATGTCCTTCATCTTCCCGTCGGAGGGGCGCTTCTGAAACTTGACGCCCAGTTTCTCGAACCGCTCGCAAGCTTTCTCGACATCCTCAACGACAATGGCGATGTGCCCAAAACCGCGGCCGGGATCGGAGTTGCCGTTGGCGTAGCCAGCAAAGTTGGAGTCGCTCTCGGTGCCGTGGTTGTGCGTCAGCTCGAGGACTCCCTCGCGCCCCTTGCGGGTGACGCTGTCGGTGATCTCGTTGCCGTAATTATAAACGAGGAAGTAGAGCGTGAAGGTCTCGTGGACTTTCCCTACGAACGCAAAGGCATTCAGTGTGGTGCAATACAAAGCTTATTACGAGCCGACGTACTCTCCGCCAAGTCCATGCCGAGGACCTAGATCGACGGTGATCGACATACATCGGGGACACTAGACTGCCTCAGGATGCGGCGTACCTCGGTATAGAACTTCAGAGACGCCTCCGGATCTCGCACACGCAGCATCGTGTGGTTAAACTGCGGCGCGAGGCATCAGAAGAACCGTCGAGGAGCGTCCGACGCCTGATCGAACGCCTACCTTGAAGCTGGCTGTCTCAGCAGTGCGCGGCATTTTGGCGGTCGCTGAGTGCGCAAAGTATCTCCACTGGTGCGCGAGAAGGGGCGAGGAGGTACGAGGCCGGTTGAGGGTCAGTCTGGCAGCCCTTATTGGGGTGAGGAAGGGCGCTCGGGGTGCGAGCATGGGGTCCGGAGACACAGGGAGCTCCGTCGCGGGATGCAAGACATGACGCGACGCGACGCGCGTGACGGGCCAAACACGCACACACACGACGCGCCTCCAGCGTGTTGAAGTGGACACGTGAGCAGCCTTATCAGTTTCCTCTTCCACCATCTTCATCTCTTCCCTCTTCACCCGTCTCCTCACACGAACCACTCGCGTCCGCCCGCCGTCCATGCCCCCGACCTCGCCGCCGCTCTCCGCGGCGAGCCCGTCTCCCCCGCGCCCGCGAGTCATCCCATCAAGTTCCGCCGCAAGAGCCTCAACGCGTCGGACGTGACCCGGACGAGGCGCGCCTCTCCGTCTACCCGGCGCACTCCCCGCCGAGCGCGTATCCGTCCTCGCCACCTCTCAGCGTCTACACACCCTACGCATACCACTCGTCCAACGACTACTCCTCCGCATCGTCGTCTCCCATCGCCTCGTCCCTCGCACTTGGCAGCATGCCCAGCTCCCCCGTAGAGCGCCCGCATATACGGTACGAGTCGAGCCCCATACGCGAGCCGAGCCACTATGCCATCAGACATCCCCTCCCTGGGGAAGAGCCACGACGGTACGGTTCCTCTCATGAAAACTTCCTCGGACTGGACAACTTCCAGTTTGGATCGGCAGTCGGGAAGGCGAAGTACCCTGGGCCACTTACGACGACCGACTATCGCTCGCGTGCATATTCATATGCCTATTCTTCGCCCAGCGAGATCTCGGAGGACCCACCAGTTGTGTCCGATTTCGAGATGGGAGCGTCAGTAGATGGTGAGTTTTCGTGACTTTTTTTTGCTATTTTCTATGGTGGACAGGATGGGCGGGTGCCACTGGTCGGCTGTGAATTGAACATCGAGAAGGGGCCGAAGATACCTTGTGGCAGGACTGGCGTTTGCCCTGGCGTCTGTCGACCAAGACCCGTCTTTCTCACGTTGACGGGAATTGGTCGACCGAACGTAGCTCTCGGGGTGGTCTGTTGGGATTTGCCATCGCTTTCGCGTCTCGCTGCAGGAGAGTACGGGCGGATGTTTTGAGGTGGATGAGTCGTGTTGCAGGAGAACATGCGTCCGTCGCGGCGTCTGCTCTTCTGCGCCTCGCCCCTTCCATTTCCTCACATGGCCGTGCTCAGTTCTCAAAGTGTCGCCTGATTGGCTTCGTTGCGCGGGTTCTTCCTGCTATCGAGCCGGTTATCGCGCATCTGAGCATCGTGCAGTCCTTGGTTCGCGCGTGGCTCACAGCTCATGTGGGTCGTGCAGTGAGGTGGGCATGGTGGGTACTATCTTTACTGTGCGTATCGGACCACACAGCAGGGAAGTGGCCACTTGATGGGCGGTCCGGTCCTTCGGTGTATGATTGGGTTCCGCATTGCCCCGACGCCTGCAGTGCAGGACACATCTCCCACCCAGTCAGACGATGAAATGGAGGCGGTCTGCTGTGTATATGCGCCTCTTTGCAAGCAAGAAGGCTACGGCGTGACCCTAAGCCCCAGTCTTCAGGACGTGGTCATCTCGACATCTCGACACTTTCTCTGCTCCCCATATCTCGCTGTGGCATCGTTGACTGCGGTGTCTGCACATCGCATCTGTCTCAGCTCCATGCATGATGAGCTCAACAGCTGACTGAACTCCGCCCCCCTAGCAGATCCCATCGACGATTCCGAAGAAGACGCGGACATGGACATGGACTGCATGTCCCTTCCACGGCGCATCTCATTCTCCACCTCTTGCGAGCGAGATAAGCCGTTCATCGCCCCGCGCCCCATGCTCGCGACGCGGACGGCGAGGAGCTGCCCGCCGATCAACGACCTATTGACACCGGCGACCTTACCCGTATCTCGCCCGTTCACGGCAGAGGCGGAGACGACGTCGTGTTTGTCGATCGCGTCGTTATTATCGTCGCCGTCCTGCGACTTACCTGAGTCGTCTCCTACGCCCTCTTCGTATGTTCATGCGGTGTCTGCTTCGCCGCCGTCGAATACGGCAGTGTCGTGTTATTCGCCTGAACCAGCGCCGCCGACGAGAGTCAAACCTACCTCATCGTTGTATGCGTTGCTAAACCCTGTGGATGAGCCCTATGTCTCTCCTCAACCTCCTGCCAACGTCACACATGCCGCACCAGCCGGAGATAGCGCAGATGGTCTGTTGTGCCTGTGGTGTCACTCGTGGAGGAAACCAAGCGCGAAGCTCTTGACGAAGTCATTCTCGACGCCGAAGCGCTCAGTGTGGAGCCCACCGAGGATGAGGTGTGCCTAATACATTGTCTCGTTGAGGACTTGGCTGATTGATATTTACCTGTCGTACCAGGTCCTTTCACGTTCTCCGAGACCTTCCTCACCTCTCGTACCCTTGACGCCAAGTCGACCCTCGACACCAGTTAGGCGCCCTACGTCTCCTCTGGAGCGTGCATCCTCTCCTCTCAGCCAGCTGTCCTCCCCACGATGTTCTCCGTCTGTCCTTCGTCGTCCGTCTTCGCCGCTCAGCCGTCCTTTGTCTCCACTCGATGACCTCCCGCCGTCATCTCCCATTTCCTCGCCTATCACGGTGCGCGCACGATCGGTACGCTCGCGTTCGCTGAAGGCCATGACGGCATCGATACCCTCCCGGCTCTCCTCGCCTATGTCGTCCCCGCGTCTCGCGTCGCCTCTGTCGAGTCTTCCTTCGTCACCTGTTCTGCAAGGCTTGGACGCTAGTGATCCGATACCCGTCGACGACCCTGAGGTTGATGATGTCTTACGATTGGATGAAAGCGATGCCATGAGCGTGTCCGACTTCGAGCTGTCAGTCGAACCTGCACCGTCACGTTCGCGTTCTGTGAGCGTACGTTCAAAGGTCCGGAGAATACTGTCAAAGTCAGGTCGCGGTCCCGGCTGCGGCAGCAACGGTCGACGCGGAAACGGAGCCGGAAGCTACGGAAGTGACGCCCCCATCCGAACCAGTTGCGACGACCTCGACACTCCGTCGGTCGAAGGCACAGGCCAAGTCGAGTCAGGCTCGGTACAGGAAGCGGACGACAAGCCGGCCAGAGCCAAATCCGCGAAGCCTGCGCCGACTCACAAACGACGCAAGGAGGCGACGGGTGGGCCTATCAAGAAACGCCCCAGGGTGATTCTCTCGGATGACGAGTCCGACGAGGAGGAGCCGCAACCGCAGCCGCCCGCGCGGAATAGCGCGAAGTCGCAAGCGCAAGCGCCGGTGGTGACGCACACGAAAGCGGAGAGCAGCGAGAAGGAGAACGAGCGACGGTCGTCGGTTGGTGCGGAGAAGCAGCGCACTAACAAGGCGGAGGGCAATAAACCAGCTCCTGTCAGGAAGAAGCGGAGACCAGACGAGGAGGACGAGGAGGGCAGTGCGCCGGTCGAAGCCAAGAAAGCTCCGCACACGTCAAGGGCTCGTAAAGCTGCGGCGTCGGAGTCAAAACCTTCCGCGCCAGTCCGGGAGGTCGACCTGTCGTCGCTTCCCCTACCCTCGCGGAGATGCAGGGTATGCTCATCGAGAGCCTCGCTACCTCTCGCGCCTCTTCGCTCCCAGCGTCCTCTCTGTACACCGCGATGATGTCCAGTCGGCCCGCGCTGAAGGAGTACCAGAGCTCACGGCACGAGGGCCTGATGGACAAGAAAGAGTGGGTAGGCGCCATCGAGGACGTGCTCGAGGCTGGGTGCTCGTCTAGTGGTGTCTTCGGGAAGGTGGAAAGTAGTCTCAAGGTATGTCTGCTGCGCTGTGACGTGCCGGGAGCAATGTCTAATCAGTTTGATTTCTGCACGACAGGACACCGACCATCAGCTGGAAGCTCAGTGGTTCTACGTGCCTGAGAAGGACGAGGACCAAGAGCGTGCGATGCTCATCCGGAGCATGATGCCCCGTCCGGGGAAGAGAAATGAGACGAAGAAATCCAAGCAGTATTACTGGCGCCCGCTCGGCAAGATCTCCAGGTGGGATCCCGAGGACGATTTGTAGGCCCCCGCATACCATTCCTTAATCGAGTCTCGTCGGACTATTCACGTCGTATGGTACACGCGTAAGTTATGGTTTCGTATTCGTGCTAATCGTACTGTAGCCTTGCGCTTTGTCTGTGTTTTGTCGATGGTAGCAATCTCGTTATGTACTTGCCTGTAGGGCCGAGCAAGCATGCAAGCTAGTGTATGCCATACGCCGTGTTGTCAAGCTTGTCATCGCCAGTCCTATATAGGAATCGAAGCACAATGTGCGCAATTGAGTGAGCATTGGGACTTTATCTAGAACGCTCTCGTCCGCTGACTCTCCAGTTCTATTAGCTCTCACCTGCTCCAGGCCTCTGTTCGTGGCAGGTACCGTACCTATTGGCTAAGCAAGCACGGTACTTCGGAGGCTTCTAATACTCCCTCATCTCGTAAAGCGTCCCCTTGAATCAGTGCTGTACATGCATCGCAGGCCGTCGTCTTTTAGTCGTCTTCGACATTCTAAGATCCTCAGGCTTTCTGGCAGAACTTTTTCTAAGTCGACAGTTCATCGACATCGATGGGCCCATTGACATTACGCTGATAGTTAGTGCATACGTGTCAGCCGCGGTGATAAAAACGGGTCATTAAGACGGCACGCTGTTCACAGAAGGTGTCCTCGGGAGCAAGGTACGGTGCTAAACTTGTATTTCCTATGGATGTCGGTGGACTGATCGAGCACTATCTTAGCAAGGAGACCATTCATTCACCTCTAAGTTCCATGTCATGTCGGCAGTGTGGCTTATCTTCGAAGGGAGCCTGCTAACATCAGTATGGCATCCGCAGCATCCTCGGTGCCGTTCTGTCATGTCCGTTGCTGGTAATAGTTCTCATTCATTCGGAACCCGCGGTGTAGTCAAATTCACTGGATGCCACGAAGCTCCCAGGTGGTACGTAACTACCGCTGTCCTCAATCAGGGTGCCAGAGGTGGCATTGGGCCCTCCTGGACTGCGGGGTGTCGTTCATGGGCCATCACATCACCGTCTGTGTTGTGCATATAAACTGCAGCCTCCTGGTGGAAGACAAACAGCCTACCGACCTACTGCAAAGTCGTGCAATGTCTAGCGAAAGCCAAGAGATTACGGGCGTTCTGAACTCAACGTGAGTGTACACTGGCTACTGCTACGTCTTGCTGCTGTTGAGATGATCAGCATGTGCTGACTCACTGGACTCAGTTTCGTCACCAACTGTTGCTATATCTCCTCCTTAGGTGCCGAGTCCGCGTCACAACAGAAATTATGCTCGAAGCTGACTGCAACGTCGACATTGTCGTACCAGCTCTTTATGTCTTCGACCAGTGCCTCAATTCCGGACGAATCATCGAATATTTGTGGCAAAGGAAGATGACGGCCTCAACGGCGCTTTTCGTGCTATTGCATATATCTGCATTGCTCACATTGCTGTTCGATGTCGCTGTATTGACAATAACGGATTGTAAAGTATGTCTGCTTCCTTCATGATCAAGATGCACGTCTGGTCACTGACAGCGTCGATTCCTGTCTAGACGTGCGCTGTGTCATGTCCTTGACTTCCTGACTTGAAAGACGACCCTCTGTCGCGCAGTGGCTACGCTTTGACAATCATGTTCGAGACCTGGGAGGCAGTGCAGGGTATCGTCATTGCAGGTACCGTCTTAGCAGCCATCCACATGCGCAGCACTGATGTTTGTTCCTCAGCAATCACTGCTCTACGTGTTTATGCTATCGGTGGCCGCGACTGGAAGGTAACTGCTGTAGTCTTTATACTGCAACTGCCATTTGTGGCGGAGGTTCTCGTAAGTGAATCGTGTGATCATATCCATGTCTGCTGAAAAAAGACGTAGTATGACTGCTCCTTGCTTGTGACTTACGTCGTCGCTCCGCCTGTCGGCTGCGTCTTTCTTGTCTCCAACGCACGTCTCTATAATAAGTGAGTCCATCCCATGCATTAAGGTACTGATTCTGATTGCCCGTCCGAGTTCTAGACGTACGTATAAAGGCCGTCTATACGTGACTGAATGATTCAAAGGGATAATCTAGTCAACCTCTTGGGCGTAGTCACAGTCCTAGTGGCCGATGCAATCGTGCTGGTGGTCACTTGGAGACACACCTATGGCATGAAGAAAATGGCCGCTGCTGCTCATCTGGATGTATCACTGACGAGTCTGCTCCTCCGAGACGGTGAGTGATATCGATTGAAATCGCATCCGCGTCTTTTCTGATGTGGGTTTGGAAGGCACGGTATACTTCAGGTGAGATATGTACAGGGCTACGCACAAGGGATTGTCCTGACAATTCTTACAGCATACGTTTGATTCTCGATCTACTTTCACTTCTGATGCAATACACAAACGTATGCTGCGTCCTTGTCTGGCTTCTGCTTGACTGACTTCAGTTTTACAGGAAACCGCGGGCATCGATAACTTCATCACGCCGTAAGTTTCCGCTTACTCCTTGCTCGAGGTGTGCACCTCACACGATCATTCCCGTCTAGTTTCCTCGCCATGCTCCTATCGCGCTTCTTTCTGAACCTTCGTGACGTCGCGCTCGTTCCAAACGCCAGTGGGCAGACTAAATCTTCGCAAATGTCCGACATAGGCTTCGCACACAGCCACCATCAACTAGGAGGCTCCCTCACCCATGGTCTACGCGATGTCCGCGAAACAAGTGATGAAAGCGATAGCAACGCGCATCTCGGCGCTGACGTCTCAGAAGAAAGCGGTGAGCTCGAAGGTCATGAGCACAACGGGGAACAAGATGGTATCATCGAATTGGTTAGGAGATCTTCGACACAAAATCCAGTTGCGTAATCTAGCGTGACTATCCGTCCAGGTTCGAAGCTGTTGCATAACTCTGTCGCAGGCTCGTGGGCTGTAGCCTTGCACCTAATGTAAGGATCTAAACCCATACTACGTACGATTTATTGACCATCTCAAAAGTCGGCTCGACCATGTCGCCGACATCGCCGACAAATACCATACTTATCAGAAGTCACATACAGGGAATCTGAAGGATGTCATGATGCTATACACCGCGGCACCAGCGCTCAATGACACGAGTTCGAAATTCCCACTGAGCCTCAGTGTTGTAGCCGCGGGGGGACATGTTGTGTACTTATCTCTCAGCTGCAGGGTATCCGTCTCACACACCCGCGGCCGCATACTATACACGTCCCAGGTATGTCAACGCAGAGCTCGCGACTCGTAATCTCCTATCCACTCATCATAATCTCCTATTCACTCATCATCAATGCTCCAGACTACGTGCTATGATGAATCAGCCTTGAGTCGAAGCGATGGAACTAGGAATCTACGGTCGGCGCGATGCGCCATTGGCGCTAGGGGGGCTGAGCAGGCGGCCTCACAATTGCCCACTTTACGGTTGCCATCATCTTGTCAATATAAAGGTATGTGACTACTAGCCATCTTTGTCCAAAGACACATCTGAGCTTCTGAAGTCCCACATCTATCGTCTTGCCCCAGGAGCTAATTGATCACATTTTCGAGTCGTTGGGTGCGGACCTACAGGCACTGGCCCGTTGTGCCCTCGTATGCTGGGCATTCCACACGTTATCCGCCACTATCTGCCGAATTACGAAACAATACCTTCGGATTTTTGCGACTCTGGAACTTTACATAGAGTATCCGCTGAACTGTCCTCCAAGATAGGACGGAAGTACCACAAGTGTCAACCACCTCATTGAATGCTGTGCACATCTACGAAAATCGGGCGAAGCCATTTGCACACACATTCCCTATGCATCTCCCTGGTGACCGCCTGCCGAAAGTTGCGACTCTCGCTTATCATGGGGTCAACTGGGAAGCTCGCCGACTTCACCCTTATTCTTCTTTTATTCGAAGCGCTACGACGCGTTAACAAAGCTGATTCTTGACCAAATTCGCTTTCACAACGCAGACGAGCTCCGCCGGCTCATACATTCCCTACCCAACCTCGAATCGCTGGTTATGGAAGCAGCGGAGTTCGCCCATGCGCATTTGCAGCATGTATCGGCGGCGCCATCGCCGCTGAAAGCCATCGAACTACCGGACGCTCCCACTTCGCAGATGTCGCGCCAGTTGGTGCTCGAGGTCATCTCAATGCATCAATCGGTCGGCCGGCTATGTATCAATATGGCACATTTCAAGGCACTACACCAGTTCCAGCAGTTCTTGCTGAAGTTTCCGGCCCTTGACACGTTGTCGTTATATGGCAATTCGACATGGGACGCCGAGTGCTGCAGGATTCAAGGCAGAGACTGTCTCCCGCCTTGATTCCTTGCCTTGCTGAACTTGAGGTGACTGCCGAAGGACGTTTGCTCGACTGTTCCCAGGAGGCGATCTCATGGGTTCTCAACAGCTCATCAGAGCGCATACGAGCCTTACGTGTCAAAGTTGACGACCCTCTGCCCCTCGAGACACGGCTCGCGATCACTAGACTACTTGCTCGCAGCGGAAACACACTGGTACTACTAGTTCTATCTCTGGTATCGGGGCCGCTAACCAATCGCGGTTTCCGGACTACTAGTCTGCAAGGTCAGTGACTGGTTATCAGTTTCTGGCTGGTACTACGTGCTGGCTAAGAACATCTTAATCCTACCAGACTACCTACCTCCGTTGTCTTCGAACATGCAGTTGCAAAAGCTGCACCTGACAAAGATCATTTGTGGTGACACAAGGGCCCTCCTCAAGACGTACGAAAGGGTCTTGGACGTTCTCTCTCAAATCGGCAGTTCGTCTTTGACGTCCGTCAACCTCACCTTCCTCGCGCACTTAGGCCCCGAAGATAACTCTCCTCGTGGAGCCGACCTCGTATGTGCATACGAAGGCCTGCGTGAATGCTTGACATGCATCCTTTCCCGCGACGTTTTCAAGAGGATTCCTGTCAATACTATCGAGATCAGGGTCAGGGCTTATGGAACCAGTCAAGCCGACAGAGCCGTGGACAATGTCATCGAGGAAGTGATGGCACCACCCTTCAAACCATGGGCTGCATGCGGTGTAATCAGACTCGTAGTCCCCAAACGTATCATACTGGCGAAGCCCAAAAGCGTTCGGCGGGTGTCCCCTATCGAGGCGCGTGCTATCTGAATCCCTCTTGACGCCTCTGGTCGGAATCCAAGCCTACACAATCTTGTCGTCCGTCGATGTGCGGCGGCATAGGCCAGCTACAGGCAGGCAATGCATGGTGTGTGCTAGTAGGCAAGGAAATGGATACAAACCTTATACGATCCAACCCAGGATGAGTCGGTTGCTCGCCATAGTAATTCTAGCGAATGCTTGACTAAAATGGGTTTCAATGACACGAGGTCACACAGCAAGTGCTCTTCAGGAATCGGTACAAATCTATCAATCGTCACTGCACAATTATAGTATGTACTTCGTCGTTTGGGTACATCAAACTCAAACACGAAGTCCTCATCACTCGCCAGCGGATCGTCGAACTGGAGCAAGTCACCTGCGTCCGGGACAGATGCCTTGGGCTTCGTACCCGTAGACATGGCCACTGGTCGCTTTCCCGGTGCCGACTCGGCACGCCCTGTGTCTGCTTAACACCCGCTCTGACCATCGTCGGTGCGACTGTCACTTGCGTCGTACTTGCAGTTGTACGAGCAGAGCTTGGGACGGGCCGTGTTATAGGCCGCGATGCCGCTGCGATCGTCTTCGCCGACGTAGCCGCAAGCCCAAGCCTCGCAGACGTCTGTTTGGACGCAGCTGTAGCAGAGCTTGCAGTTCTCGACAACCCAGCTGTGGTCGCGTACACCGAGTTCGTCGCCTTTGGCCGCGCAGCAATCGAAGTGGCTTCCTTCGAGGCAACAGAGCGCATGTGTGCATTCGGATCGTGCCTGGTAGCAGTCGCGCTCACCGGACGAGCGATCTGCGACGTGGTTTGGCTCCGAGGACGAACGGGGGGTGCTCGCGCGTTCGCGGAGGGCTTATTGGATGAGGCACCAGTGCTAGGTCCAGCCGCAGATCGAGATGAAGTGGATGCAGTAGTTGTCGTCGCAGACGTAGGCCTCGAAGGCGCTCGACTTGCAGACTGACCAGGGCGGGTAGGTGGTTTGGTATTGATAGAAGGGGTAGAACGCATGGTAGATGTAGATCGAATGGTCGGGAGGCTAGAAGTGTGCTTGTGCTGAATGGTAGTCGGATCCCGACCCTGTGGTCGACTTGGTTTTGGCTCTATCCTCCGTTCAACAAATAGCTCGTTTTCTATACAATGACTTGGGTGAGCAAAGACGGGAACCCAGCAATGGACTGACTGACCTAGCGTTGGAAGCTCTGGAGTCTCCCAATGCGACGGGCTCTCCACAGATGCGAAACCACTCCCTCGCCATAGTTCTTGGGAGCCAATGTCGACGTTATCATTAAGGGCGTGGTAGAGATCATCCGTGTCGTCAAACTTGTACGAGTGAGCGAGCCCGCGCATCGTCGCGCCGAGTTGCTTGTAATCGGGCATCTCGAAGGGGGGTTCGTACGCAGGGACTACGTCGGTCGTTATTCACTGTCGGATACGCACCAGCAGAGACTGCACGCACCAATTGCCGTAGGAGGCATGTACTCAATCTCTTCGTCATCCTCCCCTCTTACATCCGCAACCTCCAGGACGTCTTCATCCGCCTCCACTTCGATCTCTCCATCGCTAACGTCCCAGTGGTTTCCTAGCGTCACAGGCGTCTTGAAGTCAAGATGTTGCGCGCCGACGCTGGCCCTCGGCGCTCTTAGGCTCTTCCTAGCAGATGAGGGTCGAAGGAAAGACTCTGGTAGTGTTTGCTGTGGAGCCTCAAGCAGCGCGAGCTTCGCTAGCTTTGCTGTCTGCGGGGCGGGAGTGTCGAAGGGTACCGCATTGGCTACGCGGTTCGGGAACGGTGTCTTGTCGCCGAGCGGTTTCTGTACGCGAATGCTTGGCTTAGCACTGCGACTCAGAATCTTGTGCGACTCTGTCGACGACGTCTGCGCATTAGTCGTTGGCAGGGAATTGGCGCGAGAGCACGTACGGATGGTGAGCGGGCGTCGGGGCGTCTGAACGGTCTTTGCCTTGGCATTGACTGTGAGAGGGACGCGGTGGAGGTTCTCTTGAAGGAGTGTCCTGTCGCGAACTGCTCGCGCAGGTGTCTTCGCATGGTACGGCTCGCGTTCAGAGCTAGCGGACGGGCACTCAACATGTTTGAACTTCGGGTGTTGATTCAAGCTCGATTTCATGTCAGTACGACGGGGCATACAAAGAGAAAAAATAGCCTACGTTGAGTTGGGGATATCGCTGTAGTCGTTCGAGGTAACGCGTAGTATGAGACTGAACGTAGGATGTAGAGATGCACTCCGAGTCTAGCGGAGCCATTCGAACCAATAACACGGTCACGTGAGAAGAGTTCATTCCCCCGACGCGTTCGCGCCACAGTGAAGAAAACATGGCCAAGCGCTGGCAATCTTACATCGTTTGCAACGTATTTTGCAGCTACGAGCTACTTCCTGTCCAAACAACAAGGTAGCTTGTATTTACTCAAGCGTCTGCGTCGCGAATAATATGAACGATTTCTCTGCCCTAACCTTATCGTCACGCATCCACTGCAGCGCACTCTCCACACCTTCAAGGCCTTTCTTACCTCCAGGGCCTTCCCAGATCTTGACGCGGTTCGGTTTGATGCTACCCGCAGAGACGAGACCCGGGACCTTGCGTAGGAAGGCGGCCATGTGGGCGCAATCAGACGGGGGAGCCGCGAGGGCGGCGGGGCCGCCGAGAGCGGTGTATATCAAGGTGACTGCGAGCGTGACGACAAGTCCGATCGAGTGTCACCTATGTGAGAACGCATAGTGGAAGTGGAAGGACGGTACTCACACTTTACTTCTACACCCTGCCTCATGGCTTCCTTGAGCTTTGCGGGGTCCTGGCCAACCAAGCTTATAACCCGCCCGCCCGCCATTCCCATGGCGCCAACTGTAAATTGCAGTGAGGCGCTGTCTGCGCCGCGCTGGCTGACGCAATCAAGTCCATAGCGTATCTGCGTCCTGGCGCGTGAGATGCCGACGTGGAAGTGGCCATCAGGGACTTTACCTTCTCACCCGTTGCATCACGGATCTGTTGAAGTGCATCAGGGGCGTGACGGTCGACCACAACATCTGCTCCAAATGATTTGACCAAATCGAAGTGGCCTGACGAGCAGACCGTCGCAGACTTGTAGCCCGACAGACGGAGCAGTTGGATAGCATATTGCCCGACGGACGCTAAAGACCATCCGCAGTCACTGGTGAGCGATCAAATATTCGTGGAAGGAATCGATACTGACTGCTCCCGCCGTACACGAACACCCATTCCTCCGATCCTTGCTGGAGCTTTGAGGGAAGCTCAGCGAGGGCAAGACGTGTCGGATGGTAGAGCGCCTGGACGGCCAGTATAAGCACAACTTCGTAGGGATGAAGCGCGCAGAGTGCACCACTATAGTGGCGTTCCTAAGAGGCTGATACTCACGCACAGCCCAAAGTAGCAGCTTCAGCGAATCCCAGGGTTCCTTCCGGCACTGGCCAGACAAGCTCTCCGGGTGTCTTCACATACTCAGCGTACGCGCCGCTATCAGGCAGAGCTCCGCCTTTGACGAAGCCAGCAACGTGGGTGCCCAGCTTCAGGTGGGTAACGTTGCTGCCGGCCGCAACGACGGTGCCGGAGAAATCCACACCGAGGACGGTACCCGCTTTCTGCACGAAGTCTACGACTGTAGCAAGCGGCCAGCGATGAACGGATGGGGACGCAAGAGCAGGGGGACAAACGCACATTTCCAGTCTGTGGGATTCTGTGCTGTTGCGACCACTTTGACCAGCACATCGTCAGGGCCGGGCTCAGGCACGGGATAGTCCATGACCGCGACCTTCTTCTCCTGATAGTGTGTCAAGCATGAGCATAAAACGATGCAGGCGCGATGAGTGTCCGTGTCGCACCGGCTGGACGAGAACTGCTTTCATCGTCTTGGGGATAATTTCGTCGACCATGATACACTATGTTGGAAAGTGGGCAGTGAGGTTCAGCATCCCCGGAGAACGTTGTAAACTAGTATCGCGAGTAGTGTCCCAATGGGGAATTCGAACGGGGAGGACGCCTATTCGTGCCTACATGATGATGATCTGTCAGAGGACGTGTACGTTGTTGATTGCGCGGTCACCTCAATCCAAGGCTAGTTAAGTAGTATCCTCGGGGTTCACCTGAATGTGCACTATACATTGGCACACAAGTATCAGTACCGCTGCGTCTTGGGTCCCATGGGCCTGAATAACGACTTACGAGACGAGCTGCACTGTCATGCGTATTGCAAGTCCCGCCCGATGCAAAGCTGAACCAGGGCACCGTCACGCGAAGCATACTGTAGATAGAGGCGTACATTGTTGCCTTCACCCGTCCTGTGCAAGCACGACCAATGACGCGGCGATTTACAGACAAAGTATGTTGTCCAATCAAGACGATTTCGAATTCGGACAGATGCCAGGAATGCGTGGAAGAGAAGTATGTTTCCAGTGGTGGATGCTGTGGTGTTGCTGTCCAGACAGCGCCTTGAGATACACACATACAAATTCGAAGCACGCTATAGTGATTCTTTCTTCTACGGCGTGAGGAGGGCAGTGTGGTGGCGGTGAAGGTCGCGGAGGAGAAGGAGGAGGGCCCATTTCTGGATGTTCTCACCTCCCCGTGACCGAGGCGAGGAACGCGTTGAGCGCCCAATGAACCTTTGGACGCGTTCCTTTGCCTCCGAAAGCTGTGGCGACTTGGTGGCGACCTTCCACTGCTGCCCCCTCCGCCTCCATACTCTGTTCCTGCATCCGCTTTGACGAGCTCTACATATCTGAACGGGAATCACGTAAGTCTCCCCATTATGTCAAAGCACGAGAGCGCACTTTGACTTTGATGCCGATCGCTTCTGCCTCATTGTCCCTGTAGACCTTCGCTTGGACAAAGTGTGACACGAATCTCCGATTATACTTTTGACATAAAAGGCGCACCGCGTCTCTTGCTGACGACACGCCGACGCCAAATCCCCTAACGAATCCGACCGCCCCTGTACACCGCCAGCAAGATGCCGCAAGACCACCAGGAAGACCCGATGCAGACCGACGGGGTGGAGGAGACTCAGTCCACCCAGCAAGCTACGCAGGAGACGCAGCTCATGTCGCAGCTCGACCCAACCGTGGACGAGCACCTCTGGGGCATGCTCATCCCCTGCAACCCTACCCTCCACCGTGTCGACTTCCAGAAGGTCAAGCGGATCTATGCCTTCGGGCGCAATAATGACATCCAAGTGGGCGGGAACGACATCGTATTTCCTGGAAGGAAGATCAGTGAGTGCTCATATGTTCTTGGACGCAATTCGCCGCGTTTTCTGACGGATACGCGCCTGTGGCGTAGGCAACTACCACTGCAGGATCGAGTGGGACGGCCAGCACGGGTAATGGATCGCGGTCATGGTGACGGACCTGTCGAGCAATGGCACCTTCGTGAGCTCTATCATCGTTATGCACTATGCTCCGTGGGATTGACTTTGCCGCCCGGAGGTCAACCAACAGCGGATCGGAAAGAATAAAACCAGATCGTTTACGACGGGAACGAAATTCGTTCGGCACCTGGCAGCCACTCATTGGCGAAGCTGCTGCGGAGGATATCGTATGTTCACAATCTCAGTCGTCCATGCTGACCAAGCTAATACTTTGTAGGGTTCGTCTTCCGGCACTTGGCGGCTACTTCGAGCCTCCGGGGCATCTTCAAGTTCTATCAAATGCACAACGCACTAGGTAGAGGCTCTTTCGCTACTGTCAGCAAGGCCATGCATCGCGAGACTGGTATATGGTATGCGGTGAAGACCATGGAGCGCAAGCGCCTGCGGTCGGCGAACGACGCTCAGGCGAACAACGACGCAACGTTCTCCCGGGAGATCAAGATTCTCGAAGACCTGCAACATCCGCGCATTTGCCAGCTTAAGGAGGTCTTCTACGAGGACACACTATTAGTGAGTGGCTTGTCTACTGGGTGAGATGACGCAGGAGTTGATTCTAAAATGTAGATCTCGTCCTGGAGTTGGTCTCAGGAGGTGACCTTCTTGATTATATACTTGCTCAACCTAATCAACGACTGGGTGCGTTATTACTCGTCAACGAAAACAGACAAGAAATGCTGATAATCATTACGGAGCAGAGGAGGATCTGTCTCAACAATTCACCTACCAGATCTGTGATGCCCTTCAGGTATGTACCGTTGATCATCAGACGTGCAAATGATGCTCATCTATGACTATACAGTACATTCATAGCAAGGGAATCGCTCACCGAGATCTGAAGCCTGAAAATGTCCTGTTGACCACAGACGACCCGCCCATGGTGAAAGTGGCCGACTTTGGTCTCGCCAAGGCCGTGGACAGCATGACCATGCTGAGAGTAAGCAGAGACTGTCTTTCTGTTGCGATAGGTCCCTGATTGTTGGCCACCCTGTAGACGATGTGTGGAACTCCCTCCTACCTGGCCCCGGAGGTCGTCCTGCAGCAAAATTGCATGGGTTATGACCACCTGGTCGACAGTTGGAGTGTCGGCGTCATCGTCTACTGCATGTACGTCCTCATTGTTCGTTTGCGTCCGATCAGCGCTGAACGCAGTCTCTAGGCTGACGGGAAGCAATCCATTCCCTGATGATACCGACGAGCCACTCAAGGAGAAGGTGCAAAACCGCCTCGTAGACTGGGATTGTCTCAACTTTTACTGCCCAAGCCGTACGTTCTCTACCTGTCTCCCTCCTGTGCGTCATGATCCTGATATCCTTCCCGCCAGCCGCTGCCCGTGATTTCATCGACCGCCTCTTGGAGTTTTCACCTACCATGCGTATGCCCCCCTCCTCTTCCCTCGCTCATCCCTGGCTCGCCCCTTACCAGTACCTCGCGACGAATGTTCCCCTCGGGAACGAGATCCCCCAAGCCGACTCCCAGTACTCCCAGTCTCAGCTGCAGAACGCCCACTTTGACGATGCCGGCGCCGGCGTCGACGCTGATGCTGATGCTGATGCCGATGCCGATGCGTCGATGGACTCGGGCCACGCAGAGGCGAACAGCGCGGATGCGCACATGAACGAGGAGCCGCCGGCAGGCTCGCAGCTGCCTGGCCTCCCCGGCGCATACCCGAACAGTCAGCAAATCCAGCGGCGCTCGGACGTCCTCATCGCGCAGTCGCAGCGGGAGCGCGGAGAAGAGGAGGGAGAAGAAATCGTCTCAGAGGACGAGGGCGTGGGCCCGGACGAGCCGGCGGAGCTGAACGGGAACGCGCGCGGGACGAAACGCAAGGCGCTGGTCTTCGAGGGCTCGTTGACGCCGATGGAGGAGGAGGAATCGGAGGAGGATCCGAACGCGATGCCGATCTCGCCCAAGACGGTGCGCACTGCGAGGAGGGGCCGTGGTGCGACTGCTGGGCCGTCTTCCCGCCCTCCGCGCGCTGCCACTGCGCGGGGCGGGAAGAGGACCGCGGCGGGCACTACGCCGAATGGGACGAGGCGGTCTGAGAGGCTCGTGAACACGGCTCCCGTGAGGCAGCGGAGGGGGTAGGTGTTGTTGCGCGGAGTGCTCGATGCTTAGGATCTATAGAATTGCGCATCTTTTCTCTTTGGCATTGATTTGCTGTCGTCACCACACGCGTTCCTTGCTATGCTCTGTACTAATAATATCGCTGCTGTGTACATATATACCTCGCATCATCTGCCACCTGGTTTGCCACTCATGTATCGTTGAACTATGTCATTTATCCGCTGCATAACGTGCAAGTTGATTTCAGAATAAGTCGTCACTGATGCTCGGTGCTAAGTACTAAGTGTCGCACGTGCAGTCTCTGTACTACCCACTGCTTACCTAGTTACTATCATCATCGACTGTCGCGCAACTGTGCCCCTTTGCCCTTCACATTCCATCGAAAGCCAGCTGTGCACCCTTTCGTCACAGTCCAAACAACCGTAAGACTCAAATCACTTGTGGGACGAGGACGATCTAACGGGTTCGGTTTGAGACAGGATTAGATAATAGCGACACCCGAACCTGTCGTGCTCTCGTAGCGCCACCAATGCAGACAGTCCTGGAGGAGGACGCCGCTGTACATGCCCTCCCACCGCTAAGCGGGGAAGATAGACAACGCGTCCAGGGCTCGTCGCTATCAGAGGTCCGCGAGTGGGCTCTCTCTAAGGCGGCTTTGTCCCCTTCCGACCTGTACGCATATCGCCTTCGCACACTCTACAACTCGACCCTGCCTGTGAGCAGGCTACCGCCCGAGACACTGTTCAGAATCTTTGACTTCTTTCGTCAAGATTGTGTCAGCTCAATGTGGGTGACCAAACTCACGGGCATATGCCGATATTGGCGAGACATCCTGGTCTCCTCTCCGTTGGCATGGTCCTCCATCGACCTCGAGCATTCTGTCCCATTCATCGAGCTGTGTCTGTCGCGCTCGGCAGATGCAGACCTTGATGTTGTCCTCAATGAGACAAATACGGACCCTTTCGCCAGTAATGCGCCTTCAGTCAAGAACGAGCTTGCCCCACATTTCCACCGTATCGCTCGACTCGAGTTATGGTCGTACTCTTTGGAACGGCTGCAGGAGGCACAACTGTTGTCGATGCTGGAGGGTCCGATGCCTCGGCTGACAGAGCTGAGCATATGGTGTATGGTCCCCACCAGTCTGCAAATTCGTCTCAACGATGCTCATTTCCCTCGGCTCCAGAAACTGTCCCTCGACCACCCGTCTGTGCATCTGTACGGGTTGATGCTGCCTAGTTTGACGATGCTTTCTCTATCCGACGTAGCGAGGGATGGACAGCCGAATTTGAACACCATCATTCACCTCCTCAAGGCAGCACCTGCCATGCGAGTATTGATTCTTCGTAATTCCGGTCCCATACTACCCCTCTCTGCTCCATCCCCGCCGAAACGCCCTGTGGTATTGAACTCCATGCGGGTTCTCACTTTCCATGGGCGATCAACCCAATGTCGTGCTCTGCTTTCACGCCTCTCGCTGCCGCGCGGCGTCCACATATGGCTTTCAGTGATTGCCCAACCTGTGACACCCTCTATACCGACTGACTCTGAGGAGTACAAAAGCATCCTGGATGACATCAAGCTTGTCGGCTCTCTTTCCGACATGCGCTTCGCTTCGCTTCAAGTGAAGCAGCGATACTTTGCCCTCCGTGCAGACCCAAATCGCCTCGGCCACAGAAGCAAAGACCCCTTGCTGCGCATCGAGTTCAGAAACACCTACTTCATCACGAACGTCCAATCCGACAACTTCTTCCAGACTCTCCTCTCTGAACTGCCTCTCTTGTTCCCACAATCTTTGACGTCGCTCAGTCTAGACGGCGATAGCATGTCTGTCGTTGACGTTAAACGTTGGGGCCAGACATTGTATCCTTCCCATATCTGCTCAAACTGCACCTCGTTACCGGTAGCGTGCTCTGCACCCTCAGGAACCTGGTTGAACTCTGCGACCGGCGGATGGTCTCATTCATGTCAGAGCTACGATGCCTCATCGTAGACTCCGCGCGACTAGCGAAGGTAGATGAAGAGGTTGATCAGTTGTTGGATCTTCTGGCTAGTTGTCTTGAGCATCGCTCGCAAGCGGGCGCGCGACTCAAGGAACTGCAGTTGTGCTTCAGGCGTGGATGAGTCGGCGTCGACTCAGGCTGAAGATTACGCTCGGCGCTTTCAAGGAATGGTCGACGTATTCAAGTGCGATGACACAGCTTCGTAGCGCGGCGATCGATATGTACGACATCGTAGGTCTGTGGACTATTGACCTGCTTCGTTACATGTACAGCACGGTTCGGACGATTAGGCAAGGCCCTCATGATGTCTGATTCCGGAAATCAGTACATGCATTACATATTAGCTTTCTAATGAATCCTGTGTCTGTGATGATGCCGCCCTCGTCTGCGGGCAGCTGTCTGTCGGAGCTGAGCTTGGCGTGCTTGCTACAAGAGGACTTGAACTGATCATGTTCAGAGAACATAGAACATATTATTTCTTGTGGTTAACCGAGGACACATAACGGACTGCAGATAGCTTGCTCGCCGACTCGGAAGTGCCCTCAGGCTCTAGCTTGCGTGGTTTCGGGCGTTAGTTCAGCGACAGATGCCAACAAACCGCACTCACATCTTTAAAGGTCCTGCTGTTCTGAAGATGATGATGAATTCAGCATTTATTAACCGCAACAAGCAAACAACGTGCTCTGCTGTTCTGAAGAGTCCAGCAGTTGCAGACTTTCGGCGATGACATCACTATGCCACAGTAGCTCGCCCTGGTCACTGTCTGGTAAGACATGCCGACGCTACATACTCGTTACCGAATCATGAAAGGTTGCCTGTGCGTCTGACTGACAGATGGACGCTCACCATCTCTCAGTGATGTTGATGATGAAGTCTCTGTTGAAAAATATCAAGCTGTCGTAAACCAATCGCAATCATACTCCCTCCTATATAATGTCATGGCATACGTGGTCGTGACGCTACGCAGCATCCATCCTCCGAAGGTCGACAACGATGCACACGTACAGTCGTCTTGCTTGCGGTTTCCTCGCTACCGTCGGCTGCGCGATATTATTTCTATACGCAGGATCGCACTCCCGTACAGAAGAGCAGAAAGAAGTCCGCAAGAGGAGTATCCTGACGATCATATCACTTACCAACTCGAACTGCACGAGCAAAAATACTCCAAAGCAATACAAGACCGGGGTAGACTCATTGAGGAGCTCGAACTGACGAACCAGTACGCGCCCGCCGTCTTCGTTCTACACACGCCATTGCTCATCTGCTCTTGGTCCAGTCCCCCATCGTGGAATAGCACATCCACACTGCGTGCGTGTAGCAAGCCTGTAGAATCCGTCCCAGGCAGCTAAACGTGCAGAACCTGGATACAGTCAAAGTATTCCCTCCTGCCTTCCAGTGTCTGCACGAGGTGTCGCAAGTGGGCCCCCACCAGATATGCGGACTCGGCTTGATAGCGAAGCAACCGTCCTGTATCGTCTATTCGCTCGCATCTGCGCGCGATCTACGCGAACTGCAGGATGGTCTGTCGCAGACGCTTGAACACTGCGAGGTTTTTGCATACGACTTGTCACGAAACGGCTTCTCCCACATCGCCCTGCCGGGTAAACATCAGTCGGGCACTGACGAACGGATGCTGGTCGTCTCCGACGTAGACTATGAGAGGGATACCGAGGAGGCGTACGTTTCGCCGTGGCATCGTCTTCTGCGTGGAGAACACAAGTTCATCGACATCCTCAGAGTGAGTGTAATCGGTACCTTGACCTTAGCTCTTCCCCTGATTCAACGTGCTTCATATGTGACACCAGATAAACCATCCTGCCAGAGCCACTCTGTTCCAGTTCGCTAATATAGTACCTGCCAGGACAGGGCCGCTTGGCGAGCTCCCCGTCAATCCTGCGCCGCGCCGCGTCGGACAGCTCATCTGGAAGCTGCGCCTGGACGCGATGCGGAGTGATGGGACGCCTATGCTCGGCTTCTCGGAGCTTAGGTATTGGTGGGAGATCCTGGAGTATGCCGGACTCAGGCCATTTGCGGCTGAAGTGGGCGATGATGGGTACCTCGAGGTATGTAGGCGCTGGGCTGAACGTATCAACTCGTTGATCTTCTTGTCTACAGTATTCGTGGATCAACATTCGCGGCCCTCGTAGTCTCATGAGATCACTCACGGAGTTGTGACCACTTTTGGCATACGAAAGCCTACATTATTTACTCCTAACATCGGTGGCCTGTCTTTGCTCTTGAGATTATGACGGCAAGTTTGTGTTGCCTTCTGCCAGTACCCCTTCCGTCCAGCGGCCCGCATTCGTGGCCAAAGTGCCAACCTTGACCGAGCCGACTGAGGCTGGGCTCAATTTGAGCTCAACATCGGTATTGGGCAAGGACGTAGCCCTTATAGCATCAGTTGAGTGCCCTGGCAAGCCTTGATGTTGTGGTAAGCAATTGCACTGGCACAGCACGCGTTGAGTGATCGAACGTTTCCGCCGAATAGACGAACGACGAGCAGCATTCGCATGTGCGTCTTCGGCTTGCGCTGACAATTGTCATGCAATCGAATGCAATCGAAGGATGGTATCGCACACGCGCCAGCAATAAAGAGCACGCACCGCCCTGTGCATGACTTGGTTACTCGGAGTATTCATGAATGTGGTTATGAGCTCACAGCCATACGTCAGTCCAACAGAAGACACTGGATTACACCGACAGGATCACGGAGATGGATGGGAAGCCGTATAGAGTAGTCCTTCCGAATTGAGGAGTGTATACAGCTTCTTTCCTCCGGCGCAGCAAGTGTCGTGTTGTGCTTCGTGATGAGTTGTCCTAGGCGCCGGGAATGCGCGCGTGCAACTGCACCAGTCATGCAGAGACAGAGGGAGCATGGCGACGGATTGAAGGGTACCCTGGACCACTTACGTTCCCAAGGGTCAAGGCTATCTTTCGAGAGAAAGCAAGTAGCAATCAAGAGACTGAGTACTGGTCGAAATCTAAGCCGATACTTACCTGACGCTTGTCCTCAAGAAGCTCCGTCGATCCGACTGAGTGCTAGCTGCCCTTCCGTCATTGAGTAGTAAGTAGGCGGGAGTAAGCACAATGACCCCTGTTTTGAGAAAGGGGACACGAGGGTCCGTTGCGATGAGGGTGCGATTCGAGGGTTGTGGAGCAACATTTGCCGAGATGATCTGGGAGCGGACCGCCAGGCTGCGGCCAGCACAACACATCCGAGTCCGAAACATCCCTCACTCGCCTTGTCCTTCCCCAGTCCGCCTTCAACAGGCCTTTACACTCCTTTGAACGGGCCACCATCGCAGACTTTATCTCTCATGGCACACGCAGCTTCCGCCAAACACTTCGTCGCGCGCCACCCGCGCTACTTAGCCATCCTCGGCTTCATCCTCCTTGGTCTCGTCTTCATCTACGCCCAGGGCCCACCAGACGAGCACTACCTCAAGCGCAATCCGCTCAAGACATGGATACTCGAGGAGGATAGGCGGTACCAGCAGACGTTGCGAGAGAGAGACGGGATGGTGCGGAAGTGGGGACCGACGCCGGAGCGCGTTCAGGCGTGCGTACCATCCGCTTTCGGCGTGTTGGCGCCTCGACATCTCCATTCTGACACTCATCTTCCTTTTAGATTCCCACCACAAGATGATTTCTATACTCTGTGTAAGTGCATGAAACATGCAGCGCCGCAGGAGAACTCAAAATCCATCGGTTTCGTCTGTAGGGGACTTCTACATTCCGTCATTCCGCTGCCCGCACCGCGTCGAGCGCGTCGGTGCCCTCGGAGACGGCGGCAAGTGGGTCTGTGGGCTCGAGCGCATCGCTCAGCAAGACTCCTGCGTGATCTACTCCTTCGGGATCAACAACGAGTCGTCCTTCGAGGCCGCCCTCATGCGTGCCGCCCCGCGCTGCCAGGTCTGGGGCTACGACTTCAGCGTGCCCAATTTCGGGCCTGAGATCACGGAGGACTCGAACCTGCGTTCCCGGTCGCACTTCCGGTCGTGGGGGCTCGGCTCTACGGACAACTATGGCCCGGACGCGAACCCGCCGTTCTACACGCTGCAGACGCTCATGGCGATGAACGGCCACTCCTTCATCGACATCCTGAAGGTGAGCCCTGCGCGCTGCGTCCCAAGAACTCACGCTGAAACATCAGTTCGCACAGGTTGACATCGAGGGCGCCGAGTTTGATGCGCTCGCGTCCTTCCTCGCATACCACATCGCCCAGGCGGCCAACAGGCCGCCCCCACCGCCGCCGCCGTCCAACCCGCACGGCCCGCCGCCGCCGCCGCCGTCGATGCTCCCTACGCTCCCGATCGGCCAGCTGCAGATCGAGCTGCACGCGCGCTCCGGCTCGGGGCACGACACGTTCGCCGCTTTCAACAGCTGGTGGGAGTCCCTCGAGGCCGTCGGCCTGCGCCCGTTCTTCGCGGAGCCGAACCTGGTGTACGTGAACCTGGTCCGCGGGGTGCGGCCGGACCTTGTCGAGGTGAGCGGCGCGTCTGCGTTCATGGAGGACAGGGGCTGACGCCGGATGCCCAGTACTCTTTGCTCAACATCCGCGGAGACCATACGTTGGTCTCGGACCGTTACATCGCTTACTAGTTGCAGATGCCGCCTCCCAGCGAGGACTCTCGTCACATCCTAACTAATCTGCACAGCTTTGCCGTGCCAGGGGCAGCGGACTCTTTCCTTCCGAGTACCAATGTATTTTATAATCGTCGTTCAATGCTCTCTACATGCTCGCAGACATTGATTGTGATAGAACCGCATCTGATGATGGGGGTCTTCAATCGGCGACTGGGGACGAAGGCGTTACTCAACACGTTCATCACTGAAAGCACGGTTGTCATGTATGGACAGACAGGCTGAACAGGGGATACAGAGGATATTTCCGAGACGGAATGGTCATCTAGTTGTACCGCTTTCGACGTCCCTGAGCACATCCACCAACGCCCGGAAGCGTCGAGTGTAACCTTCCCTCGTCGCAGCGGACTCGGACTGCGTCGCACGCGGGAAGCGCAACTGCAGTTCCTGGAGCCGCCGTGCGCCCGCGCGCGAGCGCGCCTTGAGACACTTGTACAGAGCTCCCAACAATTGGTCAAGCTCGTCGTCTACTTCCGAGAGTCGCGCAGAGCCTACGATGAAACATTGGAGCTTCGGGCACGGAAGGAGGCCGTCCGTCGGTCGAAGGGCTTGAAACAGGGGTCCAAGGATGGATGGTGTAGAGATAACACATAGTACTCGCAGACGCGGGAAGGATACGAGTACTTGCTTCCAATGCTCTGAATCAACCTCGACGACAGACGTACTATCATCATCTAGGCTAAGCGATGTCAAGGAGCGTGGTAACATGCCAGGCATTCTGAGAGAAATATCTGAAAAAGGCCGTTGGATCGGGTCCCAGTAGCGCAACAGAGTTTCTTGAATTCGACGTGGAGCAAGGGGTACTCCTTGCTGAATCCGACGCGACTTGGGTCTGCGCCGAGGGAAAAGTATCGCTGCCTCATTTGGATCGAGACCGTGCGCATAGCCGGTAGAGAGCCGACGAGCTCGGTGATATCCTTTATATCTTTGAACGTCTCCTTGGGGTCAACAGGTACGGAAGGAACGCTGCTGGTCATGGGTGAGGCATCGATCGCAAGCCAGATGCGAGTGGCACCTGGAAACGAAAGTCGCGAAAGCAGAGCGCGGCATTGTGAGGTCTCCCCACGGAAGATGAGGGTCCGTACCGAGCTCAAGATACTGGGCGGCTCGGAGGGGAGGAACAGATTGCGTAAGCATAGGACCGGACTTGCGGAGAGTCAACTCCCGCAACGAAGGTGCTGCCTCGAGGAATTGGATCAGTGTGTCCAGCGTGGGCTGTTTGCCCCTTGATAACCTAGTGAGAGTAAGGGTCGTCAACTGAGGGAGCACCAATGGATCCCATGCCATGGACAGACGATGAAGAGACAGCCTTTGAAGCCGAGGGAAATGGGTGCTATTGAGACGGAGTGGTATGCCGTCGTTGGCCTCACACCGTATACTTAACTCCGTCAGCCGTGGCATCGGACTGTCCAGCATCGATAGGAGGGAGTTCTGTTTAGCCCGAGGAGGCTATCCGACGACAATTCGAGTCGGGAAATGCGATGAAGGTGCTGAGCAAACTCGTTCGGAATCGAAGGCGCATCAATGGCGAACAGGCACGACTCGGACACTGGATGATAGAATGCCACATGAAGATCTACGTCCTCAGAGCGTGATAGACAGAGCTGTATGAAATGGATGGTGTCTCTGAGATCAATGATGGACCATGCCAGGGGGGAAGAGACAAGGATTTCTCGCCAATACCGGCATACGCCCATGACCTTGGCGACCCACCTCGAGCCCGAACAAAGCGAGTCCTGACGAAAGAATTCGAAGATTTTGAAGAGAATTTCGGGTGGCAGCCTGTTCACGGGCAAGGTCGAGTTGGAGAGCGCACGAAGGCGGTAGGCGTATAAACCGAAAGGGAACAAGGATGCTTCAGAGAGGGCCCATTCGCGGATCTCCGATGGCGATGAGCCCTGGACTCGTAGTCGGTCTTCCTCGCTCAGCGAAGGGAGTGTTTGTATTGGGGCGTCGTCTTCCTCACTGTTTGGATCCGGAGAGACTCGCAGTGTTTGCAACGAGTCTGCCAGGGAAGAATCGGAAGATTGTGGCGTCACTGCATAATCGCGGTACATGATTCAAGTTGTCACGGTAAGTATCGCTATTCTGAAAATACTGATGTCACTCGACATTTGAGTCAATATCAGGTAGACTAGGATCTCACCGTTCGGGCGATACAACGCTGTCTCGACGTCAACCACGGTCAGGAACAAGCCAGTTGCCAAGCAGTGCAATGTGGGCTACTGACGCTGAACCGGTAATGCAAACGGTACAGTAATGCAAACTGGCGGGTTTCTTCCTCCGTGTGCGCACGGAAAATGTGCATCATGTCGCCACATGCTGTCTTACTATTCTCTCGTACGCATTAAGAGCTACCTGCTCTGTGCACCTCAGGAAAATCGAAAGGTGCGATTTCAGCGCCTATTCTGCAGCGCCAGTTTTGGCGGCGAACACAGTCGCTCATTTGCAGACGTGCAGACGACATGTTCCCGCCCTCCTTCTGGCCTTGAAATATTTAAGGGTGTGCTCAAGATGTATGAACTAAGTCTAGCAGGTTAAAATGGGAAACCTTTGTGTTGCGGGTGCAGGACAGTAATGCAAACGTGATTGCATTACCGGTTCAGCGTCAGTAAAACGACATTAGACAAAGTCATAGAGATATCCGCTTCAAATTGACACGCTTTCAGTTGGTACTGATCTCGACCAAAGATACATGATTCACCATTGACAATTGACGTTAAAACAGGCTTCTGAGTTCTTGTCACACACACAAAACTTCTCGCCAATGTATGGGGCCCCGGAGCCCGGGCTACTCAGTACTGCCATTGCAAAGCAGCTCACCTTCAACTGGCGGAGCTCTCAGTACGTTGTCCAAGCACGCTAAGTTATCAAGATTACTGCTCACTATGTACCCTTCTCAGATTTGACACGCTCACGGGTTTGCCGCCGACAGCCGTGACACGGCCTGTGCAAGCCGCATGGTCATATCTTGCGGACGAACTCAGGCACGCAGTCATTCAATCGACCGAATGTCAAGATACTTGGCTCCGGGACGCTTCTGCGGCGCGTCTGTGCAGTGCATAAGATGTACCGGTTCACGCGCGGCGCGGGCTTCCCTGCTCCCGTCGTACTGTCGCTATCGCTGCACCTACGATGGCTCCCCCGCGCAGTGTTTTGTGCTGGCTATTCTGCTCGGGCACGCTGTTTGCAAGCTTTGCTCTGTTGTGCTTTTGGTTCGAATACTCCACAACTCGGGGCATACATCGCACTCGGCGTGCAAGGACGCTCGAGCACTTGCTCTACGATGCGGAAGTGCAATATGGCAAAACTATAGCGACGCGTAACGAGCTAATGAATGAATGGAGATTGAATGACAGGTTCGTACTCTCACCCCCGTTTCGCGCTGCTAGGGCTGAACACGACAACATCGCAGTGTCATGCCAAACATGATAATACTTTGTACGCCGCTCCGCAGACCAGTTGACGCGTGCCGCAAGCTAATGGCTACCGCAGCGCAGCTCTATCCGACATCCTTCCACTGCCCATACCCTCTCACCCTGGTAGGCACGTCTTGGGTCTGCGATCTGGACCACCTTGCGGAGGCTAGGCGATCTCAATGTGCCGTCGTCACAATTGGACCCAGGAACGACTCTTTTGTGACGCAGGTCCTTGAGGCTGCCCCGGATTGCCTGACCACGGCCTACACACCGGGCTCCGCGCAATTCGGACATGGTCGCATCTACATGACGACAGGCGGCGGAAGCCATCCCGGGGGCCGAGGCTGGGTCGGGCTGGGTCAACCGCGGGGACCGAGCGCCGGATCGCCGCAGTTGGTGCAACAAGCTCGAGATGTTCATGATTCCTGCGGTGAAGACAAGCATACTTACACGCTGGAGCGGTTGTTGGGCGGGCCCAAGACGAGGCCTGTGGACATTCTGCGAGTGCGCCTAATTCATCCAGCAAGTATAGCACATTCGGTTCTCGACTCTGACACTACCTTCAGATCGACTTGCCCTTCAGCGAGACAGTCCGTGCCCTGATGTCGCTTCCAAACCTGGCGCCGTCGACCTTGGGCGACGACGCACAGGTGCTCCCGGTAGGACAACTAGTTCTTGTGATACGACCAGAAGACCATTACGATGACATGCTTGATGCGACGGCTTTCCATGGCTTGTGGGAATCACTCGAACGTGTGGGTATGAGACCGTTCGCTGTCCACGAGCGAGACGACGACGCTGTGGAGGTCTGTACTTCACTCTGTGCATCGCAATATGACGACTAACTTCCACTCAAATTTTCAGTATTCATTTCTAAACATCCGTGCGCTCATTATGGCACCGTCGAGGTGATCCGACATGAACACTCGATGAGCATCGTGAGATACGATCGCGGTAGGCATACGAATCATAGTGTATGTCATGCCATTAGAGGGAAATTCCACAAATCTAGGATGACAGCGGTGTTGTACAGGTAGTGACCTTCGACGGTTGTTGTTCTGGGCCCGAGCGGGATGGAGGAGGTATCCGAATTATACCTGAGGAACGGTCACGTGTCAGCCTTCTCTTGTGGCGTCGCACCAAACACGAACGACGCATTCTACTTACAGGATACCACGCGAGCATAGGCATCCAATGCCACACTGGGACGTAGCGTGCCGGCCATTGCGCGTATCTCCATGTTGGCATCGAGTTGAACCTCCGCGACGCCGCCTGTGGATGCGCCGGTTGTGGCGCGTTCGAGGACGGTGCAGTATGACGCTGCCAGGATGCAGGGCGATGGGAGGCGAGTCGATTGTAGACACGCTAGGACATTATCAGTGAGTGGTTGTCGAAGATGAAGGGACTGCAGACGCACCACAGCGAAACGCCACATCGCCGTCGCAGCCTCCGAGTGCCGTCTCGCACCATGCTGGGTAGCATTCTCCAGCGAAGCGTACAGTGCATCGTAGTCCATACGGTCGCTCGTTCTCATATCGTCTCTCAGCATGTGAAGGACGGTGTGTGCGGCCCGTGCGACGCGCTCTGCGTGCCTTCGCTGGCGGTCGACTGTCGCGAGTTGTTCAACGTGTTCTTCTACTTCGATGTTGTGAACAATTGCATTGATCGTCTGTAGTTGGTGAGGAGTGAGCATTAAGGTGTCGTGGACAGGGAAGAAATGGCAGACCCAGGGTTAAAACGTTTGTTCCCCATGTACGCCACCGTGACCAGTATGCCCGACTACGCCAAAAATGGTAGGAGAGCGTCGAGGCGGTGTACACTGTATTCGCTGCTTTCTCTGAAATAATGGACACAGCACCTCGGCGTGGGTGCAGTTGGTGCACTCTGCTGTGGGATCTGGATCTTGCAGTGATAGGATAGTCTTTACGATTATTGCCGTCCTTCCGAGTCGCGTTAACCGCCGGGAATGCGGCGGCGACCAGGCCTTCCCTCCAAGCGTCGTCATTTTTCTGTCTCATTTTCCATCAGTTGATGGCTCATGAGAATGAGAATCTGGGACCTACGTCTACTCAGGCGCACACACTGAGTGACTGAGGCAGTCTCTGTGCACAACACACTGTTGCATCTTCAATCACGTCGTATGACGTTTCACTTGTACATAGCGCAGGCGTGAAAAAGGTGTTCAGCATGCACGCATACAGTAGATCAGAACAAAGCGGATAGTAAACGGAGGGTGCAGACCGTGCCCGTTGACATGTCAGCCTACTGCCTCGAGTACACCGTGGTGCTTGAGCTGTACAGTCGGTGTATGACTTCTAGCGGAGCGCCTTACCGGGTAAGTGATAGGCTTATGGTCCATATTGTGGGGGCTCGGTCTCGTCACCTATTCACTGGCACATACGCGTGGTCGTGTCTGTACATAAATCACTCACCTTGCTCGCTTTCCTATTTGAACGGGATACTATGTCATGATCACAGGTGATTTATATAGACGATGGTGTGATGTGATCGGAAATACTATGAATACATGGGTAGGATACAAGCATTAGCAGTCCGTACTCATCCTCTGCAAGCTATCGAAGGTACACGTTACAATAGAGAACCTAAAGATGGTAAACAGTTCATTGAAAGCAAACAACGTGACAGGGTGAGAATGTACTCACGAAGGTCGCGATGATCAAGTGAAGTGCTATTGCGAGACCAGCATCCAGCCGGTCACCCATCCGGGTACAAAGTATACTGGGGATGGAGGATACCGATTGTATGGAGGCGGAGGGGTGGCTACTGTCCTAGCGGCAGTCTTGGGAGAAGACAGCGGCGCAGACACGGATCGGGGAGGTGGGGGAGAAGCGGGACCGGGCTGGTTTTGACCAGTAACGAAGCGGTAGGAAACACCCTGAAAGACGCCCTGCATGTGGTAAAAATCGGGATGAGTTGTACATATCAATTATGTATGCGTGGTTGAGGCTTACTAGCACAAAATCCCAGAACTCTTCTGCAACCTGGAGATAGCGAGAAGAATCATAGAAGTTCGCTGTAGTCTCGAGGCTACAATGGGCTATGAGCGCAGAACGGGAGGTATCCGGCGGACATACCGAGAATACAGAGCATGGTAGGTTTCTTGGTCGACGGCATTCATTTCGTCACGCAGAGTTACGAGAATATTGTGTGCTTGACTTGTCAAGTACTGAGCACGGCGATACTTCCGCTCGCTGGAGTGGAAAAGTCCAGACGGGGAGTCTTCACTCTCGACGGCGTCGATAATGGAATGTATAGTTTGCAGTTGCAAAGCGGTGAGCATGATGATGGGACTGTGAGAGGATTAGGAGACATGCACGGCACATACCTCTGTCTTTTTATCCTTGAGGGGCGTTGATCCTCTTCGAGGGACTGCCCGACATGTAGCTCGAAGAGGAAGGAGGGGAGAGGGGCGCTGCGCTGAAAATGGAAGGGAAGCTCGAGAGTACGTAAACGTACGCAGACAGAGGGCGGTACTTACCCGTACAGAATCGCCAGCTCGCACAAAACGGGAAGGACGGGGTATGTGTGGACGATAGTCGACAGCCAGCTCAAGTACTCTTACACGTGTCATCGCGGACGCGAGGGCGGAGGTGACTCACGTCAGGTCCACCGCCGTAAGCTGGCTAACCTGCCCTCTACAGAATGTACGCACGTCTGTCTCCCTGACTGACAGGTCCTCAATAGGAAGGGCATCGCCACTAGGACGCAATGCAGTGCGGGGCAACACGTCCCTTGGAGGTCGATAGACTTCGCGAACTGGGTATATGATGTTGGGCAAGTAATGTACCATTGAGAGCATGCGTACATGAAGAATGCTGCCAGTGTAAGGAGGAAGAGGATATACGTAAGTTATGTGGATAAGTGGCTGTGTCTAGGTTAGCAACGCTAGGCGCCACCCAGCCACCGACGTGTTTGATTTGTCAGCGACGCGGTTGTGGCGTTCCGGATGGAGAAATTAAGACGAAGGGGCTCGAAGGGGGCGTCCATATTGGATGGCTAATATGCACATCGGCACCGTAAGACACTTCATTTGTAATGATAGCGCCATTTCCACCACACTGAACACCTTTTTATCATCATATCACGGCCAGTTCCACAGTGTTCAACAATCGCCCCTTCGAGATTTCCTTGTGTTAATATAACGAGTCATCTATCACAATTCTACGTTTCAAGTCTCTATGGCCGGTGAGCGTGGCTTAGAAAAACTGTTGGGCATTTCCAATCGTCCGGACGTGCTAGGCTCGAGGTTATATCAGCGCGACCCTAGTACCATATCATTGTCAGGGTTTTACACGTCCGGTAAACAGATAATTTTAGAGCTCACAGGGATGATGATACCACGGGAAGACGTGCGGATGGACCGGAGTCCACCCAGCTACTAGACCGGAACGTACGCGACCGCCGTGTGTCTCGGACGGTACCATGGTGGGGGATTGCCAGTGGCTGTCTGTCCATGTGGGTCAGGCGTAGACACGGCGGGAAATGGTTGTTGCCGCTGTTGCGGCATTGCCGACGGTAGTGGGACAGGAGCAGGAGCAGACTGAGGGGGCGGTGCGACAGGAGGCTCTGCGGGACGCAGTGGTCTGACAGCGTCAGCGCTACGACGGTTGGCGATGCCGTGGTAGGTTTGCTGAATCGCGACACAATCAGGAACATATGGCGGGTTCGTCATTCAACGGATACATACTACGGCAAACTTCCAGAATCTTTCTGCGGCGTCCAGGTAGCATGCTGATCCACCCGCCTTGCTGTTTTCGACGCTGTCATGATGTGAAGGCAGTTAGAAGCTTGGATCTCGGTCAGCTGGAGTCGAGGAGTTGCGACTCACTGTTGATTCCATGCAGCGCAGCTTTGACTCTCCTCTGCGGTCATGTCGTCCTTGAGCATGTCTACAATGATCCTCGCTTCTGCACGTAAGTAATTGCCTTGCGCCATGGGAACGGAGGCGATAATTCCGTCGATGGTATTGAAACGGAGAGTGTTGCCAGTGGACATTGCGGTGGATTGAGGGGAGGCGTGAAGTCATCGCAGACGGATGCTCTTATTTATAAGCTTGTTTGAACCAAGAAATACGCACCATATGTGGACACGACACATTGTGCGATCGATGGTCTGCGCAAATGGAAGCCACATTCCGCGCGCCGAATCCTATTACGGCACCGCAGATTCGCGAGACGGTGGCATTTGCGTCACTTGTGTATGTAATTGGCTTCGAAAGGGCGAACAGGATACGTCGTGCCTGGCAATTTAACACAATTGCCCTACTCGGACTTGCAAGGGGGCTGGAGCGCTGATGGTCGGGGTCGTTCCGCTCGATGGCTTCACTCTATTCGTTCTTCGGAGCGCCAGGCGGGATTGTAATGCAGTGCGGACAAGGACGTCCTGGGGACGAGCACTGCGAACCCGCGTGCAAAGCATCTTCCAGTGTCTTGAGTCTAATTTGCCGCCCTAAGGCGAGCTGCTCGCACGGCGAAATGCGAGAATCGCTGCGGTGTCAATGCTTCGGTTTGTGCGCTACCGCTAGATGTCTGGAACAGCCCCTATGGCGCAGTACAGCGTCAGACACTATTGACAGCATATTCAGAACCGATGCTGGACGCACGTTGCCTGCTCTCGGGGCCATCACTGAGTGTCTTATCCCCATGATACAGTTCAGGAGAGACTACGAGTGGTCCCAATTGGTAGTCCCTTTCTGCCTCATCGATGACATCAGCATCAGGCATTGCATGAATCACTGAAGAAACCGTCAAGACGCACGGATGTATTCAGCAATGCCGAGAGGGTACACATCATTGACCTTGCAGAACCGTAGTCATGGTGTCTGTTGGATGGTGGATCTGCTTCATCGCAACAAATAAATACGCTGGGTTAGTTTGATGATTTGAGGCGAAACAGACGACAGGTACATATCGACGGGGTAGTTTCGCCATATTTTCCGGGGTCAAAATACGACAAACAGTCTCATAAAATGGCAGGGAAATCAGCTGTGGATTGTCGTGAGCGAGCCTTCGTGATGAGATAGGCATAATCCAATGCAACATACCTTACGATGTCGTGCCATCGGAAGAGGCACATTCAACTGGCCGCGTCAATATCAAGGCCTTCTCATCACATCGGAAAAGTTCTGCTTTACGGCGTGACTAACGTTTGCGCCCTCAACAAGCTAATCTTACTAACACGAGGGCAACGTCACAGAGAATGGGTGGTTATTGGCCTCTTGCTGGATACGGCCGTTGCGAGCCATACGACTGGGCTTGAAGCTTGAAGCTGTAAGTTGAGTCTGTGTCAGTGGGTGCAGCCAGTGCAGAGACGCTCTGCACAGCCCTAGAGCATACTAGTCAGGACTAGTTAGATACAAACAAGCATGTCAACGATTCCAACCGTCTGCGTCCGAGTCAGACTGAGGCCGGGATGAGGAGCTGTGAAAGAGGCTCGATGTTTGATCGTATCGTACTCCTCTAGACCTCCTCCGGCCCGCGGCGACTTCCCGGCATCCAATTTGGCATAAGTCTGTGCGTACTGACTACATACCATTTGAATATTGCTTCAATGTAACTGCTCGTCCTCGGATTTTCAAAAGACTTCAAAGCTGTAGCATGACGAGGTCTCTAGGATTTGTAAGTACTGTTTACAGTCTTTCGGCGATGTCATCCTATTGGCTCACCTCGAATGTGCCCATCAGCATCCTCCATGCGCCATTGTGACTGCGGCATCGCTATGTGCGCTACTAGTCTGAATCCGTTCAGCGCATACCGCTTCTCATCTTCTCATCTTCTGTTTTCCTTGTTGTTATCTGTCGGAGTTGACAGTTGAGTAAGCGTCATCAGGCGTGATCACGGTCAAAAAGCCCAAGACCGCATCCGAGTCGCAGGAGGTCGCCGTTACATACACGCAGGGTGTTCCAAATGTCAAGACTTGATGGTCATGACCTCAAGTCACCGCCTACACACCATCCATGACGAGCGAGAGATGTCGCAGCCGCCACGAAGAATCCCTAGCTATAGTTGGTCGTAGTATGGCTCTCGGTCCCGGGAACTTCCGCCATCCAAGGGCTTCTGCAGCAGGTGCGCCTCGATGGCGCCCGGATCCTCGGTGTTATAAGCTTCCTATGATAGAGGCTTCTTGAGCCTGTGCTCCGTGTTCATCGCCCTCCGGGGACGCCGCGATCGCAACTCGTTTAAATACCCCGCCGAATCCATTTGGCTTCCAGTCGTCTCTACGCCTGACATCCATCTCTCAGCTTCACAGACACTCTGACACGATGGTCCACGTCAAAGTCGCCACCGTTTTCTTCATAGCTCTCTGTGCAGCGATTCCGGCGCTCGCAGCCCCGATCGTCGTCCGGCCCACCGATGCTGGGTTCCTCGCACCGCAGCGTCGTGCAGCCCATCCAACGGACGCTGAATTTCTCGCTCCCCACAATCAGCGAGCACCGCGACCGACTGATGCACAATTCCTTGGTACCACAGAACGTGCGTCGACATAGCCTCCTCGTTGAACTTCCTTGACGTTGAGTCTGGGACTCCGATAGCACCCAGCCGCCGCGCAAAGCCCACCGATGCTCAATTCCTTAGGCCTGCGAGTGATGTGACCGCGCGCTTTGATGGTGGAAGGTTCTGTGCAGCCCTTGTAACCGGTAAAGGTGTGTAAGTGCATAGCCTGCCCCCTCGAGTATGCCCAGGCTAACAGATCTGTCATTCAACAAGTCAGCTCGTCATGCCATTCATCGTGCATCTTCGCAGAGGCTTCATCGCCGTTTGCTCCGGCATACGAAGAATCATCTCCAACTTCACGCTTCGTGCGTTACAGAGTAGCAAGGCCTTTTGGTGTCAGGAAGCGCACCTGTATTTCACATTCGCTGTATTGTCACCTTCCTTCCTCTGCTGGACCTGCCATTCCACATTCGCTGTATCTTCACCTTCCTTGTTCTGCCTGGACCCGCCATCGATCCTCATATATTATCGCTTTACTCCACTTCGCTCGTAAGGTGTTATACTGCGAACGCCGGAGGTTCCTAAGATCCGTGATCATCATGTTGGCCACTCCCAACTGACGCTGATTGACAGTGGGCGCGGATGCTGTATACCGCCCCGGGCTGGGTGGTGAGTGACTGTGCCACGCAACTCCGAGTTACGTACTGCTGGATTGTGAGTGCATGTGAGTGTTGAGTACTTCACTGGCACCGACGCCAAACGCGCATATGGGTCCGAGATAATCATACTGCACATGCGGACTCTCCACTGCCCAGTGCTTCGCCGGCCGCAGGGATCGGGCAAGCACGGTCGTGGTCCTTCGGTACCGACTGGGCGACTTGCTACTACAGGAAGATGATACCGAGGATCCAATGCCATGAGGAGTCGTGAATGACGGAGGTACATACCGCCTAGTTCCGTGGCAGACAAACATATCTGAGTCATGGCCGGGCGTTGTGCTATCGCTCGTATGTCCGGTGGTTGCGACTCTTCCGATTTGCTGATGTTGCGGGCATTCTCGGCATGTTGCTGACGCGGACGGTTGGCAGTGCGCGTAGTCAAAAGAATTGAGTGAGCGCGTTCAAGTTCTTTGAAACTCGTGCAGAATCACCTATAGCATTGCACCGAGAGAGGCAAGCTATGAGGGCCAGCTGTATCACCTCGATTGTCGACTTATCCCGTGCCGTTACATAACCTGTCGGTCCTGCAGTGAGGACGGAATCCTACGCACGGCCGCCAATCTAGGACGACCGTGAGTGTGAATTAAGAAATCGGCTTTCGCGGCACCCCGGGCATAGGCGCCACTGCCTTGAAGGCTGTCGACTTCACTCCAGCATACAATGTGCGCACGATGTCAAATAAGATAAGTATGCTTGTCAAGTCCCTGAAAGAGTACCACGTACCCATATTTCTTCGGTCCCCACAATAACGCTCACGGAAGACGTCCCTGGATATGTCACGCGTTCAAATCAGCATGGAGACATGACTTTACAGCAGGACAACTCTTACCTACAATCCTCATCAAAGAGTACGCGCATGTTCGCAATTTATTGGATTTGAGATCGTTGGCCTACAGCTGATAGTTCAACGTGGCGGGCGGACGATCCGGATGCTGGCAACAGACAGCGAATTGAACCGCACTGCGAAGCTGCCGCGTCCCTGGTAGCTGTCCCGGGAGTGGAGTGTGCCTTGTGTCGCCAGGAATCATCATCGCGCCCCTGTGCGTGGAAAGACGGCACTGGCAGTCGTCCAACGTCGACAAGTCGAATGCCAAACACAGTCAAAATGTACCCTTGCAATCCGCGGCCTGACGGCAGTCATCTAGTAACCAGCGTCTTAGCGAGACAGGCGTGGAACGACAGCTCAGTCAACGAGGCAGACTCACAACCAGCGCTGGGAGGGCGACACTGCATAAAAGCCAGCTTCGCCTTTCGTTTTCGACCATCCGCAAGTCCGCCTACCAAGCAACATCTCGACAATGAAGTGCTTCTCGACGATCGCTATCGTGCTCGGTATCTTCACGGGCCTTGCGCTCCCTACGCCTACGCCTGCCGTCCTCAGGGACTTACGTGCTAGTACGTCGTCGACAATATTGATCATGTACGGAGACGACAAGACTTACTGACGCTGGTTCGACTCTACAGTCGAAGTGCGCTGCTTGGCCGGTGAGCCTTGCTGCGGACCCGGCTCCTACTGCCCGACGCCGGCGTAGCATGTTGCAGAGAACTTCAGTTGCTCCTCATCCTCGGTGAGTACCTGGTGGACTGAAGGTCGCATCATTCAATCAATCGCTGTACATTGTTCTAGAAAGTGGTTCACTTACATGAGACTCGTGGAGTGTGTCTGAGCGGGAGGTTGCGCTGTACGGCGTGTATGTATGATTGCCGGTGGAAACAGAGGTTGTCTCTGCTGCGTTAATGGATTTATATCAGTGTCCTTGAGGCGTTGCGAGCTACGCACCTGCCTAACCTCTTCGTAAACCTCTTCATGCCAGCATTTCTATCGAGGCGTTCGAAGCGGGTGGAACACATGCATGCAGCATTCGCTAATAGAAGCAACGCCTTTCGGAGTAGTCGTACTTTGCGCTGTGCCTTCCCCGAATCTGAGCCTGCGCCCCGACAGAAGGATGTTAGTACTTGCTGATCAATGCTGCCATCACAAGTGTACAACAGTGATACCTCCAGATATTTCTGATTGACTTGCCCCAGTGCTTGCGTGGCCCGCAGATCGTTCGTGAAAGAACATGAGATATTGTGGATGTACACATACACGAACACACACTCAGACAGTTTGGAACTGATACATGAACACACCTGCACACGCTCAGCTCAGCATCCACATCTGACGAGCCGAAAGAAGACCACTTACCCCACGTCCCATTCCTATCCGCCCACACATCAACATCGCACGCAGGCGAATGGCAGCACACGACACCTCATACGTATACAGTGAGCCCCACTTGCACGAGAACTCCGGCAGGCGCACTTCCTCCCCGCCGCTTCCGTGGAGCGTCCCAACGACGGATCGACACGGAGGGCGAGTCGACCATGAGAGTGTGAGGGGGTCAATCTGGTGAGAGACGTCCACAGCGCAGAGGTCGAGGCTGACTGGTCTGGCTTGTCGCTATCCGAGCGAGAAGGCAAGCGGAGAGCGAGAGCGCACCGCTCCATTCCGTAGTCCATCACTCTGAACTGGAGGATGGTGTGCATCTACCAGTGCGAGCTCGATCAGTACGCTCGTTAGCACAGCAGAGTCAGTACGCGTGAACGCACCGTAGCAGAAACCCTTAGGTGTCGGTTTAGAGGCGTCACCGTCCCGTATGCACTCAGCCATCGATGTTCGTCTAGCGGATACACCTTCACCGGTTCTTCGCTATTCACGAGCGCGGCGACCCTGGGTACATTCTCGATAGGGTCGTGCTTCGACGAATTGGTTTCACCCGAGCGGTAGAGATCGTCCAGTCCACGGTAGGGGCCCGGAACTCGAGCTCAGTCTCTGATGCTCGGATGTCGTTGACGACGGAGCGGAAGACGAAGAGGTAGGCGAGGAGATCAACAAGGACGAAGAGAGTTAGAGCTGCGGATATCCATTGCGAGAGCGTTGGCTTCGGTCGAGTCGTTGGATGATGCTGCACTGCGTGGTCGAACAATCGTCGTGAGCACTTCTTTGGACACCAATGAATCCGGGTTGGGACACACCGTGCTTCAGCTCCTCCTGTGAGTCCCTCTCGCCCTCATTCAACAGGGCTATTGATTCCTCGGTATGGCCAGCCATTCAGTCAGGCTGTCGCATTCGGCTGAGCAGCATTTGGCTGCCTGAAATTGAGAAGCGAGGGGAGCGGCGTAGTATACTATCCAAAGTCGCGCCCAGCAAGATGGCAGTGTCACTGGCGGTGGGCTAGAAGTCGCCCATGTTGCACGCGGCGAAGATCCAGTATCAAAGAAGTGTCCCAGGAGCGATGAGACCTCGAATATATCTTGCCATGGCCAGTCAAAATACTAGGAGAACCGTCGTTGAGTATAGAAACGAGTCTATCGAGCAACGACTGAGTTGACTGAGTACTTGAGGCTGCCGAGTGTGACGTGTGTCGGCAGCCCACGGGCGCTTGAGCGCCCTCAACTTCGCGACTCGGACATAACTGAAGAATCTTTCTTATTCGACTATCTTACAGACTACAGTTTCTCATACTGCCTCTCGTCTCTGAGCTATGCACGCTTGGTGTCTAGAGCGAACACATACAGCGGCCAGTCCCCCCACGGCGACGGCATGGTCCTCTCGCCTTTCTGCTCAAATCCATACGACTTGTACACCAAGGCCTACGTCAACCTGAAGTGAGTACGCAGACAAAACGTCCGTCCTTCACTCACATTGTAGTCCTGCGTCGTGCTGCAGGCCAGTGTCTGTCCCTTTTCTGTCGCCTGGGTCCTGCCAGTCAATCGCTAGGAAAAGTTGAGGTTGGTCGCCCTACCTTCTCTTTCACGACTTCAATCAGTTGCCGTCCAATCCCTGCTTCTGCCTCTCTGGGCGGACGAAGAGGTTGTGGAGCCACCATGCGTCAGTCTTGCCCTGTCCGAAAATACGCTAGTCAGTAGCGGCCCTGCGCTGATGCCCCGATAGAAGTCGGCCGACCTTTGCACTGCCCATGCATTCGTTCACAAATACGGGGAACTCTTTCAAGTACTGTGAGGCACATTTGGTGAGCGTCTCGCAGCCGAGGTGGGCGCACGTACGACGGCCTTGTAATACTGCTTCCCCGCGTCCGGGAGACGAGCCATGAATTCATTCAAGCCTAGCTCACGCTGTTCTGGACTGCATGGAGTCAGTCGTGTCCTCGTTCGCCCACGAAGAAACTGATCGCATACGTGTCGAACAGGTCGCGCCTGGCGACATCCACAGCGCGTACCCGACGAGTTCATCGTTCTCGTCGAGTGCGGGGTAGTACTCTCCCGCAGCGAGCACCGCTGCCTTAATCATCGATCGGACCATGGGAGCCAAGAGGCTCTTCTCGCCGCCTACGAGGCTGATGCACGCATTATCTGCAGTGTGTCGGTGTGGATGCCTCTGTGGATACGAGGACCCTTCACAGACCGTTTTGCATAAGCGATACGAACAGCTCGACCGAATCCTCGATGAGCTTGTCTGTAAGTAATTCGTTCGGCTTTGTTTCATGTTTGGCAATCCGTGTACCGACCTGAGGGGTTTGGTACCCGTTGGATCTTCAATCCGGACATCTTGCGATGACCTGTCACTAGTCAGTGGAGCAAGTCGTGTAGACCGGCTGCGTGCATTGCATGATTGAGTTCTCTTGTATCTGCGTGCGCTCGGTGCAGCCGGGTTTCCGAAGCCTGAAGCTGTGCCGCATCAGAAGCTTCCTGTCAGAACGCCCGAATACTGCAAGTACATGTGGCTGCGTCGCCTGCGCGTCTGGCTAGGGCATCTTCCGCATGCACTGCTCTCCTAGGCCTCTGATCTCAGAACCGCGCGTGCGTACTCATAGACTTCCGGATCACCCAGGTACGACACAGAATTTTCCCTACATTCCCGTTACCATTGAAGCTTGCGGCTTGAAGGCCAAATCGCCGATGAGATTATGTTCCGCCACGTCGGGGGCACCTCTCAAGTAGCGCTGCTCGTGGTCTTCCTAGTGGCGTGTTTTACTGCAATGTGACCTGGTTGACACCGCAAAAGGGTGAAGGCTGGCCGAGCGGGTCGGATGCGCGCACAGAAACGCTTCAGTCTATCCCAGATCGACGAAGACGCGTACAGTACGTGGACTCCAATCGATCTCCTTCAACTCTAACACACCGCCTCGTCAGCTTGGATCGGAGACGACTTCCCCAAGACGTTTCCAGTCGACGCTGGCCCCGTGCAGACAACCTTCGAGGAGAGCGTCCGCTACTCGCTCTCCGCACCCGAGGCCGAGGACGAGTGGCTCTGGACGGCACCGCTCGTGGGCGATAACCACGTCCGGCTCGGACCGGAGAAGCGCATGTTCGCTGTGCCCATGTTCCACGAACTCCATTGTCTGCGCAACATACGCTCTGCGATGGTCGACGGCCTCGACAGCATGGGCCCCGTCGGGCAGGGGCACATACACCATTGCTTCAACTATCTGAGGCAATGGACATTATGCGAGGCGGACGTGTCGCTCGAGCCTGGGGACTTCGAGGAGAAGGCGTTTATACGGGAGAGGGAGGGCGCGACGAGGGTGTGTTGAATTGGGAGCCAGTGTATAGCGCGGTGGAGAAGAACTGGGACGAGTGGGTACAGTTTCGGGACGCGCATGGGCTGACGCCGCAGGTACGATGAACAGCGAGGCGTCGGATCATCGCAAGCAATGTATCTTTGCAATTCCGTTCCACTCGTATGTGTTCCAGGAAGATCAACCGTGTTCCCACAGTTGAACGCGACTGCGACATCGTCGCGAAATGCGCAGGGCGTCTCTACTTCCATCCTCTGCTCAAGCGCTGATGTTTCATCCAGTCTGGGATATGCTCAGATTTCAAAGCTTCATCCATGCATCCTCGATCGGACAGTCCGGACGGTTCGCGGACTGCCAGTGGGGCTGTCCGCAAAGGCGCCTGCGGGATGTGCACACGCGCCAAAGGCAGTCCCAGGGCAATCCACGGCCTGCTACTGAACTCTATCGAGGCTCAGGCTGGCGCGCGGTCTCAACATATGTTTGGACCAAGCAATCCACAATGTCGTCGATGTCGATACTACATCGACATATGTGATCCTTATACGCACTCGTCGTGGTCAGCTATGGTGGGAACTTCGAGCGACATCCGTGCGAACAGGCATGGGTGGATTACAGACGCGGCGTACTTCGCTGAGACACACAGTTAGAACGTTTGTTCGTTGATAGCGTTCGGTCAAATGGGGCAGTGGACTCCAAAAGGTACGTCGCCCTTCAACTATTGAGCACTCCTCATGTCACTCACAGCCGCAAAGGCTAACCTACCAGTATCACCTATATGGCAAATCGCGTACAAAATCCGTCTCGGTCCCAGTCCATCCAGTGGGCGGCAGTCACGGTCATGCATCGGTCTGTGGTCTGAAGAACCTTCGAATGGATGACGGGGCCGCACTGACGTTGGCACAGCTGTGCTTCGTCGGCCAACCTGGACGTGAAGCGCGCGGTCCCGCCTGCCCCTTTCGGCGGAGCCGTATGGTACGTCGTTGAGGTAGACTATATAGCTAAGACGTGGTCAGCATGCTTCCGCTAATACTTCTCACCACGAACCAATCCTCTGGGTTACGCTGCGTCCTCAACCATAGTCGAGACCTAACGTGCTTTACGAGTGGATATGGCGGGCTCGAATAGTCAACTTCTTGCTGCTCAATTTGATGCGATCGCCAGTATCATCGCCGGCGTCGAGGGGAAGCACCGCCCGCTGGCCCAGGTCGCATCCGCAGAGCAGAAGCGTGCCTGTGCGCACGAACTGTACAAGAGGGCCGTCGCCATATTCGATATGCTGAAGTGGGACACCGCCGCTAATGACAAAGCAAGGTGGAAGGCGTTGAGAGACCGGTGAGTAACGAACTCGACGGTATTCTCACTTGGCAATGCTGACTTGGGCCGACCGGGATAGTGCTGAGCTGATGAAGGACGAGAGCATGACGAAGTACCTCAACGCTGCAGATGCCCTATGGCGGTTCACTGTAGTGCGCGACCTCCGGTTCCACATATCTCCATCTGGGCTGACCTTGTCCTGTCCAGCCAATCGCACGAGACGCTTTTCATCGCCATAGCCTCTATCTCAACCCAAAGATGAAGGCGCAAGCGAACGCTCGCCCTGCTTCCGACCGACTTTCTGCGCCCGCTTACAATACTGCGCCGCGACTCAATGCCTGCAGGTGGCAGGAGTGTGCATGTGAAACCTTGGATATCGGGCCACAGCCGCTGTGGTACTATTCCCCGCGTCCGCCCGACAAATGCCTGTTGCCTACGCACCGGCGTGGGTGCCATCTTGGATTCCATCGCCCATTGGGCCGTCGCCATCTGTATCCTATCCCGATTATGCAGTACTGTGAGTTCCGCCTCGACCTGGACACTCTGTCTCACCGTGACTGATTCCGCTGCTGTGCCAGATTGAGTTGTTTGCCTCCCATGGTCTGCAGTTTCATCCTTGCGGCGAAGATCTCAGCAATCATGATGCAGACGTCGCTCATCAGTGGTTTGATGGGCGACTCTCGGTGGATGTATGTCGCTGCAAGGCCACTATGGCTGGCTCTTGTGTCGTCTCCTCCGAGTGGAGTATAGACTACGCCTTGCTTGTGCATGCAATGTAGCTGGCATACCTTCACCAGGTCGTGTCTTACAGGCGCCCACACTTCCGTTCAATATCGTGCGCGTCAACTAGTCTCGTTTTCTCGTCAGGCACGCACTTTGACAAACGGGCCTCGTTGCGTCGCAGACCTGGCTCCTTGCTGACGCCTCTGAACGAGCGATACGGAAGGATTGCTGTATTTCTCGGGCGTGCCATTTGAAACAACGTACGTGACCTTTCCTCATCCTGTACGTTTCTACTCACGATCATGCCTTGCTCTTCCCACTACTAGACACTATCAGTGCATGTAGAACTTGAAACAATGCGTCTTGGACAATGCCCGAGATCTAGAACCCTGAAGGCGATGCATTGGGTAGGAAGGAGAGCCTTTGTATGGTTGGTCCGCTATGCCCGAAACTCTTGCTCATTGATCAAGGGAGAGTGTTCTGGATACACGCAGCGTATAGTAGGGCTGAGGGTAGCACTGCATTTGAGTCAGGGCGATATAACATCGGTGCGTACAAGTACTATTCTTAACTACACAGGCTACATCTGCTCAATCTCCGGGAGACATGAGTGCTTCGAGTGCAAAAAGAATTCGACGCGTTCCTACAAACGGTGTACGCGGTTACTGCTATCTGTCCTCTGTCTCCAACGTTGACTCTGTCTTGTTTGAACTTATAGGGGCGCTTGACATCGACTTCTCTGTCGCAGCTTTCAGTGGGTCTCATGCAATTCCAACCCTAATCCTGGACCTCACGAAGTGCATTTGACTTGTACGACCGCTGTCTGGCAATAGGATATGAGGTCAAATTTATATGGTGCCGTCGATTTGGCTTGGTTTCTGCACTTTATGTCCTCAAGTGACCACAATCATGGTGTTTGGCCTCCTATGTTTTCAGAACGCTGTTGACCTGGATTGCAATGTGAGTGGTTCTCATGAATCCCCCTACTCCGCTCCGAGTCTACGAGCTCACATGCCCTCGCTACACTAGGTCAGAAGTACCTCTGTCATCTAATCTACACCAGCGAAGTATACTTACTCATGAGGAACAGGCGTATGCCGTAGACATCTTTTACGCCACCATACAAGTTGTGTATGAATACTGATTGCGGGTAAGCATGCTGTTCTATACCAGTTGATACCTTCTGCGTGCTCAAACCATGTCATCAGTCATCTCTGCACTGCGAGTCTATACTATCAACGACCGGAACTGGCCGGCACCTGTTGCAGTCTCATGCTAATGCTTGTGCGAGCTGCCTACATAATAGTGAGTAGGTAACCAAGAATACGTGATCACAAACTCAAGTGTCTCCGTTCAACAGTATCAAGCTGTCACGACGGGAACTGTCCAGTGCCCTCTCCGTTCGGTTGTGCTATTGTGGAACTGTCCCACTGATCAAGAGTTCGTGACTCACTCAACTTCTGACGCTGACATGTACTGAACACTCCAAACAGTTCGGTCTGTAGTTTTTTCCGCTGCGGTTCTACCCTGCTCAACAAACGAACAGTATACGTCGTGGCACTGGCTACCTCCACGATGGCGGACCCATTGTCCTGATTGTCACCTGGCGTAGGACCTATCACACGATACGTTCGCTCGCCAGGAAAAGTCAAAACACCACTGAGTTCACTGATGCTGCGAGACGGTCGGTCCAAGCTGCATCTCCATGCATTGATCTGACAAAAGGCATGGGACAGGAACGATCTACTTCGGGTAATGTCTTTCGTGGTGCTACGAGATACGACACATGGACCCATCTGATTCTGTTAGGCTGCTACTCGTCATCAACATCCTCAATCTCGTCTTCTACATCCTCAAGGCTAGTCTACGACATGCTTGGTCACGATTGTCGAGGCTGATGCTCATCGCACTCTAAATAGGTCTTCGACGGTTTCAGTTACCTAGGAGTAGCGTGCGTCTGGTGTCTCGACGGTACATACTGCGTTCTCGTACTGACTACGCGATTTAAACAGAATATCGAGTATTATCCTGTCGTGGTTCTTCCTCAACCTGCGAGAAGCAAATCACGCGAGCTCTGGCATCTCTTCGACCTCGGGTTCACAGGCACAGGCGCGGTCATTGCCCGACTTGCACTTCTCACGGGGAATTGAGGAATTCGGGGGCTCCCTCTCATTCGCAGGGGATGGCGATGACGAAGTTGACGCCGATGCGCAAGACTATCTGGCGGACGAAGATACGGACATGGAGGATGGGATCGAGAGACAAGTGATTGCTGAAGAGCCCCGAGGTGATGCGAACTGGCTCAGTGCTACACCGTGACTCGACATCGTAGCCCGGAGACGACCAAGGGCCTTCGTTATGCACTTCTTCGACAGGATATGAAGGCTTCCAGTCACGGATAAACCCAAGCCTACAACTGGGATGTAAGTACAACGTGATAGTCTACGACTCCGTACGTCAATTGAAGTTGAACGTCTCGTGCGTTCGTTGAATCGAGATACGTATGCGTTCAAAATCAAGACTGTCTGCGGCAAGGTTATGAATCTGGTATGTATGTCATCTGCGGCGTTGATAGTTCTCTTTGCCCGTGTTGTAGATGATCAAGATATCGTCAATGATACCGTTCATCGTACATATCTCCTCAGTGCAGTATCTGCACGTAAGTAGGCTCCGAGATCCTGCAGTCCGTGTATGCATCTGTCTCATGATAACAACAATCCAGCACACTTTGCGCATCAATCAGTCACAACTTCACAAGAGACAATGACGACTGTACGTGCGCTGCCCTCAGGAGATGATTGTAGGTGCCGCGTTCTCCCGGCAAGCCTCGTTTTGAATCTGGTCTCATTCCCAATAGACTTTCACCGCACTACCGTAGTCACTGACACACGTCTGAGGAATACCCATGGGGCCACGATGAGCATAAGTCAAGGTTGACGTTGAACGTTAAACGTTGATGACAACGGTCACCGACTAACGGGAACTTGAAGATAGCCACAGACGCGTCATGAACGTGACCGTGGCAAAGTTCGCGTCCTCCTGCCTGCGGGCCGCGTCCAAGCTTCTCGTTTCTTGTTTCGTTTCTCGTACAGTGCCCTCTCCCCAGCCCCCCCAGGCGACTTTCGTAACACAACTCTACACTTCAGGCGAGTTAGATATTGCTTTTCTGAGCAATTGCTCTTCTCTTTACGCGAGCTCTCGGGATCTGCAGGGACTGCAAGGGCCGGGAGAGCAAAACAAGCCTCGGGTGTGCATACTAGGCTCATCGTCGATGTCAGGTGGTTCATAGTTCACGGACTGTGGGTATAAAGCGAGTAAACCGGTGATTCAGCCTAACACCTCTGCCATATAGCGCATATACTCACTAAAGTCGAACATTGCACCAGTACCAGTCCAAGACCGCACGGACGACTTGCCCACTCCCGATTACAGCTGGAGACTCAACCACGACTGGCCGATAGCCAAGTCACGCCTCCCTCCGACTAGATCTTGGGATCATTTCATGTGCGGTGAGCAAGCAAGAGTATGACGGTGTGCATATATGCGTCCATCCCACTACATATGATCTGATTTAGATGGGCGCAGCCCATCGGCAGGATGGAAACTAAGAACTCATTCAGTACCGTAGCCTATACAACTCCAGTCGTCCATGGACCTCGAACCATCAATGAGCTACCGTCCGATGTGCTAGGCATCATCCTCGGAGAAGTCTTTCACGCCATCCGGCAGCCATACATTGAACGGGAAGCAGCCGCTCCGGATCTCACTCAACTGTCCTCTTGGCCCACCTGGGCAGACAGAACTCAAGAATATCCCTTCGCAGAGTCCCTCGCTAGTGTCTGCACGCTCTGGCGCGATATCATGTCGAACGTTTCCTGCTTTTGGACTCCGCTTGTGATCTGGCTCGGCAGAGATCCTACGCCTCTCTCAACGATCTGTCAGTATCTCTCTTGGTCGCGGCACCAACTCCTCGAGATCTACGTCTTGCGCAGGTACGACCCGTTGGTGGAAGATCGCACAGAGATGGTTCAGATAACGACCATTCTCGAGGTGCTCCTACCACATGTGAAGCGGTGGAAGGTCCTGTGCATGAAACTCCTCCACTCAAGCTCGCTTCCTCGTCCACGCGTCGATCTTGTAGGCCACGCGGAGAACCTGGTCCGACTGAACCTCGACTTCATCATCGACGACGCCGTCGGGCACGCCGCGACGACCATATACGCAGTGGAAGGTTTCAGAACTCCCATGCTGCAGGAGCTCTGATGTACGGCCACCACTTCTTCGAGTCTTACATGCGGCACTTTCCCAGCTTAGGCATGATGCCGCCTAAACTCGCCCGCCTTGCCTTGGCGAACTACGCACAAAGCACGAGTTCTTCCTCTTGCTCGACCTCCTAAGATGCCTTGTGACTTGCCGTGATCTGCGCACGCTTTATCTCGAAAACCTCGAGCTCGACTTGTTGTATAACGGCCACTTTGCTGTCCCTGCTCTCCAACTCCCGCCCATACGGCCGTCCTGGGCGGCCAGCGTGGGCTTCGTCGATATGTCTGGCGACATCATCGCGGAGTACTACCGCCTTCTCCAGGAACCCTATGTGGATACCGTCGCGTACACGCGCTGCACGCACCCCAGCGTGCTCTACCCTGCGCTCACTCATCCCGTCGGCGAGTCAGACAACGTCCGCATCACCGGGATCGCGTGTCCGAGGACGCTCATGTACTACCTCAGCAACGTCGTCTACGGTAACTCCTTCTTTGACGCGACGATCGTGGACTGCGACGGTCTCTGCGCTGAGGTCTTCCAGGCGCTCGCGGAGCCTGTATTGGAAGGAGGCGACGAGTGGCTGTGCCCGAATCTCACAAGTCTCACCATCGTTGGGTGCACAAAATTCAGCAGCGGCGACTTGAGGGCGGCGCTCGAGGCACGGGAGAAGGTGCATGTGGCGACGGGATATCCAGAGGAGTACGACCCAGGGCATGTGGTCTCGTTTGTGTCGTGTCTACGCGTGCGCGATTGCTGCGAGCTCGCGCCGGAGGACAAGGAGTTTTTTGAGGATATGTATACTCTGGCGGATGTTCGGTGGGACGACTGTCCGGTGAGACATCGTTGGAGAGGATGGTATAACTTATCAACTGAGTCCTGAACCGGCGGCTTAGCACTTGTGCATTAGAGAGTGTTCTTTGAAGTCAAGGTTCGACGCTTGCGACCGTTGTAACAATCGATGCAACTGAGGAAGAGCGAACGAAGTGAATAGCCGCGCGCGTAGCAGTAAGTAGACGGAAAACGGCCCAGCCTGCGGGCAACGTTGCAACTTGTCCTTCCTAAGGCTACTATGTTCACGTCGTAAGTATTCACGGTCCCTCGCCGCAACCGGCCCATTGCTCAAAATCCGCTCCTATTACAACCTTCGCTCCGTCTAACGGTCAACTTGAAGGCAGTCGAGATTGCGACTATTAATATACCCGAATATAGCTCGGGCACAATTAGTTTGTCTGTACTTACCAGGTTTCGCGTACACAACAGTGGCCGGTCGACCCTTGCAATGCGCTGTGCCATGATGCCCTTTTGTCACCAAACATTCACACTCCCTGGACTATACGACCTGAAGTCTCAATCGCGAGTCGTACTACAATAGCCGATCGAAGATTGGCGCGGAGAGGAGGACGAGGAGCTGTGTGAGGGAGGACGAGGAGCTGTGTGTGAGATGTGAATTGTGGACCGTTGACTGGCTGCCTGACGAAGAATATTCTATCTGATTATGTAGTGAGTCGTTCTATGTCATCCTGTCAAATGGAGCAGTGGTCTCCGAACGGTACGTTGTCTATCGAGTATGCTATCAATCCGCCACAGCCTCACAAGCTAGCATATCAGTACCACCTACATGGCAGAACCCATCGACGCTCGATTCGTACCAGTTCAGGCGGTGGCTGCGCAGTCTGAGTCTCACAGGTATGTGCGGCCTGAAAGGTCTTCCAAGAAATGGGACGCACAGGCGTTCGTGTCGTCCAGGCGGCACAGCCGCAGTGGTGCACGGTCTTGCCGTTTCTGGTGACATCGTACAGGATGTAGCTCAGGTCTCCGACCGTTCCGGTCAGAACATATTCCAGTGCAGAGTATAAAAGTTATACTGCTGATAGCACGGCCACCGACAAACCTGCCTTTCATAGCCAGTCTTCCAGTTGCACCCGCCTTCTCCTAATAACCCTAGACCGGCATGACCATCCGAACGAAGATGGCCCGCAATATTAATGCTAAAGGCTCCGTTCGCTTCGAGACAGTCTATGACCTGATCCACACCGTCGAGCGGAACGAGTTCAACCGACTCACTCCGGTCGTCTCCACAAAGCGCAAACGACAGCGCGCAGAGGATCTATTCAGGGATGCGTGCGTCGTAGAGGATCTATTCAGGGATGCGTGCGTCGTACATGGGATGATAGAGGGGCGCATGACCATTGGGGAGAAGCAAATTTGGGAGGCGATGCGACTACGGTGAGTCTTATGAGGTAGAGGACGAAGACGTGCTAATTAATGGGTATTTAATGGGTACCTGGGGCGCCGCTAGGGCTGGTAATGCGCGGAACGATAGCTCAGCTCGCTACTTGGAAGCTGCTAGGAGCCTGTGGCGGGTTGCGGTTGTACGTGTATTTTCTTTCGGCTTGTCTCATCCATACTCACCGTATCCCTCTCATCAGAGCGCGGTAGACCACGTATATGACCGCCAACGTTTTGACCAGTACAATAATCATCTACCTCAGACCTGGCAGCAAGCTCGAGCTCCTTGGGCACCTCAGCTCCCTCGGGCGCCCCAGCCACCTCAAGTACCTCAGCCCCCTCGAGTACCTCAGCCCCCTCGAGTTCCTCTGGTCCCTCTGGTCCCTCGGGTCCCTCAGGTCCCTCGAGCTCAGCCCGCCCAGCGCGGTGCCCGGCCCAGACGGATGCCGAAGGGCTACACTGCACCGCAACAGGTGTGGTATCCGCCTGCGCCCTTACCGACGCACGACCCCAGGTTCGCGCCCGCGGCGTTCCCGCCGACGTGGATGCCACACTTCATGCCGGCTCCGACGCCGGTATGGTTCCCCGTCCCGCTCGCGCCCCGTTGTAAGTGTCGTTCCGAGACTCTGTTCGAGAGGTGTGCTGCTTTGGCTGACGGCGTGTTGCAGATTGACTCCGGATTAGATGTCGAACGGCCACGACAGCGCGCATCTACGAGGGCCTGAGATGATCGAGCGTCGACGCCCGCGCATGCTCAGTGGTGTACTGCACCCGTGACGGATGACTACGAATCTGTCTAGTATCGAGGTCGAGGTGGTCCATCTGATGGTCAGTGGCCTGGCGCGGTGGCTCAGTGGTTGTCTGGGATTGGAGGTGTGGTCTATCTATGATGTAGGTACAGTACAGTACTGAACGACTCAACAAAAGATGCCGTGACTACATGTTGTAATGCCTATGCTGTGTAGAAACAGGGGTCAGTGATAGTATACATGGGCTGGCTGATGCAATAGGTGCAATAGTCCATGCTCAAGTCGGCGGCGATACGCACACGGAACAAATTATAGAGATGAAGCTAGATCGCGAAGGTCGCTTCCGGCGCTTCCGTGATGCATGCTTGGACCGTCCGCTGTTCAACGTTCTAATGCAAAATTTTGCGGACCACTTGCAGGCCCATCCTACGGCACTTTGAAGCCTCGGCCTCAGCCTTCGTAATGTAACAAGATAGAGCATATTATGGCGCACCGTCTTGAGGGATGCACTGCAGACGGTCTGCACGTCTTCCAGCTCGATCGCATCCAGTTGTCTTGTGTCCTCTTCCCCTTCGTCGAGACCTTCGCCGTCGGCGACTTCGTCGTAGAAGCTATCTCCATTCGAGTCATGCTCCAACTTGTCATCGTCGCCGATGAAGGTCAGGGACCCCCTGAGTGCATCGACACCTCGCGAAAAGTAAGGGATTCCCAACGTTGTCAGCACGACGCTACTCAAAGCGGTGCCACTGGTGCCATCGTTCGCTGCTTGGCTTGCTTCGCGAAGGTTGAGGAAGAAGCGCGTGAGAATGATTGTCGAGAATCTGTGGGTGTACGGTGAGTACGACTGAGACGGTCCAGGGCCGAAGGATGCTTGACGAACGCAAGTCTAAGGTACTGGAAACCCTGGAACGTCTACGGATAATGTCAGTACGCTCTCTCGTAGAGAACGAGTTGCATCTGAAGACTTACCACTGATGCATAAATGACCATGTCGAGAACGGAGATGATGAGTAGCGACCTAGTGCAGTTGAGTGTGGAACGGCGGCATCGATCGACTCGAACGTACCCGAAGTATACGCTTCCTGATGTAATTAATAGTGTAGTTATGAGTCTGAAATATACATTCAGACAGAGCAGCTGAACTCACCATCACGCCACAGAAGAAAACTCAAGGTGGGTTGTTGATTCTCTCGGCGGGCGACCCGTATCGTGTGGTAGGTGCGGCGCCAAGTGGAAAAGAGACCGAGCGCATCTGCGACCGAGCTAGATATTACCGATGCTATAAAAACTACGTGAATGTCGTTAGCAACCGACGTTAGTATCTGAGTACATGATGCTAACATCTGACATTATTCAGCGATAGATCCTTTGTGGTGACTGTCATAGGGAGGACGTACGGGACGTTGATAGGAGATGTGCTCTCGACGGCACAGCCAAGAGGCGAAGGTAGAGGAACAGTCCTCTTCGTGGCAGTGCCGAACTGTCGAGCATTGTTGAAACTCGAACTACGAGCGGTGCACTGGGAAGTACTCACTATGTCAAAGGCGGTCCGTACAAGCGACAATACCAGGACGATAAAAGGTAATCGCCAATCTTGGCCATTGATAGCGTATACTCGCAGGGCAGTTATGACTGATCCGTTGCGCGTTTGAAATGCACGACAGACGTCGTTAGACATTGACACTCACCAGCAATTATTGAATCATAGACAGCTAAGGTAATTTGAGAAGCAATATTGGTGATGAAGGCTCTACTCCGCGAGTCAGTACGGGTAGAATGAACGTGATAGTAGGGTACCTCTAGCACGGGCATATGAGTCAGATTCCGTACAATTCAGAGCCAACCATGACTTACATGGCAATCCATATCAACCAGATCTTCGAAGCATAGCAGACCGAAGTTTGCAATGGTTGCTCCATGTAACGTCACGGCAAGTGCAGCGACCACGGAGAAACGGCAGCGCCATAGGTACTCTATCTCTTGACCAAGCACAATGCTATGATCGAACAGGTAGACAGCTACTTATCGCCTATCAGTCCTGTCAAAACCGATCGAAGACGTGTATGGAACTCACCGAATGAAGCTATGAGAACGTAGTTGTTTGCTGCCCTGCAAGGGTGTCACAAAACTGTCAATATACAGCAGAATTCATGCACAACTCACGCAAGTTGCACCGCCAACTGTAATTCTTCCACAGCCGCGGCGCGCATTTTGCATGGCTGGAGATCGTGAGCGAAGACTTGCTGGGAAGTTGGACGACTGGTATAAGTACGGCATGCGCCAAGAAGAACCGAAGCCGCTTACTCCGCAGTACCTGCGTCTTGGCTCGGGAGACGGGAGATGATCGAGAGGGCGATCCAGGGCGATCCGAAGGTCTCGGTTTTCTACTTATCCCGCGTGATCGGGAAACAGATGGGCCATGGCCCGTGCCACTGCAACCGTCGCCACCAACTCGCCACACACATTCTGGGAGAAGCGCGCAGACGTACAACGCCCATCGCGCATGCGGGGAGGAGCCAAAGCGATGAGAGCGATCGACCTAACATAGCCAACGAACCGCATCAAAACCGCATCATTTTGTTTTTGCGTCTACGACGCAGGTGAAACATGACTCCCCTCTACTAATCACAGCAGCCGTCGCCTTCAAGTTGTGCTTTGAAATGTCTACATCATGGCACGTAACACGTGTAACAGCGCCTGACCCAGCCGTTGGCAGAACGTCGACCCAAATGACGCTGTGCCGACAATTACGACGTGATAACACTAAATAACACAGTTCTCTATGATTCATGGAAAGATCCCGGACTCAGATAACCCGAGCATCTGCTTTCAGCCTGTGGGAGAACACGAATGACCTCCACTACCACTTGCCGAATACGCGTCGCCATCGTACGTCTGAGCTAGCGTTTGTCGTGTGGAATCGACACTCATCGGGAAGACTCTGGCTCTAACTGTGCACCAAATTGTGAGACTACATCGGCGCAACAGCAACGCGCGTTACAGGATCCCTCAAAGATGTACATAGAGCCGAGCTCGTCAGCTACATCAGTTACATGGCTCGAGTCCCGTCCCACAAAGATGACGATTCGAATTCGTCTCACAGGACTTGTGGGGGTTCCCAATCCCAGCGGCGCCCCGAAGCCATTTAGGTCAAGACTGGAGCTGGGAAGAAACGCCAATCCCAGGGGGGGTCCCGCGCTGTGTCCCTGCCGCGGCACGTCAGGAAAGCAGCATCAGACAAGCACCCGTGGCTCGGTCTCATCCCAGCCGATGGGAGTTGCATCCCGGAAGGGGAGTACGACGGCGGGTGCGATTCCGACCGGTCCACAGTAGCTCCGCGTCCTGCACTGCGCGCGGATTGTGCTCGGCTTGTTGCGCATTCCCCGCGGACACCACCTGTTGATCTCTCAACTCGCCGTCTCCATTGGCTTGGTGAAAGCCTACAACCGAGTCTATCGTCCGTTCTTGACTGCTATATATGTATGTATGTCAGTATCGCACGCGCTTGGGGTCGTGTCCCGAGTATCAGGGACTGACCTTTGTATGATACCGCCGTGAGTAAGTCCGAGTCATCAAATTTCAATGACGAAATGATATGTGCGTAATATAATGCGCCACGAAGCTCGCCTCGGCGATAACGACTTCCGGTCCCTCGTCAATACGATGATATTTGGTTGATATCACCGCTCTGTTGTCCCGCTTGCAAGTTGATGGGAGTACGATGCACAAATCCTGTCTCCCGGGGACACTCTGAGGATCGTAAGAGGATTGCGTATGACTGAGGCGCAAACTCATAGAGCGCAGCCTAGCCGGCCTGCAGCTGACATACGTAAGCACGGGCCGTGGAGGTGAAGATCAAGTGAATACTTACTAGCATCAGACTCTCATCAGCTCTCATCACGCACCATAGGGTGCCCGCTCGTGTTGTCTACCACGCGAAGGAACTAGGGGAGATGTTTACCAGAAACGGATCTCGCAGTGCGCGGGAGGGGTAGGCTTTCTGGATCCGGGACCAGCGAAGTCAGATACATCTTCAGGAATCCGGATATCGTTGTGGATGGGATAGCGCCCTCGCGCGATAGGCAACGCAACTCGAGAGGATACAAACAGTATATGGTTTCGAGCAGGCTGGCAGCGTGATGAACGGGTAAAGCAGATGTGCAGCCTGAGCCTGGGCGCCTGACATGTTCGTGTTCAGCGCGGCTATTGGCGGCCGGGACCGCCGGACTACGCGCTTACGACCCGGCGCACTTAGACTCCCAAGTCAAGCAGTCAATTCATAGTCGTTCTACAATCTACTGGTACATATGCGAGGTCTGTCTGCAATGGATCGTCGTCAGCCTGGTAGAACAGCAAATACTGCGACACCGGTATGAGCGACGTCTCGTTTGCATAATTACACACTGATGCTCGTGCCTTGACTACTAGTAGTCAGTAACTTACAGTCACGTCGAGAGCAACCAATCCGACTATTGCGCAGGTACCTTGAAGCACGCCCTCATAACTCAGCCAATTCAGAACGTTTCGTCAGAATCCCGTGAGTGGTCCGTCAGAGTTGGGCGGACATTAGAGAGGCACGTCGTCCCACTGGTAATGTCACTTGTCGTCTTCCGCCATGAACTACCGGTACTTATGCGACAGGTCACTTCCTGCTGCGCTCGTGCCAGGCAACGATGTGCGCATGCTGCGACAAGCCTCCCAAAAGGAGCGAGTTCGCATTCCCTTGTCATCGATGACACCCGTGATTCGTAACTTCCGTTGGCCGGTTGTTTGTGTTAATGTGAGGACGGGACTTCAAGCTAAGGCGTCGCCAGTGACGTTGACGTTGAACCTGGATCACTGAGTAAGCCTCTGACTGCCTTTGTCTCCCCATAACGACGACGACTTCTATGGTGATGTACTTAGTCTCACGTCCAGATATGTAACCTGATATGCAATGCACTCGCGTACTATTGCCGCATCTATTGCACAGTGAAGAATATGTACAGGGGGCCATAATTGAACATCGAAGAATACTGAGGGATGCGCGCGCGGAGAACGGTGTGTGCCAGAGCTTTGTAGGAGATTGCAATGCTGAGCGAAGCGAGTATCCGGATTCTGTCCAACTTATCAGGTACGACATTCCTGCAGAGCACAGTTATTGCAGTACGTACACATGCTGCCTTCCCAATCTACCTGTCTACCAACTGTGATTATCCTATCTACACAGCTCTAAGAGACGCGATACGGCGCCGAATCCTCGATGAATCGAGTACTTCATCTTGTAGGCGTACAGTAATGCTCCCGATCATTGACCCTGCCTAGAAGACCGTCCTCTCCTCACTCAAAGAGGTTTCTTTAGGTCTGCCTAGGGAGACTACCCTGCCGTTCTCAAGGCTGTCCAATCCGCTTGCTGTCAGAGCGAGACCGCGTTTTCAGCCTCCGCAGTGCCACAATCACGGCCGCTGAAGGTTACATCGTGCGTGTGCAGTCCGATGCTGATTCAACTAGATGCATCACCGCCTCAGGGGTGATACTACATACTACCTGTATTAGCCTTGTAGGGTTCTGCAGTCAAGGACGGCTCTCGTGGAGACCATGATGTGTCCAATCTAACTTATGATCTGCGGACCGTGCTGTTTTACACGAGAACGTCAGGAACGGTGTTGAGTTGAGCGCTCTGGTGGGCCTTGTCGCATTATGACAGTTGGAGCCTGAATAATCTTGCCTCACAGCACTGGCGACGCCGCCGTGCTGAAGGAAGCCATCATACCTAAATTCAATCGTCGTTGGTTGTCCTTCGCTGATGACAGCCTCCGGCATTTCAAATCTACTCAAAACAAACAAGGTTCGTCAAGGTTGCTCAAGCTATCAGCCGCCGTTCTGAGTGCTGTAGTAGCAGGGTCTGTCAAGTCTTGACCAAATTAGCTGACGTGACATATACATACGTTCTGACTCAAGCTAAGTAGACGAAGACAGATGTCAGCGCGGAGGTCTTGACACGTCGCAGTGACACACCGACCTAGGCATTAGTTATGTTGCTCAGTCAGCTGCTCCGAATGACTCTTCTCTAAGACCCAGCGCGCTCACAAGACTGGTATGTGTCCTAATCGGAAGTGAATAGACCGCCATCTTATTGTGACCTCATCACAACTCGCTCCCCCGCTTCTTTATGAGACCGACTCGCTATATCATAGGCAGGCAGAAATGTCTATGTACCACAGTCCACGCTAACAATGCACATAGTGTATACTGCTAAAACACGGATTTAAAGACTACACGGAATAGCTCCTCCCCATGTTGCCGTTTAACATGCTTGACTGTCCGTCCAACATCCTCGTCGACAGCCCATTGCATGGCTTCCGCTGCCGTAAAGCGTCACCAGCGGGTTTCTACATGTCTGCCTGCTCGCCGATCGCATTATGGTTCTACACCCCTGAGACTCGGTCACTGCTGGCCTCGTCATCGAGCCGGTTATCACATGCGTCATGTCGCACGGTAGCGTTGTCGCCGATGAAGGTAAGGGATCCTCCGAGCGAGTCGATACCTTGGGAGAAGTGCAAGGAGCCTATGTGTGCCGACAGGGCAAACGTCGAAACGGTCTCGCCTATCAACGCTTGGCTCGCCTCGCGCAGGTTGAGGAAGAAGCGCGAGAGAATAATCGTTGAGAATCTACGGATGTACTTATGGTGAGTATCCTTCAAATTCCCAAAGGATGATCGACGAACGCGAGCCTCAGGTATTGAAATCCCTGGAAGGACTGAACAAAGCAAAGTCAGCATGATTACTCATGAATATAAGAGATGGATCTGGAGTAATCACCACCGCTGTATAGATCGCCATGTCAAGAATTGCGATGATGAACAAAGACCTAGCAAATATGAAAGTCGATAACAGTGTCATGTACTGGTCTAAACGTACCCGAAGTATACCGTTCCTAGGGTGTTGGTCAGTCGCTGGAAGCTGCATCTAGACAAGGATATAACCGACCGTCTCGCCACAGAAGGAAACTCAAGGTAGGGCTCCCATTTTCCTGGCGGTTACTCCGTATTGTGTGGTAGGTACGACGCCAGGTGACAAGCAACACAATGGCATCCGCGACTGAGCTGCACACTACGGATGCGATGAAAACTATAGACATCGTTAGCATCTGTCATTATCTCAAGGGAGACATGATACGAACACCTGTCACCAATTAGCAACGCATTACATGTGGCAACTGCTATAAGTGAAGCACGTACGAGTCGTTTATAGAAGATGTGCTCTCGACTGCACAGCCGAGAGGCGCAGGCAGAGGGTCGGTCGTCTTCGTGGCAGTGCCGAACTATCAAAAATAGTTGAAACCCTTCGGATGACGACGACTCATACTTTGGGAAGTGCTCACTATGTCGTAGGCTGCCCGAATCAGCGACAATGCTAGGACAACAACTCCTAACCGACAATCTCGGCCGCTGATAGCATAGACTCGCAGGGCGGTGATGGCTGGTGCAATCAAGTTAGTATGACATTGGCACGGCGGACGATCGCTCGGTATAGTAAAAGAACTCACCCGCAATTGTTGCGTCAAAAACGGCCAAGGTGACTTGAGAAGCGATGGTCCCAAGAAAAGCTCTGCAGCGTAAGTTAGCGGAGCCTATGAACGGATAGATCACGTATGATCATGGGGGTAGTACCGCTAGTAGGAGAGCAGGTAAGTCATACTCTGCGCAGACAGGAACTGATCGCGACCTACATGACAACCAAGATCAACAAGATCTTCGTAGCATAGAAGAATAAAGTTGGCAATTGTTGCTGCATGTAGTAAGAGAACGAGTGCAGGGACAGCGGAGAAACGGTGGCGCCACATGTAGTCTATCTCTTGACTGAGAATCATGCCATGATCGAACATGTAGGCCGCTGATAATTGTGTTATATCAGAATGTACGTCTGGCATTAAGAAGTGGTTTCCGAGCTCACTGAATGATGCTACGAGAAGATAATTATTGGCTGACCTATGAGACCACCACGGAAACAGTCAACAACGCGGCCAAGAGACAGCGAATGAGATCATCTCACGCAAGTTGCACTGCCGACTGTATGTCTTGTATAGCTGTTGCCCGCATTGTGCATGGCTGAAGAGTGGGGAAAGGGTGCTTATGAGGGCCACAACCATCATATATAGGTGTCTGTGGCATGTGTTGCGGAAGGACAGAAGCCTATCACCCATGGGTCAGCTGCGAATCAGACTAGCGCGATGCCCGCGGGATACATCGTCCCATAACAGCGCGATGCGGCGCTTTATTTGTATTCGAGCTGTTGAGCCCCCGCTACTAAGTCAAATTTCTGTAACATCACCGTATTTATACTGTATGGCTGTTGCGACGAGTGTATTTCAGCTCCTGCTATGCATCTGAGCAGCAACGCCAGTCGGGAAACGGAATACGCTAGACACGTCCCACTTATCAGTCCATACTGTCGTTAAGAGGGCAGACGGTGACATGCCTTTACATGAGACGTCCGAAGCCCTTTCCGTTCCCCTTATGACATGATTCCCCGATCTAGATGATGGAATAATGCTGCTCAACATCGCGAACTGGAAGTCTCCCCAACTTCTATTGGGACCCCGTGATCAGTAGCGAAGCAGGGAACCACGATGCACCAGATGCTCCGGACGTTTGCCCCATCCTCTTGTCGAATGCTTGCAGAGGAGACGCACTGCATGTGTGGGGTCATCAAGAAAATGATATCGATGCAAGTAATACCTAACGTGGCCTACGAAATGTACAATTTAGTTTCACACTCGCTTACTAACAACGCAGGTGGGATGACTAACCTCTTCTATATCACATCTACAGTAGTCGCCGTATTGATGTCCACTCAAAACAGAGCACGATATTTCATGGTATCAGGGTGCCGCACGAAGGAACGACGGGCATCAAAGTACATACCGGCATCTTGCTAGTGGGTTACGAGGGCAAGGGACTGCTCAGACTGTATGTGGCACAGACATTCGAAAGCATAGACGAAGCGATGCTGCGTTGACCACCCGGTTCGCTGCCGATATCAAAAACCTTAACGCCGTACATTCATTCAAGTTAGTATTTGCCGCTGAGAACAATCGATGCACATGTCACCGCACCTTGTGGAGGTCGCTTCTGCATTCCACTCGCAATCAACATCTGACCAAAATAGCCCGCACGTCATTCCTTGCAAATTGGAGGAGCATGGAGCGACATGACAGAGCGCATTGTATTTCATCTCGTGAAGCAGACGGCGAGCTGTAATGCAACGAGACTTCTTGCAAATGTATTGAGCTCCAGCTCCTCGAAAAGCTTGTCCGGTCCCATTCTGTAACGAGGAGATGATCCGGCTCAAGCAACTAATAGGGTTCTTGGAGCTAACCTGTTGCGAGACGAACGGAGCGAAGCCATCCCAGTCAGGATTCATCAAAGAACGCACCTCGCGCTACTGGCACCGGGCGGTCCGCAGCACGTCGGAAGAGTCTGCGCAGCAAGTCCTTCGAATGACGCGTTTTCTCGAGCGCGCCGCATTCGGTCCCGAAGAGCCACATCATTGGTACGGTGGAATCCCTACGAAGCGAGTCTGCAGACTGCAGAACGTGGGCTAGTAAGCCCATGATGGACCACGGCTGGCTAAAAGAGACAAATGGTTCAAAAATAGTAGGAGCTCAATGGGAGTGCGGAGCGCGCAGTGGACTTACTCGTGGCGTCTTCACCGTGACTGTACATCATGTCAGCTGCGTTGGCATCCTACTGTTCCCTCCCGTACCGGCGGTCGGCTCATGGGCCCGGCTCTGCTCGCAGGCTCGATTGCCCTGTGTGGTGAAGTCGTGAACCTAGGATTCGTATACAAAGCATGCTCTGAAGCGATCACCTTCGTGGACGCGTTTGCAGAGCCTTCGAAACGTGCCAAAGCAGGCTTGCGGAGGTCAATGCTGCGCAAGTGAGACATGCGCATCAGAAAAATAGATTTCAGGGACGTAGGTGTGACGAATTATAGAATAGCTCACCTCCACAAGTAATTTCTGCTTGGTTCAAATCATTCAGGCAGCGCATCATGAGCCGTGCCTGCGCGCCGTCGTGATCAGTGCCGGCAACGCCATCAGCTGTATGGGTATGTATACCGATCCTGTACTATGCGGCCAAATAATAGCGGGCTATATCGATGTTTGAGCAGCATTTGAACGAGTTGCGAGTGTCGCTAACGCGCCTTGTTGTCCAAAGTACTATGGTGATCTCAGCACCCGTAGCGACGAAACGGGAGATCCAAACAAGGGACGAATGTGACATCAACGTACTTACTGGAAAGAAGCTGTCACTGACGAGGGTTTCGGAAATATAGTACACATTCGACCCACTGGCACAGTCAATATCACGATATGTCAACATGAACACGATAACGTCATGACAGTAACACCGCACCTGATCTATAGCGAACGCTTGTGTATGTTGATACACCACGGGCCGAAGGCCATGCCATTCCGACTATGCGAGCATAGTTTGACTGCGCGTCGTCGTAGATACCTGGCTAAATTGAGTGATTGCGGCGCTCGTTGAGTAATATTCAGTTGTGAGAATCTCGTACTAAGGTGCTTAATTCTTGCGTGCAGAGAGGCGGGCCGGCGGGCGAGAAAGAACCTCCTGTGAGCTGCAGAGGATTGTCGTGAGAGTCGGAGATGGCACGTGCTCAGGCAGCAGGCTACAGAACCGTAATGGGCGCCTAGCACCTGTTAGTGGTTCGCCACGGTTCCTCCTCCGTCAATTCCTCAAGCACCTTGAGTCCGGACCCATCCTCCATCGCTCGCAATTCAACATCATTGAACAATGGCACTTCCAGTATGAAGTCCGTTTTGAGTGCACACGTATGGCCGAATGAAATCGATGGGTTGCGGAATGTTACTATGCCAGTGTACTAGGTGCGATGCTTCGACGCCGGCCTCTGCACTATCGTTCCGCGGCTCCAGCTGCAGCTCCCTGACTCAGCGTCACTCGGCTCACAAGACATATAAGACTGGTATATGCAGACCGCGTCAACGGGCTTATTGACGCCATTCTCGGTTGAGTGGGGAACAAGTGGGGAAGTAGGATTTAGAGCTAGGGTACGTCGTCTTGCTGTCGAGCACGCTTTTTCTCTTCACTGTCGCAAACCCAGCCCGACAATATACGACCATCAGAGCTTGGTGCACATCGGCATCTGTTCAGGTGAGAAATTGCAGGAGTCGACAGTGGGGTATGGTCCGTAGGGCCTTGGTTGGCGGGGCGGTACTGACCATATTTCATTGAATAGCCCTTCTGTTAGGCCCCGTGTAGTCCTGTGCGCTCCCGGCGATACATTCCAGGGACCAACACACCGTCGACGTCTCTTGTCAACTTGAAGCTCGAAACGTTGACGCGTGACGTCCCGCGACCAACGATGGAATTTCGAGGCTACCTCGGTGTACGTAGACCTCAGTCTTGCATGACATGATGTCTCCCTACTCTTCACATTCTGATAACGAGTTGCGTCATCAGGCTGGGTCTTCTACATGCCCTCTTTGTGAACGCTTTCTATTCTGCGGCTGGACATGCCCTTATTAGATTCAGACGATCTAGTAGGTATCCAGAAACGCGCGAATGCAGTGCCAAAGGCGGTTCACCGTCAAAGTCAGGTTTATGTTTATGTTCATATGCATAGCACTGGTACACTTGAAGTGCTTGTTCGTCAACAATGATGCACACGTCCGAGTCGCGAGCTGACACCGGATAGATAGCGACAATTTCCAATCCTTGTCTCCGCCGCTGACATATAATAAGGCCCTATCAATGTTGCTGACCCTGTTATCCATTCGAAATGATTTCTACAACCGAAGTGAACACATTTTTGCGATCAGTGTAGGTCGTGTTCGCTGCTCACTCCATCTATCTCATTGCTGACTCCTGTATAACTCGACGTATCTTAGACATCCGACAATCTCTGCGCCGTCGCTGCATTCAGTGAGTTTGATCCCGCTACCCCGCAGACACTTGAACCCACTGACCAGCACGTAATAGCTGTCTACTTATTTGATCGATGTATAGGATTAGAACAGGAAATCGACGTTGTTTGGAGCCGTCGGTTTTCTGTTGCCTCCGCACTCTATACCCTTTTACAAGTCGCGACCGTTCTTCAGTTCAGCTTCAGATGTGTCGAGGATTTTCTTAGCCTTGATTGCAACGTATGCACTGTCTCGTCCGCCCCGCTTAGAGTTTAGCTAACATGCGCACATCGGGACGTGTTAGATGTATTATACATTCCGTGACACTTACACACTACCAAGACGAACTAACGTCAACTTGTACAGAGCATATCACATCAATATCGTCGTGATGGTCACTGAAATCCTGTACATCATTACGGTCACAAGTAAGCATACTGTTCCGCAATATCAGAACCAGTAATAACACTGACACGCCAGCCATCTCTGCTGGCCGAGTCTATGCGCTCAATTCTCAAGATAGGCTGGCTCCTGTCGTAGTTCTCATCTTGTCGCTTCTAGGAGCCGCGTACGACACAGTGAGTACTCGCGCGTGTGAAGATCATGAGGTTTGATCCGAGGATATGTACCACACAGTTCGAAGCTATCACAGCAGAAGCAATTGAAGCTCCTGCTCCTCTCGGGTGTGTCATCGTGACCACCTCGCCGCTATATCGACCGTTTGTATCCCACACCCTCTGTTTTGCATTGATGCTGAAGATATTCCGTAGCTGTTTGCACCTTTCATCCAGCTGCATTCTGTTGCGTCTGCTGACAATTGATTCATAGTATTCGTCGCGTCAATGGCTGCCATCACAGCTTCGGACGCCATCGTCCTTCTCGCGACCTGGCGCGAGACATATTATGTAGTACGACTTGCTCGCCGTGAACGAGTCAGCGCACCGCTGACTGTACTCTTGTGGCGAGATGGTCAGTCTGAGTCTCCATGCGTGAACTGTTCTTGAGCTGAGCTGGTGGAACGTACTTGACAGGAACGATATATTTCGGGTAAATTTGGTAATCAATAGTGCGGTAACGCGTTAACTGTTTCGCGCCAGGCTGCTTTTCATCATCAACAGCCTCAGTATTGTGTGCTACGTGACCGGCGTAAGTACTCTATATAAGCGACGACTGTCAAGGGAGAAGCTGACAGTGTAAATAGGTCACCCTGGAGTCTGTTACTTCGCAACTGCGTTCGTCAAGTCATACTCGAGGCTGGTCTTGTCTAACGCTGACGTGGGCTCGTCTATACAGCTTCTCAACTATCGTCTTGTCGCGTTTCTTCATCAATCTACGGGAGGTAAATCTCACCAACGCTATGACCGACACGTCTGCTAGCCAGGACACGAAGATACAGTCACAAACAGATGCGCGCTTCTCCCGAGGAATCACCGCTCTCGGAGGCTCGCTCTTGTTTGCGGAGGACAATGTGGACGGCGTGGACGACTACGGAAACCGTGGCGACAGCTTTATGGAAGAACATGAAGACCTTGAATGTGCAACGAAGTCAGCTGTCCGAGGCGTGTCCCTTCTGACACTCGGGAGTCGGGAAACGTAGATGGTCTAGCCTCATGCAATGCCTCACACACCGGCGTTGAATCTGATAACGAGATTTGTCAATTCGAAAGTCACCTTATTTATATGTGTTAATATGCTGCTCAGATCGCACACGGTGATGCGCCACAGTTACTTGCGGCCGTGAAATGAAAATGACACTCAACACTGGGCCTGAGGCCTGACATGACATGGACACATGGGCTATCGTCCAGCGGCATCTGCATGACACGTTGGGCATGTGCAAGCTCGCTGTGGCCCGGCGCTTCCTCGCGTCATCGCGATGACATCTACTTTCCTTCGGTTTTTGGCTCGTGTTTCTGCCCCACTGAACACGTCTCTGGACAAATGTTCATACAATATCATCTTGCGCATAATATTTGATTCACTGGGGCGTTCACGTTGAGAAGGAAGGCAGCGACGCGAACCGCCTGTACTAATATGTACAGGCCAACCCGAAGCGGACCCACTGCGGGCATTTCGAACCCCGCCGTGGCGGTTGTGGCGTGACCTCCACGAACCCAACTTGAACGCTCCAATCGTGTAGCGCGACGCGCACCACCTCAGGGACTCCGTGCCATAAGGATCAGACCCAGGAATCGCTACGCGTGGTCGACTTGTGTAACTGCATCTTTGGGCAGCGAGATATCCAGAATGGCGATCGAACGAGTACCAAACCCTTCAGGTCGGTCGGCTCCCCATACGTGATGCATCTGCGCTATTGATATTGACAGCGAAGCTCTCTGATTCAGACCAGCTGATTGAGGATTCGGTCGCACTCTTCAGTTCGGTCTTCCAGACCAGTTCGTATTGCAGCTGTACTCGGTCCTCGGCCTCAACACCCATCCTCACGCACCACAGATACGGCTACCATTAGCCTCGTCGGTGGGGATGTGAGTCTCCTCGGCGCCATGGTACGATCAATGATCAAAGCAGCACTCGTTGCGGGCGGGGAGTACTACCCCGCACTCGACGAGAACGACTCGGATGAACTCACCGGATACGCGCTGTGGTTGCCGCCCGGTCGAGACCTGTTTGACACGTAGGAGAACGAGAATCCACACTTTCGTACGTGTGTGGCTAATACCAATGCGGCTGATGTCTCTTGCAGTCCGGAGCAACGTGACTTGGGCTTCAACGACTTCATGGCGAGTCTACCGGAAGCGGGGAAGCGTATTACGAGGACGTCGTACGTGCTCGCTCGCAAAGATGTGACACTCTCGCTAACTCCCTATTAGTACTCGAAGGAGTCCTCTACATTTGTGGACGAGTGCATGGGAGGGCCAAAGGTCAGACCGGTTATCGTGAGACCGGACGAGACGTCGACGCGACGCATGCTGTAGGGAAAGATAGACGCATGGTGGCTCCTCATCATGGTCGTTCGCCCAGAGAAGCAAAAGCAAGGCATCGGGCGCCGACTCATCGAAACGGTGAAGAAGAAGGTACGATATAGTCACAGTGTGCCTCACCTTTCCGCACAGTAACTGATTCCTGAAACCAGGCGACGGAGAAAGGGCAGACGCTTGCGTGCAGCACGACGCGGGACAACAATGTGAGTACGCCCGAGAGTCCACTGAGTGCGGTCTCACTACTGTTGCAGGTGCGGGTTTACACGTCATACGGTTTTGAGCAGAAGGGCGTGAAGAGATGCCTTCGCCGTGGGGCGAATGGCCACTGTACGTCTTTGCACTGGACACCCATTACGAGTAAGCCAGAGCTTGCAGACTATCTTATGCCACGGAGCGCCAACTGCCCAAAGCATGTACATGCACTGAGCATATGCTATGATGCGGCATTCCAACATGGTCCTAGTCTTGATGGTACTCTTCCTGCAAACTTCAGTTGATGCGACACACGCGAACTCACACGGATTCACAGCTGAGTCTAACGCGATAGTCGCACGATAACGTACGCAAGTCATCTCCGCGGGGGCTGACAAGGATGGATCCCAACAATCCTTTGACGTGGGCCACAACGGACGCAGTTTGCGATGCGCAACATGTACAGTCTCCTTTCGCGATGAGGCAGATCATCGACTGTGTGGCGCGATCGCCTGCGTGACGTGATGGGCAGTTCAAACCTGCCGATGTATGGCTACGAGGCAGACAACCTCAAGTGATATCGTCGCATCGCATCGAGGGACACTGCTGTCAAGGGAACGACTGGAAGTGGTGAGCAGACCTGGTGACTATTCCCATTCATCGACGTGAGTTTCGAATTCCACCTCTAAAGCGGGCCGTCTAGTGTTTTTTTTTTTTTGCAATCGACGTGTCTCCGCTGAACAAAACAGGTCCGTTGTGCCGAAATCCGTGATTGTCTATCGGTCACTGCTTATTCAATCAGTATATGACAGTTTTGCCATTCTCTCATTTCTCTTGAACGGTCATGGACTCCTGTGGGCTCGCTGCCAGCACATGCATTCCGGTCGGGGCACATGTGACACTCGCGAATTCACATCCCGGTTGCGACGTGAACTGTACCAACGGGCTATATCCCGTCCAATCTCCTCCGAAGGGGCCTCATAGTGTATGGCGATCCCTACATCATGATCTTTGCTCTCAGGATCATGAGTACAGCCCTGCCCTCATCGGGTCATTCGACCGTTGATCATGATTGTGTCTGTCAAACATTGCTCTAACCCTGAGATGTCCCCATTCGCCTCTAGGCAGGCGATATACAAAAGGCCCCCTCAGACGACTGGCTCGAGCTACGTCCGGGTAGTATGAGTGGTTCAAGTACACAAGCATTTCTGCAGTCGCTGTGCGTCATTCTCATGATGTGTCCCTCTTGCGGTTTATTGATCTTCGTTTTGATCCATTCGCAGGGCCGAGAACAACAACTGTGTTGTTGCTGCCTTCAGTGCGTTACATTCCCTGCGTGTAGATGCCTGGGCGTGACGACTGACACGCGGTAGCCGTTTATTTGTTCGATCGGTGCATAACGTTCGATCAGGAGGTCAAGTACATATGGAGTCGCGGGTATTCGTTTGTCTCTGCACTCTATATCCTCCTACAATTGGCCACCATCGTGCAATTTAGCCTCCAATGTTTCCAAGATCTCGTCAGCCTAGATTGCGATGTAGGTCCTAACGGCTTTACCCCGTTTTGACTTCGATGGCTCACATGTCCCGACGTTGCGTCACGCACTAGAGGTATCTGTCTCCATCGACACACTGGCAAGAATTATTGACTCATGACTGTCAGGGCGTATCCCGTGTTCATTGGCATGGTTGCTATTGGGGTTCTGTATAACATGATAACCGCACGTACGCCCTGTGTTCCACGAATTCAAGACCAGTACGCTGATATCATCATCAGTCATATCTGCATTGCGAGTATACGCTCTCTATCCTCAGAACAGGCTGTGCCTATACAGTTTTCGGCTGGGGCTTGTACAGCCGATCTACTTGACCGTGGTAGTTGTCCACTGAGCGTTGTAGCAGTGCTCGAGTTGACGTGTGTATGACAGTATGAGGGTGTCACGCAAGGCCATTTCCGCCCCTTCCAGTCGGCTGTGTCGTAGCCACATTCTCGTCCTGACCACAGCGTTCGTGATCCATTTCTGCCTGTTACGTGTGGAGATCGCTAGCATATTTTACTTCTTCACCAGATGTTCGCACTGTTTAGCTCCGTTACCGCTACTCACGCCTAACAAGACTAGTAGTTGTCGCTGCATCAGTGGCTACTACCGCGGTCGCCGACGGAATTGTCCTCGTTGCGACCTGGCTTAAGACCTACAAAACAATTCGATTCGCTCGCCAGCAGAATATCAATGCCCCGTTGAGCGTACTTCTGTTGCGAGATGGTGAGTCAGCTCCGCTCAATCTATGCCGCACGCTGTAACAGGGCCCGATACAGGAACAATTCACTTCGGGTAACGCGGTATTCTGTCGTGCCATGATGCATCTTGTATGCTGACAATACGATATCCACCAGGCTGCTCATCGTCCTCGCTAGCCTCAGCTTTGTGTTCTACATCACGGAGGCAGTCAGAGTTACGTTTCATTTATTGACGTAAATTGAACACGATGGGAACAGGTCTTCACGGCTTCAACTACTTCTCAGTCTCGTTCGTAATCTCGACTTCATCGCTGAGCATACTCCGTGTTCCTGCTCATCGATTGATCTGTTCAGCTTCTCTAGCATCATCCTTACGCGTTCTTCCTCGGCCTACGAGAAGTGGGCCAATCCAGCACGGCCCCTTCGAGCCGGGGCACACAGACGCAGTCGCGCTCGAACTTCGCTTCACGCAAGGAGCGGCGCGCTCGGTGGCTCTCTATCATTCGCGGGGGACAGTGATGACGACGACGGAGACGACGAGACGATATCTCGGTCGACGAACAAGAGGACGTCGAAGATGGCTAGGAGAACACGAGAGCACGAGGAGTCCCGGGACAGTGCGCGTGCGCGCGCGAGTCGGACGCTACGCCGTAGACGATGACTGTGGGATGTACCGCTGAACGCGCTGAAGGAAGGTGCCGGCACTTTCCTACTAGTATGTTTTCAATTCGATTCGAACTTCCCAGTTGCCACCAACTGAACGTACCATCTGATTCTTGTCAGCGCGTTGCGTAATGCAGTACGGTCTCTCACTATCATCATCACGATCGCTTCAAGTCAAACCATCTTGATATTCATGTAACTCTACAACAGTCTCAGGCTACAACTCGCGCGATCGTGTGTGGACGGCGGCCAGTCACCATAAGCCTTTTGTTGCTTGCTCCATAGACGGACGCTCGCGCGCGTGTAAGCACGATACGCTTGGGCCGTAGTAGACCTTGTTCTCGGCAGGAAGTAACAGTATCAGTGCCTCGACTGCTCTGCGTCGCACCAGTCCCATACCCTGCACTCAAGCACGTCAGTCTCAGTATCTGGCGCCTATGTCGCACTACAAGCAAGCTCTTGCGGCGGGCTCAACAAATGTAGAGCACGCGCCCGTACGCATCCGAGAGATTACCTATAGATGGTCCCATGTGCTGAGGAGGTGTAGGTGCGTGGAATCCGGCCATATCGTATGACATTCGAACTGCTCAGTCTTGTACATCGTTGTCAATTGTACCGCCCGGCCGCAGCTTCAAAGTCGTTTGCTCGAACAACGTCAATTCACCGCGATGTGCTGTACGCGCGGCGACACGCACGCAGGGCCCGTGCTCCCGTGGACGTCGCCGTGAGTAAAGCTGCATGGAGTAATGCACCGGATTTGTATCGAGATGGCAGCGGGTCTCGCCGCAGCGAACGCAGTCGTCCGCTTTCAAAGTGCCGCAATCCACATGCACGTCCGTGAACCACTCGGGGTTCGGAACGAGGCGCAGAGCTCGGTCCGTCTATGGAGGAAGGCCGACGGTCAGGGCGACTCCGAGTCCAAAAGGCGTAGCTCTGACCCTTGTAGCTTGTGCGACATCGGTCGTTCTTCTGCGGTTACTCGGCCTGGCGGCCTACTGTACCATCGTCGCGCACGACATCATCACGGTCTGCGAGTGGACCTCGTGCACCTCCTGGCGTGGCGTGAGGCTGGACGAATAACGTCTTCAGTTACTGGACATGCCTGAGGACGCGACGATCTATGTGTGAATGTGGGCATAGCCGAGGTTACACAACCCTTCAGGCCTCAGGACGTGTCTGGTAGACATCGTAATGGCAATCAAAGCGGAGCCCGTGGGGTGATTGCGATCCAAGAGATCATGAGCAGCTACAGTACTCGAGAAGCGGATGGGGATTCGCATATTTATTGTCGCATTGTCGATGATATCCACGTCGCAACGATCGCGCATGCTATACACTAGTGCGAAGCACGGGTATCAGCAGTGGCAACATGTATGACAGATTGACGGTACATACTAGCGACTACGGTGTTCCACGGCGGCATCTCAGCTCACCGCCGCACACTCGTGCTGTTCATCTCAGAATCCCCTTCCCTCAGCCAAGCCGCATACTCCGCATGGTTCGCCTCCGCCGCGTCGTACACGGCGCCCCAGTCCCTGCATACGTACGTGCCATAGAGGTCGATAGGACGTACGTGCTCCGGCGCGAGGAACGGCTCGAGCTGGAGGTCGCCCCGACAAGTGACCGCCTGGCGCAGGTAGTTCAGGCAATGCCTCGCGAGATCCGTGTGCGCCTCGTCCGCGCGGGGCGCGACCATCTCGGCGCGGGCGACGTCGAGGCAGCGGAGGGCGTGGAACATGCCGACGGTGTACGGCTGGCGGTGCGCCCCGAGGCGGACTGTGTGCGGAGTAGGAACGACGGCGCGCCATTCGGCGGTGCCGTCGGGGGAGGAGAGGTTGAACCGTTGAGAGGCGTCGGAGGGGAGGAAGACGGAGGGGACGGGGATGGGCCACTCGGAGGGGTAGTCGGAGCCCACGAAGCCTGGGTTCCGGGTGTCGACTCTGATGAGTCTGAGTAGAACAGTGGATGATTGATGGACGTACTGAAGGCATGATCAGGCACTGGGTAGAGAGTGCGCAGCCATATGGACGTGGCTAGTTTAATGGAGAGGCTGAAGGCGACGAGGAAGAGGCTGAGGGCGGGGAGGGATGCGTGGATGCGGGCGATGAGGGAGGCGAGCATGGCGGGAGCTTGACGGGGGCGGTGGCATGCTCAAAGGGCGTGACGCCCACAAGGACCCGCATGACCTGCATGTATATGACTCTGAGGGTCTGGACATTGGGCGACGAGCAGAGCGCTGTCGGCGCTGGACAGCGCGACGAGGGCGCGTCGGAATGGCCGGGCGGGTCTGGCGGCGTCTGCGATCAGATCAGCGGAGTAAGCCTGTTGATCGTAGATGTGATCGCGGAGACTGCTAGCCAATGGGAGGAGGCCGGAGAAGGGCATTCGCGACTGAGATGGCGATTTGGCTCCGCGCATGTGGCTGCATTACTGGATGCAGAAGACGCCGGTGCTCGTGTCTGTCTCCTCCTCGACGTGCACGTCTCCTGGCAGGGGTCTCGCGCCAAGTCGCCATGTATCATCTTCGATGAGGCTCGGCCGTAATCTCTTGCCATACTCGCGCTTGTCTTATCTGCCAACTCCCATCTCCGCCGGGTGTCGCTGCGCGCATAGCTAAAGGGCGCGCCCCTCTGCGCTCTCGAGCCACCCCGCGCCCTCTTCCCCGACAGCCGCTGCCGCGCCCATGTCCTCCCCGACGGCCGTCTTCGAGCATGCCTACTACATCGGCGGCCAGTTCGCCACCATCCTCTACGGCGTCCAGCTCGTCCTCTTCTTCGCCACCCTCCGCGCCTTCCGCCGCAACTCGGACGCACGCCATCGCAAGTCCGACCGCTTCTTCGCCGTCTACAGCACCGTCATGACGCTTCTCGTCACTGTCGACGTCGCCACAAATGCGGTCTGGGGAGAGCAGATGTGGATCACCAGTCGCGCCCAGCCCGGCGGTGTCGAGGGCTTCATCGCGACCGAGACCAGCGTGTGGTACGAGACGCTGTCGTCGACCTCCGTGGTCGCCCTGATCTTCATGAGTGATGCTTTGCTGGTGAGTAGCCTGCGCTAGATTGTTGAACAGTGCCTCCTTCATCCGTAGAATTGCGATTCGATCAATGATTTTTGTTGTGATCCTCGCGCGGATGCGCGCATTTACTCAGTGCTCTTCTGCGAAGCGTTCATTCGTACGGGGCCCGTGCGCGTATGGTACCTGATATTGAACGCTGCATGCGTTGAGCCTCGTATCTCCTGCCTCACAAGTTTGAACTCACTAACCCCGCCCACAGATCTACCGCGCCTTCGTTCTCTTCGCCTCCAACTACTTCATCATCGTCCTCCCCGTGCTCATCTACCTCGCCGCCTTCGCCCTCGCCATCATCGAGCTCGTCATCGCCGGCACCCCCAACGGCAACTTCTTCGGCACGCGCGCGGCCTCGTTCGGTGTACCCTACTATGCGCTAACTAGTACGTCTTCTCGCTCCATTCCTGTGATCCTTCTACCTCTCCTGTCCTTCCTAGTCTCTTCGTCTACCTTCTCCCCCTGTCTTCTCTATACTACCCTCCGCCCATCCCTTCCTCTTCTCTCCCCAAACCCCCCACTGACCCGCCCCCCTCGCAGTCTCCCTCAACACCCTCCTCACGCTCCTCATCGTCGCGCGCCTGCTCACGCTCGCGCGCGCCGCCCGCGCGTCCATGGGCGCCCCCGCCGCGCGCCTCTACACCGGCGTCGCCGCGCTCATGGCCGAGTCCGCCGCGCCCTACGCCGCGCTCGGCATCATGTTCCTCGTCCCGTACGCGCGCGGGAGCGACACGAGCATCGCGTTCGGGCAGGTGTGGGCGAAGGTCACGGTGCGTCGGTCAGGCTTGTTGGGTGGACTGCGCTGATGTGCTGGTATCCTCGTGTCTTGTCGTCTTGCCACTCGACCGCTCTTGTCTGTGTCGTGTCGTCTCGTTCGTCTCGTATATCGACCGCCGACCGCCGCGCCAGTGCATCGCCCCGACGCTGATCATCTACCGCGTCCTCACGCGGCGCGCGTGGGACGCCGGCACCGTCTCCGCGCTGACGGGCGAGCGCAAGCACGCTGGCGCGGGCGTGGAGTCGACCGCGATGGAGTTCGTGAGCGGCGCGCTGGAGACGGGCGTCAGCAGCACGGCGAAGGGGAGTAAGAGCCAGGTGAGCTGTCGCGCCTCTTCTTCTTCCTTGGGGTGTCGTGCTTTGCTCGGTGCTGCCGCGTCTTTGCGACGGCGATATCGCTTGTCTGGATGAGTCCTGTTGTTATTTGACTTGGGCTGATGCGTGTATGCGTGTCTAGATCGGCGTGATAAGCAAGATGAGCGAGAAGGACGTGGAGACGGGGTATGGGAGCAGTCGCGAGGAGCTGACCCCGGTGTAACTAGGAGGGCTCAGCAGGTGCTTGTATGAGTATGTGCGGGTGCACCTTGGAGTGTATTTTCATGGGTTTCGCATCTTGTTGATTTTCGACATGTTTTGCCTATGCATTCGGGCGAAAGCCCCTTGCGACTCCTAGTCCCACTGTACGGGCAAGCCCCAGACCAGTAAAATGAGGATCACAGCTTGCTTGCGTCACGATCGAAGACGACATCGACCACCCAGTGCCACCGCTCGCGGAGTGCGACATCATCGCGGTATGTACGTTCCTGCCCCGCTCTGCAGTACTGGGGTCGCAGCCATTGTAGGCACGCCCTCAGTACAGACTCTCCCAAGACTATCCTCCGAATCGCTGGTACGAGTACCGATGGCGGTACATGCGCAAGATCAGCGGCCGTCAATTGGGTGGGGGGTAAGCTTGAGCTGGTGTAAATGACTGGGTGCGCGGATCGAGCAACTTAACTGATAGAGAGGTTATATATCAGACGAGACACATCGACGTCAACAATGGACGTGGCATGGCTTCGCGCCGCCGCATATCGCGCTCCCGCGTGTTGCTCAAGAAGCCCCAGCTAACTCAACAGCGATGAAGACGCCGGGTTCTGATCATACAAATCCGTATTGTGGACCACCTCAGCCTTCTTGCCTACCCGCATTCTCCACACAACAAACCGTCATTGTGCGAGGATTCCGTCGAGATAAATAGGCACCAATAAATTACATACAAATATAGCAGTCGCCAAAGGCTCTAGGATGCGTTCCTCCACCCTCCCGATTCATGGTGTTCAGTGTGCGGCCTCAAGCGCGTGGGTAGATCCTCTGGCCTCCTCGCTGATCTCCTGCTGCCCACTGTTACCTCCTCGCGGTCTTCATCTGCGAACTCGGCAGGATGTTCGTCGTCGTCGCCTGGTTGCGTCCCAGTCGTCCTCGCCGCTGTCATCGCCTACAAACGAGAGTGACCCCCCAGTGCCCCACGCCTCGTGAGTAGTTATGTCCGACTGCGATGTGTCCCCGGTTTGAAGAGCCATCAGCGTAACGAGGCTTGCTTCTCGTAGATTGAGGAAGAAGCGAGACAGGATGATACTGGTGAATCTGTATGAAACTCGTGGTGAGGACTGGACGTGCAGTCTGATGAGTGACTCGACGAACGCATCCCGAAATACTGAATCCAGAAAACCTGAAGTGATCTCCCCTTAGCTGCGATCCCGTGTCGTTCGTGCAGACTGACCTTTGGATGTAGAACACCATGTGAGACTATTGAAATGGCTAGAAGCTGCCAGGAAAGCTCAGATTGGCTCGTTATCTGTACAATGATTCCTTAGTCACCCGAAGTAATCGTTCCTGTTGCATGGCATGTTGTCAGCCAAAGTGCACCAGATCAACGGGTAGATCAAGACCGACCATCTCGCAACACAGTGAAGTCAAACGGGTGGTGATGTTCTCTCTGCGGCGAGTCGAACCATGTGGTAAGTTTGTTGCCAAGTAACAACGAGAACTATGGCATCCGCGGCGGTGGATGCGGCCATGGAAGCAGCAAAAACTACCAAACTACTATCAGCGACTTTGAAGTGATGACAGCGGAATGAGGAGTGCGAACAGCTGGGAAAACCAATGACACGTTCAGCGACTGCGCAATAATGTAACAGGGACACTGACGGTTCAATCATGGGAGAGAACTCCCACATGCAACCGAGAGGAGGCGGTGCAGCATCGGCCTCTGAATGACCCTTCAAACTATTGAATAATTGTATTTGAGCGTTGTATAACTAGCATATCAGCAGTACTTACAATCTCATAGGCTGCGCGTACGAGTGACAACGCAAAGACTAAGACTGGTACTAGAACATTTCGGGGGATTGATGGCATAAACTCGCAAGGCAGATATGGCTGGTTCAATAGATATTCACGTTCAAGGAATCTGGACACGATGCTCACCTGCGACACTACGTCATAGAGAGTGTCAATCAAAGCCAAGCAATGCCCGCAGTATATGCTCTATTGAACGAGTCAACAATACATCCAATGTGAAATACCACATGATTGATACCTCTATACAAACCGAATCAATTGTCAAAACACCGTGAAGATGTGTTGTCACTCACTTTGCAGTCCAAGTCAATGAGGTTTTGGAAACATCCGAGGCTGAGCAGAGTGATGGTGACAGCTTGAAGGAGGACATATAGCGCAGAGACCACAGAGTAATGACGCAGCCATATGTGCTTAACCTCTTATTCTATTGTCATACACCGGTCGAAGAAGTAAACGGCTGTTGTGATGATTCGTTTAAGACGGAACCCATGAAGTGACAATCATATGGAGCTCACTGAATGCAGCAATGAAACGACTATTATCGGTAAGTCTGTAGGTTGCGCAGAATCGTTCGGTCCACATGAGATTCAGCCAACGGATAGAAACTGTCAACGACTTACACCGATGCGACGGCTGTTTGCAGTTCCTGTATGCCTGCGGTGGCACTCATACTGATATGACACGAATCCGTGGATGAGTATGCGCCCTTTATATATGAAGAACTTGATAGCACCGAGGCCAGTCCGTCACCGTCATGATACTCACAAATTTCAACACTTACCCTAGAAAACATCAATCAAAGATTGCCCTGCAGTCACAGAGTTGGTAAGTACGTAGACTCAAAGGTTGATGTGGCGACCGCATTAGCTCCAGATGCAAATAGCTGCCCTCAACTCGCGATAGTTGTCCGATTCGTAACAAAATAACGAACGTCACTTGGACGGGCCTCAGTGCGGCATCGCGGGCTCTCTGCATATGAACATCGTTCAGTATATGAAACGGTCGAAGTGTCTCGGCTACTCACTGAGTTTCCTTAGCACGAAGCAATCACTGAATCGACACATGGCACTGCCGCTCTGTCTGGCGACCGGCCTCAACTATAGAAATGAAGTTCCCCGTGAATCACAAGCGGAAGTTCGCCTTCCTTCAGCCACCAGTGCGATAGTCGCTCAAGATTTCATATAGACAACAGCTACAAAAACACTTACACCCCGATCAGCTCAGTGCGTCGTGCCGTTCCTGAAATGCATACAGGCTTACCATGTCTGTATGACGCAGCATCAAGACCGCGACCACACGGCAATGTCAGTCATGATTTGCTGAACATTGCATAGGATTGTGGTCGAAGACGTCGTCTATGTGATGAAGTCAGAAATCCGCAGCCTTAGTGAGGAGTAGGGCTATGCCTTTCACACAATCTGTTCATTCTCATCTGTCCACTGAGAAGATGTGCCACGTACTCAAATGCGTCGTCACGGATACTATCGTTTCCGACCAGCTGAAAGAACGGGACGTACCTGGATCAGAACTTAGAAGGCAGTGAGTACACGGATCCGCTCACATCTAAGCTGTATACGGTGAGTTCGCATTCGATGTTATTGTGAATGGAACAACCAGACGCACTTCCAATCCTACCGCAGAACGGATACCACGCCTGAGCAAACATCATGGATAAGTGACGACGCGTGGATCTTGCCCGGGCCCTGCCTAGTCTGCCTAGCCTATTTTCGCCTTTTAAAAGTTATCGCAATACATACAACACTCCGATCAGAACATCTTCAATGAACTCGGTTTGGTCGACGTGCGCGAGCGAGCGACACCACGAGACATCCATTGACAAGTAGTAAAAGGCTCTGCCAAGTCGTATGAGCCCATTTCCGCCACAAAGCTTGGAGCGCGTTGTATGCAATCATGCCAGCGTAACAAAGTGGGCCGTTATGAGAGACTATCATACACATCTTCAGCAATGTGATAGCGGACGAATTGGGACTCGACGAGGACTCGGAGGACGGATGAATGACGGCAGCCCGGGCCGCGGGTGGCTGACCCGGATCGTGCGCAACGAGACCCGAAACGAGAAGACCCCAGCGACCACGCCGCGCTGTCCCTCTTTCTCAACGCTTTCCCCGGGAGCCATCTAGCAGGGCATGATTTCAATGCATCGATACTTCTTATGGGCCATTAAAAGGCTGTGAGTTACCTGTCGCTCGCGCCCGGACGACCGTTCGTCGACCACAAGTGTCACCTCCCGGTCGCGTTCTATGTCATCCTTGCTCCCCCCATCTCGAGGCGACGGGACCGCGTCGACTCTGTGTAGACCTAGCCTTAGGTTCGACAGAAACCCCACACCACGCGGACGGTCTTGCGGCGGGACTAGACCTAGCCTGATTGGTACGTCTCGAAAATCTATGCGTTCGGAGAACACTTCTTGGGGACGGTAGACTCTGGTAGACTCAGACACGTTGTAGTCAGAAGACCACCCTTCCCTCCGTCAAACAGGTCTTCTTTCCATATGGTATGCCGCTACTCTGAGGCTCACTGACAGCCGGCATCGAGCACGAAAACGTACAGCGGCCAATCTCCCCACGGCGAAAGCATCTTTTTCAGGCCTTTCTGCTCGAAGCCGTATGCCTTGTACACAGGTGCCTACCGAGCTCAAGGTGAGTATGCCGTTCCTTGTGCACAAGACGGACTTACGTTGACGTCTCTCGTCGCGCTGAGGGCAACGACTTGGCCCTCGCCTTCGCCTGCCGGTGATCCGTTAGAAGTGAACGTGTGTACATGTGGGAGAGAGGTGCGAGTCTACCTTCTGTCTCACGATCTCAAGAAGCCGCCGCCCAATACCCTGCCTCTGTCTTTCCGGGTGAACGCAGAAGTTGTTGAGCCACCACGCATCCGTTTTGCCCTGAATTACGCTGAGTGCAATGTCTCGAGGTGATCGTATCGAGCCACCTTTGGACTACCCATGCACTCATTCACAAAACCCGGGAAATCTTGCAGATACTGTCAAAAGAGGGCATCAGGGACAATCACAGCCGAGATGAAGGCCTACGCACGGCATCCTTGTAGTATTGCTTGACTGCTTCCGGCAGACTCGCCATGAAGTCGTTCAGACCCTGGTCGCGCTGCTCAGGACTACGGACTCTCTGCATTAGCCGATACACGAACCCACAAAGCCCCGTTCACCTACGTCGCGAAGAGCTCCTCGCCCGGCGGCATCCACAGAGCGTATCCGACCAGCGTCCGCTCTGGTCAAGTGCGGGGTAGAACTCTCCTGCCGCAAGGACTGCAGCTCTGATCATCGCTCGCGCCATCGGACTAGGAGGCTTAGGTCGCCCCAACGAGACTATTGCAAGCGCCATCTGTAGAACGTTGGTGAGAGATCCTGCGTTCGTATGATGTGCATACTGACCGTCCCGCATGGCCAGCGCAAACAGCGCGGCTGCAGCCTCGATGAGCTCGTCTATCGGATGTGTTGACGCTGGTGAGGGCGTGCTCGTATGGGTCAACGTATGACTCACCTGAAGGATCGGGCACTCGTTCAATCTTGAGTTCGGACTCAGACATCTTGTGTTACGAACCCAGAGTTATATGGAACCCACCAAGGTATGCACACGATTGCGTGCCTGCACTTATAACTGGCATGGATGCGGTACCGGCCGGTGATACCGTCGCGCTTGTGGCAGCTAGGGTCTGGGCGCATCAGCCTTCGTGCGGTGCACGTCGTCCGAGCCTGTACACGCCTCAGACTGAGTAGCTGTTGACGGCATGTACATACTCACTCGCGCCGCTACAGCCATGCTCCGCATTATGTGACTCCGCGATCATCTCGATGGCAAGTTAGTCCCCTGCAACATATCAGTGTCGACCGGTGATAAAGCGCGGTTCGCATACTTGACTGCGTGCGCATATGACAGATCTTCAGCGTCTCCTGTATTCGTCCCGACGCATGCATTACCAGTGCGTCTGCCATTTTCTCATGTAATTGTCCTGCTCTAACTTCGCTCAGGTTTCTCCGGGACGTGCGAATTTCCCGCGATGCTAGTGAAGGCCGCCTACGGAGGCGCGTCTGCAATGCACTCCCCGTACCGAAGTCATCGTCGACTGCTTGCTCCTCCACCACGGCACGAAAGGACCTCGTTTGGATGAGACGTGAGCAACTCGTAAGTCAATCGCTGAATCAGTAGCAATACAGAAGGTGGTTATAGTCATCTCAGTTCGTAGTGTAAGTCCTGTGATCGGTATCTCCCTGTAAATATCATCCTTTAGTCTGGATTATTGCTGAGATATCGATCGCATAACGACGTATAGCTGCATGCTAGGATGGAACACTTGTGACACCTCAGTACGGATGAAGATTACTGTGTAGCTAAGTATGTGCGAACAAGGCCTGCGGTTCGCTGACTTTCTCGCATTCCTCCGAGTTGTGTTCACCACCCTGAACTTGCCCGTCGGCGAGGACGGCATCTTCGCTACTACCTGCATCCCCTTTGTTGTTCTCGTCCGAGCCATTCTACATGACGGAGAGGGAAGCACCCATGCCGTCAACTCCCCGCGAGCGCGAGAAGTGTAGGCCGGAGCTTGGCACAGTTCGGATGGTCGAGAGCGTTCCGTCGGTAGTGCTGCCTGCTTCTCGCAGATTGAGGAAAAAGCGCGAGAGTATGATACTTGAGAATCTGAACTCCCAGCGGTCGGTATGAGTGGGCTAGTGCGTTCCCGCGACATTGATGACGACACACGCGGTTCCGAAGAACACGAAGCCGTCGAAGGCCTGTGTATAGGAAGATCAGCTCTGTCCTTGAGAACGTGAGATGTCTGTCGGATGTTGAACGCACCTGCGTGGTGATTCCTTCGAAGACAATGTTTAGGCAATTGATGATGACGAGCAGCCTGACAATAGATGCATAGCCGTCAGTCATCGGACAATGACGCTGGCATCTCCCACAACACAGTACCCGAAGTAGATCGTCCCTGTCAACTTTACACGTCACCGAATCAGCATAAGCGGCACTACTTAATCCAGCAACATAACAGGCCATCTCGCAGCGATAGTGAAGTCAAGGGTGCATGAATGTTTTCGAGACGGGCAAGCCGTCGGATGCGGTAGGTCCGACGCCAGGTGACGACGAGTACAATAGTGTCTGCAGCGATGGACGCGGCAAGCGATAACATCAGAACTGCGCAGCGGCTTCGTGTCAGTACATCCTCAAAGAGAACAAATGATGCATACTCCTAGAGCATTGGAAATATGCTTAGTATGTACGTGCGACATTCCATAGCAAGACTCTTCAGAGACAGGCGACAGATTTCCGATGGCACACATAGAGCGCGGAGACCACTGAGAATGGGCGGCGCCATATGAACTCAATCTCTTGTCCCATCGCAAGGCAACGATCGAATGCGTAGACAGCTGTCAAATTGTATAAACGTGAGTACACCTCGCCGGATTTCATGTATCCCAACTCACTGAATGCAGCGACAACGCAGTTATTCTCGGTTGACTTAAGGAATAATCAATATGAACGGCCGCAGCGACAGAGATGGAGCAACTGTAAGGCTCACGCAAGCTGCAGCATGGCAGTAATCTCTTGATCGGATGACACACTCATCCCGGCAGTCAGAAGTGGGCGGACAGACACTTGCGGCTAGATTCGCCTCGCTGTCATTATATACGACACAGGTAGTAGGCAATATGGGCGATGATCACTACATCATGGTTCAAGTTCTATATACACACGCATCTAACAATATCACTCACCGTGTCTGGCTCGCAGATCTCAGGAACAGAGCAGCGTGGAATGTCGTGAACACACTAGAGAGTAGCATAACATCATATCAGAACGATTATACCGGGTGTTGGTCAAGGACTCACGACAGAGTTCGCGTTGGGCCCCACGAACAACGCTAATTTTCATCCTGGTGCTAGGTACTGGGGCTGAAGAAGTCGTCGTATCAGCACCAGATGAAGATCGAAGAGCTGGGTGGAATGCAAATCATGATCGGCGTTCACAGAAGTGATGTAGATTGGAATCTGCAGAGATGCAGCCACGCCGTTTTCTCCGCTGCAAGACTTCGTAACCACTGTTAAGGCGTAGTTAGTGGGGAAGCAGCTACTCTACTTAGGTGTCGTGAGTACTCGGTGGGTTCTGGTACTGCAAACTTGCCTGTTCATGGCCGCCATGCAAGGGCACAATAACATTGCACTTCGAACAGTGATCTTTAGTGCAAAGATGCTGACTTGCCCTAGTTGATCGCATACACCGTCATTAGAGGACTCACCGTGTAAGGGCGAAGCGTTACAATCTCGGCGATGAGAAGAGACCTGTCATTTCGGGCGGATAGCCCCAAAAGTACGTTGACTCAGCCATGATACTTGACGCAAATTCGGGGTGCAATTTTGCACTTATGAAGCCAAGCTTTTGCGTGAGGAGTCCTCGCTAGCGGAGACGATTTTGCATTCAAGTTCGGGGCCCGAAGTATGCTCAGTGATAGTGCAGGGTGAGTGTGCGGTGTGAAAACTTACGTCGAGTCGGAGGAGGGGTCGCATTGCACGCTGACTTCTGCTTCACTTATGATACAGGATGAGTGTAAGACGGTGCATGGATAACGGAATGAGGCATATCGCTGCGACTGACGTGTCTGCCACGTCTGTAGCGCGGCTCCGAACGGCGTCACGCCAGACATACGCCAGATGTTGCCCACTCCTTGAGAGTGTAGTCGTAGTGTGTTACGCGTGACTCCGATCTTCGACCACAATGGTTGAGAAACAAAACTTACGGCGGTGTACAATTCTACGTCCAGCTCATCATGGAGGAGGGGGGATCCTTTTGACCACCGACCGACGACAACGCATGCGCGCCCACCGGTATCTTAACGACAATGTATCAAAAAGCGAACCATGTGAACCGTATCAAGATCAGAGAATACGTGGAACTATACTCTGGACGGTGCCTCACAGGACATTAGTTGCGAACCTGGTGTCGATAGCACTCACCCTGCAAGCATGAGATCCTCGGATCAATCGTCGCGCGCACAAACAAATTGAGCTTCCAGAAGTCGCACCTTCCATCAACACGGTGACGCTGCTTGACTGTCAGCATTAAGTGAAAAGGGACGGTCAGGGCCTACATACCCTAAACCAGCGCGCGGAATGGTGTCCGACGTTCTGCACGTACGAGCACCCATTTGTTCTCCCGGTGCATCAGGCACATAGACGCGCGTTGGATGCGAGGAGGAGGAGACGTTTGAGAGTTTTGTTTAACCGGCATGGCCATTTGAGCGCCGATCGAAGCACCGAGTCTGTCGGTCAGGCTTGCAATGATGAGACCACAGTGCATATCATTCAACCAGTAACGGAACCAGCTTACACTCATATTCATTAACCGCTGCAGTTCCACGTTGTCCCATGCTTATTTGCAATTTGACTGTGGTAACGAACTGCGCGTCAGTGTCAACACAGTCATTTCACCTATTCAAACGTTATCTTTTGCAGTTCGAGTATGCTAACGGAAAGGCGTCGTTGTTGGTGTGCAACCCCGTGAGATGCATGCATTGCATACTGTCAGAGGCAAGCGAGCATCAGCGGGTAGGCTAAATATAGATACGGACATACTGTTCTCATTCCTGATGCCTCCAGGTTTTACACAGAAGAGCTTCGCTCTCATTCGACTAAGCCATGTGCACTTGATGCTATTGTGGCATTGTAGACCCAAAGGCCACGGGAACCTGTCGCATAACGTAATAGTCCGGTGGCAACCATGCACTCCTACAGATAGTCCTGTAAAGCTATGGTGTCGCCTTTGACATTCCGTGACAGTACATGTTCCCATTTTGAAGCAGCGAGAAGCCCGAAGCACCGAGAAGCCCGAAGCACTAGGTACGAGCCACACAACGGAATGTGGCACGGTTCCTTCAAAAGATTTCGTATGCACGCAGCTTGTCATCTGGTGTCAGCACGAGACGGGACGAAGACCCGTGTAAAGGCGAGACCGTAAACCATAGTTTGATGCCCATAGAGTTAAAGCTCAGCGTTACGAAATGACCTTGCGGCAGTCTTGCTTTCAGGCGAACGAACCATGGATCTGAGGGTCGTGGTTGGAAATTGGCTATGTGCATAGGCCCCTCCGCAGGAATGTTGGCGTATGATTCCACGTAAGAGGAAGCGACCGTGGTGGCACTCGAAGAAGCGCGAAGGGCGGTATAGAACGCCCATCGCTATTGTCCTCAGCCAGAGCGAGAGACGCTCACTGGATGTAAACATACGTACGTGTTATGTGAGTGAGCACGAGCGATAGTGACCAAAGACTTCCTTCAGTGAGTCAAGCGGCTTCTGTCGGCTCTTGTAGATGGCATCGACGGCGACAGATATATATAACCGACCTCTCATGTCTCTGTATGACAGCGTCAGATCTGCAGAGAGCCCGAGTAAACCCTCTCCGACTGCAGGAGACCGCAGCTGCGCAGGGGCACTGGCAATGGCATAAGTAGTATTAGACGCACCTTCGCAAATACATAATCTTGGTTTTATCCGTGTCGTGACCTATGCTGCTGTTGGGAGTTGGCCCGTGAGTTATGAAATGCTACCCAACGTAACCTTGGTATTGTCAATATTATTGAACGTCTGAATGGCACCTCGAACCGTCATGTGTGCCACAGTGCCAGAGCCCCGCGATCTCTATGCATCGAAATTCCTCATGCGAACAACTGATGATACTGGTCTCCGGTATGATACATCGCTGTCGTGCTTCTTGACCACTGACAACGGGGCGGTCCCCTTCTCAGTGAGGCCTACAGCTCCGAGTCGTTGCCAGGCGACCCGGCGGGCCCGTGACGGTGCTCATCGCCCTGTAGCCCTTTTAGCAGGTCGAACTCTATGGGGGCTCGGTGCCTACCTGGCCCGCTGAGTATGTCGGAGTATTTGTCGTCGTCGCCTTCGCCGGTGGTGTCTAACACACTCACGGTGACACTCGCCAGCCTTGTGGGTGGGCAGCGCAGCCGAGCGATCAGATAGCTCACGTGATCCTGGTACACTAGTGTGCCAATACGATTAGTCACTGAAGACCGCTCTCTGTCAATTAGGTCTTCTCTAGGATCTGCATAGGGAGACTAGCGACCAACGTGAAGCTTCGGCAACTTCAAGTTGTTGACCAATGCCCCGGCGGCCAACTTGAACGCCGCCGCCCAACGGCGTTGCTTCGGAGCACTGGTGTGCGGGCCCGAGCCAAGTCAAGGCAACAGCCGACAGCAGAAAATCTCAGGTCTGAATTTCGAATACTCGGAAGCAGCTGAGTAGGAGAGACGTTCGCGGGACCAAGCGAGAAGTTGGGAGCAGGTCGCGAGGTCGCACTATGTCCTTCTCGGGCGCTCAACTTGTAACTTGTAAGTAGGTCTACAGTTCAAGTTAATCTGCTGCGCTCATATCTTCCGCATCGTACGTGCTCCGGACACATCTTAGACAAATGTTCTCCGGCTGTCATCTGTTCCCGAAGCTCGAGAACTGTGCATGCTTATCTCAAGACCTGACTGAAGCGCTGGAGGTGGGAAGGTCGCATTTGCTACCTGTTCTATACTCGTACGGCAGGTAGCATGTGCTTCCAGCGAGTCGGGGTCTCCAGTATACCGCGACGGATGGAAGAACATGATCCTACATCCGATCGTAATTTTTTCATATTAACTGTTCCTCGACACATGATGTGGAGCTCAAGACACCATCGTGCGGCAGCCGCGCGAAAGTTGGGCGTCCCGGATTCCTGTCAAGTTGATGGAGAGCCCTGTGGTATTCCGTGGCTCAGTCGCAGGCAGACAAGGTTGGCAATTCCTTCCTCCGTGCCACATCAGTCTCATACTGAATGTGCCGCATGATGCGCGCTATACACAGGAATGCATTACCCGAATCATCCGGCCTCGTCTACTGTGTACTGGTGCCCCGGCCATTGCATCAGAAATTGAAGCTACCCCGATGTAGAGTATATCCGACGGATTGCAGCTCGACCGTGTTGGCGGTTGCCCAAAGCTTCACCAGCGCTACGCATGGGTCAACGACGACGGGAACATTCATGGGCTTTCTGCCCGTACATATGTGGTGCAAATTCGCCCAAGCGCGTCCCCGATGCGGCGCGAATTCAACCCACAGGCAAAAGTATCCCATCACACAAGTCCCGAGTATGGCTCTCGTGTACGGTTTCATGACGTTCCTGTTGCAGTCTCGGCTGACTGTCCTGTTCCGTTGACACCGGATTCCGTTCTGAAAATCATCACACTGTGGTCAAGAGCACCGCAGCATCGATTCACGGATCAGATTCTCAGTGTTCGGCAACCTGTTTGTATAGGTATGAAAGAAACTCTTGCTTATGTGTTCCCTGCTGACTGACTGGGCTTCAGGGCGGAGGATAGAACCTTCATTGAGCGCTTGGCTTCCTACGCTTAGCGTACGATCGGCTACGCCATTCCCAGGTAGTGACAGCAATGGGAATGTTTCCTGTCGTTCTGTACGCGAGCAATCGAAGAGGTACGCCTCCCACCCATTATGAAGTTGAAATGACAACTGCGGACGGTTGAATACAAATCATCACTGTTGTACATGGATTGGATGAACATACACCCAAAATTCTCTCTGTCCGACAGTCGAGTCTATGTTTCAGACGTTGTCAGTCATAGACACCACCGACTATGAACTGGAGGATGGAAGCGACTTTGAAAATCACTTCACGGGGTTCACACAACGTGCAGTGGATTCGCCGATCACGAGGCTGTTATCGTAGTCAGTCAGACCTACTGACAGCAGGGAACAGATAGGCCGAACCTAGTAACACCGGATTCCACCCACGGAACCACCAAAGTTGTGTCAAACGCGACAAAGATGTTAGTCAAACAACACTTCGAATGCACCGTCGCCATGTTCTTCTCGACTCCGAACATCTTGCCACCGATATATATCTGCGCTGCTGAGACTCGTTGTCCACAGTCAACCCCAGTGCCCAAGCAACCGATACCAAGACACGCAAAAATCATCACGCTGATTCAGGACGGTCAGTATTTCACGCAGACTCGCTCAGTATGATTGGATGACATTTTCTGTTGAGATGGACCCCGCAGACATATCATATGTGTGCCAGACCCTCTCCATGGAAGAGCAGCGGACGGTTGTGATGATGATGGGTCTCGGGTAAGCCAATGCTACGTACTATACAGCGGGATCGAGTGGCTGACACAGACTCTAGTGACATACTGACGGATGGAGATGCTCCGTCGTGCACCAGTCGAGCTCTGGCCCGTCCAGAGGCGGACCTTCGACTTCGTCTGTTGTCCCGTGCAACTATTCCGGCAGCACCTGCGCCGGTCTTACGGAAGACGACTGTCAGGGGTGTCCCAGGAGTGAGGCAGCACCTATGGCGACACCACAGGAGCCATTTCGTGCACGACCGCCACGGTAAGCATATTGCCAGTGGCGTACGGGCACCAGCTGAGGAGGTGTGCGCGATGGCCATCTCGGACCTCGACAACCTCGCGCGCCACATGGCATCCGTGCACCTCAGGCTCACGGCGCAGAAATGCCCGAGGTGCGGTAGCCAATTCTCGCGGATGGACGCCCTATTGCGACACTGCAAAAGGTGCGCTAGCTGCCAGTAGGTGAGTGAATGTGTTGCTGTAGTGCAACCGCCGTCAGGATTCACCCGTCGCCCATGTAGACCTGTCATAGGCGCTTTCTAATTATACCCATTACCCGCTCAAAGCGCATAGACTCGTTTCATGGTCCGGAAAGCGCTGGCGACCTGTATGGCTCGCGTCCGCCGTTCCCTTTGCGTCTGCTCATAACCTGCCAGCCGCGGCAGATTTTCGCAACTGAGTCCGTTTATTGTTATGCGATGACCATAGATACTTGTATCACACATCTATGTGTCATAGGGATAGCGCCCTTTGTGCGCTATTATTGCCGGCCCGGTCTTTGCGTACTGAGCTCGTCGCCCCGACCAGGCTTGTCCGCTTTCACATGCAGTGCCCACAGTGGATTACGGACGGATGTTTCGCCGCTTCGGGCACTTGATCAGTGTCCCTTCATGCCAAACCGCTCAGTAGTGGAATTGCAAATACAAAGCTGAGCACGTCTCAACGCTCTCCTGAACCAAAACGGGCAGTAATCCACACCTCTTAGTATTATTGGCTGAGTAGTGGTCAAGCGGGCCCATCCCGATTTCGCGTAAAGGCACGTAAGCGATCCTTCTGTCAGATTGCTGCTCAGAGTTGCCAGTCACTGGCAACTTCGATCGTTTCAAAATGAACGTGTTGCTCATTTGTCGCGAGGCTAGCCGAGGCATCAAGCCACACATAATTATGAGAGCCGCATCTGTCAGCGCCAACCGTCACGCCTGGCATGCAAAATGAAGAATCCCGGGCCATAGATCCCTACCGGCCTAATTATACACGCAGGTCGGGGCAAGAATCTGCTTCCCACCGAGATGATGCCACCTCTACTGTACGGAAACAACCGTATTCAGTCGTCCCAGTCGTCGAGTCGGGTTGTACGAGTCAGCCAAGGTAAGCCAGCAGTGCTCACTTCTCTCGGTCGAGATGGCTATTGTATTCTACTAGTACATAGATACACGGTGGGTACGATCTCCCGAACTGCGACCACATCTACAATCTATATATGCGCCTTCAGGGGTACATGCACAAGCGCCGCCGTCTCTAAGTACGAACCAATCACCTGCAGTTTCGCCGCGTTCTCTTTGTGCCAGCTCTGATGTGCCTGGGACAGTTCTTAGCATACCAGTCCATCTAGCAGCAACCACGGAACATACCTTTACGGAGTCCCATCCAACGAAAACGACTGATACCTGCTTGCCGCCGATTTTTGTGATACTGTAGCACGCGTCATGCATCGCAGGTGGCTTCGCTCCAACAGCGGCCTGGTATGCCCGCTCGTACTCCTCGACGTCACCCTTCACGGTGATTACGGCCTGGACAGAGTTATGAACGGTCAATCGAATCTCTCGATCTGAAACGGCTTCTACGACACCGCAGCACTCACGATCTCTGTCACAGGCGCGGTGGTGATCTTCTCTGGGAAGGTGCCGAAGGGGACGAAGTAAGAAACGGGCTTGGCCGTGGCAATGTTCAAGATCTCCTCAAAGAAGTCGCCGTACTCGTCTTTAGGCCACACCAAGTCTGTCGGCTCAAATCCTTGGTCTAAGGCTAGTACGTGGGATCATATGTCAGCTTGGCTGGAAATCTGTGCAGTGAATGCATAAGGGACTCAATAGAGCTTCGTCGCGTCCTCGACGGGGCTGCCGTACCACTGGTGGACGAGTCCGCATTTGGCGGCCGCGTCGCGGAGCCGCTTGTACGCGGGGGACTGTGCGTCGACGCCATCTTCAGCTGGACGATTATGAGCTCGACGGTGATCATCTTGACTCTTGGAAGTGTAGGAGCTAATGAGTTCTACGTAACGTAGTGTGCGCAGAGAACGACAAACTGGTATCCTTGGCTCGCAGTTATATGCGTCAATCCTCGGGCGCCGTTGATGCGAGTTCTGGTTGGAGGTACTTGTTGATCCCGGGCCAGCGTATTCGGTGACATTCAGTTTGAACGGCGGGCGGCCTCGGGCGGCCTTCGTCGGCGTCTGTCCGCTCGCAAGAATGAACGAAGGCCTAGTTCGCAAGTGCGCCATGGTTCGGTAACACCGATGCTTCCGCAAAGTATCCATAAAGGAATAATGACCGGCGGTCGATCACAACGCTCGATACGTACTATACAGTGTGCCACGATGTTTTACTGCCTTGCAATTCAGAACCTTGCCTCTTCACAAATGTCAGTCGTTTGGGGTCTTGACCTACAGGACACCAAAATGAAACGACATTCGGTGAACCTGAGTACTGGATATTGATGAGACGCTCAAGTACGCCCTCTGCTCCTACGCCTGCTACTAAGCATGTTGTGATCAGTAATATTGCGATCGATAGCTGATACTGAACATGTACCTGTACCATTCTGACCGCGACAGCTGATTCCAAATTGTAGAAATCTTCCCGAAAACGCGTGCACAAGCGGAGTTCGAGGTCGTCGGGCCTTTGTCATGTCCGACCTACTCGTCGAGCGATCCGCACCCCCTGAGCAGACCGAGGTTAGTGACCGAGGCTCACCCTCAACAAGCCTCGATGGTGAAATCCCGACGACAATGTCCCAGAAATACTGACCAAAACCGACACGCTCCGCCTGTGCGCACTCTTGGGGTCTAGCAATACTTATGGGATCAGCTGGAAAAATCCTGCGGCTGTCGCTCATTGAGGCCGATTGCATTGATTTCTGCGCGTCCGTTCGATTATTTGAAAGACAGCCCATAAGAATGCCAATATTAGTGCTAGTAGTGAGGGCGGGCGAGGACTCAGTACTCAGTACTCATGCTCAGATCGACGCTGCACCAAAGTGTAAGCGCTGGCCAGGCCCTAGGTGTGGTGGCGCTGGGATGTCAGTGTGGCGTGGGACAGTTGGGCGGGAACGGGCGAACTCTGCTGTCGAGCGCCCGTGAGGAGGACACCAAGCCCGCCAGAAACGCTGCCCGCAAGACTGCCCCCGTCGCCGACGCCGACGTCCTCAAAACAACCCGAGCGGTGCGTCCCTGCTGTCCTGCCCGGCCCCTGCGCGAAAGAACGGCGCGCGAACTCGCCGGGACGCGCTGGATGGGCCGGGCTGCGTCCGGATGTCGGTCGTGCTGATGCGGGCGTCCCACAGGCCCGCCATGTCCTCAAAACTGCCCTCCGTCCTCGCCGCGACCGACGAGGAGATCCAGCTCCTCCTCGCGGCGCAGGCACACATTGGCTCGAAGAACTGCGACAAGCAGATGCTCCCGTACGTCTGGAAGCGGAGATCTGACGGTCAGTCCCTTCCCTCAGAAACATGGGAGCGACGACGACCCCTCCCCCTTAGGCATCCACATCATCAACATCGGCAAGACCTGGGAGAAGCTCGTCTTCGCGGCGCGCATCATCGCAGCGATCGAGAACCCAAACGACGTCTGCGTGATCTCCGCCCGGCCGTACGGGCACCGTGCGGTGCTCAAGTACGCCGCGAACACGGGCGCGCAGGCGATCGCGGGGCGGTTCACGCCGGGGTCGTTCACGAACTACATCACGCGCTCGTTCAAGGAGCCGCGGCTGATCGTCGTGACGGACCCGCGCGTGGACCACCAGGCGATCCGCGAGGCGAGCTACGTCAACATCCCCGTCATCGCCTTCTGCGACACCGACGCGCCCCTCAAGTTCGTCGACGTCGTCGTCCCTACCAACAACAAGTCCCGCCACTCCATCGGCCTCATGTGGTGGCTCCTCGCGCGCGAGGTCCTCCGCCTCCGCGGCACCATCCCCCGCACCCCCGAGGGCTGGAGCGTCATGGTCGACATGTTCTTCTACCGTGACCCCGAGGAGGTCGAGAAGCAGCAACAGGAGGAGGCTGCTGCCAAGGCGGCCGCGGCCGCTGGCGATGTCGCCGAGGCGCCCCTCAACGAGTGGGACCCGACCGCGGCCCCTACCGCCGGCGGTATCAACCCGGCTTTGGTTGCCGGCGAGGGTGGTGCGTTGCAGAATTTTCTTTTTCGTTATTTGTACATTGATCCACGAGTCCGCAGGTGCGCTCGACTGGTCTGCGGAGCCGACGACGACAGGCCCGACCGACTGGGCAGCAGAGCCGGCCGCTGCGTCTGGCTGGGGTGCGGACGCGGCGGGTGGTGCGACCGGCTGGGATTAAGGAGTTTACGCACGGGCCTGCTATCACCACACGATATTCTTATGCTGGGCCGAGGCCATGCTTTGTATGCGCATGTCATATCACCGCTTTCTGTTTTCCAAAACTATGATGCACACGCATGGCCCGAGCACGTCCCGAATGAGCGCAGAGGCGGGCTGCAGTGTCGCCCGTTGTATGTATCCGTACGCACGTTATCCTATCGAAGCCGCTGCACGGGATCCCATTATGCTACAGGCCGTAAGTTACAGGGTTGGCTATACATTCCGTGGTGCGAGCATGCAGGGGCACCGGTCGTAGATTCTGCTTCGCCCATAGATTCTACTTCTACTTCACGACGGCACCTTCTAAGCATCCATGGTGCCGGGCTGGTCGACGTTGCCGTCCTTCTTGAACTTTGCGTGCATGGCCTCGACCTCGTCCTGGACGCGCTCGATGGACTTGAAGTACTTGACCGTCTTGACGTGGAGCTCTGTCGCCTCATCAGCTCCCGCTCACAGCCCGCAAAGGGCGGGGCGGCTCACCGGCGGTGGCATCCTCGTCGACGACGATGAGGGCCCAGGGGTGCATCTGGAGGGCGGAGAGGGTCCACATGTGGTTGACGCCGTCCTCGATGGCCTTGCGGAGCGCGAGGGCCTTGCGCTGGCCGGAGACGACGACGACGACCTCGCGCGCGTCGAGCACGGTCGCGACGCCGACGGTGAGCGCCATGCGCGGCACGGCGGCGACGTCGTTGTTGAAGAAGCGCGCGTTCGCGAGGATGGTGTCGTACGCGAGCGTTTTGATGCGCGTGCGCGAGGCGAGGGAGGAGCCTGGGGGAGAGGGTGAGAAGGGGATAAGAGAGAGAAGGAACGGGAGGAAGGGACGGGCGAGGGGGGGGGACGGGCGCGGAAACGGAACAGGAGACAGGGAAGAGCAAAGGACGGAGACAGGGTCAGGAGAGGGGGAGCAGCTTACCAGGCTCATTGAAGGCGATATGGCCGTCCTCGCCTATGCCACCGAGGAAGAGCTCAATACCGCCGTACTTCTTGATCTTCTCCTCGTACGCGTTGCACTCTGCGATGAGGTCGGGCGCGTTCCCGTTGAGGATGTTTACCTGCTCCGGCGGGATATCAACTGTGCGCTCGTCGCGTAAGCTTCACAGCGCAGACGACAGAAGGAGCAGGACGCACTGTGGGAGAAGAACTCGCGGAACATGAAGGTGTGGTAGGACTCGGGGTGGTCCTCAGGGAGGCTGACGTACTCGTCCATGTTGAAGGAGACGACATGCTTGAAGGAGAGCTTGCCGGCCTTGACGAGCTTGATGAGGTGCTTGTACGTCGGGATGGGGGACGAGCCGGTGGGGAGGCCGATCACGAACGGCCTGTCCGCCGTCGGCGCAAAGTCCGTTATCCTGGCGTGCGGAGTGAGTAGCAGAGCAAGACTGCGGGGGAAGAACGCACCGCTTGGCGATGTACTCGGCAATGTACTCGCCGACTGAGGCGGGGCTGTCGCGGATGATGAGACCTGCGAACAGACAGTTGAGGATCTGAGGGTCTACAAACATCGCTCGGACTCACGCATGCCGGCTGCGGTCGGACGGACTAGTCTGGGTGCTGCGCGCGCTGACAGGCAGAGCAGCTCGCTGGGAGAGCGGGCTGGAGAGAGGGAGGGCGGGGACGGGTTGGGCGGATGAAGGATGGGGGAGCCATAGGTAGAGGGAGACGAAGGGGCCAGATAAAGACGAGAGGGCGATCGATCCGTCTGCCGGGCTCACGCTCCACTCTCGCAGCCACCTGCACCTCGCCCACTCGTCCATGGACGACGCGCATGGGAGCGCAGCGATTGGTGCCCTCCGCCGCGCCTCGCCTCTGCCCGTGTGCTCGTCTCCGCCCCCCATATGCTCCTTCCCCCGGACCGCCCGCACAGGCACCGACGAACATCCGCCTTATCGAGCCTCGAACGTCGTCGCTCGCCGCACCCTCAGTCGCAGCACAGCATTCCGCTGTACAGGACTAGAAATGCATTGCAGTTGCATACGGCACGTTCGTGGGTCCCATGCTAGATCGACCAGCTGATCCCGTCGTCGAGGAAAGAGAAGCACCTTGTCGGACTGGAGTCTCGGACTCTGACTCACAATGCATTCTTCAGGCTCCGTGCTTCGATGGATAGGGGAAGCTGCTTTAGGACGGCTGGTACATTGTTCCCAATATTGCCCCGCGTCGCAGCGGGCTCCGAGTCGTGTGGTACATCCCTCCCCTGAGGCCGTCGATTGACCTTGCACACTGAAACGTGCGAGGTTGGTTGTTTGCAGTCTGCAGAGTCTTGATATTCCGTGAAATGGTTCCAATACTGATAATCGAGTTGCTGAAAATGAACGCAGCGGCTAGCGGCGTAGAGTATTAGAGCTGGCTGCTGGCGTAGGCTCCGAGACTACCGCGGAGCGCGCATTGGGCCACAAAGCTTCCCGAAAAGGAAATAAGCGCGCTCGGTGCAGATTCCAGTTCAACTCAACCCGCGTTCGCTTCACCGCGTAAGCACAGCCTGCGAAACCTATGCCTACACTACCTCAGCCAATCTCAGCTGTTTCCCATCGCAGCCCACCTCTGATCAAGGTTGCAGACCAGTGTGGACGACACCGGCGAGGACGCATGCCAGCGCAGCAATTCGATCCGCTTGCGCGTGCCCCGCGTGCCCGTCTGCACATGCATCGGTGGATAATCTTCCTATCGAGCCTCGGCCACCCCTCTCGACAGTGACCAGCGGAGCGGTCTCGACCATTTCGTCGCGGGAATTGTGGAGGATCCAGTTTTCGAGACGATTGACTTCTTCGGATGAGTGGCAACGTTCTTGTCAACAATTCCATGTCTTGATGGTGCACGCAGACTCGCCCTGTGGTCGCGTGGCAGGTTCGCTTTATGTTTTGATTACACACTGTCATACACTAAGTACCTGCACAGAGTGTTGCGTACAAAGCCTTGGCCTTTCCTGACATTGCGTGGACTGACATTTTCATTGATCCCGTCATCGCCCGCCCGGGCCACGTCGCCTCTGGCCACAACACCGCCCCAAAAGTAAAATCAATCATCCTGCAAACTAAACACGTCTGTTAGGTCTCCATCTCTGCATGCTGTATTTTGGAAATTGACGCAATTTACTATGTAGATGCGAACGGGTTGCACTGTCGTTTCTGGCCAGGGGCTGTCCATATTCTCGATGCGTCCTGCGTCCGGATTCTGTTTATCCGCGGATTCGTACGTCCCACAGTGGTCACATCCTCTTTGCTGTCCCCTCAGCATAGCTGCGTCTCTGTTCTATCTTCTCTATCTAATTTCAGAAAAAAACGAACATCCGGTCAGCGTCCCCGTAAAACGACGGCTCTGTGTCTGAGTGTCGGAATGTCCCGCAGACCAACATGATATGTTCAAGTATAAGAAGAGGGAATATGTACACCGCACGGACACAGTAAGTTCTAGTACTGATTTTCGGTCATGTCTAATTCAGAATTTTAGATCGGTCTAGGCGACAATAAATAGTCAACAATGCCAGTGCGATGCGGTAAAGATGTGAGTGTGTACATGCAGAGCCGTCTCGTGAAGGTCCCGTTGAGATGTCTACACATTCACTTCCGAGATAGCTGTGGAGGATTTCGGGACGCAGGGACTATGAGTATGCGGTGCTATTCTTGAGGAGAAGCTGCAAAACCCCAGTGCCGTGGCGTGAGTCCTTGATACAAGGCTGTGCGCTCCTGTGCGGTGGTGATGCAAATGGAGATGCGAAACCATCGCATATCGCTTCGTGGGTATGCTATCGTGATACACTATTCTGGAGCGAATTGTGGCGGCGCCTAAGTGGGACTGCAAATGGGAGTCTCTGCGCGTCGCACTTCATTCTTTTCCCTCTCCTGAGCCAGCGAATTTCAGGTTCGGGATGCATTCGTCGGGCTCGCATGACAGGTGTCGCAACGAGCGCTCGAAGTAGAGGGTATATAACCTGTACTGCTCGCCGTCTTTCCACAACCCTGTCTCACATCATGTCGACTGATACGCTTGCACAGGCGGGTATCTCAGCAGTCAGGCTAGGGTGAGTGCTCCTCGGTCCTCTTAGTCGCCTTATACTGAGGCCGCAGACACAAGGACTGTACTGAACGATATCAACGTGGCCGCAGCGTGCAGTGAGCCACTACTTAGCATCTGATTCACACGACATTTCTGATTATTGCTGGTATTGGCACTGATATGTATAGCACTATACACATACGATCGTTGCCTCGCCTTCCCGCAGGAGGTAACGCTTTTGTGGCGACGCCGCAGCATGTCCATGGCGACTTGTCTATATATGCTGCTGCACCTGTCCACCGCGATGATCCTGTATTCATCAGTAAATTCGGCAACTTATGCTGCGGCGGAATACAAGGTACGGCGCGATTGAACTGCTTGGGATCGATACGAATATTCACTTGGTTTCAGAGGTAACTCCCATAGTAACTCGCATGTCTGTGATTTCGTGCCACATTCATGTATGGGCATTTGACAGCTGTGTCGTCCAAAGTCTATGGATGCAGTGCGCCAGGGTATTGTTCTATATCGCCAATGGTGGTGCGTTACATTGTCATCTTCAGTTACCAGCTTACATCAGTGCCGCATCGTCCTAACAGCTTTCACTGCGCTGCGTGCCTACGCCATCAGCAATCGTTCCGTCCTCCTGGCTTTCTTGATCATGTTGTCCTTTTTGGTCGTTGCCGGTACCTGCATTGTGCGTTTTCCAAATTGAGCCATTCTTTCCTGACAATCATGCTAACTGTGTTCATCAAGTATGAGATTTCCGTGGAAACAGTGATTACTGTTTCAGGCTTACCTTCTGCTTGCATTCTAGCATTCAACAATGAAGTGCTCGGGTGCGCCTTACATCTCTCTGGTTTCGTAACTATCGTTGGCAGACACTGACATAAAGGCCTCAACACATGTAGTGCGTGTAAGTTAGATGTTAATCAAATCCTGGATGAACTTGGCTTACAAGTTACGAACCTTGTCTAATTCGCCCACATCACCGTAGTGATACTTGTTGCGCAAGTGTTCTCGATCTTCCCGGAGATATTGCTGGTGACGGCAATCTGGCGTCATGCGTATGTGGCCAAGCTTGCCAAAGATGCACAAATTGATGCTCCCCTCACTACGCTGTTTTTTCGAGATGGTCAGTGTTAGCGTGTACTACGCCCGCCGTCATTAGTCGTATTTTAACGTCCGCCCGTGCTTCTACTCTAGGCACACTCTACTTCATGTGAGTCCATAGGTACAGACTCAACACGATCGAAGAAAGCTCATCTTGACTTGCCGCCTCAGTATGATCGTCGTCCTTCTAGTGACAATACTGGTTCTCAGCCGCACCGGAGTTGTTGGTTTCAGTGCCTTAGCATGTCAACAACGCAGCATCGTACTCACCCAACTTCAATTCTGCTAGGTTGTTTTCACCGGCTTCATGCCAGAGATTTGCTACGCGTACGTTTTTCGGCATTCGGGTCAAAGCCATCATAGCTGAACATGATCAAGCAGACTGCAGACAATACTGCTCTCGCACTTCTACCTCAACTTACGCGAAGCAAGCGCTATCCGGGGCGACACGGCGCTCTCCGGCGTATCAGAGCAGTCTAGTCTCCGCTTTGCGCGTGTTGTAGGTACACTTGCGCACACCTCCGTATATGACGATCAGAGGATCCCGGCGCCGGGAGACTTGGACGTAGAAGACGTCCTCGATGCGGACGAGGAACAGCGGGAAGAGGGAGATGCTGAGATCGAGATATTGGTGGTCTCGCGGAGCAGCGCCGTGGACCAGGAATCACATCCTTCTAAGGTCCTTGTCGCGAAGATTGTCCCGGAAGTTGTATCCGTTCAGCATATTGTGTAATGTGTTTTCCTGCCTTGCAAGCATCCTCTGAACCGCGTTCCGAGCACAAATCAAACTCACGTATCGATTTATGTGTCCTCACTGCAAGACACCATTCGTTGTCAAGCAATCGGTGTCGGCCGAACACTGTGAGTAAGTATGCTCGGTTCATATACCTATTCCGCGCTCATTCCCTTCCATCATGCAGCGCCACGAGCTCCAGGATACGGACATACACACTGAGACATGGATGCAAAGTGCTTCCTGCCCTTGTGTCCCGATCGTGAGAATATATCTCACAGTTCTAGCTCGCAGAGCGGCACAAATGACCACCATCGTTGAGCTAGTGATCTTGAATCTTAAAAAGGGTGTCTACAAGGACCCCCGTCCCGTACTTCATCATGGGACTGACGGTCGCTCATTTGCTGCATGCGCCTGACCAGACTTCGTGGACGGGTTCGAGCGGAAGGACTTGAAATGGCCCGCTGCTGAGTACGGCAACATCGACAACGAACTGAAGACGATCACCACTTCCGACTTCACGCGCTACTTCTTCTATTTCCCTCGTTCCCACATGCCGTCACCGCCGCACCTGTCATCGAAGTTGTACATCTTCGTATCCTCCTTTGACGTCTGCCACAAGCACCAACTCAGCGAAGGTGTCAACCTGGTTTGACATGTACCAGCTGGGACCGCACACATGTCATTTACAAGAGTAGAGGTCAGGGCACGTAATCGCGGTGCATACCTTGGTGGGTTCCATATAACTTGGTCTCGTAACACAAGATGTCTGAGTCCGAACTCAAGATTGAACGAGTGCCCGATCCTTCAGGTGAGTCATACGTTCACCCATACGAGCACGCACTCACCAGCGTCAACACATCCGATAGACGAGCTCATCGAGGCTGCGGCCGCGCTGTTCGCGCTGGCCATGCGGACGGTCAGTATGCACATCATACGAACACAGGAATCCCACCGACATTCTACAGATGGCGCTTGCAATAGCCTCGTTGGGGGCGACCTAAGCCCTAGTCCCGATGGCACGAGCGATGATCAGAGCTGCAGTCCTTGCGGCAGGAGAGTTCTACCCCGCACTTGACCAGAGCGGTACGCTGGTTGGATATGCTCTGTGGATGCCGCCGGGCGAGGAGCTCTTCGCGACGTATGTGGACGGAGCTTTGTGGTTCGTGTAACGGCTAACGCGGAGAATCGGTAGTCCTGAACAGCGCGACCAGGGTCTGAACGACTTCATGGCGAGCCTCCGGAAGCAGTCAAGCAATACTACAAGAATGCCGTTCGTGGCCTCATCTTCGCTGCGATTGTCCTGATGCCCTCGCTGACAGTATCTGAAAGAGTTCCCGAGGTTTGTGAATGAGTGCATGGGCAGTCCAAAGGTAGGCTCGTAACGATCGCCTCAAGACATGGCACTCAGTGCATTTCAGGGCAAGACGGACGCGTGGTGGCTCAACAACTTCTGCGTTCACCCTGAGAGACAGAGGCAGGGTATTGGGCGGCGGCTTCTCGAGATCGTGAGACAGAAGGTAGACTCGCACCTCTCTCCCACATGAACACACGTTCACTTCTAACGGATCACCGGCAGGCGAAGGCGAGAAGCCAAGTCGTTGCACTCAGCGCGACGAGAGACGTCAACGTAAGTCCGTATCGTGCACAAGGAACGGCGTACTCACCTTGAGCTCGGTAGGCACCTGTGTACAAGGCATACGGCTTCGAGCAGAAAGGCGTGAAAAAGATGCTTTCGCCGTGGGGAGATTGGCCACTGTACGTTTTCGTGCTCGATGCCGGCTGTCAGTGAGCCTCAGAGTAGCGGCAGACGCTATGTAAAGAAGACCTCTTTGGGGAGGGCGGTCTTCTAAATACATGTCTGTGTCTACTGTCCCCGAGAAGTGTTCTCCAAACGCATAGATTTTCGAGACGTCAGGCTAGGTCTAGTCTCGCCACAAGATCGTCCACGTGGTGCGAGGTTTCTGTCGAACCTAAGGATAGGTCTACATAGAGAGTCGACACGGCCCCGTCGCCTCGAGAGTGCTATGGGGGGAGCAAGAATGACATAGAACGTAGACGCGACCGGGAGGGCGGTGACACTTGTAGTTGACAATCGGTCGAGCATGAGCGACAGGTAACTCACAGCCTTTGAAGGCCAATAAGAAGGACCAATGCATTGAAATCATGCCCTGGATGGCTCCTGGGCAAAGCGTTGAGAAAGAGGGACAGCGCAGCGAGAACGTGCAGTGGTTGCGGCTCCGCCGGCTGTTGCCCACGGTCAGCCACCCGCGGCCCGTGCTGCCGTCATTCATCCGTTTGAGTTGAATCCTCTTCCTCCTCCCAATTCGTCCGCTATCACATCGCTGAAGTTGTGTATACGTATAATCTCTCATAGCAACCCACGGTTTTACACTGGCATGATCATGTACAACGCGCCCCAAGCTTTGTGGCGGAAATGCGCTCATCCGACTTGGCAGAGCCTTGTGCTACTTGCCAATGGATGTCTCGTGGCGTCGCTCGCTCGCACACGTCGACCAAATGCGACGTCTTTAAATATGTTCTGTATGTATTGCAATGACTTTCAGAAGGCCAAAATAGGTTAGGCAGACTGGGACCGGGCAAGATCCACGCGTGCGTCGTCAACTTATCCATGATGTTTGCTCAGGCGTGGCAAACCGTTCTGCGGTAGAATTGGAAGTGCATCTGGTTGTATTTCCGTTCACAATAACATCGAGTGCGGGCACACCGTATACAGCTTAGATGTGGCCGGATCCGTGTACTCACTGCCTTCTGAGTTCTGATCCATGGCATATCACAACGAACGTTACGTCCCGTTCTTCCAGTTGGTCAGAAACGATAGTCTCCGTGAATATCTCACCAAGAAGAATGCGGACTCCATATGCGCTGCCAGCTGGAGCACCTGACAGACCATGGCCGGAAAATACATCTATAATCCGGGCTGATCGCATACAGAAGAACGAACGTTTACATCAAGTCTAAGTAAATCTATCGGACAACGCATTCGAGTACGTGACACAGCTTCTCAGTGATGAGAATGAACAGATTGTGTGAAAGGCATAGCCCTACTCCTCACTTAGGCTGCGGATTTCTGACTTCATCACATAGACGACGTCTTCGACCACAATCCTATGCAATGTTCAGCAAATCACGACTGGCATTGCCGTGTGGTCGCGGTCATGGTGCGGCGTCATACAGACATGGTAAGCCTGTATGCATCTCAGGAACGGCACGACGCACTGAGCTGATCGGGGTGTAAGTATTTTTGTAGCTGTTGTCTATATGAAATCTTGAGCGACTATTGCACGGGTGGCTGAAGGAAGGCGAACTTCCGCTTGTGATTGACGGGGAACTTCATTTCTATAGTTGAGGCCGGTGGCCAGACAGAGCGGCAGTGCCATGCGTCGATTCAGTGATTGCTTCGTGCTAAGGAAACTCAGTGAGTAGCCGAGACACTTCGACCGTTTCATAGACTTAACGATGTTCGTATGCAGATGGCCCACGATGCCGCACTTAGGCCTGTCCAAGTGATGTTCGTTTGGTTTTTGTTACGAATCGGACAACCATCGCGAGTTGAACGTTGAGGGCAGCTGATTTGCATCTGGAGCTAATGCGGGCGCAACATCAAACCTTGAGTCTACGTACTTACTAATGATGGCGGCATCTGTCGGTAGTGACTGACCTCGGCTCTACTCGAGTCCATATACAAAGGGCTCATATCCACCGGTGGGTTCGTGTCAGATCAGCATGAGTGCCACCTCAGTCATCATACAGGAACTCAAAACATTTCTGCAATCGCTGTGAGTCACCGTTGACGGTTCTTATTCATCAGCTGGATCGTCGTGTTAACCCGACGAGTCTGCTCGACCTACAGAACATCCAGCAACAATTGTTTGGTCGCTGCGTTCAGTGAGTTCTACACACTCGTCATTATAGGGTGTCCGTCTCCAATGAAACATATCACAACAGCTGTTTACCTTTTCGACCGGTGTATGACAATAGACCAGGAGGTTAGCCACATATGGCTGCGTCGTTACTCCGTGGTCTCTGCGCTTTATGTCCTCCTTCAAGCTGTCACCATCATTGGGTTCAGCCTCGGGTTGTTCCAGCAACTCGTCGACTTGGACTGCAAAGTGAGTTACATTGCGTCTTCACCGTTGTTTTTACAATTGATTCGGTTTGGATCAGAGGTATCGATCATGTGGTATTTTCACACCGAATGGATTGTTGACTCGTTGAACAGAGCGTATCTTGTGAACACTGCTTGGCTTGTGATGGCCATGTTGAACGACATACTGATCGCAGGTAAGTATCATGCCCCGATTCTTTGAACGTGAAATATCTATTGCATTAGTCATATCTGCCTTGCGAGTTTATGCCGTCAACCCCCCAAACTTTCTAGCACCAATTGTAGTTTTCGTGTTGCTGTTCGCACAAACAGCCTACGAGATAGTAAGTACCTGCTCATAAATTGTTCGTGCGAGCGCTCAGGTTCGAGCCTTTCCAATAGTTTGAAGGTGTCACCACAGAGGCCGTTAATGCACCGCCTCCTCTCGGCTGCGCCGTGGGGACTCGGAGCACCTTTTCCATCCTTAAGCCGTAAGTGCTTTATATTACATCGTATTTGCTGTCGCTAAACATGTCATCAATTTTCCCAAGCTGTTTGCGCTTTTCATCTTGCTTCAGTAGGTCAAATATGCTTACAGAACGTTAACAGTTGATGCTGCTTGCGTGGCCGCAGCCACTGTCGCGGATGCCATAGTCCTCGTTGTCACCTGGCGAAAAACATATCACATTGTTCGACTCGCTCGCAGAGAGAACATCACCGCCGGTTTGCCTTCACTAATGCTGCGAGATGGTCGGTCTGAGTCTGCCCGCTGATCTGGTGCACTTGGGCTAACGACATGCCATGCAACAGGAACAATACACTTCGGGTGATTAAAGGAAGCATTGCATCATGGTAGATCTGAACCTTTCCTGGCAGGCTTCTCGTCATTATCAATAGCCTCAGTGTCGTGTTATACACCATAAAGGTCAGTCTGTATGATCGACACGGGTATCACACAACCTAAGGAGGAAATCATTTTTAGGTCTTTAGCGGATTTGACAACTTCGCAATTGCGTTTGTCGAGTAACTCATCAGACTGCGCGTCCAGTCCTCACCACGAGTTTCGTACAGATTCACCAGCATTATCCTGTCTCGCTTCTTCCTCAATCTACGAGAAGCAGCCCTCGTTAACGTTGATGGCTCTTCAAACTCGAAGACACAGTCGCAGTCGGACATACATTTCTCTCGAGGCGTCGGGGCACTCGGAGCGACCCTCTCATTTGTAGGCGATGACGACGGCGACGACGAATGGGACGCAAACCCAGGCGATGACGATGAAGTTGCTGCCGAGTTCGCAGATGAAGACCGCGAGGAGGGTAACAGTGGGCAGCAGGAGATCAGCGAGGAGGCCAGGGACGATCTGCCCACGCTAACGCTTGAGGCCGCATGCTGATTGCCATGAATCGGGAGGGTGGAGGAACGCATCCTAGAGCGTTCGGCGAATGCTATGTGTGTATATTATTTATTGGTGCCTATTTATCTCGACGGAATCCTCGCACATTGACGGTTTGTTGTACGGAGAATGCGGGTAGGCAAGAGGACTGAGGTGGTCCACAATACGAATTTGAATGGTCGGACATCTTGTGTACATGCTCAACAGGGCAACACGCCGAGCGCGAAATGCGCGAAGCCATGCCACGTCCGCATTGTTGACGTCGATGTGTCTCATCTGATATATGGCCTCTGTATGAGCCTCTGAATTGCTCGATCAACAGAACATCCGCACACCCAGTCATTTACACCAGCTCCAGCTTACCTCCCAATTGACGATCACCGACCTTGCTCTCGTGCACAGTGCACACCGCCATCGCTATTCGTAGCTAAAGTCGGCAATTCGGAGGACGGACACTACTAAGGGCGTACCGACGTCGCGATCCACTGTGACACACTATTGCAGAGCCGGCGCAGGAACGTACGGCACTGATGCCGCACTGTGCGAGCGGTGGCACTAGTGTAGGTGGTCGATGTCGTCTTCGCAAGGAAGTTTGAACCCTCCTCGTTCTACTGGCCCGAAGCTTGCTCGTACGGTGGGGCTACAACTGATAAGGAGTTTTCGCACATCAATGCATCAAGTCGCAATCTAGTCCCGTTTTCAAAGCACCTCTACCCGCATTGGAAATCAAGAAGATGTGAAAACCGTGAAACTACGCTCCATAGTGCATCCGCACATACTCATACAACCACCGGCTGAGTCCGCCTAGTTACACCGGCGTCAGCTCCTCGCGACTGCTCCCATACCCCGTCTCCACGTCCTTCTCGCTCATCTTGCTCATCTCGCCGATCTAGACACGCATACACGCATCAGCCCGAGTCAAATAAGAGAAACATTCATCCAGACAAGCGATATCGCCGTCGCAAAGACGCGACAGCTCACCTGGCTCTTACTCCCCTTCGCCGTGCTGCTGACGCCCGTCTCCAGCGCGCGGCTCACGAACTCCATCGCGGTCGACTCCACGCCAGCGCCGGCGTGCTTGCGCTCGCCCGTCAGCGCGGAGACGGTGCCGGCGTCCCACGCGCGCCGCGTGAGGACGCGGTAGATGATCAGCGTCGGGGCGATGCACTGGCGGGGCGGTCCGAGGTGAGCAAGACGGCAAGAGGGTATCAAACCGCGTCAGCGGAAACCTCGATCGACAAGTACGACCGCGACGCACCGTGACCTTCGCCCACACCTGCCCGAACGCGATGCTCGTGTCGCTCCCGCGCGCGTACGGGACGAGGAACATGATGCCGAGCGCGGCGTAGGGCGCGGCGGACTCGGCCATGAGCGCGGCGACGCCGGTGTAGAGGCGCGCGGCGGGGGCGCCCATGGACGCGCGGGCGGCGCGCGCGAGCGTGAGCAGGCGCGCGACGATGAGGAGCGTGAGGAGGGTGTTGAGGGAGACTAGGATGGGGTGGGGAGGTCAGTGGGGCATTCTGAAGGGAGGAGAGGGAGGGATGGGCGAGAGACAGTGAAGAGGAAACGGGGGCGGGAGGAAAGACGAAGAGGGTCGAGAAGGAGAGAGTAGGAAGGACAGGAAGGATAGAAGGATAGCGAGAGACGAGAGAGAAGAGGATGGAGACGTACTGGTCAGCGCGTAGTAGGGTACACCGAACGAGGCCGCGCGCGTGCCGAAGAAGTTGCCGTTGGGCGTGCCTGCGATGACGAGCTCGATGATGGCGAGGGCGAAGGCAGCGAGGTAGATGAGCACGGGGAGGACGATGATAAGGTAGTTTGAGGCGAACAGGACGAAGGCGCGGTAGATCTGCGGGAGGAGGTAGGTCGCGTTAGTGGGTTGGGATGCGAAGTCAGAGGTCCGAGGCTCAGCGCGAGATACTAGGTACCATACGTGCATGGGCCCCGAGCCAAAAACTATCTACAGAAGAACACTGAGCGAATGCGCGCCTCTGCGCGAGGATCACGACAAAAATCAATGATCGAATCGCAATTCTACGGATGAAGGAGGCACTGTTCAACAATCTACCGCAGGCTACTCACCAGCAAAGCATCACTCATAAAGATTAGGGCGACCACGGAGGTCGACGACAGCGTCTCGTACCACACGCTGGTCTCGGTCGCGATGAAGCCCTCGACGCCGCCGGGCTGGGAGCGACTCGTGATCCACATCTGCTCTCCCCAGACCGCATTGGTGGCGACGTCGACGGTGACGAGGAGCGTCATGACGGTGCTGTAGACGGCGAAGAAGCGGTCGGACTTGCGGTGGCGTGCGTCCGAGTTGGCGCGGAAGGCGCGGAGGGTGGCGAAAAAGAGGACGAGCTGGACGCCGTAGAGGATGGTGGCGAACTGGCCCCCGACGTAGTAGGCATGCTCGAAGACGGCCGTCGGGGAGGACATGGGCGCGGCAACGGCTGTCGGGGCAAGGGAGAGCGCGGGGTGGCTCGAGAGCGTAGCGGGGCGCGCCCTTTAGCTATAGCGACACCTGGCGGAGATGGGAGCTGGCAGATAACAGAAGCGCGGGTATGGCAAGTAGATTACGGCCGAGCCTCGTCGAAGATGATACATGGCGACTTGGCGCGAGGAGACCTGCCAGGAGACGTGCACGAGGACGAGGAGGAGAGCATCGGCGGGCGTTTCCTGCATCCAGCAATGCAGCCACATGCGCGGAGCCAAATCACCATCTCAGTCGCGAAATCCCCTTCTCCGGCCTCCTCCCATTGGCTAGCAGTCTCCGCGATCACATCTACGATCAGCAGGCCTACCCCGCTGATCTGATCGCAGGCGCCGCCGAGACCCGCCCGGACATTCCGCCGCGCCGTCGTCGCGCTATCCAGCGCCGGCAGCGCTCTGTTCGTCACAGTCCAGACCCTCAGAGTCATATACATACATGCAGGTGATGCGGGTCCTTGTGGGCGTCACGCCCTTTGAGCATGCCGCCCCCGTAAAGCCGCCCCCGCCATGCTCGCCTCCCTCGTCGCCCGCATCCACGCATCCCTCCCTACCCTCAGCCTCTTCCTCGTCGCCTTCAGCCTCTCCGTCAAACTAGCAACGTCAATATGGCTGCGCACCCTCGATCCAGTGCCTCATCATGACTACAGTACGTCCGCATCAATCAACCAACGTTCTACTCGAACTCAGATCAGAGTCGACACCCGGCACCCAGGCTACGTAGGCTCCGACTACCCCTCCGAATGGCCCATCCCCGTCCCCTCCGTCCTCCTCCCCTCCGACGCCTCTCAGCGGTACAACCTCTCCTCCCCCGACGGCACCGCCGAATGGCGCGCCGTCGTTCCTACCCCGCATACAGTCCGCCTCGGGCCGCACCGCCAGCCGTACACCGTCGGCATGTTCCACGCCCTCCGCTGCCTCGACGTCGTCCGCGCCGAGATGGTCGCTCCCCGCGCGGACGAAGCGCACACGGAGCTCGCGAGGCATTGCATGAACTACCTGCGCCAGGCGGTCACTTGCCGGGGCGACCTGCAGCTCGAGCCGTTCCTCGCGCCGGAGCACGTACGTCCTATCGACCTCTACGGGACGTATGTATGCAGAGACTGGGGCGCCGTGTACGACGCGGTGGAGGCGAACCATGCGGAGTATGCAGCTTGGCTGAGTGAAGAGACGAGCAACACAGGTGGTGCAGTGGTGAGCTGAGATGTCGCCGTGGAACACTGTGGTTGCTAGTACGTACCGTCAATCTGTCATCCATGTTACCACTACTGATTCCGCACTTTGCAATAGTACACTGCATGCGCGATCATCGCGACTCGAATGTCAACGAGGACGCGACAGTAGATCTTCGAATCCCCTTCCGCTTTTCGAGTAGCTGTTCATGATCTCCGGGATGGAATACCCGACTGTCGTCACCCCACGGGCTCCGCTTCGATTGCCGTTACGATGTCTACCACCCACGTCGCGAAGGTTCTGCACCCTCGGCTATGCCCACATTGACGCACAGATCGTCGCGTCCTCAGGCATGTCCAGCTATGTCCAGTAACTCAAATCGTACTTCATGCCCGCAGAGTCTTGAACTCCCGTGACATGATTCCAATACTGAGTACCGAACTGCTGAAAATGAACGCAGCGGTTAGCGGCGTAGAGTTGAGCTGGCGTAGACTCCGAGACTACCGTCACGGTAGAACGCGCAATGACACCGCGCATTAGGCCACAACGCTTCCCGAAAAGGAAATAAGCGCGCTCGGTGCAGATTCCAGCTCAACCGCGGTTGCTTCACTAGGTAAGCACAGCGTGCGAAACCTATACCTACACTACCTCAGCGAATCTCAACTGTTTTCCATCGCAGCCCACGTACGATCAAGGTTGCCGACCAGCGTGGAAGACACCGGCGGGTACGCATGCCAGCGCAGTGACTGCCAGTGGTGCCCTCCGCTCTCTTCTGCGCGTGCGCGTGGCCCGTCCCCGCCTGGTCCCCGCTTTCCATGTCTGCACAGGCATCGGTGGATACTGAACCTTCCTATCAAGCCTCGACTCTCGACAGTGACCAGCAGAGCGCTCTCGACCATTCGTCGCGGGAATTGTGGAAGATCCACTTTTCGGGATGACTGACTTCTTTGGATGAGTGGCAACGTTCTTGTTAACAATCGCATGTCTTGATGATGCACGCAGATTCGCCCTGTGGTCGCGTGGCAGGTTCATGTTTTGACCATACACGTTCATACACTAAGTACCTGCACAGAGAGTCGTGTAAGGCCTCAAAGCCTCGGCCTTTCCCGACATTGCGTGGACTGACATTTTCTTTGATCCCGTCATCGCCTGCCCGAGCTACATCGCCTCTGGCCAGTGGCCACATTGTGACACAGCCCCAAAAAGAAACTCAGTCATCTCCGAGTCGTAATGTGGGCCGAGCTTTCTCAGCCTCTCCCTCCTCTCCTCCTATTCTGTGGAGGATCATTGATTCGCTGACGCCAAGCATCTCTGTTTACCGCGCCGCTAGCACTGGTGGTACGAATCCCGATGTGATTGTCGTCCGACTTCGTAGACATTATGTGATATGCTAGTCGGGATCGGGGTGCACTGGCGTGTTCCGCGACTAAGTGCGTCTGTCACGGTGGGGTCGCCATCTCTCCATGTTGTATTCTGGAAAATGACGTACTATGTAGATGCGAACGGGTTGCAGAGTCGTTGCTGGCCTCTTCCTGACCTCTCAGCATAGCTGCGTCTCTGCTCTAACTTCTGCATGCGTATCTATCAGTTTTGAGATAAACGAGCATCCAGGCAACGTTACCGTACAACGGTGGCTCTGTATAGTGTCGGAATATCCCGCAGACCATGCGTTCAAGTATGAGAAGAGGGGATACGTACGCAGCACGGATATAGTAAGTTCTAGTACTGATTCTCGGACAAGTCTGATTCAGATCGGTCTAGGCGATAATCAATAGTCAACAGTACCAGTGACGACACCATGAAGGTGTAGGTATGCGCGACAAGACCGGCACAAAGACATACCTGGCATATGACAACTTGTGGACATGCCGCAAATGCCACTGTGGTGTACAAAGCTGTACGTACCAGCCTATGAACAATTCATCCACCCTGATGATTGATTTGTATGCAGAGCGCCGTCTCGTGAAGATGGCGCTACGATGTCTACACAGTGGTGTGAATGCTTGCTACAAGCCTGTGCGTTGTCGATGCAAAGGGGCATACGATCGCATGCGTGACATAGCATATCGCTTCGTGGGTATGGTATCGCGATACCTACCACTTTTCTGGAGCGAGTCGTGATGGCGTTTCAGAATGAACGTTCATGAACCTGCAAATGGGCGTCTCTGTACCGGTTCGCAATCCATTCTGTTGTCCTCCCCGAGCCAGCACGCTTCAGATGTGGGATGTACTCATCGATCTCAAGTCAAACGTGCCACAACGAGAGCTTGGAGTAGCTGGTTATATAACATGTACTGCTCGCCCACATTACATGATTCTGTCTCGTATCATGTCGACCAATACGCTAATCGGACAGCCGTGAGTGCTCCTCGGTCCTCTCAGATGACTTATACTGAGACAGCAGACACAAGGACTGTAACGAACTATATCAACACGGTCGTAGTGTGCAGTGAGCTCACTACTCATTCACACGACATTCTGACACTTGACATGTATAGCAATATACACATACGATCGTTGTCTCACCTTCCCGCAGGAGGTAAACCTTGTGTGGCGGCGCCGCGGCATGTCTGTAGCGACTGGTCTCTATATGCTGCTGCACATGTCCACCACGATGATCCTGTATTCATCAGTCGTTTCATTAATCTATAAGGCAAATTACAAGGTACGGCACGATGCTCCTTGGGATTGATACAAATATTCACTTAGTTACAGAGGTACAACTCCCATAGTAACTCGCATGTCTGATTTCGTGCCACACTCACTGTGTATGAGCATTTGCAGCTGTGTCACCGCACGTGTCTGGACGGAGTGCGCCACGGTATTGTTCTACATCGCCAATGGTGGTGCGTTACATTGTCATCTTCGATTACTAACTTATGTCAGTGCTGCATTGTCTCAAAAGCTTTCACCACGCTTCGTGCCTACGCCATCAGCAATCGTTCCGTACTTCTAGCTTTCTTGATCGGGTCGTCGTTTCTAGTCGTTGCCGGCGCCTGCATCGTGCGTTTTCTACATCGAGTCTTTCTTTCCTGGCAATCATGCTAACTGTGTCCATCAAGTGTGCGATTTCCACGGAAATGGTGATTCCCGTTTCAGGCCTACCTTTTGCTTGCATTCTAGGTTTCAACGGTGAAGCGTTCGGGTGGGCCTCACATCTTTCTCCGGTTTCATTGGCAAAATTTGACAGAAAGGCCTCAACGCATGTAGTCGTTGTAAGTTATATGTTAATCGAATCCCAGATGAACTTGGCTTACGAGCCTTGCCTACATCACCATAGTGACACTTGTCGCGCAAGTGTTTGTGATCTTGCCGGAGACATTACTGGTGACGGCAATCTGGTGTCGTGTGCACTGGCATGTGGTCATGCTTGCCAAAGATGCACGGATCCATGCTCCCCTTACTACGCTCTTCTTTCGAGATGGTCAGTGAAAGCGTGTGCTATGCGCGCCATCAATAGCTGTATTTAACTTCCATCCCTGCATACTATAGGCACAATCTATTTCATGTGAGTCCATAGATCGGACACACACTAAATACGATTGAAGGAAGCTCACCATGCCTTGCCACTTTAGCTTGATCCTCGCCCTTGTGGTATCAGCACTGGTTCTGGGCCTCACAGAAGTTGTTGGTTTCAGTGCCTTCGCATGTCAAACAAAACAACATCGTACTGACGAAACTTGACTCGGAACTCCGCTAGGTTGGTTTTGTCAACTTCATGCCACAAATAAACTCCACGTACGTTGTTCGGTACCCGGGTCACTGTCATCATAGCTAACATAATCACGCAGGCTGCAGACAATATTGCTGTCGCACTTCTACCTCAACTTACACGAAGCAAGCGCAAATCGGGGCGACACGCTCTCCGGCGCATCACAGCAATCTGATCTCCGCTTCGCGCGTGTTGTAGGAACACTTGCGCACTCCTCCGTATATGACGATCAGAGTATCCTAGCGCAGGGAGACACGGACGTAGAAGACGCTTCCGATGCGGACGAGGAGCAGCGGGAACACCGAAAAGTTGAGACCGAGGTATCGGTGATCTCGCGGAGCAGCGCCGTGGACCACGAATCACATCCCTTCTGAGGTCATTTCCGTAAAAGGTCCCCGGAAATTGAATCTGTTTCACGTGCTGTATAATTTATTGTTCTGCCTTGCTAATACTCTATGGACCGCGTTCGGAGCACAGAATCAAACTCACAATTCCATTTATGTTTCCTCGCAGAAATGGCCGTCATCGTTGATCTGATCATCGCGACCTTAACGAGGGTGTCGACAAGGAGAACACGGTCTTCAAGAAGCTCCGCGAGGGTGCGGCCAAAGGCGGGCTCAAGCGCCAGTCGTACGGCTTCAGCGTCGAACATCCTCAAAGGCTCTACTGGATTCTTTGTAAGTATACCCCCGTCTCGTACTTAGTTCACGCAACTGACGATCGCTCACTCGCTGCATGTGCTCGACCAGACTTTGAGGACGGGTTAGAGCCGAAGGACTTCAAGTGTCCCGAGGCTGAATACGGCAACTTCACCGACGAACTCAAGTCGATCGCCAGCTCCGACTTTACTCGCTATTACTTCCCCTTCCCCTCGTTTCCGCATACTGTCATCGCCGCACCTGTCACCGAAGTCGTGCGTCTTCGTATCCTCACTTTGATGCCCGCAAGTTGATGAAGATCGCCCGTCTGCAGACCATCATCACTGTCAAGGCGGATGCCGACCTGGCCGCATTCAACGCTGCCGTGAACGCCGCTGGCGAGAAGATCACGCAAGCTCCCACCGTACACGGAGTGACCGGCTCTGTCACAACGGAGGCCGGAGTCAACCCCATCGCGCTTGTGCTTGTCGGCTGGGACTCAGTCGAGGTGCGTATTACCTTCCCCCTGAGTCCCAGTGTCAGCACCAGCTTCTCTGATTGTTGATTGAGTGCGACGCTTGACGTTCCCGACTTCGTCTTGATTTCCTTCTCCGTTGATGCTCTTTTAATGATATGCCGGGACTGATGCATACCCCAGGCTCATAAGGCTTTAGCCGCTGTCCCTGAGGTCCAGGCGAATATCGCCCTACGCTTCGTCGATAAACGAGACGTAGACGAAGTCGACCTTCTCCGCAAATGTCTGCTAGCGTAATAATCATCAGAGAGGGTTATACTACGACCCCTCTTAGCTACTAGATGGACGATATGAATATTGTTGGTGAAAGAATAAGCCTGTAGTGCTGGAGCGCGTAAGGATGGGAATGGAGCTTGTACTTTCACAGTGCATCCCCATGCACCTATGTACCTGCAGCGTCACACAAGTCCGTGAGACATATCCGGTCATTTCCAGCGACCAGCTGCAAGTCGCGAGAGGCGAACTACTGTATGTGCGGCGGACGCCGAGAGGTGTTCCCACGCCACTTTCGCGATCAAGCGCTTGACTGTCCGTCTCCAAACAAGTTCAAGCTTCAACGTCCTCCGTCCTCCGTCGTCGCTGCCTGAGGCCTCGCATTCCTGATACTCCTTAGCCTCGCACTATGGCGCAATACTCAATGGTCAACGGTACGGTCACGTTCCAAACAGCTACGGACAGCTGGAACACCACTGTCAACACAACCGGTTCCGAGCTCCCCCGCCCTCGACCGCGCGTCGTCCTCCGAGCTAAAGAGAAAGAGGATCTATGGTTCTCCGACGCCACGGCCATGCTCATCATCGCCGCACTTACGCTGCTGGACCTCTACGCGACGTACTTCAAGCTGCGCTGGCGACTCTCTCGGCGACCTCAGGCTGCACAGTGCGACGTGCCCCGACCTGAGCCGCAGCCTGAGCCTCGCGAACCTGCGGAGTGAAGTGATACCCCGGACAAGAATTCTCGTTCGAATTGGACTCTGTTCTCGTCTTGAGTACACAAACTATCTCGTCGATCTCTGCAACAATCCTCTTTGGCACTTCGTCTGTCTGCGACACCATCGATCGTGGGATGTCTCTAGTTGCGAGGCTTGCGTTGTAATGATGAAGCAGGTATGCGGAACTGATATTGTGCCACCGTGCCCGTTGCTTACTCACGGCCTGAGTCCCGCGCAAGATCTCTATCGAAGCTTTCGCAAAAGCCACTGCGAAGGACTCATCACATCCCGAACGCGTCCCCTTCACCTGCCTAACTTCCCGGATCCGGTTTCTGAATCTCTGCGCGTCCCTACCACCCTGAGGCCCATCCTTGCCTGTAGAGCCAGCCGTTTACTCGTCCTGCGTGAATGACTTCATAGTGTGACAAGTTGAGCGGAGGAGGGCGAAAAGAGATGGACTCGGACGCATGCTCCATTGCCAACGGCACGTCATGATTGATTGATGACCTACGAAGAACCTAATCTGACATTCCAGACATATCATGTAGCCGCTCACCACAAGCCTTCGACAGAGAAGTTGTTCTGTGCGGTATTCATTGCCACACTGAATAGTGCCCGAATCTCTGTTGTCCGGGGTTCTGAGACCACAGTAACTGTACGAGCGTGGTTTGGGAATCTGTCAGGGCGTTGTTTGCGTCAATTCCGCTACCTGTTGAGTCAGTCAACTGTCAATTGCATCAGAACTTATGTGATACGTATCACTTTGCCAACTTCAAGTTCGCAACCATTGACCACCATCATGCATAATGATTCTGAGCAGAACTTAATGTTCTTCCTGATATCTGGCATGTGAAGAGGTCATTGAGAGCCCATGCCCTCTGGGAAGTCTGCAATCATACTTTGGTGAGTCCGGTGATTTTAAGTGAAAGCGCTGACATGTCCAATAATCAACGGAAGCTGAGCCATGTACAGCCCCGGCCGTGTTAGCTATGCGACGATCCTCAAACTTACTTTCCGTCTGACGTATCCCCGTACGTTCTCCTTCTGCCACCATTTCGAACAATCTGATACATCCTTGGCATCTGTTGACTCTGTAGATAACCGTAAACGCGTTGCCCAACATCTACGGTGATTTAATGAGCCATCGCATTGGCTATGGCTCGTTGAATCATCTGCACGCGAAGGGCGCACTTCCGCCCTTTGCCCCGTGGGCAGTGCGAACAGGCTTCTGGCAGAAGTCCGTGGTTTATCGCCCTATCTATTGATGCTGCGCCCAAAGCCAGTAGCATACTCTTGGTGAGTGGTGGTTTCCCTTCTTACCACCGAACAATGTACATGGATATGTAGGCTTACCACTAGGTCTGTTTCGCTGCTAGCATGCGGTAGCGGTATACGCATGCTGAATCATCTCGCGCAAGATCCATCATAACGTACTCTTTAGTCGTTAAGGTAATGTTCGCCGTGAAGGTAAAATGATGATGATACTTGATGATATATGTTAACGTTCCGGGATTTGTACGGGCTTTGATACATACGCCCTGAGCTAACCATGTTAAGCCGCCTCAAAGTGCGCCCAGCTGCATGGAGTCAGTTTACTCCAAGTAAGTTTCTGTGGTGTTGGACAACGGCGGGACATCGCGGTGACTGGTAGTAGTAGGCGGCGTCCCGCACATTATAAAAGACCGCATCTGCGAAGCTCGACGCAAGATCGCGTACACATCCCCCAGTTATGTCTGATGACATCACTGCCGCAATTATCACCATAGTCAACGGCCAGTGCGTGCACAATCTCACCCAATGTTCCTGTCATCGGCACTGCGCCATTATTAACATTCGGGTGTCGCAGATACGTTCAGAACTGTTGCTACATTGCTGCATTTGGTGTGTACCGGTACCCAACGCCTGTTTGCTCCCACAGACAGCGTACTGATGCGTGCGCCTTGTGCCTTCACAGCGATCTACCTGTTTGACCATGCCATCACGCTTGGGGATCAGATTGACCACATATGGCGCCGACGCTTTTCTGGGGTGACGGCGCTGTTCATCGCGCTTCACCTCTCGACCATCGCGGTGTACGTGCTGTACATTGTGTTGGTTCCCAACAACATTAGTTGCCACGTACGTCGCATCCAAGGCTATAGCTTGTATGCTGACCCAATTCTTCGATAGTCGTACGTCTCGTTGTTCTGCGTTGAAGATATGCGGCACTGATCATATTTGGTCTCTTCAAAGTGATTGGATAGCAGACATTCTGTATGGGATCGCTGGGCTGATTCAAGGCCTTGTTGTTGGAGGTACGATACGGGGTCTCTAGCAGAACATGCCCAACTGACGGTGATACAGCTATCGGTGCTCTGCGTATCTATGCCATCAACGGATGTGACTGGCGGCTGCCTACGCTTATTTTCTTTCTATCGTTCTTGACTCTGGTTAGCACCGTTGTACGTCTACCAGAATCGCGCTTTGATGGCTTCTGCTGATTCTTTCGGCAGTACTACTGTGTGTCTCTTACGACAGGGTCTCTGCTGCCGTACATCAATGCCTGTGTCATCTACCCGACTAATCCGGAGATATACACCAAGTAAGATCTCTCCTTCAGTCTGAGACAAACTCCATACTGACAGTCACCTGTGTACTGCCCAGATGTGCGTACACCTTCGTATCATTACCGTCGTAGCTCAAGTAACACTGGGATCGTTCTCGCATAACTGTACACCAGTGTTCATCGTCTCTTCTGCATGTTCCATCGTAGCAGAGGCCCTCGTCGTGCTCAGCACGTGGAGATATACCTACGGCATGAAGAAGCTCGCACGGGAAGTCAATCAAGAGGTCTCGCTGACATACCTCCTCCTTAGAGACGGTGAGTACCGATCCTACAGTGAGGCGCTACCCTGCATCTGACCATTGATCGGCCCCATCCGTCAGGTACGATATACTTCGTGTGAGTGAATGATCCTTGGCGTGGCCGTTTTTCGGAGTGTACTGAGTATCTGTGGGTGTCAGTATGGTGCTCTTCTTGGAGGTGTTCGCTGCGATTGGCCAATATGTAACGGTGCGCCGGTCAACCAGATCCAGTCTGTCACGCCACTGAGCTAATCCCCCGTTCAGGTCTTCGCAGGCGTCTCTGGGTTCACATTCGCGTACGTTGCAGTGTTTTCCCGTGCACATCTCTTCACTGAAAGCTATCCCGATGCATCGCAGGCTTGTGACGGTCGTCCTCTCGCGATTCATCCTCAACCTCCGACGTGCCGCTCTCCGGCTGACGGTTGAAAAGCATCCCGGGCGAGGGACGAACTCGACATCTGCTTCCGGCCCACTTTCCTCCATATCAGAGCTCCAGTTCAACTCGCGCATTCTCGGCAGCCTCGGTGGTTCCCTGGCGTTTGGCTCGAGCGATGATGATGACAAGACAGGCAGCGCGGATGAATCGCTAGACGTGGAGGTGGAGGAAGCGGATGAGGCGGAAGAGCTGACGGTGGATGCAATCACGCAAGAAGAGAGGTGTATATCCGTCTCATGAGTCGGCTTGTGCGCCATCCGGGATCGGGATATTGCAGGCTGTTATGTACGATCACACTATGACTACCACTCGGACTCACTGCTGCATGCGCAGAGGCCTGATTTCATCCAGAACGGATATTCGGGACGACGAACATGCAAGCCTAATTCGGGGATTTGAGGATCAGGAATTTCCGCTTATAACTGGGGATCCTCTTCAGAGACGAAGATGCTATCCTAGGGGAGTCACGTCGTTCGGACTGGACTCTATTCTCGTCTCTAGTACACAACTAACTCGTCGATCTCTGCAGCAACCCTCTTTGGCACTTGGTCTCTTTGCGACGATCGTGGGAGGTCTCTAGCTAGTTGCGAGGCTTGCATTGTAGTCATGAGGCAGGTACGCGGAACTGATATTATGCCACCGTGCACGTTGCTTACTCACGGCCTCAGTTCCGCGCGAGATCTTTATCGAAGGCCTCGTAAAACCCACTGCGAAGGATTCACGACATCCCGAAGCGCGTCTCCTTCACAGTCCTAACTCCTCGGATCTGATTTTTCTGCGAGTCCCGACATCCATGAAGCCCATCCGGCTATAGGTACGGCGTTGGCAGACCCTTGGGCCTACAGTAGCGGGAGGCGAGACCCCGGTCGGTCCAGCGGCGGGCTCACGCCACATCCATCGTTCGTTGCCGCTCAGCTCCTCCCAGTCCAAGTGTGCATTTCCACTGGCTCACGTTTCACTATTCATACTAAGACTTAGTCGGTGAGCACATGAACTTTGTGCTCACGGTTTCTTTCGCTGTGGCTGCTGCCGCTCAGTGATATGGCATCATACGCCCGCCTTACATACAACATACCGGTACCGCGGCCTGATGCATTGATGTCTGCCGCCATGTTATCCATCTCCTGACCTCATCACCTCCCATCGGTCAGCGCCACGAGCCTCGGGACACAAACGTATAAATTGAGACATGGATACAAAGTGCCTCCCCTACCCTTGTCTCCTGGTCGCAAGAACACACCTCACTGTTCTAACGTGCATAGCAACAGACATGGCCACCACCGTTGGACTGCTCGTTGCCGACCTTAAGGAGGGTATCGATAAGGAGGATGCGGTCCTCAAGAAGCTTCGCGAGGGTATGGCCAAGGGCGGGCTCATTGAGCGCCAGTCGTACGGCTTCAGCGTCGAACATCCTCAAAGGCTCTACTGGACTCTCTGTAAGCATACCTTCGATTCATGTAATTGACCATCGTTTATTCGCCGCGTGCGCTTGACTAGACTTCGAGAACGGGTTCGAGCGGAAGGACTTCAAGTGGCCCGAGGCTGAGTACGGCAACTTCGTCGACGATCTCAAGTGGATCACCACCGCCGACTATACGCGCTACTACTTCGATTTCCCCTCGTTCCCGCATGCCATCATCGCCGCACCTGTCACCGAAATTGTACGTTTTCGTATTCTCGTCTTGGTGTCCGCAAGCTGATGATGATCGCCCGTCTGATGCAGGCCATCGGCACCCTCAAGGCGGATGCCGACCTAGCCGCTTTCAAGCCTGTCATGGAAGCTGTTATTGAGAACATCAAGCATTCCCTCCCATACACGACGCGGGGTACTCTATCACAACGGAGGCTGGAGCCAAGCCCGTCGTGGTTCTGCTCATTGGCTGGGACTCGATCGAGGTGCGTAATACCCTCTTTCGTCTTCTACTCCTACTGCTAGTGCCGACCCCTCTGACTGTTGACTGAGTGCGACCTCGACGTCCCCGAAACCACCTTGATTTATTTCCTCGTTTCCACTCTTACCATGACATTCCGGGACTGATGCATACTCCCAGGCTCATAAGTCTGTATCCGCGATCCCTGAGAACCAGGCGAAGGTGGTACCCTTGCACGCATTCGCCGAGAAGGTCGACATCGTCCACGTCTCGTTTATCGACAAAGTGTAGGACGATGTGCCACCCTCCTCCTCCTCCTCCTCCTCCTCCTCCTCCTCCTTCCGGCGAGGTGGGTGGTAAATATTGACGAAGCCAGAGAGATTGTAGCATGGCACGCGAAATGTGTGAGAACTTATAGGTTTGTTGTTTATATGTCCCCAGACATCTACGTGTATTGCCTAAGTCCGTAAGATGCACCCGGTCATCTTCACCAGCCACCAGTTGCGAGGAACTCGGCGGTATGGGCGGCGGCGGTGGACGCCGAGAGGTGTTCCCACGCCACTTTCGCGACCATGGCCCCTCTCTCCCCGTCGACTTGCCCTCGGATTCAAGTTCAAGCTTCCACGTCCTCCGACTCCGTTCTTGATACTCCTCAACCCCGCATCATGGCAAAATACGTGATGTTAAACGGCACCGTCACGTTCCAAACAGACACGGAGAGCTGGAACACGTCCGTTAACACGACCGATTCCGAGCTACCCCGCCTCGACCGCGCGTCGTCCTCCGAGCAGAGAAAGAGAATCTGTGATTCTCTGACGGTACGGCCATGCTTATCATCGACGCACTCACGCTGCTCGCCTCTACGCAACGCACTTCAAGCTACACTGGCGACACCTCGGCGGCCTGCGCAGTGCGACACGCCCCAACCTGAGCTTCGCGAGCCCGCGGAGTGATTCCCGGACAAGACACCTCCTTCGAACTGGACTCCTTAGTACACAAACTATCTCGTCGCTCTCTGCAACGACTATCTTGGCACTGTGTCTCTTTGCGACACCTTCATCACTGGGGGTCTCTAGCGTGACTAGTTGTCAGGCTTGCGTCGTAGTCATGAAGCCGGTATGTGAATACTGGTGTTTTGCCACCGTACACGTTGCTTACTCGCGGCCTCAGTCCCGCGCAAGATCTCTATCGAAGGCCTCGCAAAAGCCGCCGCGAAGGATTCACCGCATCCCAAAATGCGTCCCCTTCACAGGCTTAACTTCCTCCCGTTTCCCGGATCCGATTTCCCTGCGAAGCCCTGTCTTCCTAAAGCCTATTCTGGTCTGTAGAGCCAGCCGTCTACTACGCATGCCCAGATAACGCATGGGCTCAGTCGGAGGCCCTGCTTAAATTGCCTCGGCCTGCGGCCTTGTGGTATACCCACCTGGGACGAACTGTGCTCTCCTTGTCGGTTTCATCTGGACGTTGACGATGCGTCTGGTTGTTCTCACTCCGTCTGGGAACCTGCGCTCGGATCCTTTTCATCTATTCTCTTGGTCACCCAGTCGTCGGCCGACGAGAACTGGATCTTGGCAACTGAAGGATTCGAGGACGGCTACGCTGCCATGACATTCCCGCTGGACACTGGCAGGTGGTCGGTCCGTATTCGCGAATCTTGGGCGTTCGGCGATTTTCTTTGACTCACCAAACGAAGGCGCTGTGAGTGTTTAGGGGTCTAGGTTGTTATTGAATGCTCTCTGTCTACTATGCTAGGCATCTGCCGCTCCCATTAATCGCCGTGCTGTGCTGTGCTGACACCGAGCTGCGCGTGTGAGTCAATCGCGAGCTGCGGGCCGCGTAGGCTCCGGGCGTAAGTTTGCCTCGAGGAGATCTTCTTCACTGTCTTATAATATTGTCGTCGATCGCTCCCACTCGAACGACACACAGCAAGTAAGGCTTGGCTATTACAGTATTCCCCAGGTCTTCTCCGTGCCCTCGAGCGTCTCGACCGAAGCGCCGTATGGCATCCTCCCTGCCATCATCTGATGTCACTCATGCTGCAGCCCAACGTGATCCCCGAATCAAAACATTGCTTTCCCCGCTCGCCTTGAACCCGTCGTAATACGTCTGCGCTGTGCAAGTATCTCTTTCTATGCTGGGAATCCGGACTTGCGGGACCCGCGTGGACGGGATGCTCTCGAGGCCGGACAAGACAAGGGTGCAAATATGTTGGATCTACCACTCTCACCGCCTCCGAATATAGACCACAGGCTTCCATCACGCTCATTTCACCAGAATTCTTCCGGCACTTGCGGTCCTCGGAATCACCGCAGGACGCGGTCATGGGGTTCCCGAACGTGCTACCGCTCACCTCTATAAAGCCTCGCTCCGCGTCCACTCTCCCAACATCGCACCGAGCCAGCGACCGGTCGCAAAATGTGGTCCCTCGCTGCCAGAGCGCTGCTCGCGGCGTGCCTGCCCGTGCTCGCGCGTGCGGATGTCTACAGTCTCGCCGACCTTTCGTGGACGCTGCACAACGAGAATGGCTCGATCGTCGTCCCCGCGAAGGTGCCCTCGCAGGCGCATCTCGACCTTCTAGCCGCTGGCGTCATCGAGGAGCCGCTTCTAGGGCAGAACGGTGCGCTTCTTCTCCGCTTGTCTCCGTCCAGTGTACGGTACTGAGTGCGCGGTGTAGAGTTCTATCAGCGGTGGATCGTGAACGAGACCTGGACGTATACGGCTGACCTCACGCCGTTCACGCAGGCGGTTCCCCAGAGCCCGCTCCAAAAGACCCTCCTTGTCTTTTATGGCTTGGACACGGTTGCGAACATCGTATGTTCTTTCGACACTCCACTTCTCTGTATTGGCTAAATTGGTTTGATACAGACTGTCGCTGGACATCCCGTCGCATGGGTGGACAACCAGTTCAGACAGTATGTCTACGATGTGACAGACCTGATCAACTCACCATCAGAGGCCGACAACAATGTCACCGTAGTGTTCGAATCGGCGTATCTCTACGGCCTCAACGTCACCTCTATTACTTACGAAAACCCGCTGACGCCTGACGTAAGTATGTTCTCCAGTCACTCGAGCTACAAGTCTGAACCATGTACAGTTCGAGTACTCTGGCTTCCGGCAATATCTCCGCAAGACCCAATCTGACTTCGGATGGGACTGGGTAAGCAGAGGTTGGTTCATCTCTGCCTATATGCGTCTGACCCGCTGCAGGGCCCGGCATTCGTTCCCGCGGGAATCTTCCGCCCCGCGTACCTCGTCACCCTGACCGAAGTGCCCACCTTCGAGACCTCCACAGGCACACCCGCCGACTACCACTGCTCGCGTCCCAAGGCGGCGCGCTCTCATAGACCAGACGTCCGTCGAGGTCTCCAAGGCGGACAAGTCGCATATAGCACGCCAAACCAAGCCGCCGACTGGGTCGTCAACGTCACGCTCGGCGTGCGCTCCGTCCTGCCGTCGTTCAACCCCTCCATCACGATCACATCCCGGAGCTCGGCCTCAGCAGCGGGCCGCTCACCGTGCAGACCATCCCGGCGAGCACGGACGAGCCCACGTTCGTCACCGCGAGCATGACCGTGCCAGAGGGCGTCCCCGCGCGGTGGTGGCCCGCGGACCTCGGCGCCCCGACGCTGTACAACGTCACGGTCACCCTCGCGCTCGGCGACATCCTTGGTACCACGATTGACGCCGCGTCGTTCACGGTGCGCTCGGGCTTCCGCACGATCGAGCTGCTCCAGACGCCGTATAGCGAGGAGGACATGCGAACAGGGGGATCACGCCGGGTGATCAGTGGCATTTCGCGGTCAACGGACAGGAGTTCTACACGAAGGGGACGAACATCATCCCGTTCGACCCGTTCTATCCGAGGATCTCGACGGAGAAGGTGAGATGGGTGCTCGAGAGCGCGGTGCTCAGTGGTCAGAACATGGTCAGTAGCTTCGTCTTCGACTGCATTCACCGCGTTGACGTGTCCTGTGGGTAACTAGCTGCGCGTATGGGGTGGCGGTATCTACCAACCATCCGACGCACTCACGGGCGGGTACGACTTCTACTCACTCTGCGACGAGCTCGGCATCCTCGCGTGGTCCGAGATGATCTTCAGCGACGCGACGTACCCGCTGAACGACTTCCTGCTGGAGTCGATCGCGCCCGAGGTGCGCGAGAACGTCCGCCGCATCAACAAGCACCCCAGCAACGTGCAGTGGGCAGGCGGAAACGAGATCGAGAACATCGTGATCGGGATCAACCAGACGTACGCGAACGGGACGCATTATCTCGACGAGGTACGTGATGTCGGGGTTACGGTGTGTCGCGGTGCTGATGCGTGTGCAGTATGTGTACCTGTTCCAAGACTTCTTGTACGACCTCACGTACGAGGTGCAGCAGTCGGTTCCGTACACCGACTGTTCGACGACGAATGGTATCCTAAGCTTGGATCCTCTGGTTCAAAGGTTTGATAACAAGACACCTGGGTACATCTATGGGAACACTGGTAAGCTGGACATGCGATTCCACGCGATGCGCTTCACTGATTAATTGTAGAGCGGTACAACTACGACGCCTCGCAGGCATTCAACTACAGCACATACCCTGTGTCGAGGTAGGCTGCACCATCCTCTCAAGAGGATACGAGCTGACGTGCTGGGACAGGTTTGTCAACGAGTTCGGGTGAGTGTCGACGCATCCACTATTCAGGCACGGTCTCTGAAGATTGGGTGTCAGCTTCCACTCGATGCCGTCCTTCTACAGCTGGGAAGAGGCGCTGACCTCGCCCGAGGATTTCTACTTCAACTCTTCCACTGTCGTTGCTCGTGACCACCACCCGCCCGCAGGGAGCCTCGCATGGCCGAACCCCAACGCCCCCCAAGGTCAAGGCCAGATGACGATGGGTGTCGAGTACTGGCTTCCCACGCCCAACACGACGGACACGAACCAGACCTTCGCGCAATGGTGCTACTCCACGCAGATCTTCCAGTCCATGAACATGATCTCCGAAATCGCGTGGTACCGGCGCGGCGCGGGGCTCGGCGAGAACAACCTCGGCGCGCTCGTCTGGCAGCTGAACGACATCTGGCAGGCGCCGTCGTGGGCCGCGATCGAGTACAGCGGCCGGTGGAAGGTGCTCAACTACGGCATGGCCAGCATATACACGCCCGTCGTCGTCTATCCGTTCTGGACGCCGGACAACGAGACGCTCGACATCATGGTGACGAACGATCGGCCGTATGCGGTGAACGGGACGGCGCGGCTGACGTGGTACGATTGGGCGGGGAACGATCTGTGGCCGATGGTGCATGAGTTCGAGGTACCGTCGCTGAACAACACGGTGGTGATGAGCATGCAGGGCTTCGAGGCGATCCTGCCGGAGGGTGCGACGCCGACGAGCGCCTGGATGCTGTTGAATGTTTCGACGACGCTGGCGGATGGCCGAACGGTGTTCATGGAGTCTTACGTGAGTGTGTCGTAGCTGTTTCGGCGCGCTCATCGTTCTTATATCTCCGCAGTACACTCCTGCGTCGCTCGCGGACGCTGAGCTCGTCGACCCACAGGTGTCATTACTCCCGGGGCGAACTACACGTTCACTCTGTCCGCTCAGAGTGGTGTTGCTCCATATGCGTGGGTGGACCATCCTTCGGGGACTGTTGGTACTTCATCGACACCACAACCGGAGCGCCGTCCAACGGGTTCTACCTTGTGCCAGGGATTGACCGCACGGTGAGTGTCCTTCCGTGACCTGTTAAGATCGTTCTGACACCCATGGTAGTTCAATTTGTGCAGAATGCTGCACTGTCGACAGTTACGGACCCGGATCCAGAAGATTTCGTGGTGAGTCGGTATGGAACAATACGCACATTTAATGAAAGGTCCGCGTACGACGAGACATGCCTGTACGTCGTGAAGCCTGGAAAATTCATGTACCTTCTCTTCGCATGTTTCTGTAGCACCGTGCTGGCATCGCAAACTTCGCTGCCGCATTACCTCGAGTGTACCTCGCGCTCGGACCTTCATGCAAGCGCCTACCAACGGTCGCGGGCGCCGGACGTTTTCCCCGCTTGCTTGTTCGACAACGGGTGTCAGCCTCTGCGCGAGGCAATGCACATACCACCGTCTGGCGCATGTGTGGACTCATTCACAGGAAATCGGTATGAGCGGTGCGCCCGCTAGCAAGTGGTCAGGCTCGATATACAATGTGAAATACAACATAATTCGGCACTCGCCGAAAGACTACGAGGCCTTTGTTGTCGATATGTCATTCACTGACGTGACACTACCAACCGACGAAGCACATATCACACGCTGCGATCGGTCTACAGAACAGCGTCTCCCGATTACCGACAGCTCGACCATTGTCTCATCCAGCCGGCTATCCCAGTCGAGGTCGTTCTCCGTGTCTGTGGATTCCGGTGCGGAGCCATCCAGCCTTTATATGGAAGCGACCCTGCAAGGGTGCCCAGCAAGCGTGTATTGAACCGGGGATCAGATAGTTGCGATGACTCCGAGGAAGGCATGCCACTGGAATATACGTTTGTTTCATGTAGGTTGAGGTAGAAGTACGATAGCAGGATGGTCTGCAGTCTGTGGGAGGTGTCCACACTGGAACAATCGAGTTGAAGGAAATGACATACGAGTAGACGATAGGTGCCAGGATCCCGGTGTTGACTGACTGAAAAACAGGTGCCGTTAATATTGGGGAGGGGGGCATATTGACAATACGTACAGTGACCGCGCTCCACACGACGTTGAGTACTATAAGAACGAGACTCGCCCTAACGCAGAGCCAGGTCAACATCGTTAGAGCATCATCCGTACTCTTGAACTCACACAAAATACACACTACCTGATGAAACGCACGTATTTCAGTTGCGATGTCAACTCATCGAGGGAGTTACTCACCGTCTCTAATTAGGATCGTCGTGAATGGAGTGTCAAGCCAAGAATATTGACGAAGGCTCCTAATGGCAGCCGCTCGCAATGCATGACGCCAGATCGCCCCGATCAGGAGTACCTCGGGCACGATGGCAGTTGCCTGCCCGGCGATGAATACTGGATCAAGTAGATCGAACCAGAGCGATAATGAGTCAAGCCATGACGCCAAATGAAGAGAGACTGCCGCACATGTACTGTAAGACCATAAAATGATCAGAGCCGGGATGTGTAGAGTCACTAGGACGCATCACATACCTCAGAAACTTTTCGTTGCCTTTGGTCGTTATGACGCAGCCGATAGGCTGTGGCACATTAACGGGAACTGATACAACGACCTCATACTAGCGGTAATTGCATGAGAACATTATTCAAACAGCAGCGATACATGAAGGACGTACGATTTCGATTGCAACAACCACGAGAGACCACAAAAACGTTGCCCATCCAAGCCACACAGAACGATAGCCGATGGCGTAAGCACGCAGCGCGGTAAAGGCTGGAATACACAGGGAGTGAACCCTCTGGTGAGTCGTAGGAATATGTGAAGCTCTCCGTAGGCTACGCACCACCATAGACGACGTGGAACAGCATGGCGCAACTGACTCGCCAGACGTACACGATCCAAAGTCTGCATAGTGTACGTAGCGCATGTGAGCATAGACCAAAGACATTCGCAGATTACGCTGCCGCACCTCTAGAGCAGTATCAGTACTTATAAGTTGGGTGTATGATGACAATCACTGTGTGGCGTACTTCGCAGGTCTTGATCGTCGTGTAAGACACCTCAAAAGCCAGGAACATCGCCACGGATATATGCATCACCAGATAGAGACCGGTCGCCACTGACATCTTCCTGCGACTCCACACCAGGTCCACCTCCCGCCAGAGTGTGAGACAGCGGTCATAAGCGTAAATCGCTTTATATGAGGGCAACGACGACGTCAATATACGCCATGACGCTGAATGGTTACGTACCGCACGCCGAGATCAAGGCACAGTTCGATATAAAGCTGTCGCTCGTGAGCTTGTTGATGGTTCAACAAGACGCAGTGCGACTCACCCGGCCTTGAGGACAACATCCGCGTCTGCAAGCGCACCGGTAGGCATAGCTTGGATGTGGCGCGCGCGCGTTGGAGCGAACAGCAGATATATACCTGTATCTCGGGGCTTATCCAGCCATCTGTGCTTCTAGCACCTGAAAGTAGGGAAGGACGGTGGAGGGAGTTAAGGTGGTACGAGCGCGCGCGTATGTCGTGCAGTTGTACCACCCGATCGCGCTTACATACCTCCGGATGGTGGAGTCTCAGCATCACGGCGCTGAACGCTGAGGTGATTCCTGGTGACTCCGAACACTTCGTGGTAGAGCGCTACGGTGAAGAAGAAGCCATTGGTTGTACACCGATGTACAGATAACTCACCGGCCTCCGTGTATCTCTCACACCATGGTGACGAGCTTTCGTGGTACATCTGCACCTAAGCACCTGTAAAGGAGCGCTATGCTCGCTCGTAGCGCAGCTGTATGCGCCCACTAGGCTGCGAAGTCCGAGCCGCTGTTGCAGCTACCAGCCTATCGTCTCCGACTCATCAGCTGCCGATCCTCCGGGATGAACAGAGTTTGAATTGCTTACCGCTATCTTCAGACACTTCCTGCGATCTACGCAGTGGTCCGCTAGGACGATGCATACCGTAACTCGCGTCTACACGGAAAGATCCCTCGGGCTCAGGGCACGGCGAGGCTGATAGGGCCGGGAGATCATGTCATTTGGCCTCGATTCCGCGGACGCGGAAGAGAGAAGCGCTGAGTTGGTGTTCAGAGACGCACGAGCGTCGCAGACTCCGGCAGAGCCGGAGCCTGAGGACAACCTCGTGTTGACAGACCAAGGGTGCGCGGCGGCCTAGTACGGATTAGCATCACCGTTGCCGACCAGAATGGCTCTCCGACAACGCGTCGGGCCCGGGGCGTTCAAGCTGGTATGTACTCAGAACAGATGTCATTCCTGCGGGTGGTGGATCACGTGGTCGGTTCTAACGACTCGGATGACGGCCATTTCTGTGAGGACATGCAAATGGAAATGTGAGTTTAATTCTGTGCTCCGAGCGCGGTTCAGAGAATACTAGCAAGGCAGAACAATAAATAATACAACACGCGAAACAGACCCAATCTCCGGGACCCTTTCACAGAAATGACCTCAGCCTGAGGGATGTGATTCGTGGTCTACGGCGCTGCTCCGCGAGACCATTGATACCTCGCTCTCAGCTTCTCGGTGTTCCCGCTGTTCCTCGTCCGCATCGAGGTCGTCTTCTACATCCGAGTCTCCGGGCGCCAAGATCCTCTGATCGTCATATACGGAGGACTGCGCAAGTGTTCCTACAATACGCGCAAAGCGGAGATCAGGTTGCTGTGACGCGTCGGAGAGCATGCCGCCCCGATTGGCGCTTGCTTCGTGTAAGTTGAGGTAGAAGTGCGACAGCAATACTGTCTGCAACCTGCGTGATTATGTTAACCATGATAAACGTGACCCGAATGGGCACAGCGTACGTGTGGCTAATGGGTGGCATGAAGCCGGCAAAATAAAGCTAACAGAGTTCAAGTTGTATAAGTACGATGTTCTGTTGTTTGACATGCAGGGACACTGGAACCAACAGCTTTGGTGAGGCTGAGAACCATCATTGTTACCGAAAGGACGAGGATCATACTGAGGCGGCAAGTCATGATGAGCTTCCTTCAATCGTGATGAGTCTGTGCCTATGGACTCACATGAAATAAAGTGTGCCTGGAGTAGAAGCAGTCACTGTGACTGTGGGATGTACGAGTCCGCGGATAAACAGAATCCGGACGCAGGATGCATCTAGAATCTGGACAGCTCCTGGCCAGAATCCGCAGTGCAGCCCGTTCGCACAGTCTACATAGCACGTCAATGTCCATGATACAGCATGGAGAGATGGCGACCCCACAGGCGTATTTAGTGTTTGAGGTTGTATGATTAGAACATGAGGCGAACCTGCCACACGACCACAGGGCGAGTCTGCGTGCACCATCAAGACATGCATTGTCAACAAGAACGTTGCCACTCATCTGAGGAAGTCAATCGTTCCGAAAACCGGATCTTCCACAATCCCCGTGACAAAATGGTCGCAAGCGGTCTGCTGGTCACTGTCGAGAGGGGAGGTCGAGGCTCAATAGAAAAGATGATCCACCGATGCCTGTGCAGGCGTGGAAGGCGGGGACCAGGCGGGGAGGGGCAGACGGGCACGCGCAGAAGCGAGGGGCAGCGGATTGATTCCGATTGAACCGCTGCGCTGGCATGCGTTCTCGCCGGTGTCGTCCACGCTGGTCTGCTTGGTCGTACGTGGGCTGCGATGGGAAACAGTTGAGATTCACTGAGGTAGCGTAGGTATAAGTTTCGCAGGCTGTGCTTACAGTTACCTAAGGAAGCAACCGCGGGTTGAGTTGAGCTGGAGTACCGTCGTACCGAGCGCTTATTCCCTTTTCGGGAAGCTTTGTGGCCCGATGCGCGGTCTACGCCGCGCCGGTAGTCTCGGAGTCTACGCCAGCTCTACTCTACGCCGCTAGCCACTGCATTCATCTTCAGCAGCTCGATTATCAGTATTGGAACCATTTCACGGAACATCAAGACTCTGCGAGCATCACTGGTGAATAACCAGCGTGCACAGTCAATCGGCGGCCACAGTAGGGAAGGATATGGGAAAGATGTACCACACAGCACTAGTCCGTCCGATCGCAACCCGGAATGCGTGAGTCCGAGCGATATGCTATGATATGTGCTGTCTCGAGTGCAGCTGCCAAGTCCTCGCGCGACGATGATGAGATCCCGGAATCTGGGTGGTCCGACTCGTGGCTTCAGACACCAAGACACGGCGTGTGTCCCAGGGGGATGTCTCCCGAGTCTCAGACTCTCCTTGTGGCTGGTGAAGATGACCGGGAGCATCTCACAGACCTGAGTGACACACGTAGATACCTGGGGATACATCAACAATGAAATCAAGATCGTTTCGCGTTCCAATTGTACAAGTCTCTTTGGCTTCATCTTCGCACCATCGATACCCACCCACCTCGCCGAAGGGACTCCGTAGAACACTCCGTCGAGCGTTACGCCGGTAGCAATGGCATATCACCCTAGTACGTCTTGTTGGAGTACGAGACGTGTAGAATGTCTGCCTTCTCGATGAATCCGTACAAGCTTCCCAGTGCCGCCTTGTTCTCAGGGATTGCGACCAATGACTGATGAGCCTGGGGGTATGGATCAGCCCCGGAATATCACAGTAAGAGCGGAAACGGGGAAGGAAATAAGGTGAGTTCGGGAGCGTCAAGGGTGGCAACCAGTCAACAAACAGAGAGGTTCGCACTGGCAGTAGGAGTAGAAGATTCAGTGACTCTGAGGGTAACACACACCTCGACTGAGTCCCAGCCGACGAGCAGAAGCACGACGGGGTTGGCTCCGGCGTCCGTTGTGATGGAGTACGTCGCACCGTGCACGGTAGGGGCCTGCGTGAGCTTGCCAAGAGCACCTTCCTGGACAGCCTTGAACGCGGCTAGGTCGGCATCCGCCTTGAGAGTGATGATGGCCTGGATCAGACGGGCGATCTTTATCAGCTTGCGAACAACGAAGTGAGAATACGAAGACGCACCACTTCGGTGACAGGTGCGGCGGTGACGGCATGCGGGAAGGAGGGGAAGGTGAAGTAGCGGCGCGTGTACGTCGAGTCGGGGGCGGAGACCGACTTGATGTCGTCGACGAAGTTGCCGTACTCAGCCTCGGGCCACTTGAAGTCCTTCTGCTCGAACCCGTTCTCGAAGTCTGGTCAAGCGCATACAGCAAATGAGCGATCATCAGTCGCATGGAGTAAATACGGGACGGGGTTTGCTTACAGAGAGTCCAGTAGAGCCTTTGGGGGTGTTCGACGCTGAGGCCGTACGACTGGCGCTTGAGCCCGCCCTTGGCCGCACCCTCGCGGAGCTTCTCCAAGACCGCGTTCTCCTTATCGATGCCCTCCTTGAGGTCGACAACGGCTACCTCGACAATCGTGGTCATTTCTGTTGCTGTGCAAGTTAAGACGGTGAGGAGTGTTCTCGCGATCGGGAGACGAGGTTGGGAGGCACTTTGCATGCATGTCTCAGTTTATATGTCCGTGTCCCGGAGTTTACGGTGCTGACTGATGGAAGAATGAATATTCATTAGCCCGGTGTGTCCAATGTGTGCTAGGGGGAAGCGGTGTTCATCATGATAAGAATGTTGTACTGAACTGGCCGCCGAGCACGGCATATGATGCCATACCGCTGAGTCTACAGAAAAGGGCAGTGAGCGACATTCGCATGTGTTTACCGTCCATGATTGCGAGTCGGTGGAAATGCTAACCTGGACTGAGCGGTAACGAGCGGAGGAGGAGACTGGGAAGAGAGCCTTCTCCTCGCAATCGATCGGAAGGGACAAATGGCCGCGCGGAACGCACACCGCGAGTGTGGCGCCGCCGTGGGACCGGCCCGGGTCTCGCAATTGCCTCCCGCTGGTCCACTCTCGAACGGACCCTACTTACCTAAGTTCTTCTGGCACTAAGTACGCCGTACAGTGATTGCATGCAAACTGTATGTGCTGCACCACGTTTATCGGCAACTAGGTACGTACGTATAACCTCAATAAGAGACTATGAGTGCACTCGGAGGCTTTGGTCAAGAGACATCATGACCGAGTGACTCCTCCTCTCTGAATCAGCCACAGAGCGGCCAATCCAGATGGTGAGTAGCATGATGCGCGCCACGACGCGATCTCGTCTAGTATCTAGTACTGCATGTACACTGTAGGATTCCTGCCTTGTTAAACTGATGCGATAACCAACTCCCCTGCGAGCTTACGCTCATCCGGGCGTCGCCAACTTCGCGCCCTGCAAATGAGTAAATCTCAGCTCCCACTGGCACAGAATAACGCATGTTACACCCGTCTAGGCCTCTTCGAGTACGAGACATGGACGAGGTCGCCCTTCTCGATGAACGCATACAAGGTTCCCAAAAGCGCCTGGCTCTCGGGGGCTGCGGCTATGGCTTGATGAGCCTTCAGGGCACTAGTCAGTCGGACATCATGGTACAAGGAAAAGGGGGGGCAATGTCGATGGAGAGTAGCGGGGAGAGCGAGAGATCCCTCTCAATGGAGGGAGATGAAATGTTGATGGCACAGGGCGGCAGAGTGGAAAGAGTGGAGATGCGCAACGGCGAGAAGACGCACCTCGGCCGAGTCCCATCCAACGAACAAAACCACGATAGGGTTGGCTCCGGCCTCTGTTGTGATGGCGTACGCTGCGCCATGTACGACGGGCGCCTCCTTGAGCTTGCTGATGGCGCCATCTTGGAAAGCCTTGAAGGCGGCCAGGTCGGCATCCTCCTTGAGAGTGAGGATCACCTGAGTAGGACCGAGCACCGTTGGTCAGCTTGCAAACGATGGGGGAAGTATACGCACAGTTTCGGTGACAGGTGCAGCGGTGACCGCAGGCGAGAATGAGGGGAAGGTGAGGAAGTGGCGCGTAACGTCAGAGGCGGCGATCTTCTTCAGTTCGTTGTCGAAGTCGCCATATTCGTCTGTTGGCCAGCTGAAGTCCTTCAGCTCGAAGCCGTCCTCGAAGTCTAGATAACGCAGCGATGCACCACATTCAATGAGGGTGTGGTGATATGAGGAGTGGAAGCACATACAGAGAACCCAGTAGAGCCTCTGGGGGTGTTCGACGCTGAAGCCGTACGACTGGCCTTGAGTCCGCCCTTGGCCGCGCCCTCGCGGAGCTTTCTGAAGGCTGTATTCTCCTTATCGGTGCCCTCCTTGAGGTCGACGACAATCAGCTCGACAACGACGGTCATGTCTATCGCTTCGTGGGGTAGGGATACGAGATGTGTCCTTCAAAGACAAGGGTGGGAGACACATCGTATCCACATCCCAGCTTATATGTCCGTGCGTGGCGCCGACTGATGAAAGGGAATTCGCCCGAGAGGTGTACATTGGTCAAGGTGCGCGCTATGAGAATGTTTAAGATTCATGTCGCACGATGAGAAAGCTCTAATGACATACCGAGCGCGGTCCTGACCGTAGTAGACGACATACTTACGACTCTGCCATGCGAGAGGAAAATCATCGCAATATCCTCTCGACTCGTTTACAAAATCCCATCTGCCCGCAGATCTTAGACAAGGCCGGGCGAAAGTGCACCGAGCTGAGCGGCAACTTTAACTTTGACGACCGGAGGACGAGAAAACCAAGCAGCAACCCGGCGCGGCGCTACGGGCGTCTGTCACGGCGTTGCGCGACCACGTGACACACGCGAGCCACGACGGTTCGACTTGGGCTGGTCCAGATCCGGACGACAACGACTCGCAACTGCGACCACCTCCCTCTCCGCGACACACCCCTGCCGCACTCTACGGCCTCGCAAGCTCTTTCGCCATGGCCTCACCACTCGACCTGTATGAATCCATCGACATCATCGGGACGGGGTCCTTCGGTATAATCAGGAAAGTCAGGCGGAAAGCTGACGGCCAGGTCAGCGCTCTGCAAGCCTCTTCGTGTTTGGCCAGATGACTCACCACAGCCACGCACCAGGTATTTGCCCGAAAGAACTCAACTTCGAGCGCATGACCGAGCGAGACCGCAAGCAAATTGTCGCGGAAGTGTGCGTCGTCGTTCGCGGCCGTTCTGATGACGACTGTCCGCTGCTGACGCTGACGCTGACACCGGCCCCTCCAGCAACATTCTGAAAGACCTCAACCACGAACACATCGTACGCTATCACGACCGTCATGTTGACCGGGACGCCGGCATTCTGTACATTCTTATGGAGTACTGTGGTGGCGGCGACCTTTCTGCCGTCATCAAGCAAGCCCAGCGCCAGAACCGACCCATCCCCGAGGACACAATTTGGAACTACTTTATGCAGATTCTGCTGGCGCTGAACCATTGTCATCACCCAAACGGGCACGGCCGTGCGGGTAGTAGCGGCGGGGCGGACGACGGTCGGGAGCGTAGGCCACAGATTTTGCATCGAGATTTGAAGCCAGACAATGGTGCGTGGCTATGTTATGTCGGGATTTATGGCCTGTGAATAACGACATGTGTGGGCTTCAGTATTTCTCGACGAGAACAACCTCGTCAAGCTTGGCGACTTCGGACTCTCCAAGGCAATGGCCCAGGCGAGCTTCGCAAACACTTACGTCGGCGTACGCAGCTCTGATATCTTGAATGCACCTGTGCTGAGACCTATCATAGACGCCATATTACATGTCTCCCGAGCTGATGCAAGAAAAGGCGTACGACTCGAAGTCGGATATCTGGTCGCTGGGGTGCCTCATCTACGAGCTCTGTGCGCTAAAGCCGCCGTTCCATGAAGCGAAAACGCATGCGGAGCTTAGCATACTCATCAGGTGCGTTCATGCGATCTCTAAGCGTGTATGGCCCTTAACAGGAGATGCGCAGGACTGGTCGCATTCCCCCATTACCCAAGGGATACACCCCAGCTCTCGCGGGCGTCATCAAAGCCATGCTGAATCTGAATGTGAGTATATGCGTTTAGCGCATGCGACAATGAGCACGCATACTGAGATGACGTAGCCCGCGATGCGCCCATCCGCACAACAGCTCCTCAACCACGAGCGGATCGAGCTCGCCTTCAAGGTCGGCGAGACTCAGAGGCTGTAAGCCCACTCACCCCTGCTCCCTGTCGCCTCATTCACATGACCACGCTCACAGCCTCAACCAAGTGAAGTCGCATCGAAGCGCGGTGATCGCCAAGGAACGCGACCTCGCTGCGCGCGAAAGCGCTGTCGCTCAACGCGAAAACAGCCTCCAAACCCTCCTCTCCCAGAAAGAAACTGAGATTGCCGCCCTGCGCAACTCCCTCAACACCGCTCAATCGTCCCTCTCATCCATCCAAGCCGCCTTCGAGACCACCCTCGCCGAACGCGTGCGCCACCGCGAACAAGAGCTCCGTGCGCTAGTCGCAGCGCAGGAGGCAGAGGTTGCGGCGCGGATGGCGCGCCGTGAGGAAGAGATTATGGCCGCGGTGCGCGCGCGCGAAGAGGAGATCGCACGGATGTGGGCGGAGTGGGAGGCGAAGACGCGCGAGGCGATGGGTGCGGCGGTCGAGCAGCGCATGGAGTGGGTCCGCGCGCAGGCGGGCGAGGTCGAGGGGGAGCGCACGCGCCTCGAGGAGGTCAAGCACGAGTTGGAGAGGAGGATGGCGGAGGTGGAGCGCGCGGAGAGGGAGAGGGAGAGGAGGGGCGCGAGGGCGGGTATGGGGAAGACGCCGTTGGAGGAGGTGAAGAACTTGCTCGCGCCGCTGGCGCGCATTGCGGATACTCCAGTGCGCCCGGTTGCTAGTCTTACAAGGGCGTCGTCGGTGTTCGAGACGCCCCGGCCTCCAGCCCTGATGAAGACCACACCGTCGTTCCCTGAGGACATTGCGCCGCCCAGTGCGATGAAGGGTGTCATCCTCACTGCCACCGGCGAGCCCGTTGCGACACCCTCCCCCGCAGAGCTTGCGAAGCTCTTTGTCAACACACCGAAGGTCGGGCTGAACTTTGCCAGGATATTCGACTTTGACTCGGAAGATGAAGAGGATGAGGAAGACGAAGAGGGTGAAGAGGAGGACGAGGAACCCGCACCAGGCGAGGATGGATATGAGACCGATACGCGTCCGTCTTCGCGCCGGAGTAGCTCGAGCGCTGGCAAGGACGATGAGGACGACCGAACTCCCCAGCCCTCACCCACAGTGGCCGTGCGCCCGACACGCCTTCGCCGCCCATCATTATCCGAGCGTCGTCTCAGCGGCCTTCTCTCGAGGGACCCGCCTCCCGCGCGTCGTCAGCGGCCCCCTCAGGATCGACACGCAGCAAGTCGCGTCCGAGGCCACCTTCATCCGGGTCTGCTGCTCCCCGTCCAGCGGGCAGGACGTCCGCGCCGGGTGCAGCACCCTCGAATACAGTAGCGAGCCAGCCCGCTCCTGACTACGACCTCTCAGACGAGGAGAACCTGCCCTCGCCATTCCTCAAGAAGTGCGACCGCCAGGCACTTACACGGACCGCGACACAGACACAGATCACCACGAGCAACAGCACAGGCACGGTCGCGACGCGTGCCCCGCGGAAGAGCGCGACGTCGTCTCTGAGGGCGTTCACGATGGTGAACGCCGCGATGAAAGGTATGGGGCCGGCAGAAAAAGAGAGGGAGAAGGTGCGCCCGAGGATGGCTACGCGGACGGCGAGCTTGGGCGTCCTTGGTGGTGCGGGTGCTGCAAACGCGGGTGTACGGCCGAGCATCGCGAAGGCGATGAAGGCCAGCGAGGATGCGAAGAAGGCGTTGTCGCGGCCTTAGCTGCCGTGGGGGTACTGCATCCAGCGGACGTCCCGTTTATTTCTTATGTCTCTTCATGAATTATTGTCACGCCTGATGATGTTTCCATATCCTGCACAATCTGTACATTGCACATCCGACATGGAAGCCCTGCATATATAATCTATTCACGACCTTGAACCTGTCTCAGTGCCTGCACTGTCTGCTGAGGTACCGCAAATGATGGAACAGTTGTTTGACTTTGGCTCGTCGACAAATATGGGCGCTTGAGCGTTGTTCGACTTCTTGGCCTTTACACCACCGCTCGGACGCGTCCTGTCTGCTCTGCTTTCTTCGATTGCGAACGACTCTTCGTACATGGTGCCGCATATATCATATTCCAACCTAGCCGAAACTGCTCGAGCAGGAAAGGATACTGGTCAAGACGTGTCAATGTCTGTGTCCCAGTATACGAGCTGGCGTGGATGATGCAAGCCTATTTGAGATCGCTAGAAGTACTAACTTTGTCTCTGACTCTGTCTGCCAACGCCTCTATCTCGGCTGGACCGGTCCTACAGCATCCTCCCACTACAACGCCGCTCCACACGCTGCCGTCCTCAACCGCTGTCTTCACGAACTCCCAGTACCTCAGTGCCCACCCGTCGCCCTTGCCGTTGGTCGTCGGATCCAGACACGACGGACGACTCGTACGTATCGCCGCCATTCGGATAGACCACAAGCCAGGCCGTCTGCTTGGGACGCCGAGGAGGAGAAACTGCAAGTCGCGTTGGTGAACTCGATGAGGAGCGGGGCAAGATGGTCGAGCGAAGTACAGTTGATGCCTATTCCCCATGGCCTCGGTGTTCCCTGGAATGTCCCTGCGCCATCTTCATCAAGGAGTGCATGTACCACCTCCCGAGGCGAGACCCTATCCCCTCCCGGTCTCCGCTCTTCCGGACACCGGCCATCTGGCCAGACCGTGCTCACCCACCACCGCTTTGTTTCCGTCCCTCGTCCTGCCAACTCCCGTTGCAACTTGCCCACTGCTCTCCTGATCGCTTTGATTTCCCTGCTCAGCGGCACCGTCTCGAAAGCCACCAGGTCTATCATCTCCCACGTCTCTGCGTCGTCTGCGAAGACCTGCAGCCTGCCGAAGTGGAACTCTGCTAGCTTTTCTATCGACTCTGCTGCGAGCCTCTGGCCTTCCACAGTGTCAGGAAACGCGTTCATGTTCCTGTCTTCCGAGTCTGTGGTGTAACCCTTGGGACCGTACGGCGGTGGATAAAGCCCGTCGAATTCTTGCGCGGGACTCAGTGTCGCACCGAAGGGGCCCATGGAAAGTGCGATCTTGACTGCTCTCTTTTCCCGGTCTGCAGCTTGTCCCCCTTCCCAGAATCGTCTTCGCGCTTCGTGTGCAAGCTTGACCGACTTGCGCATGATCCTGACGGCGTCCTCTCGGCTGTGACCCGCTGCGGCGAACGTCTCAAACGCACATTGATATCTGCACACCAAGGACGCATCCATGTTCCGTCAGATCAGGTGCCGGCGAGCTGGAGAGGCAAGGCCGGCGACGCACGTAGAGGTAAGGATGACGTCCGTGCCCGCGCGCAGGAAGGCGAGGTGCGCCTGGATAATCACCTCGGGGTCTTGGTCGACCGGCTTTGCGGACCAGAGAGGGGAGGATATGTCCCGCTGGAATAGGTCCTCCAGCGTTGTCCCCTGAAGAGCGCTTCAACTTTGGCTCTATGTTCTAGGCGAACGCGACGTTGAGCTTACCAGCCCGCCATCCAACACCAGTATTCGCTGACTACGTTCGATCGCGTTCATTCCTCCTGAAGTGCTTTGCCAAGTGATGAGTATACGTAGAGCATGGATGCAAGGTACGTGCACCTACTTACAGTGTCCCCTATCCTGCGCTGACGCGCCTTCTTGAGTCAATTGCATCAGGACTCACGTGATACGTGTCACTTTGCCAACTTCACTGGCAGGTTCGCACCATTGACCGCCATCCTGCACAACGGCTCTGGGCAGAACATAACGTTCTTCCTGATACCTAGCACGCGAAGGGCAAGTAATTGAGAACCCATGTCCTCTGGCCGGAAGTCTGCAATCGTACATCGGTGAGTCCGGCGATTTAAGTGACAGCGCCGACATGTCCAACAATCAACGGGAGCTGAGGCATGCATAGCGTCGACCGTGACAGAATGCTATGCGACGATCTTCACAATTCAACGTTCATACGTTCACCTTCCGTCTGACGTAACTCTATACGTTCTCCTTCCGCCACCACCTCGAACAATCCGCTACCTCTTGGCACCTCTTGATGGGCCGCAGCGTGTCGCCCAACGTCTGCCGTGTTTAATGAGCCATCGCATTGGCTATGGCTCGTTGAATCACCTACACGCGAAGGGCGCACTTCCGTCCCTTGCCCAGTGGGCAGTGCGAACAGGCTTCTGGCAGAAGTGCGTGGTTTATCGCCCTATCTATTGGCGCTACGCCCAAAGCCAGTAGCATACTCTTGGCGAGTGGCGGTTTCCCAGCGGTCGCTGGCTCCTACCGCACAACAATGACCATGGATGTAGGCTTACTGCTAGGTCTGCTTCGCTGCCAGCATGTGGTAGCGGAATACACACGCTGAATCATCTCGGCGTAAGATCCATCATAACGTACTCTTTAGTCGTTAAGGTTCACGTTCGCTGTGAAGGTAAATTGATGATGATACCTGATGATACGTTCACGTTCGGGGATTTGTACGGGCTTTGATACTAATACGTCCTGAGCTAACCATGTTAGGCCGCCTCAAGGTGCGCCCAGCTGCATGGAGTCAGTTTACTCCATGTACATAATACAGCTGCTCACGGGTTGCTGATCGGAGCCTAGATGGGATAAAAGACTGCATCTGCGAAGCTCGACGCGAGATCGCGTACGCATCCCCAAGTCATGTCTGACGATGCCACCGCCGCAATTATCTTCATAGTCAACAGCCAGTGCGTGTTCAATCCCACCCGATGTTCCAATCATCGAAACTGCGCCGTTCCTGACATTCGGGTGACGCAGATACGTTCAGAACTGTTGCAATATTGCTGCGTTTGGTGTGTACCCTCTATACCCGTCGCCTGTCGCGCCTTTTGCCCCCACAGACAGCGTACTGATGCGTGCGCCTTGTGCCTTCACAGCGATTTACCTTTTTGACCATGCCATCACGCTCGGGGATCAGATTGACCACCTATGGCGCCGACGCTTTTCTGGGGTGACGGCGCTGTTCATCGCGCTTCACCTCTCGACCATTGCGGTGTACGTGCTGTACATCGTATTGGTGCCCTTCAACATTGGTTGCCACGTACGTCGCATCCAAGGCTATAGCTTGTATGCTGACTAATTCTTCGATAGTCGTACGTCTTGTTCTGCGTTGAAGACATGAGGCACTGATCATGTTTGTTCTCTTCAAAGTGATTGGATAGCAGACATTCTTTATGGGATCGCTGGGCTGATCCAATGCCTTGTTGTTGGAGGTATGATACGGGGTTTCTTGCAGAACATGCCCAACTGACGGTGGTACAGCCATCGGTGCTCTGCGTATCTATGCCATCAACGGAGGGGACTGGCGGTTGCCTACGCTTATTTTCTTTCTATCGTCCATGACTCTGGTCAGCACTGTTGTACGTCTACCAGAACCGCACTTTGATTGCGACACCATTCTTGTGCTGATTCTGCCGGCAGTACTACTGCGTGTCTCTTACGACAGAGTCTCTGCTGCCGTACATCAATGCCTGCGTCATCTACCCGACTAATCTGGGGACATACATCAAGTAAGACCTCTCCTTCAGGTCTAAAATAAACTCCATACTCACAGTATGCGTACTGCCCAGACGTGCGTATACCTTCGTATCATTACCGTCGTATCTCAAATAACACTGGGATCGTTCTCGCATAACTGTACATCAGTGTCCATCGTCTCTTCCGCATGTTTCATCGTAGCCGAGGCCCTCGTCGTGCTCAGCACGTGGAGGCATACCTACGGCATGAAGAAGCTCGCAAGGCAAGTCGATCAAGAGGTCTCGCTGACATACCTCCTCCTTAGAGACGGTGAGTACCGATCCTATGAGGGGCTACCCTGCATTTGACCATTGATCGGCCCCATCCGTCAGGTGCGATATACTTCGTGTGAGTGGATGGTCCTCGGCGTGGCTGTTTGTCGGAGTGTACTGAGTATTCATGGTGGCTGTCAGTATGGTGCTCTTGTTGGAGGTGTTCGCTACTATTGGCCAATATGTATCGGTGCGCCAGTCACCCGATCCGGTCTGCCACGCCACTGAGCTCATCCCCCGTCCAGGTCCTCGCAGGCGTCCCTGGGTTCACATTCGCGTACGTTGCAGTATTTTTCGTGCACGTCCCTTCACTGAAAGCTATCCCGATGCATTGACAATGGGCATTGCAGGCTCGAGACGGTCGTCCTCTCACGATTCATTCTCAATCTTCGACGTGCTGCTCTTCGGCTAACGATTGAAAACGGACCCGGGAGAGGATCGACTTCGTCATCCGCTTCTGACCCTCTTGTCTCCATCTCAGAGCTCCAGTTCAACTCGCGCATTCTCGGCAGCCTCGGTGGTTCCTTGGCGTTCGGCTCGAGCGATGATGACAAGACAGGCAGCGCGGATGAATCGCTGGATGTGGAGGAGGATGAAGAGATTACGATGGATGCAATCACGCAAGAAGAGCGGTGTATATCCGTCTCATGAGTTGGAGTTGTGCACCTTCCAGTGTGACAGTATGTACGATCAGACTACGGTACGCCGGCTCACGAAAATCATGACTAGCTCTGGCAGAGATCATATTATGGCGAGCGTGATGACTTCTGCATTCCTGTCCCTGGCATCGAATCAGAGCCATCGGGCCAATTCGCTCATTCTCACCGCCTTCAGACTTGGATGTCCCTTGGCACTGGCCTCGAACAACGACACTGCTTGAAATGCACGGGGAGATCCAATCCGGATATTTATGGATGTCGCCGTGAGTAGCTGTCTTCCGGTGGTTTGTAGACTTAACAGAGATGGGCAGTGTGTGTAAACTCGGAAATGCAGGTTGCATAGTTGAAGTTTACTAATGCTGCGCACCGAGATCACGTCCCAGGCTGCAGTTCTAACTGTGTATACTAACAGGCATTGTGATCATACAGCTAATTCGGAAATGCTTGTCCGCGCGCGTTTCGCGCGTCAAGGAATCAGAAGATTCCGAAAAAAATGGCAGAAAGTCGAGTAAATCGAAAAAAGGCCGTACGTGCACCGTCGCACCTGTAGAGTGACGTATGTACATGTCCTGACCTTGTATACGAGTTCCTGTATATCGAGCAGGTAGTATTTCGACTGTGTGATGAGTGGTACACGATGTCCGACGTGGTCGCCGTCACTCGGACGCACACCTAAATCGTCGTGCGATCGTAGGAAGCACTATCGCTCATTGCACCCCCACAGGAAGATTCTAAGTGTACTATGAGAATGCAAGTTGCGCATAGCCGACGGCGGCCCAAGGTTCGGTCCGGCGGTCCTATTTTAGCACGGATACCTGTCGTCGAGCCCAAGTGCCGCGATCCAAATCTGGGCTGTGACCTCGTCGAACAAGTAGTTGTATTGTAAAAATCGCATAACAATGCACGCAGCGGACGGCGTGTAGCACATCAGAGATCGATGAAGAGATCGCTGCGGATGAAACCGCGCTCCATGTACATTGGCAGCGCGGAATTCCAGTACCTCGCTCTCCCCTTCTCCTCCGGCGACGTGCTGTGCCAGTGCATCCGCGGCACAACGCGCGTGACAGCGAGAGCAAGGCGCATTGCGATGTCCTTCGCCACGCGCTCTGCAGACGCGCCCGTCTCCTCTCCATAGCACTCATTCGCTAGGAAAGACTCGATCCGAAGATTCGGGAGGGCACGGCGGGCTCCGATGGCCACCTCGGCATAGGAGAGGCGGATGGAGTCCAGGTGGTAGACGAATTTGCCCCAGCCGTGCGAGGGGACGGTGACGGGCTCGCGGCCGCGAGTGGTCTTCAACCACTGAGGTGAAGGAGTAAATCATATATTTAGCAGACTAATCAATACGAGACGTACCATGTGATGCTCGTCGTCGTTCCAGTCGGTTGGGGTCTTCGCTCTGTCGGCGCGATGGAGGAATTCCGGGAAACCGTCGCGGTTGTACAGAAGAACGCGACACTCGATGCGCTCACTCACTGGACCACGTTCGTAATCGGTGATAGTAGACGAGGTCGCCTGAGGGGGCCCGATGAGAGCGTGCAGAAAACCCTGCAGCAGCGGCTGGCTGTTGACGAGCTCCGCGATCTGCGATGGCAGTCATGTTCAGACATCAAGGACGGACATGCTGCATGAATTACCTTGCTAGTCTGGTATACAAATTCTTCCGCTGTTTGCGCCACCGCGCAGAAGAAGATCAGGGGACCAAGAACACTGGGGAGCCCGGTCCTGGAGACCTCGCTCTCGTCGCGGTCTTCATTATCGACCGCAGCGTCAGTATGCACGGCACTGCACTTAAGAACAGTCCTCAGGGTGTTTGTCTCGATGATGCTGTTTTCCACGCCGGCGATGGTCGATCGAAAGGACTCGTCGGGTTCGCTCTCTCGCAGGACAAAAGCCATGTAGCTGGCGATGTCATTGGTAAGGTCTTCCTCGAGTGTTGGTGCAATGAGCACAATCTTGCGCTCAGCGGACCAGAAGTCGATGCTAGTGGTTCCACACGTCAGGATGACAGATGTAGGAGTGGGAAACATGGGCTAAGTTACCGAATGCACCGCACAAAGGCAATCCAGCTCTTCGAGGCTGCATCGGGCGAGACTATCTTGTTGTTCCATGCATTAACCACAAAATTCTGCAGTATGTGGTACTGTTTCTCATCGGCGTTGTGAATATCCTGTGTGCGGTTGATGCTCAGTGCCTGCAGCGTGTTGAATGAAGAATGAGGACTTCACCTGGGTGACAAACCCAAGCCTGCAAGCATGAGTCCACCCGCGCTTCAGCTCGAGGAGGTACTGAAGAAGACGGGTTGAAAGCTTGTGATCACACTCATCGTGGGCAGATCCAGCCTGCAGTGCTCCTAGAAACTGCTGTGGTAAGTCGTCAAAGGCCGTCGCCGAAATCACCATGTCATCGAGGGGCATTTCGTCTGCGAGGATTTGGGTGTGGTGTTCTCCCTGAATGAGTAGGATCAGGCTGATGAGCAGCGAGGTGCCAGTGGGCGTTGGCCTGTCGCCTTCGTATCCGTCAACGTACATACAGCGACCGTGTGAACCTTCGGGTCTTGGCGGTGGCACCTCCGAGTCCAAGCTTGCAAAACTTATGACCATGATAGGTATTGGAATCGGCGCAAACAATACTTATTTGCACTGACAGATTCCCAAACCACGCTCGGACAGACAGTGCGGTTCCAGACCACTTGTCAAGAGAGATTTGGGTGTCGAGCAGTCGATGATAACCGTACCGCCGGCGAACAACCAGTGCTCTGTCGATTGTAGCGAGTGGCTACGTGATGCGCCCGAGGCTCGAATGTCAGATTGGGTTCTTCGTACTTAGGTCATTCATAAAGTGTCATTGTTTCTGCGAGTATGCGTCCGTCTTAGACTTCATCATCCTCCGCTTAACTTGTTACCATGAGCGCTTGAATCGCACAGGACGTCGATGCAGTTATAAATTGACGTGAGTCCTTGATGCACTGCACACCGCCGTGACGTCTCGTCCATCGCTGCATGCTGACCGACTGATAGGTGGTTCCAAGAATACTGGCTTGCGTCCGCTACAAGTGAGACATCCCTTGTTGAGGAATGTCAGCCGAGCTAAATGACACGACAGCCGTCCACCTAAGTCGAGTTTATATGGCGCCGTGGACGTCCTCCAGTGGTTTCTGTGCTTTACCTCAGGCTGCTCCTGCAAGCGATCACCCTCTGCTACTTCATCACAATGGTCCTAGGAGAAAACGCAAGTCTGGACTGCAATGTAGGTGTCTGATTGCTTCCCTTGTCGTAGAGCCTGTTTCACGACTCGCTGCATCAGAGGTACTGGCTGCTGCGCCTTGTGCACCTGTCGCATTGAGCACAGGCCAACTTGAAGTTGACTCTTGCGGCTGCTTACGGAGGCACAGTGGCCGGTGCGTTAGATAGCTCAATGACATGACCGAAAGCGAGCAACTAAACTGTGCATGTCAGTCATATCCGCTCTGCGAACCCATGCCATAAGTGGACGGGATTGGCGACTAACTGCGGTCGTCTTCTCGCTGGTGCTTGTTGAAGTCGTTTATGATATAGTGAGTAACTCCATCGTTAAGTCCAGTCACTGTGGCTCGCTCATTTTCGTGTAACAGTTTATTGCCGTTACGACGATATCCACCGAACCGCCATCCGGTTGTGCCTCTGGGCCTAGACCCTCCCCCATGATCGAGCCATACATTTTCACCGCATACATACACTGTGTATCTTGTTGCGTGTGATGTGACGGATGCTCCTGGTCTTCTCTAGGCGTTCGTATGTTTCGATACATGGCGCAGCCATACATACGTACTGATGACATCCAACAGTCTCCATCGCGGCGATGTCTGCCGCCATCGTGGCTGATACCGTCGTCTTATTGTCACCTGGCGCCGCACCTACTATTAGTATGACACGCCTAGCTCGCTCGCCGGGAGAAGATCGAGGCATCTCTAAGTGCGCTTATATTTCGAGATGGTCAGTCTATACCGCTTGCCCATTCTTGTCATGTACGCCACTTGACTTGACCGCAGGAACAATACACTTCGTGTATGCATATTTCTTCTTGTATGCTATGCCGATCCGTATCATGATCACTGATTAACTAACTTAAGGCTGCTCTTGATCATGAATTCCGTCGGCTTGGCCACGTATCTCCCGAAGGTCGGCTACAAATTCTGAGCTGCAGATCCCGACCATTCTATTGACAGTGTTTATGCGCCAGTACTTCAGCAGCATCACTTCCCTTACGGCCGCGTGCGTCACTTCACCCCGCAATGATTAATGATTAATGACAGACAACTTGCGATCGCTCGCATATCGACACTTCTAGCTTCTCGACTATCATCCTCTCGCATTTGCTCCTCAATCTGTGAAAAGCCAGCCTCTTGCCAGTGACGGAACTTCCTCGGCTCCGCCGACGAACCCATCCGACATAGATTTCGCGTCAAGACCCATGCTTTCGGTGCGACGCTTTCCAACAGTTGGGTTGACGGTGTCGACCAAGACGCAGAAGATGAGGACGACAGACTCGTGGACGCTGGAACAGGTGAACTCTCAGCAGAACTGAGGGACGAGAATGACGAAGAGCCACGCGACGCTGCACACTAGTCTCCCTGAAGCACACTACAAACACGACCTCTTTGCAAAGTCTTATGTAGTGTTGACGTATTGAAGCTGTGCTAGCGTGAGGTACAACTTGACGTGCACGAATGTATATGGGAGATGTACGCTGATGTTTGTGTTTGGTAATTCTAATTCGAAGTCTTTCAGCAAGTCTCTGAGTTGGACGTCTGGACTTGAAAGCGCTTACTAGTCTCATGCATTACGCGGGACATCACCTGGCCCGTATATATAGGTAGTTGCACAATTACTCGTCACGGTATGCACGAAGGCTCGCAGCGGTCAAAACGGCACTGCTGCCTGCTCACTATGAAACATACGGTGTAGAAATCTAGATCGACACGATTGCTATCCGCGGAATGCCTATTGCCGAGGTGAGTTACATCATGACGCGGACTCAAAACGCACCTCTGAGTCCGCCTCACATAAAGTTTCACGAAGAGCGTCGCACCGCAAGCCACTCCAAGCCTCCATAGCGAGGACAACACAACATGGCCCAGGAAACGCCAGAAATCGTCGAAGTGATGGTGCTCGATGTGAATGACGGCGTGAGCAAGGACTCCCCTGCGTTCGAGACACTCCGTCAAGGAGCAGTGAAGGGTGGGCTCGTACACCAGTCGTACGGCTTCGCAGTGAAGAACCCGAAGAAATTATACTGGCTCCCTCCGTACGTACCATCAACCCGTCAGTCACTGTGTCTCCTGATCACGGCGCTCCCGCAGACTTTGACCAAGGCTTTCAACCTAAAGACTTCCAATGGCCAGCGGAATATGGCGAGTTCTCCGAGGCAGTGAAAGAGCTCGCGACATCGGAGCCAGAGTCGCACTTCTGCCCTTCAAAGTCTTCCCCAGGGGTGCGACGTCCGCGCCGATCACTGAGATCGTACGTCTGCACTTCAACTCGCTCTATCGAAAGGCTGTCGCTCACCGGGGGACAGGCCACTGTCACGCTCAAGCCGGACGTCGACATTGATACTTTCGCAGTGTACCAGGAAACCCTGACGGATGCACTGAACAAGGAGCCGGCCTTCAGAGGAGTCGCGCGGTCGCTGGCAGACCCAGAGAAGCGCACCGTGTGGGTCTTCGTCGGTTGGGATTCAGCTGAGGTACGGCTTGGCTCGAGTTTCTGGTACCAGCTGGGATGATGACAAGGCGATCCATTGCAGGCACATGCGAGCTGGGCGAAGGCGAATGCGGGTCTACTGGAGACGTTCATACAGTCGATGGAGAGCGGAGGAATTGCGCATGTCCAATTTGTTGAACATGTACAGTAGATTTGGATTAGGACGTGACCGACACCACGTGGGTGCCGGGTTAGCAGCCACAAAACCGCCCAAAAAGGCAAGTATCAGCACTACCAGTAGTGCCACGTTTGTATCGAACACCGTTCTCATCTGCGCGCCCCTTCAGTCGACAGGATCTCTGGCTTCGGTAACAAGAGTGGAAATGTGGTTGGCGACTGCTCATTGCCAACCATGATCGATGTCTTCTGTCGTGAGCAAACCATGGCCAGTGCCAAGTGCGGACATCACTGTCGACGGTCAAGGATAGTAACTGATAAGAATCCAGGACAGCGCTTGCAATATAATACGCACTAGCATAAGATAACTTAGGCAGTCGCCAACACACACCCTACGGAGTACAGCGAGTCAGCTGCAGTACACTGGCAAACAAGAAGCACGGAGTTGACTCGACAGTGAAGTTCTCGGAAGTCGATACGTATTCGGACAGCCCGGAAACACGCCCATAATACTGAATAGTCTCACTGCAATCACAAGCGGAATGGTCGGTATGTGATACTAGCACTAGGCGGTGTAAGGAATGGCCTGATACACCTTGTGCACGCAGCGACGAGTGCGACTGAGAGGCGAGTCTCGGCTTCGCCCTCAGTGACAATAAAGGGATCACAAACAGAGGCGAGTCTGCAGTTCGCCACGGCGTATCCACTGCAGATCCGCAATCGTAGGCGCTTCCCCAGAGCGATGACTGAGTGAGTTCCCGCAGGTTCCCGCTCTCTGCCAGTGTGGCTGCGCGTCTTTGAGAAGCATCGAAGCCGCTGAAGCACGGTGCTATATAAGCGATCGCACCGGAGCTTCCAGAGACGATCAGGCTACGTATCTCCCTCTCTGACCAACATGTCGCTCCCCACCGTTGAGCTCGTCGTCGGCCGTCTCAGGGACGGCGTGACCACCGCCCACCCCTCCTTCAAGAAGCTCCGAGACGCGTGCGTGATCGGCGGGCTCCCCAAGCAGTCAATGGCATACGGCGTCGCCGTTGAGGACGCCCGGATGTTCTACGGGATCGTCCGTACGACCCATGCTCCCCGTCTTCTTTGTACACACCTGGCTGACGCGTTTCCGCGGCGGGGAAATAGACTACGAGACGTTCGAGCCGAAGGACTTCCTCCCCAAGTGGCCCTCCGATTTCTGCGACTACTCCAAGGAGATCAAGGAGGTCATGCACGAGGAGCCTGTCTGCTACTACATGCCCCGCGACTCGTACGCTGACCTCTTCTCCACGACGACCACGGCGGCACCCATTACCGAGATCGTGAGTGCCTCTGCCAATTTGAATTCCCCCGCAAGTAGTCACGTTGGTACGATGATACTGATACGCACCTGTGCAGGTCCTCATCGACCTGAAGGACAAAACACAAGTGGAGGAGTACAAGAAGGTACAACAGGCCATCGTCGACGCGCAGAACAGAGAGCCCACCGCGCACGCGCCGTGGTTCTCCGTGATCAAGAGCGACAAGGGCGTGTGGACCGGCCTCGTCTTCATCGGCTGGGACTCCAAGCAGGTGGGTGTCTGAGCTCGTGAGTTCCTGCAAGTGCGGCGCTGACAGCAGCGCGGGTACTATTGTTGCAGGCGCACGAGGCGTGGGCGGCGAAGAACGCCGCGCTGGTGCAGCCCTTGAGAGAGATCGCCGTGAACGCGACGCTCGTGCACGTCGCACTGACGAACCACGCGTGAACGATCATGGAGCTGTCGGTTTCTCGCTCCTCGAAATGATCTGAATGGTGAAGAAAACTGTACGGCGGTAGGGATAGTGGATTTGATTTGTAGTCTCCTAGAAACAATAATTGCATCCAGACGATCGTCTGCAGACGAGGGAGGCAAGGTGTGCATGAGAAACGCGAAGTCAGTCAATGACTGTTGTCGGGGACTCATGCAGCGGACCGTACCGGGGCAGACCAGGAACAAACCCAAGGGAAACGTTCGTATCGGAAGCAGGGTCATCACATCCCTCCGATCTGCTTGTCGGGATCAGCAAGTATCGGCGGGACACCTTTACATATAAACCCCTGCAAAAGAGCTATGATTTGACGATACCGTAGGGCTCTAAGTCGCGGCAAAGGTTGCCATACGTCACTGCATTGCCTGATCAATCGTCAAATGTGTCGCTCGCCACAGTGCGAAGTACCCGATAGCTCGTACTTCTGCGGCGGCGTGGCTGTGCGTACGCAATCAGTAAAACTGACTTGTGAACGTGCTCAACTCAGCCTACCGAAATTCCAGAGCACAAGGCCCATAGCCAAGCGAGCCGGCGTACGAACTTAACCAGCCCGCAGAGATGCAGGACGTACGACCACCGTCACTTTCTGACCATGTCGACTGCGGACGAGGGATAGTTGTGCGGGAGGAGGCTACGGACAGGGTATAGACTCGTCAGCGAACGCATGTAGGCCGCCTTGGGAGAAGAGAAAGTGATGCGAGACGCAGAGGCGGGATACACACCACTGGGCTGGCGTGAAGGAAGAAGATGCTCACGGAGGGATCAGGCTATTGGTCGCTTGACTGTGGGATTGATAGATGAGTAGGGACTGGGAGGAGATGTATGTATGTGCGTACGTACGACGACGAATAACTAGAGATCCCGGGCTGCTTCGAGCTGTATCAGTAGGACGGGACCCGCCCTCGTTGGCTGAGACTCCAAGGTGCCAGGCCGCTGTGATCAATTTGAGGCTTGCCGCGCGTGGGTGCTGATGATCCCTAGGTTGCGGGCGAAAGAAGGATGCTTCGCTGTGCTGAGGCTATTGCAGACTTCTACGTAAGGGGGATTAGAGGCCTGCCGGTGAGGACGACGACCCTACCACGGACAGACCACGCAACACGGCGCCGGGGCCTGTCCTGCCAGTGACCTCTCGCAAGCCATTCTGCAGACGACACGGGAGGCCGAACATACCTGATCGGAAGAAAGGGAGGAGGATCAACTCCGAAGCTATCGGGGCCTTCCTCTGGAGGACTCCGAAGATCGCTGGTGGGGATCATCCATCAGCGCTCAGCGCTCAGCGCTGTCTGTCATCCCACTCCAACGCTAGCCTCAGCCCGAACAGGGGCCAAGCACAGCATGCGCGCGACTGCGGCACTGTGATCACAGACCGCATGCCCGTCTGAGAGCGGCGCACCCAGAGCGCACAGCTGAAAAGCCGACGCGCGAGGGGTGCGCTCAAACCCCCCCTCTGAATCGCCCCCACCCCTCGGCACCTCACAAAGCTATGTCGACCCCCACGCACCCCGTCGAGCTCCTCATCCTCGACGTCAAAGACGGCATCGACGCGGCCGCGCTCGAGTTCACCAAGTTCCGCGCAGAGATGGCGCTCACCGTGGGCGCGGACGACGGCGCGGTCCGCCAGGCGTACGGCTTCGTCGTGGGCAACCCGCGCCAGCTCTACTGGCTCCGCCGTACGCACCTCCCTGCGGCATCCGTCCACCGTGTTCACTGACGCGGCACAGAGTTCCGCGAGGGCTCGCTGCCGACCCTCCCCGCGGCCTTCCCCGCGTCGCTCGACGACCTCCGCGCGCCCGACTCGCAGCGCGCGGTGCACACGTTCCGCTTCAGGGAGCTCCCCGACGAGGTCCTCTCCGCGCCCGTCATCGAGGCCGTGAGTGCCCCGCCCCTCGCTCCGAGTCCCGCCCCCAGCGTACTCACGCACAGCACAGTCGACGATCACGCTGAAGGAGACCGTGGACGCGGACGCGTTCGCGGCGTCCCAGGCCACGCTCACCGCCGAGATGCGCGCGTCGCCCGTCTTCCGCGGCATGGCGCGCACCGTCCCCGAGGACCGCGTCACGCTCACGCTCATCGGGTGGCAGTCCATCGAGGTCAGTCGTCCGTGCCCGTCCATCGCGGTCTCGCTGAGTGCATGCGACGTTGCCAGGGCCACTACGCCTGGGCGGAGGCGAACATGGGCACCTCGCTGGTCCAACTGATCCAGTCGCTGGAGAAGAGCAGCCACGTGCACGTCTCGTTTACCATCGTGTAGACCAGCGACGGATCGGGAGTGGTGTTCGACGACATGTGTCATAGCCTGAAGATAGTACTTACCGAGACTCGACCGTCTGAATCTGAGGACTGCACACATCGATCGGGGCAAGGATGAACATGGGGAGAACAGACACAGCAGGCGTAGTCTCATACCAAGACCCTCCACACGGCGCTAGCATGTGAGGGGGTTGTGTCGAACCTAACAGCAGGTGGGTCATACCGCTGAGTGCAGCCCGCTTAGGTACTCAAGCAACGCGGGCGGCGATCGTCGACCCACCAAGAGCACGAACATCGTCACGTTCTTACGACCGCGGCTGCGGCTGCGGCATACGAGGATACGCCCACCCATCCGAGACCGCAGGTGGATCTACACACACGCACACTCACCGTCAGCGAACGCACGCAACCCATCCGCAGACAAGCACGAAGCAGCGGGAGACGTACACGCGGGATACATCGCCAGGACCGGCACGAACGCTTGCACCGGGGGCGGGTGTGGCCAGACCATCGCACCCGCAGGCCGGCGATGCGCGCGTGCAGTCGGAGGCTCGCCTCGCGGTGTGGACTGCGTATATGCGGGGCGCGTCGCTCCCTGCTGGGTCTGAGGGAGGGCGGTGGGACGACGGGAGCCGTAGGACACTGTCTGGCATCGGGGATGGGCGGCGGGACTACGGGGGGAGGCGTGGCGTGCTGCCGGTGCGGGGTCTCCGGCGGTACGACGGGAGCGCGGGGCGGGTTGCTGTGCGCGCGGAGGGACCGACTTGCGCGGCTGGCTTCGGTGATGAGGTAGTGGGACGTGTCCCGGGCTTGGCTCTGGCGCTACCGGTTGAGTGCGAACGGGCGGAGGGAGGGTGCGGACGTACAAGAGCGAACGACCAGAGATCCTGCGCGGCTTCGAGCTGCACCCTCGCGTTTGTGTGATATCCAGCTCGTTGGTAGCTGGAGGGGGGTCGGGATCGCGGAGACGTATGGCCGTCAGTCGAGTGGAGACTGCGCGAGGACGGTTGCACGCACCAGGCATAGACGTACTCGTACTCTGCCTTCGCGTCGGCGTCCATCTCGCCCCGGAACTTCAGCATCGAGAGGAGCGTATGCGCCTCGGCGCACAGATACCGCGCGCGCTTGCGCATGGTGGAGTTGGAGGTGAAGATCCCATGAGACGAGTCGCTCTTCTCGACGGCGGTGATGATGTCGTGGATCGTGTTGATGTGAAGCGCAGTAGACATGGTCTCGACGAGTGAGCGTCGCACACAGCAGGAGCGTAGAGTTCCGTAGACCTTCGCGAAACCGAGTAACGCCGGAGAGGACGGTCCCCACTAAGTACCTGCGCAAATGTGTGCCAGTGGCGGCAGGCGATTGGGATTGGGTTATGATAAGACGCAGCGTGTCCGCCGCTCAAGCGGCCAGGGCCCCGAGCAAGACTGTATACACGTTCGGGAGACCGCATGATAGACTGAGGGACGCGATTGGACGGGTCGGACGCAGACAGGTACGCTCGAGGCAGGTGACGGGAGCTTCCTCGTCCTCGAGGCTTCTCCGGACTGGGACGCCCATCGCCGAGTCCGCGTTGTCACTACTGCCAGAGTCGGTCGAGAGTCGGTCAAGGATGGCGGTTGCGGTGAGACTCTGAGAGGAGGACGCAGCGACGGACGGGGCGCCACCCGGACCGCGGCTGAACGCGGTCGTCCGTCTTTGCTCTTCCCCGTGGTCGTCAAGCCTTTTCCATACCTGCAGCAGTGCATCCTGCCCCAGCTGGCCCGGTTTCCGTTCATCGGGTCGCTTCCGTCTCACGCTCCGACTCCTGCTCAACGTCTGTAATGCCATCCGTCCCTTGTTCGCGCCGTCATCACTCATCGCACATCACGCCGTTAGTTGCGGGAAGGATCTCGACGCACGACCGTCAAGGAGAACTTGGTCTGCACTGAGGATGCTCTGGCCAGTCCAACGAAAGGGCAGCAGCAAAACGCCCACTGGCATGTACATGTCGGCACCAGTGCTCAGGGACGAACCTCTCATCAGAAGAACAAGCATTGAATATTGAATGCATAGCTGCACAGCCTCGATTCCTCTGGACTTGGATCTTCGGGCACAGTCCGACATGGCAAGGAGGAGGAGGGCGAGAGAGCCTGAGATCTAGAACCGCGGCGCCTCGGTGGCTGCAGCCCGCTTCGACGTCTCTGTACGAACAGTGAACATCGCCTATACTGCCACAAGTACTGACGACGGCTCCTCTTTCCACATGTTGCGGGAGGCGTTCCAAGGACGCTCGCATGCAGACCATGCGAAGCCTTCATGGTCTAAACAGGGTTCAACCTGTCGGCATACGTCTTGTATTCTCCGGACAACACTCGCGACATTCGACTGATGGCTGCCAGGTACGCACGCTAAGTATATCCTCACTGACGTCCACTGTATCTACGGATGCCTAAGAACAACATTCTGGGCTGTGCGTATTGCTATATACTGCTGCTTCAGGTCCTACTACACCATGTCCGAGGACAGCCTTGTCTTCTTCGACCGATCCTGTGCTCCTCACTCAAGCTGATAACAAGCGTACGGTATAAGAACCCTTGGCTGTTTATCTCACTTGTCCAGGCTCCTTCTATCTCTGCCAGCCTCGGAGGTGCTGCTCTCGCCTGAGCCTTCCGCTCTGCACCGCTCGCTAGTCGACCCACGCTCCTCTTGCACCAAGCATCTCGCGCACCATGGCAAGCCCCTCGGACATCCCTGCCATCTACTCCATCATCGATTCCGTCCAACGCCATGCACCGCGCCCGTCTCCGGGCGCACCCCATGACGAACAATCGGCACGCGAGAGGGCGACCTACCTCGCGTCGATGGCACACAGCATCCTGAACATCATCCGCGACGAGATCGACAGCGTGGGCAAAGACCAGTACGAGATGTACTATGCTGCGTGAGTGATCCGATATAGATCCCTCGAGTGCCACTGATGTACGCGTGTGCGGTACAGGTTGGGAGACACGATGAGCAGAGATGTGGTGCAGTACTTGCAGGCTGCTGAGGCGCTCTGGGAGTTCACGCTGGTGCGTGAACCGCGTTGTCGTCGTCGGTAATCCTTGGTAAGACCGCCTGCTCACACGACGGTGGCAGACCACCTTCCAAAGTGCAACGCATCGCCGCGTTATAGGCCACGGCCAGCGCACCGCGACCCACCACCGCCTCCCGACCCCAACGCGCACGCACTCAGACAGGCCACCATTTCGGAGGTGGAGGCGCGTACCAGCCAGGCGCACACGCCTATAGCACGCTTCCAGGAATGCGTTCCAGCCAGGCGGACCCGGCCATGCGTCCCTCGCCGTCACAGGCACGCCGAACACGAACCTGATCATCCTCCAGTCACCGTGCTGCCACAGCCCGAACCTCCCATACCCGTCTCCACTCCCCCCGCCCAGGGCGCTCTCGCCGCTCCCGCCGCCTCGCATGCCTACCCCTCCACCTCGCATGCCCACCCCGCCGCCTCCGCCGCCTCCCGCGCCCTCACAGCCATCGCCCGTCTACATCATCACGAGCCGTGCCACCACCCCGCAGCCCTCCGTTCGGCATCCCCACGCCCCCCTTCTCGCCCGGCATGTTCCCCGTCGCGGTCCCCGTCGCCGTGCCGACCCCGGTCAGGTCTCCGCGTACGTCGTCCCGTCCCGTATGAGGTTCTATATCGCTCGTCGCGCGTGGATGCTGATCCGTTGACCTTGGTTTGGCTGTGGTAGAAATGCTCCCGCAGGCTTGGCCGCCTACTTGGCCGATTTGGCCGCAATAGGAGATGAGGCCTGCGTGATGGGAGCGGGTGATGTGAATGAGATGTAGGTTGGTGGTGGGTTGGTGAGAACGTTTTCTTGGTTGTACGTGATTGCGGACTGTCGTGGACAGTGAACGTCTTCTTGTCATGATGGACTGTCTACTGTAGCAACGGTGTAATAGGCTGGTTTCCGAAAGAGCTGGAGTATATTGTGGGCGCCGCTGACCGTACTCAGTTGTGTAAACATTGCGCTCTGGTCATTCATCGACGTGGTCCTCAAGTCCCTGCAAAGTAATTGGCGAGCATTTGTCCCTTTGTGAGACATGAGCTCATCCGATGAAGGAGGGAAGATCTGCTGTACAGGTAACTCGGACGCAAAAAAAACAATAACGACGGAAGACCCAGAACTTCTCGGTGAACGATCGTCGTCGACATCGATGTGCCCACCGCTGACCACCGTGCAGCCCGCCGATCCCGGTGTCACTGCGAAGAGCAGCGAACGCGCACGGGTGAGATCAGTGAATCGTTCGTGAGCGGGAAGCCACTCACGGACCAATCAAAGAAGTTGGGCGCCGTGACACTCTCCTCAGTAGTCTCGTCTCCAGCGATATTGAGCTGTGAGACAACAGAATGAACTCGTCAACTCGAAATAATCTCGTTGCGGCTTACCGCGTCGCCGGTCGTGGGCGTGGACTGTACACTGCCTACGACGAGCAGCAGAGCGGAGGTCGCACATAGGAAGAAGCTTTCATGCTTTCCCGTAGTCGAAGTCGGGGCGAGGACGCGCGAAGCGGGCTTTCGATTTGTAGTCTAGATGCGATGAGGGAAGGTGGTCGATAGGCAGCTGAGAACGCACGGTCCACGGTGGTTTATATGCACGTCTGCCTCTGCGGCGCCAGGGCAGACGTCACCAGGAGGCGAGGCTTCTAGCCCTCCGCACTGTAACAACAGTGAGAATATGGGGCTCTCATCATGATGTAGGGCGGCGCTTCATGAAGAGAGACGGTGCTAACGTGAACCGTACGTAGGTGACTGATGGCGACGGGATTCGGAGCGCATGCCGCTCTGGAAATCAGTCAAGTTGCACACTTGTTGGACGAAGCGGGATGGTTACTTGATGGTTACTTGACTGTAGGACGTTTGTTGCGTCTACCATGTGCGTGTCAAATGCGAGACGGACGCGCCGATGGCATGCTGTCGTGCATCTGCTGGGTGGGTTAGGCTATCAGCGGCCTCAACGAGTGGTATTGTGCCAATCTTACACAGCCCAGTTTCGTCGACGTCCAAGCGTTTGATTGTTGGGAACAAAACTGTCCAAGGGCACACTTGCGCATCTGCGCAGAGATCTTCAAAACATCTCCGCGTCGACGGCCAGTACTTAAGATAATCAGCGAAATGGAGCAGAACTCAAGAATAAAGGATACGAGATCTCACGAGAAGATGCCGACCTATCCGGGATTTTATGACGGTCTCGTCTGCCCTCGAGCCAACTCAGTAAATTAACCTCGGTGGAAGCCAAGTGCAGAGACTCACCACTGTCGCCAGCAGGGTGCGCCGACTGCGCGCTGTCATACAGAGCAGCAAGGTGGTGATGGCGTACAGCAGTGAGGTTCTCATGTTCTCTAGAGTGGGGTATGTCAATGTACTCGTCGAGTGGGACACGCATGAGACCGGAGCGTCCCTGGGTGTACACCCGTCTCCCTGTGCGTAGCAGTCGCAGTCGAGGATATCACGTTGCGCTCTGGTCATTATTGATGTGGTCTCAAGTCCCTGCATGGCAATCGGCGAGCATTCATCCCTTCGTGAATCATGATCTGTGCCAATGAAGCGGGCATTAATTCATTGCACTGGTGTACTTGGGCCATATTGTCGAGACTGTACACCCACTGACAGTCCACCGATCCGGGTACGACAACGAAGCGCATGCGGTCAGTGATCTGTTCGCAAGCGGCGTTGAGGTCACTGCGACGAGCCACTCACAGCCCAATCGTTGAAGAAGAAGAGTGCCGTGATGCTCGCATCAGTAGTCTTGTCTGCTCTGGCGATATTGAGCTGCGAATCACCAGATTGAGCTCGTCAAATTGAACCAATCTCGCTGCGGCTCACCACGTCACCATTCGTGGGCGCTGACTGCACACTGCCTACGACGAGCAGCAGAGCGGCGGTCGCGCATAGAAGAAAGCTTTCGTGTTTTCTGTAGCCGAAGTCGGGGCGAGGACGCGCGAAGTGGGCTTGCGACTCGCAGTCGGGATGCGATGAGGAAGGTGGTGGGACACTGAGAGGACACGGCCCACGGTGTTGATATACACGTCTGCCTCTGCGGCGCCAGGGCAGACATCACCGCGAGGCAAGGCTTCTAGAACTCTGAGCTACACCAACAGTCAGAATATGAAGCTTGTATCACGATGTAGGGCGACGTTCGATGAAGAGAGACGATGCTACATGAACCGTACGTAGATGACTGACGGGCTTCACAACTGCATGCCGCATCCGTGTTACATCTGAACAAATCTATCAAGTAGCACAGTGCACACTTGCGTTATGACGAGTGCCGTCAAGGCGTACAGGGAAGGGTGCTTACCTGATTAAAGCGGTTTCTTGCATCTGCGATGTGCATGTCACTGCGAGACAATTGCGTGGACATGCTGTCGTGCATCGTACCATGCTGGATGGGTGAAGGTACTAGCGGCTGCAACTCATAGTACCGTGCCTATTTGACATGGCCGACCTTAACGGTCTCGTTTGCCTTGGCCATCTCAGTAACTGACCCAGTAGACCAAGTGCAGAGGCTCACCACTGTCGCCAACAGCGCGCGCCGACTGCACGCTACCATGCGAGCAGCAGGTGGTGACGGGAAGAGGCCTCATGTTCTCTAGAGGGGGTATGTCAAAGCACTCGTCGAGTGGGACACGCATGAGACCGATGGTTTGACAGAGCATCCCTGGGCTTTACACGCCCGTCTCCCTGTGCGTAGCAGTCGCAGTCGGGGTGTTCAGTTCTCGCTGCCGTCGCCTGCCGAGAGGGGGAGGCTCTTACCTTCGATGTGAGTTGACTTACCAACAGTCAAGATAGAATGCCAGTGCATCATCGTGCGTGATGGTGTCCAGTGTAACGAAATGCTTCTATCAAACGCCGCACACGGACGCGACACGGCTCACAGAGACGACTGAGCGGAAAAGGCAGGCCTGGTGACGTTGAGCAGCCTGGCGATGCGCATAAGGAGGGATCGCTACTCACTTCAGCAACCGGGGCCGTTCTTACGCGCATCAGCCTAAGCTAGGCTTGTACCACTCACACTACATATACTGTTGGGAAATGTTCAGTCAGATACGGGTGAATGATTGGGACCGATGCTTCTTCAGAAGCTATCGGCGGCGCACGCGAAATCTGTCAGGGGCAAGGGACTGGAAAGTACTCTGATAGTCGAAAGCGTTCCAGGTCCATGGTATCCATCAGGTCACCACGGTGTCTCCTTCACGCCATGCCAGAGATGAACATCGCACGCACCAGGATTTAACCTCGCGCGTGCACGATACAAGGGTGGCGGTGTGATCCGAGTCTGCCTTTTGTCTCACAGCCTCGAGAGGCTAACACTCAAACCCTTGTGTCTGTCTGTCGGGGTGAACACAGAAGTTGTCGTGCCACGGCGTCCGTCTTTCCCTGACATCCGCCCTCAGTGTCATGTCTCGAGGTGATCGTATTGATCCTACCTGCGGGCTGCTCATGCATTCGTCCACGAACTCCAGAAACTCTTTCAGGTACTGCCAAATACAGCGTCAAGGAATCATGCTCGCGATGACGGTCGACGTCCTGGAGTAGTACTGCTTCACCGTTTTCGAGAGACTTGCCATAATTTGTTCAAACCCTGCGTGCACCGCTCAAGACTGCCGCTCTCCGTGAGGCCACACACGCAGCCTACGGAGGCAACTCACTTACGTCGCGAAGTGCTCGGTGGCATCCACAGAGCGTATCCGACGAGCATGTTGCACTGACCGAGTGCGGTGTACCAGCAAGCACCGTGGCTAGTTGGTCATCGCTCGCGTCATCAGCCCGAGGAGGCTTGAGTCGGCCCCGACGAGGCCAATGCAAGAACCGTCTGCAAAATGTCAGTGAGAAGTCCTATATCAGTGTGATGTGCTGGCTATTGGGCATGGCCAACGCGAAAATCGCGACCGCTGCTTCGACAAGCTCGTCTACCATTGTGTTTACACTTGTGGTGCGTGCCCGTTGTAAGGGAGCAAGATACGACCGACCTGAAAGGTTCAGCACTCGTTCGATCTTCAGTACTTCAGTTCGGACTCGGACATTAGGTCGAAGTTCTCTGTATTACAAAATACCCCGTCGACGGGGCCTCCTCTTAGACTGAGATGAATGTGGTACCGGCTAGCGTCGGACAATCTGATCTTTCGGTGAGCAAGCTGGCGGCTCTGTATAACGAATGTTACTCACTTCATCGGGTGTAGCACCTGCGCCTAAGCAGCCGTCGATGCTACAGGCTCGTGCCACTGAGGCCATGCACTTGATCATCCTGTATGATATTGCTGACTCCGTCCTCTCCTCGATGGCTTATTTACTGCAACAGGAACGGAGTGCGAGTTGTACAGTGGAGTGTGGGCCCACAACCGCTCCAGCATGTCCCGGTTGATTCGGATGCCATACTCATCTCAGCGCGTTCCTCGTTTTGGATCAATATCAATGTGAACGGTGATCGGTGTCGATCCGATGAGGACGAGGAGCACTGTCAATTGCTCAAATCAAGAGTCCTAGATGATGTGGTCGACCAGCGAGGGTTTTCTGTGAAAGTATGAACATACTGATACGCTTCTCCCAGCGCGGGCAAGGTCGGATTGGCAGCTGCACAAGAATTCTGGCATTAGAGCAATGACGGGCGGCATGAGTCTCTCCCTCAACGCCACGGAAAAGTGCATGCATGCTCACCGTTGTCTTTGCTACCCTCCACTTCCCAATCCTGCAGCTAACGCTCGCGTGTACGCCGGAGTACTCGCGCGATCCCCGTCCTACGTCCCAGACCGAAGTATTCGCCATGGCGATGTGTGTACGAAGCAAGCGACCGTACTGGTTCCAGCCGGGAAGCCGGCCGAGGACGTTCTCTCGTCAGAGCGTTTGCGTTTGAAGGGCATTGACGCGGGCGTCGGATGGTGAACGTCAGCCTGGTGTGTCGTGCCGTGAAACGCACTACTCGAGTAGCCCGTTCAAACAACTCGAGGGACGACGCGCGAGCGGAACACAGGCCTCCTAACGGACACGCATCTCACCAATCGTGCGATGGCCTAAAGACCGAGTGTAGACACCCTGAACCGTGTCTCATTCCGAGACCTGCAGTACCACACCGCACGCGGACAATAGCGGACGCGAGTATAACAACAGGATTTGAAGTGGCCGCCGCCGTTGAGCTGTTCGAGGACGACGTCGGCGAGGGGAGCTGGAACGGCCAGGGCCAGGGGGCGAGGCGGTGGTGGTTGCTGCGGAGACCAGGAAGGGGACGACGGCCGGGGGGCCGGGCCACGGCGCGTGGCGCTGGATAGGGTGGTGGCGGGGAGGAGGAGATTAGGCGCGCAGTGTTGGACACTGCCCACTCGCGTCTTCATATTCCTCTTCGTCTTCCTGCTGGCTCGGGCATTGCGTGTCTCTCCCAGTCCCTGTACATTAGCCACCACTGCCCGCAATGGCCCCCTCGCCGTCGTCGTCGACGTCCGCCGCTGCCTCCGCCTCCTCGTCAGCCGCATCGGGCACTATTAGCGTCAGTGGGAACCTCAAGGTCGGTGTGGAGCCGCTCATTCGCTCGCGTGCAGGCTACCGAGCCAGGCTCATGTGCTTCTGTAGATCGTAGGCATTCTCTTGGCCATATCCAGTGGCCTCCTCATCGGCTCCAGCTTCGTCTTCAAGAAGAAGGGCCTTATCCGCTCCCAGAGGGGTCAGGTAGCAGGCGAGGGCGTAGCCTACCTCAAGTCGGTGCGTGCGTCGGCCCATGCTACATTCTACACCTACTGAACTTCCTACCCGCCTAGCCACTATGGTGGACTGGCATGTCCAGTGCGTAGCTGCGCACGTCATTCACGCACACAACCTGACGCCTCGCCTTGACAGTGATGATCCTCGGCGAGATCTGTAACTTTGTCGGTATGTCGTATCTGCGCCTCCTGCATCGTCTCCTCACTCTCACCCAGCATACGCGTTCGTCGAGGCCATCGTGGTCGTACGTTTCCGTTCATGCCTCCGCCGGCCGCTCACCTCTAACCACAACCCCTAGACCCCCATGGGCGCACTCTCCGTCGTCATCTGTGCCATTCTCTCCCACTTCTTCCTCGCAGAGAAGCTGAGCTTCTTCGGTTGGCTGGGCTGTGGCCTCTGTATCGTGAGTTCTCCGCCCCTTCCCCTCCGCACGGACCTTCGGACCACGGTCTCACCGACTGCGCCTGACACAGGTTGGCTCTGTCGTCATAGCGCTCAACGGTATGCCGTCCCCTTGCCCCTCCGGCGCGTCCATACTGACACGCCTCACCTGCGTTTCACAGGGCCACAGGAAGACACTCCGGGCCAGATATTGGCATTTCAGAAGATGTTCCTCGCGCCCGGCTTCCTCGCGTATGCCTCGACGCTCATCGTCGCATCCCTCGTCATCATATTCGTCTTAGCTCCTCGGTGCGTTCTCCGTGAATATCGGCATTGACGCAGCGCGGCCTGATGCGGGGACTCCAGGTATGGGACGAAGAGCATGCTGTGGTATATCATGGTGTGTAGCATGATTGGCGGCATCAGCGTCAGCGTTACGACCGGGCTCGGCGCGGCGATCGTCACCAGTGTGCAAGGCGATAACCAGGTGCGTCCGATGAATATCGTATCCCGGCTCTGTCGGTAATGGGCGTCGTGCAGTTCAAACACTGGTTCACATACTTCCTCCTCGGGTTCATCGTCGTCACTCTTGGTGCGCAATTTGACATACATCTCCGCCTTCCCTGACGCGGCGCACAGTCACCGAAGTATTTTACCTCAACAAGGCGCTGGCGCTCTTCAATACAGGTGCGTCCTTTCCGATCTAACGCCTCTGCGTCCACAGGAAGCTGATTGTGGCGCATTTTTTCTCGCAGCTATGGGTGTGTTCTTCGCTTGGCAGACCCTTCAATTCCTTCGCAGACGCTGACCACACGAACCAGTCACACCGACGTACTACGTGATATGTGCGTCCCGGACCCTCCCGGCGGATCACAGCGCGCCCATACTGACATGTCCCCTTTTCTCGCGCGCAGTCACGTTCTTCTCGATGCTCACCACGATCGTGCTCTTCCAAGGCCTCAGCGCGCCCGCGACGCAAATCATCACCCTCGTGATGGGCTTCATCGTCATCTGCTTCGGGATCACGATCCTCCAGCTCTCCAAGATCGACCCGGCGGAGCTCAAGCTCGACCGTCGCTCGACGATCCTCCTCCAGGCCGCGAAGAGGGACACCGAGGGCATGGACGAGAAGAACCTCGCCTCCGTTGAGGAGCCCGGTATGGACGCCCTCCGCGGCACGTTCGGCATGGTCGGAAGCGTCATCCGCGCGCGCAGCGCACACCGCATGAGCATGAGCAGCAAAGGCAGCATACGCAGCCGATACAGCAACGCGCCGCCCCTGCCTGGCGGCGGCGGCGACCCGCTCGCGGGCCTGAAGCGCCACCAGCTGTGGGACCCGCCAGTGCCGTCCCGCACGTCGAGCATGGCAGACCTGAGCTCGACGGCGGACAAGGCGACGCTGGACGAGCGGGCTTCGGTGTTCAGCGCGAGCCGTATGAGCGACGCGACCGCGCTGGGGAGCCCGGTGCCCCGCGAGCGGAAGCAGACGATCAAGTTTGACAGCCAGGACGTCGTGCACTCGTATCACGTACCCGGCACAGGCGACAATTCGGCGATACATGAGCGGCGCGGGGCGTCGCACCACAATTCGATGAGCCCGCCTCCCAAATCCGTGAGTGGTCACCGAGGCTGAAGCAGGGTCGCTGATGACTGAACTTACTGCGTCTCAAAGGATTCGTTCAAGGAGGCGGACGCACAGGTCGTTACGCTACCCGTGAGTTCGTCGTTGGACGACATTGCGGAGGAATCTGGCAACAAGACCGCCCCGCCGCGCCTCGGCCTCACCACCGACCCCTTCCACCCACATGTACAAGACATCTTTGAGAACACCCCCTCGACCGCGACCGAAGGATACTTCCCAACATACTCGCCCGATGACGAACCGAGGCGGAGCGCGTCGCCCTTGCGCTCGAATCAGGGACGCTTTTGGCGATCGCCGGGCGGGCGCCGATACCCCTCGAACGGGGCGGACGACCGCGAGGAGAGCGAGAGCCTCTGGCGGCGCGAGAACGATCTGTCCGACGAGGACAGCCCCGCGGTGACGCCCGGTGGCGGGATCCGCCTCGTCACCAACCACAGGCGATGAGAGCTCCGCGACGCCACCCCGCTATCCCTTACTTATTGTGATTGTGTGTGCGATCTCTTTTTTCGGCATGTACGTTGGACGCGACGAGAGATCGCGGTCGGTCGATAAGCGGCACTCCTCGTTTAGACACTCCTTGACCCGGCGCTGCGGTACCTATCCTATCATCTCCCCCATCGTCGGTTTCGAACGCGGACTAGGACTGTTTTTGTTGGCACCGTTGTACAGTACATTACACACGTCGTAGAATGTGCACGAATGGCGATATGAGCTAATGCCCTGACTAGCTGCCGGCTGCCGCGCAGTTATCATGATGGGGATGTTGCGCGGAGGGTTCAAGTTGCCTTCCAGAGTGACGTGCTTGTCGATAAGTGCGAAGGAGTCGGCCTGCGCACACACACACAAGGCGTGCGGGCGAGGCTAACGTCAAATCAGATGAGGTGAGGTGCGCGCAATGGATAGATTGCCCGTATAACATGGTAACGTCGATGTGGTGCTAAGGAAGGGTCGAGTGCGCTATTACATTCCCGGTAGTATATGATGCATGGTTCCTAGTCCAGTGCTGCTAGCAGGCCCTACTATGGTCCGACGGAGAAGTGTGGATGAGGGTCTCGGAGAGGTACAATCTAACATAAACGGTATGGTGGACGGTCATGATGGGCATGTTACAGGAACGAAACGGAGCGACAGGTCACAGCATATAACATGCGAAGCAGGCGAACGACGGTTGAAAGAGGCACTGAATCATGGAGGCTAACGACGAATGTACAGTCCAACGGCTGGCGGCGATCAACGTCGGGGTCGGATCATGACAGGATGGCGGGGATCGTTGGAACGGTCAATGTATCTCGGGCATCGTACAGGAGCTTCGGCCTCATCCCGCGTCGCGAAGCCTCGGGGTAGACACACTTGAGATTGCGCCTCGCGCATTGACTAATGAGCGCACGGTCAGTGGCCGATGAAACGTTGAGAACTTCTCCATACTCACTTGCACGTCCTGTCCTTCTTCCCCGGGGGAGGACTACCACACGCAATCTTGCGCTTACGGCAGAAGAAGCACGCGAGGGTCAACGGCTTCTTGGGCGTGTCCTCGACAGGTGCTGAGTGACGCAGAGGCGCCGGAGGAGGCGGCGGGGGAGCGGTTGGTATGGAGAGCACTTGGTAAGGAGGTGCCATCGGGATAGAAGACTGGGAGACGTCATCATTACCGTGGTAGTCCTGTTGCATGGCGATAGGCACGGGGCGCAGCGTCTTCGGCTGTGGGGCGTGAATTGAAGGAGGATGTTGAGAAGAAGGCGAGGGAGAAGGCGAGTAATCGAAGGTGGGGTAGACGTAGCGGTCGTGCCTGGGAAGAGAGCTAACCATAGCGTGGCCGTGGGACGAAGACACTATGTGCGATGTATCCGAGCGCGCTTGGTCCGCCAGAGTCGAGCCGTACTGCAGCGCTTGGTTTCTTCGGTCGTGTGTAAGGACCTGACTCACATGCGAAGCCGCGAGGCCACCGAAATGGTGATCTACGACATTAGTCACAACCTCCACAGCAAGCTAGGCATGATAAATGGCTTACCGTAACGATAATTCTGACCGCGACCTGGGTACGAATGTGGAGACGAACGATCATGGGCTGGATGATCGTAAGCATACTGACGGCCGGCGTCGTGCACTATTGGGAGTGGTTGGGAGTTATGCGAGCAATGAGCGTACTCGACGCCAGCGTCACAGCCGGAGGACATGGAGCCTTGCTGAACAGCATAGTCGGGAAGCATATCGGCACCAGCCTGGGGTATCCAACGGAGATGAACATCGCAGAGTAGACACAGACGAGTAGACAGTCCTCACCGACGCCGTATAACCACCAGTACGTCTGTCGCAGGCTACCGCGTACTGGGCATGGTCCGAGTGGCACCCGCTAGCTTCGTAATCGGTCGCGGCGTTGGAATACTGCGCTTCAAAGCCGTGCACATAGTCGCCCCGGTCATGTTGGGGGAAGAACGGTTCCGACACCGCCGACGTCGGGCTGTCCGACACGTCCGTCTCCTGCAGATAGTCCCAGTTCTGATGATTGACCGCCGAATCCGAGACTGCGGAATATTGAGGGCTGTCGTCCTGTGCATCAGGGTACGGGGCAAGCCCATAGAGGCCGGATGGAATGACGTTGGGCAGCGTCTGGGGCTCTCCGGGAGACTGCCCAGGAGCCTGCACCGTAGCCAGGTAAGGGCCCTGCGTCGGCCACTATCAGTCCGAGGTCGTGAATGGATGCTACGCGGTACTGACCTGGCTGCATCCAATTTCGTATGGATATCCCGTACGAGTTGGTCATGACATAGGGAGCGTACGCTCCTTGGGTGCCGTCAAAGTAATCCGACGGGGAGATATGTCGTGGATGGAAGACTCCAGTAGACGATACGAAGAACGTCTGGCGATGTTTACATGGGCAATCGGCGCATCAAGCGGGGAGGCAAGCGAGTCGGAGTCGGACTCGACATCGGTGGCGCTGGACGGAAGCAAACGCGGAAGCATCTTGGAGTTGCGAGCGAAATAGGAAGGTGTCTAGGATGGGCCCTCGGAGGGTCCGCAGACGGGCTGACGCGGAAGAGACCAAGTTGAGTGAGAGGAGAGAGAGACGAGACGAAACGCGAACTCGCCTGTGGGTTTATAGTCCTTTCTATTAATGACCCTGGGTGGATTAGAAGTCGGCTGCGTCGGGGAGAGGGGCGTGTTCTCTAGGCGTCTCAGCAGCCAAGGATCCGGGGAATAACGCTAGGCCAAGTCATCTGATGGGCCGTCCGACTTAAATCGCCCGTCATTAACCGTTCCGACCGCCACGCACCAGTGTTTATCAAGAAGCTAATCCCGCTCGAGCCATGCCTTTATCGTGCAGCATCACCACCCGCCGCTCTGTTTGAACTATAATATTTGGAGCCATCCTTTGTGTGCAGGATTTGCTTCCGCGGCGCCCTGACGCAATACCACGCGAACAATCTCCTTGGTCTATTCGGTAATAGCCCAGGGCAGCCGCATATGTAGCTGCGGTCACAGCCATTCCGAAACCGGCTTCTGGTACACTGGATCTCATCTAGATGTGCTCGGGCCTCCGCAAAGTGACTGCTGTACGTACACACTCGAGGTTATCTTCTCGGCGATGTCCCTTCGAACGAGTTGCCTTATATTGACAACTTTCAGCTTCATCCGCTGATCGCCACGCTGCTGCCCAGAGTCAACCCTCGCATTCTAATCATGTTGAAGCTCTCAAGTTGACTTCGATCTCCCATGGGCCTCGCGACCAGCCCTCACGGAAGGTTTGAACGCAAACAACAACACGTGCTTTGCGCACGAAGCCACGTCTTCTTAGACTATACATATTAAATGAAGCTTGTGCGTCTTGTCCTTGTTAGGTGGGATGCCTTATGCGCCTGGCACAATCAGCGTGCGCAGCATGCGCCGGCGCTGCGCCCGCCATGCCGCGACACACAGCCTTCGGTGCCGGTACAACAACACTTTGTTGTTCGAGGAGGCTGGGTCAATGCCAGCAGGTGCGACTAGGTCCGGCCATGCTGCACGTCCGGTTGTGCCATGAGACTTATCAGCGACACCCTTGACGGGCGGAGTATCGATAGCGCAAGCATGGTGGACGATACCTAGTGGTGCTGAGTTTCCGCGGCGAGTCTGTTCGGCGCCGGCGTCCCCACCCTGGTGGTAGTGGGACGCCACACGAGTACCATTACAGTACTCGTTCTTTGCGAAAGCCGTGAGAATGGCGTAGGGCGATGCTTGCTCAACTTTACTCGCTCCGAAATGGGGCTATTGTACATAGGACGCCTTGGACCTTTCACCGGAGCTGATCATGCGTTGAGGTCATGCGGGTCGATTCCACGCCGTCAGGTATGATTTCGCTTCAGTCGACAATTAGCACTGTAGCGCGTTGGCTCATTCAACAGATCGATGTCGACTAGATTTGCATGTCGTCAATAACATCGCGTTGGATAGGAGAACCGCAGCGACTCGCCGAGGGCACTCACGAACCTATCTGATCCTGTGGCGATAGCGTCCATAGTGTTGCGTCGCGACGTTCTTACGGCGTATCCTTAGACCAGCCGTGCGACTCTAAGCGATACTGCTGCGAGTGCTCTTTCTGCGTCGAGCTGTGCCGCCGGTTTTGGTAGTAAAACGGGCCGGGACTCCCTGTTCACAGAGAAACACTTTCCGATTGCGTCCATCCGTGCATCCTGCCTGCGGATCATCCCGTCTTCCGCGAAGGGGTCGATAAACCTCTATTGGCTGTCGGAACTGGAAGACGAGACACGCTGGGCTGTATCTCGTCATATTAAGAAATCGACTCCCTGACACGAGGCTGCCTGCTATGGGAAGCACATACCCAGGAAGCCGTGCTCCCCACTGAGTGGCGCGAACGTATGGATTGTCAGGAAGATTACCTGTGGAGCGTAGCGGGAGCTTTGAACCAGCGCTGCCCAGCCACGAGATCCGAGATGAATGTCAGCTTGTCCGAAGAGCAGGCACCCCACATACTAGGAAGGTTTATTCCCTGCGATCGGCTGCTCACCCTGCGCCGAGGGCGATGCGATGATCGCGAAGCACCCCGAGGCATTGTGCGAATAATGATTGAAGCGGAGCCTTTGGTCTGGACAGAAGAAGCCGTATCGGCAAGCGAGATGGGCGAGAAGGGGCCTGGGTCGAATGAGCCGCATTTGGAAGCAGACTAGAAGGGGAAAAATACTCACCGGCGGGACCTGTTGAACGTCGATCGTCTGCAAGTAGAATCGGCTTGCTGCTACCGACCTACAATGTGGAGGAGAAGGTTGGCCGGTAGACGCGTGGTCTGACTGCAATGGTACCTCGGTTGCAGACCGGGTATCAATGAACTTGAGTAGTACCTGAGCGAATTGGACATAGCGCTTCATTTTGACGAGTGTGTCGTGCAAAATGGGCGTCGGAATGGAGAGTGCCGGGCTAGAACGCGAGAACTGGACCTTCGGTGTGTATATTGCAGCCATAGGCGCGCTGCGCAAACGTGCCGGCGACTCTCAACGCACATACGAGGGAAGAGTTTCGCGTGTCTACCATGTGCGAGGGTGACACAGAGAAACGGTCCGTACGAAGATGTTGACAATGATGGGATTCTCGTGCGCGAACGCGTGAGGCTTCCAATGCCTCAACCACGTCCAGCACGAGCGCTCGGTGGAGTTTGCGCAAGGCCCGCGAGCAGAAGATACGAAGACTGTGAGACTCGTTTCAACCAAAGCAATATTCGACAGACCGAAGAGTTCCTCGAGCGCTCATCGAGGGACCACTGCGCGGATAGAACGACCATTCCTAAGTACGTGTGGCCGAAGAGAACACTGCGATGATGCAATAACACTACCGCGGTCTGCCGAATCCGATAGAATGGGAGTAAGCCGCTGAACGCAGATATGAATGTGAGAACATTGCGCGAGCATGTGCTTACCTTGTAATATTGGACGGCGTCGTCCCAAAGTGGCACGAAACGCGTTCTTGCCTGATGCGACACGCGAGATGTCTGTAGAACGGCTGACGGGTCAGTAGGCTTGACCAGCGAAGTGCTCATGCGGCCGCCGCGTCGTGTGCATGACCGGGCGCATGTAGCCTAGAAGCATCCCGGCTTGATTCACGGAATCGAATCACCCCTGAGTTGCGTCGGTGTTATCCTCCCGTCCGCCAGCGATCTGTCGGCATCAGACAAGCAAGTAAAATGACAATGAACCGGCACGACAAGCTGAAGACGCCTAAAGCCAGTCGGAGCACCTCGCCAGACCCGTGCACGCACGAACAATCCTGACACGACAATTGTGAGATGTCAATAAACGCTGCGGCCGCAGCTTCCCATGTGGTTTTGTGAGCCAACGCCGAGGTTTGTCGTGGTTGCAAAGAGGCAACCCGTCGTCGCCGGAGACTTCTCCTGCCTGTGCGAGATCTTAACGGGCAAGATAGAACACGGATCTAAGTCCGCCACGCCTCGAATAGGTATCCGCGTCCATGGTCAGCGGTAACATCTCTAGGTCAGCGGTAACATCTCTAATCCGCAGACGCAGACGCACTTCCATTCCAACAACTTGCTAGCTGCATCTCCCACTCAGTCAAAGTCCGAGCCTGCATTCGAACATTGAACACACACGACGTCGTTATCTCGCCTACAGGGTAACGGACACGGATACAGGAAGTTTGCTCCACTGCGCTCGCACAACCACGACGCGGTCGGTCAGAAGGCAGAGATGTGACAGCCCAGGGCTGGCGACGGGTGCCAGCACATTCGTTCTTGGCTCTTCGTCAGGCTAGCTGGTGCGGCTCTGGAAACGGAATGGGCTGCGATGTCCGCGCTGCTTCGCCCCACGCGAGCAGGCCGACGTACGGCATCAGGTTGTACTTGAGCGTGTAATGCGCCGGGGGGACGTTTCTGTGGGAGACGGTCAACAGGGGGTCGATAGGGTATGCGAGGAGTGATGAATGAAAGGTGAAGTGAAGGACGTCGCGGAGACGCCGGTCTGGAAGGAGATACGCCCATAGAACGCGAATTGGCGATATTGCACGCCACCGGTCTTGTCGATGTTCCTGCTCCAGCAGGAAAGCCAGCGGCTGTCCTGTCCACGCACGGTCGCATAATAGGCTAACCGACTGCCGACGCGCGAAGAATATTCTCTGGCGCATGCACGGGCCAGACCGTCGATGAAAAAATAAATACGGCTACGCACCGGAACGTCGTGCTCATGTCTTTGAGATGATATTTGTTCATGAACGTCGAAGAGATGTTCGCGTCCTCCTTGCGGCGCACGATGCGGTCCCAAACGACCACTTCGTTGGCGGTCTGTACAAAATGTGAAATATGTTGCACATGGTCAGCACGCGGCTCGAAGCACTCCGGAGGATGTTAAGGAACGAGTTCAAGACCGCGACCAAAGCCGCATACCGACCGCGGAGCATGCCTCCTTAGATACGGTACATGTCAAGCGGGACGTTACGATTCTTGGAAGACGATGCTTTGGGGAAAGGAAGCGGGGTTAAGTCGAGAAGCGATGACTTCACGAGATGGATCGCAAGGTCCGCTGGCATCGGGATCTCGTACGGACCGTACGCCGAGACCGAAGAACCGCGGCAGTTACCAAACGCGCTGGTTTTTGCGAACGAGGGTGACAGGTAAGACAACGCGTACTGGCTTCAAGAAGGAACGAGGCAAGGCGAGAGGAATAGAGAAGAGAGACGCACTCCCTGCTGATCGGTGTATTCTGCGCTCACGTAAAGGAAGAGCTGTTTCGTATTCCAGTGGAACAGGGATGACAGATCTGTAAGAACGGAGGGAGCGTGAGTACGAGGGAAGGAGACATGTCGTGAACGTTTGAGAAGAAGAGAACAGGGACGCGGAGGCTTCAAAGATAGGCGGGACGGCAGTGAACATAGCCGGTGAACGACGCGAACAGACCGCGATGGATTTCTTGCTCAATTTGTCAAAGTCGTTCGCGATGAAGAGGACGCGGCCAGGGGTGGACCATACGCACTGTGTCATGCAACAACAAATGTGGGGTAGCTCACTGACAGGCGCGAGGCGGGAACATCACATCGTTGTCGGTGCGCGTGATGGCCTAGACTGGACGATGCCACATCGAGGCAGGTCCAGTCTCTATGTCGACCGAGGACGCTCCCTCGGAGTGGATACTTGGACGCGCGGGATGGGAATGCGCGTAACGGTCCAGTGTGAGGACACGGATTGCGGCACGGCTGAGTGATCTGGAAAGCTCGTCCTTTTGGAGGAATGGATACGCCGCAGACCCTTGGACACTGAGTCCTCCGTCCGCGTACTCAGAGCGGGTTGCAACCCGCTGCGGCGTGTGAGCTGTGGCGGTCTGAGGAGGGTAGATTGGGAAGGAAAGAGCCGCACCGCAGTCCGATACAGTACGTCTCGTCTGAGCAAGCACAGAAGACGCCCCCTCGTGCATGCACGCATGACCCATAGACACTGCAGCAGTAGCAGCGGAGTGGAGGAAGCCAGCGCCACACAGCATGGTCGAGGAGGTTCTAAACATCCGCATTCTCAGCAGGACCACCCCAGTCACTACGCACCTGCGGTGAGGTTGAAGTTTACGAACGCGAACTCTTGCTGCCGGCTTCCATACTTTCGCATGTACCTCCCCTTTCCTGGCAGCCTGCAGGAAGCGCTTTAGGTGCATCTATCGCGGTAGGATGCCAAGCTGTTCACGTACACTTTGACGCTATTTACAGCTAGTTCGCCTACGGGCGGAGTCTGGCATGTCTGATAGAGCGCAGAAGTGATAGCCACGGCAAGCACGAGACCCATGAGACACGAGGAGAGGAACGCAGAGACATTGTTGACGCGCGAGTAGATTGTGTGCATTGCGGCGGGCGTCGGAGCGTACGACGAGGACGAGGACGAGAACACAGGCGGCGATGACGGGGCGATGGACGGCGGTGGACAGTGAGACGCGCTCACTGCGCGCCTCAGACACGACTTCGGCGCTGGGTCACGTGTCGGGCCCTGGTCCCGCGCGCTGTTGATGGCTGTTTGGCGCCGCGCCCGATCGGGACACGCGCCGGCGGGCTGCGAGTGACGGATGCGGGCTCGCTGCGTCCGACGCTGGCCTCCGCCTCCTCCTCCTCACCATCCTATCCGCGGCCTCTCTCAGCCCAGGCGGCGTGGGCCTCCTCTTCCTTGCTCTCGACCTCCATCACTGTCTCTCGTCGCCATGCCGGATGCCTACGTTCTACACAGGGTTCTCCGCGGCGTCGCAACCTGGGCTATCGTTGCTTTCTTCACCGAAATCCACATCATCGGGAGCGAGAACGTGCCCAGGGATGGCCCTATCATCGTGTAAGTCACTGGAGATGGCGCGGAGGGACGAGGGCGGGCTGCGGGATGATTGAGCTGGGGTGTGAATGGTGCAGCGTTGTCCTCTCACCTTCCGTACCATGAGGTCCGTGGCAATAGGTGGGCAGGCGAGGATGTCCGGACAAAGTGTGACTGTTTGGAGCTTGATGTCCGACGCTGTCTGGTTCCGTCTGGACAACGCAGGGTCGCGACGTAGGTCGGGACACCGACGACGGACGTGTGGCGAACCAGGGGTCAAGGCCCCCGCGGTGCGTGCTGCAAGGTATACCCAACGTCTACACAGAGTTGGCGTGTATGGCTGAACGTTGCTGCGGCCTTCCCGCCTATTGCCAAGGGTCGTGTACCATGCCATCGGTGTTCGGTACTGACACGGTCATTTAGCACGGCAACTCACCACAACATGATGATAGACCCGGCCGTACTGTGTGCGTTCTATGTGCATGTGCATTCTTCTCGGCTCCTGACATGTCGGACGGAATGCAGCGACCATGTTCCCCTACCAGCGGATTTTACATTTCTGGGCCAAGGGTGCGTTGTCCACGCGGTCGTTCTTTAATTCATCTTAAATCCGACGCATGCTACGCAGCGTCACTGTTCGCGAACCCGGTCGCAGGTTACATCCTGACTTCTGCAGGCAACATCCCGGTCGACCGCAAGGCGAAGGACCGGCGCCAGCTCTTCGGCGGCACCTTCAAGACGCTCGCCCGCAGCGAGGCCGTCGCCGTCTTCCCCGAAGGCACCTCCTACACGGAGCCCCGCATCGTCCAGGTCAAGGACGGTGCCGCGTGGGCGGCACTGGAGTACGCCAAGTGGGCGCAAGAGAACCCTGGCAAGGTCAGGCCCGGTGCCGAGCGTGCGCGGATCGTCACTGCAGCGATCGTGTACACGAACAAGACAAAGTACCGAAGCAATGTGCGTCCCCCACGTTCACCACACGCCGCGAAGGCAGCTGATCGTGTTTGCGCTTCGGCACCTCTACACAGGCCATCATGGAGTGAGTCTTCCGTTCTTCTTCCATGCGTCCCGCGCGACTTGCTGACCATTGGGCCGCACCGGCGCCACCCGCCCTGCAGATACGGACCGCCGATCGATGTGGACCCATACTTGGAGCAGTTCCTGTCCGCAGAGGAAGGCGCACCCCGCGCGGCCGTAAAGCGCCTGACCGCAGCTCTGGAGCAGCAGCTCATTGAGGCGACCATCAACGCGCCTGATTGGTACGCACATCTAGCTTTCATAATTTGTGCGTTCTCATTCGACGACCGGTGATAGGGACACGCTCTACGCCGCACGCATGGCAAGGGACCTCCTCTGGGAGGACGAGAAGCCATTAGCCTCGACGACTTTGTCCCCGTGTCACAGACGTAAGGTTTCGCTGCTTCTCGCCTTCGCGTGCCCCTCGCTCACGCCCGTCTGCGGCCCGGCGCACACAGCCTCGTCGACCTCTTCTGCACCCCGGACCTCGTCCCCAACCTCACAGCGATCAAGCGGCACCTGCTCACATACTACTCCCTCCTCCAGTCCACGAACCTCACCAACTCGGTGCTTGCCTCGCTCCCGCTCCCTGAGACGCTCGACCCGAACCGCCCGATCCCGGTCCCGAGCCGCCTCTTCACGCTCTCGCTGCTCGTCCGTGACACCCTAGCACTGCTCGTCGGCCTCCCGTTTTTCCTCGGGCCGCTGCTCATGCACGTGCCCGCGTATGTCTTTGCGAGAGTGGGCGCTCGGCTCGCGAAGGACGAGGAGGAGACGCAGGCGCAGAACAAGGTCGTGTTTGGGTTGTTGTTGCTCATGCTGATCTATCCGGCTGCGTTCTTCTTTATTTGGGCGTTCTTATGGTACACACCGCTTGGTGCGCTGGCGTCGGGGACATTGGTCGTGCTTGTTGCTAGCTATCACAATAAGCTCGTGAACAGTATGTGCCTTCCACGCTGCAGCTTGTGCCATTAATCTCTAACTGGCTCTTCACTCTTAGATAATTACGAACGGTGAGCCTCTTGCTTCTGCACAGCTCTCCATACTCACCCGCGCGCAGCGTGAAACGTCTCGTCGCGGCCTGGCGCATACTCGTCGGCGTGTGGATACCGAAGAAATGGGACCTCTCGCTGAACGCCCTCGCACAGTACACCGTACCCAGCTTACCAGCCGAGAACGAATGGATCGACCGCTCCAAGGTGACGCCGCGCAAGACCCCAGCCTCCGAGCCCCCCGTGAACGGCTCGTCCACCCGCGCCTCGTCTTCACGCAAGCGCCGCCGCCCGCCAACGCGCAGGCTCATCCGACACGTCCTCCGTGCACGCGTCGAGGCCGCCAAGGCGCTCGCCTCGCTCTTCGAGCAGCTCGAGAAGGGCTCGGGTTCAGACGGCAAGCGCGTCGCGGCATCTGCGCACCTCGCGCACGCGCACGGCGGCGGCGTCGACCCGCACCCGCATCCGGACCTGTCAACCGCGGAGGGCGTGGAGGCACTGATGGAGCCCATAGGCTGGCGGTACGCGAGGGAAGTTGTGAGCTTTTTGAGAAAGAGGGGCGCACGGATCGCACAGCTGGAGGAGCGCGTGGAGGGTGACTGGGCGGCGTTGAGTAGCGAGGGCGAGCAGGATAGTGATGTCGTGACGACGGACGGGGAGAGGAGCGACCTTGTGTTCGTGCCGCCTGAACAGCCGTCACCCGGGCGGGATTGATTTCCGGCGTGTCCATTGCAGTGCTTTTCGTCTGGGGTGATCTGTCGGGTCTTGGTTGCATACATATCTACTGCTCGATCTAGGTTAGCCCATCTAATCGCTGTCATTTATCATGCATCATGCTTTGCTCGCCACTCAAATGGATGGAAGATAACCTGCTCCGTAAAGGAGACCTATGCATTTCATAACCGTGTTGACATACCCAGTAAACGGCTGAGTAGACCTAGATGCGACAATTCTACGCTAGCGTCGTGCAGTACATATAGTTGATAATGATACGGAACCGCTCCATGACAGCACAGCCAAACGAAACGAGAGCGCACGATAGCACAGGGAAAGTAGGACTAACAAGACGACGAGAAGTACAGTACTGACAACAACATAATACGTCATGAAGCGAGAGATGGTAAGGGGGAGATGATGGCCAATAGTTGGGAGAGCCATTCTCGGTCGATGTTTCCCGGTGGTAGTTGGTTCTGCAATGTGCCCAGGCGGTGGAGGGATATCCTAGTGAGAGCATTCTCGATGCGCGTCGCAAGAGAATCGAGCAGGAACATGAGGTCAGCGTCCGATGCCTTGTCCATGACAGGCAATAGCGTCTTCGGGTCGAAGTTGTGGGCGGACGACTCGCCAGTAGCATTCCCCTCGCAGGCAGAAGTGGGACACAATGGACGACCGGATGAGAGCATCTCTAGCCGTACGCAAAGCATAGCCAGCTCACGCATCTGGTTCACGCTGAATTGCACCCGCGACGCAGAGGGGTTTGCGTCGGTCTTCACGAGACTTTGACGACCGGCGAGATCACGAGGATAAATGAGCGACAGTGTCTCCGGGACCTCCAGACCCTTCAGCTTGACCTGACCCACTGGAACGACGACGATGCCGGAGCCACGGATTGCCTCCACAGTCTGCAATGGTTGCAAATGAGAATACTCCGTTTCGGGCTCGGTCTCCAGGATCCTGGCATTGACCTCGCGAACGACGTCCGCGCTGCACATAATCTGACCGCCAGCAGCGGCACCCTCGATTCGTGCTGAACGATTGACCATAGGCCCGAAATAGTCCATGCGGCCGGTGACAGGGTCCGGCTCGCAGACAGGAATTCCGCAGTGTATACCCATCCGGACCGACAACCCACGGGCTACAAGCTTGCCGGTCTGATCGTAGATCTCCTTTCCATCCTCGCACTCAAGGATTTCAAGGGGCCAGTCGACTTGCAGCAGCTGCGTTTGTACGCTGAGACAAAACCAGACGGCAGACAGTGCGTTCGGGAACGAGCACATGAAAGAGTCGCCTTCGGTTTTGACTTCGTACCCACCGCAACGTCGGAGCTGACGCCGAAGGAGATTGTTGTGCAACACGATAGCTGTAGGCATGCCGGCGTTGACCTCCCAGAGATGAGTCGAGTTCCGTATGTCCGTGAAGACCAGAGCAAGGTGTCCAGTGGGTGCAGGAATCTCGCCATCGAGACGGGAGATGTCGCGGTTGTTGATACGTTCGTCTCTCCGTCGGCGCTTCGAGGAAAGGTACGCCTCCGTGTCTATGATCGACTCCATGGTAGGCTGGCGAGAGCGAGCGGGTCCTTTGAATAAGTCCGCCACCGCGATGACCATGATCATAGTCGTCCCGTCAGCTCCATGACTGATGGCTAAGTCACGAAGTTTCTGCGCTGCAATCATGGGGTCGCTGCGCTCAGTACGGGCAATGTCCACGGCGGTTTGGTACGAGACATGGTCCCACAACCCGGAATTGCCAACGATGACAAACTCGTCCTGCTCGGTGAGTTCCCGCTTGTTGACATACGGCCTAGCGTTCACAACAGGCAACAAGTTGTAGAATCCGAAGGATCGGGAGACGTCAATCTCATCGTTGACTGCACCCTTCGGCGACACCCAGCCCTCAGCACTGCGGATTCGCAACGTCTCCTGACGATCGAACGGATCGTGACACCGCGACAACAACTCGGCATCACCACCACGAGATATCACGGCCAAGGATCTCCCGATGTTGGCAACATACAAGGTTCTGCCGTCCAGATGCAAAACGATACCCGATGCGCCGGATCTCTTGTTGACGATCTCCCGAACTGCGTTCGAGGTCGATGTGCTGACGTGGGACATCTTGCGACCAGACGCAGTGGAGTACAGGTAGTCGTGCAAAAACCTGTTGAGCTTCAAGAACGTTCGCCGAAGGGCGTCGCCGATATCCTCCCACTTCTCCGGTCGAAGCTTGTCCATCTCGGTGGAGTGCACCTCTAGGAATCGGTTGCGCAGATAGCTATTGATGTAGTGATTGTTCCCGATGTGTGACGACCGCCCGAACATCGCAAAGATCGCCTCATCCTCGCTGCCGCGGAAGTTGGGTTGAACGAGATCGAGCATATTTAGATGCTCGGTGACGCCGAGTGTGTCTGCAATTCCGTACGCCATCCCGTTCACCTCTGATAAGGAGGTACGCACGCGGCGGTCTTCGTTCTCATCCGGGATCATGGCCCCATTCGTGGCTGTGATATCCATGAGCCCGAGTACACGCAGCTGCGAAAGACCAGAGAAATCGGCGAGGAACTTGCGCCTCTCGTCGTCCTTGATGTGGCCAAGATCCGTACGGATTTCTAACCGCTTGTTGCCGGACAAGTTCAGATACTGCAGGTTCTTGTTGAAGTTCCTACCAACATATCATGAGCGACCGGCGTCTATGCAGTCTACGAGCGACGTACCAGTTCCAATCGAATTCCCAGTTGAAGATGTTATACTTCAGTATGTTGCTCCCGACGTCAAGCACCGTCAAGTTGCAGAGCTTGCCAAGCTCCTGCGGCAACGTCTGAAGCTTGTTTCCGTTCAGGAACAACACCTGCAACTTCGTCAAACGGTGTAGGTCCTCCGTCGAAATCGCCGATAGCTTGTTCCCGCTCAAGTACAGTTGCTCAAGGTTGGTCATGTTCCTGAAGAAGGATGCGGGGTCTCCTGGATATCATTGAACGAAAGGTTCAGGACTCGCAGCTCCTGTAGTAGAGACACTGCCTGAAGGTTCTCGTCCGTCATGCGGTTCTCACCGAGGTAGAGACGCTCCAGCGAGTAGACGATGGGCGGTAACGCACGACTCAAAGTGACAGTCGAGCTCGACCCTGAGCCTTGCGATCCGGAAACTAGCGCCCCTAGGCGGCGGTGTGAGCACATCACCATCTGCCGTCGCCTGACCAGCTGGGCTTGCGATGTACGGAACATTGTGGGCGGGGCGACGCGCCAAGACCCCAACAAATTGGACGTCGCGTTGACGAGCTGCAACGACGCGCAGTTCCACAGGGTCGGTGGCAGTTCTGCCAAGGAGTTGTTGTGGACTTCCAGCGTCTCGAGTCGCTGGAGGTTGCCGATCGTCGATGGCAGCGCCCGAAGCTGATTATTCGAGCAAGAGAGGTGCAGTAAATGGGTGAGGTTACCGAGGGAGTCGGGGATGTACCGGATCGAGTTGTGGTCTATTCGCAACGTCTCGAGCGCCGCCAATTGCGCGAGAGCGCGCTCGTCCAGCGCGGAGAGCTTCGCGTGTGAAATGTCGAGAGACGTAAGGGCGTAGGGCTGGCCAATCGGTCCCGGGAGTACGGTGAGCTGCGTGATGTCGTTGTACGACGCGTCCAGCTGCCTCAGGTACGGCCCGAACGAGAGATCGAGCGCGTGCACGGAGTTGTGGTCCGCGAAGACCTGCTCTACCTTCGGGAGTCCCGTCATGATCGCCAGGTCCGAGATGTGGTTCCGACGGCAGTCGAGCATCTTCAGGTTGGCTAATCGGGAACACGTCGGGGGGAACTCGGAGACTTGGTTCCCTACGATGATGAGCCGTTCGAGAGCATCGAGCTGCCCAATATCCTCCGGGAGCTTCTCGAGCATGTTGAACGAGATGTCGAGGTCAACTAGCTGCGTGAGCTGCATTACTACAGGCGGTAATGTCCGGAACTTGTTGTTGGACACGTTCAGGTCCTTCAGGTGTCGCAGGCGGGGGAAGTACCAAGGCAGTTTTCCATCCGGTTGTTCTGCACTTTCAAGGAGCGTAAGTCGGGTATCCGGTCGAGCGCGGCGTCGTCCAGGTCGGCTATTCGATTACATGAAAGGTCGAGCCGGTGTAGTGTAGTGCAGTGCCGGATGCTCTGCGGAACCTTCTTCATCGCCATGTGGCTCAACCGCAGCTCCCGGAGCGTCGTACAGGCCTGGATAAAGTCTAGGGGGATCTCTAACATGGGGTTTCGCGAAAGGTTAAGGGAGACGATGGCATCGGCGTGTGGATAAAGAAGGACCGGGACAGTCCGTAGACTGCGTCCTGTCAGGTCAATCAGGTCGAATGTGTCGACATGCAGATCATCAGCCTAGGAAATATGAGTTCGTAACAACGCGTAAGCCCCGAAGAACGTACCAATGGCCCCAAGACGTTGCTCTTGTACTCAAACTTCATTAGGAAGGCCAAGTCGTCTGCACCGAGCAACTCGAGCCCGTCCGCTCGTCATACCCTGCTTGTTCTAGCCGTCGGCGCACGATATTGGCCGGCTTCTCTGTCTGTGCGAGTACTCGCTCTGTACAGCGTAGCGTTCAACACGATATAGAATTATCAAGGCAACGACTGCTCACCTCTCCCTCGCTCTTTCAGGTACAGCTATGTGGCTCCCGGTCCGGATTGAGGGAGAGCTTCTTATTGAGTTCGTTGATGAGCTGCGCCACGGTGACGTTCAGCTCGCAGGCAATAACATGATACGTGCCGTTCGCCCTGTATATCCGAATCTTGTACCTCGTCGGCTGCTGTGAGGGCCGGCCGATCGTGCTCATCGTCGCTCTGTGCCTCCGTTTCCGCTTCGCACGTGCGCCCGCCGCCGTCGGCGTCGCCTCGTCTTCCTCGCTCGACTCCGCCGCTACGGGCGTGGCCTCCTCACCCTCCTTGTCAACGGCCCAGCTTTCGGGCGCTGTCCAGACGGCGAGTCGTCTAGGGATTCTGGCGGCCGCGTTGTAGGCGAGATCTTACGCCCGTCAAATACCGTGCCGGTCGGCGCCAAAGTCCGGTGCGGAGAGGGGAGGAAGGGGTTGCTGAATATGTTCGAGGAAGAGGCACCGAGCGAGCGGTTGATGGACGAGCCGTCCGAGGCTGAGTGGTCGAAGGCAGCGCTCCGTGGCGAGCCGCTGTCGGGTGCGGAGGGGGGGAGGAGGGACGGGTCGATGATGCCGTCCATGCGATCGAGGTCGGTGTCGAGCTTGAACTCGGAGGAACCATCCTCGGCGACGGGGGAGTCGGGGGAACGCTCCGCCGCTCTCTTCTTGCCCTTGAGCTTCCCGCGTATGGTGAGCGGGGTGAGGGTCATGGTCCCGGAGGATGAGCTGGAGGGAGAAGGCGCCTGGTAGTGAGGATCAAGAGGGGGGACGGGAGGGGCAGGTTCGTCGGAGGTAACAGCGTCGGAACGCAAGCGGCTCCGGGACCGCTTCGTCTTCATGATGGTAGAGAAGATGTTGAGGGAGGACTTGGACTTGCGCGGCATGCGGTCCGAGGATGCGTCGACCAGCGTGGATGATCCGTTGGTACTGTTTGCGTCGGACGGGCGGGACGAGAGGCTGAGTGTGGAGGTGCTCGGTTGTCGCGACATTGCGAAGGACGCAAAGGACGACTTCTGCGAGATAAATCCGCGAGGCTTGGGCGGTGGTAATGGCTGAAAGGAGCCTTGCTCAGTTACGGCTCGATCTCTCACCAGCGACTAACTCACCGGCTGCTCGTCCTCGTCTGGTGCAGTCCATGGTGCAATGGCCAGGTTGTCTGCGAGGCTGGTAGGGGGTGCATGCGGAAGGAGATCTTGCGGCGGGAGGAGACGCTGGGCGAAGTCGGGGCCCAGGTCGTCAAATGCGTTGAGCGCCGGCTCGGACATGCTGGATGAGGATGAGAAGTTGGTGAGGACCTGCGTGCTCATCACGGCGCACGGCGAGGAGGGGGGGCATAAGGCGAGGAGGACGTCGACGACAGCGGCGGGCTCGAGCGACCAACGTCGCCGCCCGCCTATCGCGCATCACGTGACATGCGACTGTCGCTGTCCCCATTCGACGCGTCCGTCTCCGAACCATCCCTGAACCGAGCTACAACGCCGTCCACCACCACAACATCGCTCGCTCGCAGATCATAATTAACAGACAATGATGCTTTGTGCTCGCGTCGCTTCTACCGAACGCCTCCAACAACGCCAGGCTGAGGCTTCGTCTGCGATGCTCGCAAGTACTTGCGTAACGCACGGCATTGCCACTCACAGTGATGCACGATACCGCGGACTTGCAGACTTTTTACACAGAACAAACAGACGTCGCAACAGAATCCCAGCATGCTTGCTCCGAGCAATAGACGCAAACGCTGGGTCGATGCATAGCAGGCCGTCGTGTGCTCCGGGGTTCCGGTCGTCTTCACCGTGGTGACCTGATGGACACCATGGACCTGGGACGCTTTCGACTACCGGAGTACTTGTCAGTTCCTTGCCCCTGACAGATTTCGCGTGCGACCGCCGATAGCTTCTGGAGAAGCATCGTTCCCAATCATCCAACCCGTACCTAACCGGACACCAACGGTATATGTAGTGCGTACAAGCCGAGCTCAGGACGATGCGCGCAAGAACAGCCCCCGGTTGCTGAAGTGAGCAGTGATCCCTCCTTCTGCGCGACGCCAGGCTGCTCAACGTCCCCAGGTATGCCCGACACCTGCCTTTTCCGCTCAGTCGTCCCTGTGAGCCGTGTCGCTTCCGTGCGCGGCGTTTGATAGAAGCATTTCATTGAACACCATCACGGCCGATATCACGATGATGCATATTGGCAGTTTTACCTTGACTGTTGGTGAGTTAGCTCACATCGAAGGCAAGAGAACCTCTCCCTCTCGGCAGCGGAGACTGAGAATCCCCGACGGCGGCTGTTATGCACAGGGAGATGGGCGTTGAAAGCCCAGGGACGCTCTATCAAACCATCGGGCTCATGCGTGTCTCACCCGACGAGTAGCATCAGGAAAACCCTCAATTCCGAATAACAACGAATATCTGCTTATTACTGCGAAGAACGAGTAATTGTCGCAGTTCTCTTGTTCGCCCTAGTAGTGGTCTATTCGCTATGGTCCAAAAGTCGAGTTGCGAATAAGTAGATAAGAATACCGAATGCGGTGATGTTATTGGCAGGGCTCCGCAATTTCTATGTGTTCAGTGACTCATTCTGAAGCTCCAAAACATATTCTTCGCACAGGCACATACGAGTATAGGAGAACATTAGATGCATTATGAAGTATTATGTTCCCATTCTGAGAATCCATCCAGCACGACTCGTAGTAAACTTGTACTGTACTACATCCTCTACTCATCGGGTATATGGCTCCAGTTGACGCCTTCTCCGTTCGATGTACCTTGTGACATGCCTTGCAGAGTATGTCCAGATCTAAATAATAGAATATCAGCATATAGCTATAAGACCACACAGATATGTACGTCACAGCTGTGAATAGCTCATGCATGATCCGATGGTAATGCTTTGGTCTCTGTCGGCGAAGTCCGACGAGACGAACGAGGTGGTCCCGATATATCTCTGTGTTCGTGGCATTGAAGTCCGACACCTTTGCGAGCTTCAGATGATGATCGGATATGATTGACTCAACCTGATGAACATTCGAGATTAAATACAATATAGGGGGTCAACGAGTCACGTAGAATATCGGATGTACCGCTGTCATGCACAATGCCAACATAGTCGGTGGTATCTCGCTCTCAGAGGGCACGGCAGCATACGAGGAGACTAACAAATTTCCGTTCTGCAAACCGACCTTAACATACTGCGTGGAGACAAAGAATGATGCCCGTATGGCTTGTTTGATAATGGAGCTCTCATACGGAGCAGATTGATTGAACACGAGTCCCTGTGTTGTCGGCACGAGAAGCAATTCAGTACGAAACCACGAGACATCACCAGATGCTGGCAGAATCATTATAGGGGCTTTTTGACCAATCCTTAGGGTGAGGATGGGGTGAGGAAGGGTGAGGAAGGCATTTTCACGTTCTGAGCATTAAACGTCTCACCCTCGCAGCATGAATCTCAGCGTGCATTAACCCGCGTTCGCGCCATCATCAGGAAAAACTCCCTTGTCTTGACAAGTATTCTAAGTACTGCATGTCTTGAAATCTATAAAGTACTTGGCAAGACAAGTCATATGCTTGAAGTACCTGCACAAGAGAGCCTATGCTTGAAGTTAAGATATCTTTTGTGTCTTCAGACTATTGATGTAGGTTTACTCTACATGTCTTGATGAGCTTGCAAGACGTACATGATAATGTGCTTATTTCAAGACATGTGGACATTGTCAATCAACATTTGAATCTCCATGGCTCTCAAAGAAATCTGTGTCTTGTCGTAGTGGGCAACTTCCACAAGTATTGGAACCCAAATTGAGATGAAATCAATAATATTATTGCGCACTGCGCATGACATCACAGCATAGGTGATTGTTAGAGCAGTACAGAGCATGTTATACAACATTACAGAGCAACATAAAAAATGTATCACCTAACCGCCTTACGAACGACAACTGATGATTGACCAGTGACCAGTGACCAGCAACATGTCACTCATGTCGAGAGAATGTCGAGAAATGAGACGGACAGCTAGACGAATGCCGACACGGATGGCAGGACGGCGATATGGACGGAGATACGGACGGCGGCACGGACGGCGACACGGACGGCGACATGGACGGCGACACGGCGAGATGACGATACAGCGATTGACTATAGAGACGAGGAAGTTGTGTAGATGCTGTAGTAGATAGTCTGACGATTGTTCAGGCGCTGATCCAGGATGTACAAGATTGAGAAGATACTTACCTTGGCATGTTGTGCTCAGGCGTCGGAGAGTACGTGGGAAGCCTCACGCCCAGCTTCTTCTTCGTTGACCTGAGGCTCGACTGGGGAACAATCGTTCATTGTACACACATACTATTGACAGTGATGCACTTACCCTCAGGCGCCTTCGACGTCGTCGTCTTTGACGACGGCGGCTTTGACGACGGCGGCTTTGACGACGGCGGCTTTGACGATGTCGGCTTCGACGATGTCGGCTTCGATGACGACGGCTTCGACAATGTCGGCTTCGAAGACGACAGCTTCGACGATGTCGGTTTCGAAGACGACAGCTTTGACGATGGCTTTGCAGCCTTCGTTCCGGTGGCCTTAGTGTCGCCGACCTCTACATCGCTCCACGCGATGAACTGCTCGCCAGGGCTACCATCGTCAGCGACGTCTTGCTTATCCTTCGATCTCGAGACTTGCTGCTCATCGATGAGTGTGCTGGACCAACATTGAGATAGACTCGACGTTTAGAAGGTTAGTATTAATGCCACTTACCTGACATTATAGGGGATTTTCCACCAATGTTCGGGGTCAGGGTCGGGCTAGGTTATGGGGACAATTGAGACGACCCAGGGTGCCTTGGCGCCGGCTTAACCCTAGTAAGCGCCGGCTTAACCCTATAGACGCCCAAGATTTCCCAGAGCGGGCGGGCAGGGCGATGGACTGGTGTGGGTGGATTGGAGAGTGGGGTGAACCGGCCAGGCTGGACGGTGAATGGGTACGGTTCGTCGAATGAAAGGCCGGGCATGCGATGTGTGCGTCCGCGACGCACAGCACGCACGGGCAGCAACGGGCGTGCGGCGCGGCGTTGTGCGTCCGCGACGCACAGCAGGCGCACGACGGGCGAGGCACGTGAGGTCCGTGCATGGCCTGCGGTCCGGCGGTGCAAGTGCGCGGGTTGCTGCGGAGCTGAGAGCCTTGGGCGTCGCGCGGGCAGGTGTGCGTCGCGGACGCACAACGCCCACGCGACGGCCGGCGCGAGCGGAGCTGCACCCGGGCACGTGCACCGCCGGACCGCAGGCCATGCGCGCGCCTCACGTGCGTCGTCCGGCGTGTGCGCGCTGTGCGTCGCGGACGCACAACGCCGTGCCGCGCGCCCGTTGCTGCCCGTGCGCGCTGTGCGTCGCGGACGCACACATCGCATGCCCGGCCTTTCATTCGACGAACCGTACCCATTCACCGTCCAGCCTGGCCGGTTCACCCGAGCTGGGGGTAGTGACTGGTTGCTTAGAGCTGCGTATCTGCCCGTTGTAACAGTGGCTACTTACAATTGCTAATCTTTCCGTAGTTACTTACAATTGCTAAGCTTTCCGTAGTTACTTACAACTGCTTATCTTGCCAATGTACCCATTCAAGTCACACTGATGTATGAGAAGCATTGCATTCTGCGTAACGAGTAGTACAAGAAAAAAAGAAAACTAAGTCCGACGTGTACAGATGAGAATGCGACAGATGATACAGTATATACGAGTCCGCGACACGACGAAGGCCTCACTTTTTACCACCCTTCTTGCCCTTCGAGCCGCTCTTCACGTTGCGCGCAGAAGTTGTCGGCTTGCCGGTTGCCTTTCCGCCGCTGACCTTGGTGAAAGTGAAGCGCTCGACCATCGGGGCCTTGCGCATCGTCCGACGAGGGGGCTCATCCAGCGCGGACGAGTTCTTGCGCTTGCGCGGGTTCGACGGTCCAGCAGCAGACGACGATCCAGCGGCAGACGCGCCCTCGCCCTCGTCCAGGTCGTGCTCGTCCTGGTCGTGCTCGTCCTGCTCGTGCTCGTCCTGCTCGTCCTGGTCGAACTGCATGAAGCCTGCAGAGGGGCTGGCGGCGGGGGTGCCTAGAAGGAAGTCAGCACAAGGTGTTTTGAAGACGGGTAAGGACTTACTGAGAGGGCTGGATTGCGTGAAGCCAGCACCCGGGAGGGGCGCGTTGTCCACGTCCATGGCGTCCTCATTGTCGACGACGGGGGCGGCGGCCTGCTGCGGGGCGGGGTGGAGGGACACCTCACGCAACTGCTGAGCAACAGCGTCGAGGGAGGGCGGGTTTGCAGCCGAGCGAGGGGGGACGGTAGAGGTTTGGCGCCATGGAGACGATGGGCCGGCGGGAGAGTGCAGGTGGTGGTGCTGCGGCGAGAACGGCGAGGGCGGGGGGACGACGCGAGCAGGGGACGGGAGGGGCGGGAACACAAACCGGGAGGACGATGGCAGCGGCGGAGTGGGAGTGTGAGGGGGCGGGGGGCGGGGCCGGCAGCGGAGCCAGTCGACGGAGACGGCGAGCGGGACGACGGTGGCGTCGGCGTTGCGGCCATCGCGGCCATCTTCTCGACCTCGTCCTCGAGAGCCTCTGCGGCAGCCTGCGCGGAAGCCTTGGCAGCGTTCTTCGCCTTCACCTCGCGGCCTTGATAGCCCTCGCGCTGCCGGCGGCGCAGCTGTTGAGGTTAGCCTTCCTCGCCGCCTCCTTCTCCTTCTCGGCCGCCTTGTCGGCCTTCTCCTTCTCCTTCTCGGCCTTCTTCGCGGCGGCGGCGGCGGCTTTCTGGGCCTTCTTCGTCATCTTCGGCGGGGCGACTTGGGACGTGGAGGCCGCCGAAGTCGACGCAGCCCCGGACGCGGTCGTCGTGGCAGTCTTCTTGCCCGACTTCTTCGGGGCGGAGACCTCCACGATGTCGTCGTCCTCGGACTCGACGATGGCGGCAGACTTCGGCGCGGCCTTGCCCTTGCCCTTCCTGTCGGCCTTGCCCTTGCCCTTCGACTTGCTGGCCTTGGGGGTGGGCTCCTCCTCCTGGGGGTGCTCGTCCTCGAACTCCTCCTCGTCCTCCTCGTCGACCTCCTCGGCCTCATCGTCGATGAGGTCCGCGACGACGTTGCCGATGAGGCCCGAGAGCGCTCGCTCTGTGGAGGCATGAAGGTCAGATAAGACAAGATGAGAAAAGGACGACTTACGCAGGGCAAAATCGGACTCGACGAATGCCTCGTGCATGAGCAGCTTGGCGTAGGCGAGGTTGTGCAGGAAGACGTCAGTACTCCCGAGCAGAACCAGGTAGTACACGTAGCAGGCCTTGAGCTGGCCCATGCGCACGATGCGCCCCTTCGCCTGCTCGTCCTCCTGCGCGGACCACGTAGTGTCCTAGAAGGTGTGAGCAGACGACAAGGAGATAAGGGGGATACTCACGATGAAGATCATGATGTTGGCCCACGTCAGGTTGAGGCCAGTCGCGCCGACCGACGACATTATATAGTGTTTTCTAAAGGGGGTACAGGTTGGGATAGGGTCCGGGTAGCACCACTTTTGCCTACAGAATGTTGGGTTTTACCCTCCAAACAGGTACCAAACCCGATGAAACAGGGGAAAAACAGCGCAGATTCGACGTATTGGAGTAACATGGGTTTGGGTACGGATTTTTTGCCCCAAGATATCCCGACTTTACAGCGATCTATGGTCCGACACGACCCAACATACATAATATTCATGTACAGCGAGCAGACATCTCCGACATCACTGCGACGAGAGCCCTGTGTCCGACAGTGCTACATCGTTCATGATTGATGTAGCCGACAGTGCTGTATCGTTCATGAACGATGTAGCCGACAGTGCTGTATCGCTCATAAACGATGAAGCCGGCAGTTGTAGGATGCATCGTTTACGAACGATGTAACACTGTCGCATACATCTGCAGCTATGCAGATGTATGCGACAGTGTTACATCGTTTGTGAACGATGCATCCTACAACTGTCGGATGCATCGTTCATTAACGATACAGCACCGCCGGCTACAATCGCTGCAGATGTATGCGACAGGTCGGATGCATCGTTCATGAACGATACAGCACCGCCGGCTACAATCGCTGCAGATGTATGCGACAGGTCGGATGCATCGTTCATGAACGATACAACACCGCCGGCTACAATCGCTGCAGATGTATGCGACAGGTCGGATGCATCGTTCATGAACGATACAACACCGCCGGCTACAATCGCTGCAGATGTATGCGACAGGTCGGATGCATCGTTCATGAACGATACAACACCGCCGGCTACAATCGCTGCAGATGTATGCGACAGGTCGGATGCATCGTTCATGAACGATACAACACCGCCGGCTACAATCGCTGCAGATGTATGCGACAGGTCGGATGCATCGTTCATGAACGATACAACACCGCCGGCTACAATCGCTGCAGATGTATGCGACAGGTCGGATGCATCGTTCATGAACGATACAACACCGCCGGCTACAATCGCTGCAGATGTATGCGACAGGTCGGATGCATCGTTCATGAACGATACAACACCGCCGGCTACAATCGCTGCAGATGTATGCGACAGGTCGGATGCATCGTTCATGAACGATACAGCACCGCCGGCTACAATCGCTGCAGATGTATGCGACAGGTCGGATGCATCGTTCATGAACGATACAGCACCGCCGGCTACAATCGCTGCAGATGTATGCGACAGGTCGGATGCATCGTTCATGAACGATACAGCACCGCCGGCTACAATCGCTGCAGATGTATGCGACAGGTCGGATGCATCGTTCATGAACGATACAGCACCGCCGGCTACAATCGCTGCAGATGTATGCGACAGTCGGCTGCATCGTTCATGATCGATGCCTCCGACAGCACTGCAGTTGTATACGACAGTGTTACGTCGTTCGTGAACGATTTATCCTACAGTGCTACATCGTTCATGGACGATAAAGCCGATAGTGCTGTATCTTTCATGAACGATTCATCCGCAAGTACTGCGTCGTGGTAACCATGTGATAGGGTTAGGGTCCACACAGGGAAAATGGTTGTCTTGAATTCCCTCCCACAATGGGACTTGTCGCAGTGTGTCTGAGGTGGACCACATCGTTCGCAATCGATGCGCCCATTAACATTAGAGTGTCAATAGCTACATGATTCACCTCAGCTACCAATGGACAGAAACAGTTGAGATATCCAGTCCCATCTCTATTACCGTAGCTTGTGTCGTGACGTCTGACAGTAGTCATTACAGAAACCCATGATGGAGTCGGTTGAGGCTTGCTGAACGCTTGTCATTCGTAAAGACATACCCTCGTTGCAGCATCCGTTCAGTCGAGATGTACTGTTCTGGTGAACCCACTGCCAGGTTCCGCATTCAATGGCGTCAACTTGTAAGATCATGCATAGAAACAAACTCCAGTAGTCCTTTCGAAGGCTTCAGGAAAGGCACATCGGTTGTATCAAACTCTATGTCTTTTTTGTCGCTTATTTATAGGCCATCGGACGCACCTTGTGATTCTCTCAGAAGATGGCCGGTGTGTCAGCGACCTTGCGTCATCATCCACCCATCGGTATGCCGACACAATCACCGGAATCAATTGGAGATCACTGGATGCGAGCCTCGAGGTGCAGCAGGCTCTGTCGGGCCAACGTCCGGTTTCCCCCGTCGTTGACTTTTAACGACAGCGTGATTCCAACCAGGTCCATATCACTTCACCCCCCACTCTCTCCGAGCTGCTGCCATGGTTGGACCTTGCACTGTCGACTTTGTTCTGGGCATCATGTCCTTACTGGCACCCCCAGGAAATCTATCTCCCCGTCCCCGTCATGAGATCGTGACGGGCAGCCGACTGTTCACCGATCTCCCTCCAGATCCAGAGGCGTGGGATGCCGACACTCTGCAACGCCTCGAAAACACGCTATGGGCACTCTTCGATAGTCCCTTGAACGTGCCAGCCTTTGAGCTGTTCGTTCGCTGCCAAATCCTCGTAAGTCGGGACCTCCGACGATTGTGTCTATCGCAAGACTAAACCATCCGACACACAGACACCCCGATGGATGCGGTCGCTCATGCGTTCGGGACAGCAAAAGAACTTTCCGGTCCTTCTGCTTGCTATGTTTCAGTGGATCACCTACGACCCGGCGGCCATTCCCTGCGACACTCACGATATCACAACATTCTTGATGTCGCACAAGGGATTAAAGCCAGAGGTTATCGACCTGAAAGCCAACCCTCAAGTATATATGCGAGGCCTCGTCAATATCACTCTCCGTTGGATGTGTACGGTGTCCTCTGCATACCTGCGGTGTTGTACTGACATGTATGTTGGCTTTCAGTGAACTCCCGCTTGGCGTGTACGTATCTACGTGTGAATGTCCGTCCCACTTTGCTAATGCGACAATAGCTTTGCCTCGCCTGGGCCGGGTTAAAGACTTGTACACGAGCTTAGGTTCACTTGCTCACATCCGACGTTTTATAGAGGACATTGAGACTGGTATGTGCCCAGATTGTTTTCGAGGTATTCATAACACCTTCAAACTTATGCTTCCTAGATGACGAGGAGGATAGCGAAACAGATAGTAGCGACGAGATTATGGGCTGAGCGACAATGTCTGTGACTGGTAGCCATGTATCCCCGCCGAAATGTGGTATTTACGTATTTGAGCAGCAGGAAGGTTTGTGCGCTTGTCAACGTTGGATCTGTCCGACTGTCGCCGCACTATCTGTCGGATTGGCATGTGTCGTTTAGAGAGTGTGTCGCCGTAATCGTTATACCTTCAGGAAATCTCAGTAGTTGCTCATAAACCGTGGATCTTCTAAGTCGTTGAAACATAGACAGGGGGGCCCACGGTCTGAAAGCCCCCGACGACGGCCGAGATGTCGGGGAGCTTGAGTAATCATTAACTAATCAGCATGCGGATACGATCATTCGTATCCAGGTTAAATCGGAGCACCCGAGGGTCGGGTCGGAGCCCGTTTCAAAGAACTGTCGGGACAAGATCCGATGGCCCCATCCATGTGTTTTAACGACGAAGAATTCCTGACGACGTCCACATTCATTCCCCCTACATTCTTCGTCCTGGTGTCATGGTTGGCATTTGTGACATATCCCAGCTTCGCTACCTCATCTTTAACTTGACCCCCCGTGGACGCCAATCGCCCCGTTTCCGCAACGACGTCCTGTTAAGCGGCAGTCTGTTCACCGACCCCCCTCCAGCTCCAGAGGCGTGGGATGCGGACGCTCTTCAATGCCTCGAAAGCACACTGTGGGCTGCTTTCAACAGTCCACTGGACTTCCTCAACTTCGAGTTGTTGGTCCGCTGCCACATCCTCGTAAGTCGGAGGTCCGACGATTCTGTCTATCGCAAGACTGAACCGTCCGACACGCAGACACCCCGATGGATGCGGTCGCTCATGCGATCGGAACAGAAAGAAAGCTTCCCTGTCCTGCTGCTTGCCATGTTTCAGTGGATCACCTACGACCCCGCCATTCCCCGCGACACTCACGACATCATGGCATTCTTGATGTCGCACAAGGGACTCAAGCCAGAGGTCATCGCTCCGAACGCTGACCACGTCATATGCCGCCGGGCCGGTGCTGCCATTACTCTGCGCTGGATGTGTACGCTGCCTTACTTTCCATTCTCATGGCTTCGTACTAACATCTGGCGGGATCTCAGTGAATTCACGCCTGGCATGTACGCACCTCCGTCCAAAATTTCGTGCTCACTTGCTAATTCCGTATCAGCATTACCTGACCCAGTCCAGCTTACAGACCTGTACATGCCCTCAGCCATGGAAACGATCGCTCAGATCCGACGTTACGTAGAGGACATGACGTTGGGTATGTCCACGGACAGTGTTCCTCATGATATCCTGAAGCTTACGATGTGTAGACGACGACGAGGACAGCGACATAAACAATGTCGGCGAGTTGATTGACTGAAAGAAATGGGTGGATGAGCTTGCAGTAGTAAACCTTCAAGTCTAAATACCTGGCGCGCTTCTGTCGATGTCGAATTCGCCCCACTTTCCATCTACAATCCGTTGTGTCGGTATGCATCGTTCAAAGACGATACAGCAATTCATCACCATGTCGTTTCACATTCGTAGTACCACCCCGACATACCCTGGAGGATTCCGACACTGAGAGGGGCCACCAGGTGCCCTCCGTTGCCTTAGGCGACACTCCGACGTAGCGCAGCCGCCCGGTCTATCAATTCGACCGCAGATTTTGGGTTGAATCAAGTGACACGCTCTTCCGGAAGGCTCGGGTAACTTACCTGTCATGAAGGTAGACCATGTGATTTTGGAGTGGAACTGTGCCTGAGCACGCCATTTGGTGGTGACGCGTATCTGTCGGAGCGCTGTCCGGCGCGTATCAAGCCTGGATGGAACTAATCAGTGTCGCAAGGTCGGACAATGCGTCATGAGAGTCATTCTCATGTTGAATGGCCATTGTATTCAGCTATGTCGCACAGAACATACATCGCACGACACGCAAACATGACACGTCGGAGTGGAATGAGGAACATCAGAATCATTTGATTGAGTGGATATTGTGTGTGACTTCTCCCGTCAAGACTTTCGATCGTGATCGATCGGGGATCTTTTGATTCAGTAAGCCTCTGATACGTGGATATATGACCGCCTCCACCCTCTGCAGTGAAAACGCACACCTTGGAAGATTGTGTGCTTGTATCAAAGTAGTGTGATTTATTTGCCAGGATCACATTGTTTTATCTACATAGCGAGGGCTTTTTAAGTACCGCACAAGCAGTGAGATCGCATTACAGATTCGTTTCGGATGTGACTGCTCCCGGTCAAGGGAATTTCTAGATCACTTCTGCACCCGGCCAGTAGTCACATGCCTCAGCCCGGTTCTTGGTAACACTGCCTGCCTCCTGTGTGGCAGGCATGTCCGACAATCACTGGCGTCGTTCCTCTGTTGCACCACGACACTATCTCTTGACGCCGAACTGCCCCCAGCCCCACTGCCCCCCCTACTCGCTGCCCCTCACAATGCCTTCTGCCCGTGGCAAAGCCAAAGACACCAGCGAGCGGTCGCGCACCAACAAGCGCGGCAAAAAAGCGCAGAATGCGACAGCGAAGGGAGCACGAAACGTCGCGGGTGGCACTGAGATTCCGCAGGACAGCCGCGCGCGAGACAAGGACATTAGCGAGGAGGAAAGCAAACTCTGGGACTCGATGACCGTTCGTAATTGCTGCTCTCCATCGATTCCATGTTTTCTGAGGGATATTACCTAGACCGAGTGGGACGAAATCAGCCCGGCGAGGCGGCTCGAGTTGGATAGGAGGGCACGCGATGCGTTTCTGGGGACGATGAAGTTCGACATCATCGAGACGAAGACGGATGCTATCGTTCCCCGCTTCGGCATGTACAACGATCGGCCCCTCGACAGGGGAGCCATGTCCCGGCTGAAGGCGAACATCACGAACCGTCACGCTCATGGTTTCCAAACCGACTCTCACCTGATATTCGCCGTGGCCACGCGCGACCTCATTCGCGATCCAGCCCCTGTCGGGAGTGAGCTTCTCGGGTCGGACCTTCCGGAATTCGACCTCCAAGACAGCGTGGAGCCTCGGTCGGTACTCGCGCTTGCTGGACAACACCGATATCGGACCGCAAACGAGCTGTACGCGAAATGGAGAAAGGAGCTCAGAGAGCGACGTGGAATGGCGACAGAGGATGACGATGGCGTGTCCATAGCGGCATCAGAGGGAGCGAAGTCGTCGAGTGATGATGTCGATCTAGACACCATGGATGATCTCGAACGTCGGATGGAGGAGGTACGATGGTGGGGTGTGCGATTGTACGACCTCAGTAAGCCCGCTATGTTAAGCTGTCCTCATGTCTTCTGACAAATGTCGCCACCGCTACAGAGAAGATTCAGTCGGATGAAGAGCTTGCGGATCATCTGTCGCGCAACGAGTCCAAGGTTCAACACTCGGAGACGGAGGAAGAGTCGCTGGTCCAGAAGTTGAACCGAATCCGCAGCATCCTAGCAGACCTCGGAATGGCAGAGTTCATGAAGAAGCACCAGTCGCTCACCTTGTCGAAGCTGAAGCTGAATATCAACTCGTCGATGTCATGGATCATCATGAACGTCTACATGCTCCTCATGGTCCTCTCGATGACGCGACATGGGTCGCACTTTAGGGCTCAGCCGGAGTTCCGAGTGTCGTGGCTGAAGAACCTCAGCGATGCTCACGGGACGGTACGTATCTGACGCCTATACGAGATCCGTGGCCTCATACAGATCTTCATGTCGCAGCTGCTTTCATGGATCTTCATACGACAGTCTGAACGCATGGCTTTGGTCGACTGCGTCTACACCGGGAGATCTGAGCAGAGAGCCGACGCGACAGATGAGGCATCTCGCGCCGACAACCCCAGCAATGCCGAGAACGTCGGCGACATTGAGGTCGTTCGTGGCGACGCCTGGCCCTCTTTCCAGACAATGAGGAGTGCGTTGGGTACGTCCAAGTCGGTTGCCCCTTACCCCTACACTGCCGAGGAGCTGGCGATACTCGCTCGCAACTTTTCCCTGGGTGAACGGCGATTCCAGCACATTATTCAGTGGTACCTACTCGATACTAACGGTACAGCCGGAGTGCATTTCGACCGTTGCAAACGGTAGAGCCGCCTCCGGCCGGAGCTGTGATTTCCTTGTTGCAAACAGGCCGGCCGGACTGGTTTCAAACAAGCCGGCCGAGCATATCTCAAACCAGTTCAAACGGTCCGGCCGGTGTATCCCTAGGGCACCTATTTTCTGTCTGAACAGGGGGGCCATTTAGTGTCTTGCTGGCAACGGACCGGCCGGGCAATAAGGGGCTTTAATTGTAACAGATCAACCGGGATACTCTTTCTCCTATGGTAACGAACCGGCCGGGAAATGGGATCCTTCATTTGTAATGGGCCGGCCGGAGTGCATAGTTCACCAGTTGCAATGGGCCAGCCGGAGCACATGCTCCCTGGCTAATAACAGACCGGCCGGGTTGCATCATCTCTAGCTGGCAACGGAGCGGCCGGACCATTTTTCCACATTGATAGCAGGCTAGCCGGGCCATATAATCTAGCACTCCACACTGGTAACGGTCCGGCCGGGCAGTGGCACCATCCATTGGTAACGGTCCGGCCGGGCAACAGTATTGTGACCCAGTATTGGCTGGGCCAGTCAACAATAGACCATACTCCCTTAGAACAGCCTACTAGTAGAATGTATTATATATCCACAGTGCATGCCCTATCACATTGCCTGAGCTGTTAGCTCACTGGCCAGCCATGCAAACACTGGCTGAGGGCATTCAAAAACCTTCGGCCTATTGTATTATGATACAGAGTGTGATTTGAATGATTGTATATGTAAGACCATCACTAATGGAGCCCAACATAGTGTTCCCACATTTTAAAGGGGCTTAGTGAAGCTGCCACCAGCCAAATTAAATGGCCGGACATCTCAAAACATCGGCCGGGCATTTTAGTTCATTGGCCGAAGCTTTTCCTTCATTGGCCGAAGCTTTTTCTCACTGGCCGAAGCTTTTTCTCACTGGCCGAAGCTTTCACTTCATTGGCCGAAGCTTTTCTTCACCGGCCGAAGCTTTGGATTGACCGGCCGAAGCTTCTACTTCACCGGCCGGCGAAAACAGCCGGTGCTCGGCAAAAAATGGCCGGCCGGTGTGCAAAAATGGCCGGCTGGTGTGCAAAAATTGGCCGGCCGGTGCGCAAAACCGGCCGGGCTGTTGAGTTACTATATGTGGAAATGTGGTATTGTCTGGGAGCCCTTCATTTGCAGAGTCTAGTATCAATTTCCTAGTTTTCAAGAACACATAGTTAGGCCAGGATATGCAAGACAAGATTTACTACTCACAGGCTTCTTTGCAAAACATGTTATTCAATTCCTGAAGCCAATATTCTTTGCCCACACTGTTTGACAATCTAGAATGTGTTATCACAATGCATAGAGTAGATCCCCAAAAGTAATAGTCTTATTCTTTGAAGCTGAATGCAGGACAACAAATAAGGGGTATACAGGTATGGTATACATGTTGACTTCCTGCAGCTAATGTTCTTTCCAAACAGTGTTTTACCATCTAGAATAGTTCATTGACCCACAAGGAATCAGTCCTCCAAAGGAATAGTCTTATTCACACAAGCTGAAGGCAGCACAGAGTTAAGGTGAGGGTGGGTATATGGGTATACATGTTATACTGTGTTCACATCCTGAAGCCAATATGCTTTGCCCACAAGGTTTGGCAATCAAGAATGGCACAGAAACATCTACCCACTGTTGGTAATGGTCCGGCCGGCCAATCCTCATAGGAGATGGTCCGGCCTGTGCATGATCCCCTTAACTCTGTACCACATTCAGCTCATGTGAATAAGACTATTCCTTTGGACGACTCACTCCTTATGTGTAAATGAACCATTCTAGATTGTGAAACTGTGTTTGGAATGTAGATTGGCTGCAGGAAGTCAACATTGTTTGACATGTATACTATACCTTACCCCTTATCTCATGTTCTGCATTCAGCTTTGAAGAATAAGACTATTCCTTTTGGGAATCTACTCTATGCATTGAAATAACACATTCTAGATAGTCAAACAGTGTGGGCAAAGAATATTGGCTTCAGCAGTTGAATAACATGTTTTGCAAAGAAGCCTGTGAGTAAATCTTGTCTCGCATATCCTGGCCTAACTATGTACCTTTGGACACTAGGAAATCAATACTAGACTCTATGAATGAAGGGCTTCCAGACAATACCACATTTCCACATATGGTCATTCAACAGGCCGGCCATTTTTGCCCACCGGCCGGCCATTTTTTGCCAAGCACCGGGCTGTTTTCGCCGGCCGGTGAAGTAGAAGCTTCGGCCGGTGAAGTAGAAGCTTCGGCCGGTCAATCCAAAGCTTCGGCCGGTGAAGAAAAGCTTCGGCCAATGAAGTGAAAGCTTCGGCCAATGAAGTAAAAGCTTCGGCCAGTGAATTAAAAGCTTCGGCCAATGAACTAAAATGCCCGGCCAATGTTTTGAAATGTCCGGCCTATTGATTTGGCCCTGTAGGGACAACCTGGCTAATTTTATGGCCAGTAAAGCAAAAACCTGGGTGAGTGAAATCTCTGGCCAGTTAATTTGGCCAGCCAGTGGGGCTGTTTTGTGTTTTGCAGCTTCACTAGGCATCCCTAAGTCATGGGAAAATTATGCTGTGATCTACTAATGATGGTATACCCCATAGGTGCACAATACATATAGTATTTCAATAGCCCCCAGGGGGCTGTGACCGGCCGGACCGTTTGAAGCAGGACAACTCCTGCCCGGCCGGCCTGTTCGTGGAGTCAGTTTGTTTAGGCTGGCCAACCCATTCTGGACCAGATAGACTTCACTCCGGCCGGTCCGCTTGCAATGAAGGGATTTTATCCTGGCCGGAACATTTGAAGTGGTGGGGCCTGAGTCCGGCCGCTCTGTTTGCAACGTGGACCGGCCGGCCGCTCTGTTGCATGTGCTAACCCTGCCCTCCACCCGGCCTGTTTGCAGTGATGTTGTATGGGTCCGGCCGGACTGTTGCCTATTCAGCCGGACTGTTTACAACAGGTACATTACCCCGGCCGAAAGCCCGGCCGGCCTGTTGCAAGCGGTGCATTGTTGCTAATGGTAGACCCGGACTACTCCGGCCGGAGGCGGCTCTACCGTTTGCAACGGTCGAAATGCACTCCGGCTGTACCGTTAACAGCGAGGTTTTCCACTGAATGGGCTCATTCCAGGGCATATTCCACGACGACGCGATCATGGAAGCCCTCGACGATGCGTATGTAGACGCGTTCCGAGGTGTCGACAACATGTTTATGATGCTTGGAATCGACATGCCCGAGTATTGTTCCGCACTCGCCACCTACCGCATCGCCGTTGTGGCCCTCCTCCGCGAACACTTCCCCGTCGAGGACGCCGAGTTAACCAAGTCCTATCGAGTGCCCAAGGAGCAGCGCAGGCTTTCCATAGTGACTCGAAACTACGACCAGCTGCTCTCTCGGGTGCTCTACAGTTTGTTGGAACGCGATGACGGCGGAAACTTGAAGCCCTTACCATTCCTCACGATCAGCGTCTTCCGGGACCTCCACAGGGCATTCAGCCAGACACCTTTGGCTTTCAAAGAGGTATGTCGCTCACCGGATATGTCACACCGACTCCCTCGCGGACTGCGGCATCGTTTGCGATCGATGTGTACCTCCCGACATATTATCGGAAGCTTTGCTCGTATCGTTCGCGAACGATGCCGGCCCAGCGCCTCGCCGCTGTCTGGCCTGACTTTAATTCACGATGTGTTGTCCCGACGGAATGCTGATGCGCTGCCTGTGTCGCAGGTTGCTGGTTGGTTCGAGGGGCTCCATTGGTACTACCGCGGCTCGAACGCCGCAACGCAAGACTTCAACGACGCGACCAATGCCATCTTCATTGCTGCGAACAGATGGAGGGCGGAAGAATTGAACGCAGCCCAGCATCATACTATCCTGGATAGGGTATGTCATCCACATCCATAACGCAGTATGACAATGTAAGCGCTCACGTCTTTGGTCTTTCTAGATTGCCGACGTATTCATATTGGGAAAGGCGCACCTCATGCCTGACCTCGAGCACAGCATGTCGGACATCACCATCCATAGGCCGACAAACAAGCAGGCGCTCAAGGCGATCGTCGCGTCGGGGGCTGTGTATAAGAACAAACAGCTCATTCTGCCTAAATCCGACTCTGTTGTCGTTAATCCGGCGGCGCTGAGGTTCTGGAACGGCATGGGTGGGCTGTACTCAATCACAACTCATCATAATGCGTTGCTACTCAAGGTCGGGGTTAAGCCCCTCCCGAGGAATGGGTATCCGACGGAGTATCCAGCCAATCCTTTGGGATACCGACTCATTCGCAGTGGCACCTCTAGAGACATCCTCCGAACGGCAACTAGCATGAAGGAAGTCAGGAGCTACGAGTGGCTGTACGCTGCGGCGGTTGTTGAGGATTCCATCATTCGCACCTATCGCACGAGCAAAGTCTTGGGCATCTTGCCCAGCAATCTACGGTTTCTCTTGCGAGAGGCGATGAATATCTACAGCCACGTCGGACAGCCTGACGACGACGACGATCCGTTTGCGACTATGGGGACCTATTTTGCGTTCTGGGACCAGCCCACGGAGCCTGACGACTTCGTAATGAATGAGGAGATCTGGCATAGCGTGACCATCGAGGACATCGTGGAGAAAGTCGGATTGCTGCAGGTAGCGTCCAGCATGCAGCTGGAGCGAAAGCAGCTGTGCGACCTGGTTGCCACGCTCGAGGCCAGCCCCCTTGGAAAGTATCGTGTACCGGATACTGGGAACCCAAAGCGGACTGCACCGCTGTCGAGGGAGTGGTCGTTAGCTATGGATGCAATAGTACAGGTGCGCCACGACACGTCCCCTCACAATGATATGATGACGACGTACTCTTCGTCGGTCGACAGGCAGCCATTCAGACATGCACCAGACGACGTCTCTGGAAGGAAGGAGAATCAGAGAGTTTGCCCTTCGACAGAACAACGGTAGATTACGAGATGCCATCGCTCGTGTCGGAGGTTCACACCCACAGAAAAAGCGTCGGGCCTATATTCAGAGTAAGCCTTCCTCATTCTCGTGACGACCGTCTGGCTCATTTCAGGTGTAGCTTCATGGTGTGCTAGTGATCGATGACGAGGAGGAGAAAGCAAAGGCCAAAAGAAGTCGGAGGCGTCAGGATCGACTAGCAAGAGAGAGGAGAAGTCCGCGACAAAGCCTACTGTCGCACCAGCGCAGGGATCCAAGTCCGACGCTAAGCCCAGTGGCGACAACTCGAAGCCTGAGCCGATGAAGGGAAAGCGCAAGTCGGGGCCTCCCAAGTCGCGTGCCATCATCTTGGACAGTGACGAGGACGCTCCCTATGAACTGGATCCAGAGGTCGACGACACCTTCGACAACGCACTTGCGACGCAGACCTTCATACCCACTCCAGACGACGATGAAATCATGAGCATCCCAGACAGTGAGCATGTTGAAGTACTAGAGGTGAGCGATTTCCCTCTACACTATTGGCAGCTCCACTGACGGACTGCATACCAGACACCGGCGAATGCGCCACAGGCACCCCGTCATGTCGAGACCCGTCCGACAAAGCCACAGCCCCAGGCCGATCTCCCAGTGACGCCTCCACGACGTGAGAACACGTCGGCAGGTGAGTACCATTCCGCTGAGTGCTCATGGGCTTCACGTTACGTGTATCGTTTGCGAACGATGTGTCACCTTTCATACATTTTGTGCGATCCGATTCTCCGACATTACTTACACTGCGCACGATGCCTCTGGTGGCGCTTTCTGCCCATTACTGACTCCGTTGTTACTACAGCGGGACCTCGAGACAAGTCTTCCGGATTTCAGCCACGTAAGATGACGGGTTCATCGGGAACGTTTACGGTGTTGGAGCCAGGCAAGCCAGGTGCGTCATTATTATTGCTGGTCTCATCCTTTGGATTTGGTGCGATCGGAGAATGTGGCGTGCATGAACGTACGCGTTGCAGGACTCTACGACTTTGATGCGCCGTCTACTGAGGAGCCTCCCAGTGCGGCTGCCATTGCACGGGTGCTACAGAACGTGAAGGCGAGGATAATTCCTGTTGAGGGACACCGCCGTGAGCTAGTGAATTGCAGGGGTAAACCCCCGGGTGTCCGGGGGCTTACCCGTACCCGTACCCGCCCGGGTACCGTACCCGCACAACGGGTACGGGTCACGTGCGGGTACCGCGGGTCTGCGGGTCCATGAGCGGGTGCGCGAGCAGATGGGTGGGTGAGTAAGGGAGTGGGCAAGAGGGTGTGCAGGCGGGCGGGCGAGTGAGCGAGCGTGTGGGCAACGAGATGGGGTACTGATGTACCCGTTGTCCTCGCTTTCCTCCCCACCCGTGTCCTCGCTTTCCTCCCCACCCGCCATCCTCCCCGCTCGGCGTCCTCCCCGCTCGCACTCGCGCGTTCCATCTGCTCGTGTGTCCCCGCCAGTGCTTCACCCGCAGACGAGAGCATCCGCTTGCTCCCGTCTGCGCACCCTCCCCGCCTGCTTATCGGTGTCCCCGCTCGCCCGTCCTTCGCGTGCCCGCCTGTTCATTGGCCGTGTCTGCGTGCTGGGCATTAGCCCAGCGCGCTCGCGGTCGGTGTGCGTGTGGTGTTGGTCCGCGCCCTGTCATCGTCCGTGCTTGCCTGCTCGTTCTCCCGCCTGCTCGTTCTCCCGCCTGCTCGTTCTCCCGCCTGCACTCGCGGTTGCCGCGCGTGTCGTCGCCTGTCGATGTGCCGGCTGGTCCGTCTGCTCACCCGCACCCTCGCCGTCCTTCGCGTGCCCATCCACCCGCGAGCTCGTCCGGTCATCCGGTCCTCCGGTCGTCCAGTCACCCGGTCGTCTGGTCGTCTGGTCACCCAGTCGTCTGGTCGCCCGGTCGTCTGGTTGTCCGCTCGCCGTCCCGCTTGCGACTCGGAGCCTGTGCGCCCGTTGGCCCACCTACCTGCCTGCCTGCGCATGCGTTCGACGGCCACGTCTGCGTGCTGGGCATTCGCCCAGCGCGCTCGTGGTTGCCGTGCGTGTCGTGCTGCACGACGACGCGCCGACGCACCTGCACCTGTCCTCCGCCTGCCTGTCCTTCCACTCGTCTACCGTCCACCCGTCCACCCCTCCTGTTCTCCCGCTTGTTGGCCTTCCAGATAGCTCGTGCGCGCGTTCGTCGGCCGCGTCTGCGTACTGGGCATTCGCCCAGCACGCTCGTGGTGGACGTGCGGCGTGCGGCGTGTGGTGTTGGTCCGCGCCGTGCCCGCCCGCCCGCCCGCTCGTCCGCTTGTCTGCCCGCCCGCCCGCTTGTCTGCCCGCCGCCCGCTCGTCCGCCCGTCCGTCCGCTCGTACGCCCGTGTTCGTCGGTCGTGTTTGCGTGCTTAGCATTTGCCCAGCGCGCTCGCGGTCGACGTGTGTTGCTGCACGCCCGCTCGTCCGCCCGTCCGCCCGCCGCTTGTTCGTCGCCGTGCCTACACGCAGGGCATTGGCCCTGCGTGCCCGCGGTCGTCGTGCGTGTCGCGTTGCACGTCACCGCGTCCTGCGCCTGCCGTGAGTAAGCTCGCGCGCGTGTACCTGGACTCACCTTGCCCTCGCCCTCACTCTCGCCCTCACTCTCGCCCATCCCCGCCAGTCACCCACCCCTGCCCGCGGTCCACTCGTCGCCCAGGCCTGCCGTCCGTTGGTCGCTGCGCCCGGGCTCGCGGTGGCTTCGTCGGCTGCGTTCGCACGCGCGGTCTTTGCGGGTGTTCGCCGTGCGCGTGTGCGTCGTGTTGCTGAGGCTGAGACCGTGGGCGCGGGCGAGTCGACCTGGTGGAAGGAGACTCGAGAGGGGCAGACCGGGGCATCCCCGCGAGTTTGGGCGCTCGCAGGGTTGCCGCTTTTGGCAATACCCGCACGACTGCAGGGCGGGTATGCGGGTACGGAAATCGCTACCCGGACCCCTACCCGCGAGTACCCCTACCCGCGACCCTCGCGGGTTACCCGAACCCCTGCAATGCACTACCGTGAGCGAGTCCGTCGTACCATGGAATTATAGGGGATTTTCGACCAATATTCGGGGTCAGGGAGGGGTCAGGGGCAGATTTTCACAAAAAACTGGACCTCTGCGCATGGAGAACACCCAACAATTTCCTGTTTCCTTACCCGCACTCGCGCTACATGCGCCATTGCGGGTAAACGACCACTGTCCGAGACTGTTACCCGCACTCGCGCTACAGCGCAGATGCGGGTGAATAGACGGATCATTACTCTACACAACACACTAACACAGTACAGTAATAATATAGCTACGTCAATGATTCATGCGTCACTCATACACTTACTACCGAATACCCATTTTGTAGGGGTATTTTACCCCCTTTCGCGCTGCCGGCACGAGTGCGGGTAAAGAAGCTTACGAATCAGTCATTTACCCGCACTTGCGCCGACGGCGCCAATGCGGGTAACGACACACTAATTATGTGACACGCTACCCGCACTCGTGTCGCCAGCGCGAGTGCGGGTAAATAACAATAGAATCACACGAACAGTACCCGCACTCGCGCCGGCGACGCGAGTGCGGGTAGTTGTAGTACGATTTGATGTACCGTTACCCGCACTCACGTCGCCGGCGCGAGTGCAGGTAAATAACGATAGACCGGTAGCATCGAGAGACCGGATCCATTGATCTTAATCGGTATCTTTACCCGCACTCGCGCTGGCTGCGCGAGTGCGGGTAATGTCACACGATCATGTGCTTCGGACGTATCCGTAGCCATGCGTTCGGGGCACACTTACCTTGTTAAACATACGCCCACAGATCGTTCGCGCGTTCGCGCACATCTCTACGCTCTTCATCTCACTCTGCTTGTCATCTGTGCTGTGCCATGTCTGACCGTGGCTCATCTCGGTCGCCTGGCCCTTCGGATCAGTCGCTGCAGTATGAAGAGGTACGTACCATTATCAAATCAGTGGCCGATCGACACTGACAGTTGTCAATGTAGATTCAACCGGACTTGGACGTGATCGGGGGGATCCCAATGCCCATGACGGCCGGTCAGGGCGCTGAACAGGATCGGGAGGCTGAGCTTCTTGCAGAGGCGGCGGAAGCATGCCTCGGCTTCACGCTCGTGCCGGCATCGCCCTGGCTTATGAGAGCAATGCAGGTCGACTATTTGTACCAACGTTGGAACCCGCGTCCGCTCGATGCTCACCACCGCGAGGGTATCGTGAAAGACCTGAAGCACGAGCCTCGCAACGTACTCAAAGAGAACGCGCTTCTGCTCGCCGTACCCGGTGGATCGGTCAGCCCCGAGTCGTTCATCGTATCCGGTCACAAGGGCTCGAAGACGCCGAAGCTGCAGCTTGCAGCCCAGGCGATTGAGGACGAGAAATCGAAGGTCGTGCTTGACGTGATCGCCGGGCTGCATCGCCTGCACGCGTCTGCCGACTGGCACCAGGACGGTGAGAATGCGATCGTGCGCACGGAGAAGCGCGTGGACGATTGGAAGGCCTCGTTCAAGACGTCGGAGGCGTGGAGGGCCGAACTCAAGCAACGTGAACAGGACGTGGAGAATGCGCATGCGTACATGCACGAGCGGGCGTGGTGGTTGGCGGAGGTCTTCGATAGCGGTGCGTTCGTATTGTTCTCACAAATCTCGCACGATCACTCATACCATCCTTAGATAAACTCTCACCA